GTGACCACCTCATCCGCCTGGGTTGAGTGGTCTGAAACTCCCGTTGCACCGACTTCAGTGACCACCTCATCCGCCTGGGTTGAGTGGTCTGAAACCCCTGTTGCTCCCACCAGTGTGACGACCTCCGCGTGGGCTGAATGGTCTGAGACTCCCGTGGCCCCAACCAGCATCGTGACCTCCGGCTGGCAGAACTGGAATGGTACCACCACCACTCCCAAGCCTGTTGCTCCCACCGCCGTCACCAGCTCTTCTTCGGGCTGGGAGGACACCACCATCGTAGCTTCCACAACCACGAAGCCTTCTTCCTCTTCCACGCCTGTCTCTCCCGCCACCGCCACCCCAACTCCTTTCACCGGCGCCGCTGTCGCCAAGGGTGTCGAGAAGACAGTCGCCCTCTTCGGCGCCCTCATTGCTGCCGCTGCTCTGCTGTAAGCACCCCGCCAGAGGAACACATCTCTTCGCTTCTTCTACGGCATCTGCCGAACTAGGGATCATCGGGCGGCATGGAGTTTTCAGCACGGGCATCAACCATCGGGTCGGCAGCTCTTGATTTGGAAGCCAACAGCACACTCAGGGCGGCAGCAGTTACTGTAAGGGGCCAAATGGTGGGAAAGGCACATCACGCAATGATGAACGAGACACACACAAGGACCGACAAGAGAAGATAAGATGGCCTTATCGATTTCACGACAAAAAGGAATGTGGATTAAAGTAGTAATGTGTGAATAGATAGATTACCTTAGTTAATTAATAGCTCTCTGGCTTCAGCTTCGCTTCCTTTTTTGCAGCAATGTGGAAAAGTAGGACGTCAGCAAAGCAAAATCAAAAACAGTTGAAGATAATTCATCAAATCTCAGTCCCATCATCTTTGACCTTGTGACAGATTATATCTTGCTTTTCTTTCTTTCGCCGAAGTCCCTTGAATCCGTTCTTATTCTTACAAGCAGGTCCATATACTTATACAGATACACACACACGCACAACTAACTCATGCCATTTCTCCAAGGAGTCGACACCATTCCGCCCAACCCCCAGTCAAGACACCTCTCACCAACTCCATCCCACTTCTTCCCCCCTCTCTCCGTGGCCCTCACAGCTCCCCTCCCTTCCCACCCTCGACAACCCCCTCCCCAAACACCCCCACCGCATTCTCCCACTCCACCCCCCTCCTCAACGCCTCATCCCCTCCCACAAACTTCCCCCACTCCCCCTCGAAAAACTCAATCCCCTCCCTCGGCGCATTCGGAAAATCCGTCCCAAACAAAACATGCCCCTCCTCCGCAAACCTCATCAACAAACCCAACGTAAACTCATTGCAACTAATCGCCGTATCAAAGTAAAACCTTCTCGCCTCCTTCAACAACTCCGCCGTACTCGACCCCGTGGTGAACGGCGTGTACGGCAGCATCCCCGCAGCGCGCATGAAGATATACGGCAGTGTCCCGCCGGCATGACTCAAAATGACCTTGCAGTTGCGGATGGACGGCATGCGACCGGAAGTCAGGAGGTCCATTGCCGTCCGGCCCGTTTCGTGCGGGTAGTCGAACATCGGGCCCGGCAGGTGGGGGTTCACGTGCGTGGTGTCGACGGGGTGCGTGGGGTGGATGAAGACGACGGCGTGCCGCCGGTCCAGTTCCGTCCAGATGGGGATGAAGTCCGCGTGGCCCAGGTAGTGGGCGTCGGAGCCGTAGCGCGTCATGAGGATGACGCCGCGGGCGTGTAGGGTGTCGAGCGCGTAGGCGATTTCGGCGAGGGCGAGGTCCGGAGCGAGAAGCGTGGGGACGGAGGCGAAGAAGGCGTAGTGCGTTGGGTCGGAGGCGGCGATGGCGGCGCCGGCTTCGTTGATTTGGCGGGCTAGGGTGGCGGCGCGGTGGGGGTCGCGCTCGATGTCTGGGCCGGGCGCGGTGGCGGAGAGGATGGCTTTGGAGATGTTGAGGGAGGCGCAGAGCTCGCGGTCGGCGGTCAGGGTCCAGGGTGGGATGGTCCAGCCCGAGGGGTCGCCGTTGGCTTGTTGGATGGCTGGGAGGGGGGCGTTAGTGGGGTTTCACATTTGGTGCTACTTGTATAAATACCAGGACGTACCTTTGGTGTATACATCGGGATAGAAGTGGTGGTGGACATCAACGCGGCCCATGTTGAAGACTTGGAATGCTCCTTGGTGGATGGTTGGTGTGATGGTATCGTCGATGCAGTGGTGATGAGTACATCGTCATTCGTACGGCTGGGCCAGTCTCTCTTATATCATTTGCCCCTGATTTGATCTTCGCCATCGTTAGTATACTCGGAACCTAGTAAAGCGCTACAAGACCCAAACGGATCATATGCGTATACAACGCGAAGTAGAATAGCAAACGGAACGATATTGGACCGAAATCGAGCCGCCAGGGTCCGGCGATCGACTGGTTTCAGCCATTTACAGAAGTTCTTAGAAAAGAAAATCGTTCCGGATTCATAGTCAGTCAGAGACTCGATAGGTCGACGAAGTAGATGTCCGACTGCAAGGATATTCGCTGTAGTAGTGGCACCATCGCTTGTTCCGGGACGCCGAACGCCATTTCGGCCTACCACCACGAAGGACGAGCTACCACCATACCGGAGCTCCTCTGCTTGAGAAAGTGTTTGGGACGAAGGGTCTTCCAGGAATTGAAGTCGAAATATTGTCTGCTCAAGGCATTATGGGATGTGTCAGCTCGTGCATGTGCGTGTATTCAGGCAAGTACTTGCGTGTAGTGAGAACAATAGACGGAAGATGCGGGGGTAGGTGTATCATCGATATCACGAAGGCGGCTTTTCTCCGTGCCATCATGGCACAGTGCGAACTTCAGAGTGGCTGTCGTGACAAGTGCCTCGGTGTACTCAGACTCCGTGAAAGAGAGATGCATGGGTGGCATCAACATGCAAACGAGCCCAAGTTGTTATCTAGATCTAGTTGTTATATAGAGCAAGCTCAACACAGTCAGATAGACGCAACCATCCAGCATCACTTATACAGCTTTCCCTCCACCACCTCTCCCACCTCACCGCTCGAGAAGGAGCAATGGCCCACCCCGGCCTGCTCCTCACCACCAGGGGCCACAACCCCCCACCTCACCAAGGCACACCACGCCCCCTCCTCACCCACGGGCCCATGACACAACGCACTCACTGCCAAACTACAACTGCCCGCCAACGGCATCCCCTTTGCCTCCCACCCCCTCGCCCTCGCAGCCACCGCCACCCCGACCAGAATCCCCACTCCCAACCCCACCACCACCAGCATGGGCAGCAGCGAGAAGCCACATGTCACAATGGCTGTTGCGTCATGCAGTATGCCGTCCCACGTATACTCGGCCACAACGGCGAGGAAGAAGGATTGCGAGACCAGCCAGTGCAGCAGGCCCGAGAGGGCCATGAGCGGGAAGGCTAGGTGGTGGGGGAGCTGGAGGAAGAAGGTGCTGCGCTGGGGGGTGGAGGTGTGCGGTAGGGAGACGCGCAGCGGCTTGTGGGGCGCGTGCGCGTAGGAGAGCGTTTCGGATGTGAGGGTCAGGCCTAGATACATACAGGGTTAGTGTCGGATCAGTCATGCATTGCAAGGACGCGCTAGGGTAAAAGTACGTACTGGTGATCAGGCTGTTGAGGTGAAGGTACAGAAACGACAGAATGGTCTGTGGTAGGTTGGCGACGATGACGGCGGTGGCGATTTGCTTCTGGCTGTTGGTCATGAAGACGACTCCCCAGCCGTTGACGAGGGCCGAGGCGTTGATCTTGCCGAATCCTAGCGTCGACATGGGAGTGTTGTGCTTTTTGATCTGCGAGTGGCCCGCACCAAACAGCGCCAGGACTATTATCAGGGCCAGCGCGATGAAGGTAAATGTCCAGAACCAACGCTGACGGCTGGCGCCCTCAGCCCAGCGATAGGTCTTTCGTGAAGCTGGTTTTGCGCTCACCTGGTCGGTAGCGTCACCAGGAGTGGTTGAAGGAGGTTTGGCTACGAAACCGGCATCGGCTGGCGTAGCGCCTTTCGAAATCTGCTTGATGGCTTTGATGAAGTCCTTGCGGCCCCACATACAGCAGCCACTCGTGACAGGGTCCGGATTGTGCAAGAACGAAGCAAGAGCGTCACCGATGGTGATGAGCGGCGTCTCCCTACCAAGACCGAAAGCAACCCAGAGCATGCAGAGGATCTTGACGACGTTGAACACAATGACCACAGTCAAGACGCTGATGTTGCCGTTGAAGGAACAGCGCTCGTCAATACGCTGGCTCAAGCAGTGGTCAATGTCGAAGTCGTACGGCGTCCAGTCCTCTGAGCGCGCAATGATGTCGGAGACCCAGGACTCGCAGGGTGGCTTGTCGAAACTTCTAGTGATACCAAAGACCGGTATCATGCGCTCTGATGAGTGACAGATCCAGTCGAAGGGCTCATATCTCGTTCTCTGCAGGTCGATGGCCTGCTCGAAGGCATAATGATGGTCGACCAGCAGGGAGTTGTTGCCGGTAGGTTCGCCTGATGTGACGAGGACCAGATTGGAGCGATCCGTCAGGAGTGGGTTGGCGTAAGCGGCTAAGCAGGCTGCAGGGTCCAATCTTTGCACACGTTTCTGGTCTGTCTCAATTCTTGCGTTGGCTAAGAGGTTCTCAACCGCTGCCATGCACGTGGAGTTCGTGCCGCACCTATCGTATGTGATTCCGTTGATGAAGCTGTTGTCCGTCACCTCGAAAGGTTCACCGTTCACAAACCCCGGGGCAACCAGATCTATGCGATAGTCTGACACTCCAATCGATGAGTAGAAGGCCGAGTTGTACACCAGATGGAGTGGGATTGAGCTCAACCCAAGAACCCACCACATGATGGCGCGGTATGGGGAGATAAGCCAGAGATTCCGTGGACTCTGAATTCCGATATTCAGATACTGTCGCTTTGCATGAGCCCTGTCAAGCTCGGACCTCGTGGGCGCGCACAGGACTTGCATGCAGTAATTGGAACCGCTCAGAAGCAAGGTGCCGAGGAGGTTGATGGCGAAGTGAGACCAGATGTGCAGTCTCTCCACCTGGTGACAGTCACCGCGGTAGACCTCGACCAGGCCGGTCTCCAGGTTCGGATGGCTCTTCAGCCATCGCAGAGCCACCACGTTGACGACCATGGTCAGGCACCCAATGACCGCGGCAGAGCAAGCCCCAACTCTCCAGCCTGTGAATTGTCGGCGGGACGGCTGCAGAGTGGAAATGAGGGCCTCCATAGACATGCCTCCTTGACCCAGGTCGGACTGGCCAATCGGCGAACGAGATCTAGTAGCCTCAGCATTTGGTCGCAAGCGTGAATCTGCCTTTGGTCTCTCCGAGAGCACAATGACATGGTCACTGCCGCTGTCCATCCTGCTGCGGCGCGAGCGCGCAAAGCTACGCAGGAATACCATCTGGGCGGCGAATCAATGCTGCAGGCCTGCAGCGTTCGGGGCTCCGGACAGAAAAACAAGTCTCGAGGGCCCTCAGAAGCTTCAGAGGTGACACACATTATGTCCATCGTGCACCGACTCGTTGGCGCCTGGGCAAACGATGCAACCGCAGATTCAAGAAGGGGGCCGAAACGGCCAAAACTGGCGGATATCCGGCTCATGGGGTATCAGCCAAGCGCGTCTATCGTGAATCTGGTGCGCGACTCATCCTATTGCTGTTACGTTCCCGGGGAGCTGCGGTTTGTGCAAAGAGCAGCAACGCATCATTGGAACTTTGAACAAAGGCTGAAGATATGTAATCAAAAGGATTCTGAAAGGTCCAAAGGTCAGCCGAATCTGAGTCTCAAGGTGGCTCCTCAAAGAATCAAAACTTGATTGGCCATTCGGTTCAGAGTGCCGGATGTGGAAGGCACGGGTTGATGCGCCACGAATTGAACAGCTTCAGCATGCCATGAATGCGCATCAGTGTGGTTGCAATGAACATCATTCTCACATATCAAACGGAACCAGCCTGTCCTAGACTTATACAACAGTCCATCTCGTGACCTAAGAACGTCCGCGTACCCTCCCTCTCCGCCCAAAGCGCCAGTCGCCAGACGCACCACCCAGTATGCCCCAATAATCTCAGGATGGCCATCTATCTAGTAATACCTACAAGCTCTCGAATTCCGCAGCTCAAGCACCGCCTGCCGGCCCTCGAGGTCCGCAATACTGTGACAGGAGGTTGAAGATGACCGCTGAATGCTTTTGCTGGAGAGGACCTGGAGTTCGCTGCTCGCTGGTGCTGTGACTGAGGAAGGCTTGACCAGCGAGGTGACTGCCGACTTGCAGATCGTGGAGAAGAGGTTGAAAGACATGTTGAGATTGGATTGTAGATTGAATACGTGGCGCTTGTAGCGCTAGGAGTGCTGTTGCTGAAGATGTTCGGCTTGGCTTGGAGGTTGATTTGCCTTGTGTGAGGCAAGGCGAAGTATAGGTATGAAGCCGGCTTTTGTGTAGAGGCGATGGTGTATTGTCGTGTAGAGGCTATGCGTTTGTTGGTCGTGTAGTCCGTTCCAGTATTACTGCGGATGATGGGCATCCATTCCTTGGGAAGTGCTGTCCCTATATATCCTTGCCAAAATGTACAGCCAGCCGCCAGGTGAGTATTCTTTTGCGCGTTCTCGCAAGCCACCGGCTCAGACACCCCCAGCAGCCTCGTACTCGCACGCCTCCTCGCACACCATGCTCTAGCCGGTATGCACTGCTTCGCTTTAGCCGTATCCGGCATGCATGGCGAAAACTGCGCTTTCAGCTTGCATTGTGATTGTTCTCCAATTGGTCAAGAAGTAGAGTTGCGAACGAGGGACGCGCATAAGCCTGGCGGTCTCATCCCCAGATTTCGGAGCCGAGATCGTGACTGGCGTGGCTCGTGTTCGATCTATTTCCAGCGCTGGAGTTTGAGGATATGCAGAATTTGCTATTGTGTCATTGCGTTCTCGCAGCTGTCCAATACCATTCGCCCTTATGAACGACAAATCAAACGCCAACGCGATGCTTATCATGCCAGTATCTTCATCGTACAAGTCTCCTAGACAACGACGTTTCGCTGCTTCCAGAATCGCCAAGCACAAGACAGCAGAGCCATTGCAATCACGATGCTGACCGCACATCCCCACGTCCACCCGCTGAAACAAGCATACCCATGACATTCGTTGCTGTCGCCGCTCGCTCTAGAGTAGCCAACACTGTAGACAATGCTCCAAATCGCCGCTCCCCCCGCCGGCATCATGGCCACGATGCCCCAGTTGGTCGCAAAATTCTCGGCACCCCAGACCACGCTGACGATAATTGGTACCAGAGAAAAAGATGCGCCGTAGCCAAGACCTAGCAGAGCGGACGACAGTAAAAAGAGAGATGGTGTTTCGAGCGTCAAGAACGGTAGACCGAGGTTGACAAAAGCAAGCAGCTGGATGAAGGCCGATGGTAGCAGCAGTACTAGCCGAGAAAAGGTGAACCGCGTGGACGGCGGGCACTCGGGATTTGAAGGTGGCGCGAACAGATCGGACAATGAGCCGGTGAAGAGTCGAGCAATCGTCGATGTCAGCGCGATGATGCTGACATGCGTCGCAGCATGGCCTGCGGGTGGGTTCGAAACATCAAAGTACTTCTTTGGCGTTAGAGTCGGAATGACGGTTCCAAGGTTGTTGATGTACGCTTCACCCGGCCCAGTAAGCAAGAAGAAGCCAGCGGCGAGCAGCCACATGGTCCGATCTGTAAGAAACGCATGTGTGGAATGGTTCAGGAGCCACAACTTCTTTTCGCGCAGTCTCTCATCCTCCTCGTGCTTTCTCAGCACTTGAGATTCGGACAAGTCCATCTCCTCATCCACATCATCTTCGGTCTCGCTCTCGGATCCACTAGGTTCGATTGTACCGTAGTGTTGTCGAATCCGGTGTCGCGACTGTCTGAAGAACTCGGACTCATCCAACAAGCCGCTTCTCTCCATCTGATCGACCCCATGGTCTATCAGCTTTTCTTCGTCGACGATGTGAAGACCAAGAGATCCGACGACACCGACCGCGATCAGTGTTCCGGCTAGGAACAAGAAGTAGCGGTAAACGTTGACATCGCCTTTGCGACCGTCGGCTGTCCGCTCATACAGCAGCTGCGCTCCGATTTGGCTCTGCCACATGCCACTGAGGCCAAAAGCCGCGATCGGGACCGCCAGCATAAAGCCTCGGTATTTGGACTCGGCAAAGTTCTTCGCGCACGTCGCCACTGCGGAGAGGTACATGCAGCTCGTACCAGCGCCCACGCCTACGAAGGCCAGCACCATGACTCCGAATGGCCATCCCTGCCCACCTGCGTCTCGTGGTGGTCCCGATTGGTATGTGTATGCTGCCAGCAGATAACCAAACCCAAAGAGCATCGACGCTAGGAGTGACAAAGGTGGAGGCGAGTAACGATCGCAGAGGAAGCCAAAGAGCGGAACAGGCAAGTACATGGCCAGCTCGGCGGTTATGGACACAATGTTGACCCGGTATTGGGTATAGTGTAAATCGGTCAGGAATCGCCCGCCATAGAGGGAGAATGAGGTTATGGAACCTGCGCATAGACTGTGGACGTCAGTGACTGTAGTAGATGTGCGGTCGCGTGCTGCCTTACCAGCTCAAGACTGCGCAGATGAAGCTGATGACGCGCATTACTTCCCGCCGCATTCTGATCCGGTCGCGTTCGATGATGCCCTCAGCCACCTCGGCCATGAAGTCGACATCGTCGTCTAGCAGGCTCCGCTGACTATCGCGAGCGCGCACGGTGCGGTTGGCATCAAAGTCGAGCGTCCGGATTTGCCCATCCGCAGACGGAGAGCGACTCATACTTGGCAGCTTCTGGCGGTATTTCCGCAGATGAGCAGCTTGTGGAGAGGTTTATATATCCTCCATGGAAGAGCACGAAGGGGAGCAGCCTGAACAGACAGGCTGGGGAGCTCCGCAAGGCTTTGATGCGTTGGCGTGACTAGGATGGATGCTGCGGTATCTTGATCCATGGTGTCATCGGCACGCGGCCCCTAGCGCCAAGATTCCGCCCGGAACGGCTCGCCTGCGCGCCCATATCCGGACCAGGTTTCATTCATCTTCTCGATGCCAACAGGCGGTGGCGATGGCTCTAGACGTGTATATGATGGTCTTAGCGAGCAGTCTCTGATAATGCATCAATGAGTCGCCATTACCATCATATCGCCGGCTGGACGCGGACAGCTGCAAGTTACACGACCTTGGCTGCTACGCTCAGAGCGACTCGGGCTTCTCTCACCACGATGCAAATAGAATGAGCTCAGGGCACATTGTGCACATTGAGTCACTTGGTGTCTTGGAGGCACACGACAGAGCCCTCCTCGTACTCATAGCACTGGCTTTGCGAAGCCCTACGCCCAAACCCCAATCAAGTCCAGCTTCCCCACGCGGGGAACAAAGCCGAGGCATGCGGGAATGGAAGCTGAGCTGGAGACATCCTCAGCTTTCCGCTTGACATTGCTCGCTCTATTGGGACAATGTGACCGTTATTGATCCATCTCTGTACGACCACAGCTGCTCGGGAGGCCACATATCGGTATAGACCAAGAACATAGATACTCGTCTCCACGTCGAGGAGCATAATGCCTTACAAAAGTCGATACCCAGATATCGACATACCAAAATGCAACATCCTGTCCTACGTGTTCCCAGAATCAGAGAAACCCTCCACGAAGCCAGTATGGATCGATGCCGCCAATCCAGACAACAGCCTCTCCCCGGCACAAATGTTGTCATGGGTCAAGCGCTTCGCCGTTGGCCTGGACAACCTCGGCGTGCCCAAACACAGAGCCGTCATGGTCTACAGTCCTAATCACCTTTACGTGTCTATGGCCTACCTTGCCGCCGCCGGGTCATGTCGGATGTTCACCGGCGCGAACCCCACCTACACAGCCAACGAGGTCGCCCACCAGATCAAGACGATCGAAGCCGCTCTGCTCTTCGTCCACCCGGATCTCCTCGACAACGGCGTCAAGGCCGCCAAGCAAGCCGGCCTGCCCCTGTCCAGCGTCTACCAGTTTTCCGCAACCGAGCAACCACCTTCTCCCGACGGCGTCATGGACTGGCGCACCATGGCCGCCTCTTCCGCCGCCTCACATTCATGGACCTGGGACCCCCTCACCGGCACTCCCTCCACCAAGACCATCTGCTGTGTCAACTTCTCTTCCGGCACCACCGGCCTCCCCAAAGGCGTCTGCATCACGCACCACAACCTCATCGCCAACAGCAGCCAAGCCATCTACAATAAATACCACGGCACGGACCGCACGCCCGACAACCCCGACCCGGACGAGCGCTGGCTCGCCATGCTCCCCCTCTACCACGCCTACTCGCAGCTCTTCACCATCAACATCGCCGGCAAGCTCAAGATCCCCGTGTACATCATGAGCAAGTTCGTCTTTGAAGACTTCCTGGCCTGTATCGAGAAATACAAGATCACGACCCTGCAGACCGTGCCGCCCGTCATCATCATGCTCTCCAAACGACCCGAGACGCAGAAATACAACCTCACGAGCGTCAAGCACATTTTCTGCGGCGCCGCGCCGCTGAAAAGCGAGTTGCAGAACGACGTCTCGCGGAAATTGGGCTGTGTCATCGGGCAGGGCTGGGGCATGACGGAGACGACGTGCGCGGGCATCCTGACGCCTGGCTTCGTCAATGATGATACTGGCAGTATCGGCTGGCTGCTGCCGAATACCGAGGCGAAGCTCATAGACGAGGAGGGCAAGGAAGTCACCGGCGACGGCGCGCGGGGCGAGCTACTGCTACGGGGCCCGCAGATCATGCTGGGCTACTGGAAGCGGGAGGACGCGACGAAAGAATCCATCGACGCAGAAGGGTGGTTCAGGAGTGGAGATGTGGCGTTGTTGGAGGACCGCGAGCAGGGCCAGCGCTGGTGGATCGTGGACCGCATGAAGGAGCTAATCAAAGTTAGGGGTCTGCAGGTCGCGCCGGCGGAGCTGGAAGCCGTGCTGCTGGGGCACCCGGAAGTGGCGGACGCAGCGGTGGGGGGCATGACTGTCGATGGAGACGAGTATCCGAGGGCGTACGTGGTGCTGCAGCAGGGCGCGAAGGTAACGGAAGTGGAAGTGCAGAAATTTGTGGCCGAACGGGTGGCGAGGCATAAGCAGTTGACTGGGGGGGTGGCGTTTATCGAGGAGGTGCCGAAGCTGCCGAGTGGGAAGATTGTGAGGAAGCTGATGCGGGAGTGGGCAAAGAGGGATGCACAGGAGTTTGGGGGAGGGGCGAAGGCGAAGATGTAGGTGTTTGTAATGGCGAAGCTGTCAGGACCAGGGGTATTAGAGTGTAACGACCTTGAGATAAGTGTGAGAAATAGCTGCAAGAAACCGATGGTCATGCTCAAAGAAAGCTGGTAGGAGGTTGGGGGTACAGCAGGGGAGGCTCCGCCCCTAATCATCATTGACCAAGTTGACACAGTTGTGATTCCAGTTTGCTTTGGACATAGATATCAGATGTTGAAGTACCACCGTCCAGCTCTTAATTGAAGACCAAGAAGGTATATCGCTGGACCAGCAGCGACTCTACAACGGAAGACCAATGGAGCATAGCCGATCTTACTCTAACTATAACATCGGAAAAGACTTGACGATCTACTCAGTTCTTAGACTGAGGCATGGAGGCAGTGATTCGCAAGCTACCCGCCAGAAGCATAGCGCCTCCAGTAGCAAAAGACGCTCGAGGCAGTGCGGAAAAAAGGAGAGACAGAGAGGCTGAACGTGAAAGGAGAGGTCGTTACGCGCTAGTTTGAACAAAGACCCTCCCTTATCGATAGCAGTCTACCTCGGCTCTACATCATCGAGGAAATCCGCAGTCCGCATCGCCCTCGATGAACTTCATGCTCCCATGTAGATTTCCCATCCCATCCGCAGACCCACAGCTTTCGTTTCCGAGCACCTGATTGCATCATTCGTACACGTCTGATAAGCCTACACAGGCGCTCACCACCTTTCTACCGATTCAGTCCTTTACTGGCGCCAAACCCCTACTTACGGCCCATCCATGCCCGCCCTCGGCCTCGACCTCGCCTCGAAGCGCCAGCGCACGCGCGCCGACTACTTTTACCTGCGCACCTACCGCCTCCGCTGGTCTGACAACGACGTCTTCGGACACGTCAATAACCCCTACTACGGCGTCCTGGCCGACAGCATCATCAACGAGTACATGATCCGCGAGTGCGGCTACCGCACCGCGCACCACCCGCAGGCCGCCATCATCGCCAACACGTACTTTGACTATTTCGGCAGCCTCAGCTACCCGGATGTCGTGGAGTGTGGGTTGCGGGTGGTGAAGCTGGGGAAGACGAGCGTCATGTATGAGGTGGGCGTCTTCAGGGAGGGGGATGAGAAGTGTAAGGCCGTTGGGGGGAGCAGTCATATTTGGGTGGAGCAGAAGAAGCCGGGAGAGTTGGGGAGGCCGGTGAAGGAGGGGATGCCCGAGGAGATGAGGAGGGGGTATGAGAGGATTATGGGCGAGGAGGCGAGGCATGGGGCGGAGAGGGCAAGGGGGGAGGCGGAGAAGGCGAAGGCGAGGTTATAGCATGCGTCAGATTCGAGTTGAATCCGCGATTTGAGACTTGTAGAACAGCCTCTGGCATGGAGAACAGAGGGTGCTTTTGCTTGGAGATGAGAAGCGAACTAGACGTCTGAGATTGCAGTGCTACCTTGTCCGTCTACCTGGGCTGGGCCAAAGCTGGTAAACAAGATTGCGCAGTGAAAGACACGATTGCTGCTAAAATGAGAGAACAGCGCAGAGCAACATCTGGCTGAGATTAAGACCCTAAGATGGGCCTATGGCTTGGTCTCCCTTGATGAGCCAGACCATTTGCCTCCCCCATCCTTCTCCTGGGTTGCCATCGATTGTTAATATCTGCACTGGCAGTCACTCTATCAATAGAACTCGTACCAACCCTCCTTGAGCGCCACGATGAACTCTTCTCGGCTTGACGCCGTGTTGGGCACGATATCGAACCCGTTTGCTGAAGACATACGTTGTAGAAATCCTGGTTGTATTTGCTGTCTTCACCGAGGCGTAACACCGTGTGTGGGCTTGGGGCATTGTCGCCGGAGACAGGCTATCTGGTCTCTCTGGCACGGTAGGGTACAGACAGTAGGCACACAGAAGTACTCTACACTTAGATGTTCGACCATGACTGTCGCGGTGTACCCCCTCTCACGGGGCTGCGTACCGGCGTGGTGGTATATCTCAGGCAGTGAAAACCCTTGGCACAATGCGGTGGGGGGAGGATGCGGACCCCGCACAACGCCCATTGAGGCCGCCGAAATCGTTACACGCTAGGCTTGCGGGAGCTAATCTTACTGGCAAATCGTGCCTAGAATTTGCAAGTTTTCATATTTTTAATATTCCAAAAACTGATCAACAATTCCTCGTCGAATTCTCGTCGGTCGGTTGGTGTAGTTGGTTATCACGTGTCCTTAACAATCAATATTGTACGGACAAGGTCGCCGGTTCGAACCCGGCACTGATCATACTCGGTGCTCATGGCCTATTTCTTTTTTGTTGTTGTTCCAGGACCCTTCCACATCCAAGTGGCATGCTGCTTGGGGGTTTTGCAATGTGCGGAAGTTGAGTTTTTGCTTATGGTGGGGTTGAGTTGGGGGGGCAGACCCGCCAGTGAGAGCCTCACGTAAGGTACGGTAGAATCGGGTCCCTTTTTTCTCCAGAGAGCTGTTAGAGAGCTGGCTACTGTGGGTATTTTGGGATATATGGAAATGCGCGATGCTTCTCAAGTGCATGTAGATCCGGGCTATCCAGGCCTGTTCAAGCTTTCGCATTGCGACTTGCGTCCTGACGAGCTGCGCTTGTTTGTGCAGGCCGATACATTGGCTTTCTGCTTCCCATAGGTACGTCTCTGTCATGCTTCGAGTTGGATGTTTGCAGAAAGGATGCACTGCTACCACTTCGGGGCTGCTGCGTAGCATTAGCGCTCGCTAAGTCCCTTCAACTGGTCTTCCAATACTGGCACGTTGTTTTGGAGACGCAACTCAGAGGGTGACCATGCGGCCATCAGATCCCAGGCTTGGCTTGGTTGGCGCTCACCCGCCCTCACTGATCTGCCGGCCGGCCTGCACACCACTTGATTTTCCTCAATTTAGTGCTCTGTATCCAGCTGGCCCCTTGGTCGATGCGACGCAACCGTTGCCATTATGCAAACGGAAGAGTTGAACGTATGGCAGAGATGATTGGTGTCAGAGCAGGTAGCCGTATACGGTATGTCGCCTACCGCTTCGGGCAGTTGTACAGCTTTCAGCGGCGCGGGTCCAACGCCAAACCACTCGGCCATCCAGGCACGCTACCAGGAGATACATATGCGCTGCCGATAGTATTACGTTGGCTCTCGCTTGAATCTTGGGGTTCAGTCTGGTGCAGATACTTTGCTTCATACGGGATGCCCAAGATACTCCAGATGATTTCTGATAGATCCTGACTCTTCAACCCATAGGTCAAACTCGCGTAACCGTGTGGTCCAGGCGACACCTAGCATGCCGAGAGCGTTGGCCATTGTAGCCCTGTCTGCACCAGAATGCCGGCGCGGTATTAAGCAGATCCATCCTGCCGTCATGACAACATTATGGGGCGGATTCGACGGTCGCTCATCGCCGCTGCTTCCAAGGGCACGAATGACCTCTTTTTGTCGCGCCAACAGCTTCTCGTAAGCCTCGGTCACGTGCTGCAAGGTCGCGTTAGGTGGCAACCGGAGCACAAAGTGCTTGTGTGGCACATGTTCTAGGCTCTCTGCAATGTCCTGCTCCGAGGTGGCCTTGGTCGGAAAGAGCTCAAACTTGACATTCTCTACCCGCGGATGGGGCATGATTTGCATGTGTTTGTGTCCCTGACTTGAGCCTGACTCTGCACCACAATTGTAGAACATCAGCATTGGTATGGCCGGCTGCTCTCGAGAAAACTGCTCGAGTACCTTCCAGGTTGCAGCGATGTCGGAGGCATCGAGAGCAGTGTATTGCGGAACGTACTCGCGGGTGATCAGAAGTAGACTGGGTCGATAGACGCAGAACTTGTTCATCAGCAAGGTATGGTGTAGTCCGACACTGCCCAGAGTGAAATCAGGGTCAGGGTTGGCGAAAGGATTGCTCTTGGCGTGATTGGCCTTGCGTTCGGGCGCATCCGGCGGGAGGACTGGTTTGTAGTTGAGGTGAGGCGCAAGTTGAAATGCGACCTGTAATCAAGAGTGGTAATTAGGTTGCTGAGAAGTCAAGGAGAAGTTGCAACCCACCTTGAAGCCATCTTCGTCACGCACGGTGGTTGTGAATGGACCATGAATGAGCTTTCCTTCCCGAGCCAACACGTCAAACTGATTGACGGCTTGATCCCAAAGATCAGAGATGAGATGGACGTCGTCCGATCTGTTGGTGGGAGACATCGTAGAACGTGCTCAGTCTCTGCAGGATGAATGAGCCTTCGAATGGCAGACTCAGCATATCTTGTTTAGTTTCAGAAATATGGCTTGCGTAGGGAGATGTAGGAAGCCCGGCTACAATAGCATTTTAGACAGGAGCTGGCTGTGAAGAGGTCGAAGACAGCAGGTTCAACGGAGTGGAGCCAATCGACTTCAACTTGCTGACGCCTTTTCTTGGCGCGTCCGTATCTCAAAGACTCATTTCGACGCGTGCTTTGTCCCTGTTGGCCACCTTCCAGCCGCAACATATCTGTTTGAGAAGCCAGATGCACACTAGACTTCCTCATCACATGAGCTTTGCTCCAGCAGCCGTAGCAATCGCCGACAGCACAACTTTGAGCCGCGTTCTGCTGATAGCCTGGCCATTCTAACCACCTTCAAGCTGAAGCTTTATTCCAGCTCGCTTTCAATAGATCTGCGCACTTTTCGCCTATAGCATACGCTGGCATTTGAGTATGGCCGGAGTGCAGACGCGGCATCACACTGCAATCGGCGACTCTCAGACCCTTTACACCTCTGACCTTCAGCTGGGAATCCAACACCGCCATTTCATCGCCATCATTTCCCATCTTACACGTGCCCGCAGCATGATAGCATGTCGTTGCATGCGTTTTGACATGATCGATCCACTGATCTCGGTGCGTAAACTTATGGTGCTGCAGATCCGCGGGCCATGACCCCGAGATCAGCTCCGCCGTGGCAGGGCCTTGAGTTACGATCTCATTCCCGAGTCTCGTACCCTCGGTCATCACCAGCAGATCAAGTGGATCCGCTAGGTAGTTATGATCGATCTTCGGATTGTCATGCGGACTTGCTGATGCGAGTGTGACAGTGCCTGTCGACCTCGGCGAGAACAACTCGGTGATCATGGCAAAGGCATGTTTATGGTCGATGGGGAAATCCTCATATTGTTTTGGTCCGCCATACAGCTCAGTGGTGAAGAATTCCACGTGCGGCTGGCTCGGTGTGAGGTCCATCGGATCACGCCCTTGCTTCCGTTTAGCTTCCTGCCAGAGCTTCGAATCCTGTAGGCGGTCGTCTAGCCGAGCAAACCCAAACGCGCCGAATGGAAATGTCGACAAGATTCCACTCTTTTCCTCCTTGTACAGCCTGAATGCTGCCATGGCCGCATTGTCGTGGTAGACTAGATGGTCATTGGTTATGCCAGGCTTGTTGACCTCATAAAATGTAAAAGTGATGAGATGATCGAGCAAGTTCTGACCAACGCCAGGCGAGTTGACGAGCACAGGTATACCATGCTTACCAAGCTCAGGACCAGGGCCAATACCCGAGCGCATTAACAGTGGAGGCGAGCAGTACGCTCCAGCGGACACGATGATCTCTTTGCGTGCTCGTACCTTGGTGCTATTCCCCTCGCGGTCGATCACCGTCACACTTGTGGCTCTTGGGATGCCGTCCTCAACTGTGTCAAAATTGATCTTGTCGACAGTAGTGTCCACAAGGATGTCAATGTTGGCCTTGTGTTGATTGTTGGTAACAAAATCAGCTCCTGTTGTTCGGATGCCCTTGTGATCTGACAAAAGTTAGGTAGGAAAGTCGCGGCAGTGCGTAAGCTTACGAGTTCGTGCTGCGTGGCCGCAGCCGTGTGCGCAGTTCCCAGATGAGCAGATGTCCGGGATCAAAGGCAGGCCTTTATACTCCATTGACTGCAGCACCAACTTGGATATCGGAGCCAAGTCATGCGGCTCAGTGTGCAAGTGCCCACTCGTGCCGTGGGGCGTCTTCTCATCAGGGTTGAACCAAGACTTATTGTGAAAGTTCTCGGCCTATAGCTCCGAGTCAGAAGCTGCGACCGTTGCACAACACATACTGACCTTGCGCATATAGCCGAATACCTCCTCACCGGACCATCCCGGAAGTCTGTTCCTCACCGTCAGTAATGCGTCGCCGGTCACGCACGAGGAAGTCATACTCCCAATCATCAAAATCCTGCTTCGTTCCCTTCACAACGAGGGTGCCGTTAACGCCCGAGCTACCACCCAGGAAGCGGCCTCTGCTGAGTTTGACGTGCCGGTCATTGACGCCCTTCATGGGCTCGGATACCAGCCTCCAATCATTATCGGTATCAACTACCGCAATCAGCCTGCCTGTGCAGAAGGAGAATTCGCACGAGATCCCTTACAATTCTGCGACCATCCCCCGACCATGTGCACATTCTCGAGGTCCTTGTTGTGCGCTCCAGCTTCAATGAGCAGGATTTTAGTGTTTGCATCTTCGGCAAGACGACCTGCTACCACACAGCCCGAAGTACCACCTCCACTTTAGAGGTTGACCGTCAGCGACCGCATTCCACAGCACAAGGACAAGTTCACCTTACCAGATGATGAAATCGTACTCGTCCTGCTGAGCGATTCTACCAGGGGACATGATTGCCACTAGCGACTCATCAACCAGGAGAATTAAAAGCCCAGCGACGCTGGTTCATATTCCCCAGACATTTATATAGAGTTCAAAGGAACCCCGGACAGACGGGCCTGCCGCATGGAACCAATTCCACCCCTAAACTCGTGCTGCTGTGAGTGCCACAGCCGCATCGGATCTACGCCTGCGAAAACCTTTTCGGTCCTACGCCAGAACTAGTCGGGTCGCAAGAATCCGACATGCTAACAATGCCTACGATGACACTCGGCAAGCAATGCTAATGCAGTGCTCGCTTTGCACTGCAATGCTCGCGGATAATGAACGCCAATATAATGCCTGGGGTGCGGGGGAAGAGCGGGGGACGGAACGATTCCTTCAAAGAATCCCCTTCCCGGCCCCATTGCGTTCGGCATTCCATTATTTTCTGGGGGGAATATATGGTCCACAGAGTCATATACACAGACGATGAAATCGGGCGGGGGATGCTCGACTCAGCGAATGTGACCTCGATTGGAGGCACCGCGTCCCGCGGAGAATTTTCCGCCACAGTGTCGGCAAGTCGAGGCTTGCCTTTGTCAGGCACGGGCCTCCTCCTAGACAGATGCCTTGCGCAGCATGCTGGTCTCAGAAACCGTAGATCGTGTGAATCGACCTCGCCTGGACTACCAACCTCAGGTCGACATTAATCAAACACAGTATCCGTTCCGGTCACTCATGCGACCAGCCCATCAGACTCCGGCGGACCCTTGTAAACTGGACATCACAAATTAGCAACTGCAAAATCTAGCCCAGCACGAAATGGACAAGCAGACGTACCTTTCCGGGCGTGAACAGCATACCAAAGCGCCGCGATCACGCCAAAGCCCACAAACACCACACTGGCGTAATTCATCGTCACCTCCGTGACCGGCAGCGCCGTCGGCATGCTGAACAGCACGACCTCAAACCCAATCCACGCAACCGCCACACAGTTGACGACCACACCGGCGATGGGTCCAACATTCCACCTCGCGCTATTGACCTCCTTGCGCGCGTGCAGCAGGCTGACGGTAATGGGAATCGCGTAGCTGACCGCCAACGCCATCACGCCCACAGACACGAACGCGGTGAACGCCGAGGTGCTTCCCAAATTGATGAGGCCGAGCAGCAGCTGCACGACGGTGGTGAGGGCGAGGGCCCAGACGGGGACGCCGAGCCGGGGGTTGACGCGGCTCCACAGGGGCGAGCCTGGGATGGCCTTGTCGCGCGCGAAGGCCCAGGTGCAGCGGCTGGCGGCGACGGTGATGCTGATGCTGCAGAAGACGGTGATGGCGAGGACCAGGAAGGTGAGGCCGAGACCGCCGCCGGGGGTGCCCATGACGGTGTGGAAGATGTAGGGGAGGGCTTGGGCTTGGGGGGCCTCGAGGATGTCGGCTAGTGGGGGCAGGGTGAAACAGATGGGGAGGATGAAGAAGAGGCCTGGTTTACCGGGTTAGTAGGCACTTGATGTGTGAGTTGGGGGTTGAGGTATTCAGACCTGCAAAGCCACCGACGGGGACGCAGAGGGAGATAGCCCAGGGGACTTTAACTGTCGGGTCGGCGCACTCCTCAGCCATGGAGGAGATCATGCCGATCGCAGAGAAGGTGTATGCTGCGGGAAGCAGGCCGATGAAGAAGGTGAAGCCACCCCAGCCTGAGAACGACTCATCGTAGTGTCCTAGGGCGTAAGCCGCGCTATGCCTCCCGGCGTCGGCCTTGACGGACAGGGCGATGAGGATAACAACGATACTCAGAGCTGTCCACGCTGCACAGATCGTGTCGACCATGGGCAGATAGCGGTTGGCGAATGTGCATATCAGGAAACTGGCCAGGCACACGGCATAGAATATGAGCAGCAGCTGCCAGTCAGAGGCCGCCCAGTCCGGATGATACATGGCGGCTGTTGCCGCGAGCAGGGACGCGAGCCCGAAGTTCACGCTGAGGGTGATGGTCCAATTGCCGATGAGCCACGTCCAGCCGGTGATGAACGACAGCACCGTCTTACCCCTCGAAGCAATCTGGAATGACCAATAGTATGGGCCGGCGGAGGTTGGGTATCGAGACGCGAGTTCGCCCAGGGAGATGGCGATGCATTCGTTCAGGACCAGGACGACGATCCAGCCTACGAAGATTGACAGAGGCCCACCTCCGTATATAGCGGAGATCAATGGGCCTCCTTCGCCGTATGGAATGGCTGCAATCGCCAGCGATTGGAAGAGGAGGGTCGTCATGGATCGATTGCGCTGCAGCTCGGGTTTGTATCCGAGGATGGCGAGCGCATCGGCCTCATTGACGCTGCCGAGTCGGTGGGAGGTTGTGTCGACGCCGGCGTCTGGAGTTGACTCTCCAGACGAGACCTTCTTCTCGAGGTCGACCATGGTTGATGGGTCTGCTTGGTGGACTTCCTGTGGTACAGAGGAGAAAGAGAGGTGGCCGAGGGATAGTGGGAAGTCTATATCAGACCCCAGCAGGCTGTCACGAGGAGATTGCCACGAGTTGTTATCGAGGGGCCTGCGTTGTTGGACTACGCATCATGCCGTGGTACATTGTCGAGTACGCGTTCCACCCCCGCACCCAGGCTGGATCCAGGTACCAAGCATTCGGGTCTCCATGTTTCTTATCGAAGCTTGGTTTGCTTCACCCTAAGGAGTCAGCTTACCGCAGCTGCGATAGGCTGCTTGAACGAATCCCTGTCACGGGGGGTGCGATTGTGGGTAAGTTTCCCTGATGCAGCAGGGCAGTTTATCGACAGCCAATCGCGTTGTTGAATCTCACTGGAAAGATAACCTAGATGGGCATGGTTCGGGAAAGGGGACGTCGCTGTGGCTGGCAGCCGATGTGCGCCACAATCGTCGCCAGCCTGGGCTCGCATCTTACGGAACACCGTGATAGATCGTCTTCGAAAGCCATAAAATCACATTTCGATTGCGTCGATGTTTGAGTAGGAGCGATCATGTTGACGCCAAGGTTCATCAGCGCCGATGTCCACGCGGAGCAAGCGAGGCCGTTCTTGGCGGTATATCAACGTTATCAGCAGTGGCGTTGATCATCCCAAGCTCACTGATAAGGACCGAAATAAGAGCGCAAGCTGTTCCGCAAAATGGCATGGGCTCGGATGCTTTTAGATCCCAACCATGGAAGCGAGTGTGGTCCAGAAGGGTTGGGACGCCTGTGACAAGACAGATACGTTGTTTGTACTTGTATGCACCGTGTTTTGCTGGACTATTATCCCAGCCGTTGGTTTAGGTGAGTTGTTCGTGAACAAATCTAGGACGAAGCTAATCATAATGCAGGATACTCCGGATATTCGACCCGACGGAGTGGTCTGGCATCTTTCATTCCATCTGTGTACGTTGTTTGCGTCTGCACCATACAATGGTGGCTCATCGGCTACACGCTGGCATACGGCGAGGGCTCAGGCGTGATTGGAGATTTCAAATATGCCTTCCATCGCAGTGTGCTGGCCGAGCCAGTCGGTACGATCCCAGCACTGCTGTTCAGCATGTTCCAGCTGGTGTTTGAGGCGACAGTGTGTGCCATTGCAGTAGGCGGAGCATGCGAAAGGGGCAGAATTGCTCCTTTGATACCCTTCATCTTTGTGAGTAAAAGGGGCTGCAGCGTCTGAGTGGGAGCGCTAATAATCTTTATAGTTATGGTCCACATTTATCTACTGCCCACTGGCGCATATGGTATGGGGTGGAGGCTTCTTGTCTGAGCTCGGCGTCCTTGACTTTGCAGGGGGCACACCTGTCCACATATGCTCCGGTGCCACAGCCAGTGCGATCAGCATCTACTTGTCATATCCACTGGCACGGTCCAGGAAATCCTCTGTGCGGACTCCCTCGCACCTAAGGCTCCATCGGCCACACAACTCACTCAGTCAACTACTCGCCATGATCATCATTTGGGGAAGCTGGCTAGCATTTGACGCAGGAACTACCCTGAGCTTGAATTTCCTGTCCATCAACGCGTTGGCAGTCACAAATCTGTGTGCCTCAGCTGGCGCCATCACCTGGGCATCGATGACCTACTTCGAAACGGGCAAATGGTCTTTGGACTCCACATTCATGGGCGCAATTAGTGGCTTGGTCATGATAACGCCTGCTGCTGGGTTCATCGACGTCCCAACGTCTTTCTTCTTCGGCGTGTTCGGAGCCGTCATCTGTCGACAGGCGCTGCGGATCAAGTTCACAAAGTTTGCCGCCAGATGGAGATGGGTCGACAATGGAGACACATTTGCAACTCATTGCGTGGGAGGCTTTGTCGGGACTATTGCGACAGGGTTGTTTGCTCAGAAGTCTGTAGCAGCATATGGCGAAGTCGAGGTTGATGGGGGCGTGTTCTTCGACGGAAACGTCCGACAGTTGGGTGTTCAGATTGTAAGTGGTGTATCTTGTGACTAGGAGATATCGGTGACACTAACAGTCACATAGGTCGAGGCTTTGGTCGGTTTCACCTGGTCATTCGTCGGATCGTTTATCCTTATAGCCTTGGTCGACTGCATTCCAGGCTGCGAAGTTTTAGCTGTGGACAGGTGAGTGAATGATGCACGGCTCAGTACGTTGCTAATTCTCTCAGTGATGTTAACTCCGGTATGGATGCGGCGCAGATGGATGAAAGCCTATATGAAGCTCAATGGGAGGGCGAGGAAGACTATAAGCCATTGGCTAACGGGAATATTCACTTGGACTAATACAGTAGAGAAACAAGGGGTGTTTCTCTGGCACTCGGTAAGATCTACCACTCTCTAAGGGGTCCTGTGAGAAATATTGGTGTCCTCTCAAATGAGGAAAGAGCCCGCCAGTGGCCACCGCTGGGAGCTCCATGTTGCCACCGTACTCCAAGCCCTGTTGAACAAGGGGTGCGAAATACCCAGAACTCATGGAATCTCACCACTACAACTCCTGGCTACTAATTAAAGGAAGTGACTTGAACTGTACTAAGCTTTTATTGAACATGTCATCTGCAACACCATATTCAGTCGCTACTGTTTCCAGAACGCTGCCACGATTTCAGCAACATCGTGCTCTCTTTCCCTTACAAAAGAATGATCTCCTCCAGAAACCACCGTGACATCCTCGATACCCAGCTCCACTAGCTGCTCTTTGCTAGCAACGGGATCATCTTCTGCCAGCGCTGCCATTTTCTTGAAAGGCAGCCGCGCAAATTGCCGAAAGCGTTCCTCGATTCCCATACAACCACCATCTCGGAACATGCTTAGCACACTATACGGATAACCTTGGTGGTGCTGCAATTCCCAATGTCTCAAGGCTTGAGCAACAACTTTGCCTTGCTCCGACTCGGTACGCCAATTCTCGGGCACTATCAAGGGACCGCCTTCTAGCCATGAAAGAACGACTTCCCGGGCTTCTTCCTCCCTGTCCTTAGAGTCCTTCAAGAGTTCTTGCATATGGCTTGGGATAAGTGACATACTCATGATACCGGCAGGTGCGAGGAGCGCAACTGACTCTGCCAACCAAGGGTTGTTAATGGCAAAGCTGACAGCCGTCGAGCCGCCGAACGAGTAGCCGATGATATGCGCCGAGGTCCATTTCATATATCCCAGCACCTGTAAGATCTGCAAGTGGAAGATATGTGGTGTGTGTGCCAGCAGTGGTGTCGATGACAGACAGTGACCCCAGAGATCAAACATCACTATATGTGCATCTGGTTCTATTTCCCGTAGTTCTTTTGCCAGCGGCCACAAGCCCAACGCAGGAGTGTTCAGGCCATGGATGAAGAGGACTCGGCGTTTGACTTGCCCCGTGGAGGGGAAAAGGTTGTAAACTGCGGTTCTCCCGAGATCTGAGGTGAGGAACTGTGGGTCTGGAAAAGCATCTCCGAAAGTCTCTATGAATGATTGGTGGGTCGGCGCTTCGACAATGCTGGTATTTTCCAGCAACATTGGTCGAGGAAGATTGATGTCCACAGGGAAGTTTCCTTTGATGCCCGCCATTTTGTGTCTTGTCTAACGTCTGCAACGGTTTCTCGCAAGAACAAATGGGTTTATGTGTCTTCCCTCGATGTTACATCCAAGGAAATCGAAGGGTGGGTTTCTGTGTATGGATTTGATAATTTGTCAGCCAAGCCGGGAGTCAGGCGTCCTAGCTGTAAATTCTCATAAAATGGCGTGAATTTCGAGGAAAGGGCTTTATTGCGGCAACTAAGGTACATGCAGAACGATCTCAGTGCTGTAAGCTGGCTTGAGGCATTCTTTGCAGCACTTCGGAAATTATCGCAAGACTTGACTCTGTACTATGACTCCGCCGATATCTGCTGGGCAGGCCCGCGCTGAAGGACAATGTAGAGGTTCATGGAGAAACTCTTTCTCGACTTTGGAGCAACTATCTGATATACGGAGCTTTGCTCAGTGCTGTTGCTTGTGTCGCCCAGATGTGTCTTCCCATTTGTACATACGCTTTGCCGAAGACTTCCAAGACTGCGGCGGCATCAGAGCCGTTCTCCTGAACAGCTTGTCGGTATTCCTCAGCCGTGCCAAAGGTTGCGACTTTCCACTGTTGCTTCCAGGTAGCAACCATATGGACAGCCAGCGGATGGTTTGACTGTATTTTCGTGGCAACAGCGTAGAATGACGATCGCGTGGCATGATATTTGGGTGACTTGAAGAGCTGAACCTCCGAAAATTGATGAAGCTTCTGGAGCAATTGCAGGTTTTCCCATGCCTCTAGCTTATGCAACAGAATCACAATTGTTCCGCCTGGCCTGACGTGCTCGAGTCCGAGAGACAGCTGCACAAGGCTGAGACGACGTGCTTCTCGTGCTTCTCTCCATGGGGAACGTTGGTGAGTGCGTAGAACTTGACCGTCGCAGAAGACGAGATCGAACTTGTCGCCGTCGGTGAGTAGCTTTTGCAGACGAAAGTCACCCGCATCGGGATGCGCACTTGGAATATCGGCTTCGATGACCCCCATATCACCGCCGAGCATAGTGATATCCGTAAAGGTCACATCAAGTTTGTCGCTCTCTACCAGGACTTCATGCCCGCCTTGTTCGACGGGTAAGCTAAACCCTCGTGCGATGGCGACCCGTTGTGTCTCGAGCACAAACGACACGAATCCTCCTGGTGCCATACACAAGTCAAGCACGTCAATAGGATGGCCTTGAGGGTAGATTTGGAAAGCGCCGGTCTTATCATGTAGCTGCTTCGCGATCGCTTTCATCATGCCATAGAAGTATCTTGCCGTCTTTGTATCTGCTTTGTCTGCGTTTTTCCGCTGGTTTCGAAAATGCTCATCACCTTGGGGATTCGCCCAACCCTATGGACAAGAAGTCATACGTCAGGCACAAAGACGACCAAACTTTCCCATGGCATACTCACTTTAGCTCTCAACTCTCCTAAATAGCAGAACTCCTTGACATGCTCCCGCAGATATGCGGTGACAGCTGTTTTCGCCCAGATTGACTCGGAGTTGGTGGTCTTATCGGGTCTTGTAGCGACCTCATCTGCGCTAACTTGCGGAACAAGATTCATGGTCTTCGGAGGGACAAAGCTGTGTCGTCAGTTCTCCTGGTGTGCTGCCGTCAAGGTGATTCAAGGTACAGTATACAATCGCGAAACGACAATCAGGCATTCAACTTGTGATTCAGATCTTATTGAAGTGCTCTACGCTCGTTTCCTCGATCTATCAATTGATGCCACGGCAACCGTGCCACGTCACCCGGCGCCAGCTTGTCTAGCTTCGCATGCGCCCAGCTGATGTCGTCCCTCAATACGAACTTCCCTACCTGGCCTTAGCTGTGGAAAATACGCTAGTCTGCCGCAATGCATCTTAGCGTCTCTCAGACTCAATTAGTAGGCCAACAACCGAGATGTGCTGTACAGTTGATATCGCAAAGCCTCATAGACTGTTGTATTGGTCGGGGACCCCGCCATCAGGCTAACGCCTTGTTCAGGCGTAAATGCGACAGTTCTGTCTGCTCGATCCTTCGAGCACAGCTTCAGTCTCTTGCATGAGGCGAATACTGTTTTGCGATGGCTGATTTGATACACGTAAGGGGAATTTTCACATTCTCTGCTCCCGTCACTGAAACATTCGACCACGGGTCTTGACAACCAGTTGAAGGTATTCATTGAAGCGTAGGAACTATATGTTTACCTCTATACACTAGTCAAAGAGCGTCATCCCTGCCGTAGCTGAATCCAGACCAGAGGTGGAAACATATGAAGTAGGAAATGACACTGAGTACCTCAGTGCCACCTCTACAACTTGGTGCTGGGCAACCCTTGTTCACCCAGGGTCAGCCGTAATTACAGTATATAGACACCGCCATGAATGAGCGACGAGGCTAGGGTGAAGAAAGCTTCTTGCAGCCACACTACACGTAGTCCTGGTCAGTCGCTCTAGATCATGGTAGGGATGTGTGGTGAGGAGAGGAGCGGGCGAATCTTTCCGAGCCCACTGCTCATGTACAAGGTCTCGGTTTGACAAACTTCTGTTAGGCCGCGCGTGTAGCTACGGGACAGGCCCGTGAGATCCTCCTTCTTACCATAAATCTTAGGCTTGTGCCATATCATTATGTCGGAGCATCACTTTTCTTCAACTTCTCACCCGCAGCTACGCTATCAAGATTTTCATCCTGTTTCGGGCCAACGATGGATGAGATTGACGGATTCTTCTCTAGTTATCCTGAGTTTGACTACGACAGGTCAGCATCGTCCCCTCGAGAGTTCTATCGTATGTGCGATCAATTCGGCTGGCGCAAGGACAAGGATGGCCTTTACCCACGAGAGGGACAGACCGCGCATGCCGAGTTTAGAAAAGCTATGGTTAGGGGTTTCAACAGCGGCTTCGGTGTTGATGTGAACAGCCCAGCTGCTTGGGAAAGCATGTGTCATCTCCTTCGTATTTCACCCGTGCCGGATACGCTGCAAGGCATGAGGGATGTACGATCATTCATAGCCATACATCGATCCAAGGTACAGGCTGACTGAGCTTGCAGGCGGTCAAATCGATATACGTGAATCTTTCTGATTTATTGGACGGCCGCCGGTCAGGGACGAGGATCCGCACCTTCGATACCCGAGAGGAACTCGCTGCCTACACGATTCGTGAGGGGCGGATCTTCCCCAAGAAAGAAGCGTACGCCGGAGGGATCTTAAGATATCTACTTAGAGAGATCACTGGAACATATGAAGTCCGCCGGGCTGACGCCACCCGAGGTGGCAGAGGAAGGAGCGGCAGAGGCAGAGGCAGCGGTGGAAAGAAAAAACAGTAACTCTCTTTCGAACACAAGAATGAGACTCGATGATTATGTTTCCCTTCGACTCTGAAGCGACGGTAGAATCTCGCGAGGCGGTCCAGGCGGGCTGGAATGTTTAGAGCAATGCTGGAAATCATTCTACGGACCACGAAAAGGAGGGGAAATGTGAAGCATTGGAGGCTTCTCTCAATAGCTACTGGGCTGATAAAAGAGTGACATCTTCCGAAATTTGAGTCGTACGACCCACCATGATTGCCACAAACATCTCAATCCGAAAGCGAGACTGTTCTTCAATCACTACTTTTTGCCAGATACTTGGGCCTGAGATGTAGCCTGGGCATTGCTACCAGATTCCCTACCGCTGTTGGTGTTTCGGTCGCCCGCAGATTGAGCTCGGGAAGCGAAGCTGGAGGATGACATGTCATTGCCGCCCTTGGCCTGGCCGCTGTTAGTTTGGCGTTCGGAACGAAATAGCCCGTATAACCGACCTGAGAGCTCTGGACTCTTGAAGATGCGTCTTTCGTCATGGGAGTAGGCATCTGTGCGTGTGTTGTTGACTTGAAACGTTGGTAGAACGGTTTGGCTAAACTTGTATTGAAGGCCGTTTATCTCGAGGTGATGACAACAAGGTACAGATTGTAGAGGATATTATCCACCATATATAGGCCGGAGACCTCTGAATTCCCGTGACTTCAGACTTGAGGAGACAAGTTCAAGTCAGCGTCTCGCGTCGAAGGAACGAGACATCCTACATCAGCCGCTGCAAAGAAGAGGAAAGTACGGACGTTTGTCCACCTTTTGGAAGCGTTGTGTTCTAGACCCATACCACAATGATGATGTGCGTATCACATCCACACCTTTGTTGGTTGGTGAGCTTCATGAATTTGTTTCGATCTGATTCCCGTCGCCAGGTTCAGCATCGAAGGCCTCAAATTCTCATGCTTAATCGTGAGTTCAGCAGCATAATGTGCCACTGAATGTCGAAGCTGCCGACAAGGCTATGGCCTGAAGTCTGGTCTCAGGGTATCTAGGCCATGAAGTTCTTCCAGCCAATAAGGATCCATGTCTTTGCCATGCCGAGAGCAGAGCTAATGTATGCAGACACACAAGAAAGGTCGACAAATAACATGTGATGTCTCCAGAGACTTTCTGAAAAGTCGCTGATTACATCTCGGTACGGACAAGGCGAGACCTGGAAAAGGACCCTGCATAAAAACAGGCTTGTCCAGCAAACTGCGTTCATTCGCTGCCTCAACATTCTCATTCGCTCTGCCTGAAGGTTTCATGACCCATTCCAGGACTCAGCACAATCCTGCTGATATGTCTGGTGATTGTGTCGATCTCCTCCATGGTTCTCTCACGTTGCTGTTGGACAACTGACAGCTGATCCTTGTCTTCTTTCACATGCTGTCTCCTCAACTCTAGTGCATGGCTGATTTGAAAGTACTGCTGCAGTAGCCGACCGCACGCCAGTTCGCCGTTGCGAATCACTGACTGCAACTCTTGTTCTTTGCTCGAATGAAATTCGTGTCGTTTGCGAAGTTCCTCGATCTGAGAGTGCAGGCTTACAAGTGTCGACGATAGGTCTTGATTGCGGTAACTGACAGCTTCTGGAGCCCTTTGAACATCATTTTCTGAGGAAAGCGGCGTCTCATGGGTTTCCTTCTGCAACGGAACTCGTGAATCTGGAACGAAGCATCAGCAGTCGCATCTCTAATGATCTGTCATCCGAACCATTGATAGATGAGCTCACTGATTGAGGAGGTTCTACTTTCAAGGGCGTTTTTCGATCGCATGAGCCCGGACCTGCAGTTATGCGGGTTGCGCAGGTATTGGGACTTTCGAGCCTGTGCTGTACCTTTGGTGTGAGTGTCGATGTGCTCTGGAATCAGCCACAACACCTGCACTCACATTTGGTCTCTGTCGCGGCCCTTCCATCGCAAAGAATCGTGGCTAGACAGTGATGAAGTCAATACTAGTATGTAGTTTCTTGGATTTTTAAAAAGGCAGAGAAATTTCTGGCATATATCCCTGGCGAAGAACCCAATGATATTGGTGAAATGCCATCCGAGCTAAGCCACCAGCGTCATTTTAGCGTTCGCCTGTTCATTGGAGTGAGTGCACCCGTCGGTTCCATCGGAAAGATAGAGTCTTGAGCGGCAATTTTGCGGTTCTTCGGTCTACGATTGCTGCGTAGACGTCTCAAATCACTCCGGATTGCACAAATGCGAGCCATTTCACCTTCACTCTATGTTACATACGCAAAGCATTTGAACTTGTATCTGGTGCAACAATGTCATCTGAATCGTACCCTGCCAACGAGATCCGGCAAAGTATCGCTGATGTATGAGAGAAGTTTTCCGCGCCTAGGATCTATAGGCTAAGCTTGGCAGAGGATTTCCATTCGAGTTCAACAAGACGTGGACTGGATCCTGAGCCTTTACCACTCGTGTGGCGCCGAAGGAGAGTTCCTCCATGAACAGCTGACACGATACCTGTTCTACCTCAATTATTCTGTGAAACGAGGTGCACTTAACGCGGGTGTTCTCTTCGGTCAAGGTGGCGAAGGATGTGAACCCGATGCGGCCTGCTCTCAGCCAGAACGGAGTCGAAGACTAGAGGCGTGCTTGGGTCTGCAATCGACCGGAATCGACGGATTCGGATCGAATGTGGGAGGTAGCAACATGATGATGATACCTGATGACACTCACACGCTGCACAGTCACGAAGAGTCTTTACTTCCAAGCGTCGATAGTCCCGGATGTGCGTTGCCAACGGACCATGCTTATAACGGATCCTTGCATAGCACCCTGGCCATGTCTTGGACGGGCGTCCATGAACAACAGATTGATCAACCATCACAGGCGTTCGACGGCGTGTGTACCTCTGACGGTCGGTCCATACTCCATCAGGAGGATGAAGTTCACCTACCTACTTCGACCATAAATCCATCATTACTTGACATGAGGTCAGCTGGTCTCGCAGGAAAATCTCAGCAGAGATACGATACCATGAACCACTCCAAGAAGAGGAGTTTGAAACGGTTGAGGATATCAGACCAAGACGAGAGAACCCGCTCCACTGGTGTCACAGAGTTCCAATATGTCGGTGGGCTGCAGAGAACGCCTACGAAAGCACCTACAACGGCAGTAAGAAGTCTGTACACGGCGATCGAAAGTGAAGACTGGCAAAGCAGGCTGAAATCGATGGCTACCTCATGTGCTGGCTCAAATCAAATGAACATGAGGCCGGTCTCTATGGCATTGGACGCAGTCGTCAAAACTTTGCACGGGTTGGAGACCGTACAAGAGTACATCGCTCTGATGAGACGACTCGTCTTGCTTCGCTTGGCACATCATTACCTTACTTTCTACAATCTACTGAAAGATGATCATTGCGAGCGAAGAGCCCATCGTGAAAGAACTGGTGGCAAGCTGGAAGTTCGAGTGCTGGATTCCATGATAGTGGCGGCGTTTCCCAAAGTTGGAACTCCGCCTAATGTTGCTGGGCAACCACTAGACGACTGGCGAGCGCGGACGCAGAAAGAGCGAAAATCAATCTCAAATCAACTCCGGGTAGCCAAACACTGGAAAGCCGCCGTCGACTCGTTAGGAATGGGCGGAATAGCTCTATTCCCGGCAAAAGGGGAGGTGAACAGTACCACGTAAGTCAAACGTCTCCCCACACTATCGAGTCTGACCGATTTTATGGGTTCGAAACACTTTCTGATGATCAAACTGAGAGGCTTTTGACCTCGATCAAACATACAGACCAGGGTCGATTAGCAGAGATTGCAAAAAGCTTTGCTCCTTTTGTGGAGGACCTCAATGAAGGTCGACGCCCAAAGACTATCGATTCGGCGCTTTGAGTTCGTCTATTCACTGGAGTGCTGGTGTGCTAGCCTGTGCAACCTGGAAGATGAGCGGCCTTGTCTCGAGTAGCTTTTGCAATTATGCATGGCAGTTTGCGGAAAGAGCAGAACTAACCCCCTAAAATAACTCTGAAATATCACCATGTCCTATCAGGCGCGTTCGACGATGAGGTTAAGAAGTGCAAACCTATCCTAGCCTCAATCTGTGTACCTCTCGTGCCGCCTTTCCCTCCTTTGTCGTTCCTCTCTGAGTGCCTCTTCGACATCGGTCAGGCCTTCAAGGCGACCATGAAACGTATCATGACCCTGTCCAATTTGATTTCCACCCTCTGCAATATGTGTGCCAAAGTGGAAGGAGAGAACGGCGACCTGACAAGATGTCAGCCTCATATGTTCAAGCGACTTCAAGACGCTGACCACCAAGAGCTCAACCAATATGCTGGCAGCGGTGTCTTTAATAGCTGTGGCCAGCATCTCACGTTGTATCAATGGGGCACAATAGGTCGAGTACCCGGACGTTTTTTGGCAGGTACCAGCTTCAATATCGCGTGAGGGAAATGGCGAAGCGCGATCGCGCATTGAGTTGAAACCACAGCAATGCAATTGGTCCTGAATCGAACTTATGGCGGCTTCGTTCTTAGATCGAAACAAGCGACTCCATCGTAGTTCCGTACTGCAACTCCTGCTGTCGCTAGGGAATCCAACGGTCCCGGAGATAGCTGCTAGAACAACCGGTATGACCAACAGAACATAGGAAGCAAGAGACACCACTGGCCTCCTGCGAGCGTTCTGCGCAATATCGGTGTTGGCCAGCGCGTAAGATAGCGCCACAGTCGCAATGAAAGACAGGATATTACCCAGTGCGATGACAATACTGAGCGGCAAGAGCAATTTATGCACACATATTATCGACCATCTGCAGGTTATGAGCCAGACATGTGGACCAGGTAACGAGAGCTTACATCGATAGAGCCAAGATGACCCCCCCAGGCTGCGGATGTTATTCAGCAGATGAAGACAAGACGGCGATGGGACGTACAACAACCATGGCGAAGGACAAATGTTTTCCGAGCATCTTCAAAATCTCACTAAGAAGCGAAGGGTGAGGTACGGGGGATGAACTTGTTACAAAAGTCCATGTACCCAACATGAACTGTCTAGGTACGGAAGTCTCTGTAGTCGCAGTAGCTAGAATGACATTTTGCGGACTGTCAACGCCAACGAACAACAGCAAGAAGATGATGGAGAGTTATAGTTCGTGTCAAGCCGCCTTAGAGTGATGTCACTTCAACTCTGGTAGACCGGTCAAGAACAGGAGCGGGGACACTGCATGATCAATACGTCGTACACGTGTCCCCCTTCATATGGAGATATCATGCTCGCTCATACGCATGTATTTCTCTGCATCTGATTGGAAGATACCAATCGGTATCTGCAAGTGGTCAGAGGCGACCCCGGGACTTGGCTGCTAGCCATCAGCGACAAACGCAAGTGGCCGAACAAGATTCGTTAGACCTCCTCGCCGCCGTATTTATAGCCTTGTTGACTAGATCCGTCTCCGCAAAACATTGCACCATGGTGGTGAGAGTTTTTACACCTTTTTGTCTGGAACATGGCGAGGATTTGGATCAACAGTAAGGCAAGTCGCCATGAATCATAGAGCTTGTCTATATTTTGGGCGTCATTCCGATCTGATACGATGTTAGCATATTCTTCAATGCCTACACATTGGATGCGTACCTGACTCTGCGAATTGGCTGCGACGCTTCCGATGTACCACGAACACGACAAGCTGCATGATTCCTAGTACAGATGCGAAAATTCCAAAGGCTATTGAAGTAATGACTTCTGGTGACTTTGCAGACGCCGACATATTCTGAATTTTGTTTGTGAAGAGTTACTGTGGTATCAGCAGCACCATGAGACCAACATAGGTATTTAAAACCCCCTGACGATGTCTTCTGAGGCAGCAGAACGACATACACGGCGCATGTCCTGCCTTTGACAATCATGGTGCGGATGGCAGTGTAACAGCACGACTGCCAGCTGCAGAACTCCTATGTGTTAAGCAGTTCATCATTCATTGCATGGTCCTGGAGTGATTATACTTGGTCTCGACATACAAGGTGCCAAAACATGATGCAGGTATCTGTCGGGGCTACAAGCACCATGAATGTCAATTTCAGTAAGAATCAGATCGTTGCCAACCTTGCTTGCAGGGGATGGAGAACATCACTGATTGGGCTCTTGGAGGATGTTTCTGCCAAGCTGACATGACATTCATGGTGCTATTGTGGCTGGCGTAGATGCGATGGAGGAAAGATCTCCCTCTCGCCTCTTGAGGCTCTTCACTGCAGTCAGCATGTGTCGGCAGAGTACCCCGCCCCACCCTTACCTACCCAAAGGTACCCTGTGCGGTGCGCTTCTTGAGGACTTCCCCGCAGCCACGAATCGTAGCCTAGCATGCTTCCGGCCAGGGCCAAGATGCTTTTTGTCATTACGACTATCATTGGCCAGGACGTCCAGCATATACGAATGTGGCCGACAGCCAGTTTGACATTCAAGGTGCGCCAAGCTTGCACAGTCCAGAAGCGCGAATGAAGCCCAGCGTCCGACTCGAGAGCCTTCCTCTGGGAAGAGGCTCCTATGTCTTATTCACGCAGTGGTTCATTTGCTCCGGTAACGTCCTCCCCAACCGCCATCCACCCAGCCAGGACAAGCATTTATCACTGCAGGTAGACTGGCTGTAGATCGAACCGCTTGATCTCACTCAAATCAATGTTCTTCTCGCCCGCTTCCCTTGCCCTTTGGATCTTCTCCTACGACTTTAAAATGTCTCCACGCATGATGCCTTGGACACAACAATCTCCGACGATCGAGTGGCACCGCTGCAAACCCTTGTCAGACAAGAAAGCCTCGCTTCCGCGTCGGAGCACGAAAGGAGTCCTGCTGCCGAGCGGCACGTAGATGCCATCTCCGCGTTGTATGCCTGGCGGCCCAACGCCGAAGTATCCTTTTGGTGTGATGAAGAAACGCTTGCCCAGACAATTCGATATTATAGCCTTGTTGAGGCCCCTGACTGCAGCTTCTTCAATGCTCTTCGATCGTCAGTACTGGCGTAGGCTCATGTGTTGATTATTCAGGACCCAATCTTCCCAGCTGCGGAAGATGTCGAAATCTCCGTCCTCGAGGCCATTGTAGGCGCCATCTCCCATGCCCATCTCCAGGATGAAAACCGGCCGCCTGTCACCGTGCGGATGCCGGAACCACTTCACACCGCCGCAGATGGTGTGCATGAAGGCTTCGTCGAACGAGCCGCCACCGAGTGAATAGGCATCCGGCATGAAACATTTGAGAGTCTTAGCCATGGAGGACCAGTCCTTGAAGACGTTGGCGGATGAGAGCGTCTCTGTCAGGACGCCTTTCGCCTGCCTGTCGGCCTGGTGGTATGGAGCTGGCAGTCCATACCCTACGATCTTTGTCAACACCTGCAGGCTGCTTGTCCACTTATCCTTCAATGCGATTGGCAAGGAGAACAAAGGGAATATTGGGGGCGTCCGATGCGACTGTAGGCAAACTGAAATATGTTTCTATACCGGCCCCCGTAAGTGCGGTTGTAAGGGGGCATTTTGGCTTTAGAGGTGATGACACGAGTTTCCGTGAACCTTCTAACGAGCAAGCACAAGCAAGCGTGAAACAAGTCAGAGGATTGAGTCGCTTAGGTCTACGTGAAAGACAGGCCCTAAGACTCGTGCGGTTAACGATACCGTGTTATTCCAGCCCTTCTCATTGCAGCGAAGTTGGCTTCGGGTGAGCCACACTGACCAAGCATGTCACACTCCCACTCGACTAATATCGAGTTCGACTCACCAGCACATACCATCTAAAACACCATCCGGGGCCTACCCGCGAAGTGTAAGATGCATCAGGTGATGCATATGCAATCAGACCACGCGAGTATCCAAAAACGGCAACGAGGAATCTCGCTTCAGAAATCCACAGGGCTGACAGTGTCGTCGTGATTGGCGGTACACGAACAGTACATTACCATCGGCCAATAAGGTCGATAGAACAACAAGTGGGACCCAGAGTATCGCCTGAGGATACAAAGCTTTTGAGCATGTTGAAGAACAAATCAGTCCACCCTCCATCAACCCACCAGCGAGCGGTCCCAATCCCTTGCCGCGGGGCCAAAAGAGCCAGTCATACAAAATGGTTCGGTGCAGCACCGCAACTCTCAGCATACCTATCAGCGACCGACGAAAAGCCACCACCCACACTCGTTACAACAGTCGCCCCAAGCACAGACACGCACATCAACCTGCACAATCGTCCTAGCCCCCACCCTTTCCTCCCCCATCACCGGTGTACAACCACTGTAAAACAACAACCAACCCCACCCAAAAACCACCACCCTCAAAAACACTTTTTCCACACCAACCATGAAATTCACCCTCGCCCTCCCGAGCCTCCTCTCACTCCTGTCTCTCGCGCTCGCGACACCTGTCCCAGCACCAGCACCTGCGCCAGCACCAGTCCCAGCTCCCGTGCCCGCACCAGAACCCAACTTCCGCATCGGCGAGTACAACAACGCCTGCTGTGATGCGTGGGGCGGCATCACCTGGTGCGAGGGTGGGGAGAAACCGAATTGTCACGTCAACTAGATCGCAACGTACCTTCAGACGCAGGGAGGCCTTTTCGATGATGGGAGTTTATGCTGGGGAGAGCGACTGTTTTATCCACGAGTTTACTTTGATTTGTTTTGTTTTCATGGGAACGGCAAATGTCTTGGATCATTGTTTGGGCGAGCCCGTTATGCGTGCTGGCTTGTAGACTGGTATCGGCATACCGTGATTGCTTACCGAGCTGAGCTGATGCTTCGGGGAAAGGAATTTGCCGCTAGGCATGGGGCGGCGCGGTACACGCCCTCTAGGCCCTTGCTTACGGCGTTATGCCGTTGTATAGATCTATGGGAGAGTGGACGTGCTGGGTGTTGTCGAGGATTACCATTAGCCTCGAGGTTCGGCTGGATTTGACGGCGGGTCAGTTTCAGGAAGCCTTGCGAACATTTCCGAGAATGCTAAAGCAGATTTTGACGACGTTGTTCGGGAACAGCCTATACCAAGACCGCTGTATGTGAAGATGTTGCAACCTTGCATTCACCGTTAATATTGCCTTTCGTCACCTTGTCCCTCGATATCGGCTGGCATCTTACGTGGCCGTAGAGGCCAGTGCCGACCAGTGGTCAAGCATGGACCGAGAGAGACAATCATGGCGGCCTGTGCTCTGTCAGCCAAACTCCCCCATCGGCCTTGTGCAGCTATGGACTATTTGTAGTCGACTCGCCGCGTGAACTGGTCCCGCCTGGACGCTAGCCATCAAGAACTGTGAATCTCAAGCCTGGAGCAACACGATAGCTTTCCAAACACCGTTTTCGATGAGACCAAATCCCCCACACGTCTCACAGCTCACCATGGACCTCACCCATACTGACCCTCTGCTTCACTGACTTCTCCGGGACCCTCCCAGCACCCGCGCCCCTAGGCTGCGGCCACAAATCCAACACAGCCTCTTCCCCCACAAGCTCATATTCCCACGCCACCACACTCGGCTCATCCAGCAGCAAACGATACTTCCCCGGGAACAACACTTGGTTCCCGCTCTCATCGTGCCTTGCCAGCCCGCCCAGCGACACCTGCAGGTCCACAGCCTGCGAGGCGCCCGCGGTGATGCCGTGCAGCCGATCGTACGCAACCAGTGTCTTGCGTGGGTACGGCTGCGGGCCGAATTCACCGGCGATGAAGGCTAGGGCGACGAAGTCTGATGATGTGGTGCCGGTGTTGGTCACCGTGGCGGCGAGACCGTTGCTTCTGCTGTCGCTTTTGTTGTTAAAGGGGTGGAAGGGACAGAGATCGAGCGGCTTGCTTGTGTCGCATCGCGCTATGAGATCTGCGATGGCGAAAGACGTTGGCAGCGTAGCTGGGCTGTCGAGCGACATGGAGAAGGTCGTGTAGTGCAAACCATAGCCAAAGGGCAATGTGGCATTGTCGTACCAGCGGTACGTACGGCCTGGCTTGCCGGTCCGTGGGTCAGGTCGTAGTGCCATGTCTGTCATATCAATGCTGTAGACGTATTCCGTCGGATACTGCGTGACAGGCAAGCGGCCCGCTGGCGCAGCTTTGCCTGTGAGGATATTGGCGAGGGCCTCGCCGCCCGCCTGGCCGCCGTAGCCCGCCCACAGCACGGCGCTGACGCCATCGTCGCGCAGATACGGCCCGTTGTCGCACTGTTCGCCCATGTTGATGACGACGATGGGGATGCCTAGGCCGCTCAGAGAGGAGACCACATCGGACATCTCGCCGTGCCATTCGAGGAGGTCGCGGTCGACGGTCTCCATGGCGTCCTGAAGGCGGTTGCCGTCGGCGATGACGATGACGTCCGGTTTAACAGTCTGGACAAACTCATATTTGGAGCGCTGCCAGTTTGCCGTGAGGATGGTGGCGTTGTCGAGGGCCTGGAGGGCTTCGAGCGGGGACTTGATGGACTTGGCGAGGCCCTGGTAATTGCCCTGCATCTCGACGGTGGCGTTCATCCAGCTGCCAAAGGCGGCGATTGTGAGGTTGCGGTCTTGGGGAACCTGTAAGGGGAGGATGCCGCCGTTTTTGAGCAGCACAACGCCTTCCTCGGCTATGCGCAGTGCGAGTTGGTCGGCCTCGGGTGTGCCGACATCAGCCCAGGAAACGGAGCGGTACGGGTTGTCCAAGTCGAAGAACCCGGTTCGAATGAGGCCGGAATATGCTCGGATCAACGCCTGGTTTATATCGTCTTCGCTGAGCAGGCCTTGTCGGACGGCAGAGCCAAGATAATCGGGGTAGTAGTAACCGCAGTCGATGTCAATGCCACTCTTGAGACTCTCGGTGACCATCTCTTCTCTAGAGCCCCGGAAGTGATGGTCAGAGTAAGCGTAACGTACTGCACCGCAGTCACTGACCATATAAGTGCCCTCGTCCTTCCAATCCCAATGGTCTCGCACGATATCCTTCATCAGGTAGGGGTCGGCGCAAGCCGGCGTTCCGTTGATCGCGTTGTAGGAGCACATGAGGGACGCCACCTTCTCATCCCGCACGCACATCTGGAATGGCTGCATGTAGTACTCTGCAAGATCCTGCGATGAGACCGTGGCGTCAAACCCGTACCGAACTCGGCCATGCCAGTTCTCGAGATCGTAGGCCGCCACATGTTTGCAGGTGGCCATGACCTTCCAGCGATGCGGGTCATCACCCTGCATGCCCCGTATGAAAGCCTTACCGTACTGCTTCGTATGATAAACATCCTCACTCGGCACCTCCTGCCCACGACCCCATCGCGGATCCCTAAAGGGATTGAGATTCGGGCTCCAGAAATTCACGCCAGCCCTTCTGGCATTGCTAAAAGCTCTGCCCTCAGTGCTAATGACACCTGCAACATCCCTGACGAGTTGGTCGTCAAACGCCGCCCCCATCGTATAAGGCTGCGGAAAGCACGTCGCGTACGAGAACTCGCCTTCGTCGCTGAAGGTGGTGCCCGGCGCTAGCGCCACGCCGTGCAATGCTTCGTTCCACCAGTGGTAAGGCGGGAGGCCCACGCGCGGCACGCCCGGTGAGACGTTGCCAGTAATGTTCACCTTCTCTTCGAGGGTCAGGGCGCCGATGAGCGCGGTGGCGCGCTCCGTAATGGTTTTGGACTGGTCGCAGACGGCGTTTGCTGCCAATGGGCCAGCGCTGCAGTCAGGGTACGCATGCAGCAGCAGTTCACTAGCGGCCGTTGAAGTCAGCAGTACCAGGGCGGCTGCGTACCTCCATGTCTGACGCTTCATAATGGCTGTATGAAGCACCGTAAGTGGTGAAAAGTTATTGGCAACAAGTCAACTAGTCCATGGCGCCCGTATCTATGTCTCTGAGATATTCCGACCACCGGAACCCCATGTTGGCGCGCCACGTATCATAGAAGGCTAGGCACAAGCGCCTGGCAGTTTTTGATAGCTAAGCTTCAGGGCCAGTATTGAGTCAGTGATGCCAGCCAATGTGCAAGAGGGACGTCCTCACCGATTGATGAACGCTCGCCCGGTTGATCTTGGCTCATGGGGAGGACAGACTTCTCCGCACGGCAAGTTTTCCAATCAGGCTAATTAGTACTGCGCAATTAGTTGTGTAGGCCTGAATGTCATCCCGCCGGGGATATAGCAACATGTGGGCTGGTAAGGTGGAAGTGGTAAAGGAAGACACTGTTGTGGCAACGAATGGATTTGGTCTTGGCAACTAAAAGTCGACCGGACTGAGGGCTTCTCCCAGATCAGGACAAAGCGTGGTACAAATGGATTGATAATTTCAGTAATGATGCTATGCTCGCTTCGTCTTGGGGGTATCAATATATCTATGGTGATCGTCAGGCATCTCGTCGCTCAAAGCATGTAGACCTGCGTCGACTATACGCCTACGCGTGCTGAACAAAGAACGTCAGTTTTACTCAGCCAAGTTCCCTCTCTTCCACTCCCGACGCTTGACAGCGCGCAACACTGGCAGTGTGTTGGCTCGACCTTCCTTTCGGCCAATCTCAATAACCAAAAATCTGACAAAATCTCGACTGATCCAGTAGCTGCTGTGCGCACTCAGCATGCTCAGGTACTGAATCTCCAACGGGCCACCTCCGCTAGCAAGATGGTAGTCGATCTGCCCGTTTTCGTTCAACAGATACATCCTTTTCTCTGCAACGTCCTCACGCGTGAAGTTGTGCGTTTCTAGCTCGACAGTCGATGGCATGTGCGCCACGTGCGGCCGTTCGGGCACGTTTGGTGCTGAGTATGGATCTGGCACAATGTGACTGGCCCATCGAAGTGACGAGCCCATGCGTGATAGCCAACCAAGTGTTGCGGACGGAATCGTGGCTGGCTGTAGAGAAGCTGCGTAGTCGGCGTCCACAGATGCATTCATCAGATACGAGACAGGGTCAGTCCGATTGAGAATGTTGTACACATTGTCAACAGCAAGACAGCCATACTGAGACTCAGAGGTGATGTTGGGGCCGTGAGCTTCGGATTCCATGCCAGGCTTTGCACGCCCTCTCCGAGGAATCAGACGAGCATTGTTGAGGAGCAGGAAAAATCCACACGGCGAGCCACAACAGAAGAGATTGGTCGTGTTGAACTCGAAAGCCTGTTCGCTGGCCTTGGTACTCTCAATGTCTACATCAGCTGAGACGTAGGTGGGCTGATTGCTGAGAATTTCCATGGCCATGACAGACCCGAGAGAATGAGCCACGATATGCACACGTCCAGCCTCGCGGAAGCCCGGATTATTGCGGCACCACAGCCGGTAAACCCGGTTCGCCTCGCGAATCACAGCCGATGTCATCTTTTCCTTATGGTGGGACATGTAATAAGGAATATCAAGCATGACATCCGAGATGATTGACCGAACAGCGGGCAGCGTGTCGGGTGTGATATTCTTGAGCGCAAACGTCCGGTCATCATCTTCGGCTTCTTCCTTGCCTTCATCAAAGGAGACTGTCAACCGCCAGTTGACAGGTAGGACCATAATCCCGCTCTGGCTCTTCATGTTTCCCTTGACCGCTTCGGATGAAAGCTCAACATTGAAATCTCGTCTCAGTCCATTGATGGAGTGCGTGAAGTGAAAACTGTCAACTCTCTCGGACAGCTTCTGACCAATCCCATGAATTACCAGTACCAGATCTGACACTTTTGGTGTACTGTACCGATCATCGCACGCCGCACAAGACATTCGGCGGCCGCGTGTTGTCGCATCCCCCGACTGAGACATATATGCTCCTACTTTGGCATGAGCAGCCTTTTCGTTCATCTTCGGATCCGGATGGATCTTGAGCCACGCTTTCCGATTGAACCCTCGCACAACAGCCACTCCAATCTGTCTGCCTTTCCTAAGAGCGCTGAGAGGGCGTCTCTTTTGAGCGACTGACGGCAAGAGACTTGGCCGAAGTACCTGGGCATTTTTACGATCAATGTAGATAACGCTATGCGTCTCGAACATACGTTTCGAGGGCACTGCCGTTGGGTCTGCTGCAGCGTTCTCGGAGTGGGCCGGTAGCGCCATCGCCTGGGTTTCCTCTGTACTAGTATTCAGCTTATCCGCTCCAGAAGTTGGTCTGCTCGGATTGCGATCATCCCACAGCTTGTGAACAACTTTCATTTCTGCAGAGGCACCGTTGTTGATGCACGCCTGTAGCTCATCTTGATACGACTCGGCGTACGGTTTGATGTATTCGTAGCCAATCTCAAGTCTATTGGCCAAGTTCGCTGGGACGGGCAACATTGTGTCCTTGTAGAACCAGGTCGCGCGAACGACAGTGGAAGTGTCATTGATGGGGCTCCAGTAGATCGGTTTCATCATCAGATCTGGAAGCTCGACCAGATGGAGCCTTGAGACTCCCACGGGAACGTAGACTTTCTCGTTCTCGGCAGACTTGTCAAGTTTTTTCTTCTTGTCTCTCGAACGACTGCGACTGCTTCGTGGACCATCATCCTCGCTCTCCAGGCCTTCGTACAGTCTTGACTGCATATTTCGATTTGATGGCGCTCTCGCAAAAGGGCGACCACTAATATCCGATGCAGAGTGCTCTTCTTGGGGGTGAGACTGGCCAGGTGTACCAGGCCTGGGTGATCCATCGTGGTCAGGTTTGTCCTTTGATGTACGCCGAAATGGAGAGAAATGCCGACGCTTGGTCGGACTAGGCGTCTGTACTGGATCGGCTGTATCGTTACGTTGAAGTTCTTCCTCGTTGACGGGTGTCTCCGTTCCACTCTCGTTGTCGTTTTGAGACAGCATGACATCCGTTCTTGCCACTCCAGGTGTAGTGGTCACTTGATCCGGCTTTGGGCGTCTGACTGTCTCGGGAGAGCTCCGCCTTGACACTTGCCTATCAACAGATCTCGACGAGTGGCCGATGTGTTCTTTCGACGTAAGGGTGGCTACAGCGTGTCTCGAGCTCTGCGACCGCGTGCCAACGGGCCTGTGTTTCTTTCGTACCTCGACGTCACCTCCAGGGGCGAGGTCAAGTACCGAAGTCGCCAATTCCGTACTTGGAGACTTCGGACTTGGGGACCTAAGGCCTTCGCGGAACCTCGGGAAGGAGAACATATGGCGAGAGCTGGGTCTGACATCTTCAATTGGTTTCTTGTAATGTAGACCCTGCCATGCTTCTTCCAGCGCAGCGCTATCCCGTGCAGAGAATGGCTGTGGCGGCTGCTGAGATGCTGTCTCCGCTTGCGCTGGTGGCAGTGGACTAAGAGGGTCGTCGATAGGCAGAGACGAGACATAGAAGAACTGCGCCTCTACCGGTGGGGTATCTATTTCGTTGGAGAGAGGGTCATCGGAGTCGTCGTGGAACGCACAGGTCGGACCGTAAGAGTGCTCGCCTTCCGCCATCGTGCATTTGCCTGGACAGCGGCAGACATGAATTGCGCCGGGTCATAGGAAGTGATGATTGAGGAACGGCCGGGCGAGGTAGGAAGGGGTACCCTTGCTGCGGGAAAGTGATTGAACGTCTTGAGGGCACGAATGAATGATGGATTGCTTCGCGAGCCCAGGCAAATGAGCTCGCTCTTACTGTAGCCGCATATGACTGGGGCCTATTTCTTGAGAAGTATAACCCAACATGTTTGCAAGTCGCTGGCTTGCGGTGACGTCGGTGCGAGATTCAGGTTCGCCGGACTTCTTCGCCGCTTACCCCTGTCTACTCGAACATTCAACGTCCAATCGCGGCTCATTTGTATTGCAGTCTGCTTGTGCTAGCGACCGATGCCACGCTGGCATGCCACTACTTCTACCGCCATTCCGTGTGGCATGGAATAGAAGGAGTCGCTTGCCATTTGATGGAGGACTAGTTAGCCTTGTTTGTACAACTCAGGTAGACTGCATACGATCTACCCGCTTTCGAACAAGCATAATCTATAGCCTATGCCAGCGTTCATCTCTGCCTCCTGTGGGCTGAAACCGATCCTCTCCGAGACCAGTACCTCAAAAATCCCGTCTGGACCACAATCGCAGCTTGGCGGGGTGCGGCTCACCAGCAGACGATGGTTGATCCTCACAGCCCGAAGCCATGAACTGATGCTTGCCATTTTGTTCTCATCCTAGCCGCGGTGTCTTCACTCAATTTCGTTCGCTTTGCCGCTGACCAATAAGCCGATGATCAAGCCGAACAGTCCCAATACACTACTGAAGATCTCAATGACTAGCACCTTGACGAAGAGGGTTGCGTCTGCAGCATCTGCCAAAGCCGCACTGCTGCCGTTGATGCCAACGCTGACACCGCACAGCAAATTGCACACGCCCACCGTCAGACCCGCCCAGAAGAGCGCGTAGCCGGTATACTGATTGGATGGCGTGTAAAGACGATCTTCGGGGACAAGAGTGCCGATATTAGAGGAGAAGACAATAGACATGATAACACCATAGATGGCGACGACTTCGCAGAAGATGATGGAGATGAGGTTCTTGGTCCGTATCCGAGGCGCTTTGACTCCGCCGCCGAGGATGGAGGTGCCGGTGATGAAGATTCCCCTAAGAAGCCATCGTTAGATCTTTTCCAGTACGAGGCGTGCAGCACTATATTGCGCGGGTAAAAGGACGTCTCCGGCCGAGTGTTCTTACCATGCTGCTCCCACGACCGAGAGACCTATACATAATCCAATGCCCAAATCTGCCCATGCGTAGGGTGATACTGTCTCGAGAAAGTTTCCGACCTAGCGTTTTGTAAATACGTGATTCTGGCGGATGTAGTAGGTATTTCATACATTAAACCGTTCGCCCTCGCCATTAAACAGCATGTCTATGTCCTCGACGTTAGCAATGGTAGCAGGCAACATGATTTGCTCACTTACACAAGCCAACGACGCCCAGGGCGGCCGTACCAGCGCCAGCGGGGTACAGGAGGCTCATCTTGATGCCAGAGACAGAGAGCCTTGGATGAGAGTAGGGGGGATGTCGCTGTGCAGAGTGGACTTGCAGGACGACGTGGTCGAGCTTGAGCACTGGATGATGCGCAGGCGCAGGTAAGTTTGAATAAGGCAAGTGTTCAGTTCTACCGCCTTGGCACACCAAATATGTCTACTGGCAAAACATTCAAGCACTCCTGGTTTGGCAGCCTCGTTCAGGCGCATCTTGCATACCTATTGATTCAGTGCGGATTCGCCGCATAGAAGTAAACGCAAGCTGTCGTCAGCATTTGTCTAGCCATGTGTACAGTACTAATGGCTATGTACCGTTTTTCCGAACTTCGTTATTCATCAACCTCGTGAGTGACATTACTCGTATTGCTTCCAATAGTCCAGATTCCGCTGGATGTCAATCCGCCGGTCATAGCCAGCCCGTTGGTCCATCTCATAGCGCCGCTGATTCTCTTGCAATCTATGCTCGATGTTATACCTTGTTAATGCTGCATGCTTCAGACCGTCCATGTCATTTCTTGCCACTGCATCCTTGAAAATTCTCCTCATTCTTTCACTATAGAGTTGACAGCTGATTCCCGCAACGTAGTTCGCTGGCCGCTGCACAGGTACTTTTTGAAGTGTCATGCTCACATCTCTGGCGATTGGCTTCTCCCTTAAAGGCCATACCACATCCTCGTAACATTCCTCGCAAATGGTGAACTCCGGAAGGTTGCTGATAAAGTGCCAGAGCGGGGTGGCGAGCATAGAGTCTTTTGCACACTCGCGAGTCCTTGCCTTCTGCCGCACGAATTCGCCGAAAGCAGTAATGTCCTTCGGCCGGAGGTCTTTCTTCTTGCTGTACCTCGCAAGAAGATCAAGTTCGTTGACAATGCTGTAGAAGTGCTTGCTGCCTGAGAAGAGATTGCAGTACCGCTCTTGGGCCAACTTTCCATCCGGGCGGTCGAAAACCTTCTCCTTCCAGAGTTCGGGAAACACCAATTCCGCCGACCTAACACACGCAGTGCAGATACTGAAGCCCTGTACGGGCACCTTTGTATTTGGGTCGACAACGTGATACCATCGCCGGACCTCCGGCTGTCTACCAGGACAGGGGTATACATCGGGCGGGAGGGTCGTCAAACTCTGAAGAAGGCCCACGTTGGGTACACCGTCCTTGAGACATCTTGCCACTACAATTCGTACCCAAGGACGGCTGAGTGCACAAGTGACTGCTTCAGTTGGAAGTTTCCACTGGCTTGGGACGCAGTAGTCACGTAATGACGACTCTCCAAGAACACGCATGCAGTTAGGACAAATATCAAAGTTCGCCAGGCCAGAGATCGTGTACCATCCCTGTACGCCTGTGGCTGCATACGGCCGAGGGCACATGGGGAAACTGATGGGCCTCTTCTGTTCGGCAGTCGGAGACACAGCAGTATGCTTTTCGGTCGGTGTTGATAAGTCAACAGAAGAGGCCGTATATGAAGATTGTGACAAGTTCGACGACGCCACACGTCCTTGCGGCCCAGAGCTGGCCACACTGATCGTCGTGCCGCTCGTGGTCGAGTATGTCCGACGAGCGGAAGGTCGCAAGTGAGCTTGCTCTGGGATCGTACTGTAGGATGAAGCTCGTTGAGCAGAAGGCGGATGTGGAATTGCCAAAGGTGCAGTTGCGTTGCGCGAAACTGGTCGCTCTTCACGTCCTGGATAGGTACTGGCGCGGTTTGGGAGAGCGTCCTGTGACGCCGTCGACCCTGCACGAGAGACTGGTCTCTCATTCGTTGGAAACGTATAGGATTTTGATGGATGGTTCTCATCCCGACTAGCGATTGACCCGGCCCGGGACATCGGTCGAGGATCTTCGTAAACAGGAGAAGGCTTTCTCGAACGCTGGCCGCTGGCAATGGACCCTTGCGATCCACAACTAGAGTACGTCTCACCAGAGGTAGTAGATGATCTAGACAAGGAAGGGATCGCCTTGGATGCAAGAGTAGCGGCGCCATAGGTAGCAGCTCCCAGCAATGTTGTCATTGGTTTCATGGGGTTCTCACTCAACGAAGGAGGCCTAGACCGCTGTTTCGTTGCAGCTGAGCTTGTTGCGGCGTCCCCGAAGTAATCAGCGACTTTGCGCTCGCCACGAGGAGTTCTCGGCGGGCTCGTAGGCGGAGAAGTCAACGGCGAGGGACCGACCTCATTGCTGCCGTACGATATCGAAATTTTCTTCTGGTTATCTCGGAAAGCCTTCTCAAAATCGGCCTCGAGATTCCTAGGGGTGCGAACAGATGGGGCCGTCGAATCAGGCCGTTCGAATGGACGCTGGTCTGAGAGATCGATGTGCGGTCTCTCGCGGCGATGAACGGACTGCCTTCGAGAACGAGTGCCAGTCTTTTCATCGTACTCCCGGCGTGAAGGCAGGCCTTCGTTGGCAGAGGTATATGGTGACTCTTTAGAGTGCCTTCTCTCAGTCATACGACGCTCATGGTGTCTGCGTCTGTCTGAATCTTCCGCGGCGGAGGCATATGGCGACTCTTTTGGATGCCCGGGCGTTTGAGGCGGTGTAATGTTACCATGTGCTGATCTGTGGGTAATGATTGGCCGTCGGTCCCGAGGTAGACTTCGTTCAGACCTTCGCTTTGCGTCGCCCAACACTTCCGGCCTGGAAGTGGTAGTTCTCTCATCACCGCTCGACCCGGGATGCTTGGAGAAGCTACCGCGATCAACCCTGCTTTTGGATCGATGCCGGCGATAGGACTCCTGTTTATCAGTATCGCTGCCACCTGCTTTTGGTTCTGACCGGTGAGGACGCTTGGATCGCGCCCGACGCCCCGCATCAGTGGCTCTTGGCGTGGCGGCAGATCCAGGCGACAGAAGCTCGACCTTGGATTTGTCGTCAAATGCCGAGGCGAGAAGGTTGCTAGCTGCGACTCTGTAGGCATAGGGTGAAGGTGCTCGTCGCTGACCGGTTTTCATGCCGCGAAGATCTCCTCCAATATCTGTGTTGATACGATGAACATGAGGCCGTCCTCGGGCAGGTTCATCCGCTGCGATGCCAATGGTAGACTTAGATCGAGGCCGACTGGGCGGTTGTGGTATTTCTCTCTCATTATCAGAGGTTGCCGGGATATGAACGAAGCGTTTCTCTTCACGTGAGGTGTTGCTCTCTCCAGGTCGCCGTTCTCGACTTGGAGAGTCATGCGGCGGAGTAGGAAGCCTAGTAGGCTTGATGAAGTCTTCCTTTACTTTCGGCGTAGCATCGTGGCTCTTGTCACCCACATCGATGATCAGTGGGTACTGATCAACCAGACCACGCGATTCGGCAGGAGGAATTCCGTGACTAGAATTAGAGTCTGTAGAATCGGCACCAAATTCCTTCGCCAGAGAAGATACTTCGTCCTCGACAGTCGGAGACGGGGGCCAACTTTTAGGCATGTTGGCTGTTGAATTGAATGCGAGAGACACCAGGCGGATTTTATCATGTCAGAGAGGGCGGCTGCGGCATGGCAAGAACTGCGGACAACGAGCTGATTCCCCCGTTCCCGCGTGCGTACATATGAGGTGACCCTCGCCCAAATGGTCGTTACACAGGGCAGTTCAACTGCGGCCAAACAAGTATGCAGGTTCGGTCGAGGTCGCTTCGGAGCGGAAATGTAGAAACGGCCGATCTCTGTGGCAACTTCCGGATGTGCGGTGCAGTATGCTGAGCAACGCGTTTGGAGGATTGTCAAGACAGCCAGGCAGTGTGGGAGGCGGGGGAGGGAATGAGATAGAGGAACGACAAGATCGAGAGATGGCGCAGAGTTGCTAAGCAGTGGAGTGGAAACGGCCTCCTCCAGTATGGGCTAAGGTAAGGACCAACTAGGCTCGTGCCGGAGGGATAGGAGAGTTGTCAGAGGTGGAAAGTCTTGGGAGGCGTGCATGAGGGGCGGCGGCGGCGGTTGTGGCTGCAAGAGCGCATGCTTGAGACGGGGTTTCCACGAGTCAATCGGGAGCCGAGCGAAGAATTGCGCAGAGTTGTGCTTGTGTGTATTGCCAAAGTTCTTGGAGGGTGGAGGAGTGAAAGAGCGGTCTACTAAGCTGCGGATTGAAGACGAGGCGAGGAAGCAGCGTGATTGGTGAGGCCGTGCCATGCCGCTGCAACATCCTTGCGAGCACTTGGGTTTCGCACACACGATTCCTCAACTAGTGCATGCAGAGAGGCCGATCCTTCGCAGTCTTCTCTCCAGCACTTTGCCCCGTTTGTATGGGCGCTTGACGAGACAAGTGTGGCCTCATGATTCCGCTGCGACCGCAATACCCTCGCCACGCAATGCACAAGAAACACAAGGCCCGAACCCTCCACCCCCCAGATGACAATGCAACCTATCACTGCCTGGCTTCCCGAGCATCCTCCAGTACTCCAAATGCAGTGTGTAATCAACCATCGTGTCCCACTCGCTTAAGGCTTACGGCGAACGCATGGAGCAGCCGGCAGTCTGCAGACGACACCAAATATGGGATCGGCAATTTGGGATACAACAATTTTACGTGTACTCTTGTAACTCGCGCTGACCGATTCTAGAGCCTTAGATTTTTCTGTTGAAAATGCAAGTCGGACGTTGAACCTTTGGCCACGCGGTCCACGGCAGCAGCTAAGAGAAAGGACCAAGCATGTTGGTCTTGGGCGCTTGTCCACTCAGATTTACAGTGGTCCTGGCCGATCAACCGCCGCGCCAGGGTATACCGCCCCACGAGCATCAATGGCTAAGTCTTTGCTATCATCATGCGAATGCAAATGCAAATGCAGCAGTGCCTTATATCAGTGTGGCTACCCAAGGCCAGATGGCAATAGATGCTGTGCGCTGGAACACTTATGGAGCGTCAGAGATGGCCTCCATGAATCAGAGCTACGACTCGTAATAGCAACGCCTATAACCTGATACGGGACCGGTGATCCTCCTGCAGGAGACCCAAACTGTATCGGAAACTTCGCACGATTGCGTCCGTCCTGTGGCTGCATGTGCTGGGCCATAGAGAGAACGCTGAAACGTACAGTGGCATGACGCCAGAGCGATTCGGTGTCATGTCTTACACTGAATGTCAGGGCGTCGAGATGTTCGTGGTGCGACATGTGCTGATGCTTCGGAGCCTGGCTGCTGTGCAACGTAGAGGGCGAGCAGGCTTGTTACGTACCTTGAGTATTCGAATCTCGGAGAAGTAGACAATCAAGGTAAGCCAATAGAGGGGCACAAAAGAACACATTCCGGTGTCTAGTTGGCGGGGCATATCGATAACGCTGATGGCACGGAGGATCAGTCTAGGCTGAGAGAAGCCCCCAACTGTGGCGGCGTTGACTGCCTGTAGTACAGACACAGGTGTTGATGATAGTCTTGGTTTGAGCCTCCTAGGTCGCCTGACCTTCCGGCTAAAGCACCTAGGTCGTTCACGTATACCAGGTGATAAATATGGTAGAACGCCCCGCTTAGACCTGTGCTTCCGGCACGATCTCTTCCCTCACTTCCGGTCCTACACTCCGATCAGCTACGGCCGAGCACACTCTACCTATGTCCGCCTCCTCCATGTTCGCGTCTCTGTCGACGCGAACCTCTGCTTTTGACGAACGATGCTAATCCTGGGGATACTCCCTGGGGGAATGTCCGTCGTACTTTTACCCGGTCTCGACCAATGAAGTGAAGCCCTGGCCCTGACTACAAGGGCGCATTAATAATTGACCGCCGACTACTCCGATGGCATCATCTGCGGGGCCGACCAGGTGCCGATGCTATCGACAGCGACTCCAACATTTCTAAAGCAACGCGTGCTGCAGCTGTACTGCAATCAATAGGTAGGTCTCTTGCTGCTCTCGATAGCTCCCAACCCCAGGACATTCACGGGGCACTGCTTGTCTCAAATCTTCATGTGCAACTCTATACCGCGATCATACCTTGCTCGCATAGCCCTCGCATCTCGGACAAGCGCTGCTCCTACCCGACTTACTTCCATAACTTCGCATCTGTCTCCCAGCCGTCCATTCCATCAGACCTTCAGAATGTCTTCCCTTCCATCTACGATGAGAGCGGTGATTCTTCCGGAGATAGGCGACTCCTCCAAGTTGCAATATACGGATTCTCAGCCTCTTCCCAAACTTCAAGATGGCCAGGTCCTCATCAAGAACAAATTCTCGGGAATCAACTACATTGATACATATGTACACCTCATCCGACCTCCCTTCTCCTGCATCCTATCTCACACGCTCACAGTTCCGATCCGGCCTCTACCCGTCTCCCACGGGCTATCCCCTAATCCTCGGACAAGAAGGCGCTGGCACCGTCGCGGCCGTCGAAGGCTCAAACAAAGTGGGCCTCAAAGAAGGCGACCGCGTCGTCTGGATCAAGCAGGGAGGCTATGCGGAATATACCGCCGTTGCTGCTGAGCGCGTCATCAAGATCCCCGACGGCCTCTCCGAGGATCAAGCTGTTGGAGGCTTCCTCATGGGCATGACGGCTTTGTCCCTCATCAGGGAAGCCTATCCCGTCAAGAAGGACGACAAGGTGCTTGTCCATGCCGCCGCGGGCGGTGTCGGGCTTCTGCTGTGCCAGCTTCTGAAGTTGGCGGGAGCGTACACGATCGGCACGGCGGGGAGCGCGGAGAAGTGCAAGACGGCCGAGCGACATGGCGCCGACACGACGATAGATTACAACGCCAACAAAGACTGGGCAGATAAGGTCAAGGAGCTGACCAACGGTCAAGGCGTCGATGTAGTCTACGACAGCGTGGGCAAGACGACATGGGAGGGAAGCCTGGATGCCGTGAAGCGCAAGGGTAAAGGTGAGTCCGCCTGGGCGCATTTCATGGCTCCCACCGAAGCACATCTGGAGATACTGACACGGGGGCTGTAGTGGTATACTTCGGTAACGCCTCCGGTCCAGTGCCACCTATTCAGATCCAAAGACTGGCGCCGAAGAACATCTCTATCATGCGCGCGACTGTCATGAGTAAGTTTGGCTCTCACACCCGAGAATCCCGTACCAGCCAACTCGAGTATGTTGACTGACTCATGTCTTTCCAAATGTTTATAGGCTATATCGTCACGCGTGAGGAGCTGGAGTACTACTCAGCAGAAGTGCTGAACATGATCAAGGACGGCAAGCTGAAAATCAACGTACACGAGGCCTACGATCTCAAGGACGCAAAGCGGGCGCAGGACGATATGGAGGGGAGAAAGACGTCCGGCAAGTTGCTGTTAAAGCTATGAGGTAGTGTCCAGCCGCCCCGAATGGGTTTCGCTGAGTTGGGTTGGAAGCGTTGACATGTGTAAGTCCAGACAAACCAGTAAGAAAAGACCAGGAGTTCCAGTTCGCAGCTGGATAAAGGTTTCAGGATTAAACATTAGTGTCTTCATTGTTCTGCACTGCGTAACATGTATCGTAGCGGATCGTAGCGCGAGCACTCGGCCAGTGTTGAGACAGCCTCCGCTCTTCCGTTGATTGTCGATTCCGGGCCAACAACAGTGGATCTATCCAATTCCATGCCAAAACCCAACCTCTCGTCCCCAAAGTCTATTAAGGTTGTTCACGTACCCGTAGTGGTGGCTCCATGCGGGGTTTCCTAGTCCTTCTTAACAATGTGGTGGCGGCGGTTGTGAAGGCGCTTGAAGGGATTGCAGGGGTGAATATGACGGCGTTTGGTGCTTGTTAGTGGATGTTTAGGAGTTGAGGTGGCGGTGCTAGTTGTTGGTGAGGATGAGCGCGGCCGGGCTTTGGTGGGGTGGCTCTGGAAGGGGTCTGAATTCTACTCAGAGATGAAGGTGGCCTCCATGAATAGCTGGCCCTTCTCGGTGCTATCGTCGACCTTCACAGTTAGGTCGTCTTTGGATATGTACTAGATTCGCTGGTAAGTATTGAGAGACTGTTTTTTGGGGACCCATGCTCACTTGATAGATGTAGGGGCGTGTTCCTACAACGCCGCCGACGATGGACTTTACAAAGCCCGGGATGTGGCTGAGCACATCGACGCGGTCTGTCCTTTCCGGCAGATCGCCTTGTAGTGAGGCTTCCACAGATTTGCCGGATGCACCAGGGCCTTTCCACTCTAGCTCGATGGCTTTTGGCTCAGGCCAGTTGCAATCTACATCTGGTGCCGACTTGGTATGCTTGACAGTGGTAGGTCCAGCATATATGATGTCGCCATCTTTCGCAATGCCGCCGAGACTGACGGAAGTGTGGCCGTAAGATCCAGGCGTTGTATACTCCATGAGCACGGAGGTATATGTGGGCGATTCGAACCAAATAAAATTCCATTTAGCGGCAGCGTGGTGCGGCTTCATGCCTTGTAACGCTTTGATGAAAAGGCCTTTGCCTTTCATGTCGTAAGTCTTCTTCTCGGTTTGCATTTTGCCCGTAACCGTACATCGCGGCCAGAAACGGTGGAACATCGACCCCCAAGGGTTGGCGGGATCAGTGCCAAAGTAGCTTGTGCCATCTTTTCCAGCCTGGAACGCGGGCGCCTTCCGCTTCAAGGTCAAGTTTACTAGATTTCCTTCGTTTGAGGCAGACTTGATGGTGATGGTGTCGATGTCGGCATTCATTTCCACGGCGACGTTGTCGGCGAAGAATCCAGTTTGCGCATCGTCGAAGCCGAAGTTATGGAGGGGGTCGGAGCACCATAGGTGTTTCCCGGGTCCGTCGTGGTTGAAGATCTTGCTATTGAACTGGGCGGTGGTGTGAATACCTGCGACGTTGGAGTAGATAATCTGAGCCATTGCGGTGAAACCCTCATCGGTCATGAAATAGAAGGTTGCGGTCTCGACATTGGTGCTGTCCATGTTGATCCATTTTAAGTCGTCTTTGGTCACGTCTGAGAACTGCTGCGACTGGCTCGTGACACTCTGTATGGCAGACGGCCCATACTCAGGCTCTTGCGTTCCCGCGACGTTGGCCAATCTACAAAGTCAGTGTATGCGGGCAAAATATCGACGGAAGACTTGACTTACTGCTGCTTGAACCAATTCATGCTGTCAGTAAGCTGCACAATATCTCAAATCGCAGTAATCCAAATTTGCGGTGGCTCTTAGAAAATATGAGGAATATGAGAAGCGCAGTACAGGCCGGTGGACCAGCCTGAAGTCATTTGTCCCCATCGTCACCGAGACGTCTAAGCATGCATTAGGCTTGAGTGGGCGGCGGCGGATCACTCCGGCCCCTAAAATCATTGGCCTGGCACTAGCTAGGGGCATCCCACGTTGGCGGCTTTTGGTTAGACGTTGCTCAACCCGCAGCCAGCGACAGGGGTCTTGGTCTTCTCGAAAAAGTCGGCTTCGACTGTGCATCGTTGATACCTACGGGTAGAGCTTAATTTTCGTGTCTTGCGCTGAGTGTCCCTCATCAGCATCACATCTCACTCCTTACCGCTCTCGCGACACTTTGGTTCCCCGAGACCACCGGCCCTGGCCTACAGACGCCCATCATGGCGAAGAAAATGCCTGCGCGCGACCAGATCGTCAAGCTAATTGTTGGTGCTGGTCAAGCCAGTCCCAGTCCTCCCGTTGGTCCAGCTCTTGGTAGCAAAGGTGTCAAGAGCATGGATTTCTGCAAGGTTGGTAGAAATCAGCAAAAAACTTGATGCTTGAATTGACAGCTCTTTAGGAGTTCAATGCACGAACAGCACATATCAATCCTGGAACCCCGATGCCCGCAAGAGTCACCGTCCGTCCTGACAGATCGTTCACGTTCGATTTGCGCACGCCTAGTACCTCATGGCTGTTACTTCAAGCCGCTGGAGTCAAAGAAATAAAGGGCAAGATCAAGGGAGCGGGCAAGCCAGGCTCCGAGACTGTCGGCACTGTCACCTTGAAGCACATCTACGAGATCGCAAAAATCAAACAGACAGAGACGCGGTTATCCGGCTTGACTCTGGAGGGCCTGTGTAAAAGTGTTATTGCACAGGCAAAATCGATGGGTGTCCAGGTCGTGCCCTGAGACAAAAGGGATGGTAGCAACTTTTCAAATCTTCTGTGAGCAGAACAAAAGACGCCATTTACGCAAGGTTGCACGGGTAGCTCCACGCTCGTCAGCGGGTGTGAATCTCGGCGTCTTGCATGCAGTCAAAGCGAGAGGGTTCCGAGATACCGAGCCTGGGGAATCTGCGTGGAGGAGCACCCGCGCCGAGCGGGATGAGTAGAAGGCAGCGAGCATCTACGTACCTTGTGGCGTTTCAGCCGCTTGATACATGGATGTCAGCAGTGGCAAGCGCAAGGCCAGCTAAAGAGAATGCGCCACATCGGGCGAACCATTGAGACCAGAGATGAGCAAATCACGCGAAGGAATGCGAAAGACCAAACATAAGGCACTCGAGGGCATTAAATACCATCAAGCTGTACCGACATCCTGTATAAAACATGTATGAAGTTCGGTCTATTGTGGCTGATGGCTACCGAGGCTGCCTTCTTGCCCGGAGAAGAGGGATCATCTGCAGAGCAACATCGTCATTCAAAGCTTATGCTCAAGACATACCTGACCTCCTCACTTGGGTTCAGTCAGTCAGCTTCTTGCAGGGCTAAAGACCGCGGATCCGCCGGAACGGCTGAGCAACTGACAGTTGCAGGCGAGATGAGAGTAGGCTTGTGACTAACAATGACCCATCACCCGCCGAGGCAGCCAGCGAACGGCGTCAGCTTGTAGAGGGAGTTTGTGGTAGGGAAAGTAGTACGGTTAACTTTACTTTATCCCATCGCCAAGCGGGGCACACTGCTCGATGAAGCAACATTTGGGAATTGGGATCTCGCGACATCCCACCTTGACTCTCATCCTCATCCTTCTCATTTCGTGACCAGCTCTCCTTCGTGAATTCAATACCAGAAGCCTCTTTTTTTTTGAAGGCTGCTTGGCTGTTATTTCGCGTGTTCCTGTATATCTCTCATTCTCGCCATCGCTACCCCACCTCCGTCGTCCAGTCAGCGTGTTATTCCGACTTGACGTACGCAGCGTACAGAGCTCCGCCCGCCCACTCGCTTTTCACGTGTAAGTTTTTGCTCCGGCTTCAGGCTATGCTCAACGCTCTCCTGAACCGTCCCGCGCTTGCCATCTCTTGTAAATCCTCATTAACCCTCCCCGCAGAGGCTCTAACGGCTTTCACCTCCAGCCTTCGTCGCCTCGCCGCGTCGCCGACAAACCAATCGCATCCTACGCCTTTTGATCTGCACGAGCATCTGGCGTGATCCGATCCTCCCTGCTCTTTGGACCGCGAGACCATATGCTTTAATAAAGAAGCCGCGAAAGACCGTCGTAATGACATCAAGATTGTCATCAGTCTTGTTCCCTGGCAATGACAGTAGGTCTATCCCTCGTCCTGCAGCAGAGTCATAGTGGGGCACTGACGATGCATATAGACCAGAAGAACAACTCCCAAAATGCCAACGATGGCGAAAGGGGCAATGTCCGCTTTGCTGCTGAAGAAGAGACCATTGAGCCCACTAAAGACCTAACCAACACCGAAGACAAACGAACCGATGATCTCAGCCCGGAAGCTCATGAGCAGATCAGGAATCTTGCAATGACGCTACAAAAGTCGAGGTTACAGGAAAGCAGGATGTCCAACTTTGCATATGAGCCCGTGTCGATGCCTCCCTCTAGAGTGAGTAGACATTTCACCCCATTGTTCAGAGTCTAACTATTCCAGGTCCCATCTAGAGACAGCGATTCTCCCGGTAGCCCTCGCGGCTCAATACGTGGTCAGCACGGGTCCCTCTCATCAGCTGTTCAGTCTCCGCCGCTCACACCCGCTGGATCGAAAGATGATAGAAAAGAATCGAGTGCCAGCCGAACCCAGTTACCACAGGCAGCAATAACCCCACAAACATCTCCGCCGCCGGAGCAGCACGGAAGATCACTTTCTCAGTCCATTTCACCTAGCGCCCAAGACCCCTCGAGACCCTCGTCGTCCGAGCAAGCTTCGACACGACCTACCTCCGTGTCCGAGGCCTCGCACTCGCATCAAGACCGAAAGCATGTGCCCCGTTTTGAAATTGGTCCCGCAGACTCTATCACCCCAGGCGAGCAAAGCCCAGCCAGAGGCTCGCGGCCAGGATCAAGAACATCCTCACCTGGCCCGGGAAAGCAGCAAGAGCATCGCCAGTTTGGCAGTACCGGACGCAACTCGATTGCCCCTGCCATTGCGGCCGCTGCAGAGAGAATCCCAAAGCCAGGAGGTGGTAGCGATGTCGACAAGCGGTCCTCAATCTTTGGCGGCTCAAAGAAGGACGCTCTCGGCCATCTTAACGATGATCGATCGAGTCTTGGTGGCGAGAAGAAGCATGGGTCCATGTCTGAATTGAAGCGATTCTTTCGACTCGGCCACAAGCACAAGAATCATACTCCTGCCGATTCTCCTACGGCTTCGCAGACTTCTACTCGCAAATCAGTATCCAGCAATAAGGCTTCAGGGACAAGAACTCCTCCCCATCAAGCTCCGCCGGCGAATGTGCCTTTCGCGGATGAGCATGGCCTCGAAGCCAAATATGGAAAGTTTGGCAAGGTTCTGGGATCTGGTGCGGGTGGCTCCGTCCGGCTGCTGAAGAGAAGCAGTGATGGTGTCACGTTTGCCGTCAAGCAGTTCCGGGACAAGCACTCGTGGGAGAGCGAGAAGGACTATTCGAAAAAGGTCACGGCTGAGTTCTGCATCGGTTCGACGCTACATCATGGCAACATAATTGAGACCATGGACATCATCCAAGAGGGACATCGATGGTACGAGGTCATGGAATACGCGCCATACGATCTGTTTGCGACCGTTATGACCGGCAAAATGAGCAGAGAAGAGATCGCATGCTCGTTTCTGCAAATCGTCAACGGAGTGAGCTATCTACACAGCATGGGCCTTGCGCACCGCGACTTGAAGTTGGACAACGTGGTGGTCAGCGAGCATGGCATCATGAAAATCATCGACTTTGGCAGCGCGACCGTCTTTCGATATCCATTTGAGGAAGACATCGTTCTGGCATCTGGTAAGTCCAGCCTATTTCGGAAAGGACCTGACTGACAGAAAACAGGTATCGTTGGCTCCGATCCCTACCTCGCCCCCGAGGTTTATGACGAGCGTAAATATGACCCTACCGCAACCGACATTTGGTCCCTGGCCATCATTTTCTGCTGTATGACGCTGCGCCGGTTCCCTTGGAAGCAGCCACGGATCGTGGACAACTCGTACAAGCTCTTTGTCGCCCCACCCACTCCAGGAACGCCAGTGCCAGACTCGAAACCAAGAAGAGCTTCTGAAATGCCGCAAACGATGACTACGGAAGCAGAGCAGCGACGCCAACCTGAGTCGCAGCACAGTCACTCGCACCATCACGAGTCCTCTGAACACCATGCGAATGAACAACGTGGGTCGACCAGTGGCGACAAACAAGAAGTCATCAAGGGGCCGTGGCGGCTCCTCCGGATATTGCCCAGAGAGAGTCGTCATATAATCGGTCGCATGTTGAAAGTTGATCCGTCGGAGCGAGCGACAATGGACGAAGTGCTGGAAGATGAGTGGGTGCTCTCGTCCCGAGTTTGCTCTCAGGACATGGGTGGCCAAGTGCACCGCGCTGAAGGACATTACCACACACTTGAGGCTGGCAGTGGAGGACCTCCTCCTGCCAAGGCCTGAGGCAGACGACGACGACACGACGACGACAGGACGACGGCAGCATGTTGCACGGTGTCCACACTAGGAGTTGGGTAAATACAATTGCACGCAGGGGTCGGAAAACCTGAAGCGCGGTGTTTGAACAGCTGTAGTACATTAAAAATGCGTCGGCTTGAAGCGGCTCAGCGGCTGTGGCAGGACTAAGGACAGCGCATCAGTTGATACCTATTACAGCCAGAGTACTTATAAATGATATTATGCCTAAGTCAGGTTACACGGCCTCCTGCAAGGCTGGCAATCTGAGGGGGTTTGCCGTTTCCCGTCCATATGGGGTGACAGGTACCGTATTTGACGCGGACGGGGCCAGCCAACGGCGAGATCTAGGCTTGGCCCACGCAACCCTGCACCCGCTGTTTCGGTCTTCATCCACCCCGGGAAGCGATAGGCGCAGCCTAGCGTCGCACTCTCCCCACGTTCGAGGTTGGGATGAAAGATGCAGTGGGCACCTCGCTTCCACATCAGCCTAAAGCTCGCTGCTGGTTCTCGACCCTCGATGAACCTGCGTCAACCACTAGCGAGCTACTCCTCACAGACGTTGCATCTGAGCCTCCTCCTACCCTTCCCGCACATTGTCGGATCATGACCGCGACCAAGACGTCCGATCCTTAGGCTCCCCGAGCAGACAAGATGGCCAAGAAGAAGCGCCAGAGGATTAGCTACGGTGTGCAGCGCTCGAATTGGGGCTGCGTCGGTCGCATAACTAACAGCTTGCAGTGCTGCCTCTGGCAAGTACACCAGGCGGCCATCGACTAGGCGTCAATGGCCTGGCCTTCGATCAAGAGCGATCCATTTTGTACGTGTCCCTGCCTGCCCGCGCGTGGACGCGAACTGAATACATGGCAGATATACCGGCGGTCGGGATGGTGTGGTTTGTGGCTGGGATCTGAACATAGATGCGCAGAACGAATCTGGCGACAAGAGAAGCACTACTACATTCCGCAAACAGGTCCAAGCGCACACTCACTGGGTGAATGACATCCTCCTTGTCAAGAACAACCTGGGGGTTGTGTCCGCCTCTTCCGATGTTACTGTCAAGCTGTGGCGGCCGCACGGCCATGGACAAGAGTCTGCATATACTATTGGCTCGCATAGTGACTACGTGAAATGTCTGACCACACCTGATACCAACGCCAACTGGGTTGCGTCCGGAGGCCTGGATCACCGTATATGCCTCTGGGATCTTGCTGGTGGCGGCTCCACTCTGGACATCAATGTCCGGAAGGCAGAAGCAGACGATGTAGTCAAAGGCTCGGTGTACGCCTTGAAAGCCAAAGGGTCAATGATTGCTAGCGGTGGCCCTGAGGGGGTGGTACGACTTTGGGACGTCAAGTCTGGCAAGAGCATTTCCAAGTTCGTTGGCCATACCGACAATGTCCGCGACCTGCTTATTAGCGAAGATGGCGATACCATCCTTTCAGCGTCCTCGGATCAGACAATCAAGGTGTGGTCGCTGACCGCCGGTCGCTGTTTGCATACTCTCACCATGCACAACGACAGTGTCTGGTGCATGTACTCTGATGATCCAAATCTGGCCGTGTTCTACTCGGGCGACAAGTCTGGTCTAGTGGCGAAGACCGATACACGAAGAGCAATGGAGATTGAAGAAGGCGTTTCCGTTGCCGTGTGTCAAGAACATGACGGCATCGCCAGGGTTGTGCCCGCGGGTGGCTCTATATGGACCGCCACTTCGAGCTCGAGCGTCAACCGATGGAGAGATGTCAATACAGAACTTGATGTCGAAACACCTCCACCAACTCCACGCAACAACAGGAGCGACAGCACAGTCTCCCACACAGAATCTGAAGATTCAGAGCCCAAGACCAATGGCACCGCAACGCCGAAGATACCGCACAATGCTATCCTACGGCTAACTAACACGGCGATCCATCCTGGACACAAGCGAAGTACCAGCCTAGCCAACCATTCCGTAACTAATTTACGCAAAGCTTCAGAGGCTATCATAGCCGCCGATGATCTCAGCTTGGTCGTGCCCATTCGAGGTCAGCCAGCAGAAACGATCGAAGGCCAAAATGGTTTGATCAAGCACCATATGCTCAATGACCGCAAGAGAATCTTGACTCTTGATACAGCCGGCGAGGTTGTACTGTGGGATCTACTGAAATGCGTGCCAATCAAATCTTTCGGCCGCAGGCATCTTGACGAAGTGGTACCGGAGGTCAATTCAACGGAAAGTGTGGCCAATTGGTGTGCCGTAGATACGAAGACTGGCAAGATCACGGTAATGCTGGAGGAGAATTATGCTTTCGATGCTGAAGTCTATGCCGACGAGATCGATATACCAGAAAAGATCGAATTCAGAGAAGACCAGAGAATCAACCTGGGGAAGTGGGTGCTTCGCAACCTGTTCAGCACCCTCCTGGACGAGGAGATCAAGCGAGACGAAGTGTACCGGAGGTCACTACGGGTGAATAAGAATCCCTCCATCTCTGGAACATCCACCCCTGGATTGCGGCCAAACGCGCCAACGAGGATTGCCATGCCAGCTGTGGCTGGCGCAACACCCATGGTCTCGCCAGGAACCGAAACAACTCCAAAAGCCAACGGCTTTGCTCCTCATACACCAGGTCTCGCTATCGGGGCTGCCACTCCTGGCCATCACTTGGGTCACACGCAATCAGTAAACACTCCGGGCTCTGCTACTCTTTCACCTACAACAGAAGTACCCCTCGACAAGCGCATTTCGCGCCACAGTCAAGCTCCCGAACAGGACACAGACTATTTCTCGACACCCGCCCCAGCGCCTGCACAACCCGACCCCGAGAACAAGGAAGCATCCTCGGCTGCCGCCGATACTGCCCTGCCCTCAAACCCAGCGTCGCCCACCGAAGAAAAGAAAAAGTCGGGCATTTTCGGGAAGAAGAATTTCATGATTGGTTTCCAAAAGAAAGCTCCGCGACCCTCGACAGACGCCCCTAAGACTCCCGCTGTAACTGCTAGTGATGATAAAGACACCTCGGATGCGGCCAGCTCCAAGTCTTCCGAGAACGCTAACGGTGAACACAAGGGCCCGCACGTACCACATATCGAGGACAACTTCTATGGAGTAATTCAGCGAATGCGGCACGAGTATGACGAACACTTGGAGCACAAACCCGAAGAGCCATTGCCAGCGGGTATTACACCGAGTCTGCCTGTCGAGACGCCAGTCTTAAGACCGCCTCCTCACACGTTGGTCATAATACAAGAGGACAACCCAGAAAGTGGCGGGCTGGCAGATCAGTATAGAGGCGAGATTGGGAGTTTCGGTCGAGAAGGCGAGGTAGACACGTTGGAGAAGATTGCGCCTATGTGGCTGGGAGAGCTTTTGCTGAAGGTTTGTGACAACCCGCCTTCGTTCTCGATTTCGCTACCATTTGCAGAATCAAATCCCTTTGAAAGACACTGTCAAGGTGTCTTTCGTCCTGCACCCCTTTGAGGACAGTCTACCCAGCATCGCCAGTCCGGATGGGAACGCACGTCTCAATGCGAATCGTATGTTGCGCGTGAAAAAGGTATGTCCGCAATCTTCCCGCCTTCATCAGCTTGCAGAGCACCAGCTAACATGTTCGAAGATCCTTGCCTACGTTGCAGAACGCATCGAAGCTCCGCCCGCACTGGCCGCTCCAGCAGCCGGCCCTGCCGTCGCCGGCAGCGAGCCTCGCGCAAGTAACGACAGTACACCTGCAGATGCGGAAGTGACTCAACCTGTCGAGACCTCTCCAGAGGCGACAGGCGCGATTGAAGCAGAGAATCGGCTTCGTCCAGAAGAGTACCTTGAACTCTATTGTCAAGGTATCAAAGTCGATCCGAACACAACACTCGCGACGCTGCGAGTACATATCTGGTGCGTCGTTGTTCTCCGCTTTAGTACACTATCCCGAGCTCTTACTGACCGAATGACTTTGCAGGCGTACGGGTGGCGATGTCGTACTCTATTACAAGAGCAACGGGAAGAAGGAGCTGCGCATGCCGCACCCCAGCGAGGTGCCGACCAAAGAAGAGAGCATGGAAGGGACGGGGGTGGGAGGCGGCTGAGCAGCTCTGGGCCGTCGCGGTGACGGAGGCACTTGATGTATCTGATGGGTGGCTTTCTGATGGCACACATGTGGATGATTGTGGTGAGGTCATCTCCTGAATGCATATAGTGGTGTACAGCGCCTTGTGACACTTAGACACGAACTTCCAGCACACGCGCCTAGTGCATCTACCTATTTTGTTTCTCGTATTTGGCCTAGTCCGCTTCCACCTCATGATGGCACCCGCCTCGGGAAGGGTTCTCCCAACGACACCCGGTATCGTTCATGACTCACTTCAACGCTTCATCATATCAGAGCCTACACACACGCCTTGCAATGTGCTGAGCTTACTGAGCTTACTGAGACGTCGCATTGGCCTCTCAGAATTCGTGTCGACACCTCTCCTAGTACTCGGCGGGGCGTGCTTCTCGTCCGTCAACCCACCACCCACACACACACCCACCCTTGAGCGCGTTGTACATACATCACTTCAGCCCGTACCTCTCTACACCATAGCCAAAAGCCTCAAAAAGCCTCAGATCCTCCAATGCCAGCATGAAAACCATCGGCATCCTTGGCGGCATGTCCGCCGCCTCCACCCAGATCTACTACCGCCACCTCTGCCTCCTGACCCGCCAGCGCCTCGGCGGCCTCCACTCGCCCTCCCTCCTGATCCGCAGCCTGGACTTCGCGGCCATCGAAGCCCTGCAAGCCGCCGACGCGTGGGCCGAGGCCGGCAGGATCCTCAACGCCGAGGCGCGCGCATTGGAGCGCGGCGGCGCGGACCTCCTGGTGTTGGCGACGAACACGATGCATCGCGAGGCGGAGGCGATGATGCAAGGGGTGAGGTTGCCGTTGGTGCATATTGCGGATGCGACGGCGGAGGCGGTGGTGAAGGGAGGGTGTAGGAGGCCGGGGTTGATGGCGACGGGGTTCACGATGGCGGAAGGGGGGTTTTATGTGGGGAGGCTGAGGGGGAGGGGGTTGGAGGTGGTGGTGCCTGAAGAGGGGGATCGGACGGAGACTCACCGCATTATCTACGAGGAGCTTTGTAAAGAGGTTGTTACGGAGGAAAGTAGGGGGAAGTATGAGGCGATTGCGCGGCGGTTGGTGGAGAGGGGCGCAGATTGTTTGATATTAGGGTGTACGGAGGTGGGAATGTTACTGGATCAGGGCAATGTGGAGGTGCCGGTGTTTGATACGACCTTTGTGCACTGTGAGGCGGCGCTTGCGATGGCGTTGGCAGGGGCTTGATGCAGTGGGTTGAGTACTGCAAGTGTTGCCAATGACTCTTGAGTCTCTACACGTCTTATCACAGCTAAGGCATGCTGAAAATTGCCACCCTATAGCTGGCTCGACAAAAACCATGCAGCATGGGTCTGAGAAGACCCGAATTAGGTTCAATCACAAGGCAAACATCTCAGGGGTATTCGGGACAACCTAAGTCAAATTTTCACTGGGGCGGAATAGAAAGAACGAGTTTCGCGTAGACGCCCATCACTTTATTCCTTATCCAAATTGCTAAGCGAGTTCGGTTTGTGAGCAACCTTCTTCTGGTTCTGGTCCGTGAACACCACTGCTGGCGCCGACTTCGCGCCTTTCGCGTCGATTTCTTTGGCTCTTGTGTCGTCCGTCACGAGCTCTTCGACCTATCTGGAGTCAGTCCGGCCAACGTATTCTTTCCAAGCGCAATGAAGATGGGGTATGCTGATGAGATATAGAATGCACTCACCTGGCCCTCATGCTTTCCCCCTCGAATGGGAGTGTGGACAGTGTCTCCCTTCTCAATCTTCTCGCCGCCTTTGGATGTGAAGTCAGACATGATATATGTTTGCCGGCTACTTTAAAAACGATCTTTCAACTTTAAACAAGAGAATATTACTAGCAGAGAGCAAGCAGAGATATCAAGGTCTGAATACGTCATGACTTGACGTATGTCGACTGGGCATCTCCAATAGACCCGAATCGTTTGGGTCACACAGCAAGGCATGTCTTGAGATTGTTGTCGTGTTTATCGAAAGAATGAGAGCTGAGATGGTAGGACGACAGGAAGAACTTGAGAGCGATCAAGAAAAATAAGAATCACGGAGGCAAGTGCATTCATCCAACAGAGAGTTACCCCACAAACAAGGCAACGAGACGTTTGGACCACCTTGCCAAGGTCAAGCACGGGGAAGGAACTTTGGGGTGGCTTGCCTTGACCAAAAGACCGACTGGGCAGTGCAAATCCCATTAATCTCAGTTCCCAGTCTGTCTCCTGACACAGACCCTTGAAACCGACAGATCCACGTGAGATTTGACAACAGAGAAGCGAGTTTCTGTTTGACCCTAAACACTTAAGTTTGCTCAGATTATCAACGTCAGCATTCGCTGAGATACGTACTTGGTGTTTTCAGCCTGACCGGGTGATGCCTGGCCTGTCGCAACTTACGCTGCAACAGCAGTTGCCTAAAGCTGCGACAGCGCAAGGCTGGTATTCAACAAAGTCACCCATCGTGTTGCAGACTTGCAAAGTACTACCACCCAGACTCGTCACGACTCAACGTAATGATGGCAACGGATCACTCAGATACGCCTCCCAGGCGAGCACTTGCGCCCAGGGTGGTCTTAACAACTGCCGATGAATGGAACAACTTTAGGAAACGAGACACACGCCTTCTACCGAGGAAGAATGAGAAAGTAGCCGCTTACTTGGGCCGCGTCAGGGCCTGGACAGCATTCAATGACAGCTCCCGATTTGAAGAATCTGCTGCATGGGTAGCTACGAAAGCGTTAAAAGCTTACATGAGGACTTACGACGTTTGGGATGAGCTTCGATATCGAATCGTCTTAGGTGCTCATTGCTGGTGTAAGGACGTGCTTGTCCAGAAAAAAGTGCACACCTTTTGGCCTACACTCGCCGACTTCCAAAGGACCGCAACAGCCGGGTGTGGCAGATGCTGGTTCATTGTGCAGAGTATAGCCTTGTTCCAGACAAGGTTCAGCGGGATAGACCCGGGGCGAATTCAAGTACACATAAGAGACGGCCACATGAGAGGCACCCCTCTTCACTTTGTGGGCGACTTTTCTAGGATACGAGTTAGGTGGCTCCTAGACGGCTCGATTCCAAGTTTGGACCCATATGTCGCTCAGCTACCCCATGAATACGGTAGCCTTAATCTCGAGCTGTGTGCAGACAAAGGTGAGGGACTGGTGTCTTCCATCACGCTCCTACTCACCGTCCAGTAGGTTTTACGATGGACCGCCACCTGTTTAATCGGCCACTACCGCCGATCAGGTCTGACGATGATGTCTGTTTTGACAAGATCAGATCTTGGATTGATGAGTGTATTCGAGAGCACGAATGTGAATCTCTTGTCATTGAAAGAGAACTCCCTACACGGCTGATAGATGTTAGTCCTGACGAGAACACTGGAAGTATCAGGCTGGCAATCGGTTCCGAAATAAACGGAAATAACACACAGTTCGCGGCACTTAGCCACTGCTGGGGCGATAAGCGAGATCGAATCATGGCAGTCCCTAAGACCAAGATTGACACTTTACAACAACACCTGGAAAAGATCGATTGGGATGACTTGACACCTACATTTCTCGATACTATCGCCGTCGTTCGTCGGCTCGGACTGAAGTACGTTTGGATCGACTCGCTCTGCATCGTACAAGATGATCCAGTGGACTTTGCACGAGAGGCGGCACGCATGGCACTGGTCTATAGTCAGGCACATGTAGTTATTGCTGCGACCAGGGGACGCACCGGCGATGCGGGACTCTTCCACGATCGAAGGAAACCACATAAGGTAGTCATGCATGACAGCAACAATCAGCACAAGGAGTCCTACATTCATGTCAGAGAGGCCTTTTCTCATGATGCTTTCCTGACCAACGATCCCTATCGATTCAACACCACACCACTATTCGAACGAGCTTGGTGCTTCCAGGAGCGACTTCTCGGGCGAAGAGTGGTACATTTTTCAGCTGAAGAGATTGTCTTTGAGTGTAGGGAGCTTCTGGACTGTGAGTGCAAGTTTATCAAGACACGAACTGCTACAGGCACGTTCAAGACCAAAACGTTGGAATCTCTCAATCGCGTGGTGACTCCGACGTCCCGCGTTGAGCTGTGGTATTCTGTGGTGGAGCCATACTCGGCATGCGCACTACACGACGAGAGAGACAGGCTACCGGCCTTGTCGGGGTTTGCTGGCCTCGTTGCTTCGACTGAGCTAGGCGAGTATTGTGCCGGGCTGTGGAGGCATGAACTCCCATCGGGGCTGCTGTGGCGAGCAGTACGAGCGGCTCCAGGACACACTCAGACGCACCGTCCCACGAGATACTGCGGTCCCTCGTGGTCTTGGATCGGTGTACGTGCTAGAATGGAAGCTCACATCAGCTGGCACTACGCGAACGAAATTGTCGCAGAAGTGTTAGATGTCCGAACCATTCCGACCAGTGTCGAGGATCGCTTTGGAGCTTTGGACACGGCGTCCCTGATTCTTGCGGGACCGGCCGTCCACGTCACACTTCACCAAGAATCCTTCGAACTTCAGAGAACCCGAGACTGTTTCATGAGTCTTGCTCACGACTTTGTGAGCTCAGACGAGAGTCTCAAGGTCACCGGCGATGACCATAATCCCCGACAAATCCAAAACAGTGAAAATAAATCTCACATTATCAACAGACAGGACTTCCAGCTAGACGTTCCTGCAGCAGTCGATGGCCAGCAAGCTGTGTGTATTGCAATTGAAAGATGGCACGCTCGTATAAACAGTGGACAAGGGACATGCCTCGTGCTCCAAGCGGTGCCTGGCGAAGGAACGTACACTCGTTCCGGAGTTTCGTTCTGTCCTGCTTCATGGTTTCAGACAGCACGACGGACTGAGGTCAAGATCGTCTGATCTGGTTGGAAGTCTCCCGCAAACTTAGGCTTCTTCGGCATAGCCAAAAAAATCCTGTGTCGAAGCAGAAGAGCTGGACCTTGCGCGTACTCCAACGTAATCTAGGTCTCCTCACGGCCAACCACATTCAAGAAGACATCCTCCAAATTAGTCTGCACCACCGAGTAATACTCGATGGCCAACGCCACCTTATTCTCCTCCAACAGTCTGAACACATGCGCCAGACCTCCAAGGGCTGCTTCCTTGCCACTCGTCCGCGGCACCCAGAACCTCAACTGCCCGTGCAGCATCTCCCGCTCGATGACCGCCCTGGCGACATTCTCCTCGATCCAGTGCCTCACCCTGAGCTCAGCCTGCTTCTCTCCCACAACCTCTCGCCGCAGCATCAAGTGCACGTGATACCGATCACCATATCTCCTGATCAGATCCCCTTTCTCCCCCACGGCCAACATGTGCCGCCGCATGATACTCACACGGTCGCACAACGCCGCCACCTCCTCCATGCTGTGGCTGGTGATGACCATGGCCATGCTGCGGTCTCTGCCCAGGTTCTTGACCGCCTTGAGCGCCTTCCACATGACCCGCTTGGCGACGGCGTCCATGCCGCTGCTAGGCTCGTCCAGTAGCAGCACCTTGGGGTTGCCGACGACGGCAATGGCGAGCGAGAGCTTGCGCTTGTTGCCGCCGGACAGGTTGGCGGCCATGCGGTTGGCGTATTGCGTCAGCCCGACGGCCTGCATGATGTAGGTGACGGTGCGCTTGACTTCTCTCGAAGGGATGCCGGCGGCGCGAGCGTAGAAGCCTAGGTGCTGGCGTACCGACAGCATGTCGATGGCGTCGAACTGGGGGCACACGCCTAGGGACAGCAGCGCGTCGGCGCGTTTGGTGCGCAGGGAGTGGCCGTTGATGACTATCTCGCTTGTCTGCGGCGTGAACCCTTCTGTTGGCTTTAACTCGCCGCGAATCAAGCTGATCGTTGTGGTCTTGCCGCCTGCATTTGGCCCAAGGAGTGCGTAGACTTCGGAAGAACGGACGCCGAATGTTAGATCCGATACGGCCAGTCGTCCGGGTGTAAAGGACTTGGAAAGGTGCATGACTCGGAGCGCATCCCCTGGTGACGATACTGTGCGCTCTGTCTCCTGCATCACGTCCATCGGAGGCTGGTATTTGACTGTGTCCTCCTCGTCATTTCGCCGGGAACGCAATCGCAGCCAGCCGAGAACATACGGCCTAAATCGGTAGAAGTAACCACTGTCGTAGCAGACCAGAAAGGTGTATAGTGCAGCGCATTGCAGGACGAGGTATATTATCGGCGAACCGTAGACCTGAATATCGCTGGGTTTGCGGTATTGTTGATCGCGGCAGAGCAGTTGGGACTGGTTCAAGGCCAGGAGTAAAGTTCGCATGAGGTTTCCAGCTGGCATGATCAGCCCGAGTATGTACTGCACCGTGTTGAGATTGGTTTGCAGATCGTCGGCTATGCTATATGCCACCAGGAGCAAGTATCTGCCTAGGTTAGTATCCTAGAAGTGATAGAGAGGGCTCGACTTGCACGAAGAAATAGAGAAGGAGGGAGACCGCCTGATATCCTACCGCAAACGCAAAAGTGCCGAGTTGTGTTGATGCGAACAGTGACACCACGTACGAGAAGAGAGTCGATGCCAGCCCAAAGAAGAAGAACACTGGCCAGAGATGCCCAGCAGCGTACCAATCTTCCGAGCGCCCCGTCACGAAAACTGCAAGAGCTGCAGTACTGATGACAACCACAAACATGGCATCGAAGAGGATGTGTGCCAACCAAAGTGGAGCCGGCCGTACACCATTGCTATACTGAAGGTCTCTGATCTTCCTGATGCGCTCGTAACTCGGGTAAAGGGCGAACAGCCCCGGGAAGATAGACATTGCAAGTCCGAAATAGATGACGAGCTGCAAAGAGTCTCCTGTGCTTCCTGAAATTGGCAGAGCGAAGTTGGAGAACCGTGCAAAAATCGGTAGATCCATCAGGTAGGCGTCTATTACCGACTTTGTGATAGCCCCAAAGTAGAGACCGTCATTAATCTTGTAAGACATCGTGACGTTGTTGGACGTCTCGTTACCGAGGAACACGCCACCTGGTGCAACACTGCGAAATCTTTGGTGGATGTAATTATCCCACTCGCCGTACGTGTTCAGTGCCGCAAGGGCCGAGGGCGGAAACCCGCCATAGGGACCGGTAACCGATAGAAAGCGTTGAGGGTCGAATCTACTGGCAGGTGCGGCGGGAATGTCGAGTCCCCAGAATATCGCCACAGAGGGTACGTCAGCAGTTCGCGGAGTGAAAGCAAGGGCATCTGGTGAGCAGTCGGCTCGCTCAAAACTGGTGAGAAAGTTGGTGGTTAGTATAGCTGCGATGATCGGGACGACCAGGCCAAAAGCGTAAGGCAGGTAATTACGAGGCAGAATGCGGAGTCGCTTGCAGAATAGTACTGCGAGCTGACCCACGAAGCCAATGGCTCGACTCTCAGGCAGCGGAGCAAGCCCTTCGTTCGCCGCAACCTCCTGTGCTTTCGTTGATGAGGGGTCGGTTTCTGATATGGTTGACGTATCTTCAGATTCCAATCTGTCCGGCTCCGCCAGGATGGCGGAGAACTCAGGATCCTTCTCAGCTTGCCGGAGGAAAACTTGCTCTATAGTTGGACCGTTGACTTCGTAGTCGTGGATGCCAAGCTTCTCGAGCCCCTCGACGAATGGCCCAACAGACTGAACCGTTGATATGTGATAGATATGGCTTGATCCCCTCGATTCGTAACGAATGTCTTGTCCGGCAGCAATATCCGTGTCAAGAGGTGACTGTAGAACGATCTGGTAGTCACCGCCGTGGCGCTGCTTGAGCTCAACTGCAGAGCCTTCAAGCACGAGCTTACCACTCTCGAGAAGGATGATATGGTCAGAAAGAGCGTCGGCTTCATCAAGAGCATGTGTGGTGAAGAGTATCGTTCGTGCACCTCGTTCAGCCAGCAGGATATCCCAAATCTTACGGCGAGAGACAGGATCCAGCCCAGATGAAGCCTCATCGACGCAGCAGACTCGGCTGCCACCGGTGAAGGCCATAGCAAGCTGCAGCTTGCGTCTCTGGCCACCAGAGAGCGTCTTAGACTTGGAATCAACCTTCTGCTGCAAATCACAGGCTTCGACAGCCTGGCGCAGGGCAGTCTTTGAGTCTCTGGACTTGGCCTTGAGTTCGTTGAAGATTCTGACATGTTCGTACACCGTCAGCTCATCCCATTGAACATTCTTCTGGGGGCATAGACCTAATCCTCCCGTTCCATCAAGCTCGATGAGGCCAGAAGAGAATCGTTCTTGGGCGGTGATGGCAGATAATGTGGTAGTTTTGCCCGAGCCATTCTTTCCGAGCATTGCCACAAGTTGACCTCTTAATGTGGTGAAACTAAGATCGCTCACAGCGTGCACCGTCTCTGCCCGCTTCCATGGAGTTATCCTAGCTAGCCAGGAAGGTCTGTACGTCTTCGAGAAGTGCTGAAGGCGCACTGCAAACGGTCCTTCTTGTAAGTTCTTGTCAGTCGTGCGGGACGATGACGCTGTGCCATACAACAAACGCTCCGCTAGGAGGGTAAGCGTAGGATAACCGACAATCTGAACGGCTGCGGCAGCGAAGTAGAACCATCCGGGAAGCACACCAGGTCCTGAAGGGGCGGCTTGATTGAAGTCGGCGCCGACCAAATTTCGCTCCCAAGCCGCAAGGTATAGCGAGAACATGACATAGTTGATGGGAGGGAAGATGATAGATAAGGCTGCCACGGCCGCTTGTGTGCTCGGAACAGCGAGTTGTGCAATCACCGCCAGAAGACAGGAGGCGATGACAATCGTTATTCCGGAAAGTTGAGCCTTCGGGAAGAAACTGGCTGCGAAGGTACTGTAGCTCGCCAAAGACATACAGATAAGAATGTGGAAGGCAATCTGAGCTCCAGTATCGGAACGGAGGAAGATTCTGGTTCCAATGATTGCGGCAATGGCGATGTAACCTGGTAAATAGATGATCCCAAAGGCGCTGTTGGCGGAGAAGATGCGAGCCGCATGTGATAACCATTGATACTTCTGGGGATTCATGGTATCTATGAGAGCGGACATGCCCAGTTCTCGCTCACGAGCTACATGCCCTGGCAGATGGTAAGATATACCGCACACTCCGATGAACAAAACAAGGCCGAGGTAGTTGACAAGGGCCCCCATGAAGAGGCTCTGCACCTCGTCTTCGCGCTCTTGAAATGTCTCGGAGGTGAATGGATACTCGAACATCGTTTCCGGCAATTGTTGTCCACTGGCTCTGGCGATAGCAGCGTCAATTGCCCCAACGAAAGGTAGGGCGAACAGCTCCGCATCATTGTCGTCTTGGCCGACGTGAAGACGTTGCCCCAAGGAGAAGTCGGTGTAAACAGTATAGTCCCAATTGTCTGCATTACCTTCTGTCGGAGAGTGGAGGAAAGACACTGCGCCGTAACACCGACTTGAGCCTGTTAATGAAGATCGACACCAAGTAGATAAATCAGACGGCGATGAGACGACATGAACCTCGGCACCAGCATCGTTGTACACTTGCGACAGATCATCGCAGGCTTGCTGAATCTGGCCGCCGGCGAAGCCATTGTCCACAATAACAACACGATCTCGTCCAGACTGCGCAGCAAACGCACTGGCGGGGTCACGGATGGGTCGAGGCTCTCCAAAGCCATATATCGAAGGCGGAAGGAAGAACAGGCGCACGTAACTGATCAGCAGTATGAAACCTATCGGCAAGAGGATCGCGCGAATGACAGTAGAGAACCACTGCCGCCACGCGACAATAAGGAGGTTCTTCTTGGTGAGAGTCCATGTTTGACCAAATACGCCCATGGCGAGGTCCGGCCAGCAGGCACGCAAACAGGGAGACCAGGAGTACCAATTAGACTTTGACAGAGGCACAGAGAACGGGTATCACTTGGTCTGTCGACAAGAAGGCTGCATATATTCTTAAACGATAGGAAGGAGTAGGTCTTTACCTCTGATGGCACATCTCGGAGGCGAAACACGCAAAGATGTAGACTTTGTGATGGACCCAATGTAGGCTTGGCAGGAGACGACGGAGGCTATGCTGTGAGCTTGTTATGGAATGAAGTACGACTCTGGGTATAGGAGGAGCGGAGTTACGCTGTCCTGGAAGTTTGCCTGGGCCCTGAGTACTGTGGTAGCGTCCAGTATTGGCCGATTTCCCTGGAGCGTGCGACTGTGCATGTCTGTCAGTTGCCTTTACCATATGTCTTGGCTCCACGTATGCGTAGGCGCAGTTCACGTATCAGAAAGTAGGTCAAGCAGTATGATGAGATCCGTTGCGCGTCATGGAGTTAGGAGATTCCGCTTTGATCTTGTCCGCATCATCATGGACATGAGCTTAGCGTGCTTGGCTCCGCCACCGCCGCGCCGGTGTCAGCCTTGCGCACGCATGAACAGCCTTGTATACCAAGATGATACAGCACCGTGGCTGGCGGCTTTTGTGTTTGCCCATTGGCAGCGGCGTGTATTTGATAGTCGTCGAGGCATGGCCGAATCCTCGCCTGAACGGGATCGCTTCGACCATGGTGACAGTCTGTTGATGAACAAACCCAAGCTTGGAAGTCAACCCTCTATGAAACAGTTAGTCACGTTGGCATTTCCGCCTGCAGCTTCAACTGCTTCTCCGTTGACGAGGCTCTTGCGCTAGAAGCGCAAAGAGGCCATCGGGGCCGAAGTTCGATCATTTCAGGCTGATGGTCGAATTGGGACCGAGCTTCACTGCTGTTGAGTCGGACAAGACCTGCACAAGAGAGTTCATCTCGTGTCGATGGTGCTCTCAAGCAGCACACACAACTCGCCAGTAGTGCCGACGACACCGATCGATGGAATACGCAGGGCAACGTGAAGTAGTCAATCTCGCTGGTGGATGGGTACGGGCAAGTCTGTGCAAGAGAAGAGAAGAGGCTTAGGTCACATGACTTAGGTGAAGACGGTTTCCGGGACTGCCCTTTTCGTCCATGCCGGTCGAGCTCCTCTTCGACGTTCTCGCCGCGACCCAGCGCCGGCAGATTTGACGAGCCTGAACTTCTGGATTGACCACCGGGAAAAGCTGCGCGCAGTTGCAGACCCCAATTTCGGGAGCATGCTGCCAGATTATGAGCGAGAGTAGTGACAGTTCCAGTAAGCATCGGCAATCGTTCCGAACAACACGCAGGCAGTCACCTACGAGCTGCTGTTCCTGCAGCTCGTGCTTGAAGACCCCGAAAAAGCCAGGCAGTGGGTGGCTCGGAAAGGTCGAGCTGCAGGTTGCCCCACCTCGCGTGTATGGGGGCGCGTGAGCCTACATTTTCCGGACAACCTTGACACGGGGGCACCCCCTCTGCCCAAGTAGCAGTCTTCCCCGCATTCGAAGGTCTAGAAACGAGACGGCCTACACCGGCATGCCTCCGTGGGTAACTACCCACTGTAGCCTACGGAAAGGGCTCTGCGGAGTGGACCATCAAGTCTTGAGGAGGGGCACATGGCATTGCTCCCTCCAAGACACACGCTCCGGCCTCAGTTTTTGTTTCCGTTTGTTGTTTGCTTGCTTGCCTGCGCTGACCTCTGCCGACCACCCTGTTGGTACCTCTCCATAGCCCACAGAATCTTTGAGACATAGTTGCCCACCATGTCTACACTCGAGAAGCATTTTTTCAGCGACCCAAGTGAGTGAAGCCAACACACCGTGACCCCTAGCATACACATGTGAAGAACAACGAGTCCATAGCTGCTTCCACGGGCTTGTTATGCTTGCGGCACGCTTCACTACTGTACCATGCCGCAGAAGCGGGACTGCCGCAACCTGAAAGCTGTTTACGACCAGCTCGTGGTGTCTGGCAGTGAACACCTTACCCGCCTAGCTCAGCAGCAGCCATCCCAACCTCTACCCTGTTCCCTGCTGACATCTCGCCCCAACAGCAATCCTCGTCAATGGCGCCCTCCGCGCCCTCACCCTGACCAACCCTTCCCTAGCTTTCGACGAGCCCAACAAGATCATCTACCGCCGGCCTGATTCCTTCAGCTCTGGCGGTGCCAAAGTCTCCATTATCTCGGGCGGCGGCTCTGGCCATGAACCTGGCTTCGCTGGTTTCGTGGGCAAGGGTCTGCTCACGGCCGGTGTCGCCGGAACCATCTTCGCGTCGCCGTCCGCGGAGCAGGTGCGCCGTGCCGTACTGGGTCGCGTACCCACCGAGAAGGGTGTCATGGTCATCACCATGAACTATACCGGTGACGTGCTGAACTTTGGCATGGCAGCGGAAAAGGCGAAAGCCGGAGGCGTTGCTACCGAGTTCTACGCGATTGGAGATGATGTTGGCGTGGGAAGAGAGAAGGGTGGTAAGGTCGGACGCAGAGGCATCGGCGGCGGAATCATGGTGTTGAAGATCATTGGAGCTTTGGCGGAGCTGGGAGGCAGCTTGGACCAAGTGTACAAGCTGGCGCAGCAAGTGTGCGCCAACTTGGTGAGTGTTGGCAGCAGTATGGAGCACGTACACGTTCCTGGAAGAGGGCCCATGGAGAGTTTGATGCCCGTGGGTGATATTGAGGTGGGCATGGGAATCCACAACGAGCCTGGCTCGCAGACCATACAGGCGGATCTGCCGGAGCTGATCAAGATCATGCTGGGCCAGCTGCTGGATCCAAATGACAACGACAGGCACTACGTGGACTTCAAGAAGGGCGATCAAGTCGTGCTGTTCGTCAACAATCTCGGTGGTGTCAGCATGTTGGAGATCGGCGGCATCGTGGCCGAGCTGGTGAAGCAGCTAAAGGCTGACTGGGACATCGTGCCGATCCGCGTGCTGGCCGGCACCTATCTCACCTCTCTCAACGGTCTCGGCTTCAGCGCGTCTCTCCTCCGCCTGCAGGACACGGGTCTCGGCGCCGGTAAGTCGATGCTCGAGCTCCTCGACCTGCCAGCCGAGGCATACGGCTGGGCGGCACCTATTCCCAAGGAGACTTGGGAAGCCAGCAACGAGGGCACATTCGACAACAACGCGGCGTCCGCGCAGCAGGCCGCCTCCAAGTCAAACCTGACGCTGAATCCCGACAAGGCGCACGAGGCGCTCAAGGCCGGTCTGCAAAAGGTCATCGCCGCAGAGGCAGAAGTCACAAGGTTCGACACCATCGTGGGCGACGGCGACTGCGGCATCGGCCTCAAGCGCGGCGCGGAAGCCGTGCTCAAGGAACTCTCCTCCGGCAACAACCCCAGCGACGCGGTCGCATTCCTCAACAAGATCGTGCCCGTGGTCGAAGAAAACATGGACGGCACCAGCGGCGCCATCTACGCCATCTTCCTGAACGCCCTCGCCGCGGGCGTCCGCGCGCAAGACTCCGGCTCCGCGCAGGAGATGGACGCGAAGCTGTGGGGCCAGGCGCTCACCTCTGCGCTGGAGGATCTAAAGAAATACACGCCTGCGGCGCCTGGTGACAGGACGCTTATGGACGCCCTGTTCCCGTTCGTGGAGACTCTGAAGAGCTCGGGCGACGTCAAGCAGGCGGCGAAGAAGGCGGAGGACGGCGCTGAGAGCACCAAGGCCATGAAGGCTAGTCTGGGCCGCGCGGTGTATGTGGGTTCGGAGAGCGAGTGGATGGGTAAGTCATCATCTCAGAGGAATGGGGACGCTGATTTGCTAACAAATGGAACAGGCAAGGTGCCGGATCCGGGTGCATGGGGTCTCAAGGAGTTCTTGCTGGGCTTGGCTGATGCTGTATGAATTTAGATTGAGTAAAGCTTAGTGGTGATGGAAGAGAGATGGGGCACTGTCAATGGATGCGCAGACTTGAACGATTGCAGATGTCGGGGACCCGTAAAATACTTTTTTGAGAAAAGGAGCTTCGGTCCGACTTTACATTCTCATCGCGAACAGCAGCTGCCGGGCGCGGTCACCTAAGGCCTGCCTACTTGCGCTTCGATCTGGCACATGATTCATGTTGTAGAGACCAGACATTGGATGTGACCTCTCAGCGTGACAACGACGTGAACACCAACTCCAATAATCGGGGCGCACAGTAAGAGCGCGGGAAGCCACATAATCATAAGATCGGAAGCCTCTCATTCATGAGATGGGCCAGACCAATTCCTTCATTTCGCAGCTGGAATCCGCACGTGACTATTCTCTACACAAGCTGCTGCCTGCGCTTCTGCCTCAACGGGCGATGACCACCAGCGCCACAGTGGGCGCGGCTATCAGCAGGGTCTCTGACCCAGTCATCAACCGATTATCATCTTCTCAGCAATGTTGACTGGTTTTCGCGTCGGCGGGTGTCGAAGGAGCACGATGTTGGATGCTCGTTTAGTATTGCGATCGCCGTCTGGATTGGTGCAATTCCACCACAATAGGAACGGTGCTCAGCTCAGTAGAACGAGGATAACACTGTCGCCTCGCAGAAACATCTTACTGATGAACCTGTCCTTGTTGACTCCCTTCTTGCCATCTTTGCCACTCTTTTCCGTCCACATTTCTTTCACGTTCTCGAGGACCATGTTGCAGTGGCGATCGAATGCTTTGACTCGTGCCAGAAGCTTTCGGTTGTTCCGGCAATTAATCAGAACTTGACTGTGATTGCGGGTGGCTGTCATGAGGATGGACAGAGGACCGGTTTGAAGCTCATGCTGTTCGAGCAGCGAAACTTCATACTCACTGTACACGGTATTGTCAGTTACCACGCGTCATTCAGAAATGAGAAAGCGCGTTTCATCGTCGCAAAAGCATTGTGCAGAGTCATCTATCGATCGAGCATCGATAATATAGATGAGCATGGATGCGCGACTGTCAGTGGCCGCAAGGTGAGGCGGCGGTGAGGTAGGGCGGGAGTGGGGTGGCGGAGCGGAAATCGTCTCGACAGACCGGGTACGAATGGGTAGGATACGAGATTGGGGTGATGGGAACGAATGAGGGATTAAGGAGCATCAACAAGCACAGAGCGGGGTACGGGTCACTCACGTTAACTCGTTTCTGGGTTTAGCCAGCAGTTCTCTGGGAAACAACAATCAGCAAACTGGACCTCAACCGGATTGGCCACTGGAAGGCAGCGACAGGGATGAGTCACGGGACTCGGAGGTAAGAGGGGAGGCGACGTACTGTATCTTCGACGAGTCGGCCATGACGAGGAATATACTTAAGGCCTGCTGGATTCCTGGCGATGTAAGAGAGATTTTGTCGACCTTGCAGAACGTGAACAACTGCCTCAGAAACTTTGCCAAGACAAACTCCCAAAGGAGTCTAGCGCAACGGGCACCACAGCTCCAACCCGCAGCGTCATTCTCCGCCAAGACATCGACACGCGAGGGACACGGCTACGCGACTTTACAAAGGCTGGGAGACATTCGTGCTTTTGCACAGCTTTAAAGCCACTCGACACATTCCTTCTCTTTTGTATATTCTGCATAGACTCTTTTTATGTTGCACCTTTGTTTTGTAGCAAGATTGAGTCTCTCATTGTACGCGGAGCAAACAACTTGATCGTTTCACACGCGTTCTACGCCTATCACTCGCCAGACACGCAAGCTTGCTTCACTTCAAGCTGACTGATCTGCTGTGTCCCAACACTTGTTACCGACTATGTCAAGGTAGCAGCAGCTTGCCACACCTTTCATCCTTCCGTTCTACCCACCACTCGCCGACCACGAAACCTCTGACGAGCTGTCTGCCGGCATGGCGTCTCCAGATGCTAGTTCTGTGCAGACAGTCAAGTTGAAGGTCCTCTACACGTTCGATGTCGACTCAAAAGACAATCACCTCACACGATGGCCTCAATCCATTCAAGTCAACACCTGTTTCCTCGATAACGTTAGTCAGATCGGCGTCGTTGACCTGCGGACATGCCTCGAAGCTATTGTCACGGCGAGTCCGGAGCTCACATCGCAGGTCGAGATGGACTACGCAGTCTATGCCTACGACTATTCCGAAGATGATACACCACTGGTGGGCCAGGGTTTACTGTCGAAAAACATCGGCGAGGAGGACATGGAGCAGGAGAATGAAGCCATGATCACTGGCCGCATAACCAAGGGCTTGATGGGTCTGCTGAACAAGAATGCACAACCTACTCTTGAGGTCAAGCTACGACTGAAGCCTGTCGCCACTGCTGTGCAACGACAACGCTCAGGTAGCGTCAGCAGTCAGGACGGACGCCCCTCGTGGCTACAGAATCCTGAAGTCGCTCTTCAGCGGTCCGCCTCGCCGATGGACACGTCAGGAATCGAGAACATGCAGCGGATGATAAGCGAGGGAGGTCCTCCACGAGACCGTGATGGCTACGCTCATTCGCGACCAGGCAGCCGTGCAGGAACCCCTGGAGTCCAGCAATCATATGACCAATCGCAGCGGCAGTTGGCGGATGAATACTCGCGACCCAGCTCGAGGTCTGCCATGCGTCAGCCGCCACAGGCTCGGCGTGACTCATTCAGCGGATACTACAGTGCGGATGAGACCATCGAAGAAGGACATGCTCGGAAGCGAGCAAAGATCACAAAGGTCAACGCGCCCAATAAGGGTAGCTTCAACATCGAGCAGCAGCCAGACGGCTTGCGAGCCATCGCTGGCAAAGCGAGCAGCGTGCGCCTCCATCGTCCGACGCCTGTTCATCCCCCAGGCCTTCTCAACAATGTCTTTTCCAACGAAGAGCCTGTACGACCACCAACTCCAGTGCCCAGCACCAAAGCCACCCGCCCACGTGGTCGACCCAGGAAAAACGCGCCCAGTACTCTGAGTGCCGCACCTTCTGTGCAAGCTATTCAACAAAAGGTCGACTATTCCGAATCAGCCGTTCTATCTCCTGACGACCACCGGACACGCAGCGTTTCTAGTACACCCGCCAACATCCCCTCTTCGCCTCCCGTTATGCCCCAGCAACTGCTGCCGCGCACTAGTCCTGTGTTGCCTCCCATGCATACTGGCTCGGTTGATTCCGGCTTTGGCAGTGGCAACATGGATGATGACATCTTTGGCGAAAATGGGATGGTGCAGTTCGATGATTTCGATTTCAACAAAGCAGCAGATGTTAATCTTGACCTCGACTTCGGCCAATTTGATAATCAACAGTACCCTCCTTTATTCGCCGGTAAGACGCAAATACCTGAGGTTCAGCAAGTTCCTACCGATAATCATCACGACATTGCTCAAGGTTACGAGCCTCCAGCTTCACGAGCCTTTCTTCCACCACCCTCTCGGCCCATCGAGCGATCGCAGTCTTTCACGCCCGTTACCCGACCTCAGACTAGCATGTCCTCTCCAAAGCTCGCGCCTGCACCGTATCCTCGAGCTCGTCAGATCACTGAGGAGCAACAAAAGACGCTGCCGAAACTTGTCACACGTGAACTGGCGCCAATTCCTGCTAGTGACCCAGGCACTCGGAAGATAGAGCGGTCTCAGACATGGGCGCCCGATAGTGATGCTTTGATGTCTGAGGCCCTCGCCGGTCCAGATGGATTCCATAATAACATGTCAAGAAGCAAGAAGAGGCCCGGTAAAGAGCAGACCAAAGCACGGCTAGAGAACGCGATCGCTTCTGGCGCAATGCCCCCTTACTGCGACAACTGCGGTTGTATTGAAACGCCGGCATGGAGGCGAGGGTACGCTAAAGTGTTTGATTGTCCCTACGACGATATTGAGACAGGCCTGGGATCTGGCGACATTGTCTACAAGCACCCCCTTACCAATCACGAAGACGGAGCCATTAAAACATTCCGCGGTTACAAAACTGACAAGCGGCCAGAGGATGAGTCCAATGGCTGGAAACAAATTTGCTTGTGCAACCGTAAGTGCTTATAGTTTCGGACCGACACCAATACTGACTTCGATACAGCTTGCGGTTTGTGGTTTCATAAGCAAAAATGTCCCAGACCAAAGGAAAAGTGGCAGAAGGCACCCAAAGGAAAGCGAAAGCGCAACGGCAAAGGCCCAAAGGCCGCAAAGAAGCCGAATGCTCCACCGAACCCTCGGAGCGATGCCCCAACACCTGCTAGCGATGACTCCTCGCCAGCTGACACGGACGCACTCGACTATGATAACGACGAGGACATGCAGGATATGCAGGGTGGCGAGGACGAGGCGACTGAGCCCCAGCTCCCGCCTATGCCGCGAGATACGCGCGCCAGCAGCGCTGATCCACCGGCTCAGGGCTTGAGACGGGCGACCAAAGCGGCTCAGGAGCAGCGTCAGATACAATCAAGCCCAACAAAGGGCGGCAGGTCCGAGGCTGATCCTATTGATGTTGATCTGACCCCAAAGCCACTTCGAAGACAGCTCTTTCCATCACCAGACAAAGCTCCCAGCGCACCTGGGTCTGGGCACGGGTCTGGTAGCAACCCCAGGAATGGGGCACTCCTACCCTCTTTCGTGCGACGCAGTCCTCGCCTTACAAGGACTAAAGACGTTTTCCAAATTTCAGGCATAGCCGGAGCAGTCGCATTAACGGCGGATGGCAAAGAGAACATTATGCCCGAGCTGGCTGTGGAGCATTCCTCCATGTCAATTGATGACCTGTTCGAGGCCAATGGGGATGCATCTCTGTTGCCTCCCTCCACACCTCAACGGCGATCGGAGCGATTACTGTCAAAGACGCCTCAGCAAGGATTTGGCGCTGAGGTTTCAGCGAATATCCAACGAACTCCCAATCTCCGCACCCCGAGACACAAGCAGGCACAGCACCCACTTACAGCGGCCTTGCTGGGCACTGCAGTCAAAGACGTGACTGAGATGACACCATTCTCGCGTTCGATCCAAGACGCCTTGAATGGAGCATTCGTCACACCAGGAAAGGATAAAGGCTCGCGAAAAAGCACCCCTCACAAGGGCGTGTCGTTTGATTTTCCTGACCTGCCGTCTCTGAAGGGTTCATCACCATTTAGCAACGACATGCCGTTCAATATCGCTTTCTCGGAACTTCCAACTGACATTCAAACTGACATGACTATGTTCAGCACCGATGGCCCAATACCTAGCTCGCCACCGAACTACCTCCACTTTATAGATCCAAAGGGCAACGGCGAGCACATCTCAGATGAATGGAGTCACATGGAGGAGCAAACTGCCAAAACGTCGAGCTACCCAGATCCAACTGAATTGGGCATTGCTCCCACAGGCACGCCACGGCGCAGTCCAAGAAACAACAACAAATGAGGTCCTGATTAGACATGGCTTCAACGAATAAACGACAACAACAGTGTGAGAATTTTATGGCAGGATAGCGCGGGAGCAAGACCAGCGATACCTACTGTGATGCGAAAATAGCCAACAATCAAAGAGTAACTGATGCCTCATAACATTCCTTTCTTCTTTTCTCTGCTACATGAGACCCGGTCAAGCTGGCCAAGCCGTAAGCGCCATAGCTATGCACGTTCATCGCCTCGTTTCCATTAACGTTATCGACATTCTAATAACCACCCATTTCTGCAGCATCTTCACCGCTGCCCTCATAAAAGATCGACCTGCACTTGTGGGTTGCATCGACCACTGCCTCAAATAGCTTGATGTCCGGAAGCTCTCCTCTCTCATTCTTTGGCCATTCGGTACTACTCAGAACTCTTACGCCCAGGCCATGGCCGCCATCAAGATTGATGACCTTCCCAACAATCTCGTACATCGCATTGACTTGGAGGTGGGAATCACTGTTCGAGTTAGTCACCCGCGTGGAAGCTGGCTTGACGCTACGGACCGGTTCAAGATTATGGTGGCTGCATCGCTGCCACAGGTGAGCGTCGCCTGATCCCCCGCAACTGTGGTGATGATTCCGAGCAGACGGACTGTAGAGGTCGATGGGTGCGCAGATGGGCCGAAGGCGTGGAGGTGCGAGGGAAGGATTCGTGGCGTTGAGATAGATCCCATGATTGAGCTGTCGAGTCGGCTAATAGCGGAAAGCCCTGTAGAGTGCAAATAGGATTATTGAAAGTGGCAAGACTAGACTGCCGTTGTTGGTGAAGTCGTTAATTGATTTTGTCACGACGCGCCTTGCTGCGTTGAAAAGACGCGACGAGGGGCACGCGTGGCTCGCCCGAACCACCTGCGCCGCCCAAATCGTTCCCCCACAATTGACACCCCTGTCAGCCGGAAGCTTTCCTAACGCCACCACCGGAGACGCTCGTTATCGCCGGTAGCGTAGCCTAGGTCATTGAGATCGTACTATCATCATCATCACCACCAAAGTATTTCCATCTTCACAGCTATTTGGATCGTCCTCATTCGTCTGCCCTGCTGAGAATGCTTCCTTGTGCGTCTGACACGTTCTTAATTAGATGACGACGCCACGTAAAGGCAAAGTCCCAGCCCGAGCAAACAGACCTAAGCGCAAGCTCGAGGACTCCGACCCTGCCACCACTCCATCTAGACGGTCTAAGAGACAAGAGCGAACGTCAACCGAGGACGATTCGGATGAGATAGTTACAGAAAGCCGAAGACGCTCCTTCGGTGCTAAAGGCCCAAGAAAGGAAGCTCAGGCAAAGCGTTCTCCTGCTCCTCCACGGCCAAATCCCGCCTTCGCTGCTATGTATTCCTTCACTTCAGCGAGACCTAAAGCCAATGGCGTGATCGATCTTACGGGCACTCCAAGCCCGGAGAAGAGAAAGCCCTCCTTCTCTACTCAGAGTCCCAGGAACTTCGCATCTCATCAAGGTCCGAGGAAGCTTGTGGTCAAAAACTTGAGGACGACACCGAAAGTCGATCCGCAGCAGTATTTAGACAAGGTGTGGCAGCAAGAAGAAACGTCTCTGAGTGCCATATTTCGCAGTGAGAAAGAGCCATACTCGCTGGAAGAGCTTTACAAGGGTGCAGAGAACGTGTGCCGGCAAGGCAAGGCACCAGACCTGTATCACCGGCTCCAGACGAAGCTCACGGACCATCTTGCCAACATTGTGCGGCACCGGCTGAGACTACTGGCAAAGACAGCTTCTGATGTTGACCTGCTGAAAGCTTTCGTCCATGAATGGCATACGTGGAAGAAGCAATTGCTTACCGTTCGTCAGATTTTCTACTACATGGATCAATCATATCTGCTGAGGTCAGAACATCCGAGTGTTACTGATGCAGGCTATCAATTGTTCCGCGAACTTGTCTTTACATATGACGGTGTATACGAGAAGGTGCTCGCTGGAACCACTGCGCTCATTGATGGAGATCGTGATGACCAAAGCGCGGGCAAAAATAATGAGTTGCTTCAGCACTCCATCGACCTTTTCCAGGAACTAGGAGTGTACTCGACAGATTTTGGACCTGCATTTAGAACGTCTTCGGAGAAATACTTTCGGAATTGGCGGGCCATACAGCCCGGCAACGACGAGCTTGCACGCTATGCCACAAACTGTACGATTCTACTCGCTGTCGAGATGAAGAGGTGTGAAGTTCTGGAGTTGGATCGGACTACCAAAAACACACTCTCGGATCTTTTCGATGCAATATTTGTGGAAGAACAAGTGGACCTGCTGACGGACGAGGACATGGTTATGGACATGCTTGAAGGTGACATGACAGAAGAGCTGGATCAGACTTACACTCTTCTTGAGCGAAAACATCTTGGAGGCAATCTTGGTCCCATATTCAACAAGTATGTTGATACCGAAGGGAGTTTCATTGTCTTTGACGAGAAGAACGAAGCCGACATGGTCATTAATCTCCTCGCATTCAAGAAACGCCTGGACACGTTCTTGGACGTCTCATTTCATAAAAACGACACCCTTGGCAACGGATTGCATAAGTCATTCGAGGCATTCATGAACAAGACGAAGAAGACTCAATCAAATTGGGACACTGATAATGCTAAGCCGGGTGAAATGATCGCCAAACACATCGACTTGCTGCTCAAAGGTGGAGTCAAGGCGGTGCCTAAACTCGCACAGCAAGAGAAGGACAGTTCCCAACCAGAAGAAGAGCATGACTTTGACGAAGACGACGGAGATCAAGAGCTCAAACAGATCAACCACCATCTGTCCAACGCCCTTGATCTGTTCCGCTTTGTGCACGGAAAAGCCGTTTTCGAAGCATTCTACAAGAAGGACCTGGCTCGTCGTTTGCTCATGGGTCGATCGGCTTCGTTTGACGCGGAGCGCAGCATGCTGACCCGGCTCAAGAACGAATGTGGTCAGTCTTTTACCCACAACTTGGAGTCTATGTTCAAGGACATGGATCTTGCTCGAGAGGAGATGATGTCGTACCGACAGCTACAGGATGACCGTGGCGAAAAGCTCTCGGGCCCCGACCTTTCGGTCAACGTCCTCTCGGCGGCGGCGTGGCCTACTTACCCCGATGTGCCCGTCAATATCCCACAGAATATCGCCCAGGTAATGACCAAGTTCGAGGGCCACTATCACAATAAGCACTCAGGACGTAAACTCACCTGGAAGCATGCTTTGGCTCACTGTCAACTACGCGCCAGTTTCAATAAGGGACGCAAGGAGCTCGTCGTGTCTGGTTTCCAAGCCATCGTTCTACTTCTCTTCAACGACGTCGCCTCGACAGAGACCATAACTTACCGTGAGCTCTCCTCTGCAACCGGCCTGTCTGACGCCGAGCTGAAGCGCACGCTTCAATCCCTTGCATGCGGCATGTATCGAGTTCTCACCAAGTCACCCAAAGGCCGCGACGTCAACGACACAGATACCTTCGCCTTCAACTCTAGGTTCGAGCATCCAAAGATGCGCATCAAGATCAACCAGGTTCAGCTGAAGGAGACGAAAGAGGAAAACAAGGAGACGCATCAACGCGTAGCGGCGGATCGGCACTATGAAACCCAGGCAGCGATAGTACGCATCATGAAGAGCCGCAAGACCATTGGCCACAATGAATTGATTGTCGAGGTCATCAAGGCCACAAGGAGTCGCGGCGTGTTGGACCAGGTCGATATCAGGCGGAACATTGAAAAGTGAGTTGTCTCCCTGATACATATTCTAGTGCTGGGCGAAGCAATGACTGACTGATTATTCTAGGCTCATTGAGAAGGAATACATGGAGCGCGAGGAGGGCAACAAGTATTCTTACATGGCTTGAATCCCGAGCTTGTTCACCGTTTTGCTAGCTCCCAACGTTGGTCTACTTATGCAGAAGCTACGAAACAAGGTTGTGCGACGGGCATGATCAGCAGAAGGCAAGAGATCAAGTACAACTGCACGGACACCCTGTGGAAATTTTTGGTCTTATGTAGCACGATGGCAAACGCGGCGTTGGCTATTCCCAGAACCTAACTTCTTGACTTTTTTTTCATCACCAAATCTTTCTTTCCGCATTTTGTCGCTCTTTCTACACTCTTTTCCGACTGGCAATCTCAGGGAATCGCCCCCTCCAACCCTGAGTCCTCGCCATGCATAGCCCTGAAGAGCGGCTCCCACACGGTGACGGCGCGAGCCGTCTTGTACCCGTTGGCCATCTCCGGCAGATCGTAGTAGAAGATCTGATCTGCGGACGCCTCGACCGCCTGGCCGGTCTTGTCGTTGGCTTCGTCGTGCAGGAGGAACTCGTCGTAGGCTTTGATGACGGTGGAGATCTTGGTTACGCTGTGTTCGGGGGGTGGGACAAATTAGTCTGTTGTTGGGGGGTGTTGGGCGGTGTGTAGAGGGGCAATATGAGGAGGGTGAGGTGAAGAGGGGAAGTGGGTGGAAAGGTGGACGCACCATTCGGGTGACACGGCTTTGATCATCTCGGGGGGCACAATGGGCGTGTCAACCGCGCCAGGAAGGACGCAGTTGATGGTGATGTTCTCCTTTCGCTTCAGCAGCGGGGCGATGCCACGCACGAACTGTAGAACCGCCGCTTTGGCGCCGCAGTATTCCGGGTAGCTGCGGTGGGGGAAGATGGCGCCGATGGAGCCAGTGATTATGATCTTGCCGCCGGGGGTTGGGTTGTGGCGCATAAAGTGTGTGGCGAGAGTGGTGCCGTAGATGACGCCCTTGTAGTCGATGTCTGTACAGCTCAGGTCGGGCTCCGGTGGGAGCTCGGAGAGGGGCTTGTTGCGATGTGCGTAGAGGTAGACCGAGGAGAGGTCGACGATGCCGGCGTTGGCGGCCAGGACGTCGACGCGGTTCCACTTCTGGTGAACAGCTCGGAATAGGGAGGATTGTGAGGCGTATGATTGGAGCTCGCAGGGGAAGAAGTCAGCGGTGGCGCGGGAGGCGTCGAGCTCGTCGGCAAGTCGATGGCCTGGCTCTGCTTTGCGCCCGACAATGGCGACGCGATAGTTGAGTTGGTGGAAGTGGCGAGCTATGTCAATGCCCATGCCGGACTATGGGTGGAGATGTTAGTCCGCATTGAATAGACGTCAAGAGCCTGTCGGTTCATGATCGTGTTCGGGGAAGCTGTTGCCCTCGTGCGCGGTCTTCTAGACTTACCGTGGCACCGGTCACGATAGCGACCTTCCTCTCCTCAATAGAGCCCATGTTTGCAACCGAGACTTTCGAGGACGTTCTATGTCAGCGTCTAGTGTCGTTTACTGGTCTGTTCAGCTTGGTCAACGGTCGAGTAAGTCACCGTGTTACCATGCGACTCAGAATTAGCATGGCATCAAACCAAGGCAACGATCTTCAGGATCCACATGCTGGGTGCATCAAGGCCTTTGTCCCTCGCAGCAATGCGTCAGCAATGGTCCTCGCTCATTTGGAATTTTGTGTCGCAGCATCTGGCAGTCCGGGTCGCAGGTGCTTGGACGAATTTCATGAATGGGCTGCACATTGTTGCCAGAGATGTCTCAACTTCTCCCTGTGTCACTGGGACTCGCATATTCACATGTGCTTACCTTCACTCTGCATCAATCCTGGTGCAGTGTGAAACGCCGGGTCCATGCAGATCGAGCGATGTGGAGGCGCGTTCGGGTGTCGGCTATGGGTCATCCCGCAGTCGTTGCTGGAGCTTGTTCAAGAGTGCAAGCGCAACTGCATGCGGCATCAAGCCAAACGCTGGCTTGGAGACGCCAGGTGCTGAAAGGCAGCGAGCAGAAAAGCGGTGGAAAGATAGCATGATGATCGACACGATGGCCGGCGACAGACGCAGTGGAGTGGAATTAGGGTTTCCACTGCCAAGCTTCTCCTCAGACTTCGCTTCTTCATTGGTCACACGCCGCAGGAAGCATCCGCCTCCGCTTCTGCCGCTAACACCCTGGCTTGACGGGGAAGAACGTCGATCAGCAGCTCATTTGGAAAGCGATCATGTTCAATTAGATCCACCTACGGACGATAGGCTATGTTCGCTTAGCATATTCGTGGCAGCTATGTATGCATATGTAGGCTGGCTCGTTGGCATTGCAGACAGTGAAGCGAGAGCTCTTCGCGCCTTCGCTACCGACCATGCAACTCTGGTGACGCTTGATGAGCTCAGGATGTCAACACAGCTCCTATCTGATTCTCAACGCTGGTCGCCATCATAATACTCTCCATGGCTTTATCGCTGAATTCATGTTGCCGCCTGAAATAGATATTGCTCAAGTTGATCTCAACCGCCTGACCGTACAACTTCGCGGCCGGGACTGTTCGACCGTTGGCATCGGTGATATCCCCTCCATCTATAAGTCGACACACGGCATCAGAGATATTCTCCACTGGTGTGAACATGTCCTGCGGGAAGCCAGACCATCCTTGTTTATCCAGCAGGTTGGTTCGGACAATGCCAGGGCAAATTGCATTGACTCGGATGCCCTCGAGGCGGAAATGCCCTGCTATGGCTCGCATGAAACCAAGAGCACCAACTATCGTCACATTAGCGTAACGCCCTGCCTCGCCGGCGAACTTACACTTCGCAGCCGTATACAAGGGCGAGTAGTACGATGCGTACAGGCCTCCACAGCTTGAATTCAGTATCAAGCTGGTGTCTTTGCCTTTGTGAGGCGATCGACGGAAGTAATGCAGAGCCAGGTAGGCCATCGTTGTCAGCCCTTTGAGATCAACATCGATGCTGGTCTGATCGAGCTCCGGCGGTGCTTCGATGCCTACTTCGTGGGTGCCATAGAAGTTCTTCCGCTCGATCACCCCGGCATTGGCGAAAACAAAGTCCAGCTGCCCCTTGGATTGAAAGGCTGACTTCACTGCAGCAGACAAAGAGCTGTACTCGGCGACATTCGTCTGATGGAACACCGTGTTCGGCATTTCGATGCTAGCCTTGGTACCAGCTTCTGCATTCATGTCGAGAATGTGAACCTCCCAGTCAGATCTCTTGCTTAGTGCTTGGGCTACTGCATGGCCCATGCCACTTGCTTGCCTCGCTATTAGTGGGGATACAAAACAGCTTCATGGTACATACCACCTCCCGTTATGATTGCGACTTTAGTCATAGTTCCTTGCTAAAGTCTCAATGTATTTCCGAATATGACAACAAATGGACAAGAGCATGAGATAGCAAATCAACAGAATATCACTAGCACACTTCAGGATCAAGAGCCCTTGGGCTTATGACCTTGTTCTTTCGCGTATTGATAGTTTCGGGACTAACCGTGAGGGGAGCTTTGTTGGAACTCTGTGGGGTTACTTTTTCGGCAGCCCTCGTTCCGTCAGTAGGAGACCTTCTCTCGGGCCGTACACGGTCCGCCTAATAGCGGAAGCCACCGCTAACTTGTGCCCAGAGCTTTCGCTTGTGGGTCGATGCAGTGTCAGAGGCCGAATCAACATAAATCCCCAAGCTTCGTTCCTGACAAGGCTGTCGATCCTTTCTTCCCGATATCCACTCCTGGCGATCTTCATATCCCTTCCTCATCGGGTAGAATCACCGTTGAGACACAGATTGGAGCACTTGAAGTCAGAAGAGGAAGACCCATACACCTTGAGTCTTGAGCAAGGAAGTCATGCTACAACGAGCCAAAAGCAGCTGAGTACTCCCGGGACGACCTTGACCAGGGCACCTTTTGCTAGTCAGTAACACTGTCTCGACCTTTCATGAGGACACTGGATGGTTAGAAAGCAGCGCTGCCTCCGCGATTTACTGTGACTAACATAATGGAAATTCTCTCCTTAGCGACACACCAGCTGCTCGGGCTGTTTCGCAGCCCACGAGGCTCCATATACCAGGGTCTGAAGTTCGTCCCGAGATGGGATTGTGTGCGGAGTACCCTCCAACGCCGTTGCTGACACCGTTGTCCCCTTTTCACAGATCATCTCCCCTAGCCGTCGCGGAAGCTGCTCTCAAACATCCTGAACGTCGATCATCCCCACGGAAGGCTGGCATGAACAAGTACCGTTATTGACAGTCCGTCTATGGCACAAAGCATCTATCTTCACCAAGGATCCATATACTCCACGGCTCTTGATATACAAATGATTTTTCCCTTGAAGTTGGACTTGGACTGCTCCTGCCGTCGGAAAAGCTGTCAATCTCCATCATGGCCGATGCTCTTACCACAGAAGCCTTTGCGGAATACGGCGTTGGCTGTGCCTTCCTGATTCTGCGCATGGTCGCCCGTATCATCGTCGTTGGGTGGAGGAATCCCGCCTGGGATGACTTGTTTTGCGTTTTGGCCATCGTAAGGATTCGAGACTCTCTTAGTGTTGGGCACCACTGACCAGTCCCAGATATTCTATACGCTTGTCACCGCCAACATCTATCTTCTCGGCGTTTATGGCAACAACATAGGCCTCAACGCGGAGACCGCTCTCGAAGTTCCGGTCGAAATGGAGGCCGATATGATCTTCGGATCGAAGCTCGCGTTCATGAACTGGATCTGGTACATCAGCTACATCTGGTCGCTGAAAGCCATGCTGCTGTTCCTATACGCCCGCATCAGCACCGGACTCAAGCAGCATCAACGAATTGTCCAAGCCGTGGGTATACTCACGGTGATGACTTATCTGGCTTGTCTCCTAACGCACATCTGCATCTGTGTGCCTGTCCATCGCGTCTGGCAGATCAAGCCCTACCCGGGCGACTATTGCACCATCAGACAGCCAAACTACTATGTGATTGGAATTCTCAATGTCTTGTAAGTCACGATGCCTCCGATGCAGGCCCATGCAGCTGACTTTCCACAGAACTGACATCTGCGTCCTTCTCATCCCCTTTCCCATCCTCTTCAAGCTCCAGGTTCCTCTCCACCGCAAGATCGCTCTGGGTTTCCTCTTCTCCTCCGGTTTCTTCGTTATGATTGCCACCATTCTGCGCGCATACTACTCGCTTGGAGCTATCGAAAAATTGCCCATCGCTCTTGGCTGGGCGACCCGCGAAACGTTCGTCGCGGCCGTCGCAGTGTCCTTGCCCGGTATTCGCCCCTTGTTCAGCAAGTCTCGCTGGGCGGGATCAAGCGCCAACCGATCAAAAAAGACCGGTCCTGGATCGTATCCTATGCAGAGCGGCATGCAGCGGTCGCGCAACAGGACGGGTGACTTTGGCAGCTCCAACACCTACGTCGAAGACAGCAAAGGTTTCGGTATGTCTTCCCGGAATTGGAGAAAATCGACAAAGCTGTCGTCGAGCAACGGAAGCGAAGAGCATATCATCAGCACCAAGAATGAAGACGGGCCGACAGAGCATAATGGCATTACGGTCACACGGGAGTACACGGTCGCACACGAGGAGGCAGCTGTACGGGATCCCACAGCATTGCCTCGCGCTCGCTGAATGCTTGACGAACCACAAGTCGAGATACAATATGCATGGTAATGAGGGCATTAGAGCCCACTTGGTGAGTTATCAACCATATCTGACATCTTTGGTACACAATGTTTTATGGGGAGAGGAATGTGTAAATTAGAAGGACCAACAGTCACGGCTCATGACTGCCAACGAGGACATGTAACAACCCACTGAGAAGCTCCATCCCGTCGCTCGACCAACAGCACCTACCGCCAGTTTCGAAACAGATTGTGCATCTTTGTCCTCGGGCACAGCAGGATATCCACGCAGTTCTTCCCGCGCTGATCTTCTCGTGCCACGGAGTATTTCTCAACGTCCTAGACATACCCCATCGCCCACAATTCTGCGGCGCTAGTCTCAAACTAACTAGGACGGGGCTCCTACAGTAGCCCCCCGAGATCGACATTGCCGCAATTTAGCGCACACTATTTGGCCCTGCACGAGCGACTGGGGGTACCGTAAGTGCTTAGCGGTCTCCATAACTTGACTAGTCGTGGGAGCGAGCATAATACGGAGTATGGACGGAGTACTCCAATGGTGAGGCGATATTTGCTTTCCATATCCCAAGAAACGTTCGACGTAGAGGAAACTCCACCGCCGGCCCTGACCGTCTTTCCTCCCGTGTGAAGTGGGGGGCGGGCAAGGCACCTCCACTGGGCATGCTCCTGCTGGAGGCGTCAGACCACTATATCTTCCATACTTGTACTGTGTGGTCGCACAGTGGGCAGATTCAGGTCCACGGCTCAGAACGTGACAAGCGGAGTGAGGAGGGGTTCATACTCCGTATGGCTCGAGGAAAGCACTACTGTACTTCGATATCCCAGGAACTCGCCCTCGTCCTGCTCCACTGAAGGGCAGTCTTACTCCTTACCCTATCATCGTGCGTGGCCCCAATAGGTACAAGTAGTCAGGGAGATCGTCGCCTAAGTATATATGTACTCCGCAGGTAAGCAACGTAGCTAGGGAAGTGACCGGGGTGCATGATTCCAACCGGCAGATTCAACACCCTTGACCGCAGACCTAGTCTCGCTCTACAGTAGGCGAGGAGTATCGCGCCCGAGATCTCCTCTTCACTATCAGTCGTCGCTACTGCAAACGGAGGACCGGCAAAGCCAATGGTTTCGCGAGCGAGAAAGCACCCCCCAATTTTCATTTGTACACATGTGACAAGACTCGCTCTGAGCTGCATTCGCTTCCGTGCACAATATATGCAGCTGAGCCGCACATCACTTCCCTTTCCTGCAACCACCACCACTCCCTTGAGCTGCCTCGTGGGCGCTCTCTTTTGCCTTTTCCCTTTCGGATAGCTGCGTGTTTCTTTGATTCCTTTCTCGCCCTTTGTTTTTCCTCCTATCACTCCCAAGCGCGGTGCAGGGAGAGATTAGGTCCAGCGTTTCACCTTTCGTCCTTGATTCCTTCTTTTCTCCTTTTCCTTGCAGCGATACACATCCCACCCCTGTCCTTGCGTGTTGCTGCATTCTGCTTCGCCTTCGCCAAGCCAACAAAACAAACCAAAGGCTGCATCCCAGCCCAAGATATGGCGGGCCAGCAAGACGTCGAGGCCGCGCCTGGCAGCCAGGGAGGGGAATCTGAGGTCGTGCAGCTGCCGGAGCCGCGGTCGAGCACGACGGAGTCGCCCCATGCATCTGCACCTGCAGCGGCACCTGCAGCTTCGAGCCAGGACCAGAATGAGAAGACTCTGTCTCCTGCGGCGGCGGAGAAGGTGGACGAGGTGGTGCCGAATGGCAACAGCAACGGCAACAGCTTCATCGAGCCTTCGTCGTCGGCCTCGCCTTCGGAGAAGCGGTCGCTCAACAATGATGGCAATGGGGATGAGCCTGAGCCTGTTGTGTCGCTCAAGGTGTGGATCGTGGCCGTGGTATGTCGTCTCGTCTCTCCCCTGCTCACCACCTGTGGTTACGCCCATGCTAACAGGCCCCCAGATCCTCTCCTGCGGCTACGGCCTTTCATTCTGGCCCATCCCCGTCGTGGCCGCCATCGGTGTCCCCCTAGCCACCGACCTCGGCGATCCCACTGGCTACGTATGGTGGATTCCGGCCTGGACCGTCTCCATCACCGTGTCGTTCATGATCTTCGGTCCCAACACCGATCTGCTCGGCCGCCGCTGGTTCCTGGTCCTCGGTAACCTCGTTACCACAGTCGGCCACATCGTCGTGGCCACAGCCAAGAACACCAACCAGGTCACCGCCGGCCTGGCCATCAGTGGATTCGGCGGCGCGTGCTGTCAGATGGCGGCCTTCGCGCTGCCAGAGCTGCTGCCGAACAAGTGGCGCCACATCGGAGTCGTCATTGCAGATCTGGTCGTGTACGCTGCCGTCATCGTTGCGCCGGTCACGGCGAGGTACGGTTACGAATTTAACCAGTGGGAGTGGAATTTCTGGGGTTGCACCATCTTCCAGTTCCTGAGTTTCGTCGGCCTCCTGCTGCTCTATTTCCCACCCGCGAGACCAAACGGGTTGCCGATTGCCACCGTCATCAGAGAGATCGACTACCTCGGCATCGTGCTGTTCACCATCGGCGCGGTCCCTGTGCTGGTCGGCATCGTATACGCAGGTCTATTCCCCAGCGACGATCCGCACGTGGTGGCCAATCTGGTAGTGGGATTCTTCTTCCTGATCTGCTTCTCGCTGTGGGAGACGTTCGGCAAGCTCAAGCACCCTCTAGCGCCGACACACATCTTCACCAGCTCGTGGGGCCGGGACTTCACGGCGCCCGCCATCGCGCTTGGCGTCGTCAACATGTTCTACTACTCCAGCTCCATCGTGTGGCCGCTGATGATCCAGAACTTTTACACCAACGGCGGCGCCGACTGGGAGTACGGCGTCATCCTGTCCCTGCCACAGGGCTTCGGCATCTTCTTCGGCGCCATGTTGCTCACGTGCCTCGGCAGCCGGATCAAGAACTGGCAGTGGCAATTGACCGGCGCCGTCTTCATCATGGTGCTCTTCGGCTCGCTGTTGGGCATGGTCACGCCGGATAACAAGGGTCTCATGACTGCGTTCTTGTTCCTGAGCCAGACCGGTTTCGGCTGGGCGCTGTACCTCGCCATCGCCATTACGCAGATGGGTGTCGAGCAGAAGGACCTGGGTATTGCAGGCGGCGTGTCCGGCACGTTCCGCTTTGCGGCCGGTGCCATTGCCACGGCTGTTTACACCACGGTATTGAACAACAAAGTCGCCGAGGAGACCGCGAACCTTGTCCCGCCTGCGGCTTTGGGTGCGGGATTGGAGGAGACGGATCTGGCGGGCTTGTTCGAGGTTCTGGGCACGCCGGCCTTCGCTACTGAGTACGGTTCTGAGGTTGTATTGGCGGTGACCGAAGCGATGAATGAGGTGTATTGTCGCGGTATCTTGTGAGTCTTCCCCTCGCCCTCTGGTCAACTGATCTCCTGCTAACGATTTTGCAGCCTCGTCGCGATGGTCTCCCTGGCATTTGGTATAGTGGGCTTAGTCGCCTGCGCACTGTGCAAGGATGTGGATGCAAAGATGAACAACAAGATCGAGGTGTACCTGGAGAACACGAATCTAGCTGACAGGAACAAGTACCACTGAATAGACCTAGAGATTTAGAATCCTCAAGTAGCCGGACAATGAATCAGACATCTTCTGAACTGAACAGTGTATATCTCTGACAGCCTCGAGCAAGGAATCTAAGTCGATTCTCGTTCAAGAGCTATCAGCAACCTTCGAGTCGTGTTCAATCGAGACCAGTGGTCCACTGTTTGCCTCGTAGGTCGTAGACTCGATGCTCGACCACAAGCGCTCCGTGCTCGGACATGTTGCGTCTATAGGTCAAGGTCGCAGAGCCAGTCGGATCGCCCGGCAGCCTGACACGGAGGTCCTGAATCCGGCACCACTCCGGCAAGGTGGGCTCACGCAACTCACCTATGTCGGGCAGATCTGTGAGCTCGAAGTCGCTCTGCAGCTTGACGTGGGAGTAAAACACGATCTCCTCGACGCGCGCCACCTCGGCGGCGATGCAAGCCGTCAGCTCCGCATGCCACATGCCCTCTTTGTGCACACTGGAGCGTATCAGCGCGATGGCATGGTGGCGGATGCGTGGCACGCGACAGCGCACGGCGATGAAGTACAGGCCCGGTAACCAGCCTATATCGATCACAGGCTCTGATTTGAATTCGGCTTTGATGCCCAATACGGCCGATTTGAGGCCAGGGACATGTGACATCTTGTAGAGGCCAATGGAGCGCTCGAGCATGGCGAGGAAGCCGGGCGTGTACGCATCATAGGTCATCTCGCTGGGTCGCGTCAGGTACGCGGCCATAATGGTGGCCATAGCGCAGAAGTTGAGTTGGGAAGTATAGGTGATACGGTCGCGGAGAGTCGCGCGTTTACCGACGTTGGCCATGGTGGCGTTGCTGGCGGAGAGCCAGATGCGCAGTTGCAGCTGGATACGCTGAGCTTCGCTATAATGGCGAACGGTCTTAGTGAGGGGCTGAGGAGGGTTGTTTAGCGGCGGACTGTTGAAGAGATATAGCACGCGTGCAAGGAGAAGGTCGAGATAGCAGCGCGACTGCAGGGGTGAGGCAAATGCTGTGGGCAGGTCTATGTAAGCTACGCCAGAGTAGGCCGGATGAAGAGGCTCGGAAAGCTGGCCGAGCAACATTGCTTGAAGGTAGAGACGGAGCAGCGGCTCGATGGCCCAGTCGAGAAGAGGAACGTCATGGTCTGCGTCTATTAGACGTGAGTCGTGATTCGGACTGGGCAGCTCTTGAATGAGCTTGAGACCATAATGAAGATGTGTCAAGCCCGCCTGAATACGGCCGCGGAGGAACTCGATGTAGACGAAGACGACACAAGAAATGATGGTAACGCGTATTGTTGACTGGTCGCTGGTGGAGATGTCTGGCTGGAGTTGTTTCATAGCTTTGCCATAGTGAAGTAACATGAACTGGCCCAAATTGGCCAACATGTGGCGATTAGTATACCGATCATCAATCGTCTCTGATTTGTGAATCGTGCTTAGGGCAAGAACGGCGTTGAGGACTGCAGGCTCACTCGTACTCGCTTGAATCAGAGTCGGTTTCCAGAACCTTGGGACGAATAGGCCCGGTAATTTGAACGCGGAGCGACCAACGAACCAGTCAAAGGACTCGGCCTCCATCGGAGTGACCTTGCGCATGCCGAGAGCATGGGGTAGACTAGTATGGGATTGTACTACCCTTACGGAATGGGGAGTCATTGGCACGGTGCATGCATCGAAGCAAACAGGCTCTGAAGCTCTGGAGCCACCGCCCCAGATGCCGTAGCCATCGCATACACGTCCGGTTGAGACGCATCTCTGGCAAGCTGGTCGTCCTTCATCGCATTTCACTTTGCGGATCCTAGAAGTACGTCAGACTCCTATAGTAGCGTCGATCGGTTGTCCCTCACTTGCATGTGCGACAACCACTCTTGACCTTGATCTTAGGTCCAGGTCGCGTTCTTGGCCCTGCGTTGTTACCGTTTGTGCTGGGTCGAGCCATCGTGGTCGAGGCGTTACGTTGGATACCTCAACCAAGAGGAAAAGACCGACATGGCCACCAAAGAGCGAGACCAGCGATCTCAGCCAACAAGCACGGTCACAGTGTGATGCCGCGATGATGGCAGTGGGGAGCGAGGTTCAAAGATGGAGACAATTCGGATTCGTGCGCTCGGATTTGCACATCGCTGATTGGTCTCTCGTATTCCACTATACGAGAGCATTCCTGTATGCGACTGACATCCGGCGATATGACTTCGATGTCCGATATAGCGGACTTACTGCTGGGTGGAGATTCGGCGGAAACACGCGAAGGTAGGACGGATATGTATCGAGCTGGCCTATTCCTATTCCTTCTCATGCGTTGTGTCCAATTTATCAGTCTAGGAACGAAATCCTAAATGCCATCCAGTGACAGAGTCCCAGAGACCGCGACACCAGGACACAGAATTAAGGGCGTTTGACGAAAATCTTCTTCGGGCCCTGTGGCCAAGGAGAACGGGCAGCCCTGGAGCAATGTTCGATGGCGGTAGATGGTGTGGGCTTGCTATGATGACCGCTCTCACAGCCAAGTCGGTTCCATACAATCGAAGTGTGCGCGAAAGTCCATGGTCTGAACCATGAAGTCTGGACAAAGACACAGCTCACACTGTTTCAAGGGGATCAAGTTGCCAATACGAAGGTGAGAATTCGCTCCATTCGAAGACGTCCGCCGAGTCAGACAACAATACAAGCTCAAGTAACTCACAGTATTCTTCCTGAACGGCTCGAGTCCTATTGTTTAGCAGCTCGTTGCCGAACCTGGGGCATTCAGGGACGTCTGAGAAAGAAGGAGACAATGTTTCGGCCAGGGCTCCTCGAGTGCTTGTGGTGATAATGATTGACCGCTCAAGGAAGCAGGAGCAAGTCTGTCGCCAGCTTGCACGTCGGGGGCCACCGGGACATACAGTCTTCCAGACCAGGACCACATGCAGCTATGCGCGCTCATGCGGTCGCCAGCATGATACAACGAAAATCGAAGAGGTCTGACAAATCTCACGGCAAGAGATTTTGACATGTCGACAGCTCTTTAGAGGAGCACTGCCCCGTTTTCCGTCTAGGGCCGGTGTCTTAGCAGAATCTCTGCACACCGTCGACCAGAGCGCCAGCTACTCATCCCGCCGTCTCTTACCCCTTTCTCGACTCTCATCGATGTGGCGCTCGACGACACCACTGCATCAAGCACCCACTCCAGCAGATGAGACTCATACCAAAGACGCACCATTGGTCAACGCTGCACCAGCCCTCCAGCAAGCCCAGCGAGCGTCGGTCCTTGTTGCCATGCTGAGTTAGGCTGAGCGAGAGCCTGGACCGTCGAGCAGAAGAGAGTTCCCCGGCCACGGGAAATGAGACGCTGGGGTGCCTTGGGTGAGTCTGGGTGCCAGTGGTGGGTGTTCCCCGCAAGTGCGATGACTATTGAAAGTCCTTCCAAAGTCACAATGCACCCGCTGCCATGCGAACTGCGAAACGAGTATCTGCCTGCGCCGCATAAGCATACCAAGCAGGCTGGGCCATATCGAGCACGGCCGAGGCTGCAGCAGAAGCAACAACCACAGAGCTGCCAGCCCCCCCCAGCGCCATCAGCTCTCCCTATTCGACGCTCAGCACGCGATCAGCTGAACGCTTCTAGAAGCCCTTCTCCTGCATGAGGCTACCGTATCCGTACGGAGTACTTCCACTAGCCCCCAGGAACCATCAACCATCAACCAGAAAACAATCCCGATCGCGTGGCCCTTAGCGGCCCTGCCCTGCCCTACCCTGCCGTACAAAATTGGGTTGGGTTTACACCCCATTGGGGTAAACCCTCCCGAGAGATGGCCGTGATTTGTGCCTGCGTTGGGGAGGTCCAAGCAGCCAGCACGCCCAGCACCCAGTACTTAGCACCCGGCACCCAGAAGCGCCTACATGCAGCCTCGCTAGCCCTTCTAAACGAGATCACTCCGTCCCCGTACACAATACTTGGCTCCATCTCCGTACTGTCCTCTGTACTCCGTCGATACGGGGAAAAGGCGTAGCGTAAGCGCCAAGGTATCCCTTCCGCGACGGGAGCCCCCGGTTACCCCGTCTCTCCACCGGGCCACTACCACCCCCCTATCTACAGTATCTCCCCGGGACTTGGCTTATCGTGGGCGGGAAAGGACAACTGCTTTTGGTAGGGTTGGCAAAGTGACATGACTGGGGGCACGTTTCTACGGAAGTCTTTTGCTTGTGGGAGAGAGGTGGGTAAGGAAACTGTCTTGCTCTAGTAGTTTTATTGTACTGAGGCTGAGTGTATTTGGGTGATGCTGCTGCTGTCGGCTCGAGGCCCGCCAGATGTAATCCTGAGCCCGTGCTCAAACAGCTATGCCAGTTCGTATCTTTAATTTTAGTCGTATCCGTCTAGATGCGCTCATCGTCCCTGATGTGTCGCTTAATGCCAATCAACTGGCCCATCTCCAGCCAGAAACCAGTGGGTGGGCTGACAAAGCTAGCCTCGTACGCGTCGATCACTGGTCGTTCCCAGACCAGGTCGAGCTCGGCCGGCTTGATATACTTGGTGCGCTTGATCAACTTCCAGCCAAAATACAGAACTGGAGCGAGAATCTGCATGGTGTAGTTCTGGAAGAAGACCTCAACATTCCAGGGCTGGAATGAAGCGTAGCCGTAGAAGAGGCAGACGAGGAACATGGTGATCGCCGCGACGTACGCACAGAACGGCTGGAGCCAGCCAGTATATGGGAATGTCTTGCGGTCGACACCCTGGACTTTGCAGGCCTTGTGGAAATTGATGTAGGTGATAGCCATGACGAAATAATCGATGAGCGCTCCCGCCGTGATCAGACTGATCAGCCAGCCAAGGACTTCAGCCGAGCTGCCGGACACTTGGAGGAAAGAGAGGAAGGCGAAACACATGACAATTATGAATGCGTAGATGGGAACGCCATTCTTGGTGGTCTTGCGCAGGAACTTGGGGGCACGTCCTTCGAGTGCCATACTGTAGAGCGAACGGGTCGCGCAGTATGTGTAGGTATTACCAGCCGAGAAGATAGAGGTGACCAGGAGTGCGTTGACGAGATGTGGCAGACCACTGATTCCCATGTTGGCCATGGCAATGACATAGGGCGAGGCAGCTGCGGTGCCACCACCCTCTTCACCGCTAAGCACCGCCTGGACTTGAGGGTCATTCCAGGGCACAACGATGCCAACGCAGAGCGCGCCCATGATGAAGAAGAGACCAAAACGCCAGTAGACGGTCTTGAAGGCCGTCTTGATGTACTTGCGTGGACGCTTGGTCTCGGCGGCAGCCATGGCGATGTACTCAGGTCCCACCACGGTGAAGGCAGCAGACCATAGGCACGACAAGAAACCCTCAAAGCGGGCTGTGTCGCCAGTGGAGTTCTTGAGTGGGTGCTCCGCAAAGGAGCCAGGATTATTCCAATAACGGAACCCGTAAGCGTCATTCTCCGGGTTGCCACCCACCATGGTGATGAAGGTGAAGGTGAACAGGATGAAGATCAAGATGACCTTGCCGCCAGAAAGCCAAAACTCGGCCTCTCCAAAGGCGCGGACTGCAAGCACATTGATGGCCCTAGAGCTCAAATTAGCCTCGCTTTTCCAAGAGAAGGGCAGGGAAGGTGGCACGTGAGGGGAGAAGTCGTTTCAGGGACAATTTTGCCCCGGGAGGTGAGACTGCATGGGGCCAGGTGTTGCTATGGCAAGGAAAGTTGCTTGGGGAGGCATACGCATAGAGGACAATGCAGGCTGAACAGATGGCCGCGACGGGGATGTCGTCACTCCAGTAGCTCAGCACGAGGTTGATGGCGGTGATTTCGAAGGGGATCAGGAGGGCCTCGTAGATGAAGAAGTTCCAGCCGACCATGAAACCAAGGGCGTCATCAAACCACTTGCCAGCCAGGCGAATGAAGCCACCTGACACCGGCTGTAGGATGATCATTTCAGAAATACAGTTGTTGACACAGGCGACGACTAGAGAGTACAAGGTGTAGGCGATGAACAGAGAGCCGGGGCCGCCTGCAGCGAGGCCATTGCCGATGGAAACGAAGAGTGCGGTACCAATAGAACCACCAATAGCGAGCAGTTGGATCTGCCTATTACTGAGTCTGCGGTGGAGGTTGTCGGCGTTGTCGCTGAGCTGGCCCTGCTGCAGGTCATGGTCGGAAGAGTAGATCGGGGAGTCCCCCTTTGCCTCTTTGCGGGATTCAAGGTCAGACATGGCTGCGCTTGGAGAAGAGAAGAAATGGACAATAAGGTTGAGATGAGCCTGAAGCCTGGATCGCAGACAGAGGGGGAGTCGCGTTATCTTAAGGCTTTTCGCGATGGTGACGGGCGGAACGCAGGTTGCATGCTTGGGTTCCACCTCGACCTGAAGTGGGAAGCAGACAATATCGGACAGGGCAGCCGAAGGCAGGACTCGATCATGCTCCATCTGGTAAAATCTTGCTAGTGGGTGAATAGCGTCAGAGGGTCAGGACGGGCGAACCACGTGTCAGGGATTAGAGCAGTTGGGGCGCGACGCTGGTGAGGATGGCCAAGGCATGGCTAGCGGGGACTAAAGACTGTCACTCAGCGAATCTTGACCTTCTTGACTCCGCTTCATTGCGAAAAGACCGTCCGATGCGCGCGAGATGAACGACGCCGAGATCTGGGCGTGGGAGCCAAAGCATCGGAGGCTGGCCAAGAGACGGGTAACCTGAAGGAAATGGTGAGATTCCAACCGCGCAAGGAAGGTTCAAGCTGTGGAAAGACAGCAGGTCAAGCGAGTCAAGTCGCGTGCTTTGCAAGGGAGGGAGGTGGCGGCGGACTTGGCGCCTTGCATTGGCGCAGGCACCCCGCCAATACGAGGCACTGTTGATCGCCGCCTTGTAGTGAGAAGTTGACACGGGTGGGCACTGTCGGCTTAGCCATGGCTTGGGAGCTCACCCGCTGCGAGCTTGCAGAGCTCGGCGCCGTGGAGGTTATCTTGTTCTTCGTTTAGCGATTCGGATACCGAGATGGTGTATTGTGCGGCATCATCGACAGCTCTTTGACATGCACGTCATCGTCAAGTGAGATGTCTTCTCTCCTATCATTGTAGGAGTGTGCAGCGAGACTGAAAACGCCAGAGGTGGCGCCCGCGTCACACTCGAGCGGGAGGCGGAATTATTTTGGCGCTAGACCCCATCTGGAGCAGACTCCATCAGAGCTGTCATCAGAAAAATTTCGCCGTCCTAGCTGGACGTCAGACATTCCATCGCGTAACAACAATGCCCTGATGGCGCCCGGCCAGACGGTTGTCTGACCTGCATCTCCCGCTGTCTGTCCTTTGACATGTCCTAGGCTACAGTATTCGTTGCGACGCGCCGAAACAAGCCACCACCACTTCCGCATCTGCGGGTCAGCCTACGGGTACTTCTCGACGCCAATGCTACAGTCTGGGGCCGTTATTCCGACGACACAACTCAGGCGACTCGCAAGCTGCGAGGCTGCTTCACCTCACGTGACAATTATCTATTCCAAGCCCCCTGTCCCCGCTGTGATGGGTCCATGACGCACGACTTGCGCCTACCGAGTCCCGCATGTTAATCTGCAATCTGCAACAAAGATCCAGATTAGCATCAGGGATCATCAAGCCCCTCAGGCGAGGCGAAAAAAAAAGTGAGACTTTGAACGCGACCATCTCGCCCACCGTTATTGGCCCCCCGCCCGTCCCTCGACGCCCATACAACCGACATCCATGGCGAATTCCAAGTGAGCTGCAACCCGCGTCCTCCTTTCGGTAGTCACACTTCATCTGATCGTCTCTCGGCGTGAAAGATAAGTGCTGGGAATCGCCCCAACCGTCGTTGTCGAAACAACACCAAGCTCCCCATATCAAGTCTTGCGCTAATCCCAAATGCCGCCATCATACTGATCAAAACTTCCCATTCACAGATACGAATATGTCCGGCTCTTCGAACAAGACCAGACCCTGTTGCCCAACACCTGGATCGTCGTGCGCGTCGATGGCCGAGGCTTCCACAAGCTCTCCAACCACTATGAGTTCGCAAAGCCCAACGATCGGCGTGCTCTCGATCTAATGAACGCCGCTGCGTCACACGTCGTGCGATCCATCGCAGATGTGTGCTTCGCCTATGGTGTAAGCGACGAGTACTCATTCGTCTTCGAGCGCAACACACAGATGTTTGAGCGCCGCCGAGACAAGCTGGTGAGTACCGTAGTGTCAACCTTCACCGCCGCGTATGTCCTCCTGTGGCCGCAACACTTCCCCTCAACCCCTCCATCCCCACCAACCAGCGTCAATGCGGACGCTGGGCCAGCACCAGCAAGCCACCTCGACGCAAGCCACCTCCCCACCTTCGACGGCCGCGCAGTCGTCTACCCTACCACCGCGAACCTGCGCGACTACCTCTCCTGGCGACAGGTCGACTGCCACATCAACAACCTCTACAACACCACCTTCTGGACCCTAGTGCTGCGCGGCGGACTCTCCCAAACTGGCGCCGAAGAGCACCTCAAGGGCACCGTCTCGTCGGACAAGAACGAGATGCTCTTCTCCCGCTTCGGCATCAACTACAACAACGAGCCGGACATGTACCGAAAGGGGAGCTGCGTGTTTCGAGAGTACGAGACTACCGCTCACGACGACGATGACAAGGAGAGGAGCAATGCCGCTGCTGCGGCGCCGCTCATGTCACAACCGGCTCGGGACGACAACGAAGAAACGCGCTCATCCGACGTGCCCGAACCACCACTCTCAAAGACACAGCAGGAGAAGCAGCGGAAAGCCAAAGCCAAGGCACAGGTCGTGGTCAGGCATCTGGACATTATCAAAGACGACTTCTGGAACCGGCGGCCGTGGATCCTCTTGAGCGGTGGAAGGCCGCCGCCCAACAAGAGTGTGTCGGTAATACAATCGTGAATTTTTTTTTAATTACCCCCGCCGCGCCGCCGCTCGCGAAAGATTCTCCCTTCGTCCTTCTCATTTGCTTCGCGATGCTTACTTAGTCAAGCATTTGCCCCAGCCAGCCCCAGCGGGAGTCTTCTGGAAAAGCTTGCAAGACGTCTTCACTGTTTTACCCCCCCCCCCCCCCCCCTTCTCACCTTCTCTCTCCCTCCCACTCACAACGTTCGTGCGATGCCCCATGCTCATCATCAATGTAGCATGCTGCCAAAATCTACAACTGTAGCGAGTTTTTCTTGTAGCAAGATCTTTCTATACAGCTTCAAAACGATGGTTCCGTCCTGATGTGAAGCTCTGCCCTGAAGAAGCTTGTCCGGGGCTTCATCTGCCCACTTGGCTTCCCACGGATGTTCCCAACAGTCTCGGGGTCGCCTGGTCGCTGGAGGACCGGCACGACAGACCGGTCGTGGATCGAGGAGAAAGGCCTCATTTGCTCATTCAAGGAGGGTCGATGTATCCTGACAGCAAGCGGGATGGCTGTCGAGTGCTCATCTGCGGTCTGACCCCTTCCTGAATCAGGGAGTCGCCACTCGAAGCACCCCCATCAATATTGTCGACTTTCCTGTCCAGTCACAAGTGGCGCTACCTTTCTGATTCGGCCCCAAGTCCTCGTCTCACTTGTGTGGGCCAGATCCGATGGCCATGCCGGACTGTGTATCGGGGATAAGTCTACCATTCAACTGTCCTCAGTGTTTACCAGGTCGTCGGCATCTGCCATCGACAGCAAATGTTGTCCATTGCCAGCACAGCTTGGCACAAGTCTGTAAACTCACCCAGCAATCGATGCAGAGAGCTTTGTCTGTCTCACACCACTGCTGCCGGTCCCCAATGTTGGTCCGTGCTGATCGCCGTTTGCTCGTCGCCTTCGTAGATGTTCATATCATGAATCATCTCTGGGAATAATTGGAAGAATTCTGGTTTCATGGTCCACTTACTGTAATCATAGACGTGGTCTAGAAACAGCTTGCTGACCTCCCATTGTCCCGTATTGGCGTTGAGGGCATAGATTTCGCGCTCGCTATACGGCCAGTCGAAGTGCGAGTATTTGACAAAAGCAGCAGAGAAGGCGCCGGTGCGAGTGTACTTGTCGTGTTCGAAGACGAGGCGGTCGCGCAGCCCAGGCCAGACAAGATAGTCGATGACGGCAGGATGTTGGATCCGCTGTTGGCTGGGGCGTGCTAGTAGATATTTGGGAACGCGGTCGAGGTTCTCCTTGCTGGGCACCTCACGATACTGCAGCAAGGTCTGACAGGCATACATGACAGCAATGCGAGCGGCCTTGTTCGTCCAGGTTCCAAAGACTTTCTGGTCGACAGCTCGTAGCGCGGACCAGACGGGGTGGTTGAGTTCGTGCTCCGGGATCGAGTCCCAACCCCAAAGACCAGCACGGAAGGGGACGTGCAGGTCAAGGGTTTTGTTGCTTGCGAGGTGTTTCTTGACCGCATCCATGGCGCCAATGAAGGCGCCGTTTGAAACGTGCCATTTCTCAAAATCGGGAGCGATGGTTAAACCCTGGGCACTGTTTGCTGGGGGAAGCTGAAAATTCAGAAGAGAGGGTGGCGATGTGCTAGCGGGCAATTGCTGCCACGGGTTCTGCATAATGCCTCCCTGGACGGCCATGTCGTAAACAGGTGGCGGAATGGTGTTTGGCTGGAGGCCCAGAAACTCCTCGATACCACTCATATGCATTGAATTTGTGGTGGGCCAGATGCCGAGAATTCCGTCTTGCAATGGTACGGGCGGATCCTGGGGCAGGTCAACCACATCATCGTCGGGAGAACCGAAGCCTGGCTGGGGTGTCCCGCTGGAGGTGCTCTCGGTCTTTCCCAGACATGTACATCTAGTCTTGTTCCCACAAGCGCACTTTCGGCCATTAGTCTGTGCCTCGGTCCCATCGAGGGCCTCGTTGATGGCAAATCGCATCTTCATCATCGCTCCCTGAAGTCGAGTGTTATCGTTCCTCAGGTCATCAATGGTCTTGGTCAGCTGGCTGATGGTTGACTCTCGGTCGCATGATTCCAAGCTGGCGAGCTTCTGCTCCAGGAAGGCGATCCTGTTCTTGGTGCGTTCCCGAGTGGCACGCTGAGCCAGGCGATCAAGCTCACGCTTCCTTTCAGCTCGGACATCATTGATATCTCGTCGTCTAGACTTTGGCTTGAATTCAGTAGTTATAGCGTCGTCGTCCATGCTGGTGTTACGTGGGTACTGGCATGATCACAGATAACCGAGGGCGAAGTGCTGGGTTCGCTTGTGCAGGGTCCGGCAACGTTTAACAGAGCGATGCACACGGCCGAATGTTGGACATGGATCCCGAATGCCTCGACGTCAAAATCTACCGCCGCGCGCTCGATGAGCCAGAAGCATCGACTTTCACCAAGATTTAGGAGAACAGATCTGTTGCTGCCCGATGTCGAGGATGAAAAGGGTGCGGATGTTCGAGGGATCTTCGTGGCCCAGCGGGGAGGGGAAGTCACCAAGCACGGCAATTTCTCCACATTTCAGCGCCAACAACCCCGGGGGCCTTTGGGGTCGTCAGAGACCGGGTTGGCTAGGCGTCGCGATTGGTCGCCACCAGCGGAACGCCGCCCCGAGTTATGACCTTGCTCGCGTTGAGGGGCTCTCGGGTACGGGTGGTGTCCCTTCCGGGTAACGCCGGTAGGCGCCGAGGTGTACGGAGTAAGTAAGGTAACTTGTCAACAGGCGACTGTCGACATCATCGAGTGCAAAGAAACACAAGTCGTTGTATCGCGGTGCTGATCTGAACAAGTGGAGTGTCGAATGCTTAGGTAAGGGCGGTTGGTACCTGACACGATGCAGCAATGTTGCGCGTCCTCGTTATCTTCACATGCCACCTGTCAGTACCTGCGTCGTGGGCCACCAACGTCAGACTTGTCGTCGTGCCTTGGTTTTAGCCTCAACAATTTTGGGATCTGCTCACAATGCAGCCCAGGCATTTTCATGCTCTTCGCGGCAAGGTGAGTTGCACCTGTGTCGGCACCTGTATCTGTACCTGTGCAATAAAATCATCATGGACAACTGGATGCGCGGGCTGGATGAAAAGCGTCGAGGCTTCCTCGCGCGCATGGGCTCAAACCTGTCGACAGGACGACAGTGGAGCATCTATCCAGGTAGGGATGAGAGCCAGCGGCCACCCGGTGTCCTCGACAGCTGACACTGCCCGCGACAGGCCAGAAGTCTGACCAGGCCGATGGGCGCGAGCCCACTCCTGATAACTTCACCATGCTTCAAGGCTTCGAATGGTATATTCCTGATGATCACAAACACTGGGCAAGATTGAAGGCCGCTTTGCCCAAGCTCAAGGCTGCTGGCATTGATAATATCTGTTCGTCCACCAGCCAATTCGTGATTTCGCGGTGAGGCTAAGATTGTGGGCAGGGATTCCACCAGCCTGCAAAGCAAGCAGCCCATCGGGAAATGGCTACGATATCTACGATCTATATGACTTGGGCGAGTTCGACCAGAAAGGAGGCGTCGGAACCAAGTGGGGAAACAAGAAAGAGCTCGTTGAACTCTGCAACGAGGCCAACAAGATTGGCGTTGGCATCTACTTCGATGCCGTTCTCAATCACAAGGGTGAGTGACCACAACTCCCTTCTAGACTTACTCATGATTTCGCAGCCGGCGCAGACAAGACCGAGCGGTGCAAGGTCGTAAAGGTAGATCCTGAGAATCGCAACCAGAAGGTCTCGGATGTATTCGAGATTGATGGTTGGCTGGGTTTCGATTTTCCGGGGCGGGGCACCAAGTACTCTTCCCAGAAGTACCACTGGTACCATTTCTCTGCAACCGACTACGATGATGCCAGCAAGGAGACTGGCCTGTATCAGATCCAGGGCGATGGCAAGCATTGGGCCAGCGATGTTGATACAGAGCACGGCAACTACGATTACCTCATGTTTGCAGACCTGGACTTCAACCACCCAGAGGTCGCGGAAGATGTCAAGAACTGGGGAGTTCACGTGGCCAAGGAGTTGAAACTCAAGGGCATCCGCTTCGATGCGATCAAGCACTATTCCGAAGCCTTTCTTTCGGATTTTATCAGCCACCTGGACGAGCAGACTGGTCAGGGCTGGGTGAGTCTTGTTCCCTTTCACCACGAGCTGTTAGGTCTAAGCTTATGTCGCGACGCATCTACTGACCCCAATACAGTTCTTTGTTGGCGAGTTCTGGCACATGTCTCTGCAGGCCCTCATAGACTACCTGGCCAAGATGGACCACAAGTTCAATCTCTTCGACGCCCCGCTTGTCGAGAACTTTCATCGCATCTCGACTTCCTCCGGCGCGGATATGCGCACAGTATTCGACGACACTCTGGTCAAGGCAGAGCCGTATAACGCGGTAACGTTGGTCATGAACCACGATACGCAGCCGTCGCAGGCTCTCCAACTGGAAGTGGCCGACTGGTTCGTGCCATTGGCCTATGCTCTCATTTTACTCCGAGAAGGAGGCTGTAAGTCTCTCTCCCGTGCGTCTGCTAGTCGGGCGCTTCTAGCGACCATACCCGTTGCGAAGGCAATGCACTTCTCCTCCCTTACCCATCAATTCATGAAGCAAATACTTGATCCTTCGTACCAAGTTTTCTTGCACTCCGAGCCGTTAATCATGCTTCAGATCCCTGTCTCTTCTTCGGCGACCTCTACGGCCTTCGGGGCGGTGTTCCCAACGACTGGCGCGAGCCCACTGCCCAAGGTAAGGTGCCGGATCTTAGCCTCGCTCGGAAGCTTTTCGCGTACGGCGAACAGAACGACTACTTTGACCATCCTAACGTCATTGGGTGGGTGCGGCGTGGCACATGGGACCATCCCGACGGCGTTGCGGTGGTCATGAGTAATACTGAGCCGGGTGAGAAAAGGATGTTCGTAGGTGAACTGCATGCCGGCGAGGTGTGGACGGATGTGCTGGGTTGGAACGATCGAGAGGTAAAGGTGGGAGACGATGGGTTTGGGATGTTCAGTTGTGGAGGGTGTAGTGTTGGCGTGTATGTGAAGCGGGAGGCCAAGGGGAGGGATATGTTTGGTAAGTTTGATGCAAAGATATACTAAGAGTGCGACAGCTTTCGCCGCAAGGCTCTGAATAGTCAATTCTGACAAGAGGTGTTATCAAGATATAGAGTACACACTCTCACATTCTGACCGTGCATCCGATTCTTTCCAGTTATTAGGTGCTGGCTTTCATGATCCGACCAGAGCATATATTTGCAGGTTGGAGTTGTCAACACATCATCATCAAGGGATTCATTCGTAACCATCAGTAGCCCATTTTCTTTTGCCGAGATACTGCGATAGCTCACTGCGATGCAGCGCCCTACCGGTTCTGCCATGAGGGCCCTGACAACGCTCGTTGAGCGACATGAAAGTGGCTTTCATTCACTGCCTGGCTCCTGCCGGAGATTATGTGCTGATATCTCCGTGTACGGATGTCGACCGTCGAAAAATATTCTGGGGCCTGGCCTCGACTGTTTACCACGCAGCTTTCCCTTATAAGCCCACTCCCGCTACTCCTAGCCTCACTGATACCGACATCTGGGTTCAGTCGGAAATCAAAATCTAAGATCAGTCCCACAAACCACCTATATCCCAACCACGAGGTCTCGCGCATCCGGGCAGGGTCCGACTCCAACACGAGACCATGATACCAACTGTTCTACACACATCCTAAGCGCCGTCCCTACACCTCGGTCTCTTGCATAAACCGACAGTCCGCCGCATCGCGTGCCTGTCCTTTCGCCCAAAGCGCGATGCCAGGTCTCAACCCCTCCCTTCACCTCCAATCCCTCGGCTGGGCGGGTCCCGGCCACCCACTGAACCCCAACGCCTACAAGCAGAAAGGCCACCGAGGCCTCGCATACGACCCCTCCTCCGCGACCTCCAAATCCGCACACTCGTCGTACTTCGCTGCTGGCGGCAACGGCCTCATCAAGCCGCTCCTCGTGTCCAAGAAGGAGGGGAATCTGGGGCTGGGCCGCCGAGCGCACGAGCCGGCCAAGGGAAATGAATGGTGGCTCAAGGGTTTCGAGGCCGCGCTGGCGGGGACGAGTACGTCGACGTCACGCGAGGGGTCTGGGACGAGTACGCCGCGGGAGGGCAATGCGGAGGATCTACAGCGGCGGGTGAACGTCGCAGGAGGGCGGTTTGGTGGGCTCTATGGGTTCTTCGTGCGGGGAGAGACTGTGGGCGGGACGATTCCCGACGGCGAGCAAGAGGGTTCGGACAGGAAGGGAAAGAAGAGGAAGAGCGACGTGCTGGACGATGCGCAGCGGCAAAATGGTACTACAGCTGAACAGCTGGAGGACGACGATGTCGCAACCAAGAAGCGCAAAAGGTCAAAGAACAACGACGGCGACGCGCAAGCTGAATTCTCCCAGATCGCCGCCTTCATGAGCGTGCGCGACAAGGACGCCAAGAAGAAAGAGCAGCGCCGCAAGCTGCGTGAGAGCGAGCAGTTCCGCGTCGCGGGCGAGTGGTTGGGGCTGAAGGACAGTAAGCGGGTCCAAAACGGCGAACACAACCCGAAGAAGAATCAGAAGGCGACTGGGTTCTCCGCGCCCGCCGAGGAGATTGAGGAAGAGGAGGGCGAGGACTCCAATGCAGCCGGATCCGCAGACGCGCTCAAAAACACTTGCAAGAAACGCAAGAGCGAGCGGCGGAAACGGAGGATCCTTATCGGAGAGGACGGGCAGGAGAGGGAGGAGACGAGGGAGGAGCGCCGCGCGCGGAGAGAGCTTCGGAGGCAGCGAAGGGGAGTGCGCGAGGAGGGAAACAAAGAAAGAGAGAAGGAGGGCCGCCGCTCGAAGAATGTTGCTGCTGGTGCTGTGGCGGCGACACTATCGGCTTCAACTTCAATATCTGGTGCCAATAATGGGGGGAAATCGACGTGGACGTCTAGTGAGACGGACACGCCGGAGGTGGTGGCGAAGCAGCAACAACAACGGAGAGAGAGGAGCGGAGGACGAAGAAAAAAAGAGCGGATAGAATAGAGGCCGGGGGGGTCATGTTCGGTATAAGAATACTGAAAAGGGTCGTCTTCTGCCCTTCCCCGTCAGAGGACTGATGAAGTCGGTCTCTGTTGAGGCGAGCAATATACCACACCTGATGAGCGTTCAAGCCGTTATAGAGAGGTGAAGTTATAGAGAGTGGAAATATTGAAGACCAGCAAAACATGGTATGCACTGTTTGACCTCCATGCCAAATCGTCATCCGTTATATGTACATCCATATAACTATATATTTCTTCGTTAACGCGTGCTCACGGGACAAGTGTAGCCCGCGCAGACTTTTGACATCATGTTTCGCATCCTCATTACTTCATTTCTGGGCTGTACTGTAGGACCACATCGTATGAGAACCAAGTCCGAACCATGAGATAGGAGTCAGCCTCAAACCACGATATATTCGCCCTGGCCGTCCGCGCGTTTCATGATATCAGTGAATCTGAAGCCTTGCCCGACTTCGCCCTCGGCACCCTGTTGGTCCATTTGCAACCAGACGGCCTCTAGAAGTCCGAGACAGCTCGCATTGTTGATGAAGCCACTGTCTTTTTGAATGTCCTTGCATCTGGATCGGATGACCTCGCGCTCGTCCTGCCTCAGGCATTCTGCGCCGGTAACGAAGAGCGGCCAGAGGAGATAAACATCACTCTTAACCAGGCGGATGTAATGCAAGCTTTGCTGTACCCAACGTTGGATCCCTGGACTTGTACACGGGGCCGTCGGATTGGCCAATCGCTCTGTGTAGACTAGCGCCGAGTAGCGGAAGCACTCACTGATACTGGCAAGATCGTCACGCTGACCTGCTGTAAGCGTGCTTGTGTGCGATGGCGAAGGCAAGGTCCAGACTTGTAACGCATGCCGCACTTCTCTCCATTCCCGCCAAAATTGTTCAAGCGGCCCTTCTTTGGTATGTTTTGCAAACAGTTCCTCGTCTGAAAAGGTGGTCCAGCCATTGCCGTCAAATCTGCTATAGTCTGAGTCCGGAGGACTGCCATGGGCCAACTGAGCAGGTGGCGTTGGCAGTACTGGCCGCGAGACAAGTGTATGGTTCTCCTCCACGGGTTTGCCCTGCGATAAAACGTTCAAGCGACCGAGCTTCGCGATCACTTTGAACAGGCTCCCATCACAACCAGCCAGATTCTCAAGAGACCACGAATAATCCCCCAATGCAGAGGTATCGAGATGATGGCTGAGGAACTGGCTTTCTCGGTCGTTAACTGATGCAGTGATGGCATCAAACCATGTAAACATTGAAGTGAAGAACTTCATCTGAGGCGACATTGGCTCGTCATTCTGCCAGCGCAGGGCCAGGAGCTTGCGAACACCGGCAAATTGCGTCCTGAACTTGGCGACACCAGTGTCACACATGTGGAAGAGACAAAGGACCAACAGAACTGCCAAAACAGAGTCCTTCTTGCGCTCAACGGGATCGGCGAGCTGGCGATTCAGCGACTGAACGGCGAAATTCTTGAAATACGTTTCCTCACGCGCTTGATCTTGTGGTGAAAGCGAGTCATAGTGCCAAGCTTCGCTCAAGGTGAGATGCGCTATTGATGATCGCCGGGCAGGATCGGTCTTGCATGTCGAGAGGACACCAGTCTCGCGTCTCTGACGGAGGTTTGAAGCGGCAAGAGCGGCAATGGCGTGTTGAAGAGCATCGCTGTTCGCGGCTAAGCGAAGAATATGGGTCCGATATGGATTATCTGGTCCGTCGAAAGCAACGATGACTGGCGAGATGACCTCAGAGTAATAGTTGATGAGGTATTGTAACCGCGGGGTGCTGCCAATGCTTAACCCACTCGAGAAGCTATGCAATCTGAGGCCAAGACCCATGGGTGAGGTCGCGACTTGCCCGGCATCATTCCACAACGACATCTGGGTACCAGAGTCATCTCTTGCTATATCCTCGGCATCATCTTCCAGGACTGTGTCGCCATCGTGTGCCGGAGCTTGATGAACGGGGTGAGAGGGAGCAGGGTAGGGATCTGGCGGTATATAAGTGTCATTACGAACATATGACTCGTCTGGCCGTGGGAAGAACAGGCCGGGATACGGCGAGAGCTGATCGAAGGCTGAATCGAGTGGAGTGAAGGGAATATAGCTGTGCTGTTGTGGCGGAGGAATCGGTATAGACAGTGGGGGAGGGCGCGAATAGGATGACGCTTCTGAGGCCGGTGTATCATAAGCAGGCATCTGCCCTCGGTGTGGGAACTGAGGCGTAAAGGAGTGCTCTACCGGAGAGACCAGAGGTGGGACAGATGTTGGAAAGGAGAAGGTTCCGATCGTGAGGCCGTGGGAGAAGATGGGCTCCGAGTGCGGCGTATAGTTGGGCGTTTCCCATGTCTGAGGAAAAGGAGATGTCAAAGGTGGAGAACTGCGGTGATTTTCTTGTCGAGTACTCTCGTTGCTCTGCAAGGACTCTGGACTGTGGACTGAAATTGGAGGAACGTGTGTGTCATCCAGGGTGCCCGCGGAATTGATACTTGCAGATTGGCGATGACCTCGTCGAGACACTGAAGCAGCTCCTGCCACCTTTTTCGTCCCGGCAACTGGTAGAGACAGCCCACGGAGCTTCCCTCGGCTTGCCACGCCAACGTTCCACGTCAATTGTGTTTTGTAACCCGAGCATTCTTTACCGTTGTCTAAACATTTGGAGCAATATGGCCGTCTCCGATCGCACTGAAAGCCGTGTGAGGAGCAAGTAAAGCAGTCGGCGGCGGCTCCTGCGGCTGGAGCCCGTTTCCGCCGCTTTCGAGGCGCAGGTCCGTCAGGCTGCGGCGTGGGTGCCGGTCTCACTGTTGCTACTGCCGACATGGGCGGTTTTGGTCCGATATTCGTGGTAGGAAGGACGTTCAAGATCCAATGTTAGCCATGGAAGACGGCTGTAGGCTCGGTGCCGCTCGTCGAGTACGATATACGTACGGTCCGCTGCGACTTTGCATGAGATCGCCACCAAACAAGTGGGGATGGAGATCTGAGATATTGAAGGTGGAATGAGGTACGAATCAATGGGGACTATCGTTCATATCAGAGCATGAACATCATGTGGCAGGACGTGCGGAAGAAGAAAGCTCGGTGTAAGTGTAAAGAGGGTTTGGTTCCGGAGATGCATATGGTGAGAGTGCAGCAGAAACCCTGCCCGCAGGCCGGTGGTTTGAGCCCAGTTGAGGATGGGCAAGACAGGATATCGCGGGACAAGCATGCACCAGATCATGGAGGTGGAGAGGTGATGGAGATCAGCAGCGCATGTCACCAATGGGCGAACTCCGAGGCGTCGGAGCGAGCACGGTTGCATCCAAGTGCGGGTCAAGATGGTGGAAGCCATGGGCGCCCGGGCTGCCGAATGAGCCTGATAGGCCGCTGGCTATTTGATTTTGGGGTAGCCTCGACCGGTGGCAACCAAGAGTGCGAATAAACGTTTTGCCCTCAGGAACCACGCACCACAGCAATCGCGACAGTGCAGGCTGTGCAGAGCCAAGCATGCAATCAGAGCTTCCAGAGTTCTTCCAGAACCTCGGGTACGTTGCTTCGACTTCGAAATTACCCGGTGATATCGAAGCGCCGTACTAACGGTGTCATCAAAGATGCATTAGTCAACGTCCCATCAGCACAGGTGAGCATGGGCACTGATAACGGTCGTCCCCACTGCACTGTCCGCTTTTACTCCGTACCCGTGGGCCGTGATAGACGGAGATGACAAGACTCGCAAGCCGGGGTTGTTCCTCCTCGATAGCTGGCCCAGCTTCTTGGCGACCGACGAAACTCCCTTCCCGCCCATGCAAAACTCCACCAGCCTACGCGAGCGGCTCGTCCTGGCCGCACGCGGCACATTCGACAAACTCGCAGTGACGCTCGTGAACCGAGTCTAAGAAAGATGCAAGAATGCACAGGCCCCACCACGCTAGATCAACAATCCTGCAGGCAGACCATCCTTCGAGATGCAAGGCCTGTCGTTTGCATCAGTTCTACGTTTCTTGATTGTGCTGTGCCTGTTCTACAGTCACTCCTGAGCGGAACTTCGTCGTTTCCATGTCCAAGTCTGAGGGACACGTGTACTTCTATCCAAACAGACCCATCGATATAGTGTCACACCGCTGATCTCTCTGCCCGAGGCCGAGAAGAAAAACCAAACACATGTTGGTCATAAAGGAGCGCCAGGTTTGACAGTATGGTGACTCACGGTGGCCGTTACCCACTCCGTTTGGTAGGTACGCGTCACAATGAGCGCCAGGAGTCAAGTCTGCCAAAGCCTTGCAGGCATCTGTGCTTCGTGTCTTCCAGTCACAAAGCGTTCACAGCCTCGACGGTGGGTTCTTGACTCAATGGTTGGCAAATCTGCATCAACGGGCGCGTCGGCCCGGTACAAATGCCAACGAAGCGGGCCATAGGGATGTCATTCCTCCCAATTTCGTGCCCAAGGACGCGGTTCGGGGGAGGGATGTCTGTGCAGCCGTGGGCTCCCAAAAAGGCTTCTCGAACCCAGCGATTTGACGGAAAGTGAGGCGGTCGGTGAAGGTGAAGCAAAAGATTCGTTGGCCTTGCAAAATCACTGCCCAACTTGCCAAGCCTTTATGAGGTGGCACCATCTGACTCGTCGGCAGCCGAGTTGCTTGGGCCCACGAGGCCGTATGTCATTCTGCTATAATCGCGGACACAACTGGGTCGATTTTGTGGCCGACGAACGTAAGGTAAGAATCAAGACTGTCTCGAAACGAGGTAAGTAAACACTGGGTGAAGATGGTAGACAAAGGCTGAGGCCCAGGAATAGCGCCTCTGTCACAAGGCTGTGCGAATTGGGGCCCCTTGTGTAGAGACAGAGCGAGGATGCATGCACTGCGCCAGTCAGCTGCAACTTGCATCTTTGCCATATTCTGATGCGCCAAAGATAGTAAATGTCCAATGTTCGAGATCTGCTGGACACCATCGAGTTACACAGGACTCGAAGAAGTTGTGCTTGCAATACTGACCGGTCTACCCGTAACCCGACGGTGCTGCCGAAGCGGCCCAAACCTCGAGCGCTGTGATACAGAAGTAGGATCGTGACCTGTCACTGTGATGCCTCGAAGCAGTTGACGTGAAGCCGGATAGGCACAGAGCCGATGCTGCGATCTGTCATGAGAGACTGGGAGGGATAAGATGCCTTGCGACCTGCGACAAAGTCATGGGTAGCTGGTTGGAGCTGAATATCTTGTCATTCCCGAGCTGGAGGGCACCAATGGCAGAGGCGATGTTGGGCAAGCCTGAGACAGCATACTGAAGCCAGTCGAGGCGATGATTACTTCGCCGCGCCTGAACTGCGATGGCTGGGTGTGACTAATCCTTTACTTGGACGCCAGTCCTGATTATCTCAATGATTGGACATCGAGTGAGCTGATGCAGTTTTACATCATGATGAGCAAAGACGTAGATTTTGATGCTTGGTACGGAGTAGAATGCGGCTTCATCAGCGCTGACGGCAACGCCACCCTCAGGTTCAACGCGGTCGCCCGTGGATGCCCATGGCAGTCAATGGACCAGGGCGGAATAGGCGGCCAGTGTTGCCATAAGCCCAGCACATTAGGGGCAGTGGGGGGCACTGTCATCTGAGATCTCACGTGCGGGCCGGCTTCTCTGCAGCCGAGGGAAGCCGTGGGCGAGCGCCGGGCCCTTCCTTGCGCTTCTCGGGTGGCTTCTAGCCTCTTCGCTGCCTTGCGCGCATTCTTTAGAATCAACACGTTCTCTGTCTACATTTATTCGTTTGACGATCAATTTGCCTTTCTTACTACTCTGTCGAGGCTGTGCTGTCGAAGCGCGGAGTATGCACTGGAAGGAGATAGGGAGCGACAAGACCAGGCAGCACACCCTTCGCCACTCAGTTGTCCTCGACCGTCGTAGCCCAAGAGTACTTAAGGAGCGATTCCCCCAACCCCTCCATTTGGTCACTGGAGTTGGTATCGTACTAGTACCATACCGCACCGGATACGAGCAGGCGCTTGAGAAGGTCCGTGTGGCTTTTTTCGGCCCATCGCTGCCCCCTGCCGGATCCACTGCGCTAGAAGCCTGGCGTGTGCATCAAGGTTGCAGACTTGCAGACCAACAGAGGGCGCCCACTTTTCTTCAGCGCGCTGACGGCCATATCAGCCCCTTAATCCGCGCTCCCTTCCCAGCTCAACAACGACCTCAATTTCAATCCCTGGGTTTCTGCCCTCGCCTCCCGAAATTACTATTGGGCCATTCTCCCGACTTCTGGTAGCGTCTAGCACATTCTGAGTCAAGCTCAGCCGCGCATCGTGGCACGGAACTTCAACGACTCTCTTCCGCGACGCTTGTTTGTTCGCCAAAAGAGTCACCGTCCAGGCACTGTGGAGTCATATCTCCCACACATTTTTCGACACCTGCACTTTTTCACAATAAAGGGAGGACGTTTCCTGCCACCGCCGTTTTGGTTCCTTGATCGCATCTTTGCGTCACGCAGGACCCCCCAAATCACCACCGACTCTATTTAAATCGTCAAGCTGGGTTCATCAGACCCAGTTTCTTTACAATTATCCACATTCCAATCCCAAAACGCGATATGAGATACAGCGCAAACACGACTTACCAGACATACACCTCGTCACGACACAAATCTACTACCACCTCGTCCGAAACATACCGCGATCGAGGGGAACCTGAAGGAAGCCGGCAGGGAGGAAGGACGTGAGGCAGGAGAGGATCGAGGAAGATCTCAAGAAGCAGCCGCCCGTCATGTCTTACCACTATGGTGTCCCGCCGTCGCACTACACCAAATTCTACGACCCGGACTCGCCCTACAGCTCGGGTGAATATGTCCATTATGCCGCGTACGACAACGCGCCAAAACGCGGCCACACGCGCCGGGCTAGCTACAATCCGTCGCCCAAACAAGGTGGCTACTACTCTCCTGCCGGCTCTCCTCCACCGTGGTACGAGCAAGATTATGCCACACCGCGCAAGCAAGTCTATGTGAGTACGCAGAGGGACGGCAGCCGCCGCTACGATGTTCCAAATACAAGATACCACTACCGCACAAAAAGCCAGCAAGCCCAGCCCATCAATGTTCGCGATGATGGTCCTGGTTACGCCGAGCCGCGGGTCATCTATCGAACTCCAAGCACAAAACAAAAACGCTCGGGGAAGGCTCCTGCTGATGACTATGTTTATTACACACAGGAACAGGTGTATCATGAAGCCCCTCGTCGCAAGACTACCCGCCGCGCTTCGACCACTACCAAGCCCACTCACAAGTCAAAGCCCAGCTACGTAGCACCTGTCGCCACGGAGAAAGATGCCGCTCGTGCCGGTATTCCTGCTGGGTATTCCATCAAGAACTGGGATCCGACTGAACTTCCCATCATCCTACTGGGTTCGGTCTTTGATGCCAACTCACTTGGCAAGTGGATCTACGACTGGACCGTCTACCGGAACACAGCGTCGCATCCCTTTGCCGATGTGGCGGGAGAGCTGTGGCTCCTGCTCATCAAACTGGCCGGCAAGATGAAGCGTGCCGAAGAGTGCATCCCCCGGATCCGTACACATGAGTCACGCGAGCTTATCCGGGACTTTGTCGCCAGCGCCGATCGCTTGTGGGAGAAATTCAAGGATCTGCTCAAGGAATGCGAGTACTTCATGCTCAAGGCTGCTAAGCGCGAAGGCAACAAGAAGATGGGCAAGAATGCTGGCACCGAATTTGTCGATTCCATCTTTGGAAGAGACCGCTATCTCGGGCACACCGAGAAGCTCATGCAGAGCATCCGGACCTGGAACCATCGCTTCGATGCCAACTGCGAAGACATTCTTCGCCGTCCATCTGTTGCCTAGAATGTTGGAAGAGGTAGGCGACGAAGGTGACGCGCAACGAGATTGTGAGTCACGAAACCAGGAAGTGGGTGGCGAATATCGCATCGCCACCAGGACCGATTTCTTTACACTACACTTGGATTGGATGGGCGTTGTGGCTGGAAATCTGCACCAACTGCATACGCTCGGAGTTACTTCTTGATCGATCGTTTAGTACAGAATTCGTGGAGGCGAATACCAGCAGCCTTGCGACACTACCCTTAGGCATCGACTTTTCGACTCATCAATTATTTCGCAGCAACATGTACTTTCGTTTCCAGCAAGGCGTCGGTGGGGAATTTGATTGGCTATTTGATGGTTACAACCAAAAGTTTCGATTCGGTCGGTCACTACTACGAAGGCATTGATGTCGGGAAGACACGACGGCTACGCGATTGCGGTCTTGACCTGGGAATGCTTTTGCTTGAGATACCCCTGTACAACCATTTCGTTGATATACCCTGATTGGACTCGATGAAGGGACGAGAGGTTCGCGAGGACCGTGGCAAGGCATAGCACAAGATAGACTTGTGATGAACTGGAGCTCTCGGCTGGATGATGTGTTTAATTCTGTAATACCAATCAACAAAAACAAGGTGCTGTTCTAAATTTGCCTTATCCCTACCTATTCTCTACCACAACTCGTGTCTGTATTGTCTTGATGCAGCTGTCGACTAACTGTGCGCCAAACGATCACGACCATCCTCAGTTTGAGCCAAACGCGACAAACGCTCAGAGCTAGCATTGTGATTGAGCATTGAACGGCGCTTAGTGAGCATCGGCATCACACCCACCAGCAGTCGCGGAGTTGCAGCACAGTTGCCGTTTGCCATGGTACCTGTCCACGAGTTGCCCGCAGCCTATCCTTGTGTACCTCAACTCTGAGCCATCGCATCGCACAGCCAATGTGAACACAATCGAATCATCACAACTTTGTTACACACCAAACAGCACTTCGGATCCAAATATGGAAAGAAGCACGTTATCGTCCGATCAAACCTACTGGCATCTTCCCTGCCCCGCGCATCTGACAGGCGCGATGCCACACTGGTGCATGAACTCCGACAGAAGCAACGCTGCGATACGTGCGCTTAGAGTCAGCATCTGTAAGGAATATCCCTCGCTGCCAGTTGCTATCTACGGAGTGCTACCACACAGACACGGTTCCTTTTCCGGCTCATGTGATGACGGAGGCCGCCTCGTCTACCGTCAAGTACACCCTCAGGAGATATTCCTCCCAATCGCTTATCGCCATTACGCGCAGGTTGCGGCAAGGCCTTCTACAACTGCGAACCGCACATGTTTGACAGCTGCAAGTCCGGCTGCTGGCATGGATGTTTTCATCATTCAGGCTGTCCACTGATCTGCGCTGTATTTCTGCTCTTACAGGAACAGGACAATACAGCTCTCATGTCTGTTCAAGGTTCACGGGCCCCGCCGTGCGCTCCGTACTGGGACCGAGGCCTGCCCGCTTTTGAAGCGTGGCTTTTCCCCTCCGCACCCACTTGCCGGTTGATAGAGACAAGCTAAGCGATACCAATGCTGCAAAACGATGTCACCGGCGGCTTCCCAGCACCCACGTTCGCAGCCCCGCATGTGATGAAAGCTACCCGTACCACACCTTTTCCCTGGCCACTGCTGTCAAGACGCTACTGACCAACATTGATCGAAGTACCAAGGCCAATCGACTCGCAATGCTAGGTTCGGAGCTGGAGGCATTCCTCATCATGACCAGCTTTACGCGACAAGCATTGGTCTAGCTGTCACCACCAATCAGGACTCCTGCAACCCCTCACCCGCCAGATGCTCTAGGCATGCGTGGCTTGCATTCTAGGCGCGAGATCGCTGCGCAGAACGCCTAGAAGTCGGCTGCGCAGCTGTCCTATCGACCCCTGCTGCATACCGTACCGGTAGGTATTGGTGGTACGAAATCCTCTAAAGCATTCCTACTGGCTCAACCCTATCATGAAACACCAGCTGGAAGGCATCAGCTGCATACATGCACCTATTCCATACATTTCACTGCCTGGGTTCGAGACTCATCCGCTTCCCTCTTTTCCTATGGCTCAACCGGAGGGTCTCGCCGCCTAGCAGCTGCACGCCTAAGGCTTGAGTTTCAGGAGGCACGCTCGCCACGCAGCTGAAGTGGCCAGGTGTGCCGAAGGGCTTGCCTCGCCAGTTCTACCGAAGGATCGAGGGATGAGTATCAACCAGTTTACGACGTCTCCCATCCCGGACTGAATCCCACCACCTGAAGAACACTGGAGGCAGAAGTTCTGTCACCGGTCAGCCGGCGCGCCTACAAATCTACGGGCACTGGCTGCTTGCACACGTTCACGCAGGTTACGGACGTTGTCCTCAGTGCCGCTAGCGTAGTTGCCTTGCTGCACGCCGCAGCCCCTGATCATCGAGTACGCCCCTTACCCCTAGATGGCCACAATACAACGGCGAGCGGGCCCTGGCCTGGCCCGGCGCAGGGAACGGTGTTTGGCAGGTGTCAGAATGTATGGTACCCATCGTTCGTGCTCACCGCTTTTTCCATCGTGGCAAGGGGGTTTCTCGTTTTAAAGAGGTACGGCAAGTCACGATACGATTGATTGGCAAGTATCCAGGTACGTTCCGGTGAGTGTGGTCACGTTGCTTTTGACCACCGCGACGCTGCCGCCGAAGGTGTTGGGGCGATAGCAAGGGTTGTGGATTGCAGTTTCGGCGACACATAATGCATGCGTCCGTTGACACTGTGACGATGCTGTGCAAGCTGATGCTGCTGCTGACAATCGATGGTCAAATGTCCCCTCGGGGCAGCGTTTCGATTGGCAACAATGGTCGCGAAAGCACGTCTCTTGCTCGAGCATCGTGCAGGGAAGGATACTCACTCGCGCGTGTTGGAGGCCAGAAGTCTAGGAGACATGCCTCCGCGTTGGCACTCCGTTCGCTAGCCCTTCAGCGCATATTCGCGCACTCGTTGCGAAGGTCGCCCGTCGGACTTGCTTCATTGATCAAACAGCCTCATCTGAGTAGACCACGCTATTTGTTCTACGCAGGAGATTTGAGGTCTCCCGGACACACGGACACGGACACGGACACTCGGCGGGATTTTGGATAAAAGGGAAACTTTGCAGATGTGAATGCTAAGATGTACCTCACCTCAAACAGCCGTTTCCTCGACCCCTTAGTGGAGGGTCTCGGGGCAGTCTGCCGGTAAGCCTTTTTTTTTTGCACGAAGCAAAAAATATTGTATCATTCTTCGCCGATTAGTTTACCTCGGAAGACCACGGAGGGTTGGTGAGCCAAGGAGATATTATGGCGGTGCATGTTTTGTGTGCTACGATGGTGGGTTGGAGGGAGAAGGATAGATGTGGTAAGTAGTGGACGGAATGCAAGGTGGAATGATTTTTCTTTTCATTCAGGTTTTTCGAGACTGTCAGCCCATCACAATGATGGATGGTTGTTGGCGTCTGGATCGAAATGCCGGTCATCGCAGCAAGAACTCCTTCCGACGAGCGCCTTCTGCGCCTGACCATCGAAAGCGTCTTTGCTTCAGTCGTCCTTTTGAGTAAAAGGGACATTGTGAACAATTCTTCCCCGGAAGTGCTGCATCATCTTCATCACACGCTCATGCCTTTTTCTGCACTACCATCTTATTTCTCCGCGGCCTTCTCACGACGCTCCTTGTGGAACTCACGGCCCTTGCCGACACGCTCGAGGATCTTCTCGCGATCCTTGTCGGTCTTGAGCTTGGTGATGACGACTTTGGAGGGGGCGACGCCGACGGGCACGCTCTGGCCGTTGGACTTTTCGCGGGTGACACGCTCGATTTGGATGAGGTACTTGAGGCGGTAGACGGCGGTGACCTTGCCCTCGCGGCCCTTGTTGGAGCCGCGCACGATGGTGACTTCGTCGTCCTTGCGGATGGGGATGGATCGGACCTGTGGAAAAGGTACGTTAGAACTGGGTGAGGTTCTAACCGATCAACATTGTTTTGGGTAGGGAGTGTGTATGTGTGTGCTTGTGTTTCTTGGTTTTTTTCATACATTGTGCTTCTCGCGGAGCTCCTTAGAGAGGGGAGCGCTCATGATGGAGCGGCGCTGGGTTGAGCCCGCGCTGAAGTGCGCCTTGCGCGACTTGCGCCGGGAGGAGGCGAGTCCTGAGTGCTTTGTTAGAAGGTGTGAGTGGTCACAGCTGGGATTTTGGACTTACCGTGGTCTACCTTGGTCATTTTGGCGGCGGCGATGTGGTTTGTCGAGAGAGGTGTGCTGGACGAAAGTGCCTCTGCGAAGTGCACAAAATTGCTACCGTGGGTGATGCTAGTGCGCCAAGATTGTCGGTGGACCTGGACTTTTGTACGGTGGCCGATAAGTGATGTGCCGCAGGGTTGCCTCGTCATTCTTCGACTGGCATGTTGGGAGCCGAGGAATCCCTTCACGGCTTCACATGCCAACTTCGATCATTTTACTTGTGCTGATTGTAAAAGCAATCTACACATATTGTACACTATACAACCGACTCTCGTGCCTTGTCAATCATCCCATCGTTGCCGCGACTTTCCGCCTTCTTGGTTGTCTTACGACCCCAACAATTCATGATGACCAGGTGACCCCCCAACCTTTCAACCACATTGCAATTCCACCTTGCTCGGCGTTCTTTGAAGTTTCTCAGTTGATTTTCCAACCACCATGCAATACGTCCGCTCACTTGGCTCCGGCGTCTCAAAGACCTGGAACTCCATCAATCCTGCAACGCTCTCGGGTGCTATTGACGTCATTGTCGTCGAGCAAGCAGATGGCACTCTGGCGTGCTCCCCTTTCCATGTCCGGTTCGGCAAGTTCTCGTTGCTGCGACCTTCGGAGAAGAGGGTCGAGTTCCAAGTCAATGGCGCCAAGCAGGATTATGCCATGAAGCTGGGTGATGGCGGGGAGGCATTCTTCGTATTTGAGACGGCGGGAGACATCCCAGAAGCTCTGCAGACGTCACCCTTGTCCTCTCCTGAGACTAGTCCGCAGACTGTTACCGCCGACACTGAGGGTTCGATGCCATTTCCGGAGCCGACACCACTGGACTTGGAGAATGGACAGGAGAGTGAAACGCCGGAGATCGTACCAAGCGAGAGTGCAATTCCTATCCTACGAAATGACGAACTCGTCGGCGTCGAGAACGAAATCTATGGCGGCTTTGCCGGTTCAGCTCCCGATGTCTCCGCTGGTGCAATAGAAGCAAGACTCCGACCTAAGATGCTAGCTTCCATGGAGCGGGCGGTCTCAGAGGAAGTCCTCCCCTTTTCTGCAAAGGAGAGACTTGAGGACATTGACCTGGAATTCAGGCAACGAGCCCTTTCTAGTGGTGAGGAATCGCGGACAGTGCGATCGAAGACCAGTCCGCCTGCCTTAAGGCCGCAGGATGCCTACAACCGAGCGATGACGCTATCCAAGAAATTATCGACATCCAACATTCGCTCGAAGGTGACCGAGTCCGGCGATCTCATGCTCGACATGACTGGCTACAAGTCTACCGAGGAGGAGGCTCTGCGGGCGGAGGCCATTGCGAGGAAGCTCCTATCCGAGGAGCTCGAAGGAAATTACGATATCGGCTCTCTCATCGGGACTGATGAGCACGGCAACCTCTGGATATACAGCAGCGAAGAGGCCAAAGAGGCTGCAAATAGCAGAACTGTTGGTCAAAGCATGGGCGTATCGGCCATGCTAAGCAGTGACTCGGCCTCTGACCCTGGTTATCACAGCGACAGTGACCGTGAGCTGTCCCCACCAGGTACGCCCAAGCAGCATCAGCGAGCGAAATCCGAGGACCTGCCGCCACCACGTATGTCTACTGAGGGGCGAAATTTTGCGAAAACGCTTCGATTGACAAGCGACCAGCTGAGGAAGCTCGAACTGAAGCCAGGAGCAAATCCTATGACTTTCACAGTAGGGCGAGCCACGTGTCCAGCATTCATGTATTACTGGTCTTCGGAAGTCCCTATTGTTATCTCGGACATCGATGGCACAATCACGAAGTCGGATGCTTTGGGCCATCTCCTCAACATGGTCGGTCGCGACTGGACTCATTCTGGGGTCGCCAAGCTCTACACTGAAATCGTCGCTAACGGGTACAATATTCTGTACCTGACAAGTCGTGCTGTGGGACAAGCCGATACGACTAGGGGCTACCTGAATGGCATAAATCAGGAAGGCTGGAAATTGCCGAAAGGCCCAGTCATCATGAGTCCTGACCGGACTATTGCTGCTCTGCGACGAGAAGTCTATCTTCGAAAGCCCGAGGTCTTCAAGATGGCCTGCTTGCGGGACATCCTGAGCTTGTTTCCAGGAAGAACGAATCCCTTTTATGCAGGATTTGGTAATCGATTTACAGATGCGCTCAGTTACCGAACTGTACATATTCCCTCAACCCGGATTTTTACCATCAACACCAATTCTGAAGTTGCTATCGACATGCTCAGCCTGAGCAAATACCGAAGCAGCTATGTCACCATGCGTGAGGTTGTCGATCACCACTTCCCACCTGTGTCAACACTCGTGAAAGAAGGAGGAGAAGAGTACACGGATTTTACCTACTGGAGGGATACGCCACCAGGGATGGACTCTTTTCTGCCAACGGACTCGGAGGACGAGAGTGACAGTGACGATGACGAGAGAGACGTCGATGATGAAGAGATCAATGAAATGGGAGCTAGCTACCTCTCCCGAGACTCTGTGGACGAATCTGCTATGAGCGACTCGATCCGGCAATCAATCGAAGTGGAAGACCTGGAAGAAGATCTTGCGAATTCAAGGATTGTAGATGATGATTTCACAGAAGACTATCTGGACAGCCGGCCGAGGTCATCAAGCAGGCGTAACAACAGTAACTAGTCATAAGTCGATCCGAGCACTGATGGCGTTATGGGAACACAATGGATGTAAAAGTAACGGCAGTCCGTCCACAAGAGCCCACTTCAATGTTTACTGCCTGTCTCGCACCAACTGAGGAAACATGAGTTGCTTCAATAGAGTGCTAAGGTGGAAAGGCTCCAACATGTCTTACCCAAATAGGCATGCGAGCCTCCCGCTGCCAACTGTGTCTAATGGCAAGCCTGCAATTGGTTGCAACATGACGGGCTGCGGCACGGTCGAGACCCCGGATCCTTCGCCTACCATAGATACTGTTTCCGTGTGTCTGCGGTATCGTCTGGATGGACTCAATCGCATGGCAGAAGGACTCCCTTGACTGGGCGCACTATGCCTACGCTCATCTACTAGCACCGCGACTCGAGGTCAAAGGTCGAATGGCCATGTTTCTGCTACTGGCTGTCATCTGGGCGTCCGCATGGTAAGAAAGGCATTACAGGGCATAGTGAGAAAGTTCTGACGGTTGAAAGGCTCCTATGGCGTACATACTCGGTTCTCACTACGCCCAATGATTTGCTCGTCGACAAGCTCGGACTGGACATTCCTCCTCAGCCCCTCGTTACATTGGAGGAGATCTCTGCGACCGAGGTGCAGATAGGATGGAAGCCTTCAGAGACGTCGACCGCCATACAAGAGTATCAGATCGAGATCAACGGCAAGGTCGTGGATCGCTGCAAGAGGAGTGAGACTGCGGCTGTCATTTCGCATCTACTGCCTGGCAGAACTTATGACATCCGAGTTTTCAGCGTCAGCGCAGGTCGTTTTCAAACCCCAAGCGCCCCTCTCCACGTCCGTCTGCCATCCTCTTCTACCCCTCCGTCCGAAGATGGCGCCAGCGAGACCGTTCCGACGATTCGAGCTATTGCGGCGCGCGCGCCTTCCCTGCTTTCTGCGCCATCTGCACCCGCAATGGCTCGCGAGCACTCCGGAGGGCAGCCGCACGGCAGGCGTGGTACTACCGGACGAAGGTCTTCTCCTGCTGGTACAACAGCTGAGAAAGCGGATGCGAAGGACGAAAATGAGAACGAGGATCTCGCAGAGCTTTCGTCCCGTTTCGCCTCGGTGCGAGAGGAGATTGAGGCTGTCGAGAAGCAAGTGCAGGACGAGAAGAGCGAATATGATGGCCAGTTGCGAGAACTTGAGGCCAAGAAGGAGAAACTGCGACAGGACCTGAAGAAACGGGATGAGGAAAGCAGCGATCTCCGGAAGCAGGTGCATAAAGCGGAGAGTCAGAATCGTGCACTTCTCAACGACAAGACCAAGAAGGAAAGAGAGCTCAAAGCTCGTGAGAATGAGCGTCGTAAGAAGAAGGACGATGTCGCCAAGTGGGAAGAGCAGATTTCTACCATGGCAGAGGAAATTGCCGGTATCGAGACTCAGAAGGCCGCCATCAAACGCCGGAACGAGGCGAACATCCGTGAGGTGGAGCAGAAAGTTGAGGAAGAGCGCAAAGAGGTTGCCGTTCTGGAAGAGGAGGCCAAGGAGAAAACACAAGCCATCAAAGCCCTGGAGGAGGAGCGCAAGGAACTCGATGTGGAGGACGATACCGACGAAACCCGCGAGACGAACCGACAAGAACAGGAACGGGAAGCCAAGTGGCGGGGTCGCTTTCAGGAACTGTTGAGTACGCATAATCGCCTGTACAACGACTTGCAGCAAGCAACCATGTACCTAAGCAGTACTCGAGATCGGCTCCAATACTACGAATCTATGCGCCAAAACAGAGCCATTTCTTTTGCCGCGCCACCTGTACCACTCAATCTCGAACCGCAGCGACAGAGGTCAATGCGTCGGCCTCGACATACGGGGTCACATGGTAGCAGCGTATCTTCACCTCGCGGTCCATTTGTTGCCGAAGCTTTCCAACAAGAAGGTAGATTTGGACCAGTGCAGGCCTCTCCGACCACGTTCGGCCCGAGCTACTTCAACCCTCAGAACGGCATGACTCTGATGCTTCCGACTGAAGCTGCCACCACGCCGGGCGAAGAAGGCGAGGCCCTGAACTCTGTACCGATGAGCCCGCATGCCGATGCGTTGCTCCCAGCTGATCTTCTGGGCGATGAATCAGGCGAAGACGAGGATGATAAAGATGCGCCGATGCCGACGAAGCCGACTGTGGCTGATGCGGGCAAGTCTCGACCAAGCCCGTTCCCGAACATTGGCTCACCACTTGTGCGAGACAATGCGGAGCCAGTGGAATCGCCGTCAGCTGGCTCCTCTTCCCGTCAGTCGTTTGCCAGCCCGCGCGGGGAAGGATTTGCAGCAGCTCCCGAGACGGAGCATAAGTCAACTCATTCTGGAAAAGAGAAAGGCGGAGACGGGGAGTCGCCCAGCAACTCGCGCAAGTTCATGTACAACCTTTTCAACATCAATCGGCAGCGCGGCAAGACGCTTGAAGATGACCCGCCTATGCTGGGGAGTCTCAAGCCCACTCAAAGCCAGTCTTTCCCTCGGAATTTTGACGACCTCGATCCCTCATCGCAACCCAGGAGACGCCTCAGCTATGGCGGTAACTGGGCGTTTCCTGGCAACTTTCTTGGCAGAGAAAAGGATTCTGAGTCCCGCTTTGCTGCGGCGAGCCGTAGAGCATTCCCTAGTCTCATGGGCTTAGGGAAGTCTGCGGATGTGCCAAATTTCACACCGCGGACGAACTCGTTTGATCCTGGGACCAGAGGTGAATCGCCTCGGCCTTCGTCTATTTATTCTTTTGACAAGATGCCACGACCTGGAGCCGAGAACGCGCTGCATGTATGGAACATGGATCGGAGCGCCATGCGAAACAGCCCGCTTGCGCCGGACTGGGGCTCTATGCATTCCTTTTCTCGAAGTCATTCACGGCGACCATCGGTAGGCGGATATGGTTCGACTACAAATCTGAGCATGATGGGCCCCGACGAAGAGATTGTTGAGCCGAAGCGAGATCCTAGGCCTCTTCAAGCACCCATTGGAACACGACCGGCTAGCAGTCAGAGAAAGGAAGTACTGACACCGAAGCTCAACCCGGCGGCACCGAACTTTACGTCGCTGTTCAAGAAGTCCAAGGGCGAGAAAGTTAAGATCCGGGACCCGAAGGAGCAAGATAAGGAGGACAAGAGAGAAAACGATGTTGCCGAGTCAACTTCGCCTCCAGATTCGCGGAAGTCGAGAGATGCTCCTTCACTTGCGCCAACCCTCTCGACCATGGAATCCAAGGAAAGCCTGGATCGAACCACATCCACAGCGTCTGTCCCTGGTGTGCCTAGCGAGGGCAAAATAGAGAAGCCTACTTTGATGTCACGCATCTCTCGCACCGCCAGCAACAAGACGTACAGTAGCATGAAGTTTGGCAGCTGGAAAGAGAAATCCTTTTTGGGTAGCAAAAGCTCCAAGGACACGATGCCTGAGATTGGGGATGACGAGCTCGGTGCTAACGGCTCGAGTGATCAGCTCGGGCGCAGTATTGAGAGCCGAGATTCACTTGTGAACGATGGCGATAATGGAAGTGCGAAAGGACCATCGACGCCGAAAGAAGGCAAAGACAAGAACAGGAGTAGTATCAACTGGAATTTCATGCGTAAGAGCAAGGAGAAGGGCAAGGACAAGCGAGGCGAGCCAGCACAGAGCGACGTGTCTGTCAGCGGGGCCAGTGTTGCGGGTAGCGAGGTGCCGACTGATACTGAGGATGACGAGGGGGAGAGACGGCAGTGAAGATGTCGACATACTCAATGAACAAATCATCCTGCTGCACCTAGTTCTTTTTCCGATACGCTCTACACGGTAGCACTGTGTATAGTAATCCGGGCTGCTAGGCGACAAGGCGACCACCGGCGACCTCTCCGGACGCCTTTGCCGCTCAGCTAAGCCTCTACGCCGCGTTATTGGGCACGGCGCGCCTTGGAGACGCGATTACTTAACACGAGACTTCGCAGATGAGCGCAGACTAGAATCTGTATTTCAAAGCTCGATCACGACATCTCCAAGACCTGCAGCAGCTTCTGTCCATATTAATGCACAGGCCTCAACCGAGACGTGGGTCGTGCTTTCTCTTCATCTGATATCACTCAGAGACTGACTTGCTGTTTCCGTTGCCCGCACCCGCCCCCCATTCTCCGTTGACTGTGCATGACTGCTTCAGCTGCTTTGAGTGCCCGTGATAGATTGACCAGCGAAGCCTCCAAATTCGAAATAACCCCTGACAGCATGGCTGCTCCTCGTGCGTGGGCGGTCGTTGCAGGTGTTGGGCCTGGCACGTTCGTCACCCCCCCGCCCCCTCAATGGTTGCGGTGCCTCGGAGACTAACGCATCTACAGCGGCGCCTCGGTGGCCCGCAAGTTTGCCCAATCCTACTCCGTAGCACTCCTTGCACGCAAGGCCGAGAACTACGAGCCGGTGGTCAATGAGATCAACAACGGCGGCGGCCAGGCCATTGGCATCAGTACCGACGTTGCGGACGAGAACAGCGTCAAGAATGCTTTCAAGGTGCTGCAAGAGCATCTGGGTCAAGGCAAACTGGCCGCTGCCATCTTCAACGTCGGCGGCAAGTTCGTCAGGAAGGGCTTCATGGAGTTGAGTCTGGAAGATTTCGAATCGGGCTGGGAGGCCAATGGGTATGATGCGAGGACTTCAGAGTACAAAGAAACGAATGCTGACGCTTGTGCAGTCGTGGCGCATTCCTCTTCTCCCAGGCCGCCCTGCCGCTCTTGCAAGATGCCGTAGCGGCCTCGAACCACCCGCCTACATTGATCTTCACTTCCGCCACGGCCGCCATGAAGGGCAGCGCTCGCTGCGCTGCCTTTGCAACTGGCAAGTTTGCCATGCGAGCTTTGGCGCAATCTTTGGCGAGAGAATTCGGACCGGCGGGCATTCACGTCAACCATGCTATCATTGATGGCGTGATTGATATCGAAAGGACTAAGCACTATCAGTTCGACCATGAGGATGCAAAGATCAAGCCCGAAGCTGTATGTAACCCTACTGCAAGTGGGAATGGTGGCTTACGTCTACCAGATTGCGGATACATATTGGTGGATTCACACTCAGCCGAGGACGTGCTTCACAAACGTAAGTTCTTCCACGAGTCGGCTTTGCTGGATCAGCTTTCCAGGTGTCTGGGCCGTTAAAGATGCTCAGTCCGGGGGTCATCGGACACTGCCTCGACCTCGGCGTCTACTCCTTCCGCGATGCTCGTGAGCTATAGTGCTGACATCTCTGCAGGAGATCGATATTCGGCCATATGTCGAGAAATGGTGAAAATCGAGATATGCAGCCAGATGGGGTGGCACACTCCGTCGTCGGCTTTACTCCTTATCCAATCAGTCGCCGCTGTTTACCGGGGTGCATCTCCCCATTCCCACGGTTCTTCTTCCTCCTTGCGATACTCATATGCGAGTCGATTTGTAAGAGATTTCGTTCAGATCCCGTCCGCGCGCATCCGTCTCGGTAGGTTCATGAGCCGAAGTGCGCACTAACCCCGTGCCGAAGTATCCCGCGGGGTCTCCAAGTGTGTGACATGGCTGAGCCGCAGGTCTCCACGAGCTGTGTTCCAACCCCGGCTTCTCGTTCAACTTCGTCATTGAGTCCGCAAAGTCGAATGACGGCCGATCTCCTTGCCGCCCCGTTCAGCGCTCAATGCCCTTCCGTTTTACCTCGGTATCGGACGAATTCCGTCCATTCACCGGGTCTTCTCCAACGTATGCCAGGTCCTGTGCACTCTCCGGGGTACTAATGCTTGCGTACAGGGGTCAACTCGTCGTCACCAATGCTTTAAGCGACGGCTGAAGCTTGCGCATGCTTGAATCAAAGCTTGGTGACGCCACACCACGGATTCTCAGGAGAACACGCATGCCTCCTGCCGGATTTAGCTTTTCACACAACCATGAGGTCTCGATTTTAGCCTCTTGCAGTCACTGGAGCCATCGACCACGGTGCTGTACGGTGCATCTTCCGTCGGCGAGCGGGACACCATCACTAATGGCAGCGACTCTTGATGATTCCGTGATACACTAACCCCACCAAGGTCGGGGTCTCCAAGGTCGTACTGGGGAAAGCTGATGAGGTGGTCTTGTGCAAAATCTCTCCGGGCACATACAACATAAGTGCTCAGTCCGTCCACGGTGCTGCGTCGCTCCTGGAATCTGTCCACGTTCTTTCCTCGTGATTCACCTGTACCACGGAAAACAGCCTTCCATCTGATCCAACAGTTTCCAATCGGACTCCGGTCAACACTTCTACTATGGCATCGAACGACGACCTCCGTCGCCAGCACACCCACGACATCGAGCTAGGTGCCACCGACGCCCTCCAGAAGCACCTCACTCGACATGTCGTCCCACCAAAGCCTGTCTCAGAACGCAAGCTCCGCTTCGAGCACGCCCGACCACGGATATTGCGTGAGATGGTTGGTGAAGCCACTGGTGTATTCTTCTACGTGTTTCCGGGCATCGCGTCCGTTGCCTCTTTCACGCTCGCCACCACCAATCCTGTGGCGATAGGCGAAGGCGGTACCCCGGGCATCGGTGTTCCCATCTTTGGTAGCCTTGTAAGTTGATTCTCAGTCCTTGCAAAGTCTCACGGCAGCGCACTAGCGAGCAGCCTAGAGGACGAAGCCCTAGGTTGTGCATCTGTCTCGGTCCTCCACAGTCTTGGAAACTAATCACTGACACCGGACTTTGACAGTTCCAAATCGGCTGGGCTTTCGCGATAGGCATCGCATTCGCCATCATCACCTGCGCTCAGGTATCCGGTGGCCACTTCAACCCCGCCATAACCCTGTGCTTCGCCATCTGGCAAGGCTTTCCCTGGCGCAAAGTCCCACACTACATCTTCGCGCAGATTTTCGGCGCCTTCATGGCCGGCCTCATTCTCATGGGATGCTACTGGCCGGAGATACAGGCCGCCAAAGCCAATGACCTTGCCGCCCACGGCACCGTGCACTTCAACGGCGGCGTGGCTAGTATTCTCTGCACGTACCCTAATCCGAACCAGACGAATCAGGGATTCCTGTTCTTCCAGGAGTTTTTTGTCGACAGCTTTATTGGGATTGTGCTATGGGCGTGTTTGGATCCAGCGAATCCCTTCATGACCGCCACCGCCGCGCCTTGGGCTATCGGTCTGGCCTACGCCGTCATGGTCTGGGGCTTCGCGGGTAACTCGATCAGCACCAACCTCGCCAGAGATCTGGGCACGCGCATCGTCGCAGCAATTTTCTTTGGTGGAGAGGCTTTCAGCGTCAACAACGGTTACAGTTGGATCAGTATCTTGGTGAACGTACCGGCCACTATCTTTGCAACAGGATATTATGAAGCGGTTATCAGGGACAGTCTGGTGGCGGTGCATAAGGGCGAGAGGCACTATGAGGGTGGGGACGCGGGTGTCAGGCAGCTCGTTAGGACGCTGACCAAGGATCAGGAGGTGGCAGGCGCCATGGCAGCCGTAGGAAATGAGAAGCCTGACGACCAGTATAACGAGGTGAGGTATAGGGGCAATGAGAATGGCACTAATGGGAATATCCATGGCAATGGCGCGGTGGAGGCGGTGAGCAAGGGAAGGGATTGGGCTTGAGAGTACGCCTATCGGTATGTGGTCATCATTTACTTAGGAAAGGTCTGGATGTAAGGCTTCGATTGAATGGTGTTGGTTGAGGACCGCACATCTATGCTTGATGGAATTGCGTGTACTTCCGTCGTGTGTGGGGTGAGACTTAGGCGGACAATATTAAGACCGATGTTACGTACCTTTCGCTCTCAGATTCTTACCTGATATCGACAAAACTATTCATCACTGTATTTTGAGAATGTGTTCCGATGATCCGGTGGGTGACATAGTCCTTGTCTCGAAGCGAGTAGGCTCTCTTCTGTACTGGGATATATACGTCGACAGCAGACCTTGTGGATGGAAGCATACCAGAAGCCTGCAACCGGATACGTGAAGCGAGCAGTTGCCGAGGACTAGTAGGTCCCAAAGCATTGAGGTGGCATCAGCCGCGAGTGTAAGACGATAGGTGGTTCCTGCAGCAGGATTCCAAACCCCTGTCGTTCGACCTCAGGTTTCTGGATTCGACAGCTTCGGCGTGTCATTGGCAGACTTGAGAGCGAATGTAATCTCGGTTGTTGGTCCACGTGTAAGTAACCTTTGAGGTATGGTTTATTGTGAAATGTAACATCTCATCTGTGTTGGGATGGCGGTGACTCCTTGCACGGAGAAACTTCTTACCCTTGTAACCTCCACTGCCATATCAGGAAGGCGTCTAGCCGTTTTGGATAAGAGCTTCAGTAGTGTATCTCATGTGGTCGCAAACACTTTTCCAAGCCACAGTCTTGCTCCATCTACTTCCTCTGTTCACGACCATCGCATCAAGACCAACAGGCGGAAAACTCGCCGGAACAGTCGTCTGGCTTCATCCCTCCCAGCGATCGAGAGCTGTCAGGATTCAACATCGTACCGCTCCCCCCTAAAACCACACTTCTCTCCACCATGGCCACAACAACCTCAGACCCGATGAAAGCCCGCATCATCACGCACATGAACGCCGACCACGCCTTCTCCCTCCAACTCTACGCCCGACACTACAACCGCCTCCCGCTCGCCACCGCCCGCACCGCCACACTAGAGGACATCACCACCTCCCACCTCATCATGACCTCGTCCTTCGGCCGCCTCCTCGTCCCCTTGGACCCCCCACTCTCCTCCTTGGGCCAGGCCCGCGACCGCCTCGTCGCCATGCACAACGACTGCCTCGCCGCGCTCGACGTCGCCGACGTCCAGGTCTCGCGCTACACGCCCCCGAACCGCCTGCACCAGTGGGCCTTTCTCGTCGGCGCCTCCGCCGTGCTGCTCACCTTCCCCTTCCGCGCCAGCCTGCATCCCGACTCCGGCAGCTGGCTGGCGTGGGCGTGGGGCTTGGGGGGTCGGCTGCCGTGGCTGGCGGAGACGGCGTGGCGCGTGGCGCCGCTGGTGTGGCCCTTGACGCTGGGGATTCATGTGCTGGAGGTGCGGCACATGATGGTGTCGAGGCTGCGGAGGTATGGTGTCGAGCCGTTCTCTGCGCTGTGGTGGGCGTGGGTGCTGGATAATTTCTTTGAAGGGTTTGGCGCGTTTGCGAGGTTTGATGAGGTGGTGGCCGAGGAGAGGGCGAGGAAGGGGCTGGCGAAGGTGGAGGTTAGGGGAGAGAAGGGGAGGGAGGCTAGGGAGCGGAAGGCGGCTGGAGGTCACTGAGGTAGTCGGGGGTTTATCGTAGAATGATTGGTTCACGAGCGGGTTGGTCTAGAGTCAAGAAGCCCTTGTTCGGATGCCATGAAGGCCATGGTCCTACAGTGGGTACCTTTTCTATTGAGTGAGACGCCTCTGTATCCCATGTCCTTCTCAGAGCTCCACAAGCCAGCTTAGGCCCTTCGCTCAAGAAAATTGTTCTGCTATCTGAGGCCCGCATCATAATATGCCTCCTGACCTTCTCTGATGTGTCACTTTGCATCTCCTCCACCCCCAGCCGCCGGCGCTGGGGAGCTATTTCCACCAGCATTGGCTGCTGCGCCTGCTGCTGCTGCTGCACCGCCGCGGCCGCGTCCATAACCTCGACCTCTGAAATTTCCACGCGCACCACCGCGCCCAGATTGCGGGAATGCACCACGGCCACTTCTGGCGTTGGCACCGCCTCGAGCGGCATTTCCACGGGGCGCTGTAGGAGGATTGGCAGCCGCAGTCGCCGACGATGTCGTTGCTGCCTGATTGGCCGCAGTATCGTTAGCCGACGTTGCTGCAGGTGTAGACGTGGGCGTGTCAACTGCCGCTGGGCTAGCTCCTGCTGCGGCTGGCGTGGCCGCGGCAGGCTTTGGGCTCGGAATCGGCGTAGAATCGGCTTTCGCAGCCGCGGCGGATGCTGGGGTCGCCTGGGCTTTTGGAGTCGTAGCTTTTGCGCCCTTCGCGACATTCCTGTTCTCAAGTACTACCACCTGCCCGCCCTTCTCGCCAATCTTCACGGGGCTTGCTGCCATTGCGCTCTTCAGAGCCTCGGTGTCCTCGAAATCGACATATCCCAAGCCCTTCTTCTTGTCGATCTCGCAACGGCTCACGGTGCCGAACGCGGAGAAAGCGGTGCGGAGCAGGTCTTCTGTGACCCCTTGACTAGGATTAGCATGCTTGAGGAAGGCGGACTTAGCGCCAGGCGAGGGCTGCGGAGCTGGCTTGGCACGAGGAGCGGGCGTGGCCTTCGGCGCAGATGCAGCTGGAGCAGGGCTTGCTGCAGCTGGCGCGTTGTTGCGGGTTGAGCGCGGCCCGGTGGGCGGAGTTGTGCCAGGTGTCGGAGCCGGTGTAGCTCTTGAATCAGTCGTAGAGACCACGGCTTTCTCAGAAGATGTCTTTTCAGTCTTAGGAGTAGCTGTAGCTGGTGTGGATGCTGCAGATGCAGCGCGAGCCCCTCGGGGAGACTTGGGAGTCAGCCCTAGGTCACGTTGAACTAACCGCGCTGCCGCAGCAGCGGCATTGCCTCGCTCTCGCTTTGTGGGAGCTTGGGGAGCGGCAGGTGTGGACTTCGTCGCGGCTTTCTCCTCGCCCTTTGAAGATGTGGCTGCTGGTTTGGGTTGCATGGAAGCGACGGACTTGTTGATAGCCTTCACAGCGTCCTGCGTGGCCTTTGCCACCCGGGCTTTCTCGGTGTTCGGAGTACCCTTGACAACGACCGCAGATTTCTCTGCCTTTCCTTGCTTACCTTCCTTGCTGTCTTGTTGGCGTGCTTTGGAACTCTTCTTCTCGGCAGCTTCCTTGGCTTTGTTGGCCTTTTTCTCCTTCAGATACTGCACAAGGGGCGTGGTGGTGACTTTGTCGTGAGGACCGTCGACATCTGTTCCGTTGGCAGGAGTCTTCGTGATGGGTTCCGTCAAACTTTGTAAGAAGTCTATGAATTCCTGGTCCTGGTCGATAGTTCCCTGTCGACCATCGTTGCGAACACGTCCACTGGGGAGCTTATTGTATGGGGCAAATTCCAATGATGGTGGACCGACGAGGCATGCGTCTCGCGTGGTGTTCTTCGCGTCCTGGAAAGGGGTCTGCTTGATCTTGGCGGCAAGCTCATCCAGCAATGACTGGTCCTTGACTTTGAGATAGCTACGGGCTGGCCGAGATGGTTTTGCAGGACTAGATAGGATTAATGATTGAGATGGAATTTAAATGAGTGGTCGTACTCTTTGGATATTTTGCCATCCTTGAAGGCTGCCCAGTCGATCTTGCCCTTGCCAACTTGCCATTCTTCTCCAAGACCGGTCCAGAACTCGGCCTCGGTCAGGCCGGGAGGAAGTCGACGAATGATGAGTCTCAGTCTCGGCGCTTGACTGCGCGGTGATGACTTTGCTTGGCCCTGGCCTGACTTCTCTTTCTTGGTTGCTGCCGCATTGATAGGGAGAACTCCGCCAGCTCGACCTTTTGCGGCCATGGGGACCTAAGCTGCTTGTATCGTGCGAAGAGAGTCTTTCACCTGACAAAGAGACCTCTAGATAGACCCGCAGACTGTGACTAGCCGAGATCACAGGCAGACATGAGTCATCGATTGTGAATAACAAGGCTGATGTTGTAAAGCATTGTTGGCAGTGTGATATATATCCCACTCTCTCTCGGCCGGACGAACCATTGGCCGAACTAACTCCTCTCACTAACTCCGGCGCCAGTCTGCAAGATGCTGTCTATGTCTACCACTGCACCATCTCATGTGCATGATCCCCTTTACCTTAGACTCACAACCACTCCTACTACCACTTCCTCCTCCTCGTGAGTTCGACTTCTGTCACAACTGACCTAGTATTGACACTGCTCTGTACAGGACCTCCGTCGCGAGTCAGCGCCCATTCAACTACGCCGACCTGGTCCGGAACTTGCGCGCCGGCGGCACCCCTCCTAGCAACCAGACCGCCAACTCTTCGTCCTCTTCTTTCCCATCTTCTTCGCATTGATCATGACTGCGAGAGTTCCTGTTCCTGTCCCGGGTCCGGCCCGACTGAAGAAGTCGGCGGGCCCCGATGAGTGGCTCGAGGCCGCAAAAAACTGCAAGTACCTTTCAGAATACCACATGAAGCAGCTCTGCGAGATTGTAAAAGAGTACATGATGGAGGGTCAGTCAAACGCCTGTGCCAACTGAGCTGAAACTCACATATCATAGAGTCAAACATCCAGCCCGTGTCCACCCCCGTCACGATCTGCGGAGACATACATGGTCAGTTCTACGACCTGCTTGAACTTTTCCGCGTTGCTGGTGGCATGCCGAACGAGTCCGCTCCTCAGACACCCGTCACACCAGCCAAAGTCATCACATCGGCCGACATTGAACCTCCCTCTACCATCACTGATCCCAAACTCAAGAAGAAACTCCGGCTCGGCGGGTCAGATCACCCCGATACCCCAAGCGAACCAAGTGAGATCAGCGATGTGGACGATGTCCCTTCTTCTCAGCAGTCAGATATCGAAGGCGAAAAGTCCGAGTCTGGAAACTTCATCTCCCACAAGCAAGATGCGAATTTCATATTCCTCGGCGATTATGTCGACCGTGGCTATTTCTCACTTGAAACTCTCACTCTCCTTCTCTGCCTGAAGGCAAAATATCCCGAACGAATCACTCTCGTTCGCGGCAATCACGAGTCGAGGCAGATTACTCAAGTCTATGGGTTCTACGAAGAATGCGTACAAAAGTACGGCAATACTTCCGTTTGGAAAGCCTGTTGTCAAGTGTTTGACTTCATGACCCTTGGCGCCATTGTTGACGGGAAGGTGCTCTGCGTTCACGGAGGCCTGTCCCCAGAGATCAGAACCCTAGACCAGGTCCGGGTGGTTGCACGAGCCCAAGAAATTCCTCACGAAGGTGCCTTCTGCGATCTGGTGTGGTCTGACCCCGAAGATGTCGAAACATGGGCAGTATCGCCTCGTGGCGCAGGGTGGCTATTTGGCGATCGTATCTCTCAAGAGTTCTGCCACGTCAACGGCCTGAATCTGATTGCCCGAGCTCATCAACTTGTCAATGAAGGCTATAAATATCACTTCAAAAGCCAGGACGTCGTCACCGTTTGGTCTGCTCCAAATTATTGCTACCGTTGCGGCAACATGGCGTCTGTCTGCGACATTGGCGAAGACCTCAACCCAAATTTCAAACTCTTCAGTGCCGTTAAGGACGAGCTGCGGCACGTTCCGCCTTCTCGTGGCGGCCGCAATGAGTACTTCCTTTGATCGCTTCTTGATCATTCATCGACACGATCCATCATGAACGGTGAGCCCGAGCATCATTAAGCACGAAGTAGCAGCTCTCCAAATCCGTAACGACACTTTTCACGATTAAATGCGATGTACAAAGAGGTATCGGCTCTTGCCAGGGCATGCCTTTGGTGGCGTTTGCGATGGAAACTTGGTAGCATAGCGGCGGCGTCAGGCATTAAAGGAGAGCTCCGATACCCTACGGCTCTAGCATAGCTCTCAATGAACGAGAACCTTTCGATAAGTGACCATGTCGGCGACGGGCGCAACAGCGGTCGCCAGAACTGCCAGGCAGGCTCAGTCTTGTCGACCCCTGGTGACCATTCGCGTAGTCCGTACCTTGCATGAAGAGTGCGTATCCTCGGTTGACGTAGATCGGATTTCTCCACCAGAATTTCTTGACCCATCACTATTGCTACACGGAGTGTTTACTTTGCACGCTCTTCTTCGCTTACGTCTGTTGGACCGTGCGCATGCTATGCGGAGGACGTTGGCTCTCCTCGCCAGCAGCGCCGCATCAGCTCGGCCAGAGCTGATCCGAATCCGTAACGCAACTTTCTTCCGCGAGCACCCTACATCAGTCGGAGATGCCGCAACCAATCCTCCTCTTTTCCAAAACTTGAACTTTAGCTTGTCTGCCACCAAGGTTGGCGACGAGACGACACGTAAAGATGAACATTGGGCGGTTATAGCTGCCAATGATGGCACGACTTTCCTTGACGTCCTTCGAGGCTCCCATATCTGCCTTCCTCCAAATTCTCGAACATACCCATACCTCTCCTCTGAAGATATTGACCGGAAAGATCACCGCCTGCGGATACCTTCTCGTGCCATCCAGTATGTGGGCTTCATGCCCGGTAAAGGCAAAAGTCAGGGCAGCGGTATTCAAGGAGCTTATCTAAGTGCGCGATATGAGAGTCACAGAGAAGAAACAGATTGGTCCGTCCAGCAATATCTGAAAGGAGAGACCGAGCTCAATCCATTAGAAAACAAGCATGGATCACATATCGATGACAGGCTACTTTCGCGGGTTGTTGCTGACCTACGACTGGAAAACTTGCTCTCTATGCCAGTTAGCAACCTCAGCAATGGCCAGACCCGTCGGTCGCGTATAGCGAAGGCTTTACTGGGGAACCCAGAATTACTGTTACTTGACGATCCTTTTATGGGACTCGATCCCCCAACACTTGTCAGACTCTCTCCTATACTCAGAGATCTCGCATATAACTCGTCCCCTCTGCTGCTATTAGCTTTGCGACCACAGGACCCAATTCCAGATTGGATTACACATCTGGCCATTCTTGGACACAACAACACTGTTCCATTCATTGGGGCCAAGGCGGACGTATTGTTTGCTCAGCATCACTGGGCGAACATCTATGGCAACAGCGATCCCAACCATCCAGCACCGCCAACAGCTCGCAACGCCGCCGACCAGTTGGCACAGATTTATGGCCCTCCACTACAGGACGTTGGCACAAGTTTGACCGACAAAGGAGTCGTGCAATACGACGCGACATCCACGTTCTCGCCTGCCAGCGACGCAGTCCCCGGTGGTGACGATGGCGAAGATGAATCAGCAGATCTTACTACGGAGCAGCGAGCGCGAGTCCATCAAATCAAAGCCGTTACAGAGTCACGCTTACGATATCTGTGGAGTCTTGTCGCTAGACCACCTAGCCGCTTCACGACTTCCACCAGGGAACCAGCATCGGGGATTCAGTGTGATGCTGTCTCAAGCACTGAAAGCAGCGGGCTGGAAGCACCTCGCCGGCAGCTCGGTGAGCCTGTGATCGAGCTTGAGTCCGTCGTGGTCAAGTACGGCGACAAAGTCGTGCTTGGTCACTCTCCACCCCAATCTGGCTTCACTGCGCCAGGTCTGAATCTCAGCATATATCAAGGCTCCCGCCTTGCACTTCTTGGTCCAAATGGGTCCGGAAAGACAACATTCCTGTCACTTCTCACTTCAGACCATCCTCAATCTTATTCGCTGCCAATCAAATTCTTTGGCCGCCCCCGACTGCCTGAGCCAGGCAAACCAGGATTATCACTATGGGAAATTCAGTCCCGCATTGGCCACTCGGCACCGGAGGTCCACGCATTCTTTCCGAAGAGGCTGAGCATTCGCCAAACCCTGGAATCAGCGTGGGCCGAAACATATATTTCCAAACCAAAGCTCTCGTATGAACGGGACGAAATGGTGGACGCTTTCCTCAGGTGGTGGGAGCCAGAGCTTCGCCAGGACCGAGCTACAATCTCAGCTCCGGGGGAAGCATATCACAAGAAGTTCAGAGACGTATCCTCCGGTTCGAGACTTGATCGCTCTCGCACTATAAAGAGCCTCGTTGAGTCATCGTACCCACCGTACATCACACTTCAAACACCTTTCGGCAAGTCCCCAGCGGAGGACGCTGAGCACAGATCTTTGGGAGGCGTTGATTGGGCAGAGGACAAAGACACGCACTCTTTTGGCATGTTGCCGTTTGGGACGCAGCGACTTTTACTGCTGCTGCGCGCGATGATAAAGCAGCCAGACATCCTCATTCTGGATGAGGCTTTCTCTGGGCTGTCAGCTGATGTACGCGATAAGGCCATGTGCTTCCTGGAGTACGGAGAGACTAAGTTTCTTATCAATCAGCCAGACCTGGATGCGGTTCGGCTCGGCATGTATGAAAAGCCAACAGCTCATGACCGGAGACCTTGGGACAATCATCGCGTTGATATACAGCGCTTGGTTCACGCCAACAATCTTGAGCTTTCCAAGGTCCTGGCGAATCGGAGCAGGAGTGGGGGATATGACGAGCTTTTGGAGCGTTCCAAAGAAGAGCTTCTACAACAAGCGCAAAATTTCGGCAGAGAACTCGGAAACGGCACACGGTGGGTTACGAACACGGAGGTTCGTGACTACCGATTCAAGGGTCTCACGGACCGCCAAGCCATGGTGGTCGTCAGCCATGTCAAAGAAGAAGTGCCAGTCATCTGCGATGAATGGGTTCGCCTCCCTGGCGAGGAAGAGGTACAGCAAGGAAAGTCGGTTGAGATGGGCTGGGTGGGACGGGGCGGCATCGCGAGGCAATGGTCAAACGTTTGGGGCATCGCTTAGGATTTCTACGGTACAGATGCTGAGCGTGTTGTCTATTCTCGTCGACGGTTCGATGTACACTCGCCCAGACTTGTCTCAATCCATTCGCGTTAGCACTCAGGCTGCTCTCCTGCACACTTTCGAGCAACGACTTCCCTTTGCGACAGCCTGCAGGCTCGACAAAGTAAGGAACTGTAACCGCAAGCAAAGACTGAACAGTCTGCAACTACCAGCGAAGTACACAGGATGTTGTATACATACCTAAACAAGGGTCAGAAGTGGGTACGCTACTATTTTTAACCCGAGGTACATCCAAGCGAAGCTCATTTGTGGATGCTCGACAATACTGCGTGTATGAGAGGAAGGGCGTGTGTCGTTACTCGCTCCTAGGACTGTCAGTCTATCACGCTAACACTTGGATGGTCGAGTAAGCGTCTTGCATAGCGTGACGACATAAGGTAATCGGTATCACTGGGGCCCGCTTGAACCGATCTAGCGGTCGCCTTGGCTAGTTGCGTGCAGATGAGCAGCTCGCTACTTCGGTCTAAATGCAGAAGAAGGGAGGCTCTGCCTTTCTGCAGACCGCAATGCTGCAACACTCCCTGAGGCGCCGGTTTTTCTGGAACTATGGCGTTGGGAAAGGCGAGCTGAAGCCACGGCAGATCCAAGGCCGGGAGACTGAGCAGTGGTGCGTCAAAGTCGGCACGGATGCGACAAGTGGTCATAGCAAGGATCGACGCAAGGATTGTACAGCCCTATGGACAGCCTGAAATTGAGTCACCGGTGTCCCAACCCATCAGTGGACGCCTTGCGGCAGCTTGCATCGGCTCGATGGCTAGGTGGTGGCGCAGGGATTCAGAGAGGCGAGCCACTGGGAACCAGTGTCCCATGAAGCGACGGCGCTGTTGGGGGCAAGAGAGATACCGAATACTCGGGACGCTAGACTGGCTGGCTGCAGCGTCGCAGTCAGGCGATCCTCGTGCCACTGAGCCTCCTGTCCCTTGGTTGCCTTGCCAGGACCTTTCCCCAGATCATAGATCACTGACACTGCCGAATCGAGAACCCACGTGGTGGGCCCCACCTCAGGCTGAGAGGGGGATCTTTCCCTGATGCAGGCCGAGCAGAGCGACGAAGCTATCGGCAAAGGTTCATGCGGGCGCTTAAAGCATCCTTGAGCTGTCCATTTCTGTGGATAGAGGCTTTGGGAATCTCATGCTTTGCATATCTCATGCCCACTGAGAACTGAGCAATGGTCTGCGTCACTGGCCAATGCTGCAACATTATTCACCGAAAAAGGAATGCGTGGGACAAAGCATTTGGCGGTTTACGGCTGGCCCCAGGACACCGCCTTGCGGACTTGAATACAAGCCCCATTGTCGTCGCAACGGTATGACAGCAAGCTGTCGATCATGAAAGCAACAACATCGTTCCGTCGACGTCGGAGCCAGTAACTATCAGCCGGGCTGAAGACGGAGATGACACAGGACGGGCTGTCTCTTATCATAGTATTGCGGTGCCGCTGGGAAGATATGCTCGGGTACCTGCACAAGCGGATGACAATGCGAGGCTGTACCAGACGGACAGAGCGAGGCTTTTCTCCGTCATCTTCTCACCGCCGAAGTGTTGATGAGAAATAATACAATGTTGTCGAGGCTATACCAAAGTTCCGGGGGGGCGCCCAAAGTCCCCGTGGTTCAACGGCTGGATCCGCTCAGCCCCAAAATACACTCGGGACCACGCCACTTGGAGCAGCTTCTTAGGGCCATCAGCACTAAGGCCCGCCGCCACCCAGCAGGGGTCATCCAGGGTGTTACCACTCACGCAACCGGAAACGAATTTAGAAACGTCGTCACGAACTCTTGTTCGTTCACTGCCTGCGCCAGAACTCCAGAGTTCCAGAAGGTCGTTGGTGATTCGTTCCCTTTTCATTGCGACTTTTGGTCCTCCCTGCTTCAGCCCTATGGGCCCCTACTACCAATCGCTTTTCATCCTTGTCGCCGGTTGTTCACCAACGCTTGCCCTGCGCAGCATAGGATCAACTCCATCCCTCCCGATCCCACGTGCCTGAATGCAAAGTGCCTTGCCTATCTGGTAGTATTCGCTGCCTCCTTCCGTATTCATGTCAAGTGTGCCTTAGTCAACAAATTCTCCGTCTGGCTCTTACGTGCATATTCCGTGCTGACCCCTGGTTCCTTTCGCTGTCAGTATGCCTCGGTGTGGACCCTTCCCTTCGCTCGCTCAAACCGGAACCCTCTCAGCCCCCAAATAGAACATACCACATGTCTACAGATCCTCCCTCGATCAATCACACGTTGCGCCCGTTAGGACATGCTACTATAGCACAGACCTGGGTGCTAAGCCCATAACCACCGCCAGCCCTACGAGACTACTGCAGGTGTGACTGCAGGTAATTCTCCATTCCTGCCCTGCCCATGCTTTGGCTTCCGGCAACCCCATCAGGCCTGACTGTCTACCTTCGTTCCATACCCAGCACTGCCGTTGACTACCTATTCGAAAGAAACGATGCCGTCATTTCCCACGAGGCACAGTCTTAGCGGACCCGGATTTCTGGGCCTTTGCCATCCTTTCTTTTCAGGTGCTCCTCCTAAACCTTGTATACACTGCCGCTTGTCAGCCAACCCAGAAGAAACCGTACATATAAACACCCGTCTCTGGCCCCCGAGAGAGAGAAGTTGTCCTGCCTCATCCTGTCAATACACAAACCACATTCCCTTTCCCTCTTCCCCCCTCCCCTCACACAATCATTTCCATTGTTATCATCTGTTCGTCGTTTCATTTGTCAGAACTTTGACATCGTTGTTCTCGCAATACAAATTCAGCCTCCTTCGGAACATAATCTCTAATTGGATAATCCACTTTTTACAACTACACACACCTACACGTTCGGACGCCCCTTCTCGACATACACTGCAACGGTACACAGCCCTACCATCTGCCACCACACAACCCAAGCAATCCAACGCCACTCACAAGGGCCAAGCCAAGACAAAACTTTGCCCTCGACAGCAACCTCGCTCGCAACGCTACCTCCATAAAAGGGTCTGAGACTCGCCATCCATTCCGACATCTCTACTTTCCTCATCGAACCAAACAACAACTCTCTCCTATCCAAGCAAGTCTGTTTTTCCTTTTACTTTTTCCTTGAGTCAATCTCTTGTTTCTTGTTGAAGCACCTTCTCTGTCGACGCCCACAAAGCCACACAACCCAGCTCCCAAACGCCCCATCAAGCCATCAGCATTCTTTCCTTGCTGTTGTTCATTTCCTTTTCTCTCCTACTCCATCCTGTCCACTCACGTTCCACCACCAACCACACTATCACAATGGGACGCGGCGGTTACAACGCCCCCATCGATGCTGGTCGCGGTGGGTACAACAGCCCCGTCGACGCTGGTCGAGGTGGGTACAACGCTCCCATCGATGCCGGCCGCGGTGGGTACAATGGGCCCGTGGACTTCGGTCGAGGCGGGTACAACTGAAAACCGGTCCCTTCATGTGTCTGCTGAGCAGGCCACGCAAGGCTTGGGGTTTGTCGGTCCGAACGTGTTCCTTGAAGGATGTCGTTCAAACAGCTCGACCAAGTAAAACACCATCATTTTCCGACACAAAACCTGTACCAACACACACACACATCAGCCAATCGTTTCAGCATAGCGGCGGTGTTTCTCAATCATTTTTTCAAAGCAAGCGGCATTTTCAAAGGCGTTCTTTCTCGGCATTTTTCACACAGCATCAGCGTCAGCGTCATCATCATCATCTGCAAAAAAAAAGCAGTGCTCTGGGAGCACAGAACCAACTGGGGCAGGACCCCTCTGGGCAAGTAACACTCCAGCCATTTCCCGATTTTCGACAATCAGCATAGCGGCCGGCGTTCTCCATTTGATTTTTCATGGCGCTTTTTGGGGGGGTTTCATTTCCAGCAGTTTGGAAAGGGATAGGCCCAGAAAGGGGCAGGGACCCAGCAGCACTATCCAAGGATGTACCACCATTCGTTTTTTTCGCGACTTGGGGAGGAGGGCGCATTGGAGAGCTTTCTTTCTTTTCAGAAATAGACCAACACAAAATCGCACGTATCGAGCGCGCGTGTTTGTGATATAGCATGAGGGGCCAGATGGAAGGGCCTGATTTTCCGTGGCTCGCGCCGCACTTTTGGGGGACAGGTGGGGGAATAGGGGAGGATTTCTTTCGTTCTTTTTCTCAGATACCTCCAGAAATCACAACCTTGGTTTTCCATACCAGAATCAAAATTCAGAGTAGAGCAGAGCAGAGCACCGGCTTCACGAATCAAGCCCAGAGACAACTCTGTCATTCTCTCGCTCTCTTCGCACAGAGCCAAAGCACGCGTGAACACACGGCGAGAGTTGGAACGGGCCCAAGATGCAAAGCGAATCCGAGGGGGCGGGAGGCGCAGAGATTTGCGAAGCATCGTTGCAGAGCGGGTATATCTGTAGGAGAGGAGGGGGGGAAAAGTCATCACTTACTTCTCAAACACAACGCTCAATACATCCTCCACGTCCCCTCCCTCGCCCCGGCCCGTGATCTTGGCCAGGCACAAAGCTGCGTGCCGCAGGTGCTCAGCTGCTGTTACGATGTCGACTTCGACTTCGACTTGGGTGTCGACGGGCTGGGAGAGCGAGTCATTGATGTTCTCTGAGTCGGAGGAGTGGTAAAGGGGAGGTGTTGCGGCAGCGGGACATTCGGATAGGAAGTCTTCCAGGTGGGCGAGGCAGGCGGCGAGGTAGGCGCGTTGGCGGTCGGTGATGGTTAGGGAGGGGAGCCAGTAGGCTTGGGCATCGGCAGGGGAGATGGCATTTTCGGGGGAAGTGAGGGCGGCGGTCAGAGTGGTGAAGGTTTCGGTGAGTAGATGGAGGAAGGAAGGGATGTTGCCTTCGTTCGGGCTGAAGTTCTGGGTCGCCGAGCCGCCGGCGGCGCTCTTGCAGCTCATGAAATGGATGTTCTCCTTGGGAATATCTGGCAGGGCGTTGTAAATGTAGCGCTGCATTGCGGCTTTCGTGCTCTGGGAGGCGAGGAGGTCGGGGATCAGATCAGCTTTGTTGACGGCCACGACCAGGGTTTTGCCTGCGCTCAAGCACTCGCTTGCTGCGTCACGGACCTCATCGTTCATGCTCAGCCCTATGGTGCCGTCGACGTTGGGCTCGAGCGAGAGGAGGACAATGACAACGTCAGACTGCAACGCCCTGGCACGAGCGCGGCGGATGCCTTCCTTCTCGATCTCGCCTATAATGGTCGCTGAGCCGGCTGCGGAGGCAACCATCGTTCGCAGGCCAGCCATGTCCCCGAAACGCACGAGCCAGCCTCCGAGATCAACGCTTACATCAACGATATCTCTTGTCGTACCCTCCTCAGCACTCACAATAGCCGCCTCTCTGCCCACGATCCGATTCAGCAGCGAGCTCTTCCCGGCGTTCGGCGCTCCCAGTAGCGCTACTCGAATCCCCTGCCTCAACAGCTCTCCGCGGGTCGCGTTCGCGATATGAAGCTTCAATTGCCTCTGCAGAGCACTCACCTGCTCGGCCACGCTCGCCATGAACTCTGCCGGCGACTCGTCGAAGTGTTGGTCCTCACTGAAGTCAATCAACGCTTCCAACTCCCCTCGCGCGTGCAGAAGAAGCTCTCGCCATGATTCATAGCGCTCGGACAAGCCACTTTCGGCGCCCAAGACAGCAAGGCGCCGCTGCTGCTCGGTTTCAGCCGCAAGGGCGTCGCCAAGTGCTTCTGCTTCGGGTAACGAGAGTCGATTATTGTAGAATGCTCTTTTGGTGAATTCGCCGGCATCAGCGGGGCGTATATGCGAGTATTCCGCGGTGCGACGCCGGCTGCGACCTTGAGCGGTGTTGCTGCATTGTGGGATGGCGGCGAGGACGGAGCGAACTATCGCGGGACCGCCATGAATATGTAGCTCAAGAATGTCTTCACCCGTGACAGTGGAAGGCGCGGGGAAATAAAGAACTATGGCCCTGTCGAGATGTGTGCTGGGAGAGGTAGGGTCGTACAGCTTGCGAAGACTGGCCACGCGCGGGTTAGGGAAGGCTTTGTTCGGACAGAGTCCACCGTAGATATCAAGGCATGCAGGGCCGGAGATGCGGATTATGGCGATAGCGGCACGGCCAGGCGCGGTAGAGAGAGCATAAATCGTGTCGACGGTGGGGAGGTCTTTGCGTCGGGTGAGTGACGCGGAGGGAGAAGAGACATGGCGACGAGCCGGCAGTGTTGGCGGTCTAGAAGCCCATGGTAGATATTGTGTAGGTGCTCGGCCGACAAGAAGCGGACGAGCAAGGAGCGACAGCCGTCTGACGACACTCCTATTGAACATACGGGATATGAGGAAGCATGAAGAGTCAATGAATCGCGCGTAGGAGCCGCCGAGCATATGGGGGTGGGGTCGGAGCCATTTGGGGCCCACAAAAACTGACGGCAGGCTCACTGGGCTCAGGTGAGAATCGTCTTGAGCTCCGAATTATCGAACTCGAGAAAAAACGGAGAGGAGAGTCTGGACTTTGATTCGATGACCTTTTATTATGGTACAGAACTTGCCACCTAAACTATGAAAATGCATTCTGGCAGACGCCAACTCCACGCGCCAACGGCAACATCCAGACCATGCAACATGACAGTGACTTGTGGTGGTCTCTGGTGCGAGGTCAGTGAGCCGCTTCTGCTCAAGTATTCTGCAACCACATATATCTAGTTCAGCAAGCCTAGAGTAAGGTCACCGTGGATTCTCGCCTTGAGCTGGACTTCGATGTCGAGGTTAAGATCCAGCCTGAGCCTCAGCTGCTCGTTCTCGCCCTCATCTTCCCCTCCCTCTCCCTGTCCCACCTCCTGGCCCTGGCCCTTCTTGCCGCCTTTGTTGTTAAGCAGACCACCAATAGCTTCGTGAGGCTTGCTGAGGGCCTTGCCGGCCGTGTTGCCGACGAGGTCCTGGGCACCATCGGTAACGCCGCTGACAGTCTCGCCAACCTCATCGACAGCATCGAGAGGACCGCCGCCGCCACCGCCGAGAAGACCGCCGCCGCCGCCGCCTTGCTGAGTTTGAGCTTGGGACTGCGCTTGTGCGCCTTTCCCTCTGTTGCGATTGCGGTTTCTCTTACCCTTCTGAGAGACATCGCTTCGGTAGGCACTGTCGGTATCGGATGGTGGCTGGCTACCGTTGCGAGAGCGACCGCGGCCGCCGCGAGACTGTGATCGTGCTTGTTGCTGCTCCATTTTGGGTGCTGGGGATGGTGATTGGACTTCCTCGCCTATGCCTTCGTCTTCGTTATCTTCCTTCTGCGGAGTGTTGTTGTTGCTCTTCTGGCCGAGCTTCTTGGGCTTCTTGCGCTCCTCGGTCTTCTTGGAAGAGGCGTTGCCACCGAGACTTAGAGCACCTGAACCGGAGGCAGCAGCGTCAGCGTTGGCTCCGACTTCTTGCTCTGAGGTTTGCTTGGTCTCTTGTTCTTGTTGATCAGACATGTTGAAGAACAGAAGTACTGAGGATGCGGACTAGGCGGATAAGAAGTAGACAGGATTAAAGAGAACGTCAGAGATGCAAAGATGATCGGTTCACAGTAAAAGAGCGGGAATGTGAACAAGGAAGAGGTTGGTTTTCCCAGGGGGGTACGTCACAAATTACCTTGAACAGGCCTGCAAAACTGCGCTTACCTGGTAGCAGGAGCGCGAAGTGACGTTGCAGCGGTTGCTGCTATAGGCACATAAAAGAGAGCAGCAGTGCTGAATTGCGATATGGACGATGACCCGCAGGTCAAACACGGGGCACACCTGGGATGCCCGGGAGGCAAGGCGGAGACTGACAGGGGTGAGGTCCGGATTGTGGCACGGCAAGCAGGGGTGATGCAACGCCGCCCGAGCGCAAGCCACGGGTTCTCATCCATGTGCCGAGACGGACGACGGCAACATTGTCCTGCCAGCTGGACGATATGCTGAGTATCCCAACCGTGCTACCGCGACCTTGTAGATGGTGGTACTGAGTCACTCGAGAGAAAGTCCGAACAACGTATAATCGGTAGAGATGATATTGGTAGAGCTGACGCACGGTTGGGAAGGGCCTTGGTTCCCAGCCACAGCTAAAGGTCTCGAGCCACGGCCGCCACATTCCGGGCGGTTGGTCCTCATACCCGAGCGCATCCCTATTGGCTTTTGACGCCACGCCTCTTGCGATCTGCTGTCACACACACGCAATTCGTCGCGCGGCTTGCAGGGATTGTGGCAAGGTCGAGGTCCCGCCCCTGCAGAGTGACCGCATTGCGCCGGCTCGCTTTGCCGATCTGGAGTTGAGTGCTGTATCGGTCGAGCTCGTTACGTTCAGACATGTCGCTGCTTTGGCGGGTAAGGACTGTCTGCCACGCACTGCGTGTCCCTTGAATTCATGGCTGGAACTCATACCCCGGTCACGATGATGTAGTCGCTCACCCACCCTGCTCCAGCCCTGCTTTTGCTCAAGTCCCGGAGGCTCGCTGTACACTTCTGGGCTCAACACCTACTTCGTGCCTCTCCGTCATAAGTTGCTGCATTCTCTCTTTCTTCCATCGCCGTGTACAACAGACTTGATCGCCATGTCTGACCAAGTACAAGAGAGACCCAAGGCCAAGCGCGCCGACTCCGAAGTATCGTCCACCGCCGAGGACGACCCAGGCTATGAGTCCCGCTCCCGGTCACAATCTCGCCGACGTCGGCGACAGAACCAACGCCAGCGACAAGTACAGACCAAGGCTCAGGCCGGCAATGCCAAAGCAGACTCCATGGCGGCGGTCAAAGAGGAGCCGCAGCAGGAGGAACAGGAAGCTCAGCAGGAGGAAGAACGGCATCCAGATTGGCCTTATGCTCCACGAGACCAGTGGCTGTCAAACCCCGCCACCCAAGACACCACCGAATTCCAACCATTTGAAAGGATAAAGCCTCCTCAAGATTCGATGGCGGGGCCTGTTACATATGCTCGCATGATGCGAGGAGAGATCCCCTGGAGAGGTCCTCCTCCTCGCCAACCCTACGACACCACGCAGGGTGTGGATGCCACCATGGGCGGTACAGACGGGAAAGATCCCATGGATCAGGATGGCTTGAAGCTGCGCATTGAGCTGAACCTGGATATTGAGATCGAGCTAAAGGCCAGCATTCATGGTGACCTGACGCTGGCGCTAATGTAAGTCTGGGCCCTTGCTGCGAGACCTTTCACCGTCTGATCACTGACTTAGCAACTGAACTTCAGGGCTTGATTTATCCCTTCCGAAACTGAAAGTGCCCAAAGTTTCACTGCCCAAGATAAAACCACCAAAGTTGAGCCTGCCTGAGGTATTATAATCGGCGTTGTTGGAGCACTGGAGAATCATAGCATGTTCTGTATCACCAATGACAAGAGAAGAACGCTTTCTTGTGTCACCCATGTGCGTTCTCCAAAGTACTCGACCTAACTTGTAGCATTTCATCGTAACAGTTGCTACTTCCATACAGGAGAGAAAGGTATTTACCATTGCATGCCATAAACCGCCCCAGATTCCCTCTCCTTCTATTCCTGACGCCCAAGCCATCGCCTCGCGCCTCACAAACATGCCGCCCATGGTGTCAACTCCAGTCGCTTAACCACGACACCACAGATCATCGACAAGCGTCCTCGCAGCCTTCACTTTGTTAAGCGCTCGCTCACGCGTGCCCTTGGGACTTGGAGTGCTCCGACTTTTCCTCGGCCCCTTGGAACAAACCTCCTCAACATCCTATACACTCTGAAGACCCGGACGCGGTGTTCTGCCAGAGTCTCTGGTCAAGTTCAATTGACCAAAAGGTCAATGTCGACCTACACTGTTTCACTCTGTCGTCTGTCAATGACCACCAGAGGTAAGCATAAACCACAGGCAGGCTCCCCGAACTGACAGCAGATTACACCTCAAAGTCTCTGCCCTGAGTTTGGGAGACAGCTTCTCAAGTTTATTGATGCCTGGAGGGTCAGAGTACAGCCAGGTTCTTCGAGTGCTTGCCAGTCATGCGGTGAGGCACACTGTACAAAGTGTCTGTGCATAGGACTGGAGTGCCGCTCATTGTGCAGTGAATCAGCAACCTGCAGAACTACACAAATTAGCTGTTACCGCAGTGAATAATCCTTTGGCAATCATCGTCGACCGTGGCCAACCAAGTAACGACATCTTTTTCTTTCCTCATGCTCAGGCTGCCTTCGATTCCCTTTCCACCTTCTTACGAAACGACATCTTCGGCGGTAAAGCAGGTACAGATCAACAAACACTATCAGCATGGCGCCGTCCAAATCTCACGATCCATTCATTGCCGAAAGGATAAGTGCCGCTTTCTCCAGATACCCGTCTAGAGGCTAACAGGTGCAGTACATCACCCACCGACAACCCTACCTACAAGCTCAGTCTCTATTGTTCAACAAGCTCTCGCTCGAAGTCTTCCAAATGGTCATGGACGAGTGGAAGCAGCTCCCAATCGCCGACAGAGTCATACTGAGCCTGGTTTGCAAGCGCTTCGCTGCCAACATGGCCGTTCCTCGCCAGAAGATCCCTGCTCGAGTCGGCGATCATGCCTCTACCGTCACAAAGCGAAACCGCCTCGTCTTTATGTTGCGTCTAGCTCCGTGGTTCGATGACTGTTCGGCCCGAGCATACAAGGAGGTCACCAGAGTCGACTCGTGCCGAAAGCTAGGTGAGACCGGGCCCAAGGACGACTTTGTTACGATCGGAAAAGGTTGGCTTCTCTGCACTGGCTGCCTGAAATACCGCCCGGCCAAGATCGCAATGGTGCACACAAGCCACTTCCTCGACGGTGCTGCTGAGCCCGGCCGCTGGACTCGCTGCCTCGTCCGCCGCCAAGACGAATACCTCATGCACAGCCACCTGGTCTTTCACGATACCGAAGATGGCTGGACCCCGATCGTCGTCGACAAGAGAAAGCTACCTGGTTACGTCAATCCCTCTGCTCCAAAGAAGAAGAAGAAGAAGTCCACAACAGGCAGCAAGGCTCAGGCCAAATCCATGAAGAAGGAGAAGATTGACACTCCGGTCGGCGGCAACGGCAACGGCAACGACAAAGCCACGGCTGGGTCGGCGTATCAGCTCGACGAGCCCACAGGCTTGGAAGACTGCCTCTATCTGCCTGTCGACACCTACGGCACTCGTGTTGGCGAAGTCAGCCTGTGCCCACGCCACAACTTGGACCCCGTCACCCTCGTCGGCGCATAGGTCGATTTCGCTTCATCTCATCGACTATGTAAGATGAAACGAGCGAATATTCCGCGTTGCCATCGAGCAAAGAAGACTCTGCACCAAGATTGCGCTTCTGGAAAGACTCTGGGCACGCTCCCCAGTGGATACCATTCAGCTTGGGACCGAAGTTACAGGCTGCATGCAGTCTAAGGGTTTTATTGACTAACAGGCCACCATAGCTACGAAAGGCCGGCCGCAGGCATGCTTGCAAGGGGGGGGGGGGGGGAAGCCGGTTGACTCGTGCGTCAACGACGATCCATCAGTGACTTTTGCATGGAAATCCAGGGGCAGAAAACACCGTAAGATAGAAACCCCAGGAAATCCAACGGTGTTGCAAACTGGTCATTATGATTGTGCGGTCATTGCAGTCGTAGCACCATCGCATCGTCGCTCATTGCCCTCTAGCCCACTCATGACTCCCCCTCCCCAAAGACTTTCTCCACACTATCCTATGTACTCTCCCTCTGCCGTCCCTCTCTCCCTCCCCGAAATCAGCGATGCCTCTCGCCCATCCCCTGTCCCGAATGCCGTTTCCTCGCCGACTTCGGACTGTCGGGCTCATCGGCGATGGCGCTGCCCTCCCGCCCTGCTTCCCACTGTTGTCCTCGGAAGGGCAGACCGCCGCTTAATTCGCCTCGGGCGCGGCGCACGACGCGTTCGATGCCGTCCAGGCCCATCTCCAGGACTTCCATCTTGGGCCCGTAGCTGAGGCGCACGAAGTGGTGGCAGGGTGAGTCGAAGAGGTCGCGGCGGTGGGCGGGGTTGAGGTCGAACTGGAAGGGCGGTGTTAGCGAGGTGGATGGATGTGTCGGGGTCAGGGGGGGTAAGAATGGGAGTGTGGGCTGAGGTCTCCGTGACCATGCTGTTGTGTAAGGAACAGGGGCTACTCACGAAAATGCCCGGAACGACAATGACTTTCTCCTTGAGGAGGGCGTGGAAGAAGGACAGCCCATTCGAGATGTCGATAGGGCTGCCGGCTGGCACTGGAGGGTCGAGGGTTGTGAGATCGAGCCAGATGTAGAAAGTGCTGTCAGGAACGTTCTGTCCGCCGGCGCGGAAGCCGATGTCCCTGAGGCGGCCGAGGACATAATCGCGCTTGGCACGGAAATGGCGCTGGAGGGCCGCCATCTCGGAGTGAACCAGAGGCGGGTCTAGCATGGGCACGGCGGCTTCTTGGAAAGGCACGTTGGTGCCACCGTCGAGGTAAGAGCCGCAAGAGCCCAGGGCGGAGATGAACTCTTTGGGGCCGACGATCCAGGCGACACGCCAGCCTGGAAGGCGGAACCGCTTGGTGAGGCCGTCGATGATGATAACGTCATCGGCGTCGACGTCCATGATGTTGGAGGCGGAGGAGATTGTCTGGCCGTCGTCGCCGCGATAGTCATAGCCAGCGTAGAACTCATCGAAAATGAGGGTGGCGCGATCGCGGCAAATGTCTTGGATGAGTTTCAATTCCTCCTCGCTCAAAGCATGGCCCGTGGGGTTTCGGGGGTTGGATGTAAGGATCACACGGGTGCCTCGGGCAAGTTCCTCGGCGACTTTGTCGGCGTGGACGTGGTAGCCGTCTTCACTGGATAGCGGTGTGGGGATGGCGACGAAGTTCTTGAACAACGATAACATCTCATTGTATGCGGTGTAATCAGGAATGAAGAAGCCGAGCATCACGTTGCCGAGAACAGCAGCGATACGGATGAGACCAGCACGACCACCAGGAACAATGCAGACATTCTCCCAGGTGTATTGGGAAGCTTTGCCCTGGCGATACTGGACGTTATAAAGATTGGCCACAGCTTCACGAAGGGGCTTGATGCCGGCTGTGGGGCCATACTCTCGACCATTGACGCTGATGTCGATCGAGGTTGGGCGGGGAAAGCTACCTTCGATGTCATCGTCGACCTCCGGGGCACCCTGGCCTAAGTTGGCCCAGGAGTGAGGATCTTCGAGGAAGCCATGCTGTGAGGCCTGTTCCGTGGTCCAGACTACGCCCGTCGAGGCCCGCGAAGTATCGAGGCCAGCATGAGGCTTGTGAGAGGGGTGCTCTCTCAAGTTGAGATGCGGTGTGGACGCGCGTTCCTGTTCGGTGGGTTCCTTGTGAACGCTGAAGCGTCTGCCATCTGGCGACTGTTGTAGAGCTTGACGAAGGATCGAGACTCGGCGACCGGAGAAAGACATGTTGTCAGATCAGCTCCGGATGCGGATCAAAGTAGGTGGTAGCCAAGGCCGGCATTTGTCAAGCAAGGGGAGGGATGAACGATGGATGGCGGGGGGAGGGTTAGGTGGTAGGCGGTAAGCCTTGTGCAGCCTTGCAGCGTTGCTTTTGCGGTGGCCTGCAGCTCGGTGCTGGCATCTTTCCGCCCCATGTCCGACGCGTCCTTCCATCCCTTGATGGCCCCTCATGTCCTGTGTCTCGTCGTCGAGTCGTGCCCAAGCAAATAGACGGACCTTGGCATTGATTAGCGCCTGCGGCTATCGTTGTTTGATCGACGACAGGGGAGTGTCTCGGGTCTGAGCTTCGTCACTCTTGACCGTCCGCTATTCTTATTGAAAAGACCAAGACATTGCTAGTTGTCGATCCCTTGACAGGCCGCGACACCTTGTTCCCAAATGGACGCCAGGGCGATGATGACTGCGGGTACGCGTCTTCATGCACTACGCCGACTGCTGCTTCAGAGGCTGTGAGCGCCCGTCGAAGTCTATACCATTCATTGGTTCAACCATTGTTCAGAAGTGATCCGCGTGGGGGTGGAGGTACTCCGTAATGCGGACAACTACAGCAGGTGCCTTCCCCAGATTCGTTATTGTCAGAGATGTGCTGTCCTTCCAAGCATTCCTTCCCACCGTCTCTCGTCTGCGTTAACATTGCTCCCATTACGTGACACATCTTCCGTCAAGTCGTCCAACGGTCTCATCTCTACAAATTGCACCAAAACCCCCGGTCTTGCGTCGGGCAGTCCAGTACACCATGACGCGAATTCCTCTGTCCATCGATGACCAAATTTCACCCTATATCGGGCCAGCCAACGGTGGTACTGGGAGTGATCCCGTGGCGTGGATTGCAATCATCTTTGCCGCCTTTTTCGTAATAGTGACAGCATGGCACTGCATTCTGCTGGTCAGACGGCAGGCCTACTTTACCTGGCTCATGGTTGCCTCCTCATTAGGTGTGTTTCAGTTCTCCATTTGCTCCTCAAGTGCTAACACAACCACAGCACAATGCTTGTCCCTCGTTGAATTCGCATACTCGACTATTTACCCTCTCTCAACGCCATTCCTCGTTATTGGCACCCTCACCCATTGGTTGGTAAGTCCCAACGATGACAACACTATATCTCACCCAAGTCGAGGACGTTCATACTGACAAGACCAGTCACCCACTCTTCTCACCATCTCGGTCATCCTAGTTTTCGGTCGTGCGTCCTGGGCCGGTGCCCTCTCTAACCCCTCCCATGTCCAACCTCTCTGGGGCTTCCTCCGCTGGAACACCGTCATAATCACTACTACCTCACTCTTCAACTTCTCCCTGCTCTGCATCGGCTGCATCATCGTCGTAGCGTCTGCGCCAGACGCCAAGATCGACGGCTCAAACAACCCCGCCATTACTGCCGGCTATGGGCTGCTCAAGACCGCATTGGTGCTGCAGTTGCTGCTCCTAACGGCATTCGCCCTCTTCGTTTGGCGCTTCCGGAACTATACTCTGCAGTGGGACGTCGAGTGGAACCAGAGGCGAAAGTTCAACTGGACATGGAAGAAACTTCTGGTCATAGTGCTCGTGAGCCTTGGCCTACTATTGATTAGCCAGCTCTTCCACCTCATCATCTTCTTCATGGACTGGACGGACATGCCGTGGCTGGGCTTACTCTTCGACTCTGGCCCAGTCTTCATCGTCACCCTGCTTTTCCTCGTCTACCATCCGGGCAGGTGCCTACCGAAGACCTTGACCAAGCTGCGCCTCGACAAGGAGAGGTTAAGGCTGGCTACGATAGTTGAGAAAGAGCTGCAGTCGAAGAACAGATCGGATCAATCACTCGCTTCAGGGTCCACTTGATTTTTGTATGTCTATACATATATATGTTCACGCTAGGGAGAATCATGTCCACAACTAGACGCATATGTCTCATACCGATCTCGACTTTGGCCGTCTCAGACGAGGCATATATCTTCCCTCTCTGCCAAAACTCACTCACTGTTGTTCCATCTGCGGCCCTCTCCGCCGGGTGAATATCTCTGCGTCGCACGAATATTCTTGTGATATCGACTACCTGCTTCCCGTTTTCTAGTGCACTCTTTATTGCATTCACCTTCATCGCTGTTTCTGTCATACCCGCTCAAGATACCGATGGTCCCTCTCCTGGCACTCGACCCCCGCCTCAGAGTGTTTGTCTCTACACTCCTTCCCCAGCTACTTTCACCACGCGGCATAGTGCAAACTCGCTTCCTGATCTGCGATCTCTTCCTAGTTCGGCTCTGCAAGCTTCCCGTTTCTCGCCAGTCTCTCCATAGCCACCACTTCCTACCCCAGCATCCACCCCCATCACAACCACTACCGTCAACATCACCACCACCACCACCCCACCATCATTACAACTACCACGCCAAAACGCCCCCATACTTCTCAACAAACCCCTCTACCGCCCCCACAAACCTCTCCACATCCTCGTCACGCAGCTCAATGTTCAGCGCCACAAACCCGCGGAACGCCAGCCAGATGCCGCGACTCAGCATCCACAGCCAGAACAGCTGCTGCAGCTTGCCCTTGTCAAGCCCCACAAAATGCACGCACAGCAGGCTGCCGTGGCCCGTGACGAACATGGGCGGGTACCGCTCGTACACGGCTGGATCCTCATGCTCAGCGTCCGTGAGAGGGTGCCAGGGCAAGACGGCGTCACCACCCGTGGTGGTGGTGGCGGTGCTTGGAGTATACCCGGTCCCCAAACCGTGCCTCCGCAGCACGGCGTCGATGCTCTGGCGCAGCCGGTCGCCGCGGCCGTTGAGGTCCGCGAGGACCTCTGGCGTCAGGACCCCCAGCCCCGCCACGCCAGCCGCCATGGTGAAGACGTTGTTGTTGAAGGTGCCCGGGTGCTCGAGTTTGCCCGCCGCAGGGTCGAACCAGGACATGATGTCCCGGCGCCCGCCGAAGGCGCCGAAGCTCATGCCGCCGCCGACCCATTTGCCGAGGGTCATGAGGTCGGGCGTCACGCCTGCGGGGCCGGCGGCGGCGCCCAGCCCGTGCGGGCCAAGGCGGGAGGTCATGACTTCGTCGAAGATGAGGAGCGCGCCGGTGTCGTCGGCGAGGCGGCGGAGGGCGGTCAGGAATTCGGGCGTGCCGCGGAAGCAGCCGCCGGAGCCGAGCATGGGTTCGACGAGGATGGCGGCCAGGGAGTCTCGGGGTAGGGCGCCGACGGTTTGGCGGGCGGATTCGGCGTCGTTGTAGGTCGCGACGTGGAAGGCGTGGGGGAGGTTGAGGCTGACCTTGCCGGCCGCGGGGCGCGTGTCCAAGCGCCCGGAAATGGTGCTGCCGTGGTAGCCTTTGTTGAAGAGCAGGATGTTGTTGCGGCCCGTGTAGGCGCACGCGGTGGCCAGGGCGACCATGTTGGCTTCGGTGCCGGAGTTGACGAAACGCAGCATCTGCATGGCCGGGAAGCGCTGGCTGATGAGTTCCGCCAGGCGCCCTTCGTTGCCCGAGTGCCCGCCGTAGTTCCATCCTTTGTCGAGGGCCGAGGTGATGGCCGCGCGGATCACGGCGTGCGAGTGCCCGTAGATGGCCGCGGTGTATTCGGATAGGAAGTCGGTGAGGACGGCGCCATCGACGGTGGTAAGTGTGGCGCCGGCGGCCGAGGCGAAGGTGAGTGGGAACGGTGCCGTGTAGAGGACGGTGCGAGTGTTTCCGCCGGGGAGGTGCGCGCTGGCGGCTTGATGCGTCCGGTACGACTCCGGGTTGGACTTGATGTAGGATGCTGTTGCGGCCTCGAGCGCCGCAGATATGGCTGCGGATGCTGATGCCGACGACGGCTCATTGATCGACCCCATGTCTCTCGTCTGGCAATTGCTTTTCGCGCGTTGAGCAATTGGCGAGCCTCTTATGCTATCTCCTGGTCTCTGATATCCCGTGAATGCTCCTGGCGCAGCTGGATGGCTTTCACGAATATGGGAGGGTCGTCAACGCTGTAGTTATATTCACACTGCACCTGCAAGCAACTCCGCGACGAGGATGCTGTCAAGGGCCGTTTTGCTGAGTTCAGTAATATGAAAACTATGCTTCTTTGGAAGAGCACGCACGCCCAAAGTACCCTGACTGGACAGACGTAGAGTTCATGGCTGCTGTTACAGGGCGTTGATGGCGTTGATGGCGTTGTCCGCTCAACCTCGGAATAGGCCGATCTCCTCCAATCACAAGGGCGCGGCACAGCAGGAGGATCGACTGGGCCAGTCCCTTGGGCTTGTGAGTGGACCACGATGCCGACAATGGATCGCGACCGTGGAAGGGAGATGTGAAATCGTCCGCTGATGGTCGGGGGATGCTCGTGTCGACGGAACACGGCTGGGTGGCAATGCGTAGCGGGAAGCAGCTCTGGTTATTGGTATTGCAGAAAGCCGTTCACCATGCAAGCAGGGAGACAATGTCAAAATGAGCTGCTGATATTGCATCCATGATATTGCATCCACTTCCAGCCTTCAACTGCTGGTGCACGTAGTTTAAGCAGAAGAGAATCTCGGCTATACACTATGAATTCTTGGGCATGAATAACACAACGAAACCAAATCCAGATCCAGCGGTGAGTGCTCCAGAGCTCCAACGCTTAAAGTCTGCCATCCCAGTCAAAGAAATCACAATCCCCACCTCTACTGCCAAATATCGTCTTGCGCGGCCGCGATATGTGCTTCCACGTCCTCATCTCCAGATCGTCTCGATATTGAATCCCCTACTCCTACTCCACCTCGCGCACCAGGCTGTCCCTCATGCTACTCCCCCGTTCTGGGATCATATGGAACGGAATGCTGTACTGGCTAGTACTCGTCAATCGACTCGCCTGGCTCGAATTGCTGCTTCTTCTCTTCAGTCGCGCCGCAAAGTCCCTCTCGCCAACACCTTCGTGAAATTGATGCCCGTAATTGCGAGCGCCGCTTGGCACATTCGGTGCGGCGGATGCAGAGTGTGACTGTCTGGGTGTAAGCGGGAAGTTGCTGAGAGAGACTTCGCCTGGGCTTGGTGGCACAGCACCGTGGTTGTTTGGAAGGGCATAAGGCCGTTTCAGTTCCTGCTGTCCTAACACATAGCTGTGAGTGACTTTCTCGGTCGCCCCGCCGGCTGAGCCGGCGCGCCTCTCGTACAAAGACGGTACTGCACCACGTCCGTGAGCAGAGGCGGCCCGGGGTGGACCCGCTATCTCTTCTGCTGTTCGCTGTAATTCGTACAATGCGGTATCGATGTCACGTTCCCTGCCTTTGCCCTTTTGATCGGCCGACCGAGCACGCGACTGGACAGTAGGCTGAGATTGCTGCAAGGGCTGTCGACCAGCGCCTCGCCCAACTGGGCGTACAGTGGAGCTGCTGGAGCCTGAGTCCTGTGCTGTTACTCTAGGGCGCGTTACTTGGGTGTGCACTGATGGTGCAGGGGCGACTTTCGAGCTTGTTGAGTCACCAGCATCCGCTCCGCCCAGGGTCTGCTCACGGTGCTTAGTGAAAATTGAGGATGGAGCAACAGGTCCATGTGGGTCAGACACAGCCCAAGAATTGGGCACTCGACGTTGTCCAACGCCGTTCATACGGTTGGGTCTGGAACTGGGCTGTTCACGTGGCGGAGGCAGAAAGTCTTCGTTGAGACTTTTCTGGAGTTTCACCAATGCTGCTCGAGCTTGCTCCTGCTTGCGCCTGAACGCATCTTCGTCAAAGGAGTACAGTGGACCACTGTTGACGCCAGGCACATCTGGCACGCGTGACTCATCCTCGCTTGTTGTTGCATTAGCCTTCGTGACCTTGGCACTCGTGTTGGCCCCATGATCTGCTCGAGATGGACCCTTGGTGGGAATGATGGCAAAGTCACGCGTTCTCACGCCAAAGGCGGTACTCGGGTTGGTGAAGTCTGATGAATGCAGCGACTCGGGCGAGGTGTGAATGTTGCGCGGCGTGGATTGAGGCGCAGTAAGAGCCGGTTCTGGCAAAGCACGCGTCTTGGCCGGCTGCTGCTCCGTAGGCTTCATCTGACTGACAAAGATATCGTCGACTCCATCTGTAGCTGCCACCGAGGACTTTTCGTTTGGCTTGGGAGGCGTCTCGAGAACTGAGTGGTATCTCCCGTCGTCGGTCTCCGACTCTGTCTCTGCCACAGTCGAGAGACGATTTGCTGTTGCCGATTGGGCCAACTGTGTAGCTACGTGCTCCACTTTGGGCGCGACTTGAGGAGTTTTGTTCGATGTGGCCGCAGGCGCAAAGGACGCCAGGGTGCTGATAGTCGAGAAGCCGCTTGGTTGCGAGTTCCGACCGGGCTCGTGCTCCTGTGACATCTGAGCAACGACTTGCACAGGCTCTGGCGAAACATGCTCGGGTTTTCGCTCTTGAAGATCTTTTGGCAAGGATTCCTCACCGCTATTCAATCTTGTCTGCTGTTGCTTGCGTGGTGGAGCATCTAGCACCATCTTTGCACGGCGCTCCACTTCTTGATGCGGTGTACCGGGATCTTTAGTGCTGCTATCCTCCACGTCGCCATCGCTTTCACCAGTCAGATCCATAATGGTACGGTGCATTAGATTGATGACTGGGGTCTGCGAAGAGGCTGCGCTCATTCTAGATGATGAACGGGTGGGGACTTGTTCAGAATGGCGAGGCTGAGACACTTCGGACTTTGACAGATGATAATTGGTTAGTGCCGAATTGACAGCAATAGATGGGACTCCTGCTTGATTGGATAACGGCATACTGGGCTGATCAGATGCATGCGCATCGATAAATGAATCGTTCTCGAATGCAAGACCGGGTTCGCGGGAAACAGTAGCTGCTGGCTCTGAGCCAGGTAGAGGTCTGCCGTTCTCCGGATGTTTGCTGGACCAGGAATGTTGCGGAGTATGACCCATTGACGGACCACTTTCAGTTCCGCTGGATATCCAACTGCGATGATTTCGGTCACCGCTTAAACGAGGAGCCTCACTACTGTGGTAGGAGTTCCGTAGAGCAACTTCTTCTTGGTACTTTGACGTTGGCACATAAGCCGGATGCTGCTCGGCTCGGGCCACTATGGTGTCTAGGTTTCGCTCGGCAATGTCTTCATTGTAGGCTGAGGTGAAGGAGCGCGCGGTGGACGCGGAGAAGATATCAACGTATCTGGGCGACTTCGTCCTTGTGTGACCTCTGACGAACTCTTGTGACGTGCTATCGGCGGCCCGACTGACGGCATTCTGCAAGCTGCCGGCAGTACCTGGGCGCGACGTCGGCACGCCGGGCTTGGAGACCGCGACGAGAACAGGCCGGATTCTGCTACCATTGCTGGCGTCGGTTGGCCGCTGCGTCGACTGGCTGGTCCTGGGCAGGGCGGGGACTGGCGGGGTCGCGAGGTGTTCTCTGCTCTGACTTGACTTGATGGTGTTGGGCCGTGATTCGCTTTGGCGCCGTGTGCGACTTCTGGCCCTATTCCAAAGCTTTTTCATCCTTGTAGTGCCGAGGCTCTAGGCCTCGATATATAGGCGCACTGCGCGAAGTCGGCTCATAAAGCAGCCGTCGATGTTGGGAGAGATCTGGTCACGACCATGATAGCAGAGGCAAAGCTGGTGCATAGACGGGCGTAGATGCGCCTACCATGCTGCCTACCACACAGGCGCCTGCATTGGAAGGAATCGGGATGCGGAAGCGAGATGAGTGGGCATTGTGCGTTGAAACGAGGGGCAGACAGGTCGAGGAAAAGCAATGAAGAGGGTATCGGCCACGACGAGTTCACCGCCAGAGCCAGTTCAAGATGGCTGAAGCGTCGCGCAGCATGTCAAAGGATGCACGAAAGCCAATGAATAGGTACAAGACTCATGATAGTGGGAGTTGCAGGAAGCGACAGTCCCGCAAACAGAATTGATGCGTTCACTGGTTGGGGGCCTTTCGTGCCTCGCCTAGGTGCAGGTGGCTTTCCGGAGAGTGGGAACGGCGGCGTGGGTCGCCACTTATTAGCTTCCCCATAAGGCTCCTAGTGCTCGCCATCTTCCCTGCCCCGGCCACCCCTGTGGCTGGACGCCGGCTTCATTCTGACAAGGGGTTGATGTACACACTGGGGGAGTTGCATCATTCAGCGTCAGTCTCAATCAGATGAGCCGACGAATCGAGCGAGTGCGCTGCAGATGGCTTGAATGTCACCAAACCCAGCGCTCCGTATACGGTCGACTGTGGTGCACCCAGACCCGTGGCGTCGGGTGCTTTATCCCAGGGATCCAGGTCGGGCGGCTCCGGGCTCTCGCCTGTTTACTGCCATGGCCCAGCCAGCCTCCCGGTTCCACAGAGGCCAATAAGAAGACCTCAAAAGATCGACTTCAGGGGCACCCGGTCGCCTATACGGAAAAGAATTCTCCTGCGTAGAAGCGTCCGTCTAGAAGTATGGAAAGCGTCATCATTATTACTGTGGTACGCAGGAGTGCAGTTAAATACGATTGAAGTCTTGGGGATGCCGTATTCCATAGAGGCCCCAAGACAAAGAAAACGTCTTATCTCCAGATGGCAGAGACTCGTCGGCCAAGCTCATCAACGTATGTCCGTAGAGTGAGCCCAGGAGTATTCTCCAGTTGTGCAAGCAATCCAAACTCCCATCTGGGCCTGCTGTCAAGCTGTCATACTCTCGATAGGCGAGCTGCATGCAATACTTCGGATCGAGCTGTCAAAATGCACGACAGACCACCCCAAACCTGAAACCCCCTCATGTCATAGAATGCCGCTGTTCACAATGGTGAAATCAAGATATGCACATCAAACTCTGTTCGTCTCGTACTCTCATCCTCTTCTCCATTACTGGATGAATTGCACACTCGCGCCGCCTGACGGCGTTCCCACCCTGCTCCACTGGCCTTGGACGTTTCCTAGTGAGGGTTAGCTGGTGTTGAAGCGTGAGAATGGACATCGATGCTTACCGGGTGGCCAGTAGTTGCACACGGTAAACAGCGGAGGTATATTGCCGCCGGTGTTGGCCAGTCCGCCGTCACAGCGCTGAGTGTAGCAACCAACGGAGGTCGTGTCGCGCCAAACGATCTGCGAGTAATGGCCCCATCCGCGGAAGCTGTCAAGAGTGAATGGGATATTGTCCGAGCCGTATGGGCCTGGGTAGTTGTTGATCTCCATGTTGTACATGCTGTTAGTGATCATGACAGGGATCTGCTCTGCAGTGAAACCGGCTCCGATATTCTGGCCGTAGTTGCCATCTCCTTGGGCACTGGCTCGGTATTAGCGCAACGCTTTTCCTCTAGATGATCAAAACTCACTTGCTGTGGCCGTAGACGCATGTCTGGGCCAGTTGTTGGGCATACAAAGCCTGGGTCGCGTTCCATACGAGCGGGGCAAGAGTCGCATTGGCACGATGAAGGTTGTGCGAGAATAGTGCACGAGATTGATAGTCTCCAAGCGTGCTCAATGAAATGGTTTGCGTGGTGCCAGCTGGCCCGACTGTGGATGCAGGTGCCTGGCTGGTGGTGCTGACGGAGACCGTGCTCTGTCCTGGAGGAGGCGCTGTGGTAGAGGAAAGGCTCACGCTCGTCAATGGCGGATCAGCGATAGAGATTTGACTTGACGAGGTACTGGACTCGGTGATAGGGGAGGCCGAGGAGTCCGAAGAAGCGGATACGGATACGGACACGGTCGTGGATGTAGAGACGGAGGAATCGACTGAGGCAGTGCTCGTCGTCTGCGTGCCGGTCAAGGTCGGGTCGACACCATTGCCGCCTGGTGTGGTGCTCGTTGTCTGTGTACCGGTCAAGGTCGGGTCCACACCATTGCCGCCAGGCGTGGTGCTCGAGGACGAGGACAGCAACGTCGAAGCGAGGGATGAAGTCGACGAGCATGGACAATAGTAGTAGGTCGCATACGCGGTTTCGGTAACGACACTCTCACAAGAGGGCTCCAGCTGCGCGACTGCCAGCACCCCAAAGGCAAGGACAGATGCGTACTTCATGGTGTAAACGAGTGGACGAGGTGCGAAAATCCTGCGGGAATCGGCCTAAAATGATCCTGCCTGGCAGCTGAGGAAACAATGTATTTATCAACGTTGCGCCCCAGCAATAGCGGGCCATGGTTAGCAATGAGCGCACGGCCATGGGAAATGAGATGCGACACGGTGCGCATACCGACCGAGCATTCCTCACGAAAGACTTGGCGGGTATCATTCCAACGGCCTCCTTGGACGACGGCGAGCGGTGTCGCATCCGCTGCTGCCAGCGAATCAATGGCATCGCTGTGTGCCGACTAGTTTCTTGCGTACAAGGTTAGAACGGTTGTAGGTCCTGATTAGGTCCTGATATGGAGTGTGAAGGCGGCGGTCGCCAACGCGTGCAACTGTCCTCGTCCAACCTTCATTTCATTAGAAGGGACGGGTTCAACAATTATTGCTGGTACATCTAGAAGCGAGGGCAGAGACGATCAAGCCATGTCCGCTACCTTGACGTTGGGAGGGTAGCACATAGCTTGTGCTTGGGACAGCCAAGCAATAATTGTTAGATAGCCAGGTCAGATGGGGGGACATCTTGGATAGTCATTCCGAAGACGGTTCGGAGATTTGACTCGTCGCTGGAGACCTGATGCTATGAGGTCTGAAACTTGAAAGCAGGTTGGTGGTCAAGATGTACTGTCGGTAGCTCGCGAAGTTCGTTGTACACGGCCCGTGGCCCCACCTTTCCCCACCGCGATTCGCGATTCGCGTTTCGCGTTTCGCGTTCCGCGTCGTGCCTCGACCAACATCCCTTTCCTCCATTTCCTAACCGTACAACCATCCCATTTAACCAGCACAGCTGGGCGGCGAACATGCTTGACCTACTGCGAGAGTGTAGGCGCACGTATGCCGCCGATGCAAATCTCGAGCATTTGTAAGCGACCTGGACGCTCTGACACCGGCGAGATATGGATAGATCGGGCAATACACCCTTCTAGTGCCAGGAACCTCTTGAAGGCTACACCAAAGCATAACCTTGGCTTGACGCTACGTTTCCATCGCCCACTTGTAGCTCACCTGTGCTTTTGGTCGCAACGAAGCTCTGTTCTAAAGCTTCTGCTATATCCTCATTGATGGACGAGTGGGAGAGTACACAGCATTCAAGATGCGCGAAAGTAATATGTAATACAGGGGCTGTCGACCTTGTTCCTACGACAGCCTTGAATATGGACTCAAAATCCCAGCCCCTGGACTATTGCTGCTCGACCACCGAGTCTCTATGTCCAGTGCTTATCAGCTTGCCCTCAGCCCCCGAGAGGCTCATCCAGCACTGATATAGATGCAATAGGTGTTGCCACTACGAGTGATGCACGAAATGAGTATACAAGCACATCGGACGACTTGTTCATCACACAGTCAAGACGCTGGCAAGAAGTTCTGAGTTTTCCAGATCAGCAAGGAAACTTGCATGCAGCCAACAACAGCATGCAGCTAACACAATCCTGAAAGGCAACAAGGCAAACCCAACAATCAACACGAAGGCACAACCAGCTCAACCTCACATCAGAGCGGCACGAACCGTGATCTTCATTCGACATTGCCACATGCCTCGTATATCGGAAGCGCATCAGACTCATCTCTCATCCACACACAACCAAGGACGGCGAGCATTCCTGGCCAGAAAAGTCAAAAAAAGGCAGCAGAACCGAGAACCGAATCGCATCAAAAGGCCTGCCGAGGCAAATCATTGACAGCATTCCGGCCACACACACGTGCAGAATCCGAGATGAGATGATCTCGTAGGCGGCTGGCATCCGCACTGTGTCATTCCGAGCGTGGAATTGAGATCCGCTAGTACTGTACTGCTGTTACTTGCATTTGCCTGGAACCAAACAAGGCGACGAGGCAGCCACGGTGCTCATGCGCGGCAGCGGCCTGTAAGATTCCCTCCAGTTCGTTCAAGAGGCCCGCGCTATTTTTGCTTCGCGATTCAACACAGGCTCGACATGCTTAGGCGAAGTACGCACAGAGAGCAAAATCCAAGTCACGTCGTGTGGAGTGGTGTAAAGCAAGAATAGGACAATCCGAAAAATTGATCGATTGACACAAAATGCTCGATATCTCTCAGCCCATAGCTTCTCACTCATCTGCATCCACCTCCATGATATTGAGAACACCCACCACAACGACCTAGTCCTCGGTAGGGCGCAGGTCGCTCGAGGTATCTGTTGTTGTCCACGCTCCTCACTTCACCGTACCTGTGCCCAGCTCTATCTCGACTCCTCCAGCCCCTCCCCCCGCTTTCTCATTATTTTCGTTCAGTCATGATTGCGTCGCGTGTTCTACAGCAAAACTTTCCTCCCCTAACGTGTTCGCTGTATCCAAGGCCACCAAGCCGGGTAGAAAGCGTGGCTGCGTTGCTTGAAGCCCGATGCCGCCCAGTCCGGAGCTTCAGGACTTTGTAAGGGCCTGTGCGGTCAAGCTGCTCGAAAATGTAACCTGTGGCCTATAGTGGCTGGAGTAGCTCAAGAATCGAAGATTTGTTAAACGTACAGCGCGCAAGGCGCGCGCTGCTGCCGCCAGAAGGCAAATCAACCGTCTCCGGCGCCAGTGGCTTGAGCATAGAGTAACAGCTCAGCATTCGGACCTATGCTGGTGGCGTTGGCTTCTTTCCAGTCCAGGAGAGCCTCAGAAACTCCTTCATCACTGTCGATGAGGATGAAGTCTCCATCTTCATCACGGTATTGTAGCTTCACAGACCCTGAAGCGATCGATTCGTTGGTGAAGCGCGCCAGCTTCGCATCGATACGATCAGTCAGCGAGCGATAATGGATATTGCTCGGGATGATCATGGATACATAATTATCCTCGTAGCAGACCTTGGCCTTCAGCTGACTGGGCATGTACGAGTCCATCGGTCCAGGACGGTTGTCTGCAGGGATTGGTGACAGTGGTCGGCCAGTCGAGTGCTGCGATACGTGGCCTTGCTGCCTCCGAGGGTCGGACCCATATGAGCTATCATATGTGTAATTTGGCCCGCTCATGCCGGGGCGAGTTACTGAGCCCGCCGCATTCGCTTGCTGCGGAGTCTGACTCCGCAAGGGCATAGGGCCACCGATACTACTAGGTGAATTGTTCTGACTTCGGTTTGGTGGTGCCATTTGTTTTGCATACGATGGTATCGGAGGTACGTTGGGCACATTTTCTCCGCTCATGTATTTGCGGCTGTTTTGAACATTCGGATGGATATCAGGACTGCTCGCTGACCGCATGCGCGCCTGCATATTGGGGGGCTGTGGACCAGGTGGTAGCGATGGACGGCCGTTTGGTGCCCTTTGTTGCATATAAGGATTTCCGCTCGGTGCATTTCTTGCTAAAGCAGGAGCCGTATTGCGATATGACTGATCCTCCATTCGAGGATAACCGTTGATCGAGGGATGGTTTCGATGGTAGCCTGCAAACGCAGATTGGGAGCTGGATCGGGTGGATGCCGATTGGGGCGGTGTATCTCGATCGATTGGGGAGAAATAAGAGTTGTTGCCGTACTGATCAGGCGTTGAGCTCCCAACTGCCGTGTTCAAGGACAGGCCACTACCCGGCATACGGGGCTGGCCCTGAGATAAATGAGGATTTCTGTCGCCACTACCGCCTGTTGCTGAGCGAGAGCGCAGGCTAGTGCTTGATGCATTGCGGCTCATACTGAAAGAGGAGTAGGAAGGATTGCTTCCGACATAAGTCGTGTCGGACCATTGAGATGCTCGTGGCATGTCGTCGTCATCGTCCTGGCCAGCATATGGGTTCTCGAGTTTAGCTCCAGCAAGAGATTGGAATCCCGTATCGGAGGTGGCGCGCTGCTTCTGCTCCATGAGGCAGGAAGAGCGTTGTGTCTCTATCATAGTATGCCACTTCTGAAGAGCGGTGTCGTTCCTGAACTTAATCAGGAATGTTTCGACCGATGTCTCGCCCCTCCAGGAAATCTGCAGCGCGTAATTGCCCGCGCTCGATGTGGGCGTGATATTGGTGACGTTGGTGAAGTAGATTCTGCCTTTTAGATTCATTCGAGGCCTACCATTTCGGCTCAGGGCAGGCTTGCTGCTCATCTTGTTCTTGGGTTTGCTTGTGTTTATATCCTTGCACATGATCAAAATCCGGCTGAAGAGGTAGATGTGGTATTCCTTCTCGTCGGAGCGAAGGGCGCCTTCTTTCATGACCATGAAACTCCCGAGGAGAAGTAGCTCACCAAAAGTATCGATACGTAGCGTTTTCCAGTCATCGATACGTTCCTGAAGGTCGAGCACTGCCTCATCTCGGGTTTCCTTGTCAATAGAAGCATCTGCCTGCATGAGCACGTCTTGAATGACAGCTGTTGCGCTTGCGAGATCTGCCTTGAGATTCTCGTCATCGGTACTCTTCTCCAAATCCTTGAGCAGGAGAGGATATTTAGTCAGGCGCTGGAATGGTTTCAACAAAAACCCATTAAGAATAGTTGGGTTGGCCAGCATTTGCCTGGACAGCTCGCTACGACTGCTTTCCACCATTCTGGCCCATTCTGCCTGGCAAGTAATTTCGCATCGTTTTTGGTTCGCGATGAAGGGTTCGTACTGCCGGAAAGGGTCCTTGTAGCGGACGAACATAGCACCCCAATTTTGCTGCTCTTCAGGAAGCTCGTTCTGCTGTTCAACACGAATCAAGAACCGCTGAGCGAAATCGAGAATGTTGTTCAAGTTGAGGAAAATGTTGTGAATTGCATCGCCTTTCAGGGCACCAACCTCCTCGAGTTCCTTCTTCAGCGACTGCAGATTCAGCAAATGATGGACATATTGCCTCTCGGTTTCCACCAATTCTCGGAGAATATACTGCCTCTTCGTCATCTTGGGCTTGTCAATAGCGCTGGCGGGGCTGTCGGTGCCGTCACGCGAGCCTTCGGAATCGGTCGCAACATGCAACTTGCCGCTCAATTGGAGAATGTCGAGCACCCGATCCACCAATTTGATAACCTTGAGAAAACCAGTGGTATTATCACTGTATAGGTCGGTCACAGTGAAAGTGTCGGCAGACGGAATGTTCATTTGTTTCATGCATGATTTGATGAACAAGAAGGCCGCCTCTTTCCCCCACTTCTTTTCCGGCAGATTTGTGTTTATCACTAAATCGCCTTCTTCGGGATTGGACGCATTGTAGATGGCTAGAAGTGGCATGCCACTGCGGAAGCACTGCCAGAGGGAAGATACTGGGTCGGCACCATCGTTTTCGCGCTCCTCCATCTCATCGATATAGGGTCGAAAACCAGGCACGCCGGAAAGGCGTCTCCGCAGGTTGATGCATTGTCGATACAAGGATTCGCCATCTCGGACGTTTATGATGTTATTCTTGTCCACCATAGGTCCCCCATAATGATCACCGTTCATTATCACCGGATTTGCCAACATCAGGTATAAGTCAATATGCACTCGTTCTGAATTTCGGTTCAAGGATCGATGTAAGATCGCTTCGACTCATTTGGCGAGGTGAAAAGTGCGACAGTGAAAGGATTTGTTCTGGGATTCAGCAGGTCGAGAAGAATAGAAAGTCTTTCGAGCGTCGTACGAGCGAGAAGGAGACTGCGAATCCGGTCGTCTGGACTGGGACAAGCTGGCGACAACGGGGTGAGTGTCTGAAACAGGAAGTTAGGCTATGCATGGGTAGGGCAGCATTGACAGAAGCAAGCAAGGAGGACGGGGTTGGGAAAGGTGAATCTGGACTGACCAGGGATTGACGTAGGACGGAAAAGACAATAGTCGATGGCGTACAGCGACTATGGACTGGACGAAAATAGATTGGTGAGATTCGCAAGAGTGTACGAGTCGTCGAAGAGTGTAGGACGCGGTTGGGTTGGTGGTCGTGGAGGGGAAGCCAATCAAGGGAGACGAGAGGCGTGCTGCGGGCGTTTAGCAACTGGACTGGCGGTTGCACCACAAACAAGGACCACTGGCAAAGCAGACCTGCTGAGTGGAAACACAAGCTCACAGTCACCGGCAACACAAGCAATGTCACAATAAGTGATCTGTGCAGGAGTCGGTGATGTAGAGGTGGGGGAGAAGAGAAAGTGAGTTGATGGGTGGGAGCAAGAGTAGTGGTGGGATGTGAGAGATCCGGGCGTGGGCCGTGGTTGAGTGGCTCTCTATCCCGGGGATGGGCGTTGACGCTCCCACAGCTTAACGAGCAGCCGGTCTCTGTTGCTCACAGCTGGACACGGCAATGGCTGTGAAAATCTCCGTCTCACTGGGATGTCCCAGGAATGAGTCTCGATCAAAACCCTTTCTGCCTGGCCTGGAAGGCACTTGTGGACACGGGAGATACTTGGTACAAACGGGCGAAAGGTGGGTGCCGGGAATTGTGGGCGTCCACCCAGGGGCCACTTAGCGTGGTCACCTTTCTTTGCCCCTTCGGGTGCCCAGGGAAGCGCTTAGAGCCCAACTGCCTCGGGCCACTTATAATGCGCCATTTCTGTGACCACCAACGCTAGCATGCTGCTTCCGCTCAAGGCTCGCCAAGTCGAAGCCTGATCGAAGCCATCCTGACGCCCTGGTCGATCGGCCGTCCCTTGCTTGATTGTGCCTTCCTTATTCCCCGGACGCTGGCCTATGCTTTTCTGGGGTTAGTCGCTGGCTTGAAGCACTCGCCATACCGCCCGAAAAGTCAAATATGCTGGAACGCCGGGCACAGGGGATCCCTCGGGGCTCAAGCAAGGCACGTGGAAGTCAACCGTGAAAGATATGAGGTGATGGACCCTTGCAACGTCCACGTCGTCTCCCCTTCGAACATAGTCATCGCGACAGCATTGATTCGTAGCAGCAAGAACACCATGTAACAGCTTCCGGGTGCATGGATACGGTACCTGGTCACAAAGATATCGAAATCGACACGCGCTCCATCATCCCCAGATGCAACAACACATTCCATCTCATTTCCCCTGCTCACCCGATCGCCGATTTGGGAGAGGTAGTTCGAAGATGACGGAATTGTAGTTGCTGTTTCTCAACGTTTTTCGTCTCGGAGTCTGCCATAGCTGTCAGGGTTGATCGCTTCTGCGTTCTGTGAGCGTGACTTGTCGGCTGGCGGGTTCTGTTCGTATCAGGATATGCGCCGAGACGGAAGCACATCGCGTCTATTTACCCGCGGCTTGAGTCCCGCTTGTCTCCTCGTGGTGGTCTCTTCGAACACTTCGATATCAGACCACTTCTCACTAGTTTGTAAATACACAATGATTCTCATACAAGTAGACTCGAGGGTAGGTTGTCTACACATTTGATTCACCACCCTGAATTCAGGTCAGCCAATCTACGCGGTCAACCCTGCGTACAGACACCGATTCCGACGGTTCTTCAGCAAATGTAAACCTGGACGGTAGCGGTGCAACGGCGGCTCCCTCGAACGGGCAATGCTCGGGTTTGCGGGTCCTGATCCAACCTTGTCGGTAGTGTGGTGGTATGTATGTACGACTGATCAGCGTCGTCAATGCTAGACGAGGCGCCTCCGAAGATGGACCATAGTCGTGCGCATGACCCAGATCTTGAACGCGATCGTGGTCGTGGTCGGCAAGCCTTTGAATAGATGCTAGAAGTATTCGAGTCAGCCCCCGGTGGGTGTTGGGGGCAGCCAACTCGGTCTGCATTCTTTTCATGCAGCTTCCGCGACCGTCAGGCTCAAGGGAAAAAGGCCGATCGTTCGGTGGAATTGGCTCTTCGAGTCGTAAATATGAGTATAATTGAACCTCTTGCCGCGTTCCCCCAGTCGTAGAAGCGTGTCTTCGTTCATCAACTCCTGCTCTGAACCTGAGAAGATCATCTTTTTCGCTCCCGTAGCTTGAACTTGACTCCGGTCTTGTTCACACCGCCAATCGCCTTAGCCATTCTGGCCCTTTGCAAGTCGAGTTGATCCGCGGTCGCTAGGATCTCTTGTTGTCGCTTCTTGAGCATGTCCAGCTTGACTTTGCGGACCTCCTGCAGCCGTCTTCGCCTCTTGCGCTCTGCGCGTAACCTCGCAGATGCGTCTTTCTCGAGATGAAGCGCTTTCTTGGCCTTAGCCCGGCTCGTGGGCACGTCCGATTCCTCGGGATTCTCAACCTCGTCATCACTATTCATACCCAAAGCAGGCAGCTCTGGGTACGCGACCTCGTTCATGTTGACATCTTCCAGCACATGACCTCCAGAATCTCGCTTCTTCCCCCTCTTGTCTTCTTGGGGCGCAGCATCCTCGAACACGATCTTCTGTCCTGTAGATCCCTCAGCCACGCCTAACTGTTCATTGACCTTCTTCATCTCCTTCCTTCCTCGGGCAGCCGCTACACGCAAGTAGCCCGCGTCTTGAGTTTTCAACAGCTTGACCGCATCGTGGCTGAGTCTATTCTCGTCGCCACTCCGCCCGTGCTTTCCCTGCTTCCCTGAACCTTTGTTAAGCATGCCATATGCAAATTCGTCCGGATGGCGGTCGCGAATCTTTGTCGTGAGCTGTGAGAGCTTCTTCTTCTTCGTGTTGTAGTCTTGCGCACGCAGCGAGTAGTCTTTGTGCTTTTCGAGAAGACCCCATTTCTTTCGCGCTTCAGGTTGCGCGCGCTCTCGATGAGGGCGTCGGGTGACAGCATTGCGCATGGAAGACATGTTTGCAAAGGTCTTGAGCACAATGCCTACAGAAGATGTTTGCGTGGATACTAGTGGAGGCGTGTAAGAGTGGTGAAGATACAAAAAGTTGCGGATGCGGCACCGGCATTAAATGCAAAATATCTCCGGCGCTACCATGCCTCCAAATGCACTCCTCATGTCACTATCCTAGCTGCTGTGGGTGAACACAGCCATCACTTACATTTCCGTTGGCCCCTAGTTTCGTAGTGCTAGGGAGGCAAAGGCCTCTACAAACTCACCACTTCCTACCAAACCATGGAGATGGCACCGAATGTTGTTCCTGAAGTTCCTTCGAGTAGATCTCAGCCAACCAAGAATCTCCGCAATCCTCTACCGCTTTCCGCGACACAGGAGCAAGAGGTGCGTAAGTTATACTACGCCCGCGTAAGGGCGCAATGTGCGGACGAGATCAAAGGTGTGTGACTTCATTCGCCTCCCAGCAAGCTCCTCAGCACTGCCGCATCGACTTTCCATCAACGATCGTCCGGAGATCTATGAAGTGGAACTGACAGCTCTTAGAATTTGCACAATGCGCCAAAGGCCGCATGTTCTCGGTATCATGGGCTTGCAAAACCCAACAGTTCAACATGAACTCCTGTATGCTTGCTCACGCCACCTATGCTGAGGAAGATGCTGCGCGAGAAGAATGGTTCGCTGGGGTTGCGGATCGTAAAAGGAAGAAGGAAGAAGAAGCTGCGGCCGTTGAAGCTAGAAGGATGAGACTGATTGAATTGACCGTGAAAGAGGAAGAGCGAGAAAAGGCGGAAGCGGAAGCCAAAAGAAAACAGCAGGAAGCCTCCAAAGCCGGAAAAGGTTGGTGGCGGTAACAGTACTTGGGGTGCTGTTCCTGGGATACATACATGAAGCGACCATGAGCCGAGATACGTGCTCGAACCCCTTCTGAAATCCCTCAGTCATCATGGTGATGTACTGCCAGCTGGAGCTTTCGGGGGCCGTCAAGACCGGGTGAATCGGGCTGCAGGGCTTGACAAAGCATTGCCTGAAATGCCTTACATGGCTTTCATTCACTGTGAAAACTCAGTGAAACATGCCTGGTGACGAGCCCGATGTTTCACACAAGGCAATGCTGCCTTCGACAAAGACTATACAACCTATCATTGTTGATGGTTTCGGAACTCTCCACAACTACGATTTCGCACAACTCAACAGGTCAGGCTCTATCTAGCCAATACTGACAGCTTCTGTCTGCTTGAGTGCCTGGACGGACACACTCACTACACGATCCAGCATGGTGGTCATCGAGTTTCCACTGCTGCACGGCAGCTTCCCCAACTACTACGACCTTCTTGGCATTACAATCGCTGCATCTGCAAGGGATATTCAAATTGCTTTCAGGAAGACGGCGCTGCGAGAGCATCCAGACAAGGCTGGCAGCTCTTCGGCTCAAAATGAAAAATTCGCTGCCATCAACAATCGAAAGGATGTGCTTCTAGATGCTGGGAAGAGAACAAGATACGATCGCGCTCTACGTCAGCAACAGCCGCGGCCCGCGCCTTCGCAGGGCTATTCAAAGCCACCGCATGCCTCCAATTCACGCTGCCCACAACCTCAGCACGCTTCCCGACCAGGTCCAAGAGCTGCGAGTTCTCCGTTTCCTAGCTCTGGGCCCTCATTCTCCCAAACCTCATACGGTACTAGATTCGCATCGAACCCCGACTTCACGCCGTTCGGTAGTGGGGCCGGATTTGGACCTGAGCGCAATGCAACAAATGCAAGCCAGACTAGAAATGCGACACCGCCCAAACAATCTACCTCGAACCCTCATCCTCGCGAAGATAAGACCTATGAGAGGGGATGTCCATGCTGCGGGTCACAATCCTGTCCAGGATCTCGGTATAGCGGCCAACAAAACAATCCTGACAAACCCTGTTCGTATCGAAATCAAGGCTTCTACTTCCATTTCGGCATATCATCTATGCCCAAGCCCTTCAGCGGGCAACAGGAGTACCGCTTCTCGGACGGCTCAACTCCAGCAAGCTTTCACAGTGGCTCGGGCTCGCAGCGAACCAGTACCTCCAATCCAGCCAACAACCCTTCCGCATGCACAGGCAACCCCAACAGATGTCCTAAACACAACGCATCTGGCGTCGCCGAAGAGTCGCATCGGAAACAGCCTGAGATTCGTGGCGATCCTCATTACGTCAACCCGAAACAGCACATTCCCTTCCAGCAGTTCTATCCTCCAGCCTCGGCGTACAACTTCTTTGGTCATAATGGCATCAAGCCTACCACCCGGGCCTGGTACCAATCATCATGGAAGTGTCTAAGCCTCTCCGGCGAGCATGACAAGGCTGTGGATACGTCACTCAAGCTTCACCATACCGCTCCGGATATTGAAAAGGCATTGAAAACCTGAAGGTGGTGTGTACAGCGAGTGTTCCCCCGTCTGAGAGCGAACTTGTCAGACGCTTGCTTGGAGCTTTCGATCTGCTTCAGGAGTTGATGTATTTTGCTGCCGCCTACTACAGATATTCCACCCGTCTTATTGATGGAACTATCATCAAGCGACCGAAAGTCGCTGTGCCCATTCTTGTCACCGTTCGCACCGACCTAGACGTTGTTGTAGGGGTCATGCAATGTACTATCATCCACATCCAAGCTCTCATCCGACTCGAGCACCCTCGACTGGGTGGTGTCAGTTTACCCGAGACGATCGTCAATGGTTTTCGCGACATACTTGTTGCTTGGGACAAAATCATTTTGCTACCAAGCAATATCATTCGCGGGGTGCAAGATATCTGCTTCTCATCGAAAGGACGATTCGAGAATTGTTTCGAGCGCAAGACTGGACCAAATAATGGTTATGCCGTCAAACCATTTATGTTCAAAATGTCGGCACAGGAGGCCAAAGAAACTGAGGGTAGGCTTCCTGAGGATGATGGACCGACCATTCGGGCCTGGATGGCTGCCCAACGAGCTCATGAAGAACGGAAGCGGCAAGAAGAGGAGGCTCAAGGCGTAGAGCAGCTCTGGCAGACCGGATACAAGTGGCACGACTTCGGCGGCACGGAAGTCAATATGTACGGTTAAGGTGGCTTCAAGTCGTGAGATCGCCTTGCTGCCACCATCACGGGACTGAAAGCAGAGCTGCATCAAGAAGGCAGCCGAAGAGACTACCTGCAATCAGAATATACCGCCCTAAGTGGCTTGCCACATGTATCTTCATTCAGCTTCCTCGCTCATGTCTGTTCCTTCAGCCAGGGATCCAGTCCTGAAACCATTGCCGCGACTTCCTCAGCTCATGTTTGAATCGCGTGGCCTATCACTATCCTATGACGGAAGAATCTCAATCTACCAACTTTTCGCTTGTTAATGTTCTCGGATGGAGATTCCGCTCTCCTCAGCATGTACAATCTACCAGTTAATACCTCTCAAGATATTCCACGTCTGGAAGTTGAACCTCTTGCTTGTCCCATTGGGATATGACAAGGACCTCCTGGAGTGCCCAGCCTTGTAAAATGAGCTCGCGACGAGGCTGTATCTTGGCGATTAAGTCGATCTGTCCCGTACGCGACTCACCTCTCCTCTGTCGACAGCCAACTCAACCACCTACCAGACTCCAACCGCTCAATCCCAGGTTCCAGCTCCATCACTAGCAGGCGACTTCTCAGCTACCACGAAAAGCCTCCTGCCCAACTCGCGACTACAATCCCAATACGCTTTCTCCCAAAGCACTCTCAAAGTCACCACCTACTACTTCCACCAGTCGCCGCAAAAACCGGCACTTTCCAGCCCAGCCCTCTGACCGGCCCCCCAGCACTCGCATAGCCTCCTCCCAAAAAATGATCACCGACGCCCAGCTCTACTCGCTCGCCCTCTTCCTCGGCTGCGCCGCCATGCTCCTCATCGTGCTGTACCACTTCCTCGAGGTGAACGCCGTTGACCAAGACAAACCGGAAACACAACAGCAACGGCAGGCTCTTGGCGAAAAGGATGGTTTGAAACACTGATTGCTTACCCCCATCAATGGAACAACTCAAAAAGCATGGGTATCGTTACTATCAGGAGGGAAAGCGGGAGGGGGCTCGAAACGCCTTACTGGTATCTACAGCCCGCCAGAGGGGGATTCCGGCGGGTCGGTCGGTGGTCACCTAGCAGATTGCGAAAGGAGTACCGAAGCAGGCTGAGGACAGACCATGTGCCCGCAGCCACCGTTTTCGACATTCACCCGTAGCACATGAGAAGGCGAGCGACAGTGTTGAGCGCAGAAAGCCAGACCACCCCCCGTTTCGGGGAAGCGTGATGGTGACTATTGTCTGCCCAACTACTATAGGGGCGAAGGGGACGACGCGCAGTCACAATGCCTCTCAATGCAGGAGGGTACCGGCAAGGCGGCATGGGGCCGGAGTTGTCACTTCAAGATTCATCGACCTGGTCACGACTTGATACTACGCCACATAAGTGGTCGACAATGGGGACAAAAAGACATAGGGGGTTCTGAAAGGTCATTTGTTGTTGCATTAGAGACGTAGCCAGCTCCAGGATACAACAAGTCCTGTGGGAGCCCCAGTTCGGACTTGAACCTGAACCGTTTCCAAGTCATGACTGACTGACGTGTGACGACAGCGACACCGGGTATCATAATCAAACATTTGAGCTCCTGCTATTAGCTGCCATCGTGGGTAATCTTCACGTTCGTATCACAGCCCCACGTGACCCAAAATCTCAAGGATTCTGCTATCACGCGTGAGTCGTGCGTGGGTGACATGAAACCCTGTGATAATCACTCGAATAATCACATGGTCAGTCGCCTCAGTAATCGGCATCCACCTCTCGCCTTATGCCTGGTTCCATGAGAAACGCGCTTCTTCTGGCCTCGTTCACCAAGGTACATCCGCCTCGATCGAGGCCAACACCGATGTCCTTCTTCCTCTTCTCCATTGCTTTGAGTGTCTCCTCGGCCTCAATCTTCAATCCGAGGGCGCCCCGCTCACCTCTCTGTCGATGAGCTTTCAAAAATGCCCTTTGTGCCTGCACATTGGCATCGACCTCGGCGCCATTGGCTGACTCCATGCCCATGCTATTGCTGCGGCCGGCTTTACGTGGTACGGTGGAGGTTATGATCCATGTGTCAGAGGGAAGATCGTCGTTCTTGTCGATAGAAAGCGCGGGTGTAGTAGCGCGTCCACCGGCATCGGAAAGGAATCGTGTCTTCGCGGCTTCAAGGGCCTGCGGATCTGTAAGAGATTGTTCTAGTGATTGTGCTTGCAGCGGGATAGGAAAGTACGAGGATATCAATGCACCGTGCCTGTCAACTTCAGGGGATGAAGCTAATTTGCGGCGTTTATGGGGATGTGTGTCTGGCTTACCAACTGGGGAGGTGCTGGGTCCGTCACCCAACTTCATGGCCATCTCATGCAGGTGGGTTTCGTTGATGTGCTCGATCCAATCGTCCACATTGTCGAAGGCCTCCTTTGGGTGATAGTGACCATCAGAGTCTTTCTCGGGACATCTCTTCCACCAGCATTCGAAAGGTAGCTGCTCGCCCAGCTCGTCTTCTTCAGGATAGTGCTTCTTGCGAATGTGTTTCCGCAAAGTGCCCAGGTTGTGCAGTTCCGCTTTGCAGCGCATCCATTTGCACTTATAGACTGGTTGAGTCTGAGGCGAGGCGGACTTGCTGGGGATCTCAACCTGAGGATTGCTGAGAGACGTTCGCGCGGTCTGGCGCAAGGCGGTGAGGCTGGATTGCTTGTTCTTAGATCCAGGTGGGCGGCCACGACGTTTCCCGGAAGCGAAGGTCGGTGTCGAACGATTCGCGTCACTCATATCGGATGCGCGTGAACGGGGACGGCCGGGCTTGAGCGTTGCAATTGCGGGTGCAGCGTGAGGAGCAGGTGCACCATCGGGATCGACACTTGCTTTACGCTTGCCTGGAGTAGCGCTGCTCTCAGGTGTACTCTTGAGCGAATCGCGCAGCTTTGATGGCCGAGCTTGACTATGATCGCTGTCCTGGAAGCGTTTGTTTTTACCCGAGTTGAGGCGGGCGAAAAGAGCGGGGGAAGTGATGTGCGCAGGCGCAGGTACCGGAGACGCGGGGATCTCGGCGGTCGCGTCGCCTGAATCGACCTTGCTTGTTTCGGCCAAGCGTGGTTCTGAGCTTGCCGAGCTCGCTTCTGCTAGAGCCTTGCGCTCGGCGCGCTCACGTCGCTTGTGCACTTTCTCGCCAAATCGATAGCGTGGAGGTCCAGCTGGAATGTCAACGACATCGACCTTCGGTACAGGAGGTCCGCCTGGATCGATGGCGTCCCAGTCGAACGTAGTCAAGTCCGAGTCAAGCTCAATATGACTGCCTAACAGGCCAGCCATGTGTGCGTTGAGTGGCCTCTCAGTTGGATGGCGCCCCGCAGCGATCATGATGTCTCTCGCCACGGTTTTCGGGTCGTACCACTCTTTCGTCAATGCCTCGTTCATGTTGACCGCTCTGGCCAAAATCGGTTTCGGCTTTTTTGGTGCCTGTGGAGGATGGGGTTGAGCAGCATGTGCACGGGGTGCCGGGTACATCAAGCTGCGAGGGCCTGGTAAGAAGGCCACTTGAGGAGCGGCGTTGACTGGTTGCTGTCTCGAATCGCCACTCATCTGGAATTGACGAAGAATGTCGGGTTCTGGTGATGCACTGTTCCCACGCGCATTGCTCGATAAAACGTAGTTCTCGTTATCGCTCAGCTGCGTAAGATCCACAAGCTCGGAGAAGTTACGCTTCCGTGCCAATGCCTCTTTGGATCCCGGAGGTGGCTCTGGCCTAGCGGGTGGCAGAGACTGGCGCTTGTGGCTTCTTCTCACCTCGGGTTTCACGTATGGTGAAGAGAAATGGGCTTGAAACCCTGCTTGCGGAAACAGCATGCCCTGCGGTGACGCTCCAATGGGCAACGGTGTTGGTGCATGCCCGGTCGGACCTGCAGAACCCATCGGATGATAATGCTGCACAGGATGGCCTGGAGGTTGTGGGGCTTGCATGTGCGGCGGGACAGCATGTTGAGAATGGTTCATTATGGGTGGGGGATGTGGTGGCTGGGTCATGATCGGCGGAGGGTGCTGGAAGGCGTTCATCGCAGATGTCTGCATATGCGGGGGAGGAATGTTGGTGACAGCGTGCGGTGGCTCTTGCTTCTGTGCCTTCGTAAGATCAGGAACGCTGGCCAGAAGCTGTCGCGCGAACTGCCCACGTTGAAACGTGAGGCCCCTCTTCTCGAGCAAACCGCACAGGTCGATGTAGTTCGGATTCTGGTCAAGCATAGCGGTAACTTCCTCGGCAGAGATCTCAACCGAATCATTGGCCTTATCAGCTTTCAGAGCTTCGACAGCAGCTTTTGCCAACGCCTCTCGTTTGTCTTTCGGCCACTCGACACCCCCTCCATCACTTTTGGCAGGTAATGGCTGATTGGGGACAGGCCCAGTGGGGGCGGGTGCTTTGGGAGTGCTCTCGACTGGGGCGGCATTATTCTTGGGATTCACCTGATAGGGATTTCGTATTCGTCGTTCGGCCGGAAAACGTCCTAGATCTGGTAGTCCTTTGTCGTTATTATCCACGACAACCTTCCAGCCATTTAGAGGAACACTGAGATCGACTCCAGGAGGATGTTGAGGAGGAAGTCTGCGTTCTCGTTTCTTGGATGAGGAGGGTTCGGAAGACTCAGTAGAGCTCCCTGACATCCCTTGCGGCGTTAATTGTGTGGCTTGAGGTCTAGGCTGAGCCTGAGCTGGCACCTGAGGAGGGGCCAGAGGTACACTCTGAGGGGCCATTTGAGGCGAGGCTGACGAAGCAACATTGTTCGGCGCACTAGTAGCCGTGTTGCCGCCTCCCTTTCTCATATCGTCCCAAAGCTTCTGGAACATGGCAGGATCTTGTTGCCGGAATTCCTTCATTTTGTCCATCATGTGCTTCATCTGGAGCGCCATGTCATCGGCAGCTGGTGGCGAAGTCGAAGCCGCGGCAGCCGCATCCGCTTGTGGCTTCTTCGGCTTTGGCGTTCTCTTGATCTTTTCAGTCTTTTGTTGCACTGCCTTCGTTTTCGCTGCCTCTGCGGCGGCGGCCGCCGCTTTTGCCACCGTCTCCTCCGCGAGCCTCTTCCTTGCTTCTTCTTCTTCTTTCAGTCGTGCTTCATCTTGGACCCTTTTCCTTTCCTCTTCTTCACTTCGCCGTGCTTCCTCTTCTAACCTACGCATCTCTGCTTCCGCGGCTTCTTTCCGTTTTCGCTCATGCTCCCTATGATATGGGTTGAAGACTTGGCTTGGGTCAATATACGTGGGCATAGTGTCTTGAGCTGCGGCCTCTGATGTTGGCACAGGTTCCTTGTTCGATGCCACCAGATTTGAGATGCTGTTGGACTGAGAAGCTGCAGATGGCTGGTTAGCTTTGGATCTCTGGGTGCTGCTCGTGCTTTCCGCCGGCGCACGTTGCTTTGACGAATTGGGACTTGAAGTTGCGGGGCGCAACTGTGCAGATGAAGCACGTCCATGGCTCTGGGCTGGCGCGTATGATGAGGCAGAAGACTGAGGTGCCTGCGTCTGCATGGCGGTGTTCTGCTGGTTCCTTCGGCTCATAGCACCAGCCAGTGCCTCTACGACGGACGCCTGCTGCGAGGTGGTTGGGGCGGTCGTGGCCGGAGGATTTGTCGAGCATTGGTGCTGTTGTGGCTGCTGGAAATTATGCATTGGCGACTGCATACGAGCAATAGAGCTGCCACCCGTACCTCCAACATACCCAAACGACCCCGAAGCTGCTGGTTGTTTGCTGCTAGATGGGGCGCTGTCCAAGCCTGAGGCATATACTAGGTTGTTCAGGCCTTGCAGGTTCGAAGCCCTCCCCGAGGTATTGTTGGAGTTGTAGCTATCGTTGTTTGCAGCACTCTGCGAGGTGTAGCCGGAGGTTTCTCGTCTGTAGTCATACTGACCCTGCTGCATGTGGCTGTCTCTCCACGCTTCGTTTCCATATGACTGCTGGTTGGCGCCCCCATAGCTGGACTGTGGCTGACCGTGGAAGTCGTAGGCAGAGGGCGTATGCTGCGAAGGGCGTTCGTTCGCATATGTAGACGGAGCATAGTTATTAGGTTGCGCTTGTCGTTCAGATGAATAGGAGGCCTGCTGCTGGTCCACATTGTAGTAAGCTCCATAGCCATGGGACGGCGCATACGACATCGCGACCAGAACGTATCGTATGACATCCAAGTATTCTTCTCCCTCATAGTTGCCTTAATGTACAGATTGGCGTCACTGATTGCTGCATAGACTGCAAGGTAAAGTGGTGCATAGTTACTGGCGCGCGGACAAAGTCGTCCAACTTGAGGTTCAACTCTGTCTACACAGAGAATAAGGTGACCTCAGGGAAGGTGTGTGAGAGTAGAGATTAACAACGCGCAGCGCAGACAGTGGTGCTCAAAGTAACAACCGCAAGTCGCAGGCGGGTCCAGAGGCATGTGCAAGCGCGCCCGCCCCAGGTCTTGGCGCGATTTGCAGATCAGCTTGCGGGTGCCGAATGTTGAACTATCTCTGAATCTCTATCAAGACACCTCGAATAGACAGCCATTTCGCCTCGACAGTCCTGACATTGGTCATTGTCTCACCTCTCAGCCAGGAGCATCTCGTCTTGAAAGTACGCGACTTGGTGTGCGGGACCGATACACGGCCATCATGGCCTCACCCGCGGCCCCTCTCACACCTCCCGCCGAACCCTCATCGACTCAGACCCTCACTCAGACGCAGACGCAGACGCAAACACAGACACAAAGCTCAACGCAAGTGCAAGTATCGCAATCTTCCGGCCAGTCGGGTACCAATCGGGTGGAAGCACTCCTAGCGCAACCCTTGACCTCGCTCTCCGATGATGGCACCTCAAAACGACCGCGCGACCACCGGCTCATACACCTTCTTCTCGCATCGCACGGTGTGAATGCCTATCAGGAGCGCGTTCCCCTGCAGCTCATGGACTTTGCCTACCGCTACACATCTACCGTCCTCAGCGATGCGCTGCACATCCAGCTCGAGGGCTACGACCAATCCGAGAATGCCGGCTCCAGCAAGAAGGGGGCCGCCAACAAAAACAATGCCAACAAGTCAGATGAGGGTGATGTGTCGTTGGCAGCGTTGCGCATGAGCATTGCCTCACGACTCTCGCATCAGTTCACCGGTCAGGGTAATCTGCCCAAGGAGTTCCTCAAGCAGCTCGCCGACGAGCGCAATCGCATCTCACTGCAACAGCAAGCCAAGGACGAGAAAATCAACTCCGGAGTAGTAGTTGGTGGTGTTCGACTGCCGCATGAGCAGCATTGCTTGACCGGCATGGGTTGGGGATTGAAGAATGAATGGGAGAGTGAGGGCGAAGAAAGTGATGAAGAACTTGACCTCCCACCCGCGCCGGCTATGCCCGAAGGTGGTGACGGCGGGGATGCACAGATGGAGGATATGGAAGAGGGAATGGAAGACGATGAAGGTATGGGGACTATGGAAGACGTCTTCGGTCCTGATGGTGGAGAGGCCGGTAAGGACGACGATGCCGAGATGCAGGATTCATGACAATAGCAAGGCGTTGAAGGCATCAGCTCAAGTGGCAGAGCCGCGCACAAGCAGCTCCCACCGTACTTGGGCAGTGTACAACAAGGACGGATCGACCTCGCCATCCCGGTGTGGGGCATTTACCCACGTTGACATGGCTCATGGGTTAACGTACCAACCACAAAGTGCATGCACTGGAGTCGTTGGCTTGGATCAGCCATTATAGACCGCATTCGCGTCACATTGACCCCCCATTGCGGAACCCCCATCTCTGGTGCTGTTTTTCTGCCACGTCTACTCTTTACCCCACGCATAATCCCGCCCGCCAAGAGGCAGTAGATAGCCGCACGCGCTTCTCCAATCTGGGTGCAGTCAAACCCCCTCGGTTCCGACACCGTTCTGTGCCGGTCACCACGGCCCGAAGACTTTGGTGCATCTGGGGCCACTGAGCCTCTAGCCTTCCAGTAGGCTTGGTCATATTTATCCGTCAGATTCCCACTGTGTACTCTTTCGGTGGAATCACTGCTGGTTGCTAGTTGCTTGACTGCTGCACTGCCCGACCGGTGATCGCTAAAGCCAGCACACAGGCATCGAAGCTTCAATCAATATGGGTTCCACGGCTCCCGCCTCGAAACAGAAGTACATCGTCGTGCAAGCAGATGGGCTGTATCCAGTACGTGTCATGCCCGACGGTGCTTCGCGTGGTTCGGTCCGCTGTTAACGCTCTGTACCAGGATGATAAAGTAGAGCAGCAACTCTTCAACGAGGACCCTACACACGACTATGAGGTCGAGTATGTTCAATCGGATCTATGGCCGACCGGGGTTGCGGACATGAGGCCATGGTCTGCCATGGACAAGGATCTACGTGAGCGCGCAGATGGCCTCATGGTTCTGAAGATGCACTTTGGCAAAGAGGACCTTGAACTGTTTCCCAATCTGAAAGTGTACGTCTTCCATGTCTCCTGAGGCAGCACGAGCACTGTCCAGCTAATGACGCCCAGTATCGTACGCATGGGCGTTGGGTATGACCGACTTGATCGCGTCGCTCTCGCCGCCCGAGGCGTCACAGTCTGTAACGTACCAGGTTGGTTTCCCCTCTAAAGCCAGATTTCCTCTGCGGCCCATTCACCACCCCTCATTTCCCAGCCTCAGACAGGCGGGCCACTTACCTCAGATTGCAGATTACGGCACCGCCGAAATCGCCGACCACGCGCTTGCACTGTCACTTTCCTTACGCCGTGGTATCCTTCTGCACAACGAGCGCCAGCGAGGCCCCAGTCCCGCGCCCTGGATGCAGATCGATACACCTCTAGTAGAGCGCATCCAAGGCACCACTTTCGGCATCCTAGGCCTGGGACGAATTGGTACCGCCGCGGCACTCCGAGCAAAGGCGTTCGGCTGGAACATCTTGTGGTACGATCCTTACAAGCCGAACGGCACGGACAAGTCGCTGGGTATGGAGCGGACCAAGGACATCAAGGAGCTGTTCAGGAGGTCGACGATATTGAGTGTGCACTGTCCGTGTACGCGAGATACGAGAGACATGGTGGGCTATGATTTGTTGAGTTTGATGCCCAAAGGATCGATTCTAGTAAATACGGCGCGGGGTGAGATCGTGGATCTGGATGGCGTGGAGCGGGCCATGAAGGAAGACATCATCTCGGGGGCCGGTCTCGACGTGCTGCCTGAGGAGCCAATACCAGAGCCGGCACATTCCTTGATTCAAGCGTATCGTCGAAAGGAGGACTGGTTGATGGGCCGTAGGTGCTTTCCAGAAGTTGTCCCAATTGACGTGCTGACTGCTATAGGGATGGTACTTACCTGCCATAGTGCATTCTACAGCCCGGGAAGCTTTGTCGATATAAGAGTGAAGTCGGCGCAAACAATGCGCGATGTGTTGATAGATAAGCTAGACAGCAACATCATCACACCGGAGATGGAGTGAGGGACAATAGCCAATGTCGGTAGTAGATATAGAAGTTTAGATTGGCTTCAATGCCCAAGATGCAACATGCAGAACAAGTGGTCCTTGGGCGGATAAGATAGAGTTATTCGCGACGAACTTGCGAATTGATCGTGACCAAATGAGCGTCCAGCATATTGCACAATGCGATGCAAGACTGAAGCAAGCGTGCGTTTTGGTACAGACATGCACTTCGGGGACCATTTCCGAAACGCGAGAAACGCGACCAAACGCGTCTAATGCATGGCAGGCAGAGAAACAGGCAACCACGGGCAGCTCCACTCTGTATCAAGCGACCACCGCCTTGCCGATCAGATTATTTCCTTAATGCACGAGCGACTGCGACTGTGATAGGCGGCCTGCATTTGCAGGTTCTGTCTTCAAGTGTTGAGCAGTCCGTCCTCTCGTCGATGCTCCTCTTCATGACTGTTCTTTGACCTTTTCAAAGTGCCGGTAGTTTTCATCTCCTAGTGGCAACCAAAGCAATCCGGACACCATGTCTGACACAATCCGCATACTCGTCGCTACTGACAATCATGTCGGTGCCCATGAGCGAGATCCCCACCGCAGCGATGATTCCTGGAAGACTTTCCACGAAATCATGGAACTGGCCCGTGATCGCGAAGTCGACATGGTGCTTCTCGCCGGCGACCTCTTTCACGAGAACAAACCTTCTCGGAAGTCAATGTATAATGTCATGAGATCACTGCGACTCAACTGCTTGGGCGCCAGACCTTGTGAACTTGAGATCTTGAGCGATGGCTCCGAACAGTTCGATGCAACCTTCGACTACGTCAACTACGAGGATCCCGACATCAATGTCAGCATACCTGTCTTCTCTATTCACGGCAATCACGACGACCCTTCAGGAGATGGACACTACGCCGCTCTCGACCTCCTGGCTATGTCAGGCCTCGTCAACTACTTCGGTCGCACTCCAGAATCAGACAGCATTCACGTTAGACCTATACTATTGCAGAAAGGTAACACAAAGCTAGCTTTGTACGGTATCTCAAACGTCCGCGATGAGCGTCTGTACCGTACTTTCAACCGTAAAGATGCCCCTGGCGTCACATTCTATCAGCCGGGTACCCAACAAAGCGATTGGTTCCATATGATATGCGTTCACCAAAACCATACTGCGCACTCCGAAACCAATTATCTCCCCGAGAATCTTCTCCCTCAGTTCCTCGATCTCGTCATCTGGGGTCACGAGCACGAATGTCTGATTCAGCCGACCTTAAACCCTGAGATGGGCTTCCATGTCATACAACCTGGATCGAGTGTGGCTACGTCTCTCATACCCGGTGAAGCCGTAGCGAAACACGTGACGATACTCTCGGTCACCGGTCGTGAGTTCAAGAATGAACCCATCCGACTGCGTACGGTTCGTCCGTTTGTATACAGAGACATCGTGCTCGCCCAGGATAACGTGGCCAAGAAGATTGCGAAGACAAGTGGGCACCGTACAAAATTGACTGCTCATCTGATCTCGATTGTAGAAAACATGATTGAAGAGGCCAGAAAGGACTGGGAAGAGGCACAGAAGGAGGGCGGCGCCGATCCTACTAAGGGCAAATTCCCTCTGCCGCTAATCCGCCTTCGCGTTGAATATACGTCGCCCGATGGTCTATCCAAGTTTGATGTCGAGAATCCCCAACGATTCAGCAACCGCTTCCAGGACCGTGTTGCAAATACCAACGACGTTATTCAATACCATATCAGGAAGCGGAGTGCTGCGGCCTCGGCCGTTGCGAGAGCCAAGAAAGACGCCGAGAACGACAAGGCCATTGAGAGCAGAGTCGACAACCTGGAGAATATTCAGGTTCAAAAGCTCGTCAAGGAGTTCCTCGATGCACAGAGCTTGACGATCCTCCCCACCAATTACTTCGGTGACGCTGTCAATAATTTCGTTGACAAAGACGAGAGACATGCGCTTGAAGAATTTGTGGAAAGCGCTCTTGAGAAGCAAGTCGGTCTTTTGGGCGGACAGCAGGATGATGATGAGTCTGAAGAGGAAGGTGCAGATCTGATGACGCAGATTCAGGCGATCAAGGAGCGGCTTGAGACCGAGTTCGCCCAAGGTAATGCGAGGCCTGGAAAGAATAAGAAGAGGCTCAAGGCCCGACCGGTGGACTGGGACACTGACAATGACGGTGAATGGGAGGACAATCCGGCCGCCCTGATTCGTGATTCGCGAAGTCAGAGCGTCGATGCATTGGATGACTCTGACGAAGGTGGCACGCCGGCTCCGGCGCGCGGTCGTGGTCGTGGACGCGGACGTGGTGCCGCAAGCACTCGAGGAAAAGTCACTACTGCTCGTGCAAAGAAGCCTACTGCTCGCAGCAGAAAGGCTGTCATTGAAGATGAGGACGATGACGAAGATGAGGACGTACCAATGCAGGATGTCTACGACGATGAGGAAAGCGACTCCCAGGCTATGTTCATTAGTGACAAGCACAAGAAGACCGCACAGCCCAGCAATGGCACGGCTCGTTCTGCTAAGGCCGCAGCACCGAAAAGCAGTAAGGCGGTACCTGCTGCGAAAGCTACAGCTACAAGAAAGGCGCCGGCAAGGGGGACTACAGCAAGCAAGACGGGCACCGGAAAGCAGGCCACGCTGAACTTCAGTGCTAGCCAGGCCAGCGTTCTGGGAAGCGGGACTGGAAGGAGCGGAGGCGTTGATGTTGACGACATCGAGGATGAAAGTGATGGCTTTGAAGAGGTGATCCAGCCTGTACGGCGACGGCGCTGAGCATGGGTTAGGACTCCGGAACGCTACTGAGGTAGCGCTGAGATAGAGATGAGGCTGCCATCAGACCCGACGATACTAGTAATGGCCGCAGTGATCCTTGGCAAGTTATCTGTTCGAGCATGCTACGAGCAGCCCTTTCAAGATATCTCACAACGCATCCTTCATAGTTTAGGCCACGTATGCAATTTCGAGGACCAGCTCGGGCCTGTGAGCGTTGCCCTTTCTTGTCGTCAATCTCCTTGTTGCAACTCGTGCAAGTGTTTGTGTCTGGTCAACAATAAGCAAGCCCGTTGATGGCATGTATGACTTTGCTAGTTGCACATTCTCCTGCTTCTTGATTCTTTACTGATTGATGCACAGCTCAGGCAGGAAGTCCCATCATGAGGGACCCCGACACGGATTTCGAGCTGGCTGCTCTGACTTCCCGACATCTCACTTTGTTGGAAACGGGAGACTACCACGATTTCGTTCTCAAGGCCGGCGGAAGAAGCTTCAAAGTACACCGCTGCATCATCTGTCCTCAGTCTGACGTGTTGAAAGTGCTCTGCGATGGTCCCTGGAAGGCAAGTACCGATTCATCTGCGAGGAGGCGGACCGCCAAAGACTGAACGTGCTGACTTCGAATAGGAGAGCGATGACCGCGAAGCTACACTCGAAGAACACGATCCAGAGGTTGTGGAACAGGCGCTGCTATTCTTGTATGCCGGTAGTTACGCTGACCGCATCCCACCGCCCATCGGTGTGATCGAAGAAGACGAGGAGGGGAGCGAAGACGTTGACGAGAAGAGCGAAGAAGCTGATGAGAAGGCTCGTTCCGAATATTACGGTCAGTATTAGTTCGACGACGATTCATCTGTCCCGGGCCTTTATTGACCAACGTGTCGACAAAGCTATGGTCGCCGCATTGGCTTTCAATACCAAGTTGTACCTGCTCGCTGACTTTCTCAACATCAAGCCATTACTGGTTGAAGCAGTCAACTGCTGCGGTCGCATTCTCCGGGAACCAAGCACCATCACCTTAATGGTCGAGCCAATCGCCATGGCCCTCTCGAACACCCGGGCAAACGACGAGCTGTTGCGTCCACGGATCATCCAAGCGTCGTCAACGCGAGCCATTACGTCCAATCTTGCGCCACACTGGAAGGAATCATTCGCGACGCGGAACCCCTAGCCTGGAGGTTGCAATTAGATGCCAAAGCGGAGCGAGAGTCTCTCGAGAAGCGGCTCCAACAGGAGGCCGATGAAATTGTGCGCTTGACCGAGGAACTCCAGGATCACCGTGAGAGACTGTCTCAGAGCGAGTCTCGATATGACAAAGTGGTCAAAGCTATCCATATTCATCAGTTCTGTCGCAACACCACCTGCGGTCAGACGTTCGGTGCAACTGTGCTCCCCAATGAGACGGGCGTCGTGCGGTGCAGGAGATGCAACTGCCGACATTTGTTGGATTCTTGAAGCCGATTGAGGAAGCGCCAGCAGCAGCTGGAAGGTAATCAATGTGCATGAATTCGGCGGGCCGTCGAGAAGGAGAAGTGTACAGTTAACCCTGGGTGGATCTGAACCGCTTAAGTGGTGTGATTGTTAGTCGCTTCTGCGGTCTGTGCCTGAGTAATGCCGTGTTACAGTTACAGCTGCCAGACCGCAATGCGAAGACCCTGCCACCGTCATCGTGTTCGAGAGTGGTCAGCTTCGAACGACAGGTTCCGTTGCGGCCGTGAGTGTTGCCATTAATCAATCGAATGGTCGCCTCCAACTCCTCCTTCTCGACTCTGAGTTGCGAGTAGTTGAACTCTAGTAGTCCCATCTGAGCCTTGACATCCTGCATCGCCTGCACAGACCTCGTTTCCAGCCGCCCCGCAACAGGCTCTTCCGACTCCAGTCTCTCAACGATGTCCAGAATAAGCGACCGCTTAGCTTGGAATCTTGCCACCTCCTCTCAATACCCGTGTGCCGCTTTCTTGCTCTCATGCTCGGCCGTGAACGCTTCTTCTGGGAAGACGCCGAAGACCTTGGAGAGGGATCTGTGTCTCCGGGTAAAATCGTAGCTCTGGACGCTTGTGTCTCTCGGTGACTGTTATTTCGTCTCCGTTGATAAACCACAGAGATGTTGGGGTAGTTTGCGCAGAAGCGGAGAATATCGGCCCTGAGCTGTTGATCAAAAGGCGTTGTATTAGAACAAACCAGGTCGACTGCTGCCGCAAGCTCTTCCAATTCGATGTCATTATTTAACAGAGACTTGCACATAGTGAAGGCTTGCTGCTTGAATCCGTTGGCAGCGTAGGCGTCTGCGAAGACGTACTTGTTGATGTTGAAAGCAAGCATGTTCTCACTTGGCTGTTGAACGGCAGTCCAAGCCTTAGCGTAGAAGAAGCGCGATGCCTGCTCGAGAATATTCGGGTCCGCGCTGTCGAGCCTGACATGTCCTTCTGCATTTTCCTTAAGGCCGTCAGTTCGATCAAGATCAATATAGCGACGCTGTACTACCGACCTTCCATAGTCCACTGTAGAGTGCTCGCCAGAACTCGGACTCTTTCTCGAGAATTTCTCAATGAACCTTGCATTCTCATTCCTATCATTTCACGACCGAGTCATAGTTGCTGGATGAATTGTACAGTATATCAAGATTGCCCGGCCGCAGGACGTTTTGTTCTTGGGAGCCCGCTGTCGGTTGACATGTTGGACCATTAGCTTATTTTGAGACGTCCGGCACTCCGCCGCCAGCTTCGGCGAAAGAGACGTTTGAAGGTGACTTGAAATACTCATCACTTCATGTGCCTGTGAGTCATGCAACAAGCAAAGGGTGTGATAGTCTGGTGGTGAGGCAGTCACCAAGTCCGGTGGAAGCCAGAGTCAAGAAATGCCAAACGGCCCTAATACGCGAAAACCACTTTACGCGGTACCCGCGTTTCCTGTAAGTGTACAACGTCATCAAAGAACGTTGCGCATCCCTGGACAACGTTCACAATTTACAGCCTGCGCCACCAGCACTGAATTTGTCCCTGCCATGGCTACAGTGTGGCCCAAGACTTCGACTCTCGATTATGGCTAAGATCCAAGCAGCGACGGTTTCTAACCAAGTAGTCAATCGAAAGCGGAAGCGTACTCCCAAGGCACAACCGCCATCAGAGCCGCCACCGGAAGGCGAAGCGGCAGGGGACAGCACTACCACAGTCCCCACAAAGACAAATGATGGAGGAAACAAGCCCCGACGGAGAAAAGATGCCTCCAAACCGCCCACGCTGAGGCGTGACTCGTCGACTAATCTGGTCAATTCAGATATCCCTTGGCCCGACCACTTCAAGTACCTGTCAAACTTGCACCGAGCTTTGAACCTCGTCTATACTTTCTGCTGTACGAGGAAGCATTTCGCGACTACATGGAACAACATAAAGTCAGCAGTCGAAGGTCATATTAAGCGGCCACTCGTTGAGGAAGATGTGGCGCAGGTCAAGGCACTTGTCCCCCGGGCAATACACTTCGCCTACGTCGATGAAGACATGCTCGCGGTCACACTCGCTGGGGAAGGAGGAGATATCAGTGCCGGTCGCGCGGACTGGTTTGGAACTAAAGACCAGGACAAACGTGCAGGCGAAGAGGTCGACGAGCTGCTCCTGTTTGAGTTCGTTGATGGCGATCTCAAGCGCCAGGTCCGGGATCCCAAGACCGGGGAACCGGTCAAAGCAACTCAAAAGCTTCGAAATGAGGAATTGAAGATGCCGGTATTCAGCCAGAAATCCATGCTCAAACTCATCGACAAGCGAAACACGAAATTTACATCTGCCATCAATGGTTTCCTGAATCAGTGCGCCGAGGATGGCGTTGATGCTGTTGATAAGATCAAGGCTCTAAAGGATCAATATGTTCCACTACCAACCATCAGTAGGCCTTCGACCCCGAAGCCCGGGAACAAGGCACCACAAACAATACCCAAAGAGCGCAAATCAATATCCGAGATCGTGCAGGAGCTGACCGAGATGGAGTGGTATACTCATCAGATTGTGCCAGACGGTCATCGGGTGTTCGATGCACAAGAAGCAATCTATGGCGAACTGGAGTTCCCACTGTCTCAACATCTCGTCAATGCTCTATACAACACACGGGGCATTACTCAGTTCTATTCGCACCAAGCCGAAGCCATCAATAACCTTCATAATGGTCATCATGTCATCACCTCTACCAGTACATCATCTGGCAAGAGTTTGATTTATCAGGTGCCCATGTTGCACGCGTTGGAGGCCGATCCCCAAAGCCGCGGCATGTACATATTTCCTACCAAGGCGCTTGCCCAAGATCAGCGGCGATCTATGAAGGAGCTCTTGAGCTATCTTCCTCAGCTGGGTGATGTGATGGTAGAAACGTTCGATGGCGACACTCCCATGGCCGAGCGGAACCTCATCCGCGACGGTGCGAGGATCATCTTTACCAACCCAGATATGCTTCACATCACCATTCTACCTCAGGAGAGCACTTGGCGACACTTCCTCCAGAACTTGAAATATGTCGTTGTTGACGAACTCCATGTGTACAATGGTTTGTTCGGTGCCCATGTCGCCTTCATCATGCGGCGTCTGCGCCGGATCTGTGCGGCTGTTGGAAACCGACGTGTCAAATTCATTTCCTGCTCCGCTACCGTCAGCAATCCAGAAGAACATATGAAGACTATCTTCGGGGTCGACAACGTCAGACTAACCGACTTCGACGGTTCGCCATCCGGCCGCAAAGAATTTGTGTGCTGGAACACACCTTTCAAAGACCCGGGTGATCCTACCTCTGGCCGTGGGGACGCCTTCTACGAAACAGCACGATTGCTAGCTGAGTTAATTCTGCGCGGTGTCCGTGTGATTGCTTTTTGTCGCATACGAAAACAATGCGAGGTCCTGCTCGGCGCTGTCCGCTCATACTTCAACGCTATCGAGCGTCCCCAGTGTGCTGCGTTAGTCATGGGATACCGCGGTGGCTATTCGGCACAGGATCGTCGGCAGATCGAATCCGAAATGTTCTCGGGTAAGCTCATGGGAATAGTCGCAACAACAGCTCTGGAACTTGGTGTGGATATTGGATCGCTCGATGCAGTTGTTACCATGGGATTCCCGTATACAATAGCCAATCTACGGCAGCAATCTGGTCGAGCTGGGAGACGTAACCGAGACTCCCTATCAGTGCTTGTTGGCGACTGCTTCCCCGTCGACCAACATTTCATGGCCAATCCAGATGAGCTCTTCACCAAGCCCAATTGTGAGCTTCAAGTTGACCTTGGGAACGAGCTTGTTGTTGAAGGCCATATCCAGTGCGCCGCTTATGAAATGCCCATCCTACCCGCCGAGGATGCTAGGTTTCTCGGTGCGCAGCTCCCACAGATATGCACCAACAGACTCGGTGAACCTGACGAGCACGGCTTCTACCATACCCATCCTCGCTTCCGCCCGGTTCCGTCCAAGCATGTCTCCATACGGGACACCGAGGACGATTCCTTCGCTGTCGTTGATATCACTCATGGGCGAAACCTCGTGCTTGAAGAAGTTGAAGCTTCAAGGGCATTCTTCACACTCTATGATGGCGGCATCTTCCTTCACCAAGGGCGCACATACATGGTCAAGGAATTCTCTCCCGAAAGAAAGATCGCCAAAGTGCAGCTCGTCAAGGTGGATTGGACAACACAGCAGCGCGATTTTACCGACGTTGATCCCATCGAGACAGAGCAGGTCCGACGTGCCAGTCGCAACAGCCTCACCAAAGCATATTTCGGCCGGATCAAAGTCCATGCTGTTGTATTTGGCTTCTTTAAACTGGATGCGAGGCGCAGGATTCTCGATGCCGTGGCCGTTGACAATCCTCCCATCGACATTTTCAGTAGAGGGTTGTGGATCGACGTCCCGAAATTTGCACTTGATATCCTCAAGCGAAAACGTATGAACCTCGCCGCGGCCATTCATGCTGCGGAGCACGCAATCTTGAGCCTGATGCCACAATTCGTGGTCAGTATGCCCGGGGACGTGCGAACTGAATGCAAGAATGCTCTGAAGGAGTTTGCCAAGAAGGAGACACAGCGAAAACGTCCGGCGCGGCTGACTTTCTACGATGCCAAAGGCGGTGCTGCAGGCAGTGGTATTGCGGCGAAAGCATTCGAGTTCATCGATACACTCCTAGAGCGCGCAGTGTTGCGTGTGGGAGAATGCCACTGCGAGGAAGGCTGTACTGAATGCATTTGCGATGAGCGATGTAAGGAGAAGAATATCATCATGAGCAAAGCTGGGGCCGGAGTCATTCTGAAAGCACTTATTGGCAAGGAAATCGATGAAGACGCTCTGCCGGAGGGTGAAGAGGAGCGAGTACCCGAGGGCGTCGAAACCATCATTGGTGCAATAGAGGTTATGGGCGCGAACGGCCGGAGAGTCGAGACCCGGGCAGATGATGGGAGGTGGGTCAAGAGCGAGGAAGAGATGATTGTCATCAAGGACGAACCGGAAGACTGAACAGTCATGAGCACCTTACCCATCATGCCCCAGGTCTTTGCTACTAAATCAACACCATTGAACCGAACGAGCTGACTCTTGCGCCACGAACCCAGATTGCTCTTCACCAGACTGGTTCCTAGACAAGTTTCCCTTCCTCGACCCGCAGAAGCCCCATGCCATTACATCGCCGACATGCTCGAATACTTCTCGTCCAATTCCCCCATTCACAGACAAAGAACCCCCGCTCCCTCGGGACGAGCGTGGTCTCCATGGACGCCACCACCGTTCCTGCGGATCACCTCGTCCCGGGCGTCGCTGTAGACCGCATATCCATAACGCGCCAGCAACATCATGGCGACCAGCGAGCCCGGCGTCACCCGAACCGCACGTCTCACCTTCCCTTGCCTTGCCAACCCCGCAAACTCGCGCTTCTGATCATCACCAATCTCCACAGTCTGCAGCGCCTGGCCACATACGTCCCTCCATACCTGCTCGGCCCGATGAGCCTGCGCCTGGAGTGCATTGCGCCACGTTTTCAGTGTCTGAACGGCCGCATCCTCTTGTTCCTCCTCCTGCTGCTGCTTTAGGCCAGCCTCTTCCAGCGCCCCAATCATGTCCTCGACGCAGGCTTGCGCGGTCAGATCCCGATTCAAACCCGCCAACGATTCCCGCCGCGTGTATTCCGCATTCATCTCGGCGACTTGCTCCCTCTGGAAGGGGCAGGAGGTGGATTTGAGGGAAGTTGTGGGCGTTGTCGCCTCCGAGGATGATGATGATGATGATGATGATGATGATAATAGTCCCGCCACACCAGGCGCCGCGCCCTCCAGCTCTCCTCTCATCCGCTTCCGCTTCCGCTCTCGCGCCGCCATACGCTGACGATGTTCGGAGGCGGCTTGCTGCCGGGGGGTCACACGCGCGAGCTCCGCCAAACTCGGTGGTTGTGCCGGAAGCCGTGTTTTCTTATTCGCCACACGGTTCTGATGCTGGGTTCGCACCTTGAGCCTGGAGCATACGACACGGCCCTCTAGTGGTGGGGGTGGAAGCTGGCTCGCTGGAAAGACTGGTGGCGATGACAACATTGAGGCCGCGGCTGTCAGGGCAGCGAGACGTGCGTCGCTCGCGCTGTTGGGATTGCTGGTCCGGATGGACGGCATTATTGGATGTGTCTTACGGTGAGTTGCTGCTTGGGCAAGGTTTAAGAACTACTACAAGTTGTGTCTGCAGTGGAGGTTGTGATTGCTGGGAAATAGACAAAGCACGCAGGTGGACGGGAGGCTGCTGTCCTACTTATATCGTCTTTGAACTTGACAGTGGTAAACGGCTGACGCTGGGACACCAATTGCGGTATGTTTTGACCTTCCTTTGTAAGGTATCTCAGACGGTCTCGGTGTATGGGACAGCCATGGGAACCACCGAGACATCATGTTGGAAATTCGACCATGGGCAGCCATGTCAGACTTGCTTGCTGCGTCTGTTTTCCTGAAGCATATGATTCAGAAATTCAACATCCCCAAGAGAAGGTTCTTGACCGTACTCTACCTGCAGTGTTGACTACATGACCTTGAGACACAGCGACTCCAGGCACTCAAAAGCCACGGTACAACGCATCCTGCTCAAGACCTTCCACCTTACTTGTCACCACCCTCCCATCCTTGACAATAGCCAGAATCGTCTCCTCCGGCCGCTCCAGTATGGTGATATCCTCCAGCGGATTCCTATCAAGCACCAGCAGATCCGCAACCATCCCAGCCTCCAACGCACCCAGCTGCCCTACCTTCCTTAACGGCTCCGCAGCATTGATCGTGGCGCAACGCAGCACCTCGGCGGGGCTGAAGACCTGGTTCAGCAACCGGAAGCCGCTGCTCTGCTGGTAGTGGGCGCCGCCCAGCAGGTCAGAGCCGTAGCAGACTTTCGCGCCCGTCTGCTTCATGATCTCGAGCGATTTGCGGCCGCTCGCGACGATGACGCGGAGCTTTTCCTTGTTCTGCTGGTCGAGCAAGGTGTCGAAGGGAGCCTTGGAGAAGGCTTCGTAGGTGCCGAGAGTGGGAGTGAAGGTGACGCCTTTGGCCACGCAGAGCTCCGCCGTCTCAACGTCGATGAAGTTGGCGTGCTCGATGCCCAGGACGCCGTTATCGACGGCATGTCGGATGGCTCTTGGCGTGTAAGCGTGCGCAGTCGTATAGGTGTCGAGATACGACGTGGTCGTCGTGATGGCGCGGATCTCTTCTGGCGTGAATTGCAGCATGTCGAGTGGATCGTTTGGTGATGCCATGCCGCCTCCACACATGATCTTGATGAAGTCGGCTCCTCGACGCAACTCGTCTCTGCTGGCCTCCAGGCATTGTGGCACGCCGTCGCAGATGCGCCCAAGACTCGGTGTGTCACCACAGCAGCTAGGCGTACGTGAGTCGTGTGCGTCACGGAAGTCACCATGGCCGCCTGTTTGAGACAGAGCTCGTCCGGCGATAACCATGCGTGGACCGGGAATCAAGCCTTCATCAACGGCGGCGCGTAGACCAGCATCGGCGCCACCTGTGTCCCTGATGGTGGTGAAGCCGCGAAGAAGCATGGTCTTGAGGACATAGGAGGCTCGCAGATGGATGGCGCTGGCCGGGTGGTTGTATAGTGTCTTGAAAGACAGCCCGCCAGGCGCTCCCGTCACGTGAACATGGCAGTCGCTCAAGCCAGGACAGATGTATTTGCCTTGCAGATCGATAGACGCCGACTCTGATGAATTGCCGCCGACCTTGTCGATTTTCCCATTCGAGAGTGTGATGGTTGTATTGGAAACAATTCGTCCTTGACGTACGTCCACTAACGAGGCATTGATGAGAGTAATGCTAGGCACCGCACTTGTCGGCGCCCAAGGTTTGTCGTAGTTGACCTCTGCCATATTGGAACTGGGCCAAGTGATGACTCTGTGTGGTGGTTGCGTAGTCCGTTACACGAAAGGACATTCCAGACTTGCTGCCCAGTGATTGTTTATCAGTTGCGTGTCCGATAGCTGGTGGCCGAACCGACACTTACCGACCTTGTGCGGAGAAGAGGCGGAAAGGGGCTCCAGATCGGCGCCGTTCGAAGGCTTCAAGACCTAATAGCACTATTCCCACTGATGCACCGTGCATAGCCTAATCGGTGGTCACTCCACGGTCCTGTCCATTTTTTGAGTCTTGGAGCTTGGGTCCTTGCAGATCTCGGACTTCCGGTAGACTACATCACCGCTATCTGCACTCACAATGCCAGTGGCTACAGCGTCCATCCCTCACCCTCCAGTATGACTTTGGTCGCCCAAGTAGAGCGAGGAGGCAAGGAAATCCATACCCGACAGGCTCAGGATTTGCGACTCGTCAGAAAGAAACCAAGAGTCCAAATTCATCTCTGGTAGCGGTTGAGCCTGTCCGGCGCTGGGCCAACTGGCCACATCTCCAGCTAGGTCTGTTGAGATGGGATCATGCGGCTCTCTCGGCAAGCCAGGCCACGTCTCATCGATCGCAGAGCGCTGTCCTTCTGTAATCTCGCTTGCCACTGGAGTCCTCTGGGTAGACAATTTTGATAGCCACTGCTTGTAAGTCTGACGTTGATTGTGAGCGGTATCTCTGACGATTTCCGGCCGCTGCGACCGTTGCACGGCTTCTTCAACAATCTTCTTGAACTCCTGCACAAAGTCCAATGCTAGTTGTGCGGGTTTGGAAGCTTCTGCCAGAACTTTGAGAGTACGCAGTCCCTCATCGATGTCGCGTTGGTAGTTGACATCCTGCTTGATCACCCGGGAGAATAACGTGACGAGGATGGCTGTGCTGCAGCCTTGAAAATCAGTCCATGAGAATCGGGCCAACAGCTTTGCCTGTCGAACATGTTCAAAGTTTGCGAGCATCTTTCGGGCAGCAGTGCTACAATTCATGGCGAGGCCAACAGCTTGTGGATCGAGGTCGGGAAGCATCTCTTGAGGAGCGAATGCTTTACTGAGGCATTGGCGTGCCACCGCGATGAGGGGCGTCCGGAACAGGATTATCAAAGCATGATTGTAGTTCTGGTGAAGGTGTATTTTTGCACGATACCCTTTCTCAAGTGGGTTGAGGTTCGGGAGCTGTAGATCTTCGGGCAGCGTTGCGACCCAGTGGTTGAGCTGCGCGACCAGTCGCTCAATGATGTCGTGATTGTACTGCTCTGGCTGGGAATATATCAGTGGCCTGGTCATGGTCAGTTCTGTCACTTGTTGAACCAATACATCGCTCACAAAGCATTCGCAATTCGACTCCAGATGCGTACTAACTCGGCGTTCGCAATCTGTTGGCTGAGGTTGTTGTGGTCTTGAGCGTTGTCAAGTTCGGCGACGGCTTTGGGCATCGGCGTTGACACATCTCGCTCCTGAATTGTCTCTGGGCGGCCTAGCTTGATGCCGATTGTTCTAACAACATCAGAAAACATTCATGAAACATGGCAGAGTTGATTTACCGTTCAAGGCTGTATATAGTCCACCAGAGTCGATGGCGACATTCAGCTTGACATGCTGTGAACTCCCCAGGTGGAGTTTCTTTGTGCATATTGCTTGCAATCGCCACCCTGAGAGCGATTCCCATGTATGTATAGGCGGCATCGGCCGACACCGTAGTCAAAAGGCACAGGCTGAGGAGCAGTGCGGCAGACACCGCGTCCGAGGAAGGTGCAATCAATATTGCAGGGACAAGACTTTGGGCTCTTGTGGCAAAAGCGTCGGCAGCTTCGGTAGCTTGCTCAGGAGGCTCGGTGGCTCTGTCGTCGAGATGAGCCCACTGCATGCCCATAGCGAACGCACTCAGAGCCAGACACGCGAAACTCGCATCCCCCCTTTTCTGTGCGCTAGAGTAGTGGACCTCAAGCATCCGGCGCATCTCTCGCTGATTGACATAGAAGAAGCTGTCGATTGCATAATCAAAGACGATGGAAATCAGATATTGAGCCACTTCCGAGGGTGGGAAGATAGCAACTGCCTTGGAGTATGCTCCGTCCTCGGACTCGTTCAGTGCGACCGATGATTCTTCTGACTAGCCCCTCTCAGTATGGCTCAGAGCATACGTCAATTGCGTACCTGTTGTCGACGGCGGGTCGGTGGCTTGTTATGGGATGAGATGGGCTCAAGGAACATTAGACGTCTAATATGGGACAGAAAGCTTCCCTCGACCTGTGTTTTGCGGCCCGCTACTTTGATCAGTGGGTGTCTGGCTGCATCTGGCGCCCATACCGTGACTAGGTATGTGCCCAGAAAGAAAGTCCGGCACGGCATCGGCGCTTCCAGCAGCTGTCGATGGACTTGGATCCCATCGTCTGGCCCCGGGACTCAGAGTACCGCCGCTGAGCGCTTGTGGTGTTGACCCCGATGATGCTCGTCGAGGACTTCTACCGCAATGAGCCGACGGAAATATGCTATCAATTAAACTCACCGTGATGCGGGAGCGCTCTGTGGGAAGTCTGCAAAAACACAGGCCCTACGGTTGCGACGACACCGATCACACGCATCTTCATGACGCTGCACGCACCGGCTTTTTCGGGCCTGGCAGCTGACACATCTAGAGAAATCAGCAAGTGCGACTCACCAGTGACCAGCTGGTGGCGTACGCTTTCCGAGCACGAAGTGGCTTTCGACTATTGCTTGTCGGTCGCGAGGGGTCGCCAGGCCCCTCCATGAGGTCGTTCTTCAGGTCACACGAGTCGAAATGTGCCTTTACTGATCTTAAACCCGAGCAAGCGAAGATGAGGCATTACTAGCTCAGTCTCGATGGATCTGCCGCGTGGGACTTATCTCTGTACCACCAAGACTTTCAACGTCGCCTAAGCTTAGCCGACAGATGCCGACAGATGCCGACAGATGCTGACGCTTGTACGACTTCGCCGACAGATGCCGATCCTCCCTTTGCCTGCATCCGCACGCCCACCTATCTTGGAGAGAGCGATAAGAGATGGACTGATCCCCGTCTTGCTGATCGTCAGCATCTCCATTTCCTTCGCATACCCTCATGGATATCAAAAAGGAGATGAAGGGTCCGGATGACTACGAGACAGATGTCGCCGTCGCACACTCGGCTACCCTGGGTGTAGCGGATGAGGAATTCCGGGAATACACCGAACTGAGCGGACTCTTTCAAGGCCCGAGGCTCAGGAAGGTGACACGAAAGATCGAGTATGTTGCTTCAGTCGCTCTCCAATCTAAACTGACGACGACAGTTTTCGCGTACTACCTCAACTACTTCTCATCTACCTAATCTCCTATGTCGACCGCAGTAATGTTGGTAAGTTCATGTCTTCCCCATGGGTTACCTTTCAATGTTAATGATTGATCCAGGCAACGCCAGACTCTTCGGGGCAGCCGCGGACATGAAGCTCTCCGGCCAGCAATGGAATGCAGGACTGAGCGTCTTTTTCGTGACCTACGGTGCCTTTGCTGTGTTGGTTGCCATCTCCGTCAAATGCTAGTCGATGCTGACATGTCCAGTCCATCAAACATTATGCTGAAGCGCGTGGGCCAAAGGATCTGGCTTTCCACCTTGATCACCGGCGTAGGCATTGTCTGTGTTTGCTCCGGACTCCAGGTCAACTATGCCGGCTGGATCTCGTTTCGCCTTCTCCTCGGTGTCGTCGAGGCCGGAGTCTACAGCGGCTGCACATACGCCTTGACCTCGTGGTACTCGCCTAAAGAGCTGCACAGCCGCATGACGCTCTTCTACTCTGGCGGTGCTTTATCTGGCGCATTTTCAGGCTTGTTGGCCTACGCCATTGGTCAACTGGACCACACCTGGGGCTACCGAGGCTGGCGGTTTATCTACGTAATCGAAGGAATCTTCACCACGCTTATCGGCATCATCTCATTCTTTTGGCTGATTCCTGAGCCGGATCAAGCCGGGAAGTGGCTGGATGATGAAGAGAGGCGCTTCTTGATCCTACGACATCGCTTTGCAGCCGGAGGAGAGTCAGGCATTGCTGAGAAAGAGGAGTTCTCTTGGAAGCACGCCGGTGCAGCTTTCCGGTCCATCCACGTCTACCCGCTGGCCATGATTGGTTTTGCGGTCTCTGGAGTCATCTACGCCATTTCCTTCACGTTGCCGACCATCATCAACAACTTGGGGTACTCAGCCGCCGATGCTCAAGCTCTGACCGTACCGCCGTACGTTTTTGCCTGCTTGTGTACGGTTGTGGCTGGTTTCGCTGCGGACAAGTATGAGAAGCGAATGCTGTCAATTTTTGTCCCAAGCATCTTCGCAGCCATTGGCTGTGCCATTGTTATGTGCACAGTTCGCTTCTCAGGCATGGAAGGCGCAACGCTATTTGGCTGCTTCATCATGGCGGGAGGACTATATCCAGCCGTGCCTTCTGTGACTGCATGGGTTTCGCTGAATGTTGCCGGCTCGATGAAGCGCGCTGTTGCTATCGCCATCACCTTTACCTTGACCGTGCTGAGTGGAGTGAGTACCATGTATCAACGATGAGATTTCGTGTTCGCTGACAGCTCTAGATTCTCGGGTCCAACATTTTCCTCGCAGCAGAGGCTCCCGAATATACCACTGGCTTCTCGGTATCTCTTGTCATGATCACCGTGTTCTCGATCTTCACATCACTCGCGTACTGGATGGTCCTCAAGAGAATCAACTCAAAACGAGCTGCCATACCAACGGAGGAGATCAAGGCAAAGTACACTGAAGCAGAATTGGCCGACATGGGTGACCTCAGTCCGGCGTTTCGATATGCAACATAGGCAACTCCATCTAGGAGTGAATGTACGTACTGCAACGTGTCACATGGACGAGCATCGTGCGGGCGCCGTTTCCCCAGCCTCTTCTGCCTGGCAACCACTATATATCACAAATTCGGAAATCTCTCCTAACAATCGCACAGACCTACAGCAGTAAGACTGTAACGAAACCGGGCAGGCTATCAAACGCCAGAGGTCCTGGGGTCGAAAGTCGTTGCCACTGAAAAACTTGCGCCTAGCACTGCGTCTAGCAGGAGTCAAGGTAAGTTTTCGGGGAGGAATGCTACTACAAAGTCAAACAAAAAAGAAAGATGCCATCAAAGAAGCCACTGTAAGATCTTCCAGTAGGAGTTGTACTACTACCAAGTGGTAGTACATGGGTCCACGAGACCTTCTATTATGGGAGCACATTCCTCTGTTCTTTTTGCATTTTTTGACATGGTCCCTCGTGATCATGGCCGTCCGATCCGGTACTTACTCTATGGTCTGATGATTACTAGACTTCAAGGCCAATCAAACATTCAGCGAGATCGGCCTTTGGAGTACACTTGTATATGACTCGTCGAGGTATTTGCCCCCTTTCTCTGGTGTCTCGAGGCTCAGCCTCGCCAAGCAATTTACCGCCAAGACTTTCACTGCCTGAGATACTAGAAGCCAGCCAGCCATGTCATGTTCTACGTGACTCGGCGCATAAGTCAGAAAAATACACATGATTGGTCGAGCTTATCATACTCACAAGGCCATCCATGGCCTCAAGGTTCCCATCCATCTCACCTAAGCTACAGCAGCATCCTCCACACGGAATGCATTACGCCCTCCAAGTTTATCTTCAATCGACTGGCCACCGTAAGCCTTGGTGGCCTTGCCCGCCAACACCCCCCTCATGAAATCCTCGAATGTGACGGGCTTGAAGTCCGGATACAGCTCCCGCGCGTCCAGGTAGCCCAAGTACTTTGCGTTCTCGAGCGTGTTGTCGCCGCGGATGAATTTGGAGTGGTTGTACTGCGCGCCGAAGAGGGCGGCACGTGCCATCCAGTCGCCAGGCGGGGCGTTCTTCACGGCTTCCAGGGCGGAACGAAGTTGTTCTTCGGCTTCGGCTTTGGATACCTGGAAACACACCACGGGTTAGCTTCACCGCTCTTTTGGAGGCCGGGGGGGGGTGTGCCTTGGAGCTGCAGGAGGAGGTAAAATCAGTGCACGCACGTAGTTGCGAGGGATCGTTTCCCCACTAAGCCGTTCTGCGATTTCCCACAGCTGGCTCTGCGACAGCTCGTCCGAGTAGGTCACGACGCGCTTGTTCAGTGTCCGCGGATCCTTGATGATGCGGGCCACGAAGCGGCCTTGGTCGTGCATGTCGGTCAGCAGGTTCGGCGCGTTCCCATCACCGTAGATCTCCTTGACGGGGAACATGGTGATGGCATAGTCTGCCTTTCCGGACGGCAGCCATGGAAAACTGAGCTGATGCCAGAAGCCGACGTCGATGATGGTGAAGGGGACTTTCTGGAAGAAGATGCGGTCATGCACCTGCTCCTTTTCATCGCGGATCAGCATGGCCCCGCCCCGCGGGCTGATGGTCGTGAAGCCGCAAGGGACGAAGCGCTTGGTCCCGGCCTCTTTTGCTGCGTCCACCCAGTTGAGCTGGGCGAGCTGGGCATTTGGCCCCAGGGCGCTCACGAGAATGTCGATGCCCTTGAGGTGAGGGACGAGGTCGGCGACCGGAGCTCGGACTTCGCCCACTCTGATTGAAACGCCACGTTCTCGTAGTTTGGCGACGGCTGGAGATGTGGCAGAAGCAGGCCTGGTGAAGGCAATGACATGCTGTGATTGTCAGGTTGTTTCATTGTAGTTGCATGGTGTTACTGGCAGCACTTACGAAGCTGTCATCTGCAAGGAGACCGCTCAGAACCTCGGTTCCAGCGGTGCCGGTGGCGCCCAGCAGCAACACGGTCTGTTTAGCTGCCATTGTCGACTTTCGCAAGATGTCTTATCCTCGATTCAGTCCTTGTTTCTGTCGACATTGACTAAGATGGAGTATTTTGGAGTATTTATTGTAGTTCTTTGCGGCCAAGGCAGTTGTTGGTCCGGCCGCTCGGCCGAACTTACCTACTTAGCCAAAAGTATCAGCCGATATCACATTACTCCGAGGGCATGTTCCTGCATTAATCTGGTACGGTCGTCGTATCCGTTTCCATACTCGGATACGATCAAAAAGATGGCAATGAGGATGCATAAAAGACCCAATGATCGAGTCTTTCCGATATGACAAACATCAAGCTCCAACATTTGTAGCCAATGATCCGCTTAAGGCCAGTCTCGAGACACTCAGGGTTCAATGTAGACTTTAAGCAGCTGCTCTTATGTCCGAGGAAACTCAAGAAATGCATGCGCCGTTTGCTCCAAGCCAGGGTTTTTCCAGAGCATAGTGACTCAGCATTCTCCAGCTCGACAAGCTTCGCCATCATCCTCTTCATTATTACCAAGATGTTGTCCATCGATCTTCTGTCGGCTGCATCAAAAGGATCGGGCAGATGCCGAAGTCCTCGGGTTCCTCCATTGGCTTATACGACGCATGAGCTCCCGGGAACCACGTGCAGATGTATCGCTGCACTGTTATATATGCTAGCATTTGTCAGTGGAGCCAGCGGGACATCATGTTCTCCGACATCCATAATCGAGACTTGGAAGGCAACAATGGTCGTGTTGCGGCAAAGATCTGGCGCAACCATTCATTCTGTAAGCAGCAAGCGTTCCAGCTTCTCGCACGTCATCGAGCACTTTTTCCAACAGCATCTGCAAGAAGGATAAGGCGTCAGTGGCAGTCACCTTCTGAGACGATCGTATTCGCAACAAGTTTGGCTTCACAGGCGGAAGTGGATGAATGAACGATCGTGAATCGCGTTTGTAATGAAGATGGTCTGTGCAGTAATGTTTTTCATTCGAGGTCACTGTGGCCTTCAAGTGACTCTAATCCTGCTTGAACCTATCCACATGTTCTCGTCGCTTCCTTTCGTCCTGGTACTTCGTTTCGACCGCCAAGTGGGCCTAGCCAACACAGCCATGAATGCTTATTTGAAGGACTTCAAGGGTAGGATGGATAGCCAGAAGGCATCGAGAGGAGGGTATTTGGGCATTGGTAGACCCATCCACTGCAGCTTCTCTTGGGCATTCCTGGGGCCGTTCTGCATTCATTAGCCGGAGTCACCCGTGGCGCACAAGACGAAACGTTACCTTGACAATGACAGCTTCACCTCGCGTATTGATCATCATTCGTATGTTGATTTTGGGACGAGGCTCTGTGGTAGGGTTCTCCTCCTGAGGGAGGCCGACGGCTTGGGGGTGGTGATTGGGTGAGAAGACACTCTCAGGAATGGTTGCTAGCTTCTTCTCGATGTCGGGGCCAAACATGGCTTCGGCAAAGTAGCTCGAGTCGATGTCTGAGTTGGTGTCCATTTTGAGGTGCGTTGTCGATGGCTCCAACAGTGCCCTTCACTAACAATTTGAGGAGTTGCTGGGGACCTCCAACGCTTGAAGCGGAGGCTCCTGTATTGACCTGGCCCGCAGCCTCGCCGCCTTGTTGCCTCAGCCTCGCGCCGCAATATCGCCGGAAGGCAAGCAAACCACCAAGGCAATTTTTTCCGCCTTTTTTGGTCGAGGGGTAAATCCAGCGACTGCGGTTCGTCCCACATCGCATGGGATGCTCGTAGAGACTTCGCACCCTCAGCATTAGCTCTCTCTCCTCTTACAAATGCCGACAACAACGCTGATGTCGTCGAGCTTCCCACCAAAGGCACTGATACCCTCGTCTAAGGCCTTCTCCATATAAGGACTTTCGGCATTGGGATCCTGGGCGATTGCTCTTGCGGCATTCATGAGCTCGCGAGCAACAAACAGCATTCCTTCGTTGGCCTCGGACGCGCCTTGCTCCCAGCTCTTCACACAACCACATACTTTTTCGATAATCTCGTTCTCGAACAGATTGTCTGAAACGCCGTCACTCACAACGACGACGACGTCGCCTTCCTCTAGGCTGACCTGGTCCATCACAGCATTCCCGTCTGGCGTGTCAGGACTGTTGGTGCCGAGCTGTCGAGGACAGTCGAACCAGTGCCATTGCTCCGTGGTTTTGTAGAGAAGCTCACCGGCGGGGCCCTCCTCAGCGCCCGCATCACCGCCAGCACCACGGTCTGGTCGCATCACGTACACCATGCTGTCTCCGAGCGTAGTGCACAGCACAGACGGGTAGCCCTGCTCGTCATGATGCAAGAGGGCCCCACTCGCGGTTGTGGTGCCCAGAATCTCGTTGCCCTCGCTTGGGCTGGTGCTCTTCTTAGTGTGCTCGAAAGCCCGCTGCAGGCATGCCACCATATCAAGCTGACCCACTTCCAGGTCCTGGTCCGGTGACTCTTTATAGATCTTCTCGGCCTCTTCCATCCAATGGTGGGTGATCAAGCGGGACCATAGAGCGGCATGGCCCCGCTCCTTTTGCGCCCAAGCTCCAACACCGTCGCCCACAGCCAGGAAGTTCCGGCCGCCAATAATGGCAGCATCATCCCCATTGGTGATGCCTGCAATGACGTGCCCCTCATCATCATGTGGTTTCCTCGCTCTCGCAGCCTGATGCGTCGTCAAAGGGTCTGAGAAAGAGTGACTGGGAGTTGAGAGGAAAGGCGGAGGAAAGGGTCGGGAGGGCCGTTTAGCGAAGATAGCGTAGCCCGTGTCGAAGTAAAAGGGAGATCTGTCGAATACATCTACACGGTCATCGTTGGTGGTGTGGCCGGAGAAGATAAGCTGCCGGCGTGGACGTGGTACAGAGGAAGAGAAGGCACGCGTGCATGCCGAAATGCGGAGGGATCGGAGGGGGGCTGCTACATGCTTGGATAGAGGGATTGAGAGAAGCATTGAAGGCGATGGAGGGCTCTCATCCCGCGAGAGGATCCCCAGTCATAGCATGATGGAGGTGGGGTGAGTGAGAGGAACGTCTGCGTGGAGAAAGGTGAGAGGTGAGAGGGTGCGGTGATGTATGATTTAGGCCTGGACCGCACCGCCTGCCGTGCTTCAAGTTGGTGCCACTACGGAGCTTCCTGCCGGCCGGGATAACTAATGCCCGGTGCCAAGATATCAAGTGAGGTTCACGCGTCACAGATGGCTTCCTCTAAAGTGTCCAAGTTCATTGTTGGAGTCATGCTCTTCAAAACAGATCCAAGTGGTCACAACGGTACAACCAGATCTGAAAGCGCTGCAAGCTTATCTGAAATGGCCATACTCTGGTTGGATATAGGCCTGCTTCAAGCTGCCATATATATACAGTCTCGAAGTCACAGCACGAGCTGATAACAAAAGGAGTGAATCGATGCTGCTACTCTTTGTGGAGACTCCGGCCTCGGCAGCCCAGTTCCCGACTAGAGCGAACAGCTTCTCAGCTATGCAACGCCAGATCTCTTCTCAATCTCGATCAACGACCTTGCCGTATCCTGAAAGGTCTTCTCTTTGGAGATGAACTCAATACCCAGTTCCCTCTTGGCTTTCGAGTTGTCGACCTTGAAGGTCTCGACCCTCGGCGTGGCATCAGGATCCGTGATTCTGTCTTTTCTGTCGGGCAAAAAGTCTCTCAGGATCTGGCAGACGTCGTTATAGAGGAAGGTGCCCGAAGTGATGAAATATCTCCCTGACTCCGGATGCTCATACGCCTTGAGATGCGCCTGAGCCACATTTCGCACGTCAGCAAATGCCGGAAACATAGTCAGTCCAGGCTCCTTTGTACTCCCATCCATGAATCGGTAGATGTCCCCGAGACTGGTATTCAGATGCTTGATGTCGACGTTCTGGTAAGCCGGCCCATAGATCATGGGCGGACAGACTGCCGCGAGTGTGAAATGCGGCTTGTGCTTCTCGATATAGTCCCAAGCCGCCTTCTCCGCAAATACCTTGCTGGCCGAGTACGCCACAGGTCCGCTGCCAGCCACAGCTTCTTCCCATGTTACAGGATTCCAATCCTTCTCCGAGTAAGTGTATCCCGGCCGGTTTCCCTTCGGAATGTCGATGATTGATGAGAACGACGACGTGATCACCACGCGCTTCACATTCGGGCCGTACTTGTGCACGCTCTCCAACACCTGCAGCGTGCCCTGCAACGACGGTCTAAGCAGATCGCGTTCGTTATCCTCGACCTGCAACAGGAAAGGCGCAGCCAGGTGTATCACACCCTCGACACCTTTGACGGCCTCGGCGTAAGCTCCCGGCGCCTCGATGTCCTTGACGATGACGAACTCCAGCTGTGTCTCGTCTACGCCTGGAAATGTCTGACGCACCTTGTCGGCCGAGGACTCGCTGCGCACTTGGGCGCGGACTTTGTAGCCGTGCTCGAGGAACTCCATGATGATAGGTGTACCTACAAAGCTTGTGGCACCGTCGATAAGGACGGTATTGGAAGCATTCTTATTGCTGCCTCCAGAGAGCTTCTCTCTGAGTTTACCAAGGCGGGCTTTGATGGAATCTGCGGCCATTATTAGGGTGACGACCGGTGAGCACTCTCTCGAGGTTCGCAGTACAGGTTAAGAGACAAGGCGGATGTCGATCGAAACCTAGCACAACCGACCCTCGGCATCCCCTGGGGGGGCACGCATTAGATATACCACAACAGAATCCCATGGTCCACGAGCATTCGGGGGCGCACAGCTGCATCAGAACGAACAACATGTACACGACCCTCACCACAAGCAATTGCTTCCGCAGCGGACCGGGCTGTACCAGACCCCTTCGAGCCATGCTCGGCATTCATACCATTGGCTGCATCAGCTCAGCCAAGCAAAATGAACCTCAATACCCGGGGCATGGGGATGCAAGGTTATCTAATCCCCCAACTTTAGGCGATGTGGCAACGAGCATGGACGGAACCAACAAGCCCAGATATTTGACACTGAACGCTAGCAGTGGACCTTCACCTGCAGCCCTGCCTGTATGGCTCAAGCCGCGTGTGTCACAATATGTGACTGGTGCCAGACCACGCCACATTGTGCCATACGACAAGCGTCGGTGGGCATCGGTAGTCACCGTTGCATACAGGACCGGGGAAGTCTTCGGAAAGACTGACAGACTCGTACTGGGTTAGCGTCCGTCGGCTCCGGCTCTTCTCATGTATCTTGTAGGAACGTATAGATCTCGTAGCAACATACATGACATGTCGCGTCACTCGCACATCACATAGGCATGGCTTGTGTCTCGACTCAAGAAAGGATAGCATCTTGCTCGTCTCACAATTGGGGGTATCATCTAAGGGTAATCTATGCACCAAGACCATGAATAAAATCAGCCTGACCCTCCAAGCCCCGTTGTTGCTTCGGACCCACCATAGAAATCTCATCATTCATCATGAATTAGGACCCTCTCAAGCAACCAGATCCCACGCCGCAACGCCAGTAAATCCCATAGCAACCCGACCCTTACCATCCAGGAACTGTCGAACCGTGAGACCCCGCACATTTTCGCTCTTGTCGAACTTGGAGACCGCAAACAACGTCAAAGTCTGTCCTGGCGCTCCTAGCTCTCGTGAATCGATGTCGACGTACCACGTGTCACCTCCCTGGCCGCTGGGCGCTTGCAGATATTCTAGGGGCACCGAGTCCTTGTTTCGGCCATCAACGCCACCCACCATGACGAAGAAAACAGGTGCTGGTCCTTTGTTGCCGTGCTGATCGAGCGTCCAGTGGGGACAGATGAGGCTGAGTTGGAATCGCACGGTACCGGCTGTTTGAACGCTGATTTTGCGATTCCTGGGAAGCACCGCTTTCTCGCCAATATAGTAGTCTTCTTTCGCGTTTGTGAAGATTGTCGGTGCTTCAACCATGTCAGGCCAATTCGCAGGGTTGATCTGAATGTATTCCTCCCAACTCATTTGCTGCCCGCTTGGTAAGAAGAAGTGCTCCCGATTGCCTGGGAAATGCTTGATGCCAAACTCCTTGTTGGTCATGGAAAAGTACTCAGGGGTGAACTTCGCAACATATGGCTGACCAGCACCTTGCACGTGCCCAGAACCCCAACACGGGTCAATAAGTTTCCACTCACCACCATCAATCCGCACCGCGTTCCATGCATGGCCGGCGTTGTAAGGTGGAAGCGGGGACCCGGGGGCTAGGGGAGTGTAGCCATAGCCTTTACCGTGTCCCGAAATAACAATAGATTCCAATCCCGCATAGGTGGCGAGGGTGGTGAAGAGGCTGGCGTAACCTTCGCACACGGCCAGCCCACTTTGGAGTGTTGACTGTGGGGTAGAGCTGCGAAGATTGCCGGCGAAGAAGCGCTCGACATCATAGGCGATATTATGATGGAGCCAAGTGAAGATGGCTCTTGCTTTGTCCGTGGCAGACGGGAAGGGTGAGGTAAGGTCATACGCCAGCGTTTGGAGGTCATGGACTTGCTGTCTTGGGAACCGCGCAGCATGACTGTCTGGTCCAGAGAAGTCTCGACAGACAAGACATACACTGGTGGATGTAAGACTTGCTGGTGATGTCGGCGATATACCTGTTGAGAACTTCGGTTTGGTCGCTTGGATTGCACTTAGATCTGGTCGCGATGACTTTGGCACGGGAGGAGGCGTGGATACGCCGTTGGCGTAGCCTGAGATAGACGGCGAGAACTGTGCTGGCGTCGGCTGTGCATGGGAGGATTGCTCGGTGACCGGATCAGGTTTGTTCATAGCTTTTGCCATGAAAGACGTCGCAGAGTTCTTGAAGCGGTTGAGAGTTTCAGAATGCTGAAAATCAGGCTGTGTGTGTACAGGAACAGGAGTTGGCTCCATCGATTGTTCCGTCTGTTGTGCAGGCTTTGGCTTGTTCATACCCCATGATAATGCGGATTTTTGGGCCTTTTCGATTGCCGCAGGGGAGGGTATGGGTGGTATCTTCCGGAGCTCAGCTTCAGGTACTCTCTGTTGCTGGCCAACATCTGATTTCCGAGGCGGCAGTCTTGGAGGTAGTGCCGGCTGAGAGGGTCGCCGTGCTTCTGCCGAACTGGCTGGCGTGACACTGGGCGTACTCGAAGGTGCGCGGTTGACATATTTAGGGCGTTCGTTGGTATAAGTGCGCTTAAGTGGTGCAGGGTTCTTGGGTGGGAGAGTGGGAAGTTCAGTCTCGCCCCATGCTGGGGCTTTGACTCGCTCATGGGAGTTTGCACGAGTAGCAGCCGAAGATCTGGTACCAGCACTGCTCGTTGTGACCACTGACGAAGCGACCGACTCTACCGAGTCCCTCCGAGCAATTTCGTTGGAGCTCTTACGTGCAGGAAGTGGAGGGGGTGGTCGTCGATTGGGTAGAGGTGGCGGAGCAGGCTTGTTCCCCACGCGTACGTTTGTGACCGACCCCTGCACATTCTCGGGGGGATTATTGAATGACTTGGCCTTGTGAAGATCAGGTCGTCTCGTGGGAACTTGCGGCGTTGGTCGCGGTGCAGTGACGGGAGCAGGACGAGGCGGTTCGCCGGGAACACGACCAATGTGGGCAGCGTTGAGAGCGGCGATGCGTTGCTGCAGAGTCATGGGCTGAGGATCCTCAGCCATATTGGACGCCAGGGACTGACGTGCTATGGAGTCGACGAGGTGAAATTGCAGCGAGTGCTGAAAGGCATAGTGAAAGGTGGTTGGTAGAGATGCTACCAAGGACAAGTTACACAGCCAGACGCGGGCATGGCGCAGCGACAAGAGTAACGGACTTCGATTATGACATGTGGAGAGGCCGTGCTTGTTTCAGTCTGCGTTGTGCTGGGGCTAAAAACAGGCCTAAGTTTAGGCGAGTGTCTCGGCCCTGGAGGGAGGCAAATCGGCTTTACTGGCCAGCAGCGGGACACGAACTCAGGAGCCCGATATCCGGTAAGGCTGCGAACCTCGGGGGCATGTTACCTGTTGTAGCCAAGTTGAGCCCGAGACGAACTGGGTGACAGAGATGATGGTAATAATGTCAATGATATTGTTCGTCGTATCTCATGCTCATCATGAAAAGGAAAATGCATCTATCCCAAAACCTTCATCTTTTTCTTTTTGCCTTCTTTCTCGCCTTTCTTGCCTCCTTTCTGGAAATCCCGCCAGCTGTTGATTCGCGTATCGCGTGTGCTCTCCCAGTCTCTCTCGTGATCGCGCTTGCGTTTCCTCTCCTCGAGGGCTGCGTCCTCTTTAGCTTGCTCTCTGCCTTCTTCTTGCATCTTTGCCTTCATCTGTCGTCTACGTCTGGCTTCGGCATCGACAAGCACCTCGACTGTTTTCTTGCGCCAGTCCTGCAGGAAGTCTTCCGACTTCAGTTCTTCCGAGTCCACTGTGTACTTGTGCTGTCTGATCAGGAGCTGTCGAGCGTCTGCAATGCACTCATCAAGATGCTTGCGCTGTGCTTCATCAAGCAGGGCAGTTTGCGCCTTTTTCAACCGGTCGAAGGCTTCTGGTGCCTGCGGATTCTTGGTCTTGTCAGGGTGAATCAAGAGCGACTTTTTGCGATACACAATTTTGATGTCTGAGTCAGGTACGCCGGGCTGTAGATCGAGCACTGCGTAGGCGTCTAGCTTGAAGGCTTTAAGAATACGGTCTATCTCTGCATCCTGTGCCACCTGATCAGTTACAGTTTCTGTTGTGGATCGTTGGTATTACCTTGTCATATTCTTTGGCTTCTCTTTCAAGAGCATCAAGAGCATCGGATTCATTAGCCATGGCAGGCGTCAAGTCTTAAGCTTACCGCTAGTGACGAAATAGAGACGATCTCCGAGGTGCAGGTTCAGATGACCAGCAAATACGATAGATGGTGTATGCAAATTGTAGAGGTTTGAGCACGATTAGAAGTAATATGTCAGAGGGAGAGTTGGGATTGACTCTTCAATCTGCCTGAAGCCCGCGGCGGCAGCGGCGATTCGCGGCGATTCATTATTCCGGTAGGTCACCTTGGCAGTAGTATAAAACCCCCCCTGTACTTGAGCCGGGTCTTCACTCTGAACATGAAATCCCCATTTCGTCGTGCCCCGGTCTGAATACGGACATCAGAACCCAAGTCCTACCTTGCTCGCTTCTTTAGTTCCCTTTGTGCGCATGTCACCCGCGGCCGTCTGGCCTGGCTTCAAAGCAGAACTGCATTCTTTGTCTACAATGATTGGACGACATGTACTAATGAATAGGCATCGCATCACAAGTCGGAGACATCCAGCATTGTCCCATTGCTAAGTCTACAGGGAGAATGGCGCCAAAAACCTGAGCATGAGCCCAAATACACTCGGCCGCATCCCGTCCGAAGCTCTCCATTGACGATCCAAACTTCACTACGCCACAGCTCACAAAACGGACAAGACATTCACCCGGTACTTCATAATGCACGTAGGCATTCTCAACATTCTCCTGGCGCTCGGCTCTGCCACTCCTCTCACCACCTCCTATCCCAAGCCGCTCGTATCCCGCTACACCAAGAACGTGAAGAAACCCCCCGGATCCGACAAGGTTGGATGGTGTGACCGCCGTGCCGGCCGCACCAACTATGATACATGTCACGTTATTGAGAAAGTCACAGGCCAAGGCTCGTCGCCCTGCCACAAGATCGACAACGGTGGCTCCCCCGAAATGGGTATTTGGCCGTCCGTCGATGTCGAATGCACCATGTTCGAAAACGACAACTGTAAGTACCGCATCAAAAGGGACGGTAAGTGGATTGACCAGCAGACGCGCCCGCTGAAAGGCTGGGGCTGGGATGACATGACGCAGTATAATTGGGGAATTGAAGGGTTCCAAGGTGATTCGCATGACCACGGTCCAAAGAGCATCTTCTGTTGGATGAAATACAACACAGTCGGTCTAGGTAAGGAGAGCAATGCTGGGTTGGGGTGCCCAGCTGGAGGGCCGGTCTGTTGAGCGAAGCATTCGATTCGGGATCTGCCAACACTATCGATGATCTAGCATTTGTTGGAACTATTTGAGCTACTAAATCTTCTTCCACTTGTCTTTGCATTCCGCTCGCTCTGTGCCAAGCATTTTACTGCCTGAGGAGGTGTGGGGTACCGCGAGCGCCTGGTTTGACCTCTTTTGCTTCCACAGCAGATACGACAGGTATCGTACCCAATGCAACTCCAAGTTCCACGGCCAAGATTGTGAACAAGGCTAAAGATGGGATCGGCGTGGTACTGACTGAGGGGCACCGTCACAGTACGGCAACATACAAGCTAATGCGTCCTCCCACTTCCCGACGTCGGTGCCCAGGTACTGGACAGAGAAGATATATTCGCCGCACAGTCTCCGTTGCATCTTCCCTGCACGTTATCATCGGGCACTCATCCTCCGCAACCGTTCCCAACCTCCCCTCCCCAACATGGCAGCAATACTCACCCAACCGGGCGCCAACCTCCCACCTATACGCACCTACCCCGACAAATTCGCCGGCCAAGTCGTCCTCATCACCGGCGCCGCCCAAGGCATCGGCGAAGCCACCGCCGAGCTCTTCGCCGCTCAAGGCGCCTCCCTCGCCCTGATCGACAAGAACGACCATCTCCTCAACACGACGCGTGAGCGCCTCGCCAGCACCCCCCCCCAGCACCGGCACGGCCACCATAACCGCCCACCCCTGCGACCTAACAGTCGAAGACCAAGTCACCAGCGCCGTAGCCGCCGTCCTCGCCGCGCACAGCCAGATCGACATCAGCGTGCACCTCGCGGGCGCCTACCCACTGATCCCGCTGCTCTCGGCCACGCTGACCGACTTCCACACGCAGATGAACACCAACATGCTCAGCGCCTTCCTACTGACGCGTGCCGTGCTGCCGGGCATGCAGCAGCGGGGCTACGGCCGCATCATCAACACGGCCTCGGAAGCCGCTACACGCCCCGAAGTCGGGCTGGCGATCTACGGTGCGGCGAAGGGAGCGGTGGCGGCGTTCACGCGCGCCACGGCATTGGAGGCTGGGCCGGGCGTCACGGCTAATTATGTGAGTCCTAGTTTGATTGCGACCAAGCAGACGCTGGAGGATCCGGACCCGGCGAGGAAGAAGATCTTTGATATGTGTGTTGGGCGGCAGTGTGTTAAGCGGTGGGGACTGGCGGGGGATGTGGCGAGGACGGTGTGCTGGATTGCTGGGCCGGAGACGGAGTTTGTGACGGGACAGGGGTTTGATGTGGGAGGTGGGACGTTGTTTACTTGAGAGTGGCGAGGGGGCTTGAGACGACTTGGTGCTAATGGAACAGAATACGAACCACGTGTTCCGGGGGTTTTTGTTGCGGTACAGTGTCGTATCGACGAGTCTAAAGTGCAGGAAGGCATCGTCTTAAGAATCGAAATTGTCGAGGCCAATTCAGAGCGAACTCGAACTTCGTGTCAGCGAGCGTGGCCCTGTCTCTAGCGCACGTCTCGCCATCGACCTCGTCACCGCCGTCAACGGTGTTTGACTCTCGGAGCATGCGCTCATACTCTTCCTATGCAACTCGACCTCCGCTGTGCAATAGATGGCTTTGGGGTCTCTGACGTCCACGAGATCCGGACTTGGACCATATCGGATCACATTGACAAGCACAGTGTTACTGCGATTCTTGGGTAAGTACTTGTCCTGGTATGAATGGACAACATGGACTTCTGCACAGCCAGAACGTGATGTCGCTGTCGTCGATCTCGGGAGAAGGAACGCAAGGGTCGGCAGCGAGACTGTGACCACACCCACGGCGAGCTCTGCTAGCGACCAGCCAAGGACTCCAGTGTAGTTCCAGAGGACATCGTCTTTGAGGTGGATCTGGGAGACGAGCGTCATGACGCTACCAACGAAAGCCAGTGCACCAACACCGAATAAGATAAATATTCGCACCCTTTTGCTCCGAGACATGTGGATATGGCACACGATGATGATAGGAGTTGCTAGTAAACAACAGTTGAGCCCAATGTTGACGGCTCGGAGGATAGTGTCCATGCTGGCGAACCCGAGACACTGTGCTGGTTTCCCACTCCGTGCGATGATTAGCAGGTCGAAACTGCTGCCAGGTGGATCGCACTGAAAGATGATGGTGAAGAAGCTGGTGAGGGTATAGATGGCGCAGAGGCCGAAGATGATCCAATTGGCAACTTTAAAAGCCGGGGCCTTGATAGATGTGAAGCGTGTGTTAGAAGCAGCAATCGACATCTTGATAACGCCAACGCACATGAACTGTGATTCGTTGTCAGCATGGAACAGACTGGATTGAGACTTTGTGAGTTTGGTGTCGATGTGCTGTCGTTGGCAAAGATTTGTCTCAGCCACGCGAATGGCACGCAGACTTTCCGGAGAGGGAAGGCGCAGGATTGGAAGTACCCAAGGATCACTTACTAAAGAAGCAGTCAGTACGGCTTTCGAAGCAAACGGCCTAAAGGTGAGAGGCAAAGGTCTCATCACTCGAACAAGCGGATGCTCCGCTGGGTAGAGTGCAAGCCGTTTGCCTCTCGTCCCCTTTAAAGCATCACTTCATCCGGGACGACATACCATAGCCAATCTGGGCAATATTGGCATACCACTTATAGTGGTAGTATTCGAGGTAAGTAACATCGAAGATGTGCTTGCCTGCGCCCCCTTTCAGGGCCATGGCGACCTGTAATGCTGAATATGCGATAGCCATCACCACTCCGGGCACCAACAAGGTATCGTCGAGACCCCATTTGAGTCGAGGTAGGTATATCCGGAGCAAGAAGCGCGTGCTGGTCACCAAGAGCATGACGAAGATGCATATGGCAGATCCGGCTATGATGCCAGGCGCTTTTGTTTCGAAGATATAGTCGTCGGGGCGGCTGGGTCTCATCGCTACGCCTTCGGACGGGTCTCGCATGCCTGCTGTGATGCCAGCATCGAGTAGCATGCCAATGGCGATGAATAGGTCTCGGTCGTTGGCGGGCGGCGTGTTGATGAAAGCTGATGAAGCCATGCTTGCTGATCCTCGAGCGTTGGCTGGCTGGCACCGCACGTGAAAGAAGTCACGGAAGATGGTTGTTGAGGTCGCTCGCGAGTCTCGGATGGACTAAGGTGAGAGCACAAGATCTATTCAGCATGGAGCAGGAGGACTTTGCTTATGACCGTGTAGTCGTTCAGCATGGGGAACGGCCAGTAAGCAGAATCCGGGCCGCTCGAGTAACATGGCGCAGGAGGAATTACAATGATTGCGAAAAGTAGCCACTGGTGTCTGTCTGCTGCACGCCAATGCATGGAAGGACAGCGGGAAGCTGTCAAAGTCGACATTGACAGGGCCGGACGTTTGGAAGTCGTCTTTGTGCCGTGGTGGCGGAGTTTGAAAGGCGGCACTTCCAAGTATCTACAGTCGTTGCTTCGGGATAGATGAAACATCTGCGTAGACTGGGGAACCATGTATACATCGAGGTGGACCTGGGGCGGAAGAAGATGGCGGGTCGCGTTTCCCACTTACGTCGGTTTGAGGTTGGACCGCCAGGCATCATCGAGCTTTGCCCATCCTTGTCAAGCTATCGACTGACCTTCGAAATGATTGATGAAACTTGAAAGCAGGAGCCTCGCAGGTTGACAGACCAGAGCGAAGTCGCCTCGGAGCAAGTCGATGCTTTTCGGAGAATCACCCATGCAGACCACATATAGAGTAAAGTCAATGGAAAAAGCAATCACAGAGAAAAGTTGCTCCATACTGTTGCCTACACCAGTACAATGGCCATGTTGCGACTTGGCCGTACGATTCTATGCATGATAGCACGTCAACACCCAATTGATATTCCCGAGCAGCGCTTGTTCGCTGCTCTCGCCCTCACATCGAGTGCATAAGATTCATCAAAGGCTCACTGCGAAACTGTGGATGTCCAGCATCTCGGACGAGTCAACTCATCGACTAATCGTTACTGATCGCCTGACCCTGCAGACTGCAACACAGCGTAAACAGCAAGGAGCTTGCTACTACACACATATTGTTCTCATCATGCCAAATTCCGCGTCATCTTCCACATCGCCCACGGTGTCTCTCTCTTCGCAATGACCTTCCACTCATCGACGTCCTCGCTACTCGTGTCCACCAACACAAGATGTCCACCCAGACAGAGCGTGCCTCCACAACAAGCAAACATATCTCCAATAGCGTATGCAATCTGCATCTCGACCAGCGGAACCTAGGCTTATAGTCAGCTTCCGGTCTAGACTGTGCGTGGAAGCTCTCTCCTAAGAAGACAACATTCCGGGATAGAACCTCCTCCTCCGGACTTACCCTATTCTGCACCTCCTTCTTCGCAATATCGGCATACATCAAGCTTAAATGCGGAGAATACTCATCCTTTGCCCACCGCTGCGCCTTTTCGTCATCTCCTCCCTCCACGGCCTCCCTTCTACACCACGCCGCAAACTTGACAATATTGTCGTTCTTCAACAGCCGAATGACCAGTTTCTGGAACCGCGCGTCCCCAGCCTCCAACGTATCCAGCTCGAGGAGCAGCTCGTCGAACTCCTTCTTGAACTCCGGCAGCGCAAGGCCGTCGAGCCACGCCTGTGGCGACGAGGCACGCTCGTACGTGCTTTGGGCGTCAATGCCCGAGGTGACGGTGACGTGGGGAGCGAAGTGGACTTTCTTGCTGCCTTCGAGGGCGCTGGCGAAGTTTGACGGAACGGTTTCAGAGATGAGCTCCTGTGCCGTCTTGGTGAAGGGGTTGTCCTCGCGGGGAACGAGCCAGAGTGATGCGCCTGGCATGCTGACGCTGGGTAGCAAAGGCTAGGTGAGGCTCACTTATGGACTGCCAAGTCCGTCAGGGTAGGGTCTCTTGATGCCTGAAACGATGCAAGCAAGGTATTCTACTGTAAAAGAGTATAGTCAAATGGCTGACGATGTTGGATATACCAAACTTTGCGGAGATGATCCCTACGTCCGGGCCTTTCAGATCCGTATTTAGTCTTTGGAGAGATGCACCTTTAATGTGTAGAGTTGCTCCAGGTTTTGATATCGTTGCGCAGTCCCGTGGACAGGAAGATTAATAATCACTCGATGGAAGCTGGAGACAAGATCAGAACCCAAGCAAGATACGGAAGAGAACAAGGATGTTATGATGCTGCTGAGGTGACCAATGGCGGAGGTGAGGCGCCAAGCATATTCAGTTCCAAACTGAAGTCCTCGATGCAATTCATGCACTTACAAGCAAGTCTCGTTTTCATTACAATCGCAAATACGCGACCAAGTCTTTGTGTTCCAGCTAACGCCCTGCTAATGCTAGCCACAGCTGATTACATGGCCCGTCGACTCTGTTGCGAAGTGGCGCACGGTCGATCACCTGTCGTGACTGTACGCTGATATTGCCAGAATGTACACACACCTTCCACTTCACTTGCTCTCCCTGGCTGGAGAGAAGCAGTCCAATATTGGCACAGTCGGAACTCTCCAAAGATTTTCCGTCCAAGCTTGATATGAAGGTCGAGCCAGAGAGCCTCCCCTGTCGCTGAACAGACGACACTTTTTGGGCTTGCCCTTAGCTCGGCCTCTAACAAGCACACCCTTCTTCCTGAGGAGGCTTACTCGTAGCGCTGACATCGATACTCTGCATGTTTTGCTGACCACCCTGACCCTCCTCGCTCTCCATGCCTGGCAACGCCTGTGCGATCCTCTTAAAGAGCGCTTTGACGTTATGCCCGACTTTTGCGCTGGTCTCTACGAATATCGCCCCAGCACGCTTCGCCTCCTCCTCGCCCTGCGCGGTTGTGACTTCTCGCTTAGCATCGCCAAGATCCGTCTTGTTGCCGACCAACACCACGATCACATCGTTGCCGCGCTCGCCCCGGACATCATCGATCCATTTCCGTGTTTGCTCGAATGATTTTTTGGAACTGATGTCGTAGACAACCACTGCCACGGACGAGTCGCGGATATATGAAGGAATGAGACTTCGGAAGCGCTCCTGGCCTGCAGTATCCCAGAGTTGTAGGCGCACCGTCCGGTCTTCGAGGTACATGGTCTTGGAGAGGAAATCAATGCCAATGGTGGCTTGGTAGGTGGTGTCGAAGGAATCATACATGAATCGCGTTATGAGGGAAGTTTTGCCAACTATGCATTGGGGTCAGATGGCTGAGCAGACGATACAGGAGAGACTGAGGCCATACCTGATTGTTCACCAAGGAAGACGAGTCTGCGTGACAGGTATTAGAGACAGCCCAGAGGATGAGATGGGTGGGGAGCGGCCGTACTTGAACTTCTTGAGCGGATTAGAGTAGGATCCCACTGCTTGCGCCATGGTGGGCAACGTTTGCGGATGTGAGCAAGGATGCCGGTGTGAGAGGAGAGGAGAGGCGCGCCCAGCTGTCGTTCGTAGTTGACTGTTCTGCGGGAGGCGATGTCACTCGCTCGTGCAGGGTAAAGGAGATCGATGCAGGCGACAATTCTTAGAATCTGCTAAATCGGCTCGCGCTCACGCTTACTCCTTCCTATCCTCCTCGGCGGGCACTATTAGTGATTGAAGTACACCGTCAGATGATGTAGTATCCTTACAGGCAACACTGTTTGCAAATGCCTGAGAATGCGTCAATGTTGAAGTATGTACAATGCAGGATGGCGAAGCCAGAAGTGGGACCACGGTCATCGGCAGCCGGGAAGTTTGCACGTTCGAGGGCCCCGAGCACCGCCCACCGGCTGCAGTTTAGGCATAGCCGCCCGGTTCCCAGGGAGTGCCCACGCTGATTGGTGCGCTGATGACTGCAGTCTGCATTTCTTTCGCTCCATGAATCTATCTCGAAGTTCAACCCGAGCTGCTGCACCTAGCAATCCCCCAATTCTCGAAACATGATACACCGGTAACGATGCGCCAAACACTCGCATTACTGACGCGATCGGTCTGGAAAGGTATGCTCAGAAGCCCTCTTGCAAAACCCATCGACGCCTTTCCATGCAACGGCGCCCTCCGAATTCCGCATCACCTCCAGCCAGACTAACCCAAGTCATCACTACCGTGTAGGCCCCAATATCCTCCCGTTCGAAATCAACGGCAAGCTCACGCCGCGCGAGCATCCCGTTATCCGGACACAGAAACGCGCCGCGACCATCACGCCGCAGCTGGTGGGCTACAAGTTTTCAGTCCACAATGGCAAGATCTACCAGGAGGTGTATGTGACGGAGGAGATGGTCGGTCGCAAGCTGGGCGAGTTCGTCCCCACGCGGAAACGTTTCATGTACAAGCAGACCAAGAACAAGTGATCGGGCTGATCTACGAGGAATGACAGTGTGAAGGTGGTGCTTGCTTGCTGGTTCAGTAAGGATTGCCTATGTTACGCGTCTGGGGACAATGGGCATGCATGACCGGCAGATGCGAAGACTTTGAAAGCAGAGCTTCTTGCAGGGAGTAAGCGGAGATCTCATCTCAAGGCAGCAGTGCGAGGACGGGCAGCATGCTAGAAGAGCTGGATTGCGATACCCATATGTACACTACCTGACGAAACCGTGGAGTGGCACTTCGTGTCAACTACGCGGCTCATTGCTGCAGTCAGCAGAAATCTCTCAATCTGGCCCGTTCCCGATCGTTGCGCGTGGTCACTATATTGAGTCTCCAATGTACCTCTATCACTGGAATCGTTCGCCGTCCTGTGCCTTGATCTTTCAATTTCGTCCATCCGTACGCCGCCGCTATGCATCAATGTAACCCCATGTCGACAGCCTCCTACAATGGCCATCGATTACCGATAGAATTCACCCCTCTTGACATTCACACCATACTCCTGCACCGCCATTCCGAGATCCTCCATCGTCAATACCGTCTTGCCCTGCCCACTACCTCCAGTCCCACCACCACCAAACCCGCTCCGCTGCACACCCAGCGATGTATTCTGCGCGCTCTTGCCTCCTCCTCCAGCACCACCGCCGACACCGCCCGCTGGGCCGCCTGACCCTACAGCAGCGTTGCTGAGCGCATTAGTGTTGGACGCCGATCCGCCGGCGCGAATGCGACTGAACTGATACGCATCGGCGGCGATGTCGGCGATGAACTTCTGGGTCGCGAGGCCCAGGAGTCGCGCAAGAGGTAGGGGTGTCGTGTTTGTGCTGGCGCCGGTGGGGTCGGCGGGTGATGGGGGCGGCAGGCCAGCGAGAGTCAGGTAGTGAGCTGTTACTGCGTCGGGGATCTAGCGCATTGCCATTAGTCTCTTACACAACGGGTGTGCAGATGGGGGCCTTTGGGAGACTTACGATAGGTGCGTAATCGTCCATCTTGCTGAGGAATTCTCGTAATGTTGCATCTTTGCGGTTCTGTTGCGCCGCAGTGGCCGGTGGTTGTGAATCTTGCAAGTCTGGATCTGGGTTTGAGGCGGACACGCCGTTGGCGGTCGTCGAAGTGTTGAGGTTGGTGTCGGCCATTTCGGTGTCTACGTCGACATCGCCGCCTTCGGTGGTGCTGGGGTTGGGCAAAGCCGCATCGCCAGCGGAGGTATCCTCGGGGGCGCCTGGCGATGACATGGTGGCAACAGGGAAGATGTGTTGCGTTGATTGGGCGTCAGGCTACGCGAGACAGGCTTGTGACAGGTGCAAGGAAGAGGAACGTGAGTGGAGGGGAAAGGTTGATGGGTTTGTGGGTCGAGGCAGGTCCGCACGTCCAGCCTCGCCGCCTGGAACAGGCGCCCGGAGACTCCACTGGCGGGTTCAAGTCATGGTGGCCTAGGAAGTGAAAGTCACTACGGCAGGCTTGATTGCTCACGTTGCTGTGGTTCAAGCGCGAGCATGTCTTAAGGCTACAATGTTGTCCTTCCACATAGCATGATCTATGTGGCACTCGCTGCTTCCGCAGCCTGAGCTATCATGGCCTCGAAGTCATCCCCTACGGAACCAGCTGGCACGGCGCTAGCGACCACAGGGCTCGTGTGTCTATCCATACTAGGCTCTTCCATTGACTCATTGTGAGCGGTCCGCTCCACCTTGATATCCCGGTTTTCAGCTGAGCCCGCATCTTTCACTACACCCCCAGCCTGAGGATGCCTCCCGCTCTCAGGCGGCTGGTCTATCCGTTCCGTGGTCCCCGATTTTGGCTGCTCCGTTGGCAGAGGTGTTCTTCCGGGAGCGGGGTAAGTGTTCGCGGTACTAACGGGCGGGTTCGGCGTCCCTTGGATACCGTTCTGAGGCGGGGCTTGCTGCTGATATCCAAGCTGTGCTGCGGCATTGGGTCTGGGCTGTGGTGCTGGAATGGGACTGGGTTGAACGACCGGTTTTGCGGTGCCGATGACGGGACTCACAGTGCCTCGTAAGGCAATTTCAGCAGCACGGGCAGCCAGTTGGAAGAAATCTCCCGAGTCAAAGGAGGGCAGGCTGTCGATAGAAGCAGGCAGTTGTGGAAGGGGGAGTGACGTGTTAGCCGGGGTAGAACTCTGCGTCTGCGCTTGCGCGTATCCCTGTGGCTGGGAAGCTTCAGGTGCAGTCGCAATACCATTTGGAGGGGCAGGACTCCTGGCTGTACCATAGGTCTTGATGAGGAAGTTTGTGACCTCTCTCGCGAGTTCTTCGTACCGGAACTTCTGGTCAAGGTCCGGTAAAGTATTCCTCGCAACATGATCGTACAGTGTCTTCCGCCGAGCCTCAAATCTACTCATAAAGTCCTGCTCACTCATTGTGAGTGATTTGTTTGCGGGGTGTCGGGCAAGAAGCCGGTGCTCTGTTCCTTGAGGGAAAAGGTCCGACATAACTTGGTTTGGTGGCGCGGCCTTGAGCCTCATAGCCGTCATAAAGCCTTGGGTCTTGAGTTCGAGCCATATACATGACTGTGTTTGCTGTAGCTGATCATTCATCGGAACAAAAACGTCCAAAAATGCTTGATCCAAAGCCAGCTGGCCAATGCCTCCGGCGAAGACGGCAGAGCAGAACATGGCTTGGTTTGCTTTTCGGATGACCGCAACCTGCGAAGCGTCCTTCAGCATAAGATGATCTGCGATCAAAAAGGGAAACCCAGACACGTAGATGTTCCGGACAGGATCAAATAGTGTTCTCAATCGCTGATATTCCGCCGGAGCTGGAGAAGAAGGCTGCTGACCAGATGCCAATAGGCGCAAATCTGCATCCAGGCTTAGTGCGTCAAGGACGGGCATCTTGGACAGCAGCGACAGAATTTGCCCAGCAGTATCATTCAGAAGAGGCAAATTATCTAGTCTTCGCTTCACTACTTCTGCTGGCGGAGGCGGCGGACCCCGCGGGGCAGGAGGAAGTGATGGTGGCGGTGCGCCAGATGTCGGGACACTCTGTGCGGGTGGCACGGTTGTGCGTGGAGGGCCATGATTCGGAGTTGACGCTCCATGTGCAGCTGGTGTAGGTGCAGTACCGTTTTGCGGATTTGGCGCAGAAGCAGATCCCGTCATGGTTGGTGAGGGTATGTTCGATGGCTGAGCCAGAGTTGGGGAGCTTGCTGGTGCTGCAGTTGGTACAGCAGGAGCGCTTGGTGGGATGCTGGACTGTATTGCACCGTTCACAGGGGTCGACGACACCGTGGTAGTAGTACTCGTCGTCGGCTGAGCTGTCGCAGATGCTGCTGGTGCGGAATCATCGGACATTGGAACGGGTAATGGATTGCTGGTGGTTGGTAATTTGGCCTCGTCAGTACTGATGCGCCGTCGCTTTGGGCTTCGGGGATTCGGATCATGTTGCAGATCAACTGCCGCCTCAGGCGCTGGCGAGACAGATGGGCCTAATGTAGCCATAAGTATATCATGGTGATAGCGCGAGGCAGGTTGGGAAAGGGAGGAGGAAAAATCTTACGCTGTGGAGACGTTTGCCTATTCGTGTCGGCGTTTGCCTGATTTGCCTGCTGTTGGTCGGGCGATGGTTCAGGAGACTGCTGCGTCTCGTGCTGCCATCGATTGCGCGTCGTTGGCATCACGACTGCGGATGCTTGACATGCGCTAGGTGTCAGATTGTCGATGCCAACAAATGAGACAGCCAGCAGCGGTCAACGAGTCTGGAGTCTGGGCAGCCCGCGTGTTAAGCTTCATGTTTAGGTAAGCAACCGCCTAAGAAGTCGATGACTTGAGGGTCGTCTTCAGCTTGACCGGTACTCCGTAGGATGCACTCATACTCCCCAGCCCCCCGCATTCTTTATCTCTCTGAATGCTGCGAAGCCTTGATGAGTTAGCGCTACCTGTTGAAGAAGTGTTCGACTAAGCTGTTGCCCATATCTGTTGCTTTATCGTCTAATAACATCTGTAGCAGTCTCTCAGCCCTACACACCGTCCGCGGCATACCGAGATGGACAGTACACCACCATGTGCGCCTCAAAACGTCATCTGGCTCGAGTTGGTCGATGCCGTCATCTGGCAGCCCAACGTCGTCTTGACAGACAGCTGTTGTGATAGCCCGATAGTTTGTTCCGCCGCTGACCTGAGCTAGCCCATGCAAGCCCTGAGGGCTACTGCAGCTACCCTCTTGAGAGCTCACTACACCCATGCACACTCGGCCTATCCCAGCGAATGGTATCTTCCATCCTTCCACACCCCGCTAATCTTCTTGCTTTTCCATCCTACTCAGGCGTTTAGCTTATCGCGAGCTGCCGTTCTGCAGTGTCCTGATCATGGGACACCTATCCAATTCCAGTAAGTCAGCAAAGGATGTACCTGAGGGGCACGGAGCTGCTCACACCCCCACCCGAGCTTGAGCTCTGTAATGCTACCGAACAAAAGGTGAGTGCAGCCCAAGCTTCTTTTCAGAACTCCTGCAGCTCCTTGTCGGTCACTGTCTGAGCGCGCTGGTCGCCTGCTACCTCGTTGTCGCCGACTGCCTCATCATACCAGTTGCCAAGATATATACATCAGGCAGTGAATATGCGTCCGTTCACTCCCCTGACCCTGGCGGCCCTCACCGCAACCGCCGCCGCTCAGGACATCCTTCGCCGACAAGTCCTCAGCACCTTCATCTATACCACATATGGTGATCGGACGCCTATGGTCTGGGACCAAGATCCCGTACTCACCCCTCTCGGCGCCCAACAGCTGCAAGCCGCTGGGACAAACTTCCGTAACCAATATGTCACCGCCGTCAGCGAATCTATTGATGATCTCTACGGCACCATCCGACGCATCTCTCCCTACCAACTCTTCCCAAATCAGATTACCGTCCTCTCGCGCGACGAGCAATACATCTCCTCGGGCGCTTCGGCCTTCCTGCAAGGCCTCTACCCGCCCCTCGCAGACAACAGCAACTATACCTTCATCGCAGGTCAGTCCGCATTAGCCAATGGCACCAACATCGTCGCACCGTTGGCGGGCTATCAGTATCCACGTTTGCAGACCATCTCAGACAACGACCTCAACCATATCTGGCTTGATGGTTCCGCGAATTGCCCTTACTACACCAAGTCCGGCAGCAGCTACTACACCAGCGACGTTTACAACGTGATCCAGAATGAAACCCAAGCGTTCTATCTTTCACTCTTCCCTGGTATCCTCGACGGCTACTTTCAAGCTACTCAGGTCGGCTACTTTGACGCCTGGACCGTCTACGACTACCTTCAGTACGCATACACGCACAATGCGACAGTCGCAGAAAGCCTTACTGAGGAAGACTTGGTGCGCGCAAAGATCCTGGCCACGAACTGGGTTATGACGATGAACGCCAACACTTCGTCCGCCGGCGCGGAAGAGGGTGATCAGGTGGGCGTCATCGCAGGCAAGACGCTTGCGAGCCGGGTTTTGCAGGCTTTCTCGAGCACCATCCACAGCGAGGGCGACAGGGACAAGATGACCTTGGTAAGCCGTTCCTGTACCAAATATTGCCCGACGGTGAAGCTAACCAGTGATTCCTAGCTCTTTGGCTCTTTCGAGCCTATCATTGCCTTCGCGTCCATCGCCGGTCTGAATATTGAGCAGCATGCGGTGTTCCAGAACTTGCCTCCACCAGGCAGCTCCATTGTCTTCGAGCTCTTCTCTCTCCAGTCCTCTAACGTTGGAACCTATGTACGTGTCCGCACCTCGTTCCCCTCACGTTCCGCAGTGCATTAACACTCCCGCAGCCTCCTATAGACGACCTCTACGTTCGGTTCCTCTACCAAAACGGCACCGGTGCCGACGCCGCCCTCGTTCCCTACCCACTCTTCTCGCGCTCTCCCAGCCAGACAGTCATGGCCCTCAACGACTTCATCACGAGCATGCAACGCATCGCCGTCGGAAGCGTAGCGGACTGGTGTGTACGTACCATTCCCCTCCCCTTCTACCTGACACCCCTTTCAAGCCGCCCAACTAATCCAGACCCTTTTCCCCCTTCACAGAACACCTGCGACTCCTACTCGATCTTCTGCCCCGCATTCGCCGACTCCATCTCCGGCAGCGACGGCACATCCCGCTCCCGCGGCTCCTCCTCGTCACACAGGCTCTCCCCCGCCGTGGCGGGCGTCATCGGCGCCATCGCCGCCGTCGTCGCCCTCGCCACGCTCGCCGCGCTCCTCATCCTGCTGGCGGGCGTGCGCGTGCACCGCGTGTCCCGCGGCCGCCGCAGCGAGCTCGGCGGCTTCAAGGGCGCCGAGAAGCTGGCCAGCGACCAGGACCTGACCCTCCCTAAAGGTGGGGCCGGCGCTACGGTGGAGGAGACGCCTTCGTCGGCCGTCGCTGCACCGAGGGGTCACGAGAGGGTTGGGAGCTGGGAGTTGAAGGACAATGCCAAAGGGGATGAGGTTGTGGGTGCTGCTGGTGCTGCTGGTGCTGCTGGTGCTGCTGGTGGGGTTGCTGGCTTGGAGAGGCCGATGCCGGCAGCGCGACGTCCGAGCTACGAGGACGATGACGATATCATCAACGTGAATCCGTACGCCAGGGCCGTCAAGGCTGACGAGCGTGTTTGAGTTGCGCAGGCGGCGCGACCGGACACGGTTCTGGGCATGCGACCACGGGCTTCTCGCGCCTGAGCAATCCACGACGTATACGAGCACGGAACGAAGTCAATCTGTGGTGCCGACGAAGGCGGTGCATTTAGATGGTAAGAAGAGACGCGTTTCGACAAACCCGGCGGAAACACCAACGACGAAAGACGGGTAGGGCTAGGCCAGGGCCAGGGCCAGTCAGCAACACGATATATATCCCCACGGCGTTCCCGCGCCCACACATCACCACCATACTGACGCACGTACATAAATTTACGGTTCTTACCAGCGACGCATTCCCCGCATACATGAAGGCGAAGAAACGCGGCGCATACGACTTTTGATGAAACTTTTAAGCAATTATACCCCAGGGACAGACAGACAGATACGATCGCTATGGAGGCACTGGACATGGGATGATGTTTTGATGTTTTGATGGCGACACAGGCGGAGAGGCGTTCCGGTATCAGATATTAGTCCCAATTGCCGAGTCTGGTGTGCTGTTAATGCCAGGAGGCCTGGTTTCATATTTTAATATATATATGCACGAAGATAAGATCTGAGCCAGTTCTGAGAACTATGCTGCTGTGAATGCCTTTCTCGCTCCCTCCCGTTCTATACGCAGGCGAGCAACATCCAGCGGTTGCGCGCCACTCTCTGTATCCAATCAAGCTTACCAGCAAAACACACACGCTATGCAATGTCTACCCAAAATGCCGAGACTACCTTCGCCGCCGCCCAAGAGTCTGTGAGTCATGGTCCAATCATAAACGGTGCCCATTAAGCTTCGTTCTGCTCTCAAAGTCTCTCAACTCTTTGGTATCCTTTGTTTGCAGATACCACTTGCCAGGATCATCTGTCCACGACACCATGCCACTGAACCGCTCCATCTCCTTGACCTTTAGCACGTTCACCGGGTCGTACTGATTGCTCTCCTTAATCCGGTGAAGAGGATCACGATAGTACTTGAGGCTCACAATCTGCGCTCCTTCCTTGAGATCCAAAAAGTAGTTCTTGAGCTTGTCATTAAGCTCGGCAGTGAAGGCTTGATTGTTGATCAAGATCACGTCAGCTTGCTTAAGAACCTCACGGATCTGGTCATTCTGCAGAAAATCGGCGTGAATGAGATGGATGGGACCCGGCTTCAGACCCCACAGTTTGCATCGAGCAGGAAATTCTTGTGCTTGTAGATCAGCCAGCTTGGCAGGATTGTCCATCATCTCGCAGCCCCAAGCTTCGCAGCCCGTCTCGAGCGCGGCTTGAAGTACGCAATTGCCGACACCGGAGCCAAGATCAACAAAGATTTGGTCGGAACGCAGCTTGGTTTCCTTGAAGATCTTCGAGAGGAACATCGGCAACAGCTCGCCGTAAACGTTGTCTGAGAAGCCTTCATATTGCCGAACGAGATGCACGCTCGGCGAAACGGTGCGTGAATAGATCTGATTCTTGATGATGTGGTTGATGAGACTGAGGGGGATGTTTTGCATGCTGTCGATCGTTGTAGCAATGGTACCATCAGCTCTCTTCGCGACGATAAGCCTGTTGTATTCCTCGATAATTTCGATAAAGCTGGTCTGAGCCCCAACCTTGCCGCGTTCCGCGTGGATGAGTGGTCGTTTGAGCTTCTGATACAGACCTGAGCCGTCTTCTTCACAGAAAACTCTCTCCGCACTTGCGTCGTCGAGGTAGTATTCGGAGACTACTTTCATGGTCTCGAAGATCTCGGTGATTGGTCTGAAGTCACTTGAATCGACTGGTCTTACCAGCTGATACTTCTCCGGATTCGCGGCAGCCCCAGGGTATTGAAGGTACACATCAGGCTCCTCCCTCTCTCCCTCCATCAGCGCCGTAAAAAAAGGTACATATTGACTGCGATTATGCTCCTCCAGGTTACTGTTTGCGATCTCACAGGCATGTACCCTGTCAAGGTCGACTCCAGTCCCGGTGAAGGCGTCCGAATCTCGTATGCGGCGATTCGGGTCAATCACTTGCTCGACGCGGGCGCGCTTTCTAGGCTGGGCCTCCTCTTTTTCATCCTCATCATCAGATGTGAATTGGGGCGTCGATACTGTCGGCGAAGCCCTCTTGTTGGGTCTCGACCGCTCCTGCTTGATGCGCTCGACCGGTTCCTTACTACTCGGGCGAGATGAAGCCGGAGTATGCGATCGTCGTGGTGTTGCTTCCTTGCGCCCGAGCCCGTTCGCCGGCTTCGCTGCCGGCTTCAGTTGCCGCGGCGGAGCCTGCACCGGAGGAGGGATAGGTTTCTTGGTTACAATTCTCTCCACTTTGGTCATCATCTTTGGCGGCGGCTTCTTCTTTTTGAGAGAGAGAAGAGACGGGACAGTACCGGATGTCGACATGATGGCTGTTATATGGCTTGTACAACGATATTGAATATAAGTCAAAGGGGAAAGAATGTTGAAAAAGACCGTGAGAATTCGTAACGATCGTTAGGCGGCCGCGAGGGATTGGATCACACAACAGCGAGGGCACGAGCGCGGGCGCAGGCGCAAGACGGACTTTGCGAGTAAGATGCAACGCCACTGCCTGAAATCTCAGGAACATCCGCGGCAGACGCATCTACTCGTTCTTGGCATGCGTCACCGTTGCCTTGCTCCTGCTTCACTTCAGCCTCGCCTTCACCACTGATCATATTGGTATATGTCTATACCGATATATTACTAGTTCTACAGGCTTATCATGTCGGATCGGCTCCCAGCTGCCTGTACTATGCAAGCGCAAGTAGAACAACACGAAGCCAGAGAGAATTAGCGGACCATCAGGACGACTCTCTCACAAGCTGCTGCTGCTAAAATGGTCCTGGCAACAAGAACGGGGTGTCCCAGTGTCTAGCGATTGTCCGAGACGAGCTTCGTATGGGTGTTGATTTCCTCAAGATAAATGATCGGCGGAGAGTTCACGTCGGCTTCTGATCCACAGGAGGTAGTGAAATTCTCCGCTGAAGAGACCGAGCCACTACCACTTCAGCCCGCAATTTGCCATGCTTACTTTCACCAGCTCACGGGTCGCCAAGCGTTGCGCAGAGCAGGGCCTATTCATCACTCCGACTCTGGCGACCTACAAAGCCTTTATATCAGACGAGAATGCCAGGTCCCTTCCCGAATCTGGTGTCAGAACGCGCCGAGCAGTCCTCGACAGCGGCGTCTCTTAATTGAAAATCCCGGACGAACAGAGCCCAAACGAACAGACCTACTGGCCGATATGCTTCCGCGCCAAGATATGGAGTTTGTGCTTTGGAAAGAGGCTCTACCTAGACGTGAGATCTCGAGATTGGCTACCACAAATGCAGCCAGGTTGCTCAAGATGGAGGCTGAACTGAGCTTCATCAGGGAGGATGCCATGGCCGATAACCTGTCGCTGGACAAGAATCTTCTGTGCGATCTTGCGGCTGTTGGTGAAGAAGGACAACAGTGTTTCGTCATCATGAAAGAGGGGCGAGTGGTCTCAAAGAGGCTCGCGGCTCGCGGCTCCAAGTTGATAGCATGTACTCGTAAGCCTGTCGCGTCGTAAAATATCCTCTGAGCTAGCGGTAATGGTCTTCAGAGGTCCGGCGAGGAACTGTTTCGCCGTGGTCGACTTTCATGCCATTTCCGTTTGTCGCCCGAGCGGTAGTTATTGCGTCGGTCCCTACCCCTGCCGCGGAATTTGTTCCATTCGGGTCTATCGCGATCATCGGGCTTGTCAGCGTTTGTGACCACGGGGTTCTTCGCCATCCAGGTCTCCAATACTGTCGTGATCTTAGGTCCCCATACGTCTTCACCTTTGCTGAGGTCGTCGTAGGTCAAACATAATGTGTGATGTTCCGGTGGAGGATCTGTGATAGTGTAGCTGGACTGGCGCGTCCTCGTGAGTTCGGCCATCGTGCCATACGAGCCGCAAGCAATACCGAGATCGTGAGCAAAGGATCGGACGTAGAACCCGCTACTGGAGGTCAGTCTGATACGAGCAGCCGGCGCATCAGCGGGAGTGTCGCTGAGCTCTGGAATGTCGTGGGTATGGAGAGCCGCTTTTTCAGCCGGTGCCATCTTGTTGAGCTCGTCCTTCGACACTTCTGCTGACTTGGCCGATACATTGGCATCTGGCGAGAGAGCTTCGGACGCATCGGCTTGATCCACAGTGGACCCCTCGACCGTCGTGTGTTCGAGATCTGTGGTCTGGGTTTCAACCTTCATGAGCTTCCTTGCGGTGGCCTTGTCGGCAGCGGAAGCTTCAGCGGCTGGCCAACGAAAGTCGTGCTTGCCCCCTTCGTACCACTCAACAAGCACGCACTCGTCGACGACCATATCACGACTCTCTAGCTGCCTAGGTAGTTCCTTCCCACTCCTGGCATAGTCATATGCTTTGACTCCATTGATCTTCAGCGCGCTGTAGATAGGAGGTACCTGCTTGATTGCGCCTCTGAACTTGACCATCTTCTCCTCGACCAAGCTCTTGGTGACCTGCTCATAGGCAGCGTCTGCAACAACTCGGCCTGCGACATCATATGTATCGGTGCTCTTGCCAAATAGGACGACCGTCTCATATGTCTTGGTTCCGCCCAAAAACGAGCCCAAGGACTTGGTCCCTCGTCCGATGGCAACAATCAGCACGCCTGTCGCCAAGGGGTCTAGAGTGCCGCCATGTCCCATCTTGAAGACACTGTCTGTGTCAATTTTGCGTCGCTTCGAGTGGGACACATCTCGTTCAGCGTCCGCTTTCTGTCGCAGGGGAGCAAACGTCTTCGATTTTGCGAAGGCTTGCTGTAGATCACGTAATACCTGGGCCGATGACAAGCTCTTGGGCTTCTTGATAGCTAGATGAGAGCTCTCGAGTCAGCTGCGATCGAACCAAAGGCAAGTCTTCGAGAGGAATCGGCCTCACCAAAGACACCCTCAAGGACTTTTCCAGCAGTCTCAGCCATGGTGCCGAAACTGCGAATATTCATCGATGTCGCCGTCACCCTTTGAAGCATACAACACTGCACCTAGTGAACTTGTTTGTACAACCGTGCATCTACTCCCAAGTTCACGCGGACTTTTGGACCCCACTCTGCCGTCTTGCTACCGAGTCGTGCCTGCCAAGGATAAAGTGGGCCGGTGACGCTCGGGCGATGGCTGCGCTCTTCAACCTTCAAGGCGTCACCCAGCCTCTTTCGCGCATCCCACAACTCATCATGCCAGTACTGTATAGAATTCCAGGCCTTTCAAGCATTCGCAACGAACATCAATCCGCCGAAAATCCGCACCCCATCTCCCTCACCCTCGACCTACGGCAGCCCATCACCTGAAGACGAAACGTGCCCCACCAGGCAAACGTCGAGGCAGTCCTCACCCGCATCGTGACGGAAGCGTCTGAGCACCACATTACGTGCGCAATGAAACAAAGTTCTCACTCGCCATGACGACGTATCCTGAAGAACGCGTCCTGAAGCCTCTCGACCCTGTACCGGAAGATGTCAACGATTGGCCAGACTTTGCTCTCAGAGAAGTGAAGATATTCTATCAGGGCAAAGGTCGCTATGCCGACTTACTAGAAGCATCAGATGAGTCGCCACTATGCGTTCTCGGAGAGCTGATGCCGTTGGATGATGAGCTGGAACATCTAGGTGAGTGGTCAGCTGTTACCCAGATATCTTGGCAAAGCTGACTCGCCCAAGCGCTTATCGATAAACCCGTCTATTCTCGTATCAAAATCGAGAATGTCACCAATTACAGCTTTGGGCTAGATGATGGAGGTACGCCTCAGATATGGGCGGCAGGTAAAGCTGGGTGGTATGAGATTCAGCCATCGGATCGCTACCTGCAGCACTACAACGACACCGTCGAGGCTATCGACTTGTTCTACTTTATGGTTGATCAGCATCAGCAACTGCCGAAGAAGCGCCAACGCTTCGGCTTTGCGGTGGATCCTTTCTTAGCGGAATACCAAAAGCATACTGGCTACCGAATCAACGATGATGATGATGCCATGGAGACCATTCACAAGCACCACAAATTCTTGTTGAAGCAGATGATTGAGGAAAGAGAAGGCATCAACTGGGCTCAGTCGTATTTGTGGAAACATCTTCTGGAAACCTACGCCGAGGAAATCGAACAGCTGAAAATAACTTTGGCCCAGCAGATGGAACAAATGGAGTTGAACACGCCAGCGGCCCAAAAGTCAAGCTCAGAATCATCGTCCGAAGCTGAAGAGTCAAAGACTGACGACGAGGCCGAAGACGAGGATGACGATGACGATGACGATGAAGAAGATGGTTCAGGCACGACACCAGGCTCAGACGCCAAGTCTTCAGCATCAAGTGAAGCATCCGAGTCTGAAGCAGAGACGGAGGTTGACTGGACCAAGACTATTTGGGATCTGCTCAATGCCCTTCGCAAATCACCGAACTTCAATATGCGTCATTGTGGGATCGAGCAACTAGCTGACGAACTGCGCAAACTACCTGCATTCACGCCGAACGACCATAAATCGGCAGTCAAGGCAATCGAGCGCTCGGCCTCGGAGCTGATCCGCCTAATGAACGAGGCCAAGTTGCGCAAAAAATTTAACTGGTCGACGCGAGCCATATATGACGAACTTGAGACAACCTTTGCGGGGGAAGTTGCTGAGGAGACAATCAGAACACCCGCAGCAAAGGGCAACACCAAGCGACATCGCACCAAGTCCGTATTACGGCCTTCAGGCGCAGGAAAAGCACGCAAGAGCACGGGCGGTGTGCCTGACAGCCAAGACGAAGACGAAGAGATGCCAGACGTGCCTACCACATCACCGGCCGTGGGTCGGAAGAACTTGCAACATATGACGCGACGGACAAGGGTACAGACTTCTGACTCTGCTGCAAGTCGAGACGACAGCCCCAGCAGGCAGTTGAACGGCATCCACGATCCGTACGCGCTGCCTGAGCTTCCTCCGGGTCCTGAGGCGCAGGAGATGCTTGACCTACTAAACCAGGAATCCAAACGTGTAGGCAGGCAACATCAGACGTCTCATCTGAAAGATTTTCTAGAGCACTTTAACTGGGAGTAATGAGATGAATGACGGATCAGAGGACTTTTGAGGTTAATTCTGAGCGTTCTGTAAGGCGTTGATTGGCGGTTTGGTCCTTGGTGCAGTCAGGAGCGGTGTCAATAACTGACCACTGGAGTGCGCAATTATATCCAGCAGTATATTCCCTCCATTAATTGGCATTTATTCACCATGTACAACGGCATTTCATGAGCTCATATCGATGGTCTTGTGCTGTGTCCGTCCACCATTGCAAACAAAGTCTGCCCAGATGTATATATGCAACACCCGTCCCCGCGGAGTGTCGACAGGTCATGCAGCGGACTGCATTGGTTGCTGTACGTTGACTCAATTCATCGTTACTTTTCCTCAAACGCGCCTTCTAGCCACTTTGCCATCTCCGCATACAAGTCCTCTGTTGCGCGAGCTCTCAATCTTTCCTTCTCTCCACGCTCCCTGGTATGCGTGAAGCCGTGCCTCCAGCCCTTGACCCGCAGCCACCTCACGCCGCCTTCCTCCCAGTCTTCGGACTCGTCCTTCTTTGCGGCAGATGCACCGGCAAGCTTCTTGGCCATCTCGTGGGCCTCATGACAGAGCACATCGAACTCACAGCCGATGAAAAGAGCACGCTGCGGCAGTGATTGACGCTCGGCGTAGATGGGCGACAGCAGTGGGTCGCTCAAGCGTGTGCCGGCGGGGATGTATGCCCAATTGAACCACGCACCCGTGGTCTTGAGCACGTCCTGCGTTCCGTCCGGCATGGTGCGGAAGGTGCCCTTGTATTTGCCGGAGAAGTCGACGACAGGGTAGACTGGGACGATGGCTTTCAGTCTGGCACCGACCAAGGGTGACTGTGCGGCAGCGAGAGCGAGGTTGCCACCAGCAGAGAAGCCGCCTAGGGCCACGCGGCCGTGGTCGATAGGGAGGGTACTGTCTGCGAGAATGGCTGGGATCAAGGCGGTGATGTCCTGGACAGCGACGGGGAAGGGGGACCGTGGCGATCGGGAATAGGAGAGGGAGATAACAAGGCAGTTGTGTTTGTGGCAGAGGGTGTGGCAGAAGGGGTCATCCACAACGGGATCGCATAGGGCAAAACCGCCACCGTGAATGTTGATATAGGTTGGTAGAGGCTCTGATGTGGAGCCATGGCTTGGTGGAACGAAGACGCGGACCTCGAGATTGGGCCGCACGGAATAGAAGTTCTTGAACGTTGGTTGAGCCTTTTTCGTGAGGTAGTTGCTAAAGCGCAGAAGGCGGAGGCCAATATATACAACGCTTTTGAAGGAGTATAGACAGAGGCCTGTCAGGAGGCGCTGGGGCAAGGGGAGCTTGGGTGCTGTCTCTTTGGTTAGTAGAGGGGAGGAGTCGTGTGCAGACGTTGCCCCAGGAGGCTCGTGTGAGGTTGCCATACTGGGAACGAGCGACAGCACTGCAATGCGATAACGATGAACACTGGAAATGCAGCTTACACGTGGGGAGTGACTCCAGCGTGCAGTCGGAGGTGTTTTGTTCCGGGAACTGGGAACGTCGTTCCCAATCATGATTCATAGACCTCGGCATTTTTTATCATCAAGCATAAAGTACACTCACTCGTGATCGTCCTATCCATGTCCCCAGACGAACGCATGGTACTTGCGACAAGTATTTGTGATGGCCTGCACTGCCGACGAAATGGAATCGGCGACGGGAATGCTTAAGGCAGGACCCGGGGGGGCCAGGTCATCTGCCAGGCATCCAAATGTACGCCATCCTGGCCTGGTTTCGGGGATTGCGAAGGCCCCGAGAAGTGGACTTAAGCGTAGACACGCCAAGCAGACTGCTATTTGCGGCAACTTTGGCGATCTCAAACGGGCGCGCACGGGAGCTTGTCGAGGCATTTTTTCATGCCGGAGCCACAGCTGTCTCCCCGGCGGCGCCTATTGGCTTCGTCGGCCTTCCATTCCTAGGGGCTAACCCGAAGAGAGCTCTCCCTGCACATGACTTCGCGCTACTCCCCAGGGCTGGGACGATTTCCTTCCGATCAGCCTCGTCACAAATCCAGGCACAAGTCATTTCTCGTAGACACTCTTTATCATAGCAGGTGTTTCCCTCACACCACCCTCACTCCCTCTCTCCCTACACCACGATCGATCTCGCTCGACCTCGCATCGACACTCCACTCCTGGCGTGGCGATTACCCTAGTCCCAGATCATCCAGACCCTGGACCTGCGCGTTCGTTTGGCGGCCCGCGTGTCGTCAAATGAACCTGCTTCATTCATTATTACATTTTCTTAATTTCCTACTCTTCGACGGGAAGAGAACTTTTCTCTCCTAAATGCCTTTCAAGCCCTTCGCACACCTCGCTCGAGTTAGTATCGCGAAAGGAATTGGCCATACCTACGCTCCATCCGTTGTCGCTGCACCTTCGACCCTCGGGCTTAACAACAATCACAGTGTTGCCAAATTCACCAAAGGCGCACACCTACAGCAGACCTTCACTGGTACCGGGTCGTCTGGCGCAGGCGCCAAAGCCGGTTATTCTACACAAGCCTCAACCGGGGATTCGGGTCTTGCGCAATACTATGCTGCCTGGCAACATGCCCAGCAGACTGGAGATGACTCCGACTTCAAGCAGCACCTGAGTGCTCGGACCGTCTCGTGGAAGCAGCCGGAGAACAATGTACAGCGCCTCGAGTCTCCACGACCCATCGACCTTCTACGACTTCCGACCAGACCCGCGCTCAGCCGAGTCCAGAGCGAGAGTGTCATTCATGATGGAAAATCCTCGGATGAGGTGGTGGTTCTGAATGACAAGGCCGCCGAAGTCGAGTACATTCAAGTCTCCCGTGACCTGGCCGATGAGTTTGCCGTCGAGAGCGAAGTCGGAACACCGTTAGCCAGTTCTCGCGCGGCCTCTCCAGCGATTGAGAAGTCGACCAAGTCTACCGAATCCCAATCCGAGTCGCTCACTGATGCTACATCAGCCGCGTCCGAGGAAGCCTACCTTTTGTCAGACAAGATTGTGAAGCTTGGGCAGCAGCGTCGATATGCTGAGATTCCCGCCATATACCAGAACATTGTCGAAGAAGGTCTTATCCCCTCGGTCGATGCGTACAACCACATACTGGTGTCCGCTATCCACCTGCATGTCAACTACGAACCATGGCACAAGGCTCTCGTCATTTGGTCGGATATGACTCAGCGGGCAGTCCAACCGAATGATGCAACTTACGGTATCCTGATCGAGTTCCTCACCTCCACTGCTCTCCACGTTCAGCGAGTTCAAAAGCTCCTCGACGAGCGCGCTACCAGATATGGTACTCGTTCGCAGCCTTTTGTGCTCAGCTCTGCTGCTCATGAGCAGCAACTGTACGCTGACGACACCTCGCTGAGCTTTGCTAACAAGTTTTACAACATCGCCCGTGGCACCATCAAAGATTTCTCACTATCGGCTGCGGCGTACAATGGCTTGGCCCGTGCTTGTGCTCAGTCCGGAATGTTTGAGCAGCTCACAACACTCCTGTCCGATATGAAGCTCAACCAGGTACGCATCGATCCTCGAAACTATACCTATATCATCGACGCCTATGCTTCCGCCAGAGATTCCTCGGCCGCGCAGAAAGTCTACGAGGAGTATCGCGAGTTTGCTATAACTAGGGCCGCCAACGATCCCTTGGATATGAGGGTGTATGCTTCTCTGATTAAGGCGTATCACGCTGCAGACCAGGCCGACACTGGCCTCAACTTTTACCAAAAGGTGCTCGACTCTTTCAATGGCTCGGCCAACCAGGAGATACTATCCAACAACCTGACGGCTGCTTTCGTCCTCGAAGGCTTGGTCCAATACCACATTGACAACCAGGCCTTCGCTACCGCCGTCACGTCCATTGATGCTTTCTCGCCTGAATCACATGTTCGTGAACAAGCTCTTAGCAAAATTGCTTCTGCTGCTGCCGACGCCAACAGCATTGCGGATGCTATTGTTGCCTACCATGCCATCTCAGTGGCCGAGGCTAAGTCTACTTCGATCATGGCTATGACAGCCATGCATCTACGGGCCAAGGACTTTCGTTCAGCCCGGGCAATCTGGAGTGAGTCCAAGTTTGTACCTGTTCGTCCGACCACCGACTTTGCAACCATGTATGGTATGGCGCTGATTCGGGAGGGAGCTATCGATGAGGCCATCAATGAAGCTCGCGACATGTTCAACATCATTAGGAGCTCGGCAACTAGTCAAGCAAGCCGCAACATTGCTATGTCCGAGATCGATGAGGCCGTCATCCTCTTTGGCGAAGCTCTTCGAAAGACACAAGCCCGAGTTTCAGCTCAGTCGAGTGTCAGCTTACTTCGGGCGATGATCGAGAACGGTGGGCTTGTGTCACCGGTTGCGGAGCACGCTGTGGCCAGTCTGCAGCCTGATTGTGTTCACCAACTCAGCGCTCAGGACATCGGCATTGCTCTTCATGTTCAAGCTCAGATTCTCACAACTGATCAGTCCATCAGCATGGACAACGCTCACAACCAGCGCTTTGCCCATCTCGTCGAGACGGCTATCAACCGTGCAATTCCTCTTGACCCTTCGACCCCTCCCGTCGTTGGAGAGGCAATTCCTCAGATTGCTGCCCTCCGTCCCGATCTTGTTCAGCGATGGCACGATTACCGCAATCCCGCTCCCAAGCCTGCTCCCTCTCTACCTGCAACCCCCATCACGCCTCATGTTGGCTTCGTTGAGCAACCACCAGTCGTTGACACCTACGACCCATATGCTCAGCTGACGGATTTCCGGGCTTCCAAGATTATTTCGGAACTGCTAGAGAGCACCACTGGTCGTATCGAGAACCACCTCAGCGACTCTCTCTCGCGCCTTCGCAACGTGCGTCGTGCTGGTCGACATCTTCATTACACTGCGTACGGCAAACTGCTCACAGCAGCTGGCAAGGCAAAACAGACTAACCGCGTTGCGGATATTCTGGCTATGGCCAAGCATGACGTGCCCTTCAACCCTGAAATTCAAGCTGTCAGAGCAGGCTGGATTGGTATCATCGATTCGGCTGTCGCGGCTTATTTGACTGCTGGTGACCGACAGACGGCTACCAAGTACCACGAACAGCTCTTGGAGATGGGTGCGGCTCCTTCCGCCAATACCTTCGGCATCTACATCACCACCCTGGCAAACACATTTGATGAAGCAACCGAGGCTGTCAAGATCTTCCAACGTGCCATCTCCGAGGGTGTTACTCCTAGCGTGTTCTTGTACAATGCTGTCATTGGGAAGCTTGGCAAGGCCCGGCGAATCGACGACTGCCTGCGGTACTTTGGGGAGATGCAGAGCATGGGCATGCGTCCGTCCTCGGTCACTTACGGCACACTTGTCAACGCTCTCTGTCGCACCAGCGAGGAGACTTTTGCCGTTGAGATGTTCGATGAGATGGAAGCCGCCCCAAACTACCGGCCGCGTCCGGCCCCCTACAATTCGATCATCCAGTACTTCCTCAACACCAAGCGCGACCGTAGTAAGGTGCTCGAGTACTACGAGCGGATGAAGTCTCGCAACATCAAGCCTACTTCGCACACCTATAAGCTGCTCATCGAAGCGCATGCATCGCTGGAGCCTGTTGATCTTGTCGCCGCTGAAGGTATTCTTGCGGAGATGAAGGCGGCTGGTGTCATGCCCGAGGCAGTACACTACGGCACACTCATCCATGCCAAGGGCTGCGTCATGCACGACATGGAGGGCGCGCGATCGCTTTTCAACTCGATTGTTGCTGGCGGCATCATCAAACCCACCGACAATCTCTATCAGAACCTGCTTGAGGCCATGGTCGCCAATCACGAGGTGACCAAGACTCAAGATGTTCTCGATGACATGAATCGTCGCGGCGTGCGCATGACACCATATATTGCGAATACTCTCATTCACGGCTGGGCCGGTGAAGGTGACGTTGCGAAGGCTAAGACCATCTTCAACGAGCTAGGAGCTGACAAGTGCGAACCCAGCACATACGAAGCTATGACTCGTGCATTCTTGTCGGTCGAAGACCGCGAGAGTGCCAACGCTGTCGTGCAGCAGATGCTCCTCAAGGGATACCCTGCTGCCGTATCAGAGAAGGTGCTTGCGCTTGTCGGTGGCGCGGCTGCTTAACCGACCCCTCTGGTCTCGAGTGTGGCGCACGGCGCTTGCCTCGCGGAGACCCAGAAATTTTCGTTTGTCATTAATTTTGTGCTGCATTGCGATAATGTCTGATGATACCCTCGCCGGCGTGGAAAACTCACACACACTCCTGGCTTTTGCTTTTACGACTGTTACGGCCCCCATGGTATCGGCGTTTTTGTGCTGCGAGTGGACAGTTGCGAGGGGGGTTTCTGCACTGTACCAACAACGCGGACTGGTTTTCTCCAAAACGAGCTATTGGTGCTGTGGACGGCGCTCAGCACACAAAAGGGGGGGGCTTTTCTAATGGACCATGGGATATGGTCTTTTTGTACAGTATCCACCGTCCTTTGGTGGAGGAGAAGCGGAATGGGCCGTGAGATGACGAACATGTGAATGACATGTACGGTGGTGGAAACCAAAGGACCAAAAGGAAGGGACTCCCAACTCAATTTTTCCGCAAAGATCTAGACTTACTAGATAGCTTAGCAAATCGCTCCGCCGCGCTCCCCGAAGGTGACGAAACGGGTGACGCGATATTCAAGGCGGATGCGAGAATCCCAACTTCTCGTTGAACTTCAATGAGGGTGTCTTCCATTCTCTCGTAGGCATTCATTTCGTGACAGAGAAGGAGAAAATGGGGGTGGATCAAGTGGGGGGAAAAACGAAAAGGACGTGCCCGTGTGCTGGTCGTGTACCTGAGACTATATCTTCTCACTCATTGTGCTCCTCCCCTCTGTCTCACCGTGTGTGTGGTTTGGCGACTGCGTAGATAGATGAATCCGCTCTCCCCCGCCACCGACTGACTGTCTTCTCTGCTCATTCGGAACCCGACTCTCTAGACATGTCCGACGCAATGAAGTGAGAAATGCGTGCGCACTCCTTAGATCGTCGTTTGTGTCCGCCACTCTGATTTCCAACCGCCTACTCTTCCACCCCAACAAGCTCTCTAGACAAACCCCCAAGACCAGTGTCCGCCTTAGCTCCGCCCAGCATGGGCGCTGCTGGTGCAAGCTCGATGGGGGCGGCATTGTGGCGAGGGCACCTTTACGGCTTTGGCGACAGCAACTGCACGAATTCCTCGTCTTGTGTTTGACACCGAGTCAGCGTTCATCTACGACAGGGCCAAAATAGGGGAGAGGTAGGGAAGCCACAAGCCAGATCCAAATGGATCCGAAAGTCAGATCCGGATAAAAATGCATCGAACTTACAGTCAATGGTGCCATTGCGATCCTTGTCGGCCTCAGCGATCATCTCGTCGATCTCGCGGTCGGTGAGGTCCTCGCCCAGGCTCTTCATGACCTGGCGCAGCTCGTCGGCGGAGATGGTGCCGGAGTTGTCCTTGTCGAAGACGGCGAAGGCGGCGCGTGTCTCGTGCGCGAAGTCGGACTGCTTGACGCTCGTGGACATCATCTTGAGGAATTCTGTTGTAGAGCAGGAAGGGGCGGCGTCAGCAAGAACGGGGAATAAGGGTGGGGCGGAAGAGAGCTCGAGCGGGAAAGAGAATAGAGAGGTTGGTGTCAGTGGGAGAGCAAATGTGCTGGGGTTTGGGGAGTAGCATATGGATAGACTGGGGCTTGGCATAGCTTCACCAGAGTATGGACATCGCGTGGGGGAGAGCGTAGTCGTTTGGGGGAGGTATGAACGTGTGCTCGTCAGTAAGGCATGGTGCCACGCTCGCTCACTCAATCAGCTGACCCCATAGCCAAGGACCAGGACGATCGCACGTTAGGGAAGAGAAAGGAAACGAGCTTACCGTCGAAGTCAATGGCGCCGCTCTGATCAACATCAACCTCGCTGATCATATCCTGCAGCTCCGAGTCCGTAGGCTTCTGGCCGAGCGAACGCATGATGTCGCCTAGCTCGTTGGCGGTGATGGTGCCTGTGTAGTCACGCGACAAATCAGTTGAGGCCTCACACAAGCATCACCGGGCGGTTCAATCCACATGACGAGGCGGCTGTGCGGGGCGGAGCGGGCCTGGCTTACCGCTGCTGTCTTTGTCCTGTAGAAGTATTAGCCCCACGACTGATGAGGGCGGAGAAAAGTATAACATGAAAAGGGGAAGACTCACAAACATAGCAAAGACATCCTTGAAGGCCTGGATTTCCTCGTGTGAGAGGGGTTTCTGCTTCGCACTCTGGGGGGATTTGGTGGCGGGCTAGGATACACCATCTTCTGATCAGCAGTGCGTCCACAAAGGGGGTTGCCATACGCCCGCCCCGCCCAGCCAAGCCAGGCTGATGGGGAGATATCAGCGTGGGGGGAGCACGCACCACGTCCGTTTTGACGCTTGGTCGCTCGGGCATCTTTGTGGAAGTACCGCTATGCGGGTTGTTCTGGGGAAGATGATGAAGCAGAAGGAAGGATCTAGGCTGGTGAAGGCAATCGGAGAGATGAAGCGTCTTCGGACAATCACGAAGATATAAGTGTTGGCAATCAGGCTGGATGAGATATTGGGCTGAAACTCAGGCACACGCAAGCTGGGCTTGGGATAGGCGGGGGCCTACAATTGGGTGAGGGGTGAGGTGGGGTGGTGGTCGTGCGGCCGTCGGCTAGCTTGCCGCATTCAATTCATGACGTTCAGGATGCCAAGATATATATACAACCTAGAATGCCCTGTCTACCCAGATACTTACAGTGAACCTACCCGAACCCCGAGACACTGGAGTACCGGATGCTAAACCATAGCGGCACTCGATGACAATCAATAATCGAGCCGTTCATGCGCAGCCCCAGAGTCAGACTCTTCCTCTCCCGTCCACATCCAATCACACCACCAACCCTCCAACCCGCACCACCTCGCGCCAGAATGCTACACTCGGCCACCCCAAATAACAACTCCAAGCTCATCTTCGCCCCCGGCGACACCTCCTCCGACGCCTCCCACCCAACCCGAGCCGCCCAATTCAAGATCGGCACCCTCCAACGCCACGACCTCTCCCCCTCCCCCTTCACCCAATTCCACACCTGGTTCACCCACCCTACACTCGCCTCCACCATCCCCGAGACCTGCACGCTCAGCACGGCCTCGCTCCCCTCGGGCCGCGTCTCCGCCCGCATGGTCTACCTCAAAGAGCTAGACTCCCGCGGCTTCGTCGTCTACTCCAACTGGGGCACGAGCGCCAAGTCGCGCGACCTGGCCGCCAACCCCTGGGCGAGCCTGACGTTCTGGTGGAAGCCGCTGGAGCGGCAGGTGCGCGTCGAGGGCCGGACCGAACGGCTGACGAGTGAGGACAGTCAGCGGTATTTCGACACGAGGGCGAGGGGGAGCAGGATCGGCGCGTGGGCGAGCCAGCAGAGCGAGGTACTGGCGCCGGTGGAGGGGGAGGGGACGGAGGAGGGAGATGATGATGATGGGCGGAAGATGCTGGAGGGCTGGGTGAGGGAAGTGGAAGAGCGTTTTGACGGGCAGGACAAGATTCCCGTGCCGCCGTTCTGGGGCGGCCTGAGGATTTTGCCCGAGACGGTCGAGTTCTGGCAGGGGCGGGAGAGTCGACTGCATGACCGCTTCAGGTATACGAGGATGGAAGAGAATCATGAGCAGTGGAAGATCGAGAGGTTAAGTCCGTAAACTCTGGGGTGGAAAACAAGCATGAATTGCTCGAGTACCATTCGCATTTCTCTGGTTCTACTCACACAGTAGCTGTCTTTGCAGATTCGTACTGTAGTAATGGCGCCATACGCCACCTGACCCACGGTATGAAGACGTTCATCTCTGCTATTGAGCTGTTAATGCATCTTGACGTACTGCTTCTGCCACCGAAATGCCTCTGAACCGAGTATGCATATGCATGAGCAATCAATAGTCATGTCAAGGTATGAAATCCGAGGACTTCGCCAGCCCTCCCAACCTTCCCCAGATTCGAGGTCGGTGTTGTGACAAAATCGAGAATGTATGAACAATTAGAATCTAGATCACGCTCGTTCCCTGAGACGTGTCCAGGCGGTGTTGGTTTGGTACAATAGACGAGGCCAACACTCTGATGAGATGTTCAAGCAGCCTTGGCCGCAGTGCGCGCCTTTCCACGGCCGTTGAACCCGCCCCGCTTCCCTGAGGTCTTCGGATACTTGGGACTGCTGTGTGATACCGCACCCTCGTAAGACGGTAAGTTCACCTTGGTGGATTTTGCCGTGCCCGGGGCTCGAACAATAGCATACTGTCCACCACGAGGAAAGTGCATCCATGAAGGATCCCCGGATGTCACTTCGAGGCCTTTCTGGAAGAACATGCGCGGTTTCAGAGCGAGCGGAAGCGATACTAACGGCTGCAGTGGCAGGCTGATGGTCGGTAAAGATGCCAACTCACGATCTTCGAATAGATCTTCTTCTTCCTCCACCTCCTTGGACGCGACGATGAAAGCCTCGTCTTGTGGGAAGGTCGAAGCGTGCACTGGCAATGACACTGAAGCTCCGGTCGGCGACATGACCTCTAGGAGCTCACGTGAGGAAATTTCCACAGCTGGAGAAGGCTGGGATTCGGCTGAGCGCTGAGATGCCAGCTTTCTGTCGAACAGGCCATTGAATCGCTCTTGCCAAGATGGCGTCTGCGCGATTGGTGTGGAGACTGCGCGTAACTGAGGTTGAGAGGCCATTGCAGCTCTCGCCGCCCAAGTCATAGGTTGAGACGGCTTCTCTTCATGAGGCTCAGCTGGTGGCGTAAGGGGACTGCTAGGGGGCAGCTTGACAACAGCTCTCTCTCTGGGGAAGCGAACGGCAGGTCGGTGCTGATCGCCATCAAACGCGGGGTGCGCACTAGCATATTCCTCGGCCGGCGGTGGTGACGGCGAGCCAGGTGGCTCCGAATAGCTGTATGTCGCAGACCGTCGCTCATCTATCGGGTGAGTCACGGGTGAGGGGAAAAACCTCGAGCCGCGAGGAGCTGGCCCGGTTGGCAGAGATCCGGCCGCTCCGAAAGGAGAGGCAGATACTGCCGAATGCGTCATGCCAGACATGTCGCGCTGAGTGGGATTCTCCCCCAGATGGACCTGCTTCCACGTCTCATTGAAGGTGTATTGCGGACCACGACGTATTCCAGTTCTCTGTTCTTCTTCCTTTCGTGCTGCGTGTTCTCTCTGAAGACGGTCATTCTCCGCACGTTCTTGTGCGCTAGCGACTGAATGAAAGTTATTCCAAGCTGCGAGATTGCTGCTGTGACCGAGTGAAGGAGAGCTGGCCATTCCGCTTGGCGCGGATGGAAGGTTTTGCTGCTGAGGTGGCCCGATAGGTGCAGGGCGTACAACGGGGAACAAGGTGTCAACTTCGCTGTCGGCTGCCAGAGGTCCCTGATCAGGCGATAGGAGTGGAGAGCCAGGCGGCAATCTGGCCTCTGCAACGTGAGGGGAGCTTCCTGCGACAGGTGTTCGGCCGCTTGACCAGCCTGGAGCACCTGAAGGTGCGCGTGATAAGTCCTGAGGAGCATAGCCTGCTAGTGTCTGATCGAAAGTTCCATTGCCGAGCGCCTTGTTGCTCGAGATTCCCCAGAGATTGCCTGCACCAGGCCCACGGGGATCCCCCCATCCGCGGCCAACCGCTCCGTTAGGTGCTGAGCCAGACTTGGAGAATTTTGGACTGGGCTCGGGGGCACCAATAGATTCGCTGCCAAAAGGCCGCTGAGTCTCTCCAGTCCGCATACCGTTAGACCCGGGCGCGAATGGCCTAGACGGATCATCCGAGCTCTCTCGATCAGGCCTCATGCTCGCAAAGGGTCTCTGGTGGTCCATCATCCCCATCTTCTTCGCGGTGTCGAGAGGGTGTACCTTGATCATGCCATATTGTTGAGGTTCGCCCGTCGCCAGTGGCTGGGGTGGCTTAGGTGGAGACTGCGAGACAGATGTTGACATCCGAGGCAATTCACCTCCTGACTCTGCACGCGCTTCAACCTTGGTTGGCTGTTCTTCCGGCATTTGAGGTGGATCTGATGGACCTTCAATCTTCTGTTCGCTTGGAGGCTGTGCAGCTTCCAAGGCGGCCAGCTTTTTCTTGATGCGCTCCTGCTTCTCAGCTTCTAATCTCGCCTCTTCTTCCAGGCGACGCTGACGTGCGCGGATGCCGCTCTCCTTCATCATCTGCTTCTGCTTCTCGCGCTCCGCCTCAAGGTCGAATTCCGAAAGGTTCGCCGAAATGTAGTCGCCAGTCGTTGTTCGAGCTTGATATGCAGGAGTCTGCACTTGCAAAGGCGGGCCGTCTTGCGACGTAGGCCGAGCACTCAGGTCCGAGGACATATTGTCAAAGACTGGTGCCGACATGTCGCCTGATCTTATTGAAAGTCGACGGGCAAACTGACCACTGCCACCTGACACTATCGAGGACGTTCTACGCCGATTAACATCGCTGCTGGTGCGTGTGGTTTGGAAGGCAGCCGAAGGCTCGGCGGGAGCGTGGGGATCTGTAGCACTCGGGCGTTGGAGAACGGCCGGAGCACGGAAGCCTTGATCGTTTCGTGACATTCTACGTCTGCCGTCCGATACAGCCTCGTAACGGCCGGAATTGGGCATAAAAAGCTCACGCGGCTGGTTGGGCTGGCCGTCCCTCCAAGCTCGATTGAAGTCGTCCGCAGACATCTCTCTCGCGGGAGAGGGCGCTTGCATGTTACCAGAGTGAGATGGTCCATGACCTGGGCCGAATCGGTTCGGTGGAGGCATCATAGGTTGTGGATGGATTTCGACAGGCGAGGTTTTGTCCACCGGGGGGAGAGGTGCCCATGGAGATTTGACTGGCACAGGAGCGGGCAGAGTGTTTGATGGCGACCGTCCGAGAGCATTATCAAGTGGTGACCGAGACTTTTCTGCCGCGGCTTTCTGCGCCATTTGCTTCTCTGCATTCGCACCAATCTTGAGGACCGTCGCATTAGGACCCACACTGCTCGTGAACTGGGAAGGCGGTGGTGGCGGTGGCTTCATTACCTGCACCTCTTTGGGCTCTCGAGGCATTGGTACGTCGGGATGTGGCGCAGGAGCATTTGGATGAGTCTCGGTCGCGGCCAGTGTTGTCTTGGTACCATCGTTCCATTCAATCGTCTCGGGAGCCCAGTCATCCTCGTCGTCATCAATGTCGGCCCACTTGGATTCTTTGCCTTCTACATCGGCTTGGAGTCGTGATGTTAGATGAATACCATATTGCTGCTTAAGCTCTTCGTCGGTCAAGTGTTTGGTCGAGGGTGCGGGTGTCACTAGAGTAGTCAGCGGGGACAAGCTAGCAGGAGGTTCGCGGATGGCATACCTCGATTCTTGTTCCAGACTTGCATCGGATCTGGGGCGACCGGCTTGTACGTCTTGGCCTTTTGCTGCAGAGAACTCGTCGACTTTGCCACTAATCTCGGACGACCGGCAAGCTGTAAAGAGGGAGTCGAAGAAGTGGGAGTGGGCGCTGTACGACTGTCAGTGAAGGTTGCGCGAGATTGGACAAAGATGACCGCAGGACCTTTGTCTGCAGGTTTCGCCGTAGCATTGGCGGCCACGGTTTTGGGTACAGAATATTTTGCGAAACTGACAGGCTTTGCAGGAGCGAACTTCTTGAGCGGCTTCGACTCGGATTGCTTATCACCGGCAACGCTTCCGTCTGCTCTTGAAGTATCGGTATCTGACCTAGCCGAGGCATCATCGAAGTCGGACAGAATTGTTGGATTGTGAAGACCATTCTCTTTGATAGCAACGTCGACAACACCATTCACGTCCCCTAAAGGTTTTGAGTCGGTAGTGGTTGTGGTCGCAGCAGCGTCGGCAGGCGAAAGGTCGCCGACCGACCGAGATTGGTTCACCACATCTTGGACGATCGAATCGGCCATAACAATGTCTGAACTGCAGGAGCTGCCGTTAGTATCAAGAAGCGCCTTTGTTGCGTGCGGTGGGGGAATCCGTTTACCGGTCAGGGCGCGAGTTGTGCCACGGTGGTCAGCCTTCGGCCGGTCTGATATGGCCGAGGGGGCGAGATGCGGCGCGCAAGATCGGAGACTGCCGGCTTGGTAACTACAGCCAAATGGGAGTGCCTCCGGATGTGATACAGAGACGAAGAGGACTAGAATACAAGAGGTAGGATGAGGCTGAGGAGGTGGTTGATAGGATCGGAGTACGAGAGCAGGCGCAGTCTTGCGGTGCTTGGGCTGCGCTACGCCAGCCGGATCTTGGCGCTAGACAGGGCTGAAAGGCGGAGCTTGAAATGCACGGCTGAACTTTGAAGGTTGAATCACCGACCTTCTGCTCGCCTCGTTTACCTTTTAGAATGAGTCGCAATGAATCATATCGGGGACACTATCAAGAGTGGCGGACATTCCCATTCTCTGAGCGTTGTTCATCTGAAACGCCCTGTTGTCATCCAGGTCTCCTATTATGACCGACCACGTCACTGAACGCGAAGGCTCACCCACCTCCTGTCCCAACGAGTCAGGTGCAAGCGATAGGCCCCGTCGTCGTACCTTAGAGAAGGGGCCGCAGAGCCCAAACCACGAGCTCTCCCAGCAAAGCTATCTTTCGCGATCCGGACGCTGCTTTGCTTTATACTATCCGCCACACCCACCTAATACTGGATTGTAGTTGTACCGAGTCTTTCGCCCGAAGTCACGTGAGTCCGGCAGTTTTCCTCGCCGCATGCCTTCTGAGTAGATACTGAATTTCTACTTCTCAAGAGGACTTGATTCCGCTCTCTAGCGCCAGCTTAGACAAGCACCAGAGAAACTACGTTTCAACCTCGATCTCTTTTTAAGACGCGCTGGCACTCTCTTTGATGCGTTTGTGGGTTTTGCTCTTGATGGTCACTCTTGCGCTGCTTTCGCCACTGCTTAGATCTGGCTTGCGACTTCCGACAACACTAGTACGGATCGCTCTACCCTATAACCTGACCCGCTTGTACATACCATTCAGTACGAGTACCAAGCAACCGGCTGGAAACATGGCCTCATCCGATTGTACTCCTTCGATACCACCAGCGGAGACCCAGCCTGGAAAAGACAAGCAGGCCACAGAGCCTCCCGAGGTACAGTTGCCCAAATTGTCCGCCGAGGATTTTCGAGTTTACAATCGCCTGGCCGTAATGATGGAGGCTTATCACAATCACTTCCGACATACCTGGTCTATGCTCTACAAAGCCGCCTCCTCTGGTTCCCGTCCTGCCGGTCTCTCCATTCGCCAGTACCTCAATGCCGGTTTGCAGCTTAGCCGGCAACTCACCATGCACCACACCATTGAGGAGCAATACGTCTTTCCCGAGCTCGCAACACGGATGCCCATCTTTGGTGACCACGACCAGTTAATCAACCAGCACCACGAGATCCACGAGGGTTTGGTCCGTATGGAAGACTATCTGAAAGCCTGTCTGCATGGCGACAAGGAGTTGCGGATGGAGGAGTTAAAGCTGGTGATGGACTCCTTTGGCGATGTCCTGTGGACGCATCTTGATCTGGAAGTAAAGCAGTTGCAGGCGGATTCGATGCGGAGGTATTGGTCGAAAGCAGAGATCATGGGTATGAACTGGTAGTCTGTGGCGGTGTCGACTCCGGCAACGTAGAGATGGCGTCTCCTCCAGCTTTTGATGATGTTCCTTTAGCGTCCACAACTATACCGCACATTCCGCTGAAATTGTCATCTTGCCCGTCAAAAGGCGTCTCGGAATCGCTGACTCTTCGTGAAATACCCACTTATCAGCTCTTCAAATATCCCTCCTGCACTCAACCCTGATCGTCCCGCTCCAAAAACCCGGGATCGACCTCGACGCGCCTCTCAAACTTGCGCCACCACTCCTCAAAGCTCTTCAGCGGCACGACCTCCTGCCCACCAGGCCCCAATGTCCCACTAAAGCTAGCCAAGAAGTTGAACGCATTCTTGATAATCCTCTGCGCCAGCACCTTAGTCGAAGGTCTCGCGCCGCTCCCATCCCCACCACCACCACCACTGCCAGCCCCTCCCCCCTGACGCGCCTTCTCTGCCTCCAACGCCTCCAACTGCCCGCGAATACTCTCGACGCTCTCGACCGAGATGCCGACCTGCGTCTCCGCGAGCGTCTCCTGCTGCCCTCCGCCGCCGCCGCTGCTCGGCAAGCTCACCTTGAAGATGGCGCTCTGCTTCTCGTTGGCGAGCGCGCCGAGGAAGCGGAAACCCTGTTGGCCAGGGAGCTGCACGTGCACGCCGGCGGCGGTGTCGGGCGGGAAGGCGTTTCCTGGCAGGAGGAAGACGACGATGTGCGAGAAGTGGGGTGTCGAGGGAAAGGAAAAGGCGAATTGATTCGACTGTGGGCCCATGGGGGCGGGGGGAGGCAGGGGTGGACGTCCGGGCAGGAGGACCGAGAACATTGTTGTCAATGGTAGGTGGTGAGCAGGGTGAGTAGGGATGAGTCTGTTTGTGGATGAAAATCTAGGTCGGACCTCGTCTCGGCGGACGGTGCATTGCAAAGGCTTGTTGGGCGGAAGCGTCGTTGATTTGTATCTCCTCCAGCGTGCCGTTGCGCGTGTCGTTCAGTTGCTGGGGCCAGAGTAAAGACGAGAAGGCCGTAGAAAGTGCCGATGACGTCACAGGGCTATCTCGCAAACATCTTCCTCTGATAGTGGGTCTGCTGCCTGTGAAAGACTGTTAGAGACTGGACGGGCGAGCGCCGATAGTATAGACTTGGGCAAAAAGAATAGAGTAGCTAGCGCTGCGACTTCTGCTCGACCCGGTCGTCGCCAGAATGAGCCGCAAGACAACACTTGACCTTGTCAACGAGTGCGACAAGTGAGTGTCCTCAAACAGCCATCAATCGGTGCGTCTGGGAAAGGCTGACAATTCAGTTTTCCTTACCGCTACGATGATCCTGAGGCTTACGATGGCGTGCGGTCTGGCTACTTCAGCTTCATGCTGGCAGGCTGTAATGCTACATTGGGATACATGAAAGCCGACATTGCCCAGAAAATGCCACTTACGGATGACTGGAAACTCAACGAAGACACGAAGACATTGCTGTTCCAGCCAAGGAACGCGAATACACTGGAGGATCGAAACGCGGTCCTTGCAGAATATTTGCAAGAAGTCAGGAAGAAGCAGGTATTCAAGGTCCTGAGTGGTTGGCGGAATGAATTGTACCCCATCTACGGACCTAATCGAGAGCTCGTTCTGAGTATGGAGCGATCTGCCAGTGCGCTATTTGGCATCGTGACATACGGCGTCCATATGACCGCTTATGTCGAGACCAATGAAGGCATGAAGCTCTGGACGCCGCGTCGGGCCGAGACTAAGCAGACATATCCAGGGATGATGGACAACACTGTTGCTGGAGGCCTTGCAACTGGTGAAGAGCCATTCGGGTGTTTGATTCGCGAATGCGAGGAAGAAGCCTCTTTGCCGGAACATATTGCTCAACAAGCAAAAGCATGCGGAATGTTGACATACTTCCACGTCCGAGATGCTCGTGCTGGTGGTGAGACAGGTTTATGCCAGCCGGAATGCCAGTACATCTACGACTTGAAGCTACCAGCAGACGTAATACCGCAACCTGGTGATGATGAGGCTGTCGACTTCAGATTGCTGTCCGTGGGTGAAGTGCGCGAGGCCCTTGCGGCTGGGAAGTTTAAGCCCAATTGCGCTCTGCTCCTGGTCGAGTTCTTCGTCCGCCATGGTCTCCTAACCCCAGAAGATGAGCTGGACTACATCCAGATAGTATCGAGACTCCACAGGAAGCTCGAGTTTCCCACAAGGTGATATCGATGGTATCGCAGACTCATTTTTGGGCATGCTCATAGGTCGGCGCCTTATTTCTTGAGTAGAAGGTAAACGCTGTCCATGCGAAAAGCCTTGAGCTTCTCGAAGGGTCCGTGCAGGTACATCAACAAGCCACCGAAGGAGATGTATACGTTGCTATACCAGGTCAGCGAAGCTCGCGCAGGGCGCGATGGCAATTCTCACATGTCATCACCTTTGCCCTCTTCAAAACGGTAGATCTTGCCGTGACAGACATAGTCGTAGTCGTCAGCTAGTGTGGCTTCGGCCTTATTTGAGTCGCGCCAGCCCTTGCCGTCATCTTTGCTGCCATCAAGATTAAGGGATGTAGCTATGCACATTGTCAGGCTGTCGCCAACGCTGACTGGCCATAGATCGGTGTTGAGATCCAACTGGTAGCCTATTGCACCTCCACCAATCTCTTTGCCCGCAATGCGCGAAACGTTGTCGTACTTTTCATTGTTGAGCGCGTCGACGGTCACTCGAGTGGTGAGGAGTTCGGCATCGGCAGACATCGTGGAATAGATCGGGGGGCCGACGGTACTTCGACGTGACTGTTCCGAGAAAGATGGTATTACGGGTGTGGGTGGGAGTGTGTTCTGCGGCTGCGGTCGCAAAATAATTTTAAGTGGGGGGTTTGGGCTTCCGCAAGGCCACAAGGCGCCCACCTACTTAGATTTTGCCTTCTTCCAAGACCACGCTTCTCTTACACCACTGATGTCCTTCCGGAAGCGCAATGTTGCGCTTTCAAGTAATACAGATCCAGCAGTCAAACTATCGCAGACGCCCTCAAGGCCACAACTTCCAGGAGTGAAGCCGTCTTCCATCGACGGTCGCCCTGTAACCTCAACAGGCACTGCCACTCTAGATGGGCTTCTCGCCGGTCATGGTGGCCTCGCACTCGGCTGTTCTCTCTTACTAGAAGAGAATGGAACGACAGACTACGCCGGTGCGCTGCTGAAATTCTATGCCGCAGAAGGTCTTATGCAGGGTCAATATGTCCATGTCTTGGGATTGCCGGATCACTGGGCCAGGGAATTGCCCGGTGCTGTCAGTGATTCAGAGAGGAGAGAAAAGTCCAGTGACAGAGGCGATAAGATGAAGATTGCCTGGCGTTATGAGAGTCTCGGCCAATTCGGTACTTCGACCGCAGGCGCAAGAGGTAGGTCATTCCCTACCTATACTGGCAGCTCAAGACACTCCTCACCGTCCGCTACGCTCAGATTTTCTCTCACTCTGGTCCTTCTAACTCTGCACTAGAGCCTCTCCGGTCGGCAGCTGCAGCGACTGCTGCTGACAGCACTACCTCGCCGAGTGCTTCCACACCCTTCAACCACACGTTCGACCTCACGAAACGCCTCACCCCGCCCCCCAACTTCTCTGTTACTTTCCACAGCTTTTCTTCTGGCCCAGGCGCGTCACCTTTCGACCAGCTCCTCGCCTCTCTCACAGCGTCCCTGAATACCAATAATACCATTCCACACCGGCTCATCATTCCCTCTCTTTTATCGCCACTCCTGTACCCACCCTCGGCCGGCCACCCCCACAACCTTCTTCCCTTCTTCCACCAGCTTCGCAGCCTTCTCTCCAAACACCCCTTGACAATATTGACATCCATGCCACTTCCTCTCTCCCCCAGAATCACCGGCCTCACGCGCTGGATCGAGCTCCTCCACGACGGCGTCATCGAACTCTCACCATTCCCACACTCGGCAGAAGGACTCGCCTCCACCAGCAAGAGCAAGGACGGCAGCGGCGAAGAGCCTCCTCAGGGACTGTTGAAGATACATCGTTTACCTGTGCTAGCGGACCGGGGTACGGGGGTGAGACCGGCCGAGGATGACTGGGCTTTCACGCTCAGTCGCCGGCGGTTAATGGTAAAGGAGTGGCGATTAGGTCCTGTGGATGACGATGGCGGGGGAGCAGAGCATGGTGAGGGGGGTGGTAGTGCTGGAGAAGGGAGTAAGAAAGGTATGGAGTTCTAGATGCAGGGGCTTGGAACCCCGAGACGATGATTACGGATGATGGAAGCCTAGCCATTGAAGAACGCTTCGTGGCACAATTGGACCTTGGCTTTGCGTTACCTCTATACAATGGTCCGTACTATCATTATTTGCTGAGGGCAGGTATGTTCAGCAACCAAAGACCGACGGTTGCCTCTCCTGTAGTTTTCCTCGTGATCAATAGGCACCTCAATCTGCACTGACCTCTTCCGCATAAAATGAGTGTCTTGAGGAATAGATACATGTTGATCTCTATACGGACTGAGGCGTTATGGGGCTGAGATTTCGGCTTCAAAGTGAGTAGAGCGTTCCTCAGACCACATCTTGCACCCGTCAAAGATACGTGATACGAGTACTCAGTGCGCTACCGAGGCTCTTCGGATAGACTTGGGTAGAAGCAAGAAATCAGGGGATGTAGATGCTGACCAAGGACTATTTATCTCATGAAGAGCAAGATTGATATGTGCTGGACTGCTTGCTGAAGCATATGCTTATCTTGATGAGCTATCGTCAGCAAACTTCTTCGTTTCCCGTTTGCAGGTGTCCGAACCAATGTGTGCTGTTCAAAGCGTTCCATCAGCAATCGCGAGCCGAAACGGCCCCTAGACCATGAAGCTCTGCTCGCCCTTGCGCTGTGATCGGCGAGGATCTATGTCACTCAGTGACGAGTCCAAATTCTCGAGAGGAGCATGTCGGCGTTGGTCCCGGTGGCGGCTTTTGACCCAACGACGGTTCTGGCTGGGAGACATACGTGCTGTCTATCATCGTGGGTGACTGGGAGAACTGATACGTATCATCATCCCACGGCTCAGGCTCGTTGAACACATCTCCATCGCCGTCCCGTATTGCTTTGTCCTGCTCCATCTTCTCCTTCTTGATCTTCTTCGCTTCAACTTTGTCAGCATTACGCTTCCTTTTGCGTTTTCCTTCGATTCGAGAGTTGGACAGTGCTCTTTCTGCGACATCGGTCGGTATCAGTTCAGAAGCCAACTGCTCGAGGGCGACGGCTGGAAGAGCTGCCGCGTCAATCCCGCGGGCGGCAAAGAGGGCTGCTACAACATCAGCGGTGTCGTCGACTAGGCTAGTTTCCAAGACCTTGGCTTGTCGGTCGTTCTGGGGTATCGCTCCATCGATCAGTATCCCATCAGGCCCGTATCGGTCTTGAAAGGTCGGATTGAGCAGTAGGCGTCTCACTGTGACTTCCCTGAAGCTCTTTGACATGAACAGGCGGGCTTTGATGGTTTCCGGGTTGTCCATAACATTGATGTCGCGAGTCTGTAAGAAGAGCGTGGAACAAAACAGCCAAGTCGGACCTCAGTTGCTCAATGTGGCCGTCAAGATTCTCGTCTACCGTAGCCATGCTTTGCGGGGTATCAGCTTCGTTTGCCACGTCGCTTTCGTCTTGCTGCGAAGGCGTATGGAGAGACACAGCCTGATAAGTTTGCACGAGCTGTCTTCTCGATGTTTCTGGCACTGTTGCCAATTGCTCGCTGGAAGGGTTTGAGAGAAGTTCGCCTGTGGTGGTGTCGGGATCATGCTGGGCCTGCCGCGGCTCGGTCAATGCTAGCAGCTTGAAAGGATTCAGAAGGTCGACAAGCTCGCTTGTGATGCAGCGGAAGTGCGAGAATGGATTGATGACGCGGGCTTCTTGCGACTCGAAGAGACCGAAGAAATTCGCCTTCTGCTGGGGGCTCGGACCGAGAATCGCAGGATTTTGGCCCTCTCCGTGTCTGGCCGCCATGAAGAAGCTCCCAAGCTTTTCATAATCCTGAATATGGAGATGAAAGTCTTCTGCGGGTTCCAGACCCTCGGGGTCACAGCGTTCCCAAGAGAGGTTGATTCTGTTGGCGTCCGAGGTTTTGTGTTGGAACAAGGTGAGTATGGGATACGGTTGAATGGCTGCACGAAGTAGCACTTTCGCGCGATATCGATCAGAATCCTGCTTTGATATAACGGTCAGCAACCGTCGAACAGCCGCGGCTCGCCCGAAGAATCATCGATCTGAACATGGCAAGTAACTAAAGACCAGTTGTTCTGCTTGCGGAGTACGTGGAGTTGGATGATGCTTGCGATTCGCTTGCAATGATTGAGCCTCACAAGCTTCTCGGCATATGTGTCCTTCTCTCCGTCTGCCAGAGACTCGTTTGGATAGTCAATGGCGGTGTCAGGTACGTCCTCCTTGGCAGATACTGTCAAGCAGATCTGCTTGTTCGCGTAGATGAGCAGCTCTCGGATCATCTCAGCTCTATTCAGATAATCTGCAATAGCCACAGAGTTGGTGTTGCTGACGTGCTTGATAGCTGTAGGACCGAGGAGCATCCTTCTTTTCTTCCACTCCTTCCACTCGTGGGTGAGCCTCGATGTTTTGCGGGCTTGCGAAAGCTCTGTGGAAAGACCTCCGATTAGACTTAGGTACAGATAGTGGGCAAGTGATGCATCAACGTAACCCGGACCGAATTCCAGGGCTTTTTGTCGAAACCATGATGATGCCGCAAGCACCGAATCTCGCACATTTTCTGCCATGTCTGTGAGAGTTCGCTGCAGTGTGGCGTTCTTTGTTTCTCGAGAGATGTGCATGCTGTCGGTGTGCTGTTTGAAGTTGGTTAGGCAGATCAGGATGCCTCCAAGCTGATCATCCATGTGTTCAGGTATATTCGCAATTACCTCCCGGATTGGAGGAGCAGCAGGCTTGAGTCTGATGGTAACATCGGTTCGATCGTCGCCGGAAACATCTGTAAGAGTGTAGAGCAGCTTTGTTGCCCATTCGAAGCGGAAGCCGTAAGGCCAACGAAGGCTTTGTGGTCTGCCATGGATGCCAGATTGGACGAATGATGGACCACCAAGTGTCTCGCAAACTTCCAACTCGAATTTGCGAAAAACAGTCAGAAAGGAAAGAAGTTGCATTGCAAACGAGTCAAGGCCGCAACATGCTGCCTGGCAACCAAGTGGACGAATTTGCTCCACGTTGCCCATGAGCAAACGGGGCTGGCATTCTGCCACAACACTACAGAACCAGATTCTATACTGCTCTGGTCTGAAGCAGCGTTGGGAGCCTACCTGTAATGCATTCTGATATGCACGTCCGCCGATCAGAGGTTTGTGCAGGTTCTCTCAGGTTGAAGTTTATTCACGTAACCTGTAGAGATTCAAGTCAGTCAGTCTCGAGGGCTTAGGTTTTCACTATTACCAGGATAATCTTCGTCCGCAGGCTGATTCCACCTTTGCTTGTCGTTCTGATCGGATCTGCCTTACCTGAACCCCTCGAACTGTGATAAGGCTGGTATGAGATTGTGGTGAAAAAGTGCTACCGTGGCATCCTTGCGACCAGCCAGTCGGCTCTGATGGCCTCGGTACCGGCCTACAGACGCTGTTTCGGTACTGTTGATGGCTAAGACTGCTGTAGGAAAGAAGGCATTGTTGAGGTTGGATCTTGCTCCAGGAAACGACCCACCTTCCCGTCGCGGCCTGATGGGATTGGACCACCTGGACTGCGGAGAAAGGGAGCTCAAGGCGGCCGTCCCATGCTTCTCCGCAGCTCCTTTGCTTACGCGAAGCAGGGCCGTTGCATTCGCAAAGCGGTGCAACGGATGAGAAGGATCTCGAGTGCATAAAAGCCCTCTTTGCACTCGAATGACACGTAGAGATACTCCAACACTATGGCTTCCACTGATGTTCAAGCACCAGCTGCCGCTCAGCCTTCTGAAACTCAAGCTCCACCTCAGGACCCCTCGGAAACGCGCTTCAGCTGCGTTTACTTTGGATATGCCTCCAACCTGTCACCTGTGACTATGAAGCAACGGTGCCCTGGCGCACTCTACGTGGGCCTCGGCGTACTCAAAGGCTGGAAATGGATGATCAACGAGACCGGCTACGCCAACATCATCCCAGGCAATGATGAGGATGAAGTCTATGGTTCTCTCTGCTTTCTCCCTCGCAGAGACGAGCTCGCCTTAGATGAGAGTGAGGGCGTCCCCTGGTTGTACGAGAAGAAAACGGTGAAGGTCACACGCCTACTGTCAGACGAAGAGGAAAAGGAATACGGCGGCCAAGTCCCAGAAGTGGAAGCAATGACCTATGTAGATGTCCAACGGCTGACAGAAGGCAAAATTGAAAGGGAGTATATCGTCTGGATCAAGAAGGCGATTGAGGAGGGCACCAAGTGCGGGATGCCAGCATCGTATGCCGAGAAGTACATCAAAAGGTTCCTTCCGACCGACTACGACCCGAACCCGAATATCATGATGGTGAGGACAATGCAATTTGGCGAACAGACCGCTGGCTTGGTACCCCGAGGCTTCGCAAGCTGGCAAAGGGGATGAAGGCACCTTTCCTAGAGTGACGGTCACGTGATATGTATATGCCAAGACATGAATTTTTGAGCAAGCTTCAGTCGGCTCTCAACGTGTATTTCTCAACTCTTCACTCCTCAGTATGCACGAGATCTGGCCACCCTGACGCTCGCTGTTATCGGGCCACTGCAGCCATTGCAAGCTCTTGAATACAATCATGCGGACCACTTGACCATCTAACCACAGTCGATGCTTCCTTCACCCAAATCCGGCCCCATCTGCCCGCCACAACTCGGCGAACATAACTTAGTGCTGTGGTAGCTGTTGACGCAATCGAGTACTGCTTCAGACGGGTAAGTGCCATCTTGATATTCCTGTTGATCATACATCGCATGATTAAACCCTATTTTAATCTGTCAATCCCCTGATAACCCTTTGGGCACGTGATTGAAACAAAAATACTATGTTACAATATGACTCGATCAAATACCTATCATCATTCTCCCTCATCGATATCCGATTATCGAGGCTAATATATGCCGAACTAGACACACCGGAATTCGCGATGGAAGTCCGCGCAGTTCACCCACTGGACCACGTTCCGGAATTACCAATCCCCATATCATTGGTTGCTGGACGCTATCTACTCTTCGACATTGACGCGGCAATCTATCTCCGTAGGGCGCACAATATCTGTGGCTACAACATTGGTTCCTTGCCCATGGTCCCTTCACAGAACTCATTTCTTGGGCTGCCAATCATTCTCATGCCTGAGGAAGCGCAACTGCTCGTGGACGAAGGTATTGGCTATGTGCTTGACGATGCCGGAGCCCATGACCGAGCAGTCTATAGGCGAGATCAAGCAAGAGTCAAAGCTTACCGAGCAGGTGCTCAGCGACACGCCGACGCCATTCGCGATGCAATGGTCAAGGATCAAGCCGAGAAGAAGCAGAGAGCATTGGGGAAGCAGTCACGCAAGGCCACCCCGAGGCTTCCAGAGACGGGTAGCGATCTCCTGGATTTAGACGATGCAGAAAATGCGCTGGAGGTGGCTACACCGGCACAATCGTTGTCGAATGGTTATTTCATAACACCAACCACGTCAACAACCCTACTCCCACTGAATCCGCCCAGCTCTTCCGAGCTCGGTGTGCCCATACCCAACGTCTCGTCCACGTATCCTCTCTTCCGCCATCTTCACAAGCGAGGGTTCTTCATGACGCCAGGCCTCCGCTTCGGCTGCCAGTATACCACCTACCCCGGCGATCCACTGCGGTTCCACTCGCACTTCCTCACCACCGATTTCGGATGGAATGACGGAATGAACCTGATGGACATCGTCGGAGGCGGCAGACTGGGCACTGGCGTCAAGAAGGGCTTCCTGATCGGCGGGCACGAGGGCGGTGCAGTATTGGATGGAGAAGAACCAAGCGATGAGGATAAGGTCAGGACTTTCAGCATTGAATGGGCAGTCATGTAACCTGCCAACGAATGATACCCCTTTCAAAGAACCCATTGGTCTTTCCTACAGCGGGTTGACCCCTGTACCCCAACAGCTTCGATTGCCAATAATCATAGTTCTCACGGTTGCGGAGTGCATAGCGAAGTGGTGACCATATGATAGAAAAGCGAAGTGCTTCCTCGAAACGGCGAGTGACCCTGACCCCAGTGCTGTAGGATCCTGGATCACCTGAAGCACGCCTCTGCACAATGCGGTGTCTCGTCATTACCAGCGCAAGTGTTATCTCATCAGACGTCGAAGTTCTTCCACTTGAACTTCCTCCCCGCCCGCTCCACGGGCCTATACTCGAACGCATCCCCATTGACCTCCAACTTTACCTTTCGCCCATCCGGCAACGTGATGTGATACGCAAACACCGCGCCCTTCTTCATCATCGTCCTCACCCGATCTCCCTCCAGCACAATCACAAACGTAAACTTGGTATCCCTCACCACCACCCCCTTCATGCCCACCTTGCCCCCATCCACACACCTCACCACCTCGACCTCGGCGCCATGAAAGTCCGCACTCGCCAGCAACGGCCCCTGGCCCTGCGGCGTCACCTCCCTCCTCTCCCACCCGTCCACCGGCCTCCCCTCCCTCGTCACCCCCAGCACCTCCAACATATACCCGTTCCACAGCGCATGCAACCCTCTGTACGTCTCATACCGCACCTCCTCCTTCTTCAGGTCATAGATCCCCAGCTCCCGCCGCTCCGCCGCGCTGAGCGGCCGCGGTTTGCGCTTGCGCAGGTGGTACGCTTTCTGGCGCAGGCGAACGTGCCGGCGGTGTGCGCGTTGGTCCGAGGCGGCCGTCGGCTGCAGCAGCAGCGGCTTGTGCTGGATCTTGTCCGTGAAGATGCGGGCCGCGGCCGAGGGGGAGTGGGCCCGTGCGAGGAGGGCCTGGGCCGGGTGGTGTGATGCCGTAGGTGGTTCCTCGGATGTCATGATTGAGCCTGGGGTGTGGTGTGTTTCGGATGTACGTTTAGTTCGGGCGGGACTAGTGGCGGTACCGCATTGCTGGGACGTGCAGCTTGCCTTAGTGCAAACAAGATGTCACCGCTGCCTAGTGCTATGGCTAGGGGAGGTGGGATGTGGATTTGCTAAACAAGTGTTCGTCGCGAGCCGTGGGGGAGCAAAGATCGTCCGAGACACCTGGTGGGTGGCTTTTAGTCAAATTCCAGCAAGCTGGTAAGTTCGTGCAGGAGGTCCCACTGCCTAGTGCGCTGGCTAGGGGAACTGTGATGTGGGATTGCTGGACACGATTGCTCGTCGCGAGCCGTGAGGGGCCGGAAGAACGGTCGAGACACGTGGTGGGTGGCTTTCGTCAAATTCCAGAGAGCTGGTAAGTTCGTGCAGGAGGCCCCGCCGCCTAGTGCTCTGGCTAGGAGAACTCGGGTGTGGATTCGCTAGACGAGTGTTCGTTACGCGCCGTGGAGGATGGAAGAACGGTCGAGACACGTGGTGGTGGCTTTTTCCCAAATTCCCAGAGTTCCCAGAGAGCTGGTAAGTTTCGAGTCGAGGCCGTGCCAAGTCTCCGGATCTTATGACTCGCAGGCGCCACGCGCGGAAGCGGCCGAGCCAACGGCGTCCCCGGAGTCTAGACCACGGCCTGGACCAGGGTACGCGCGAGAGATTTCAGATCATTTGGAAGCGGGCATTGCATGAAGATGCAACTAGTCAAAAAACCACGTGGACTATCGCGGGGGCAAGATTGCCCACATGTCCTTTCGTGCATTAGTTACCTGAGCTTTACTGTGTATGTACGGTGGGCTCATTCCATCGATATTATAGCCTTTAGTGGCTGCCTCAGCCTCATGCACCTCCCCCAAGCATTTACCCCTTTCGTATACACAATCACATCGCCGCTATGCTGGAAAAGCCGTACATGCCTGTATGCAGCATATGGCCCGTGGTGGGCGGCACGTAGCTTCCCTGATATGGTGGGTTGACCGCCGAGAAGTCGGCATTCTTGTAAAGTGGGTTGATGATGCCGCTCGGATATTTGGGTCGGGTGCTGACGGGAGGCATCGTTGCGGTTCCCTGTTGGTAGAATGACGGCGCGCCTGTGGTGTCAAACTCGGTAGTATTCCAGCCCCATTTCTCCTTCAGTGCATCGTTGATGAATGCCACGCGCCAACCGGTCTCCTTTTTGATCTTGTCGAAAATGTCCAGAACCTCCTCTTGCTCCCGTTTGACTGTCAAGTTCTCACCTGCCACGGCGAGACAGCGAATGGATGCCGAGGCAACGCCTCGATCCTTCACGTGCGCAACAATGCCGCAAATCTGGCGCGAATGGTATTGGCGCATCTCGTCCGTCTCTGCAAGTACTGACTGGTCGATATTGTTCAAAGGATGCACTGCGCCGAGCAGTGCCATAGCTGTATGATAGAAGAGGCGTGCAACGACTGTCGTCCGCTTGATGAACCACAATCCGGGAAAGGCGCTCTTAGAATTGGTTGAGTAGACGGGGACATTCGCCATCGCATGCATAGTCGGTGGCACACAGCGATCCCATTTGTCGCAGAACTGCTTCAGTCCGAGCCATTCCTGGTATCTTCGGTTCATGCGCATCTGCTCAGCTTGCACTGTTTGCTCCTGGAATCTCGGGGCTGTTGACCGAAAGTTGGTGACCTTTGCCAGAATCCATAGAATCTTGTGTGTCCAGTCCTCTTCATTGCCACCCATTGGCTGAGGGTTCATCGTCATATCGATCCCCCATGTGTCAGGATCCCAAGCCACTCCCCAATTGAAATGGAGGCAGCTGAAGAGCTCAAGTCCGACATTGAGCCAGAAGCAAGCTCCACCAATCCCGGTGGCATTGGCATCCCATCGGCACTCCTTGATCAAGGCTCTCGCGCCTGCGATGTGGTTCATTCGCTGCAAAGCCTTCTCAGACATGACTTCGTAGACGTTCAGTATCGTGGCGGTCGTGGCGCATAACACGCTATCTCTGTCAGGGTTCTGCAATGACTTCAGTAGCAGCTGTGTCGCGTTGTTGTAGTAGTTGAGAGCGTGGTCATCAGGATAAAGCGATGGATTCACGAGTGTTAGATGTCGTACTCCACATGCCAGTAGAGCATACTTGAGCATCGGCTCGCGCAGTGCCTGAAACGGGATAAGTCGCGAGAAGTGCTTGTCTGCGTCCATGCTGTCCATCCACAAGCCTACTTCTTCGACGAAAACTTGGGTGTAGAGGACCTCTGTCCGGTCGTCCAGCGGTGGAGGGTAGTCGGTCTGCTGTTGCATGACTGGTTGCGAAAAGGACTGGCGACCCTGGTCGGCGTACGACTGCATTTGCTGCATTGCGTCGACATAGCCCCCACCTGAGCCTGAATAGCCGGGCTGAGGCGCCTCAGAATAGCTCTGGTAGGACTGCGCTGGTAGTTGTTGATGGGAGAGAATAGGAGCGCCGACTTGGGCGTAGCTCACATCCTGCGCGATCTTTTGCCGCTTAGCGGGGGGTTCGAGTGGATGATACTTCTCGAGTCCGCCAACATATTCCGAAGCAATGTCTCGAGAGTTGTCCTGAAATGCGATTTCCCAGTCATGAGTCCTAGGCAGCAAGAAAGGTGGCTGCTCGCACTGTATATCGTGAAAATTGAGTCGGATTCCGCGTTTGCAAGTTCGATTGGACTTTTTGCAGTTCTGGCAGTTGGGGAGGCCTTCGTCGCATTTCAGGTGCCGTTCTCGGCATGTTAAGCAACCCGTTCGGACCCGTTTAGACTTTTGGGCTGGCACTGGAGCAGAAGCCTCGGGCTCCGTCATTGATTTGGGGCTGTTCTGCAGAGTGCTCGTTGTGGGGGTTGATTTTGTCGACTGATTCTTACTCATTGCGAGATCGACATCGGTATTAGGGTAAGGCGGAGTCAGCATGGATGGTTGCGTCTGGCGGCGCGAGGCGGCGGATGAATTGCTTGGTGAAAGAGTAGGTGGTGACGGAATTTGCGAAGATGTGCCAGCAAACTTAGTTGGCTCAACGTAGCCCGAATTCAGACGCGCCGCTGAGAGCGGGTAGGGGGATGATTGATCAAACGCCACCTTGAATCAGCGCAAGGGCGCCTCCATTTGACAGTGCTCAAAAAGTCGATGGCGAATCTTCTGCAGCAGCAGAGAGAGAGAGAAAGCACAGGATCGTGACAGCCCTAGCGATTGGAGAAGCCGGACAGATAATCAATTTGATCTTCTAGAATGGCCTTCCTGTGGTTGTAAGTTAGCGTCGACAACATCCCCAACACGTTGTGACATGGTGAACACAAACGATGGCAGTAGAAGCAACTGACGCCAGCAGCAGGGGATTTAACACGGCTCGAGAATGGGCAAAGGATGATGGCTTCGCGATCGTCGCGAGCTGTCACGCCAACTGGCCCATTCCGACGCATCGCATCCCGCCGTCAGGCACTGCGCAGCATGCGTGCGATGTACTGCGCTCAAGCTATCGAGGCCGGTGCAGAGACAATTGAGACGAAATAGACTCACCTTTGTCAGAGAGTGTGTCGAGACGAAACTTTGGTAGGCGCGGGAAGAACAGAGTTGATATCGGTTCGAGTGGAAGGTTGAGTCGAGGATGGTGGGTATATGGGGTTATGTTTATGAAAGACGAGACGAGAAGGAAACTGTGTTAGGCTGGACCACAAGAGGAAGCTGGCAAGGATACCTCCACCAATTCCAGAGAACTATAGGCTAGCCTGGCCGTGTCCGGAGTATACAGAGATCGCGGTGCAAGACTTGACAGGTGGGTTGAATCGGTGCAGGCCCAGGCATGGGTAATTCGAGGCGTTGAGAGAGATGCCCCTGGTACGGAATTTGAGAGAGTAAAGAAAGCTGACACAATTACGAGACCCCAATGGCGTTTGAGGCCATGTCAGAGGACCAGGAACAGGCGGATGCGAGGTCGATGAACTTTGCTCGCGAAAAGAATGCCCTGAACCTCGGAGCCCTTGGCCCGCAGCGTGCAGCATGCAGCGTGCAGCGTGCAGCTGTGCAGGGGTACCCCCCGCGACAGCACGGAGCCACTGGGAGGCGAAGGCAAGCTGTTTGAGCGCCTCTTGGGGCGTCATGGCGACTCCACTGTTGCCAGATCGCCATGCTTGACGTCTTCCTCAGTCTAGACCGGCGGAAATACAGCTATTGATTTGTATTTTGTTCAATCGCATGTTTCCTGAGCCAGCCGGTCTTCGCTACTATGATCGCGCTACCGGGGACGGAGGTATCCATCGCTACGGGTATGCCTCTAAGCTGTAGTCATGGCTATAGCCGCCGCGCTAGGTGCAGCAGTTCCCTTGTCGCCTAAAATTGGGGGCGCGAACAGACCAAGCTGAGGAGCCGGGGTGGTCAAGCTGAGCTGGAGTGAGACAGAGCCTCTCCGGCTCTCTCACTCGTCGTGCGAATGAGATTGCATAACGGCTGCCATCTCGTTGTTTGCATATCGGAACTGAACGTCCAAACTCGCAACAAGAATATGAAATATATCCCTGCTTGAGTTGCCAATCGTGGGTCTGAGGAATGCTCATCATCTTGCAGGGTCTCGCCTCATCCACTGCCTCGGTGCCCGCCACAAATTCAAATGGTGCGAAAGATATCCCATTGGCAGCTTGTGCATCGTGTGGCTTTGCCCGCTTGTTTCTTCCTTTCCAGGTTGGCGTCCGCCGAGCCTTAAATCTTGCCAGGGCTGCACGCCCCGGCGGCCCCGTGCTTCCAGGCTCTGAGGCACTTGGGCCTGCCGCCTGTACGGTCAGATCAGAGGAATGCGGCTTCCACCGAACCGGTGAATTCGGCCGTATTCAACCATTGTGGCTACTGCCTATACCTCCGAGTGTACGTGTCTCGTTGACATCCTTCGCTTGTACAATGGGCGAGACACAAACAATCGAGGTAGTGGAAAAGGCACGGCCACAAGTGGTAGTTGTCGATGAGAGGCATGTCAAAGACACTAGCACGCACACCGCAGCGTCAAAAGGCCCCATCTCAGCTGAGCTGACGTGTTGATTTATACACAGCAGCCTTGGAAAAATGCTCCGAAATCTGCCATTTTCAGACACACAGATTCATGGCCGATCATCCTCGCCGTAAGTTTTACCGCAAGGATGCATTGGAATCAACATGCCCGCGTGGCTTAGTGGTACAGCGTCTCACTCGTATGCACCGTTCATAGCGACCATGAGAAGATCATCGGTTCGATTCCGATCGTGGGCATCTTCGTTTTTGTTGTTCAGGCATGTAGTTTTTGTCTCAGGCCCTTGGACATACTGTGGTAGTAGCACAAGTCGAGTGGAGCTGGAGCTGATCTGTCATTTGCTGCACATGTAGGCATCAGTATCCTATCTATTCAGAGCACAAAAACGAATTGTTCTTGGGCGGCTTTACAATGCATCTAGTACGCTAGCATCATGGCACAAAGTCCGGCGATTCCAACATTCATCCTTCGCGGCCATACCTCTCCCGTTCACGCGCTTCTCTTCCTCGCTGCTAATACACATCTCGCCTCCGGCGACAGCGATGGCTGGCTCGTCATATGGAGTGTGGCGAGCAAACGTCCTGTTGCTGTCTGGAAGGCCCATGCTGTTGGTATCGCAGGCATGAAGTCGTGGGGTCAGACTCGATTGATTACCCACGGGCGAGACCACAAGTTGCGAATATGGAAGTTGGCGCTTGCTGAACACACCCTCAGCAAAACGCTTCCCGTGGAAGGTGCCCGCGATGATCAGCCGCAGCCATGGCTTGTCCATTCGATAGACATGAGTGCTCTCAATTTTTGCGACTTTGCTACGTGTGAGGAGCCGGCGGACATGGCAGTCCAAGGCGAAGCTGGGATCCTCATTGCGAGCCCAAATGCTCTCGATAATGGCGGCGTGGACGTGTTCCAGCTTCCAAGAGAACAGCGTGTATCGCAGATGTCATCTGACAAGACACTGAATACCGGCATGGTCATGTCCGTTGCGCTCTACAACGACTCTGGCACTTTTCATCTAATATGCGGCTACGAAGATGGACAGGTCGCGATACACCGACACCAAGGCGGATTTGATCAAGGTCGTCCACAATGGAAGAGAGACAGCTTGCTCAAACTCCACTCGCAGCCAGTATTGTCACTGGCAATGTCACCTTTTCGGGATTTCTTTCTGACGTCCTCAGCGGATGCAAAGATCGTGAGGACTGCGTTCAATCCTACCACTACAGATGCTTCGAACGCATCACGCAAGTCCATCGACACCAAGCATGCGGGCCAGCAAGGACTGTCTATACGCTCCGACGGCAGAATATTCGCAACAGCTGGTTGGGATGCACGCGTGCGGGTCTATTCAGCGAAGACTCTGAAGGAACTAGCGGTCTTGAAATGGCACAAGGAAGGCTGCTACTCGACCGCATTCGCGGATGTGGATTCGCCCTCGGACTCTGCTGTTGTAGCAGACAACGGTGAGCACGCATTAATCAGGTCAGCGCTTGATATCATCAGGCAGGAACGGAATGCAAAAGCTCAGACAACGCATTGGCTTGCCGCCGGTGGGAAAGATGGCAAAATATCTCTTTGGAACATCTACTGAAATCTCAACGTGGTTTCAAGATCACGTTGTCGATCAGTCGAACACTGATTTGCTGGCGCTCCACGTCGTCTACTGGATCATCGACCGGATGCACTTTCATCGCGGCGCTCAAAATGGCACCCTCCGATGGAACGATCATTGTCGAATCCTCCATCTGGCTCATATCATCGGGTTTGCTAAGAGCGATGTAGTCCACTTCTAAGCGACAGCTCTTTCCCCACGAGCCGTCTTCGCGCTTGACGTCCCTGTCAAAGACATCGAGCGCCGATTGTCGAATCTCTTTTGCCGAGAGCTCGCCCGATTCATATGCGTCCTGGGCAGCAAATAACGCCCTTGATAGCACGGACACATCTTCCCGCCGCCTGTCCCCGAGATAGACATTTCGACTACTCATTGCGAGTCCATCACTTTCTCTGGTGGTAGGAATGATGCGCACCTGGGTTGGAATGTGAAAGTCCTTCACCATTCGCCTGATCAGTACAGACTGCTGCACATCTTTCTGGCCAAAATACACCCTATCCGGCTGTACAATATTGAATAGCTTCATACAAACGGTAGCCACGCCACGGAAGAATACCGGTCTCGAAGCACCTTCCAACCATTTTCCAAGCGGCGTGATGGTAACGAATGAGCCATCTCCACCAATTTCTGAAGACGGTGGTAGGGTTGGGTACATGGTCTTCACAGAAGGCGCAAAGATGCCTTGTATCCTGCTATCCCGTCCGCTCCCACTTGATCGCAGATACTCATCCTGCGCCTGTTTCAGCTTTTGCAGGTCTTCATCCCAAGTCTTGGGGTATGAATCGAGGTCTTCATTGACGCCAAACTGTGTGGGATTCACAAAAATGGACACGAAAACATGGTTGTTCTCACTCAGGGCGTGCCGAACTAGGGAGAGGTGACCTTCGTGCAGCGCACCCATGGTAGGCACGAAGCCGACCTTATTTGGTGGCTGGAACATCGGCCGGCGGACTTCACGAAGAGAGGGAACATCGCGGAAGACCGTGAATGGAACGTTCTGGCGCCGCGGCGTTTGCGAGAAGTGTCGGTTGGAGGTAGGGGCGCATCGGAGGAAGATGCGAGGTGGCATGGTTTCAGACAGAGGCCGAGGTCAATTGCACTCCCAGGGTATGAGCAACGTTCAAGGAGGGGTTTTGAGGCTCAGCTCTACTCATCTTGTATTGCCCAACCTTGGAGAGCGTCTACCGGTAGGCTCGTGACAATAGTTTCAAGCGTGCTGCGTAGTACAAGCGTACAAGCTGTGGTCTCAGTCAGCCAATCGGAGTATAGCATTTTCCCCGCCAAAAAGTTCACTGCCTCTTCCTCGATTTTGCGATTTTGACTGCCATGTTTGACCACTCCTCATCATGGCCGATGGTATGCTGCTGAATTTTGCCGTCGACCAGATTACTGCGCCGGCGGCTCAGAAGTTCAAAGGTGGGTCATGGAAGGACCGTGTGCGGGCAAAGAACGCTGCCCGATTCAACGCGCAACGGCAGGGTGATCCCACGAGGCCGCTGCTCTCTCTGGACGGTGCGCCGAAGACGGGTCCAAATGCTGAAGATTTTCCTGATCCGCGACCGGCGAAGCGAAGGCGAGAGAATGGCTCGGCAGCCGAAAACCGCACACCATCAACGAGACAGTCACAAACTACCGATCGAAAGCACATAAATGCTGATGGCTTCGTTTCGTCGCTCTTCACCTCAAATCCGACTCCCGCAGCGGCTGAGAAAGAAGAAGAGGGCCTCGATGAGAAGCCAAGCAACCCTTCCAATGCTCCCTTGCCCGATGGAATAGACACTTTCACGTCGCTCGGCCTGTCGTCCAGCGTGGCTGCCCACCTGCTCACCAAAATGGAGCTGAAGAACCCGACAGCTATTCAGAAAGCGGCGATAACACAGATGTTGAAAGAGCAGGGCGATGCTTTCATACAATCTGAGACTGGTTCTGGCAAGACCTTGGCATATCTGCTACCCATTGTCCAGAAGATTATCAGCATGGCTAAGCAAAATGACAGTGAGAACGCGGTGCATAGAGATTCAGGTCTCTTCGCTATCATTCTCGCGCCAACAAGAGAACTCTGCAAGCAGATTTCGGTCGTGCTTGATCGGTTACTCGGATGTGCACACTACATTGTCGCTGGAACGGTCACGGGAGGCGAGAGGAAGAAATCGGAGAAGGCTCGTTTACGGAAGGGATTGAACTGTCTCGTTGCAACGCCCGGTCGTCTCGTCGATCATCTGGAGAACACTGAGGTACTCAATGTCGGTTACGTGCGGTGGCTGGTCTTAGATGAGGGTGACAGATTGATGGACTTGGGTTTTGAAGAGGACATCGGTAAGATCATCACCAGTCTTGACCAGAAGCGACGAAAGAGCACAAGAGCGGGACTGCCTGAGAAGCGAACCACAGTCCTATGCTCCGCGACGCTCAAAATGAACGTCCAGAAACTTGGTGAGATCAGCTTGAAGAACGCAACTCTGATCAAGAGCGACGAAGACACGCCCACCAGCGAGACTTCAGCCTTCCTCGCCCCTGCACAGCTGAAGCAGTCATATATCGTCACTCCCTCCAAGCAACGACTCGTCACACTCACCGCGCTTCTGAAACGGACATTCGCGCGCAAAGGGTCCGTGATGAAAGCCATCGTCTTTGTATCCTGCGCCGACAGCGTCGACTTCCACTTCAACGTCTTCACACGCGGCCACGAGGGCGACGAAGTGCGTGCCTCATCCCTCAGCGAACACCTGGACATCTATCGCCTTCACGGATCCCTACCGCAGCCGGTCCGCACATCCATCGTGCGCAAGTTTCATGCAGCCACGACCCCCTCCCTGCTCATAGCCACCGACGTCGCCTCCCGCGGCCTGGACCTGCCCAATCTCGACCTCGTCATCGAGTACGACCCGGCCTTCTCCTCCGACGACCACCTCCACCGCATCGGCCGCACCGCGCGCGTCGGGCGCGACGGTCGCGCCATCATCTTCCTGCTACCGGGCTCCGAAGAAGGCTACGTATCGGTGCTCCGATCGTCCTACAAGCCCGGCTCCGGCGGCTCCGTGACGTCCACGTCTGCGGACGAGGTGCTGCGCAAGGGCTTCAGCCCGGCCGTGGACGCGAGCCAGAAGGAATGGGAGAATAAAGCGACGCAGTGGCAATTGGACCTCGAGCGGTGGGTGTGGGGCGACAAGACCACCGCGGAGATGGCGAAGAAGGCGTTCCAGAGCCAGATTCGCGCGTACGCGACGCACGTGGCCGGGGAGCGGCAGTGGTTCGACCTCAAGGCGTTGCATTTGGGGCACGCGGCTAAGGCGTTTGGGCTGCGGGAGGCGCCGGCGAATTTGAATGTGGCGGGGATGGGGAGGGATGGCGGGAAGGGGAGGACGCTGGCGATGAAGAGGAAGGCTGGTGGTGCTGATGGGGAGCATCGTGGAGAGCAGAAGAAGATGGAGGTGGAGGATGTCGGTGAGGCGGATCAGGCGGCGAAGAAGATGCGGGATGTCGTGAGGAAGCAGAGGAAGATGATGATGGGAGCTGGCGCTGATGAATTCAACCTGGCGTGAGCTGTTGCAGGCAGCGTATGCAGTATCTATCTCAATGGCAGAGGAAATGGCAAACAACCGGCCGCCGTTGCATACTATCTACGATCATGCCGAGTATGGCCTCCCAAATCTTTCCCAGGAGGTTTGGTCAAAGATCGCAAGAACCCCCGCCAGCAGCCCATTGGCTCCCAGCCAGCTCTGCAGCTCCAAGCCCCTTGACTCCAGTTCCCAAGCGAGAAAATCATCTCCAACGGACCACTTTTGCCCCCGCGATTTCTCAGTCTTTATACACTGGCAGTTCAAAAATCTGCCCTCAAATGACCACACATTTATGGACGTTCTCTCAACGTCTTTCCAAGGGGGTATAGCTCAGTGGTAGAGCATCAGATTGCAGTGCGTTCGAATATCGACGCGGAATAATCTGAGGGTCCGTTGTTCGAGCCAGCGTGCTCCCTCTTGTTTTTTTGATTCTTTAATTCTTTTTTTGGGCTTGGGGAGGAGGGAGGGGATCTGTTCTCTGACAAGAGATCTTGGCGAGGGTTCTGGCTGGGAAGGTCCCCGATCTTTGTCTCTCAGATGCTGGAATAGACATCGTCACGGCCCTCAGACTGCATGCGTATCTGTTGGGTTGTGGTCTGTGGTACTTGAGTTGTGCCTGCCTGCGTCGAGATGATATACACTATACACAGTCGCATACTCCAAGCACTCTCTATACTCTCTCGCTTCTCTTCTCTCCATGGATGGATTAAACTGCTGCTACAGGAAGTCGTAAATTCATCCATCTTTCCTTTCGTTCCTCGAACGGCGTTATCGCATGTACTGTATCTGCAACTGTAACATCATCCGGCCAGGCCATCGTCCTCTGCTCCTGGGAGGGGTATTGATGGTGTGATGTGGACCACAATGCCCTGCTGCGAGTCGTATAGGCCGCAGGTCGCTTCATCTCGGAGCCTTCTATGAGCAGTTTCATCGCGAAGGACACCAGGGGTTCGGGTTCCCACCGGGTGCCTAGACCGGTCGATCACGTTGGAGTTGAACTGCTGACTCTCGGACCTCTTCCAGGGTGTTCGATTTCTCCTTGATCGTCTTTTGCATTCCGAAACACTTGCTCGATCGTCTCTCACTCCAGCTCACTAACCTCACCTGGCCGCTGCCTGATCCCGGAGTTCCCTCTCGCCGCAATTGCCGCACCGTCCAGCTCAGGGCGGTACTCGGCGGCCTGACTACCGTCGAGCTCCCTCCTTTCCCAATCGTGCGGTTGGCGGTACGGCTCCTTGCTGTCCTGTGCGTTATAGGCGCTCAAGCCGTTATCTTTCCGCCCGCGAGCTGCGCGACGCTTCCGCCAAATGAAGAACACGAGCCCTGTGATCAACGCGAGGCCCACTACACAGGCTGCGACCGCGATGCCTGCGACGGCGCCGGTCGAGAGACCCGAGTCTTGCGCCTCTTCTGACGGTGAGCTTCCACCGCCGTCGGTCGTCGTCGTGGATGCTGGCGCAGTTGGGGCTGGTAGATCCGTCGTCCGAATGGTGCTTCCTGTCGTTGGCTCAGAGGTGCCGGCCGAAGTGGTGTCGGAACCAAACAGACTCAGGTCGCGCTCTCGATACTCGATAGTGATGGGTTGCGCCCACATGGAGATATCGCCCGAGACTTCTATTTCCGTGTCGTTACCGCGCGCGGAGACGGTGGTGGTACCGGAGAATGCAGACACACAGCCCATAAACAGAACGGAGCTGTCGGAGTAGAAGTTGATGGTGGAGTAGGTGCTGCCGTAAGAGAAGGATCTGTGGAGGAGAGAACAAGGTCAGCCAGGTTCCGCGGGTCGTAGTTCGTGGGGGAGCGGACTTACGAGGGACAGCATATAGCAGTGGTAGTGCCATCGTTCTGGAATTGGCCGGGTGTTTGGTAGCCCTCGGGACATGCACCGGGGCTGTAGACTTGTATCGAGGAGGGTGCTCTGCCGTTGCCGGAAAAGCCTGTTGGAAAACAGCTAGTGTCGCGGCTTGTCGAGTCCATGTTCTGTATGAGGAGGCCTCCCTCAACCGAGTTGTAATATTCATCTTCGTATGTCCATGAATTGGCGCAGTCGGCGGGAGGCGTGAAGACGGCGCTCATGGCCGTGATGGTTTCGGTGAACAAGCTCGCCATCTTGCTGGTGGTAGGTAGACAGGCTGGTGTAGAGAGGGGGTCACCACACAGGCGCAGGTACAAAAGACAAAAGAGAAGCCCAAAAGAACGCGACCAACCTTGCCGTAGAGTGCGACGACCACTAGTCTCCTGCACGAGGCGCAGATAATGCAGATAATGTAGTCATACTCGGTAGTCCGCGGTGGGCAGCTGGCAGCAGTAGCGGGCGCAACGCTGCCGTTGGGCTAGATTGCTAAGGCCATCGTTAGCCCCGAGAACGCACCAGCGACCAGGAGGAAGGCCTGACTGAAGCCTCGACAAGCCAGTTAGTGTCACAGGTAGTGCTTGAGGGGCCAAAATGAAGCCGAAAATAAAATGGTCGAGGCAGTGAATCGCTTGAGACGGGGCCCCCTGATGCGAGCTACGGCCTACGATTGGTGAGTGGTCGGGCACGGCACGGCGTCGGAAAGTTATACAGTAGCTCGCCTGTGGTTGAGATTGCGCAGGACCGTGATCCCTGTTCATCCAGTGCCATGTTTGCACCGGCATCAACATCGACATCTCTTTCGGTGTATTGCCGACGACGACTGTCTTCAATCCGTGTCATTGGTTTGATATGCGAGCCTCGCAACCAGGCGCGGCGGTGGCTTGAGCCCTGCCATTGCCGGTGATCCGAAGGCTTTAGCGAGCTGCGCCTTGTCAGCACCATTGTACCTCCGTACTGCCTGGCCAGATTTGGCCCAGCCAAGGACAGCACTCTGCACGGCACATACAGGAACATTGGTGTTGGTGGTCGCCGCCATACCGTCAGGTTCTCAAGCAGGTCCATGGGTCTGGTCTGCGCATGGCCAGCTTTCCGAGAGCGTGCAAGTGACCACCGTGATCCAAGACTTCAAGCCGGCTTACCATAGGAATGGTCGTCACTCCCGTCCTACGGCGGCTGTTCGGGCACCCATCGCGCCTCCTTCTCACATTGATGCTTGTTGCAGTACTGACATGGTTGACATTGCGACATCCAGCTCGTTCCGCAGCATTGGCAAACCAAGGTGTCGACCATGACATCCGCACTCAGGAATCGTCACAGTCCCCATGGTGTCGCAATGTATTTGGGCAAGGGTAAGAGGCCCCTCGATGCCGCCAATGGAGCACTGACCATACTGCAGCTACATCGAGTCATTTGCAGACTCGGCGGCTCAATACTGCGACGCCGATTCCTCGGCCAGCCTCACATGCTTCAGTCACACCGTCGATCTGAACGGGCGCACCGACTCGTTCTGTGTAGCGAGCCCAGCAACCATAGACCAGGAACTGCAGAGGTTTGTGGTGGACTGTAGCCTCGAATCTCAACCCAAGACTCAGCACGGCCTTCCTGCCCCATCGTTCCACAGCTTCCCGCCGTACTGGTACAACACTGGGCCTGCCAAAGTCCTCAAAATGATGGTCAGCCTGGTCAGACGTGGCCAAGCCCCTGTGCGGGCACCTTTCTTCGATCAGCAGCTGCCCACGGTCATTCTCGTCAAGCGCGAAATCGCCAACTTCAATCTGTGGCACAATCTGATGGAAATCATGTCAACTATGCACAGTCTCGACGTCATATCGCGGTGGCAGGACGTTGCTGACTGGAGGGTTGATCGGGTTCACGCCAATACCAAAGTAATGATCCTGGACGAACTCGAAGATGGCCCGTATCATGATCTCTGGCATGCTATCACTCCCAGCCCAGTGCTTCGATCAAAAGACATCCTTACCCTTCCCCCGAGCAACATCGTCATCTCCATTCCAGGTGGAGCAAACCCTTTTTGGCAGGGTGATTGGATTGACCTCGACTGCAGCAGCTCATCCCTGCTCGAAACCTTCACTGACCGTGTCCTGACACATTTCAATCTCACAGCTGCCTCCACGGCCTTATCCCAGCCACTGACAGTCACATTTATCGACCGCACTACCAAACGTCGTCTTCAAGACCAAGCTCGCCTCATTGACACTCTCAAAACCCGACTTCCTGGCCATGTCATCCAGGTAGTCGACTTCGCAGCACTTCCATTCCGCGACCAGATCAACGTGGCTCGCAAAACCGACGTCCTCGTGGGCGTGCACGGCGCAGGTCTCACGCACGGTCTGTTCCTGCCTCCCAAATCAGCCATTGTAGAGTTCATGCCTTTCAACCTGGATCACCGAGGGTTCAAGAACATGGCCAAGATGCTGGGACACCAGCATTTGGGAGCAAAAACGCAGGATCTGTCTGACCGTCAGGGCTCAAACAGACATAACGACTGGCAGAGCGAGGACGTGAAAGTTGAAGACGAAACTTTCTTGCATCAGGTCACGACTGCAGTCAAAGCCGTTGAAGCAATGAGACGGCAGGGCACCAAGTGAGCTTCAGGTGCAATGCAGATCTCTTGGGTAGAACCGATGCCCCCGATCTCGACTATGGGGATGGGTATGAGCTCCTCACAGTCAACGTCCAGGGAGGCTGGGTACATGATCAAGCCAATGTCAGGGCGGGTCTTTGCTTTTGACCTTGCATGTCACGGCGCCTGTGCCTTTCTGCTTCCAGCCTGCGGAGCACCTTCGGCATCGATCTCGGCGAGCGGTCCAACAGTCGGCAATGCACGAAGCGAGCACTTCATGGTGGGTGGCACTTCAATAATGCTGCCGACGTCGCCACTAGTGCGACACGCTGCGGTCGATTGACCTTCGCGTGTCAGAGCGTGCCTGCGAAAATTGGATGTGAGAGCCTGGAATCACCATGGTTGTTGGGGGCAGCCACGCGCCATGGAGCGCCCCGGAGTTCCAGGCAGTGAAAAAGCCCTGGCAAGATGCCTCCCTACCTCGAATGGTTCGCAAAGCTACCCTCCTGATCTATACGATGCCCCTGATTACATGCAGCCGCTCCAGCTGCCGCCGAGTTGAAGCCTTGAGGTGATTACGAACTGGCAAGTACGACGGCCAGGCAGAAAAGCATCGAGCAGAGCTGCCTGCGTGTGGTATTGTGTTTCAAGCTCTGGAGGTCAGTCAAGTCATTACTGAGGCGCGCCTGCGAACTACTTGCCGCTGCTGCTGCTGATTGATTGATTCGTATCAACTACGGAACACGATTTCATCTGCACGGCGATGAGAAGAAGTGAGAAATGATTGTGTGTGAAGGGGGTAATGGGGGAATTAAAATGTGCTAGGTCTAAAGGACAAAAGGCTTGAGGCAACGTTGCATAGGGCAGGGCTTTTGAACTCGTTGTCTTGAAAGGGAAAGTCCGATTGTGGCCGTGACTTACCTCTGCAAACCCTTTACCGCTACATTCTTGGATCGACTCGAAGCTCTCACTCATTGCGAGTTATCTGCTCAGCGATAGTACTCGGGGAAGCGGGTGATGCAAGGTGGGTACACTGGTGGTGGTGGAGGAGGGCAGTAGACGACCGGTCGATACACCACTGGCGGCGGCGGGCAGTACGCAGGGCGGTGGACATGGACGTGCACGACCTCGCGAACGCACTTGCACTGGTGGTGGCGATCGTGGCACGAGTTGCGACGCTCCTTGGTGGTGTTGGAGCGCGCAAGGGCGCGAGAGTCGTCGGCGGCGGTACGGCTGGGCAGCTCGGACCGGTGCGTGGTGGTCGTGGTGCTGCTGCGGGCAACGACGGAGCTGCGGCGCGGCGCGACCGCGAGGGCGCGAGAATTGTCGTTCGGGCGCACGGTGCGGTCACGGTCGGTCACGGTCAGTCCACTCATACGGTCGGAGATGCCGGCGGAGATAGGGGTGCGGCGCGAGCGCTCGGTGGTCCGGCTGTGGTGTACGGTGCTGGCACGCTGCACGAGGGTGCGGCGCTCAGTAGGCTCGCCTCGCGCGGTCTCGGTGTAGGGGTCGCGGCTGCCGAAGGCGGTGCGGCGGCTCTCACCGTCGTCGGGCACGAGACGCGACCGCTCGGTGTGTCGGCTTTCAGGGACGTGGCGCGTCGATGGCCGGACCGTGGAGTGGCGGGCGCGATCCTCCGTACGGCCATCACGGTCGGTACAGCGGGTGTCAGCACAGCTGGGCGAGTGGTGTCGAGTAGTGTGGCGGTCCGTGGCTCGCTCCGTGGCTCTAGTACGAGACTCGCCGCGGTGGCGGGTGGTGGTGTGGCGAGTGGTTTCTTTACAACTGGGAGCCGCTGAGGCTTGTGGAGTGGGTAGTAGAACCATGTTTTGTTTTGTGGATTGTGGTGGTGGTGGTGGTGCTGAGTTTGATTTGTGTTGTTAAGTTATGGGCAATCTGGATCCGAGATGTGCGAGCCTAGGGTATCTTATAGCGTGCGTATCGCAAAGCAGGACATTCTGTATGCTTTTTGTCCCCGGAGAAAGAGCATTGCCAGCGCCACGGGGCGTCTTTGTCTCCCATTGTTGCCCCCTCATTCTTTTTCTCGCATTATGTAGCAGTGGCATTGCATTGTTTGGCCGGAGGAAGGACCCCCGGTTGTGCCTTGGAAAGTCGCGGGAAGTTGTGACACCTCAGAAAAATCTGGATGGGAACCAGAGATCATGGAGAGGGGAGAGGGAGAGCGCGTTGCTCGAGACGGTCAGGCAGACAGCATGCCGCTGCTGGGGGCTCGAGGTGGCGAGCAGAAGGCAAGTAAGTAACAAGGGGAAACCCCCACAGGACAAGAGATCATCAAGACAAAAAGCCGGAATCATGGTGAAGGGGGTATTCTCCCACTAATCAAATCTGCTTTGACTTGCTGGCACCTATGGACGAATACAGCTAAGCACAGGCAGCAAAGTCTGGCCACATATTTTCATTCCAACCATCGGACAGGTTCTGTCGTCTCAAAAAGTCCCAAAATGCCGTCCCTGATGTTTCGATTACACGGCTGCCTCCCACCTGATGGGAGTCGTACAGACAAGCAAACATAGATACAGAAGAATCAAACTACTCCAAACCCCCTTATCCGTGTTCCTGTTTCGGGACGAGGACGCACACTCATCTCTCTCACGGTCCCAGGAAACGGAGTCCCAATTCCTTTAGGAGACCCCGTGATATTATAGAAATCGATCACGGTCCGCAGCCCACAGCGTTGGTCACACAAGTCAGGATATTCGCGCCCTGGATGGCACCGAGGGCCTGGGGCACCAAGCAGCTGGCCGTGGTGAGGGTGTTGAGCGCCGTGGCGCCCAGGCCCGAGGTCGTCAGGTCGGTCAAGCACTGGGCGATGCCAGTGTTCAGGGCTAACAATTGGCCGGCGGCGTTGAGCACGTCGGCCGGGTTGACGTTCAGGCCGTTCAAGTTGAGACAGGCCGGGGGGATGGCGCTGGCGACGAGGCAGTCTGGCAGGCCTGAGGGCAGGAGCGGAGGTGTGGAGGTAGTGGTGGCCGAAGCGGTCGTGGCAGATGCTGCGGACGTCGTGAACGAGGTGCAGAGGACTGTACCTTGCAGACACTGGACGAGACCTGAGCCTCCTGCGAGCAGATTGGTGGTGAGGCAGGTAGTGACAGAACCCAGCACAGAGAGGTTGAGGAGGCTTTCCAGGTCAGCATTACAGCTCGTGACGAGACCCGGGTTGCCGAGAAGTTGGAGACTGGTCAGTGCGTTGAGATTCAGGCAGGTCTGAGGGAGGACAGAGATACAGAGTGGCAGGTCGGGAATCAGCGGAGTTGGTGTCGCACTTGGTTGAACTGTTGTTGAGGATCCTGCGCACAAGACTGTTCCTTGCAAGCAAGAGACAAGACCAGATCCTCCTGCCAGAAGGTTGTTGGTGAGGCAGGTGGTGACGCCAGTCAAGGTAGTGAGGTCGAGCAGGCTGGTCAGATCGGCATTGCAGCTCGTGATAAGGCCTGGGTTGGTAGTAAGTTGGAGAGTGGTGAGCCCGTTGAGGTTCAAGCAAGTCTGAGGCAGAACAGAGATGCAGAGTGGTAGATCGAGAATGGGAGATGGCGTGGAACTTGGTTGGGCGGTTGTTGAGGAGCCAGCACACAGAACAGTTCCCTGCAAGCACTGAACAATCCCGGAGCCCCCAGCAAGCAGGTTGGTAGTGAGACAGGTGGTGACGCTAGTCAACTGGCTAGGGTCGAGCAGGGCCAGTAGATTAGCATTGCAGCTTGTGATGAGGCCTGGTTGTCCGGCGAGTTGCAAAGTGGTAAGCCCATTGAGGTTCAAGCACGTCTGTGGGAGGACAGAGATGCAGAGAGGTAGGTCGGGGATCAGACCGCTGGTTGTGGTCGCAGTCGTCGAGGGGTTGGCTGGGCAACCGAGACCAACGCTGATGCAGTTAGCGATGTCAGTGCCGGACGTAGTGCCGAGGATCGTAAGCGGGATACAGGCAGCGACCTGCAGGTTGGTGTTCAGGATATCGCCGAGAGAAGCTTGACACAGACCCAGTTGTGTGGTCAAAGCAGTACCAGTCAGGCCGTTGAGCAGTTGGCAGGGGTTGGGCAGGCAGACGTCGAGACCGGCGGATGTCGTGGTCATGGTCATGCTCGAGGTAGTGACGCTGGTGACATCTGAAGTAATAGTAGAGGTAGTAGACTGGACACCTGAAGTACCCGACGATGAGCTGGTAGACTCAGTGGTTGCACTGCTAGACTGCGATGAGGTGGAATCGGTGGACGTGCTCGTGGAGTCGGTGGAAGTGCTCGTGGAATCTGTGACGGTGGAGGCACTGGTCGAGGTGACTGTAGCAGAAGTCACCGAGGTCGAAGAAGTTGGCGACACTGGGGGGGTGAATGTAGGGTCGGCCGGACGGGACGAGGTGACATATGACACGCAGACGGCGCCAGCGACAGGAGCGACAAGCACGGGCGTGCAAGCTGCCGCATCGAAGTCTAGTGCGGGAAAGCCAGCATAAATCTGTTGAGCGCAGCTGAAGAAGCTGGCCGCACCCTGATCAGGGGCGTTCCAGTTCAGGAGAGCGCTGTTGACGCTGAACGAGGTGTTCACTTGATCGTTGGGAGGGTTGATGAGCGAGCCAAGGATGGCACTCTCAGCACCCCGGAGTTTACCAACAGATACAAGTTGGCCGCCCTGTCGGAAGTTCAGGACACCATTGATCAAGTTGAAGGGCGTAGCACCATCGCATCGATCTGCTGCCTGGGCGGGCGCACCGGGAGTAGCAACTGAGAGGTCAACCAGCTTGACCGGAATGGCGGTGTTCTGCGCAGGGGCTTGTCGGCGCTCCAGGTCATAATCTCTCTTGATGACAGGACCCGCTGCAGGAGTGCTGAAGGCGAGGAAGAAGAAGTCTGCCAAGTTGTCGGTCGGGCCGCTCGGAAGACCCTGACCGCCGGTGAAGGGAGGTGTGAAGGTGGTCGTGACCGGTGGCGGGGGTGTCTGGGTGAGGGTGGCGGTGTTGGTGACCGTCACATACGAGATACTCGTAGCACTGGCGTTGTAGACAGGCTGCACGATGATGGTGATGTCCGGCTGGACCGGGCAGACGCCGCTGGGCCCTACTGCGATGACTGCGCGAGGCAGAACATCTCTCTGATGCAAATGCTGATGGTTCGCCTGGACGGCAACCGCCAACAAGGAGGCTGTAAGCGAGTGAAGCCTCATGATGGGTGAACTTTGGCTCTAAAGGAGTGACAAGAAGGTCAAAACGGGCCCGAATTGGGGCTGAGGGACAAGTCGAAGTCCTGTCTTAGTTAGTTGGTCGTGTGATAGACTTTGGCTGAACGACAGGCGTCGACTATAAGCACAAGTCGAGAGTGAGACAGGTGTGCTTGCGTGTGTTGTGCCATTTCCCCTGATCGCGAGCAAACATTCCACCAAAGTCGGTCGGCAATGATGGTGCTCGTCGCTGACCTGTGATACATGGAGGGGGAGATGAAGGGATCCAGATTGGGCATCATCCGCGCTGAAGCATCCAGACACATTCTGTCGACGTGTTGAGCGTGTGGCGAGTGATTTCCAATGCTCGTGTGGTCTATTCGGTTGGGCGGTGAAAGCAGCCGAGCTGTCTTGAGACCCTCAGCTGGTGTCAGTCCAGCGCATTCCAAGGACGCGATGGAGCCCGTGGTGTGGTGTGGCGATTGTTTAAGCGAGGCGCGGACGAATACGAGCTCTAGGAACGCAGTGCTTCGCCTCCTGTCCGAATCTCAACGACTTTGCCTCGTGTGCTGTCAGTCGGCATTCCAGCTCGCTGAGCAAGAGACATCAGATCGATAAGACAGCCATACATGTGCCGGCAGATGTCGTCAGCCGACTGGATGACCGCCCGGGACACAGATGTTGTTGACCACTCCGGAGCATTCTGCCACCTCGCTGGAGCTGAAGGTTCCATCGGCTTTTTGAGCTTGCGCGGTATCCGGATTTCGGCAGCTGGAAGTGGAGCTGTTCTATGTATGATGTGGGCTCTGTTGCTCTACGAGACGCGAGGAATTGAGGAGTTCTTAGAACCCCCTGGAAGGAGACTCACATTGTCGCACCCATGCACAGTACGAGTTGGCGGATGGTGTTTGCGAGGGGCAGATATTCCTGCACCCCTGGCGCATGCCTGATGGCGTCGCATGCCGCCAGGTTTGATACACACATCCGAATGGATGATGGGGGGGGGGTGAGCAGGGGTCCTGAGTGGTTTGTATCTTCGTATTCTGCGCCGAGAACCGGGGTAGGCCTTGGCCAGAATTATCTGGCCCCCAAATTCGAGGTCTCCAGGCCTAAATTCACACTCCACGTTTGGGTCAAGAACCTCCTGTGGTAAGCAATGGATCACCCTGACACAGTAATTGACTCGGTTTGACGGTAAAGATCGATCCCTGGACCTGAGGAGGAAGCTGAAGGACAGTCGAAGGGATCCCCTTTCCAGATTCCCCCTTGCTGCTGCTCTCCAGTTAAGCTTCGCCGGCTATTATGCCCCATGTGCTACGGCTCGGGAGTCGAATCGCCGCGGTAATTAGCCGACGCGTGGTCACACCAATGCCCATTCTGGTATGGCCCGATCGTCCTTAGTTGGATCTCCGCGCATCCCATCGAGCCCAGTCCTGTCCCACGATCTCATATCGCTGCAAGTTTGTAGATACCGCCATATACTTGTGTGCGCACGATAAGGTCAACCCTGGAAGCTTGGCACAACTTGTCCGGGTGTTCGCTGATCGTGTGCACCCACAGCCACCGGCAAGTTCAAGATTGCTCGGGACCCAGAATCGAGTCCTGTTTTTGTGTCGGCTTGATCTCATCAAGAATGACTTAACGTTGGTAGCGGAGATCCTGTGCTGCTACGGTACTTCGTCTCGTATCGTTCAGCTGATGAAAACGGATCTGCAACAAATTTACCGAATTGACCACATCCAGCACTCGGCATTCATGTCAATCGACTGGCAGTTCATGCAGGCAAGCACCGCCAATCCGGTCTAGAGCGCGCATTCCCTGCGAGCAAGTTATGGGGGGAGATTTCCTGACACCGGCTCGGCGCCGTTGGCGCGAATCAAGATCACTTGGGAAAGGTGTGTCCACAGTGTTGGCTGAAATCAGAGCGTACACCTATCAGCAACTCGTCAATGAGGCAACAAAAAACATGAGGAAGCAGGCTGAGGGGAAGAAAGTAGACCCACGTAGGAGGTTCTGAAGTAGAGCCTCGTCGTCGGCACCTCTCGTAAAACATATCACGTGCCAGAGTCACATCAACAGTAGATCACGAAACGACTGGAGCCTGATCTGACAAATGCAGTGAGGCTCGAGATTCAAGTAGCAGGTGGTTTATTGTAGATTCGAAGCTAGTGATGGTACAGTGGTGATCAGATGCCAAGATTCGCAAGGCTGATCGCAAGGCTCTCTGATAAGGGGTACTTGTGCAGTCCGGACGAAATGCCATCAGCTGTGCCGTCATGATTTCGACAACGAACATCGCTGCACGCAGTCATGACAAAGACAGAGAGCAAAAGACTAAGCAGTCTTGTCGGAAGATCTCCGTCGTGTTGTTCGGGGTAGAATCTGTCCAGCGAGAGATCACTTGCCAAAAGAATCGTTGTGGAATATAAATGTTGTAAGAAACAATGAATGTGTCAATTTGGATATCCCAGACCATTTGGATCGTTGCGATGATCCTAGCCTGGCATCTTTGTCTATCAGAATGCTTTGTCTACTCTCTCGTCAGATGCACTGGTTTCACCAAGTCCTACTCCGAGTCGGACCCGTAGTAACCGCCACCAACGGCACGGTATCTGAACCCACCCTTGGTGATGGCACCCACCTCGCGCCTACTCCCGTCCTCGTTGTATTGCACAGCGTCGGCACTCTTTTGCATGCGGTGCCACTCGGACTCGCTGATCTTGATGAGGTCGCCATCGTCATTGCCTGAAGCGGCAGGTCGAGACTGGCGGCGCGAGGTTCGCGTGTCGGTGTCGCCACCACGCATCTTCGTTAGGCAGCGCTCGGCCACGGCATTGGAGACGTCCATCATATCGGCGAATCCTCTGACGCTGGACCGACTGGGTCGGCGCTCAGAGCGCGAAGCCATGACCCTTTGTCGAGGGCGGACCGTGCTCTCACCGTCGTCGCTGAGGCGCATGACGCCCATGGCATTACTGATGGATCTCGAGCGGCAATCTGGCATCAGGGCTTGAGTGATGCGTGAGGCGATGGAGCGAGAGTTGCGACGCTCCAGGCGGCGGGTGGAGTCCTTGACGGTTGGAGTCTCACCTTTGCGGACGACTGCATCCAGCTCACTCCGCATCGCGTTACCGACTTCGGTCTGGCCGGGGTTACGAGTAGTGTGTCGAGAATCGTCGCCGCGGGTTGATTGTCTGACCATTTGAGTGCTAGACGGAGCTTCATCTCGGCGGGCGACCTCCTGGTGAACGGATCTGCCATTAGTACGGCTGTCACGAGTAGTGTGTCGGGACTCGCCACGATGATCAGCGGTGTAAGGATCCCGATCTCCCATGGCGGTGTGGCGAGACTCCTCCCGACGGCGAGAGATTTGGCTCACCTTTGAATGAGACTCGCGACGGCTGGGCTGCCGAGTACTTTGAGAGCGAGGTGGTCGATCGTCGATCTTACGCAAACTTTCGCTGGGCCGCCCACCTCGAGCAGCAGCAATCGTAGAGACGTAGGAATCCTTGTAGTTAGTGTAGCGTGACTCGTCGTAGCGTGGGTCAGCCTTAGGGTGTTGGGCAGATTGCTCGTGGCGCGTATCCCTTCCAGAAGGGTTGGCACGAGAATCGCCATTGACTCGCCGGGAGTCAACAATATTGATCCTGCTCGAGGATGGGGCTGCAAGAAGAACCATGTTGCTGTTTGGGTGGGTTTGCTCGTTTGTGTCCGTTGCCTCTGTACTGGCGTCGGGTCGACCTACTTATACCAGAACGCGAGCGCAATTTCCTAGGACCATGCGGCTTTGTTGCCACAGCCTTTGTAGCTGCATTGTCTCATTGTTCGGTCTTCAACAGGGACCTGTGTCAATGCAATGACTATCGAACAAAGATGTCTCATTGTTTGTTGCGATGGGCCTACCAGAAACTCGTGAGGGACGTCTCCTGAAGCATGATCATGTCAATCGAGAAAGAGAATGTGGTCCTTGTGAATGTGAAATATGATTGAGGGTTTGTGCCCATCTCAGAACCTTGCGCCTTCGTAAGTATCATTGGCTCGTTGGCCTATGGGTATCATGCTTGCTATGGCGCCGTAAAAGTAAACCCGCTGGTATTCCGAGATAGAAAGACTCGACCCGAGCTTTGTCAGCGAAGGTATGATATGCTAGCAGCATTTAGACCTTGACCGTTTTCACAATTCGTGTATCGATGCCGTGACCCCAGCCATAGAATCGACAATCCTCACCGTAATAGCATCCTGGTTCACCTGGCTTGCTCTGAGGGCAGCGGTGACCATAAATGCAATCTGCATCGTCGCAGTCGGTCCGATAGTAACATGGAGTCATCCTGGCCACCTCTCGCAACACTTTGCGCTCGTAATTAGAGATGGGATAATCGTGGCGATGCGTGCAGTGGCTGGAGGTGCATTTCATGCCTTGCAAATAATAGGTGTTACAGAGCTTGAGCTTCTTGACCCGCTGAATCTCGTAATTTGGAATGGCTTCATCTGTGCGATCGATGCGTTGACCTTGTCGGTTTGTGCTGATACTCTTGTTTTGACCCTTGCTCCTGGTATCTCCATTGACGCTCGTGGCGGGAGTACTTTGTTTGACGGGTTTCGTGGTGACAGCAGCAGGGCTGTTGTTTGTTCCATTCGAACCATTCGTCGGGTTCGTGTGTGCTTGAGCTGTAACGGTGGCCCAATTCATCTGTGGAGTACTGGAGGCAGAGTTGTTGCCACTGGTTTTGTTCGATTCCACCCTAGCCAGGACCGGGAGAGTCACGTTGGTGACAGTTTTAGGTGGTGACAGTTTAGTGGAGCGAAAGACGTTATCGAACCGAACGATCTTGAATCCGGGCTGCAGATCTGCGATTTCTTTTTCAAATGGAGCACCCTCGAGGAGAACCAAATGATTGGCGACTTCTGTATCTTGGGCAACTCTGTCGATTATTCGAGCATAGTCGTTGTTGAGGGAACATCCCAGTAGCACAGCATGACAGTGGCAGTCGTAAAGGCTGAGGCGCATGTTTTCGCTAATCTTATCACCAGCTGCATCATTGCGTGTACCCACGTCGACAAAGTCGAAGAGGAGTTTGTTGTTGTTAAATCCATGGATGAAGTCGTGAAGGACACTGGGCTTGTCAATCTCTTTGCATTTGGTCAGGTTCTCAGAGAGTGTTGATATGTCGGCGTAGATGCGGACAGTGATTCGCACCGAGTCGAGGTGGCCGAGATCAGTTGACACAAAGTCAGTAAGCGCTGCTTGGAGAAGTGTAGCAGCCTCTTTGCCACCCTTCTCACCCCTAGACAAGAGATCCTTAGTAAAAAGCATGCCGTCGCCATCGATCAAAGCGGTGACGAAGGCATTACGGTCCATGATCTCCTTAGTTTGTCGCAGCTGATTCTGCAGGGAGTCTTCCCTCAACTGGATGTCTCTGTTAAATTGTGACTCTCGATTCTGGTCGAGTTGCAAGGATCGAAGTTCATTCTGGGTGGTCTCGAGTTGATAGAGGAGGTCCTGTTACACAAAGGTGAGCAATCTTGACAGCTGCTGGATTGGATAGTATATACCTCGATCAACTGATTCTTCTCCAAGTCTTGGTCCTTGAGTCTCTTGTGCCGCTCGCGGTACGATGTCTGGGTCAGAAGTGCACCAATTGGTCCATTTCGGAAAGGTTGAGATCGGGCGCCGTAGTCCGGGCTACTATTTAGAAGCGGATGCTCAAATGTCGGCGAGAAGGGATCGTATCGAGCCATGAAGGGCATTGGCCGTCATGTGAAGATGCACTTAAGTGTTGTAGAAGTGCAAGAGGGGTAGCGCAAATAGCAGAGAGGACAAAGCGGTAGAAAGGCGGCTGTCCAAAAAAACGTCTGGGGTAAGTTATTTCTTATATTTGGCACAGCCATTTCACTGCAGTTCCGCAGGCGCAGGCGCGTTCGCGATTGTCCCCACTATTTCACTGATCTAGTGCGCATTGGGACAGGTGCAGGTCGGGGGCGGCGGTTGTGCTGCAGTGCTCTTTTGCTGCCACGCTGCCATTTTCCTGCCACCACCACCACCACCCGAACACTCCCTACTTCTTCTACACACCCATCTCCCCCCAAGCCTATCTCTCTGCTTTGCCGTCGCTGTCATGGGTATCTTATTGGATCTCGCCCTGCTCCTGGTTGGACTTCAGTCCATTCCTGTCCTCGGCCAAGCTGGTGTACGTCCTCCGATTTCGCCCACTTCGCCCACTTCGCCCACCATTTGACTGACTGCCTGCAGATCGTCGATGAGGAGATCGATGCCCCAAGCAAGAGTCCTTCGCTCTCCGTCGCTGTCTCTGCATCCTTCCCAGATGCTGAGATCTTTGGCATTAAGCTTGTCAATGGCAAGCCGACCGATTCCCTCATCTCCTTCAGCAATCAGGAGCCCGAGCCTGTCACTGTCCAGTTCGTTGGCGGCAGTCTCTGGACTCCTGATTTCGATCCTCAGGGCTCGCGCGTGGTTCGTAACTTGACCACCAAGCAATATGCTGTCGAAATCCCCGCTGGCGAGAAGCAAACCCTGCCCTATCGATTCCAGACGAACATGCACCCTCAGGAGCTGCGCCTTAATTTGGCTGCCGTGGTCAGCAAGGACGAGACGTTCTATACCATGCAAGCCTACAATGGCACCATTTCTGTTGTCGACCCTGACTCTAGCTTCTTTGATCCTCAAATGTGAGTGCGCGCATAGGTTCATCTCTGCAGCAACTGACAGCGTTACAGGATCTTCCTCTACTTCTTCTTGGTCGCGTGCGCCGTTGGCGTCGGCTATGCCTTCTACCATATCTGGGTCGTCCCCTACTTCCCACAGCTGCAGCAGAAGAAGTCAAGAGGCCAGAAGCCCATCAAGAAAGCCGAGCCTGTCGAAGTCGATGCTGCAGGACCCGCCGTGACTACCAGCTCCAAGGGCTACGATGAATCATGGATCCCCGCGCACCATCTTCAGCGGCCCGAGGCGCGTCGCGTCAAGAGTGGTGGTCCGCGCCCAAAAAGCAAAGGCAAGGAATAGACTTCCAGCAGAAAAGATCGCATTCTGGTCATGAAGCCAGCTACTATGCCCTCTTCCAGGGATCATCTTTGCCACAAATGGGCACCCAAGGAGTCACCATAAGGCATAAATCGAGACGACACCTCTGTATCATATCGGATTTGGATAGACCATGTCCCATCAAGAGTATCTATCAAAAGCATTATCAAAAGCTGGTGTAGTGACTGGCGGTTTGGGCTGACAGAGTCATTTGACGCCGTACAGACTTGGCAAGCATTCAGATAGTCTGGCAATACAATCACCGTTCTCATAGAGGACGAAACTTGATATGATACCCTTCGTCATTGCATGAGCCTCCTCTGACCTCGCCCACCTAATAACAGACCCGGAGGCCACTTCAGAAGGTTCAGGCGCGACGCATATCCTAGATAATTGCAGCGCCTCTCTCGTAACAGTCGTATCGTACAGTTTCTCCATCCGCGCGGCAATGTCGGTCACAAGAGGCCTCTTGAGGCTGACATGGAAGCTCAGAAGCTCAAATCAATCACCCATAACCTCATCGTCATCATCATCTGCCTCTCCCCGCGCCTCGTCTTCGTCGCGATCCTCAAGCTCACGGTCCTCGCGCTCCAGCTCCTCTTCGTCCTCAATCTCCCGCTCCACCGCATCGCGTCTCTCCTCCACCACGTCTGCTACATCGTCCACATCCACGATCTGATCGTGCTCCAGCTCCATCGCCTCCGTGACGATCTCCTTGCTCTTCGCCTTGGATCCTTTCTTCTCTCCGGCGGGCCCAGATTTCGATGTCGGGCGCTGCTTCTCTTTGTCCTTCTTCTCGTCTAGGTACGCCACCACGCCGGCGTAGCTCTTGCCCAACTTGCTTCGGTTGAGGTTCAAGCGGGTCTTGACAGCTTCCTTGCCCTCCAGCACGCCCGCGATGGTTGCGAGGACCAGTTTGGACGTGACTTCACAGAGCCCTTGCTCGGCAATGAGGTTGGCTTGCTTGCGGCCTTCCTTGCCCTCCGCGGCTTCTGCCTCACCGTCATCTTCACTGCTTTCGTCGTCGTCGTCTTCGTCGTCTGAGTCTTCAGGAGGCTTTTCGATGTCTTCTTGCGTCTGCTCGGTCTCCGCTTCGACCGTGCCAGCTCTGCTACCACCCTTTTTGCCAGCTTTTCTTGGCTCAACGATCTTTCGGTTTGTTTTTCGGGCGAAGGACTTTTCGCTCCGTTCGTAGGTCTGCATTATTTCGGTAAGTAGCTCTTCGGGTACGCTGACGGTCAAGCTCGCCACGTTAGCCTCCACATCATCGTCTATCTCACCCCTGCCAGGCTTAGGCTGCAGGTGCTTTGTTGTGGCAAAGAGCGTGAAGACATCCAGTACCGTAAGAACTCCTGTCACACGGACTTGGTCGAGCGGCAAGCGTCCCGCAACAACGGGCGTAAGGACTTCGATAAAATTCTCGCGTTTTAATCCCAGGTCAACAATGGGACGCGTGGAGAGGGACCGCGCGTCATTGCTCTCGATCGCAGCCTTCAGCGACACGATCTTCCAGCGGAAATAAAAAGACAAGGCGGTAATGACCGCCATGCAAAGCTGGTCCTCCATCTCAGCAACCGCATCAGTGGTATCGTCGTCCAGCATGCCGTGAGCGACAAGCTTCATAAGAAGTTCGAGAAGAGTTCCATCTTCCCAACCACCGCCCTTGCCTTTGCCTTTCTTGCCATGCACAGGTAACTTTGCTTCGAGGATCTCTGCACAGTCGCTGACGCTGGCAAGATTGGCCACACGCACGCACACGTTGACGAGTTCGCGGAGAATGTTCCGGTCCAGGGTTCCTCGTGTTCCAACTGTCTTGCCTTTGAGGAGGGACTGGAGTGAGCTGATGATATCGCTCCAGAGCTTCTGCACTTTGGCAGTCGCGGCGTCCTTCGACTGCTCGTAAGTACGCGCTACGCGAAGAGAACGCGATGCTTCGGCCAATACCTTGCGATCGGAGTGCGAAGTGAATTGTTTGTTGATGTCGTCGAGCAAAGACGAGTATGTAGCTTCGCCGCCTTGCAGATCTCCAATCAAGTCGGCATCCAGAAGTTGTTCGAGACGCAAGATGGAAGTGGCGGCTTCAGGTGTGCTGCCGTAGCGAGAGAGGAGCTGCGGAATGATGGTCGAGAGGTTGTGCGCGGCAGTTTCTTGTTTCTGGTGGATGGAGTCTTTGGTGGCATTGGTGCGGCCTCCCTTCTTATCTCTGGCGAGGTCGAGTACACCAGCCAGATACATCTTGACTGAGAAGTAGAGAACATCTAGGAGAACGATCTCCTCGCCTTGGCTGAGTTTGTAGGTACCTTGGGCGGCTTGCGAAACATCGCTGTCGTCCCCGCTGGCAGTGATAGAGGAATGATCATAGAGCAGGTATCCTGCAAGCGACTCCCAGTGATTGAGCTCTTTCATGTGCGAATAGATCGATTGAGTCGCGAGCATATACCGGGAGTCGGCGTTGTCGGTACTAGCCAGCGTTCGAATGTTGTCTTCTGGGCTATTGGCCGATTCGGAGCGAGCATCATAGCTGCTCAAGGTTTGTGCGAGGCACTTGAACTTGATCCATGACTGGTTTGCGTCCATCATATCATCCGTGTCCTCAACAGTAGGCAGAGCATCGCTATATTGGTCCGTCTCCCAGTCTTCCACTAGAGCTTTGTACAAGTCTTCGATATTGGAAACGAAGAATTTGCCGACCACTTTCCTTACTCTTGGCTCAGCATCGAAGATCAGTCGCCCGATCGTGTCGATATCATCAGGCTCTAAAAGCTCATAGTTTCTCAGTTTGTCCAGAAGCTCGATGCTTTCAACTCTCACGCTTACATCGGCATCTCGAGCGCCCATCTCAACCATGCGTGGCCGGAACCGATCCGTGAAGGCGCGCAGCGCAGTCACATTCCGCTTCTGGCTGAACAGCATCTTGATTTGCCGTACGACTTCCAGCCGTGTCGGCGCGTTCGGATCAGACATGACCCAACCCAAGTATCGCAGGTACTGGCCTTCCAGGAACATCTTACGGTACTTGGTGATCCAGCTACCCAATGCAGCGACACATTCAACCCGAATCTTCTCATCGACATCCCGATACCGGTGAACGTATACAGTATCAAAGCCGTCGCGCAGGGAAGCGTCGATTATCTCTAGCTTCTTTTCGTCGGCCTTCATGCTCTCTTGTAATGAAGCGACTCTGCCTTTGTTGGAGCTCCGCTTCTTTTTCTCCGCATCCAATTGAGTCTTGGTGGTAGACGTGCTCTGCTGGATCTCACCAGCAAGATCACAGAGTGCAGTAATCATGGAGAGCGAAATGACTGTCGCCGTATGTCTGAAAGGTCGGAAATTCGCACCGGTCATGGTACCGACCCAGACGTGAATGTTATCGTACACCTCGGGCTGCTCGTAGAGAATGGAGGAGTTGTGGAGTGCCTTTACCAGAGCGTCAAAGAACTCAGTCAAGACGGTCTTGAACTCTGCGTACTGTTTGGATTTGGACACCAGCGGATAATCGGCGCTCTGGTTTTCAGAGTATTGCTCCTCTAAGACATCGCCCAGCCTTCCTGGGACATTGTCGATATCCTCGATATCAGGAGACGTTATTTTGATTTCGCACCCAATACACTCGAAGATGAAATTGACCAAGTCCCGGATGGCTGCCACACTGTCCTTTCGTACAGAGCCAATCCAGAGGCCTGCTGCGTGATCCGCATCCTGTCCTCGTCCAAACACTTCGGCGTAGAGTCCCTCCTTCTGAACCTGACTCTGTCGTGCTCGGGCTCTCTGTACTTTGGCAGATTTTGTGGCGGGACGACCCGGAGCGTTGGCAGATCGGATTGCAAGCTTGGTCCCTGCATTCGTCTTGACTCGTTTGATCGCCTGTTTAGGAGGATTCTTGCGCTTGTTCTGCGTTCTTTGTTTCTCTCTCACATCTTCGTCGTCGGGCTCTGATTCGTCCTCGTCGTCTTCAGATGTCTCGTCCTCGTCTTCTGTGTCATTGGCGTGAGTAACAGCCACGCGTTTGCGTTTTGCGGAGCCATTCGCAAGTAGACTGCCTGCATGCTCTTCCTCCGCAAACACATCCGGTCTGCGCGAGACGCGACCCGACTTCCGTCGGTTCGAGTCCGCAGTACCGTTCGGCAGTTCCGAGTCCGTCTCCATGATGTGGTGCGTTTGAGCGCCGATGCGCCCGGTCAGGCCCAAAGGAGGGGAAGGACGTGGGCGACGAACGTTATATGCAGTCGGCGTTTCCGGTAGAGCGAGTCCTATTGCGCAGCGCTGTATGATGCCCACACGCGACTCACTTGAAAGGTGTGCGGACCTTGCTGCAACAAAAAAATGTCATGACAGGATTGTTGGATCTGGCAAGAACGCGTCGAGTAGACGCGAACTTCTGCCCCACTTAATTTAACCTAAGATGCCAAGGCTACCGGCCAGCCTTGTTGGGAAAGCGCGAGGTGGCGGCGGAGGCAGAGGCAGCAGATAGCAGGTTCTCCTAGCTTGTGATCTATCTGGACTACCGGTGCTTGCTGCTGGAGCTCTGCGGCGCAGTACACACCAGTCAACAGCCATGTACGCACAAGGATCCGGTGAATGTCGATAGCGACTTGCTTCTGACCTCGTGAGTTATGGCCCTGCCGCGGTCTCCATTTGCAACCGCTCCTCAACCGCCGGGAACAGGCGAGATTCTCCTAGGCCTGCTGCCCCCGGACAGACAAAGCCTCAAGACCATCAACTTTCAGTATCCACTCAAGCTTATAGCTCCAGATCCGCACCGATCGGCTGATGAGAAGCACGTGACCATCGTCTTCCTTCTCACTTATGGCGGCGGATTGGTTGGAGGCGATCGAATACAGCTGAAAGTGGAACTCGAGGATCATGCACGTCTGGTCCTTTTGACTCAAGGCAGTACCAAGATCTTCAAGTCTCCGACAAGGGCCAGTATCACGGGTCAGGTCTTAGACATCAAGATTGGGTCGGGAGCGGCTCTTTGCTATCTTCCGGATCCTACGCAGCCCTTCGCGGAAAGTGTCTACGAGCAGAAGCAGACCTTTTATGTCGACGACTCTGGGAAGAGCAACTTGCTAATGCTGGATTGGGTCAGTGAAGGTCGCAAAGCACGCGGCGAGAGCTGGAGCTTGTGGGGTTGGAAAGGTCGCAATGAAGTCAGGGCGTTCGACGAAAAGTCCAAAGGTAGACTTCTACTGAGAGATGCAGTCACGCTGACAGATGGCACTCTTGGTGGTGTCGGCCTCACCCATAAAACCAACGATCTCGGCATATTCGGCACGCTCATCATTTATGGTCCGCTGTTTGCAAATCTCGGGAAATTCTTTATGGAATCTTTCAAGAGCCAACCTCGTATTGGTGCCAAAGACTTTACTGATGATGGCAAGCCCGACCACAAGCACAAGGATAATGGACTTCTATGGACGGCCGCAAATATTCGAGGCTTTGTCTTGGTGAAGTTTGGAGCTGCCGATCTTGATGTTGCCCGACAATGGCTCGGAAATCTGCTCAAGCTGGAAGGAACCGTCGAACGACACTTCGGTCACCAGGCATTGCTTTGCTTGCGTTAGACTTGACTTATGCTTATTTGCCATGCGTAAGGAAGAGGCGGTCGCCAACGTCACCCAGGCCTGGCTTGATCATGCCAGCGTCAGTCAGCGACTGGTCAACGCCACCCATCCAGACCTCTACTCCTTCAGGCCATTCCTCCGCCACCTTTGCGACACCATTGGCAGCACCGAGAATTCCGATGAAGATAACGCGCTCGACACCCCATTCTTTCAGTGTTTGAATGGCTGCGACTGCAGTTCCACCTGTTGCGACGACGGGGTCTACGATGATAGCAAGCTTAGCAACGGCAGACTGGGACTGTGGTAGGTTGTTGTAATATTCGACTGGCTGTAATGAGATCTTCTCGCGGAAGAGGCCAAGGTGGTGTACGGGCACTGGGAAGGGGAGGATGGCTTGCGCCGCTTTGCACGTATCAGCGACTGTTCTCGAAGCTTGGACTAGGCACCTACCATCGAGCATTCCGAGGCCTGAACGAAGGATCGGTACAAGTGTGACCTTCTGCGGAGAAATGGTTTCGAAATCGTACTGGAACCCTATCGGCGACTCGTCCTACCGTTTGTTCAGCAACTGTGGAACATGCCTACGAGAGGCAGCGACGTACTGTGCCAGCGGTGACGACCTCTAGGCTAGCCAACGCTTCGGTCGCTAAGATCAAGGAGATTTCGTGAACCACATCCTTAGTCTCACGGGCATTCATGGACTTTGATCTGAGCTGGGACAGCTTTGCCCTGAGGCAAGGATGCTTCGAGACGTGGACATTAGTGGGAAGGGCGGACATGACGAGCGGCGCAGGCACAGGGCGCAGAATCAGCGCGAGAGGAAGAGAGAGAGAGAGATGTCAAACAGTGCTTCGATTTTGTCCGCGGTGAACTACTTATCGCAGACGTATGCAGGTACAGTTGGTACCACTGCAGCACCATATCTCTTAGGTGGGGATCCATGTGCGCGGGGCAAGCAACAGGGTGTCGGGGATGGCCGATGCGCAAAGTGCGCGGGCGTGAGTCGGCCCTGCTCTGTGTCGGGAATGTAAGATGCGTAGTCTGCATTCTAGCTAGGAGACCATCTGTTGAGCGCGACCATTTGGGGCTCTGCATGCGTTCTGTTCATGGCAGTGAGCAATCGCAGTGATCGCTGGTCGGCGCGGAGAAGACCCGTCTCCGACGTCATAGCGGGCTTGCATTATTCCTGAGGGATTCAATAATATCTGAGCTAGCACCTGCACCTTATCCCGGTGGACGTTATGCGATTCTCCATGTATGCGTGACACGTCAGATTCCCGCAGCAGAGCCTGAGATCGTGGCCACGAGTCTATGGAACGGGAAGCGCGCCCTCAAATCACCACATTGCGGGAGCGATGGCAAGCAGAGCATTTCCCCGACAGTCTGGCGCAGACCCGAGTGGCGACGGAGAGCAATGACGGTAAAGCCACAGAGCTCAGTGAGCTGAACGCTCCCCAAGCTCGAGTCGAAAACCCTACGACCAGCTCCCTCGAAGATCCTGCCTCGTCTGCGGAGCCCCAATCAAGACCCTGGTTGACCGAGCTTGAAGCGCCTTCGCCAGCTACGAACGAGAGCAGAGGATCATTCTTGGACGATGGAGAAGGCCGGAAAACTTCAAATGAAGGGTTCGCTAGACAGCCAGAATCTTCCGGGCCGGTTCAGAATGGCTTCAGGGAGGCAGAAGGGCAGAAATTGAAGACGAGCGAGTCACCAGTGCGAAAAGTCGAGTACTCGCCCTTCCTGACCGAGCTATACACTGTATCATGGCTAATATTCTTCTCTTTCTGGGGCACACTGGCTCGAGTTGGAGTTGAGGCCCTTACTTTGTATCCCAATTCACCGTTCGCATCGAGAGTCCTGTGGGCCAACCTGGGAGGGTCTTTTGTGATCGGCTTCTTGACTGAAGATCGGCGGCTCTTTCAGGAAGAATGGGGTACACCTAACCCAGGTGCTGGCCATGCTGCGCACGTCAAGGTGAAGAAGTCTATTCCGCTCTACATTGGCCTGGCTACCGGTTTCTGCGGATGCTTTACCTCTTTTTCCTCCTTCATGAGAGATGCTTTTCTTGCACTCACGAATGCTTTGGAGTCACCGAATCCGACGACACCATATCAGGTCGACCCAACCGTTCATTCGCGGAATGGTGGGTTCTCCTTCCTGGCGTTGCTGGCTGTCCTTGTCGTCGAGCCAGCAGTCTCAATTGGAGCCTTGAAAGCCGGTGCGCATTTCGCTCTACTCCTTCAGCCTGTTACGCCAGTCATATCTCATCGCCTTTCTAGAAAATTGCTTGAGCCGGTGGCTACGGTGCTCGCATTTGGGTGCTGGCTAGGGGCCATATTCCTGACCATTTGGCCACCAGGCAACAAGACACATTGGCGATATCGAGCGACGTTTCCTTTGGTGTTCTCACCACCGGGATGCCTGCTCCGTTATTATCTATCGAAGCACCTGAATGGTCGAATTCCAGCATTCCCACTGGGAACGTTTGTCGCCAACATCCTTGGAACAATAGTACTGGGTATGGCGTGGGACTTACAGCATGCGACAGGAATAGGCGCAGTTCCAGGGGCCACTGCAGTGGGCTGTTCGGCCTTGCAGGGGTTAATGGAGGGCTTCTGCGGGTGTTTGACGACGGTCAGTACATGGGTCTTAGAACTAGACAGCTTGCGACGTCGACATGCGTGGATTTATGGATTGGCCAGTACCGCGGTTGGACTAGCATCCATGATCATTATCATGGGTAGTATGGGGTGGACCATCGGTTTCGCAACACCTTTTTGCAGCTGAGACTGCTTCATGGCAGGGTTCTACGTAGGCAGGCACCAAAGCAGCCGAGATAAAGAAATGTCACATAAGCAAAGTGGTCAAAGCCCCCAGGGACGGTCTTCTTTGAAATTTGGCAGTATATGACAACAACAACAAGGAGCCCGGCGAACCCGAGCATTTGTTAAGCATGACAGGCTCTGCTCAGTAGTGCTTGCAGTTGTTTCACAGTAGGAATTGTTGTCGTCGTCAACTCTCATTCAGCCAATTTCGTTAGCGAGCCAATGATATGGGTTGTCGCCGAAGAATCTCACCAACTGTGGCTTAGCCGTACTAGCTGTAAGCAACAACACGCCGCCGTTTTGGGGTTTCACACCAAATCTCACAAGGCTGAGACCGTTCTGACCATACCGATACCAAACGGCATCCCTGCCGCAGATCGCTTTCAGGAGGAAGCGGAGCTCAATACCTCCTGTTCCCCATCGCCAAAAGGCTCCAGGCCCCAGGCCCCAAGAGCTGCCGCTTTCCCCTGGACCTTGACAGACTCGTGCATCTCTTTTCATTCCTCGTCCAAACACTCTGCCGCCTGTCAAAGCGATTGCTGACCATTGTCATTCATTCGAAATCATTCACCAGGGTCCCTCACCACCAACACAGTCGCTCATTTCTCTGCATTGCTGTTCGCAGCCGATTCCGAGGCCGCACTTGCAGCGAAGCACCAACCCGAACCGCGAACGCGGGTTACACGCGGTTGCCCTGACCACCGAACTTTCAGCCACTGCTGCTTTGACACCCACACACCTATCTCAGACATCTCTCATCACTCGTTGGCCACGATTTTCACAGCCTCATTCCTTTACACGGGGTTGGAAGGGGAAGTTGAGAAGCAACTGTGTCGCAGGAGAAGCTACAAACACGCACCAACCTTTGAACCTACACCCCTGACCTGACCACACGCGATATTTCGACAATGCATACTCAGGCACTTCTTGTCGCCTCCCTCCTTACCCTTACCCGTGCCTGGGTATCGTTTCCCGGTGCCCAGCCCCTTCACCAGCATCCTTGGGACGACCCTACGCCTAAAAACCTCGAAGTACCCTCACCAACACCAACCCTTGGCCCCTCCGAAGATTCGCTTCGCCAGCTAGACGCTACACCCTCAGCACCTTCAATATCCACCATTCCAAGCATGACCACAGTTCCATACCCTACCTCGTCGCCCTCATCACCCTCAGAATCATCATTACCCCTACACGCGCAGCTAATGCGTTGGATAAAGCGACAAGGTGCGGCGGTCTCAAACCCGCAGGCTGCACAGCCGAATCAAGTGACACAAGTCTCGCCAGTGACGACACTGACGATGATGAGCAAGGGTGAGGACATCAGCGTCGTATACACGCAGACGTTCCCCGAGGTTCCAGAGCAGTGGCCCAGTGCCAGTAGTGGTGCGATTGGGTTGGGAACGATTCAGGGGGAGGTCGGGCAAGTAAAGACGAAGAGACAGGAGCCGGTAAGCGTGCCGGCCGAAGCAACGGGTGCACCCGAGCCTCGTGCATATGGCGGTCACGATGTTGCTGGCGAGGAAGACGAAGCCCATGTCGAGCAGAGAGATGCAGCATTCGAGAAACGGTCAGCGGGATCTAAGGCCTTGGTCGCATCAGGCGCTGTGGTTGCAGCAGGCGCCCTTACCGTCATTGCCGTGCTGTGAGCCAGTCATCACTTACGGATAGCATTCCCGGCTTTGGAGCATAGCATACCCAAGCGACCGGCCACAACTCGTACGAACGCAGCGGCGACGCCCGAATATTTGCGTCTAGCACACCAGATGCCGCTTCACGCCTCGTTAGAAATTTACGATATTTCTTGTGCTAGCAGCGCACCGGAGTCTCCCACCTGGGGATACGCGCCTTTATTCAGAGGCTAGCGCCTGGCCCCAGTGAAAATCACGAACAATACCAAGAGCACCGCAAGGCGATAGGCAAGCGGATCAAAAGATTAATAGATACCAAGGCACAGGGCGGGTTTCGGGTTGTACGGAGTACATTCTGGGAACGGCGACCTGAACAGTTTTCGATTGGTGGTATGCACATATCACGAGTATTATGAGAGCGACCTGTTGATGTCGATATACAATGAGGCAACCACAACCAATTTTTTCAGATACTGTACGCGCCCATCGCGAGGGACCAAGGGGGGGCAAAGGAGCGTTTGACGCAATCTCTGAAGTGAAACTTATATTAAGAACAATTGATTTGAGCGTACGAGAGCAACGGACAGAGACATACAGGAACAGGGACGGGGACGGGTCCCTTTTGAAATGGAACAAGAAAACTGATTCCAAAACTTCTCTCTGAATGTCTACTTAGTGCGCGATAATTGCCCATGCCCTCGAGTAGTACCTTGACCGACCCCCTTCGACAGGGACGGCCACTTTGCCCATGTTCAAACCATTCGCTCCCTTGCACTATTCAGAAGCACAGTATAGCATAGCGTAGCTCTCAAGGCCCAGCCTGAAGCAGGAAGGAGGGGGGGGGGGGGGGGCCATCAAACTTTTTTCTTGGGCTTTGGGCTTTGGGCTTTGTGGTTTGTGTCTTTTCGCGTTGCCACGTACATGCACACCTCAGAACCCCTGACCGTTGGGCGTTATCCCTCCATCCAGGCTTGCGCAGTATCGCTTTCTTCATTCCTCCCATGCACGTTGGGAAGCTAGCGGCTCGAGTATAGCTTTCTGCCCGTCTAAAATGCCAACTGGAGGGGCCAAGGGTTTCGCTGCCTGTCAAACGATCGATCGATCGATCAATCAATCGAACAGTCGTGCAAAATCCGGCGTCACGACCAGTTTGGCATGCACCTGTCCAAGAGGATATGCCTTTGCGTTCGTAGCTTCGTCTGTATCTTTCTCTTTGCCCCTCTTCCCCTTTTCGTTATCCGTGTCCTCCTCACCGTTCTCCATCGCCTCGTCCTCGTCTCGTGCTGCTGCTGCCGCCTCCGCCGTGCCGTCCTGCTGGCCCTGCTCTGGCTGCAATCGCTGCTCCAAGAGCACGGCGTCCTGCAGAAAGTCCACCTCGGTGCCAAGCTTGACGTCCAACGAGCAGCCGCCCCAGTCCAAGCTGATCTTGCCTGAGGCGTGCACGTTGAGCTTACCGACGCGGCCGTGCGGGAGCTTCGCCGTCGAGTCCGCCGTCAGGAGCCCCGAGGATGGCTGCGGAACTGCCTGGCCGGAGCTCTTGTGCGTGGTTGCTCCTTTCTGCTGCTGTGGGGCTGTGGAAGCAGTGCCGACTTCGTGTTCCGACTTGACTTTCACGTCGTCGCCTTCTCCGTCGCCGTCGGTCTCCACGTGTGCGGCGGGGTTGACGAGCAGGGGCGTGATGGGTGGGAACTGCATCAGAAAGAGCTTGCCTTCTTCGAGGGCCTGGATTGTGGCTTTAGCTTTGGCTTTGTTTTTGCTGGCAGCTGTCATCGTGCCGGTGGTGAGATGGTTGGGAGCGAAGATGGAGAGGAGTTTGTTCGTGTCATCTACGACGCGCAGGCGCTCAGCACGCTCTTCTTGCGTCTCTTGATGACCAGCAGCGGATTTGGTGCGGGGCCCGGAAAGGCGTCGTGTGGTCGCAGCGAGAGCCTTCTTCTTGACTTCTGGAGAGGAGGGCGGAGACTTGAGGGGCTGTCCGTCGTCGTTGTCTGCAGTGGATATGACAGGCGGGTCAACCTCCATCGCGTCCGAGTCGTCGAGAATGACTTGCGCAGCGGCAGCCTCGCGCTTCGGCTTCCGCAAGGCTCCTGCTCTTTTGCCTTTCGTGTCTTCGTCCTGGAGATCGTCTGTGTCGACTCGCGTTCGTGGGGCGCGCACTGGCCTCAAGCCTCCTCCGCCGCCAGCACTCTTGCGTATTCTGGGTTTGGTACCGCTGTCTGCTCTTCGTTTGCCTTTAGAAGTGACAATATCATCTTCTTGTTCATCCTCGATCTCGGCATCTGCAGCCTCATCGTCGCTGCTGATCCAAATCCGTTCTATGTCCCTCCTCTCCACCTCACCCTCATCGTCCTCCGGAACCACAATCTCATACACTCCTGGCCCAGACGTTCCCTTTCCTACAGTCACAACACCACTGGCGCTCACGTCTGCCGTCACAAGCCCCTTCCCTCCGGACGATGTAGCCTGAACTTGTGCAGCACTGGCCGCCTGTTGCTCGATCTCTTCCTTCGTTCTTGCTCCGCCCGCTAGCCACTCTTCTCGCCCCTGCGCAGCATCTTTGTTCCGTGTCTTAGCAGCACCAATGTTCCCACCAAAGACGCTGAAACCGGTGCCATCGCCTCTTTGGTGGCCCTGCTCCCGGTTCGTGCCGCCTCTGCCCGCCTGTCCCGCCCCTCTGGCCCCAGCGCGGCCGCGGGCTGAGCTCAAAGGATCAGAGGGTGTGGGGTTTCGTTGTTTTTCGCGATCGGCTTGCTCGGCGGCATAGCGCTCACGCTCGGCCTTGGACTTGCGCGTGTAGCCAGCTCGAGGCGCGGGCCGGCCGCGAGGGATGGGGGTGGAGCGGTTTGAAGATGGGTTGGACATCTTGCGGTTGCGGTTTGAGGAGTCTCAGCAAGTCCGAGATAATATTGCCAAGCTGGTGGTGGTCATCTGAGAAATAGTTCTGCTATGAGAAATTCGTAAGAGGCATTGCGATCGTAGAATGTTCTGGTGTGAGTTCTAAATAGTGGTTGAATGGTATGTGCAGCTATTCAATGATTCATAGAAACCGAGAGGTTGGTCATGAAGTCGTTGAAAGCATTGCCGCGCCGTCAACAGGTGGATTAAGTAGCAAGGTGGGCGACCAGATCTCGCACCTCAACTTGCAAACTGAACTTGCAGTGAAACGAGGGTACAAAGATGCGGGCAGTGAATGAATTTAAAGTGGGTCTCCGACATGTCCTCACTGATCAGGCGAATGAGATTCTGCTTATGTCAGCAGCCTTACATCGGAGATCCATATCCGCAAGGCTGCGGACTCTTCGGAACCTAACCTCTGCTCTGCAAGCAGGGGCTTCGAGTTGTTCAGAGGTGCTATCACACAAGGTCCAGAGGCCGATCAAAAGACTTAGTGCATGGATCGCATCATTGCCAAATCACAAGAACCTATGGAGAGACTAAACACCGAGAAAGCTCGTTTGACAGCTGTTATTGCGCGTCCCAGTCGCGCCGGAATATAATCGCGCGCCTGCTAAGCTCCGTGCCATCTTCCAATATTAACGCCGTGAAGAACAGCAGACCAACGCACACTGAAGCAACTTTGCCCCCCTGGACAAGTAATGACATTCGGCGCAAACTGAAAATTCTTTTCTGAGTCTCATCCATCGTAATGTTCAGGTTCGTAACGCAGAACCGGCGCACTTCTGGCAAAATAATCCCACCATATGTACTATCTCTTTCTCTTCTTGTCCTTCGAGGGACTGCCCATGCCTGCGACTGTCTCGACGGCCATGGGTGGCAGCATGAGTGAGTCGTCCGCGTTGGAAAGCGACTCAAGACTGGTCTTTTTCACCGGTACGCCCATGTGCCTACCGAAACGACCTCGTCGACCGTTGCCTTCATCTTCGCTGACGCAACCTTCAGGGCCAATGCCGGCGTCCTTGCAGCGCTGGCAAGGCCGCTGTCGATCGCATCCTTTTTTGCTTTTACGGCAGCGTTGGCAGCGAGGCTTGGTCGACAAATCTTCTTCATCAACACCATATGCCGGCATGTTGGTGGAAGACGCCGAAGAAGCCTTGCGAGGCGCGGGCATAGAACCTGCAAGCGAAGGCTTTGTAGGCTTGTTCATCGGTCCCTGACGGGGTTTGCTCTTGTTCTTCGAATGAGAGCCAGCACGACCGGAGCCATGCATGTGGGTAGGGCCGTCATGCATCTTAGTCTTGATTTTCTTGGTCTTGGGCGCACCTTCGAAATCATCGAACTCACTCTTAATGTGCCCGTCAGTATCGTATTCAACCTCGCCTTCATCGAGGTATCTGCGGTGCTTGGGCTGACCGCCTTCTTCATCACTATACTCATCACTGTCGCTGGTAGCGCCAGTGGAAGAGGCTGCATCGGCAGCGCCACTAAAAGTCTCGTCCATGGTCGAGTTAGACGTGCGTCCGTGAGAGTAATTGGAAGCGTCCCCTAGCGCAATCAGAGTCCGAGCAACGTCTTCGTCGGAGATGCAGCTGGCCACTGTGGGGTCTGGGGTGGGCAATATCCCACTGTATCCTGCTCTTCCAGTATAGGGTGTCGTCTGCATCCTGTCTCGCAGATGATGACGATGCTGGGGGGCAGCGAACCCCCCCGTAGCGGAGTACTGATCGGTCGAGCCGTTCGAGTACCGGGGGTTGTGGCTTTGCGGCGAGAGCATTGGCGGTGGCTGCCCAAAGAGCTTCTGCGCCGGCGGCTGGAAGGGGGAAGGCCCCTCCTGAAGAAGGGAGCGCCTCTGTGGGGAGATTGAAGATTGGGAGGCAGCGATAGGAACCTGTGGCGGTACAAAGAGTGGCAGTGTCTAACCGAGTTAGTATGGGAGTAAGAAGGGTCAAGCCTGGACGTTGAGGGGCCTTACCGAGCTGTCAAAGATCGTCTGACCACGGCGTCCATCTTGCAACACGTTGGCTGTGCTGATATCAGAGCTGGCCAGCATTTCACTCTTTGCTCGACGAGAGCCTGAAACAGAGCTCCTGCCGGCCTCGCTATCGCTGTACCCATTGTCGTCACTGTAGTTCCCGCTGGCGCTGGATCCACGGCTCACGGCAGAGAAGGAGGCAGGTTTCTGCTGAGAAACGCTCCGTCTTCCACGATTCTGCGATGGGGAGACGCTTCGCTTTCTGGCTAGTCTTGACGACGAGCGGGAAGGGGAATGTGACTGCTCTCGCATGTGAGGTGGCAACATCTGGAATGGTTCCCCAAGACTGGGCTGTCGCTGAGGCTCCGGTACAGCAGGCACCGCAAAGGGGCCAGACGGGTATGGTGTGGCCCCATTTGAGCCAGGCACAGTCCTGACGTAGAAAGTGGTATTGGCAGCCAAGTTCTCATAGGAGGCAATCAGAGTATTGCCCTGAGAATCCTCGAAACTGATTCCATGGCCGTCATAGATGCCATAGAAGTTCTTGACTGTGGCAATGATCGACTCGGTGGTATCGTGCGCATTGACTAGGACCCTGAGGGGAATGCGCGCTCTTGTCTTGGAACTCTCATCGAGCAGAAGCTCGAAGGCTATAGACTTCCCGGGCTGCTTGACAGCCATTCTGGCAGGCTCTTGCGCTAGAAGCTCAGATACTTCCATTCCCCGTGCTGGGGGGAGGTGATGTTTGTATTGCAAGTATTGGTAGAGGCTTTCGTCGCAATACCCCCGGGGTGGGAGACCAGTGCCGATGACGACAGTGAGGTGCAGCCAGAGGTGATGAGAAGTGGTCAAAAGGCAGTCGGAAGGCTAAAGCGGGACCTCCAGTTAGCTTCTATAAGTATGGGGTTGTGAAATTGGCAATAATTGAGGTGTGGTATGGAGCGCCCGTGGTGGTCGCAGAAGGGCGGGTGTGCAGGCATGCCCGGAGCCGTACCACAATCAGATCGGTTCGGGGGCTTACAATATGCAAAACAAGACCCCAGAAGGGTCGCCGACGACTTGAGTACCGGCTCCGATTGTCAGTGAAGGAGATCAGTCTCCGAATGACTCGTTCTGAGCGATCCGGCTGGACCGTCTGCAGAGATCCTCTTAGTGAGGCGCTGACAGAGCAGGAGGACTAGATGTCTCCCACCTGCTCTGAAAAGGTGAATAGAAGCAAGAGATGGATGGCACCGGTCACCAAGGCTGCAGTAGCTATGCCTAGGAGTAGAGTAGGTGTTGGTGGTGGTGTTGAAGGAAGAGGAGGTGTGGGAAGGTGTGAGGGCGAGGTTCCTGGCCCTGCGCTGAAACGGGAGTGGGTCTTGAACCTATGACCACCGACCCAACCCGTCCAACTCAGCGACGTACCACAGGAACGTGGGTCTAAGCGGCAGAAAGTGATCAATCAGGTCCGGAACAGAAATGTCTACCACTGTTGACTACGAGAAATGCATTATTGCTATGTAGAAAAGCCACCGAAGACAGGTGCTCTGTTCTGCACAAAGCGAGCCAGCGGGCGCCAGCAGTCTTGTGCGACCCAATGCATCGCCTGAGCTAAGAGTTGACGGTGTGCGAGTCAGGCATGGTCGGCAAGATTTGGCAGTGATGGACATATTCACCCACAGAAGCAGCTATGCTGCATCGGCCAAAAGAAAGGCAAGCAAGGGAAAACGAGGCCAGAACAATTGAGAAACTAATGGGATCGCGGAAGGCGGTGCGTAGCTAGCGAGCACATCGCTTGGCCCAGGATGAGTGTGAACCCCTCTTCTGTGCTGGAGAGGGACTCGACGCTGTTGGCCGCATTGCACTCCCGCCTCTGGTTGGCGAGGATGAGCAAGCGGCAAAAAATCAGCAAGCCAGAGAACTCCAGCCAGCGTCAGCCGTTCATAAAAGGCCGCCTTCCGGGCTGGGGCATGAATAACAAAGAGACGCCCGAGGATGTGGCAGAGCAATTGGTCCGATTGCACGTTTCCATCCCTCGAGCCCACCGCCAACTCGGAGCTCCACCCTTGACTGCAGGCAGCACCAGCGCTGGCGGCTTCTTTGGTCTTTTTAGTACCAGGGCTTCGTGGCAGCTCTGCAACCGTTGGCTCCGCGATGTGCCTTGCTCCGTATCGGCCTCGGCCATCAAAACATACTTTGGCCTGCACACTCCAAGCACGGCATGCAGAAGTCCAAGCTCCCCATATAATCTGCGACAAAACCCCAAATGATTAGTCTTGGCAAGGTCATGCGGCGACATGCTCAAGCCACTGAAGCTTCGACAGGGTTCGCTTTGACCACGATACATTGATCACGTAGACCACAGCGATCCAGGGGAGACTTCAGCCGGAAGAAATGCCGGCGCTGCGGCGCATGCGCTGACGAGCGAGACTTTTGGCCCGCCGTACCGTGATGCCGTGGGATGACCCCAAAATACGAAGATCACACGTTGAATTCCGTGGCCAAAAGCTTGCGACAGGCCAGACGCTTCCGCGACCATTGGGGGCGCTCGCATTTAATCTACTCTCTCGTAGCACTCTTGCCGGTTTCGTTTTTGGTGCTTGCGCACATCTCTACAGCTCCCGACATTCGCGATAATGCTGGCGATGTCGTCGAAAGTCCGTAACTCTCAACTGTCAGGCTATGATGTACATTCCAATCTGACGGCCGATGCGGCTGTTTCCAGCTGGCCTCAGTCGCAGCAAATGTGCGACTCGATGGTAAGCGCATCTGCCCTGCTGGTCGCCGCAACCTGCCATATCTCTGAGACATGACGGAATTGGCGCTTAGGCCGGTTTAAGGTGCTCACCTATCATCTCGTTCGGAACCAAGCCAGCCAGCACGGTCGACCCAACGGTCGCGACGTCTGGCATGGGCACGCAACCATGATTGCGAAACAATTCTATATCCCTCTTGCCTTGCTTCTGTCGCAATCCTAGCTTCATCAGACACCTGCGCAACCAACGGCCTTCGCCCTGCGCACATCCTGACCACAGTCGCGTGGACTTCCAGACTCAGATCGCAGCATGTCCGCCCGTTCATACGGGTCAAGTGCATGACTGATCTATGTTAGAAGTTGCGACCGACTCAAGGGCCATTCATCACGTGATCGCGCGGTTGGACGTGTTTCTTGGCACGATCTGCTCATCTTGCGGCTTTCGGCCAACGAGACAACATCTTGGTAAGCTGGGTCTGCAAAATTGATGCCAGCAGGAATTGCATATAAAAGACTTCCTACCAGTGGTGTATCAGTATCGCCGAGTCATAGTTTGTTCTCATCGTAGTGAATAAAGGGAAATGGACGTGTCGGGAATCTCGCGATTCACAAGGAGAAATGACGTACTTTCTCAGGCAATTGCAGCCCGGCGTTGCGGGACCCACTTTGATACCCAATCACTCATCACGAGGCTCGAGCCTTGTCGGGGCTATCCGCGCCGGTGTTTACTCCATCCTGCTTTAAGCTCGATCTTGTTATGCTGTACCTGCGTTGCCCGGTCGCTGTCGTTCATGTGCTTCCAAGCGCACCTTTACTGATAACATCGATTTTGGTTCCTGTCAACACCGATGACATCCTCCCCCATGACATTCTATCTCTAGTCTGTCGATGTGCCGCGTGTCGCGTCTCTTCGTCATTCCTTCTGACCTCCCCTGGACACCGTGATTTCGAAAAGATTGAATCTGCAGCTTGCACATTCCACGATCCTCTGTGCTTGTTGAAGATACAACAAAGCCTTCACCATGGATGCTAAGGTATGTCTCATCCAGCTCCACATGTTGTCCATGCCTCCCTCACAGACGCTCGAAACTGAGATACGCCGGCGCAACTACCACCGTCCCTCCTGGACTCGAGATGAGACATCAGATGCTAACAGTTGATGCTCTTGTTTTAGCCTCAGCGTCCCCTGCGCTCGATTCGAGTGCGAAACGACGAGAACGCTCCCATCGACAATGGCCTAGGGAAGACCATTCACACCCGCAACAAATCAAGTCCTGCTCTGGCTATGGCGGCTGCCAACCAGGCCAAAGCTGGCATCAAGCGCACTGCCTTTGGCGATGTCAGCAATATCACACAACAGACCAGACCTAGCAAAGATGATTTTGCTTTGCAAGGAAAGTTCACGGGTCAGGTCTCGTCAAAGCCTGTGCCAGCTTTCGAAAAGAAGTCCGCTCCTCTCACTAGACCTGCCCAACGACCTATGTCAGTGTCGAACTTGAAGAGTTTCTTGACCGGCGGCTCGTACTCCAACTCGCAAGATGCTGTTCCCAAGGAAAATGCCGTCCAACCCCAAGCCGCCAATACCCGAAAGGTCCTGAGCAAGCGCAATACCACTATCTTTCGAGATGTGCAGCCTGTCCTGGACACTGTACAAGAGCGTGAAGCACGCGAACCTTCTAATTCAGTTGATTCGATGTTGCCGGCTACTGCTGCTATCGAGCCTGAAAAGTACAACAACCTAACCCTGCCACCACCAGCTCCGGTCAACGAACCCGTTGCAGAGCCTGTCAAAGATGCCACTCACCCCGGCTCAGAAGCCAGCTTACCTGGGATCGAGACCGTCACACTCGAGCCTGGCACATTGTCTCCTCCTTTGCCCTCCACCACTGTTGCCGACCCTGTTAAGCAGGCCCTGAGTATAGCCGAGCTGTTGCAAGATAAGTCTCAGCCGGTTGCTTCTGTTCAGTCTATCGATGAGGTTGTCAAAACTATCCTCGAACCACACCCAAGCGAGCTTCCCGCGGTTTCTGCAGTCGCCGCCCTTCCTCATGTTGATCAGAAGAGAATCAGCTGTCCTGTACCTGTTGAAGCCGAGGAGCGCTGGGAAGAGGAGGAAGAAGGATACGTGACCGCTCATTCCTTCCGATCAAAGAGCGAGAATACCACTGGTGGAGTCACCACCATTCTCTTCCCTCAGGTCAATCCCAAAGTGCGTAAGGAGATCAATGCTGCCAATGCTCTGGTCGAGGCCGTACGCTCCCCTGAGGAAGTCGAAGATGAGAAGTACGATACCAGCATGGTGGCTGAGTACGGCGACGAGATCTTCGATTACATGAAAGAGATGGAAGTCAGAATGCTCCCCAACGCTCACTACATGGATAAACAGCACGAGATCCAGTGGTCGATGCGATCAGTCCTGATGGACTGGCTGATCCAGGTGCACCACCGCTTCAGCCTACTCCCCGAGACTCTGTTCTTGTGTGTGAACTACATTGACCGCTTCCTCTCCGTCAAGGTAGTCTCCCTGGGAAAATTGCAGCTTGTTGGTGCCACAGCCATCTTCATCGCCGCCAAGTATGAGGAAATCAACTGTCCTTCGATTCAGGAGATCGTGTACATGGTCGACAATGGCTACAGCATCGACGAGATCCTCAAGGCTGAACGTTTCATGCTTACTATGCTCCAATTCGAGCTGGGATGGCCCGGACCGATGAGCTTCCTTCGTCGCATCAGCAAGGCCGATGACTACGACTTGGAAACTCGTACCCTTGCGAAGTACTTTCTCGAGGTTACGATCATGGACGAACGGTTTATCGGCAGCCCTCCCAGCTTTGCCGCCGCCGCATCTCATTGCTTGGCTAGAATGATGTTGCGAAAGGGTGGTTGGGTATGTTACTACGCTCGCAAACCTTTAGTGTATACTGACCTTATCACAGAGTCCTCACCACGTTCACTACTCCGGTTACACCTTTTCCCAGCTGCGACCCCTAGTCAAGCTCATTCTTGAGTGCTGCGAAGATCCCCGCCGTCACCATGCCGCTGTGTACAGCAAGTACAGCGACAAGCGGTACAAGCGTGCTGCTACGTTTGTGGAGAATGAGATTCAGCATGGCTTCAGCCTCCAAGATGTTGCTTACATCAAAACCCTCCCGTCTAGCTTCATGCAACCCTTCTACGACTCTGTTCCATATCTCCAGGGCTGAGATAACGACCTGCCAACCATCACCGGTTTTTGTCACCAATGATATGCTTCAGCATGTCTTTCTTTCTCGACTTAACGCGTTGCTGCATGTCGACAGATTCTGTGGACGGGATGCTAATCACCATTTCGCGCCACGATCAGCGAGATGGCTATGAGCGGTGCTACGAATTTACGATTCACCTTCTAATGTGCATTATCCGATGCTCAGGCATGAAAATATGGGACTTCTGAGCATTGGACGGCGTTGCGGAATCGAGCGTATGAGGAGCTGTTTATGGTGCTGGCCAGCTGGACTTCGAGTATGCAACTTGAGAGCGAGGTAAGCGAGATGGTCTGCTTCCCCGGCCACCGGTATGAGCTTCTACAATACTACTTGAGCGCTCAGGTCTATGACAAGATGACCAAGTGGCGTTCGAAGAGTAGGGGCATGATTCCAGCAAAGTGCCTGCCACAGCGAGAGCATGATATCTTGAGGGCAATGAGCGAAGCATGCTGCCTTTGATAAGTAATGCAATTAAAAGTTTATGAGAACATGGCTTGCTCCCTTCGAGCACAATTTCAACTGCTTTGTGAAGGCTGGCTCACGAAGCTGTGGAGCAGCACCCCTAAGCTTGTTCTAGCTCTCTTGGAGCAGTCTTGAGATACACGTTTTCTCTTCAGGACTGGTTTTACCGTAGTGATTGGATCCTACTGAGCAATGTTGCCACGATAGCAATGAGAGGCACATGCATTGCTGGCGAAGGGACATTTATAGGATTTCCGCGGATAAATGATATTCCGTCGCCGCCACCGAGTTCCCGACCGAATTCCTCAACTCATGATCTTTCATGACCTCTGAATTCGCACGAAAACTCTCACAAGAGAGTGAAACGGCGGAGTACCGATGGCTCTGTTTGCTCTACATCATTCATGTGTGTCGCTGAGTGGCCTCAGTCCGGTCGCTTTCTCAACAAAGAAGGTAGGCTGTTAAGCGTGTGGACCGTGGATCGTCCGCCGTTGTTCGTCGAACCTGAAGAGCAGTCTCAGTTTCGCTCGGAGCAACCCGCTTTATTATGGCCCCGAAGAGAGGCCAAGGCAAGAAAGTTGCCGCTTCCAAAACGCCGGCAGTGCCACAAGAAGCAGATTACGTTGTCTTCACCAATTCTAAAGGCCCTGATGTACCGAATCGCAAAAAGAAGGCAGAGGATAAGGACGCAACTCCTGCACCGCCTCGTCCAGACACGAAGAAATTGATTGGTGGCGCCTCCTGGACGGGTAAGCTTCCAGTCAATCTGCTCTCGGAGCAGTGCCAGCGAGAGAAATGGAACAAGCCAGAGTATAGCATGCGAACTGTCAACAACGATGGAGAGAAGGCTTTTCGGTCGTCCGTCACGCTGTCGAAGAGGGATCCCAAAACTCAGGAGGTAACTACACTTCCCTCCTTTGAGCTCCCTCGCTCGCATCAGGACCAGGCAAACGAGCCCACTGCATTGGAAGCACGCCATTTTGCTGCTACCTATACACTGCATAGGATCGCGAGCATGAAACAGATTCATATGGCACTACCACCCAAATATCGCGATCTTTGGAAAGGATTGTTCGCAGATCTAAAGAAGGAGGATGTGGCGGAGAACAGAGGTAAGAAACACCGTCTTCTTCACCCATGCGTTATATCCCTTGTCTGTTGTCATACTCTCGCAATACTGTGGAACCAAGACCCTGGCTGGTCCAATACATTGCCGGGCCGCGAGGAGATACTGTGGCAGGTAACCAGGGGAGAGCCCTTCATCTGACAGACATCTGTTGAACACTGAACTAATACGCAAGTCAGGGTGGAAATACGATGCTGACCCTTTTGCTGCGGATGCCAAACGTAAAGAAATCCATGCTGCAATGGATAAGCGGAAGGAGGACCAGGAGAAAAGGGACGCCAAGAAAGCAGCTGAGAAAGAGGCTGGCATTGTGCCGATACCTCGAAACAGTGCCTTCGCTCGAGCACCGCGAATAGAGTTGGGCGAGAACCTTCGCAATGAGCTCGAGGGTGTGGTCAGAGCAAATACCCATTGGAATGTCAACCATATTCACCTAAGCAGATCGGACCAACAGCAAGCTGAAGCGGAGCTGACAGCGTCCGGCTTCCGTGCTGCCCACGTTCGTGAAGCTTTGGAATATGTTGGCAGTCGAGAAGAAGCATTTGAATGGTTGCTTATTCACGTTCCCGAAGATGACCTACCTCCATGGACACTACCGTCAACCTACAGTGCAGGAGTCAGCTTGGCTAGTACTAACCCTACCAAGGACGCAAAAATTCGTCGTCTTGCGCGAGCTGGATACTCCGGGAATCTTTGCTCTCAAGCTCTCCGAGACAATGACGATAACGAGCTTGAGGCCTTAGAGGCACTGCAGTCTAGCCTGGTTCCTCCCGGAATCTCTGAAGCTACAGAGGCGTTCTTGGACATCGACGTCTGGGAAGAAGAGATGACAGCCCTGGAAGCTATCCAGGGAGAGAATTTCGTGCTACATGGACCAGGTGCTTGCTCCATTAAAATACAACAGCCGCAACCTAGCTCAACAACTATACACTTCTATAAGCCGCAGTCCGGCTACCCTGATCGGTCTGTGCCCATTATAGCCATTGATGCTCCAATCCCAGCTCATGTCCGCTTGAGCGCTCTCCGGCAATGCTTGAATTATGCTTGGAACACCCTCATTGGCGACCAGATGCTGTACGCTCTCATTGAATGGCTCGAAGCAAATCTATCAAACGTGCTTGCGAACCCTGGCAAGTTGATTGACATTGATGTCGAAGCAACAGATCTTGGCCTGAAGCAAGTAGCAGAGAATGCAAAATCCGAAGCCAAGAGTAAGATCTCACCTCCTCAGCGTCTGCCGACCCGTACTAGCGCTAAGGACCGACGGAATGATGCCGAAATCAAGCAGGCTTGGGAAGCGCGACAGAGAACTGATGCACAGCAGCAGATGCTCAAATCTCGTCAGGCTCTGCCTGCGTGGAACAGGCGTGCTGAAGTCGTCGATGCGATTAAAAGTAAGCAGGTGACCCTCATCACGGGTGAGACTGGATCCGGAAAGTCGACACAGAGCTTGCAGTTTGTCCTCGACGATGCTATACAGAATGGCACGGGATCTACTTGCTCAATGATTTGCACGCAACCTCGACGAGTTGCTGCACTGTCGTTGTCGGACAGGGTGAGCGCTGAAAGATGTGTGTCGGAGGGCGACGAGGTAGGACACATTATTCGTGGAGCCTCAAAGACCTCTTCGAGAACAAAGATTACTTTCATGACGACGGGCGTCCTGTTGCGTCGACTCCAGATGTCAAAAAGCACAAAAGCGGCACTGGAGGGCATCAGCCATGTTTTCGTCGATGAAGTTCATGAGCGTTCGCTGGACACCGACTTCCTGCTGGCATTGCTGAAGGATGCAATGAAGACATCAAAGCTGAAGGTCGTATTGATGAGCGCCACAGTTGACGCAGACATCTTCGCTAGCTACTTCGGAGGAGACTCAATGGTAGCTCGGGCTCATATCGAAGGGCGTACATATCCTGTCCAGGACCTATACCTCGATGATGTGCTTCGAATGACAGGCTATGTCGGTCAGCAACTTCAAGAAGAAGATCGTGACCGTGAATTGGGCAAAGCTATACAGAGCCTAGGTGCAGGCGTCAATTATGATCTGATCGCCGCTCTCGTCACCCAAATCGACGGCGATCTCGGGACCAAGCCCGGTGGGATCTTGATCTTCTTACCAGGAACACTAGAGATCGACCGCTGCCTCAGAGCAGTCACTCAGGTCCCCCGAATGCACGCTCTGCCGCTCCACGCATCACTACTCCCAGCTGAGCAGAAACGTGTCTTCCCTCCAGCTCCCAAGGGCACACGCAAGGTCATCTGCGCCACTAATGTCGCCGAGACGTCCATCACCATCCCTGACATTGTTGCGGTCATCGATACTGGTCGTGTAAAAGAAACAGCGTACGACATAGTGTCTAACATTGTTCGACTGCAAGAGGTATGGGCGTCCAAAGCGCAATGCAAACAACGCCGTGGCCGCGCTGGTCGTGTCCAGGCCGGCACCAATTACAAGCTCTACACCCGCAATGTTGAAGCTTCCATGCGTGCGGCCTCCGAACCCGAAATCCAGCGGGTACCCCTCGAACAACTCTGTCTCAACGTCAAAGCTACAGCGCCTGCTGTTGATGTCTCTGCGTTCCTCCGCAACGTCATCTCTCCACCGTCCTCAACAGCCGTTACCAATGCTGTCTCCCTACTACATCGCATGGGCGCTCTAGAATCAAACCTCCTCACGGGTCTGGGAACGTACATGTCCATGCTTCCCACAGACCTGCGCCTCGCGAAACTTGTCATCTACGGCGCCCTTTTCAGTTGTCTGGAAGCCGCACTCACCATCGCCGCCATCCTCACCGTCAAGTCGCCCTTTGTCTCCCCGCGCGATAAGCGTGACGAGGCCAAGGCCGCACGACTCGCTTTCCCATCCGCAGACGGCGACCTCCTCCTCGACCTCGCAGCATTCAGCGAGTGGAAGACCAACCTGTCCCGCCTGCCCAACCGGGAAGTCGCACAATGGTGCAACGCACACTTCCTCTCTCAGCAGACTCTCCGGGACATCGATTCGACACGATCACTCCTGCTCGACGCACTCAAAGAAGCAGCGTTGCTGCCGCCAAATTACTATTCGCGCGACACTGCGCCTACGTATGGCCAGTTCAACGCCCATCTGGACAACCGCCCACTCCTCCGCGCCCTGATCGCCGGTGCCCTCAGCCCCAACATCGCCGAAATCAAGTTCCCCGAGAAGAAATTCATGGCGAGCATCTCGGGCGCCAAGGAGCTGGACCCGGAGGCTCGCACCATCAAGTTCTTCACTGAGCCACCTTCTTCCTTGTCCTCCTCCTCCACCTCCGGCGATGCTTACCCCGACAATTCTGCCGCCGGCAAACCACCAACAAGCAACATCAACACTACCAATAACAACGAACGCGTCTTCCTCCATCCCAGCACCGCCCTCTTCACCGCGCAATCCTTCCCCAACCACTCGGCCTACGTCTCCTTCTTCACGCGCATGGCCACCTCCAAGACGTTCGTGCGCGAGGTCACGCCCGTCAACGCATATGGGCTGCTGTTGTTCGGGGGCCGCGTCGAAGTGGACGGGTCGGGCGCGGGCGTCAGCGTCGACGGGTGGGTGCGGATGCGGGGGTGGGCGAGGATCGGTGTGCTGGTGGCGAGGTTGAGGGGCGTGCTGGATGCGGAGCTGAGGAGGAGGGTTGAGGGGGAGGGGGGAGAGAGTGGGGAGGGCGGTTGGGGTGCTGGTGCCGGCGGGAAGGAGTGGGAGCGCGTGCAGAGGGTGGTGAGGAGGTTGGTCGAGTTGAATGGGCAGGATGTGTAGCATGGCGATGAGTTGGAGGTTGAATAAGTGCGGATTGGGGGGAAGATCGTGCATAGAATCTTGGGGTTTCGAGTGCTGCGCATAGCCGTGAGCAGCAGCAGCAGCAGCAGCAGGTATTCACAATGACGCCAATCAGGTACACATTTAGACAGATAGACATGCAGCGGCGCGATCACCACGATATGCTCGACACAACCACCCAATCTTCCTCCCCTTCCTTCTATGATCCCCCGACACATTCTCTCCATCGCCCTCTTCCCGACAGTCAATCACCTACTCCCTCACGGCATAAACGCTCGCCTCCCCCTTCGCCATGTAGTCGAAACTCTCCTCACTGGTTGCCGTCGCGGGCGAGGGCGGACTGGGCGTATCGTCGCCTTGCTCCCCCTCCTTCTTCCCACCACGCAGCGCACCTTGAGCATCAGCCTTAACGCTAGCGCCCTCCGCCTCTTCCCCGATCCTCTGGCTGACATTATTCAGCTCCCCTTCCCAGAACAGACCGTCGCCCCACTTGCGGCCCATCTTGCCAACGTGGCGCTTCCACTCACCTCCGATTATAGTAGCGTTGCTTTCGTCATCGTCGGGGCCGATCATAAGGGTGCGTCTCTGCCACTCGCCGACAAACAAGCCATCAGGATCGACGTCGGCGCGCACCTTCAGCCAGGCCTGCATGTCGTCGCCGTACATGTCTGCAATCTCCTGTTTCGATGTCCACTCAAAGTTCTTGGCCCAGTGCGGCCGGCCGCCCAGGTCGCGCATCAGCCACTCAAAGGCCTGGTAGTAGCGTTTCCAGCAGGGCGGGTCCTTGCCGTAGGGCCGGTAGAGCGTGGCGTTGAGGTACAGGGTGGGTTCGTGCTCGTGCAGGGGGTCGAGGTAGGCGCGGACGCCGGTGCGGTTGTTCTCGGTTTCCGTCGTGGAGACGCGCACTTCGATGGGGCAGTGCACCCAGACGCCGCCGGGGGAGAAGGGGATGCCGTGTTGGGACTGCGGTTTGTTGTGGATCCAGGCGTCGAGGCGCGTGATGGCTTCGGGGCCGCGGGAGAGGGGGAGCGCCCATTCGTTGACGAATTGCGAGTAGAGGCAGTCCATGAGCAGGCCTTCGCGCGCGGGTTGCACGGCGGACATGGTGTAGTCGCCCGGCCGAAAGCCGTATTGCATGCCAAAGATGAGCCATTCGACGGTGGGGAGGATACGGGGGATGTAGTGGGCGAGGTAGAGCAGGTTGTGGTAGAGGTAGTAGCCGAAGGCGCCGCCGTAGAAGGTCGTCTCGGGGGAGCGGAGTGGTTCGGTGGTTTTGGTGGCGGACCAAATGACTGCACGTTGTGAGTAGGGCATCCACCAGACGCGGGTGTATTCCTGCTGGGTCCAGAGATTGGTGGACCATCTGGCCAGGACGGAGGAGAGCGAGTGCAGTGACTGAGTCCAGGAGATGTTGAAGTCCGGCACCACCTGCATGGTGATCTCGACGATGATGCCGAGGGAGCCAAGGGAGACGAGCGCGGCGCGGAAGAGTTCCGGATTCTTGTCCGGGGAGCAAGTGATGAGTTGGGAGTTAGAGAGCAGGAGTGTCAGGGAGAGAATGGACGAGGATATCAGGCCGTGCCTTAGGGACGAGCCATGGGTGCCCGTGGCGATGGAGCCGGCCACAGACTGCACATCGATACTGCCGAGGTTAGGCAGCGTGAGGCCGTGGCCTGCGAGCTCGGCGTTGAGGTCGTGCAAGGAGATGCCGCCCTCAAAGCGCACGACGCCAGAGGACTGTAGGTCAAGCACACGGTTCAGATTGTCGAGGTTGATGAGCCATGAGGAGGTGCAGGTGATGTCCGAGGGGGAGTGGCCGAAACCGGTGACGCAGAGTCGCTTGCGCAGACGGCGGGCGAGGGTGACGATCTTCTGCAACTCCGGGACACTGGCGGGCTGAAAGTAGAACTCTGGGCGGGAGAAGAAGGTCTGCGCCCAGGTGTGGTGCAGGTAGGCGGTGCGCGGGTTGAAGGGGACGCTGCTGTCCAGGCGGGACAGTTCCTTCTGGAGCTTGGCATCGAAGGTGGCAGCGGCGGTGTCGCCTTTGTTGGGGGCGGGAATGGGGAGGTTGGGGGCTGCCCAATCCATATTGATGGAACTATTGGTGTTCTAGTGTACGCGACGCATGGTGCAGAAGCGACGGAGGAAAGGAAGCATGTTGGTGAAGTTGAAGTCGTGCCATCGGATCGACACGATTTCGGTGACGCGAAGAAGGGCACGAGATTACATAATACAATACTGCCCTCCAATTGGCCAGGTTATAAGATCTAGACCTCCCCACTATTCCACCACATCACCACTTCATCTCTCCTTCATTACCACCCACGGTTCCGCCATAGACTCCGAGAACGTCTCCCATGTAGTCCCACGCTTGGTCCACTCGTGTGTGACGCCCTGATACATGACAGAGCCCTCCTTCTTGCCGGCCACCGACTCACGAACAAACTCAACCACGCCCTCCACGCCCCTCGTGCGATCCGTGACCTGTGTATCATCAGCGAACACCCAGCGGAAGAACAGACGCACCTCCTTGTCCATCCGCCACTGCACCGCATGCTCGTGTGTGAACTTGCGCGTCGTGCTGCCATATTTGCTGACCAACCGAGGCATCAGGAGGAACTCGATGCACTCGAGCTTCTCCAGGCCACGGGTGTGCACCAAAGAGGCCCATAGCTTCTTCAACTGACCCGTCTCCGTCTCTACGATCTTGTCCCGTACCAGCGCCGGGATGGCCTGCACCCAGTCCGGGTCCCCAAGCGTTTCAAGTTTCACCAGCATTGCGAACGGCTGCACCTTCTGATATATCTGGCCTTCGCCCGAGGATCTGCCCGCATGGCCTGCGCCAACAGTCGCACCGTGAAGTTATGGTACCACGCGCCGAGCAGCGCGCTCGAGAGGCCCCGCGCATCCTTGACCGCCCGCTTGGGCACCAGTCCCTCGGGATCCCACACCGGATTGTGCACGTGGCGCTTCTGCTCGAGGTACTGGCGAGCGAGCAGCCTGTCGCGCGCGGGCCAGCGCGGATTAATCCTGTCCTGGCCGTGGTAGGCGGCCTTGAAGTCCTCGTACGCGTCTCTGGCGTCGGCGAACCGTCCTTCTCGGCACAAGTCTTCGTGCTCTTCCCGCTTCTGCACGACGGAAGGGTCTCGCTCCCGAGAATCTCGCCAGTAATGCTGTTCCTTGCCTTCCTCTGGGAAGTACTCGTGCACCACGCCCATCTCTCGACCCAGCCTGCGACGCTCGCGCGCATGTACGGCCAATTTGGTCTCCATTTCCACCGCCTGCTCGTGTATTCTGTCCGCCCTGGTGGCGTAGTCGTCTTGTGTTTTCTTCTTCATTGCGAAGAGCTGCCGTGACTTGGGCTTTGGTCGGCGATGCAGTTGCCCGGCGCAAGGTGACACTTCATTCTTTATTCTTAAAAGAGCTCGGTTCGAGGACAATGCAGGCGTGATGCTGTTGCACAAAGAAGACTATATGGACTGACAATGGGATGACAATGGGAAACGACTGGTATTCTGGGCTTTGTCTGCATGCTAAGACACAGCAGAGTTGAGCACTTACCCATGGTCCACGCTTCTGAGGAGAAAACGGGAGATGGTGGCGCGTGCTGAAGGAAGGCGAGGAGAGACGAAGCTCTACGGTATTTCGATGAACATTTTGGGCACACGTATACTATAGGTATATCGCCCTACACGTATTAGAAACCCTGTCGGGCACGCCACTTTTCCTGCCACCCCGGGTACCACGGCGACTCTTCCAGTGTCTTGGGCTCCCAGCCCTTTTCAATGATGCCTTGCTCTATCTGCTCTTTCTCATAGGCGTCAAGCGCTGGAATTACCACATGTTCGGTGTGCCACGTATTTTTGTACTTCATGAGGTTTTCTTTGCCTTCCCGCAGGACCTTGAGAATGAGGCTAGGCACGTAAGGCTCATCTCGGAAATCTTTCACCGGGGTGAAGACGGCCTTGAAATTGAACACGATGCTTGCCGATAGGGGTAGGCGGCGGAGTGTTTGCCAATCTACGCGCAGATGGCAGCGGTCGACGGTCAGGTCTGGAGACTGAAAGTCACGGTACTTCTCGTGTGGGTCTCCTGGAGGCATGTACAGTGGCTGGTCGACTTCAAGGCCCCACGAGCCACGCTGGATCGGCTTGTTTGCAGGCATCTTGGTGAAGAATCTAGTTGTAGGTCAGTAACTTGAAGCGTCCAACGCGGTCGCAAAAGGCGTACCTGTCCATGCTGAATTGCATCTTCTCCTTGTAATCCGGAATTGGCGCATGTATTTGATGCAGCTGGAGCCCAAGCTTTGTGCCGACGTTCCAACCCAAGGCCGAACAAATAATGCCCGCTCGGAGGTGATAATACCCTGTATCCGGATTACGAAGCATTATGCCAAAATCCTCGGGAATGTTGTCCAGAAGGACCAATATCGGATGCTTCTTGCTGACATCTTGCATTGTGCCAAGAATCTTGTTCTCGAAGATCTTCTTGTCCTGATCGAGGGTGAAATAGTGAGGATAACGAAGGGTCACATATTGCAAGACCATCTCCATGAGCTCTTTGCAGGCGAGCTCGGAGCCAGGCAGCCACGCAAGCACCGACTCGCCATGCTTCGCATAGAGTGCCTTACGCTGAGCGATACGGTCTTTGTATGTGTTTTCCAGCTCGATCCACCAGTCTGGCTCCAACTTGGTCAAGGCTGCGGATGTCAGACTATGGAGAAGTCACCACGGGTCGGACTTACACATGGTCTGATGATAGCCCCATCTGAAGGGACGATAAGGTCGCGGAATGGCCTTGTTGATATCAAACTCCGTGTACGGTTCTGGTTTAGGTACACCACTTAGTAGCGAATAGTCAGGGAAGTCGCCGAGGGCTCTGACTTCCTTGACAGAGAAGCCGCTGGCGATGTACTTTGACTCATCACAGGTTCGGAAATCTTCTTCCCAGCCTATAATGTTATGCTGGAAAGTCTTGTCATCAAAGTCAAGATCACCAAGTTGTTCGCGTTGGGAGGGTGTCAATGTAGGCGCGATCTGCTCGAGAGTGTCGCGTGGGGATGGCGGGAAAATACTGGCATACTCGTTGGATCTGGGTGCCGCATTGGTAGGGACCTTCTTTTCGGGCGACAAGGATCGCGGGGGTGTATTTGCCGCAGAGGCTCGTCGTCCTCGGATTGAGAACCTTCTGGCGATCAACTCGCGTTGGCGCTGGCTGAGACTGAGGTAGGTGACGAGGCCGAGGCACAGAGCCAACCCTGCCCAAAGAGCGGTCGCCTCGTTCATGGCGCGGAAGCTCGGTCAACAGAAGTGACGGGAGTTGTTCAGAAGACTCTCAAAGACTCTCAGATTCGGCTTGGGAGTGAATATAGATACGTGCTGGGCTCGGATACGGGAGCAAGCACGTGTGCGCGGGATACTTGGTGCGGGAAGTACACTTCGGGATTTCCACAGCGGAAGTCGGAGCTTCTCAACACGAACGAGGTTCCTCCAGCGTGAATGCCAATACAAGAAGCTGATTTTGATTCTGAAGGCGATGGAATAGTATGGCGGGTGTCTCCGAACAGTCACCTTATGAGGATGTTGACGGTCTGTACCACCGGCTGTATGGGCCGGTGCAAGGGTCGCTGTTGGCTGAAGTCAAGTACGATGCGTTCACCAAGCGTGGGAATCAGCCGTGGCAGATCCACACATCGAGAATGTCCTCCACCACACAGAGTGCTTTGTGCTGATAGATGACAACGCTGACCATTGATAGGGGAGAGTCTGGTGCCTGGACGATACCGGTTGGGGGTTAGTGGGGTAGCGTTATCAGCATCTTCCCCGCAGACATGGCTGGGAACAGACTGCCTAGTTGAGGTGCGGTTCGCGTCTCAACGAGGCTCACTGGTTGGTCAGAGCGTTTGAGAGAATGAATCAAGTCGAACATGTTGCAGCTGTAGCAGCTGTGCCAGCTGTCACGCGTCTGGTCCTTCTCCGCGTACTGGGTAGTATTAACAAAAGACTGAGCACCGCAGATCCCGGGGCTTAGCGGCCTGTGATGGCTTCCGGTAGCAGCAAGCGATGGGACTGCTTTCAGACGAAGATCGAGGCATTGTAGCCTCATTCGCTGGCAAAGCAAGTGTGACGGCTGGAGTATGATATGGGTAAAGGGGGGTTCAGGGCTCACATGTTGACCGCCGCGTGGCATGTCAAAGTGGCACAGTGACTCCAATGGTTACACAAGCAGTGCATATCGACAGGCCCAGCGGTGCGAAGTCTCTCACACGCAAACCGACGTCAGACAAGTTCATGATGGAAGTTGACCGGCGACGTCGCAAGAAGCAGCAGCGACGTGAACGCCTTGTGGGTACTGTGGGACCATGCCCTAACCCTATGATACATTGAGCCTCGGTTGCCTTGTAAGCAGCCACGTCCACCCCTCAAGTGGTACCTAGAGTACCTTGGGCACGGCGTTACCTTGCTTCCTTATCCTTAGAGCCTCAAGACACCAGAGCATCTGTGTAGACACAGAGAGCGTTCATCATGTCGACGGTCAAGCGCCTCAAGCACCTCAACCAGGACTATCCCGAGCCAGATCCAGCGGCTCCATCCGTCTTCCAACGCGGTAAGACGCTCACTCCACACCGTTCGACTTGAAAATGACTACTGACAGCTCTCTAGACATCTACGCCTCCCTGCGAGCGCCATCTTACTCCACCAAGCCAGCACAATGGGAAGCCGCCGCCAAAGCATCCGTTCCCGCCTCCAACTTCGGCTATGTCTTTGGTAGTGCCGGCACCGCCTCGACCCATGCCGCCAACCTGTCTGCCTTCCACAACTACCGGCTGCGCCCTCGCATGCTGGTCAATGCCACCCGAAGGGACCTCTCCGTCAACCTCTTCGGCACCGCCTACCCACACCCCATCCTTGCCGCCCCAGTCGGCGTCCAGTCCATCATGCACTCTGACGGCGAAGAAGCTACGGCGCGCGCCTGTGCAAACCTTAAAGTTCCCATGATTCTCTCCACCGCAGCCACCCGATCCATTGAGCAAATCGCCGCTGCCAACGGCAACGGCAAGCGCTGGTACCAGCTATACTGGCCACGACCGCAGCACGAGGAAGTCACCGCCTCGCTACTCGGCCGCGCCAAGGCCAACGGCTACGAGGTCCTGGTGGTGACACTCGACACCTTTGCCCTTGCGTGGCGTCCAACCGATCTGGACGACAGCTATCTACCCTTCATCTACGGCGAAGGCTGTGCCATTGGCTTTACCGATCCAGTCTTCGACGAGATATTCCAAGAGCAGCAACAGGAGGCTCGTCTTAATGGTGGCCAGAAGCTACGCGAGGTAATGGATATTTTGCGTAGGCCCGGCAGCGTCTTCGGCGCGGCCAAGGTTTTGCGGAATCTCCGCAACATGCCCAAGGCGCGGGAGTGGCTGTCGGTGCTCAACTCGGGCACTTACCGGGAGTGGAAGCACTTGGAGATATTGCGCGGCCTGTGGGATGGCCCGATCGTGTTGAAGGGGATCCAGACGGTCGAGGACGCACATTTGGCTATCGAACATGGTGTAGATGGGATCATTGTAAGCAATCACGGCGGTAGGCAGGTTGATGGCGCGATTGCTAGTCTGGACGCACTGGCAGAGATTGGAGCCGACGAGCGAGTCAAGAAGAGTGGCCTGACTGTCCTCTTCGACAGCGGGATCCGAACAGGAAGCGATGTGCTGAAGGCGCTAGCACTGGGTGCGAAGGCTGTCTTGATCGGGAGACCCTTCATGTACGGGCTGGCTATGGGCGGCCAGGCTGGCGTTGAGCATGTGTTCAAGTGCCTGCTGGCGGACACGGACAACATGCTCGGAAACATCGGGAAGAAGAGTCTGGGCGAGCTGAGTCGACATGACTTGCAGGTCCTGAGGAGGGAGGCGAGATTGTGAGAAGGAGAAGCGGTCGCATATACATTGTGAACGTAGCTGTGTAGCTTTCCTAATATTTCCGAACCAGCGCTTCTTGTCGTCAATGGTAAGCCGCATTTATTCTTGTCGCGGCGAGTATTGTCAATCTCAGACAAAGTGTAGCATCGACGAAGCACATCGCTTCGCCCACGAAACCTTTCCCACACACGTGAAGCGAATCTTCTTTTCCTCTACTCTGAACCCCAAAAAGCCCGCTCAAAGATCAAGCCTTGACATCCACCACCCCTTCCCTCGTCTTCAGGCTCACCATCAGCGGATCCTTAAACCACAACAACCACATCTTCTGCCCCTCCAACCACCCATCCCACACCGTCCCCGCCCCCGCCGGCTTCTCCAGATCAAAGCGCCACAGCAGCCTCGACAAGACCAGCCTCATCTCGGCCCTCGCGAGATTCATGCCGATGCAGTTCCTCGGGCCCGCGCTGAAGGGCTGGAACACATTGTCCGGGTTGTCGTTGGCGAATTCCTGGGGTCGATCGGGCAGCCAGCGCTCCGGGAGGAATTCCAGCGGCCGCGCGAAGTTGTAGGGCGAGTTGTAGGCGATGATGTGCGGGATGCTGATGCGGGTGTTTTCGGGGAGGAAGACGCCGTCGACGGTGTCACCACCAAGGGGGATCTTGCGCGGCACGGTGAGGCCCACGGGTGGGTAGCGCCGCATGGTTTCTTGGAGGGTGGCGTCCATGTAGGGGAGCTTGTCCGGGGTGACGGAGAGGAGGTTGATGGATGACTCGTCTGCGAATGTGGTCCGGACTTCGGCCGTGACGCGCTCTCGGACGGCGGGGTTTTGCAGCAGATGGAAGACGACGCCGCTGAGGAGGGTGGCGGTGGTTTCGGATCCGGCGAGGACAAGATCGCCGGCGCAGCTTTGCATTTCTTCGATGGTCGTGCCGCGCGTCTCTGGCGAGTGCAGGTCGACGGGCACGGTGTGTATGTCGTGCTTCAAGACGTGGTCTGTCGGGCTGTCAGCAGCAACGCGTGGCATCCGAAGGGAAATGGAACACACCCCAGAAATCTCCGCGGTCCTTGCCGCGAGCAACTCTTCTCTGTAATTTATCGACCAGAAAGTCGAAGTTCTTCCGTCTGTCCTCCATCATCTTGTTTGGGATTAGGTGCATGAGCAGGCCAACCACGCCCCATTGCTCCGCCATCAAGAAGATGACGGCAGCTTTGAAGCCTTTCAGGACAAAATCTATCCATTCGTGAGTGGACTGCGACTCCAAGCAGCCAAAAGTCTCGCCAAATGCAAGATCGCCAATAACGTCCATGGCAACGTTAGCGAGCCGAACTGGTAGCAAGGATGCAAATAATTACCGAAGCTCGTCCAGTGAAACCACTCAGCCATATCCACCGGAGCGATATTAGCACGCTCTGTCAGGCCGACCATGAGGAGATTGACGAAATGATTGATCCGATTCTCCTGTTCGCGGAGCCCTTGTGCAGAGAAAGCATGCGCTAGCATGCGGCGTTGTCGCCTGTGCTGGCCTCGCGTTGGGGCAGTCAATATGCCGTGAACACCATTGAGTCTATGCCCAAGGTCGGCCTTGGGCATCTCTAGTCGGCCAATGCGAGGGCCATATATCTCGGCCCAGCTTTTGCCCTTGATGGTTGACACTTCACCGGGGGCCACCCGTGCGACCGGACCATACTTGTCGTGAAGCCAACGAAGGTGCTTGTGATGATTTCCTCGGAGACGAGCAATGTCCAGGGGGAGTCTAGAAATGGCATGCGATACTGGTCCGGGATAGACTTTCAAGGGCGATATGTAAAGATTGTAGATTGTGGCGTAGACGAGCCCGCCGATGAGGCACACTGTGGCCAGCAGAACGGCATTGGCGATGTATCCTGCCATATCGGTCTTGTCTGTTGAGGATTGTCCGAGTAGAAAGCTTTTCAGCCCGGGTTTGAATCTGCCTGTAGATGAGAGAAGACAAATACGGCGCAATGCTGACATGGGTCAGGCCCAAGCCTGAGAAGCGCCTCTCTTAAATGAGTCGGGCCAAGGTCTGCCCGTCCTCATGTCAGCAGTGTTATTCTCACCAGAGGTCCACGCGATATATGCCTCCGTCCAAGACAGCGTTGCTTGTAGGTAGCTGCAGAGGCACTGTAAGGCCCCCTTTGGCTACCGCGTACGTTGCGGAAGCGAAGAGGCCAAGTCGTACTTATTCCACGCATGGCCAGCCAGGTTGCCTTGTGAGGCCAGCCGGGCTCTATGTTCGATGGCCAGGCTCTGACTGATTACAGACCTGTGTCAGCTTAAGGATCTCACCGTGCTCAATCAATGCCATCATGCCCTGCGATCGCATTGAGGGTCGCATTTTAGATCACTTGGCATTTACCATGCAGCCAGGACCTGAACTCAGCAGCACACTGAAGCTCACGCCCTCCGTCCTGAGGTTTGCTGTGTTACTTGTTATGGTAAGTGTTTGCTCTTTTGATATCAGGCATTTCTCTCGGCATGAAGTGAATGCTGCAAGAGAGTGCTAGGTTGGCAGCGAGGATGGTCGGCGGAGGGGATGCACCCAGACTCCGGTGGCCGACAGGGCCAGATTCCTTCTGACACTCGACGGGGTCCTGGACAGGTTCGAATCAACGGCAACCCGGGTTGTCTTCACACACGACCCAAGTCTACCACACCCATTCATGTACTCACCGGTAGCATGATGGCAACCGTATACGAGTCGGCGCATAGACTCACCATCCCCACCAGATGGCGGCATTCGTTCCTCGCCGCGCATTCCCTCATCTCTCTTCGATCCCACGATCCTACTACTTAGGCCATCATGCTGCCGGCCTCTCGCGCATGAAGACTCTGCTTTCCAGCATCGATCTAGTGATTGAATGCCGCGATTACCGCACACCTCTGTCCTCTCGCAACCCCACATTTGAGCAGCACCTCGGTGAGCGCCCGCGCCTCATCGTCTACACCCAGCAAGATCTCGGGAGCAATTACACAGCGGCAGACACTGCCAGGGAACGCATAGTCGCAAAGTGGTTTCAACCAACGCCTACGCTCTTCACGTCTTCCACGTCGAAACAAGGCATCCGTTCCATCCTAGACTTCTGCCGCACGCATGCCTCGACTGCCTCAAACTCCCATCTCTTCGGCACACGAGTCCTCATCGTTGGCATGCCCAACGTCGGCAAGTCCACGCTGCTAAATTCCCTGCGCCAACTCAGCCTCAACAAACGCAAAGCCTCTCGGACCGGTAACCAGCCTGGCGTGACCCGCAAGATCGAATCCGCAGTCAAGATCATCCAGGGCGAGGAATCCGAGGGCGATGCGGGCAGCGTCTACGTCGTTGACACTCCCGGTGTCTTCGTCACGTACGCGCCCGACGCAGAGAGCATGCTCAAGCTCTGTCTATGTGGCAGCGTCAAAGACACGATTGTCCCACCAACGACGGTGGCCGACTATCTACTCTACCACCTGAACCTGCACGACCCATCCCTGTACGCCATGTTCCATCCAGAGCCAACGAATGACATTGGAGTCGTCTTGACCGGACTCGCACACAAGCAAGGGCGGCTCAAGAAGGGCGGCGTGCCCGACTTCGATGCGTCAGCGCTTCAATTCATCCAACGCTGGAGGGCTGGTGAGATGGGCCGGTTTGTGCTCGATGACGTGACCGAGGAGGGCTTGCAAGATAGGGACAACATGCTGGAGGGTCTGGGCGGCAGTGTGAGCCAAGCTAGAAAGGAGCTCAAGGCCCAGAAGCGAGCCGCTGCTCAGCTGAAGACCTGACGGAGCGTCAAATGCAGCGACTGGTTCATGTTGAACTAGGCAAGCGCGCACCGGCTTTGCAAAGTTGAGAACCCGATGATCTCAAGGACGATATGATGACGCTTCAAAAAGGGCTTGTACATTACACTAGAATAGACGATGGAACGCGTGCTCGCCATGCCACGCCCATGCATACACTGTACAACATAATAATCGTACACCAGCTTTCCAGAACAAACACATACAGAAGAAAACCTTTCGGTGGCGTTCGTCTTCCCTGCCAGACATAATCTTAGCCGTGAATTCGTTCATACAACTACAGAAAAGCGAGGAAGGACTCCCGTCCCCATCCATATAATTCGGCGACTTCAAACCTCCCACCCATCTCTCGCCCACCCCTTACCCCAACTCCCCTTACTCGCCGCGCCACCGCCGGTGCCACCGCCACCAGCGTTTATCAACCAGGGCCTCGTCTCCTTTCCATGGCCCATCGCCCTCTTGAAACCCGCATTCCAGCGATCCTCCACCTCCATGAGCACCGCCTGCTGCGGCTGCGCATACGGTGGCGGCGGCACCTTGGGCTTGGGCCTTCGACCGCGTGGCTTCGGCGCTGACACAAGCTTGCCGCTTCCACTCGCCGTGCCGCCGCCGGAGCCTACGGGACCGCTCTCGGCCTCTTTGACGATGGCGCGGAGTTCCTTGTCGTCTGCGGTGATTTGCGCGCGCAGGTAGGCCAGGGACGAGGCGGAAGGCGATGAGCTGCTGAGGGACTCCATGACGGGCTGTCGGGGAACGTATTCGTACTGACTGAGGTCAATAGGCGATGCGGGGATGATGGATTCGTCCAGCTTGGCGGCGTCGCCCTTGTCGAGGAGCTGCGAGATATCGAGCGACTCGCCTACGGGGATGGGCGTGGGGTGGCTTGGGGTCACGCAATTCATGTCGACCTCTTTGCGAAGGACGTGGTCGATGTCAACGGCACTAAAGAAGGCGCAGCTCTGCGGCAGATCATCGATGCCCATTTGCTGCGAGAACATGGCACGAGTCCAAAGGTTGGCGATCTGGAGTGCCATGGCGGCTTTGTATTTGTCGGCGTCTTTGACAAGATAGCGGATTTCGTCGTGGACAGTGATGGCCAACCTGGCTTGGAGATTGAAGCGCCGAATTAGGTAGTCCATGGAAATGATGAGAAGATGTAAGTAGTCGACACCAGAGGACTGAATCGCCCAATTGATGCGTGAGGTCATGAAGCCACCTTGATTGATGAAACGACGCATAAGAGCCTCAGTGATGCCGGCACCGAGAACAGGCGTGCGTGGGCGTTCCTGCTCAGCAAACTCTTCGAGCTTGTTGAAAACGAAAGACTCGGTGCCGCCGCGCCAGAAGGTGCCGGGACCCAGAGCCTTGCGACGAGTGCGCGTGCCTTTGGTCTCCTTATAGAGCTTTTCTGCAATCTCCGTCGTTTGCTTCTCGGTGAGAGTTGGGTTGAATTGACGGAGCAACATTGAGGCAAACTTCAAGCCGGCACCATAGATCCGTCCGTAATTGAAGACTTTGGCGTCGTTGCGTGAGATTCCAAGGATCTTAGCAGTCTTCGAATGAAGATCTGTCCCAGCGGCTTTGGTGCCTTCGAGAGTCATGAAGCCTATGGCGTTCCCGCCATGAAGCTGGAATTGAGCGTCTCCGACCAGCGAGGCAATCCATAGCTCTTCACTATCGACATCGGCGCCAACGAAGACGTGACCCGGAGGCGCCTTGACCATCGCCTTGAGCTCTGATCCCACCCGGTTCTTCTTTGCGTTGGAGGCAGTGAGCCAGGTGTTCTCCACGGCTCGACGTGTAATCGTGCCCATCGGGATAACCTGAGGCAGTATGAAGCCTTGCTTGGATTGCTTTCGAGTTTGATCGAGATCAGACTCATATATGACCATCTGCGATCGGATACGGTCCCGCGCCGAGATCCAGTATGAACAGGAGGCATTCATATCCAAGGCTTGTTTCGCCAGCTCGAATCGCGACGACAATGATCCAGACTCGAAATACTGAAGGTAGCCTTTCGCAAGTGGCGAGACGCAACGCGCTGTTGGACCGTCCTTGTGTGGTAGTTTGAAGTAGGTATGACGAGAATCTTCCTTTAGTGTCAAATTCGTTTCCTCTGACATATCGGCCCTGACCATATTGCTGTTTTCGTACTTGGCCTCGTCTTTGAGAGGAACTTGAAATGTCCAGCCATTCTTGTCTGACCAAGTCAAGGGATATCCATCCCAGGATAGCTTCAGCAGGAGAGGAGCAATACGGGTCCTGACCGTCAAGTTCAACGGACCCTTACTGGAGGGAAACAGATCCCGGTACCAGTTGGGCATCCCAGGCATCTTCTGTCTAGCGACTGGCACCAGTGGATCACCCTTTTTCTTCTGCTTCTTGTATCTGATTTCTTGTCCGGCCCAATCCAGCTGGGCCAGCCATGGGTCATTATTATACACTTCTGGTTTGTCTTTGGTCTTTAGCGCTTCATCGCATAGCTGAGACAGACGGTCTTCAACGGCCTTGAGACGCTCATTGTAGGTCGCATCGGCATTGTCGAGATATTGCTGCCAAGTTTCGTTTACTGGTAGAATGACGGAGGATAGGTGTCTCAGAGCGCCGAAGCTCACAGGATGTGGGCAGACCTCGAGAAAATTGGGGAAGACCTTAGTATAGACTCGATGAGTGATTGACACGTCGGCAGCACAATAGTCAAGGAGTTCATCCAACCTGACGGCGATGACATCTCGGTCGAGTTCGCTGAAGTAGTCGCGCTGGGCTTTGTCGATGGTTACACCGCAGTGGAACTTCGCCACATCTCGTAGAGAATTCACAGAGCTTCGGCCGACCCAAAGCTCTTCCTCTTCTTCGCTGAGCATTTTGCTCTCCAGCATCGTCTGAAGCTCAACTGAATTGTGGTCACTGGACATCTTGTCACGTAGGTCACGGTTCTTCTTGTGCTTCATCCAAGTAGGTCTCTGTCGTGAGCACATGCCATTGACCGCAACATGCAATGACATGGTATCAATGAAGAAATTGCGCGACTGCTGGAGGTCATACTCTTCCTTTACACGTGCCCGATCATAACCGATATTATGACCAACAACTATGCGCGGCTTCGTGGGATCGCCGAGTGGGATTAGTTGTCGATAATCTTCGGTCTCTCCCAGCAGCCACGGTGATATCCAAGCATACCATGCCGTAGGACTTGCTGCGCAGGCCATAACGGCATAGCTGTTGTTCTTCCACATGACTTCCACATCGAATGACAGCATCTCCTCGTTGGGTGCATCCACCTCCTCGGTCGTCATGTCACTGTTGTACTTGGTCCAGCCACTTCGTCGAACCCATTTTCGTGGACGCTGAGGAGGGTTTGCCCGCACGAACTGCTTCGCTTGGGAGAGAAATGGTTCAGAGGCATCCAGACCCAGTCGTTGGAAATGCTCGTCTAGTGTATCACCTTGGAGAGGCGGTGCTTCAAGGCCGACCGGTGGCGTATCATCTTGGTTCTTCCCCAATAGGTCGTGCCTTCGCAGGTGGTCTTTAGACAAGTCCACCAACTCTGGTCGCGGTACGAAAGAACGGCCTGGGAAGATCTGCGGATGGACGCTACTGCTCAGTTGTTGGACTCCAATGTCATTGAAGCGTGCCTCTGAGGGTCGCGATAACGTCTTGGTGTCCGCTGTGGCCTTCGTGGGGGCATGTTCAGCGTAGTGGCGACGGAGGATGGCTGTCGCGCGACAGGCAAAGTAGGGGTTTATCCGGAACTTCTGCGATGTTCTGATGTAGCCGCGCGCGCACTGGCCGGAAGCTGGGGCCCAAAGCATGGCTGGCGCACTATCACCGTTGATAGTACATGAGGTTGGACGACTGTCGATGGCCTTCTGCTATTGGCCTCGATGCCAGAAGGGTCAGCGCATCATCACTGTACACAACTCCCAACCCTCCCTTTGCGGCTGCAAAACTCAGAGACCCCTGTTCAGCGCGTATCGATAGGGGCGTGTCGACACGCTAAAACAGATTGGCAATAGGTGGAGGCGAAAGCCCGGAGTTAAGGACGAGGCGTCGGAAGGACCGATTGGGGTGGGACGACATCACTAAACTGCTTCTTTGAATGAAGAATCCAGAAGTGCCGTACACGCAGAGGGAGCACGATTCACAGCGTTATTCCATTGTCTTCTACTCCGAGCATTGTCCTCAAGGCCATGAATCTAGTTTGAAATGAGCTCCTCGCCGCCCCATGCCTACATTTCCTTCCCCTCTCCTCCCTCTCAACACCCCGTTGCCACCTCCCGTACGGGCCACTACAACGCTCCTCGAGAACCCTCGTCTGCCCAAAGGAGAGGGCCACTACGCCTGCCCTCCCCTCGATTGTTCCGAGACATTCTGTCTTCAATTCCAGAGCCTGTGCCACGACGGCAGGCGGTCCTGCCCGGTCCTTCATCCAATATGCCGGAGGAATCCTTCGCAGGTGCGATTCAGCGAGCAAGTCGAGCAGTTGCCAACGCTGAAGAGGCCTTTCATTCAAGAGGAAGCCACGCAGAAAATTTCATCGATCTAACCCGAACGCCCTCAAATGAGCTAAGTGAAGTGCCAGGCACGAGCCGGTCACAAGTGAACGGTGAGGCTGAAGCAGATTATATATCAACTACCACACATCCGCATGACGTTCCTCGTCACTCACGAACCCAGCGTTTGTCAACATCGCTTAACCAGCCTGTCTACGGCTCTGGACCTGCTGCTGCTCCTCCACAGCTACCACTTCCGTGGATTCAAGAGCCACGACCTGATCCTGACGACTCGCTCGCCCGTGTCCGAGCCCAACGTGACCGTGCACAACGTGCGCACATATTTCAGGCCCACGCTCGAGGCCTTTTCGGGAATTTCCAACAATTCTCCTCCGAACGAGACGAACGAGCGGCGATTCGCCGCCAACGGGAAAACCACGACGCCTGGCTAAGGACTCAGGCTCGAACAAGGCAGCTCCAAGAGGAACTTCAACACCAGGTTGAACAGGACACCATTTTATCATCTTCACAGTCACCCTCTCCAGAACCCGAAAATACGCTATCTTCCGGACCAGGTTCACCCGACACACCTCCATCGCTTAAGCCTGAGATGAGAGCTACCGGGCTCGAGGCCACCGAGATCGAAGCCATTGATCTGACCGCCGTAGATGACATGGTTGGCCTGAACGATGTCATTGCCAAACAACGCGCTGATGCTATTGCGTCGCAACGCCCCGCAGGAGCAACCGAATCTGGCCGTACCACCTTCAGCGCTTTCAAATGCCCCATTTGCATGGATATTCTAGGCCGCGCTACCGTCACCAAATGCGGCCATATCTTTTGCCACAAATGTATCATCGACACCCTGAAATGGTCCGCAGACCAGCATAGACAAGAGCACCCAAATCATAAGATCCATCCAGGGAGCTGCCCAGTGTGTCGCCAGGCGCTACAAATCAAAGATGTAAAGGGTACCGGTCGAACTCTTGTCCCTCTCCGGATGAAAAAATTCTCCCTGAAGCGAAAGCGAAACGATAAGGGCAAAGGGAGAGCAGATGAGATCGAGGTGCAAGGCGGTCGGCCGCCCAAGAAGAGGCAGGTAGCTAAGGGTAAAGGCAAGAGAAGCGCGACGACACCTGCTCCGAAGCGCGAAGGCACGGATGATTTGTTCGGCGAGTTCACCAACGAGGATTATGCAAGTGGCCTGGTCCAGTAGCGACTTCGACTGGCCTTGCGCAATGAACCCTGGGCAAAGGGCTACAGGTCTCGGGTGAGGTCACACGAGGATGAGGCGAATCGCAGATAAAGCGATTGAAAAGTCTTTCTGTCGGTCTGACAGATCGCTACTCTTGCTTGGAGATTGGACTTGCTGAGCGATAGCGTTTGGCGATGATACACATTCCATAGCAGCGAGCCTCCCACAAGGGTACTTTTGACAGAATGAGCTACGAAGACCTCGAGCATTGGGGTTGCTACCATCGATTGTCTCAAATTCATGCACACATTCGTGTCATTGTCTCCCATTCCCTAATCCCGTGTTGTAGTTGTCATCGCCATCGCCATCGTTGTCAACGAAGTGACAGCCTTGGCGAGTCACGTGACTGTTCTACCTTAGACCTCTTCAACTTCTCCTACTACTCTTCATATCCCACACACATCAGTGCTTCTCCAGACCTACGCAAGCCGCTGGGGAGGTGGAGTGTCGAATCAAAACCCATCGAGTCCGTGCTCACTCTGCCATCAAACCAGATGAGCTGGCCCCTCGAAGAGTAACCTCAAACAATTCTCCGGTCTGATATCCGAATCATCACAGCATGGGGAACCGCAAGGAGCGCCGCGCCCAAGGCTCCTCTCAAGCCATCACCTCGGCATCCGACATCCCCTCGATGCGGCCCTCGGATGACCCCCGCAACAGCAAGAAGCCCGCCAAGACGCTCCTCGACATCGCCGCCGAGCGACAGGCCATCCAGTCCCACCTCCCCGCCGGCCCAACACTACGAGAATCCAACGTCGTCAACGTCACCATCGACGACGACGGCAATGTGAGGACCCTCGATGGGAGCCCCTTACCCAACGGCCTATCAAGCACGACTCAGGATGGGAAGGTTGTGGCGCAGACGGGCTCCGACGGCATCGTGACGGAGGAGGATGGAGTGGCGGAGATCCCACCCATCATGGACACGCTGCTGCTCAGCCTGCCGCTGAGCGCTGTGCACTTCACGCTCGCGGTGCTGACGATGCACCAGTACGCGCAGGAGCTGAGGATGCTGCCGCTGCTGTGGGACACGATATTCATTGCGTTCCCGACGCTGACGCTGTTGGTTCACCTCTTCCGCGGGCATGTGCTGCCGGTGCGGGTATCGGACGGCGTGCGGACGGCGGTGCTGGTGCTGCGGAGCTTGGTGTATTTGGCGGTGGCGAATGCGGCGGGCTGCTATCTGCTCATGCTGACGAATGATCGGGGGTACTACGCGGTGATGAAGAAAGCGCCAGCGGTAGGCACGGTGTGGGTCTGGGCGGTGCTTGAGATGGGGTTGGTGGGCGCCGTGGCGGGCGTGGCTGGGCCGGCGGCTTTTGCGTGGTGGAGGGGGTACGGGTTGTAGCAGGGTTGGTTGTATAACAAGAGTAGATAGATGTTGGACATATACAAAATTGGGGGGGGTATTTGGAGCCGACAAAAACATGATCTAACGCCAGCCAGCGTCCCAAGACTCATCCATATTGCAAAGCCACGGTAGAAGCGGCCATGCTTGCCGACAAATGGCCACCACAGATCGCAACCGCACGGTGGCCCCCTACAACTTCACCTCCCCAAGCCCTGCAACCACTCCGTCCCCCTGACCAACAAAGACCAACTCCCGACCCTATGCATAAACCTCGGCACCGCCCTCTCCATAGGCATCACCACCCCCTCCTCCCTCCGCACCCACATCCACGTCTCGGTACTAAACACCATCCTCTCCCGCTCCACCCCTCCCTCCTTCTTCCCATTTCCTCCTTCCTCCCCCTCCCCCTCACCCTCCTGGGCTCCCACACCAATAACCAACCTCCCCTCCACCTTCCCCATTCCCATCTCAAAACACACCCACCCCTTCTTTCCCTCATCCTCAACCCCCCTCTCCAAAACCCTATACAACCCACAAACCACACCCCCCTCCTCAAACGGCAGACTCTCGATCCAATCCCGCTCGAAACTGCGCCGTTGCTCGCGCCCGCTCATCGCCCACAGCACGTACGCCTGCGGCGTGCGCGAGAACAGCGTCAGCGTGTGCTGCAGGTACGCGGTCAGGAGGTCGTGGGTCGTGAGGGCCGGCGGCAGCGACGAGGACGGGACCGCGAGGGTGGAGATGTCGTAGAAGATGTTGTGGGCCGCTGGGTCGGTGAGGAGGGCGGGGGGGAGGTTGGCTTTCAAGGCGCCAAGACCGGGCAGGGAAGGGCTATTGCTGGGAGTTGGAGTTGTTGTTTTTGTTGTAAAGATGGACTTGGGTGAGGAGGAAGCAGAGGTGGCTTTTCGGCGCGCGTCGTCGCCGGTGAGGGTTTGGTGTGATGTGATGCGTGCGGCGAGCTGGCGCTGTAGGATGGCGAGGCGGAGGGTGGGGACGGCGATGAGGAGGGTGGTCGCTGTTGCGGCGATGAGGAGCGGCGAGGGCCGGGAGAGGCGCGCGAGCAGATTGTCGAGGGCCGTCATGGCGAGTTGGCTTGAAGGTAGTGCCTTGAGGTTCTGCAACTGTTGAGTGGGCTCTGAGTTATACTGCTGGATAAGACTGCCGACGTATCGAGGACCGTCTTCTGTAGCTTGTTCTGTTGCCGAGGTAGCACCGACGTATCAAGTACGACGCCAGGATGGAACGTCGTAGTCGATACTCCTCACCGCCCAGCTTGTTGAAACAGTGGACAACGCGCAGGAAAATTCAGCGAGACGAGTCTTGTAGAGTCATTGCAGATAATTATCGTGGATACAAAAGAGATTCGGGCGGAGAGCAGCAATACAATTCCCGCCCCCACGAATTCACTGCCTGATGTGGCCTTGGCGACCACCCCCACGAGGTCGTGCCACGGTTCATACCTCATTATCGGCCCTCACACGTCCACATCCCTGGGACCAAACTTCTGGAAATGCTCCTCATAGCTCTCCCAGGTCTGGTACGGGAACTCGGTCGGCCGCGTGATGGGCACCAGACTCTCGCCTCGCTTCGCAAACTCTTTGAGCCGTTGTTTCGTCAGCTCCCTCGTCTTGTTCACACTGCCCTACGCGTCAGCTTTCGAGGTCCATAGTCTCTCACACAGCTGGGCTACTGATTTCCACTCACCTATAGATCTTGACTCGATGCGCCGAGCTCGTCACGTGGAGGCCCCAGTTCCCTATTGCTCTCGTTAGCCACCAAGGTCTCGAAGACACCAGATCAGAGAGACAGGCGCGTCCCGAGGGAACAAACTCACATGTATTTCGCACCTCGGTCGGCTGTGTATTGAGCGAATTATCCCAGCATCTCACCACAATCTCCAACCAGCCCTCGACATCAACCGGCAAATCTAGCCACCACGTGCGCCACGCAAACTTGTGCTTTTCAGACAGGTTTTGCGGCGGCACCGCGTACCAGCTAAAGCCGCCGTCACGGCTGACCTCGACGCGCTCCGGCCAGCGCCCGCCGCCGCTGTACGCCCAGCCGTTGACTTTGACCGCGCCCGAATGCACAACCACCTGCTTGTTCATCGGGCTCATGATGGCCGAGCTGACGGGCATCTCCTGGATCTGGATGCCGTCTGTCCAGCGCTGGTTGTGCTTGCCGACCTGCTGGTTGAAGTACAGGTATTCCCTGCTCTGCACGGGCGCGCTGGTGGGTTCCTTGAGGGCTCGGATGCGGTACAGCCACTATCACGAGTCGACATTAGCCGCCATGGCCACTCCGAGCCAGCGGTCCCATGTGGCATGGGTATACTGTAGACTTACCTTGACGCTCCTCGCCCCGATATATCCCATGACCACGGCCCTGACAGGCGCGCCATGAATGCTCGGCAACACCTCCCCATTCATCTCCCAGGCCAACATGACCTCATCCACCTTGACCTTCCCCCACGGCACGCTCACCGCATAGTTCATGACCTGGTTCTGCTTAAAATACGTCTCCGCCCCCACCAGCTCCAGATGCTTGCCCCCGTCCACCAACCCGCCACACGCCTTGATCACCTTCTTCAAACTCACACCCACATACTTGGCCGTCCCAATCGCCCCCTCCGCCCACGGCGCATTGATCATCTCATCCCCCTCCCCCGCATACAAGCCAATCTGCTCGATCCTCCTGGTGCCCGAGCACTGAATCGTCACCAGCCTCTCCATGCGCGGGAACCTCGCCTCATCCATGAGATCCCTGAGCGTCAGCTCCTGCGGCTCCTTGACCAGGCCATCCAACTGCAGGCTCCAGCGCTCCGCGTCAATGATGGGGATGCCGCCGTGGTTGCGCACAAAGTGCAAAGGGTTCGGCGTTACGGGTTTCTCCGTGACGAGCCTCTTGGGCGGCTCGCCGTTGTAGGGGAACTGCAGTAAGTGCAGCATCTGCGGGTGTTTTTCTTTAAGGACCGTCTCCCAGGATTCTTCGGGCACGTTCTTCAGGGGCCCGCCGATCGCGCGGTGCCAGAGCTTCCAGCGGATGCCTGTTGAGACGGGTAGTGTGTCAGCATGCTGATGGTCTTGATGTGGCAGAGAGGGAGAGAGCTTATCGAGGGACGAGACTGGGGCCTAAGAAAGGGCATGCCATAGTTGATGGAGGGAACGCGTCTACTTGCCTTCCAGCACCGGGTTCGTGCTCGGGATAACTTCCAGCTGAAACTCCGGCGGCGGCGGGAACGTCTGCGAGATCAGAATGCTGTGCGCCTTGGCCTTCTTCGCGGGATAGTCTTCCCACTCGATATACCTGACGGCTCACACATTAGCCCAGACTACCCCCCTGTACATCCCCCTTCCCTCCATCGTTCGTGCTCTAAAAACAAATCGATCTAGCCAGTGGGCTGCGGACGGACAACATACCCACGCCACCCCTCCTTCTCCTCGGCAAACACCACCTCAGGATCCTCGTCGAACTTGGCGATATCATCCGCCTTCGCAGCAGCGCCTGCGCTCTCCGCCTCGCTCTCCGACTCGTCCTGGATGGAGAGGTCCAGCAGCGGCAGCGACGCGGCAGTGAGGCCCTGCTCGAGCTTCCATTCGTCGCCGGGCTACATGTGTGGCCGGGATATCGTCTTAGCATACTTTCTTTTCGTCGCCTTTCTTCCAAGAGGTTGAAAGCTCTCGAGAGGATTGGACAAGACCTACCTGTACGAACGCAGGCTCCCGGGCCGGATGATCGCTCTGCATGGTCGTTTATGCTATCTACTCTCTGCTTTCTGCTGGTGGGTAAGTAAGCTCTTGCCAAAAGTCCTCAGTCTCGAAACGCAGATTTTGAAACGACAAAGCATGAGAGAGAGTCGGACTTCGCGGGCAATAAAAGCAAAAGCTTGAACGGCAGTCAAGGATAGAAGAGGAGCCCGGGGGTTGTATCATTGGTGGTTGGTTCTGCAGGCAAGTGAATAATGGATTATGGCAACTCGTATAAGGCTCTTTCCAGCACGGAGCTAGCATAGCAACAGGCATTCCTTGATGATGCACTGATTGGTCAACGGCAGTTGCTGGGCCTGTAATTGTAGCTCGTGCCTGTCAATCATCGAGGGGAAATGCAGCCATGCTTGCAGCGTCAAGCGGCTGGAAGTACTTCCGGACCTTGCATCAGACCTCAACCAGAGAGAGATTGGTCGGAACACCTCGCTTATGAGAGGCGTCGAGAGTGGGTGCAGCTCGCGCATAAGCGTCGAGCGCCAAAGGAATACGATCTGGCAGGATGCATGGGAGGTAAGCTGTGGGACTACTTCAGCAGGGTAACGGAAAATGGAGTGATGTTATCCGAGCGGATCAATGTCGTACCTGTGAATGATAATCACTCGCGTCACCACTCAATCTAGCGAGCTACCATGACGAAGCAGTACAACTCTGCATGTTGCTTGTACCCCCTGGCTTATCCTAGGAGTAGCTCCAGCTCTTCAACCCTTCGGCGCTTCTTTTCGTCATCGCCTCCATCGCCACCAGACTGTCCTACTCCCAGCGTGCCAGCCACCGCCATCTTCTTCTCTTGTATACGCAGCATTCTACCTTCAATGCTCTCCGTCGTGATGAAACGCACCACTTCAACTTTTTGGGTTTGTCCCATGCGATGCACTCGATCGATGGCTTGAGCTTCAACTGCAAAGCTCCACCATGGATCCATCATGTAGCACCTGCTTGCAGCTGTGAGGTTGAGGCCGACACCTCCAGCCCGGAGTGATAAAAGCAGCACTCGTGGAGCTTTTGGGTCGTGCGCGTTTTCAGCACTGAATGCCCGGATGACCTGGGCCCGGATCTTCTGGGACATTGTGCCGTCGAAACGCAAATGCTCAAATCCGTGTCGCTTAAGCTGTGGTGCAATCAAGTCCAGATAGGCCGTAAACTGCGAGAAGACGACCGACTTGGTCCCACGAGGTTGTGCCGAGAGATGTTTGAGCAATGCCGCAATCTTCGCCGACGTTGCAGCGGATGGAGAATACGGCCTGACACGCCTGAGGGAAATCTTGGGCAGCTTGGACTCTTCTCCGCCGTACATGTCTTCGTCTTCGAAAGATGCGCCTGGAGAAGGAGGTTCATGCTTGACTACCTCGAAGATGTCGCGAGTATTGATCGTCTCACGACAAGCGAAGCATCGAGGTAGTTCTCCTTTGTCAGTCTGGTGCTTGACATAATCTTCCAGGCACTTCTTGCAAGCGCTATGCCAACAGCCTGTCACTGCAGGATCAATCATGGGCTCTTCTGTACAGATAGGACATTCGCCACTGGATTCGGTTTGTATTTGCCTAAGGGCATTGGTTGTAAAACTGCTGGCTGAATCTTTTTCAGCAACTGCATTCTCTTCGGCTGCTGCATCCGTGTCTTTGGTAAACCGCGCTATGAGGTCTTGCAGATCCACGTCGTCGGCAAGACTGGTCGAGTCCGCAGCCATAGCAATGGCTTTGTCTTCCTCATCCGCAACAATATCCTTGTTGCGAGTAAGCACAGGGTGGCAGCAAGACTGCCGAAGCCGCAGAATCTGCGCGAAGATGGTGGTGTAGGACTTCATCAATGTACCGGCCTGGAGAGATTCGTTAAATGCTCGCTTGGCTCGGGTCAGAATTAGATCATAAACATCTCGTTCTGTCTGCGAGAGCTCGACCTCTTCAACGGTGATTGTGCGAGAAGGCAGTGGCACAAGCGCTTCACCCTCAGGCGTCTTCATATCCTTGGTTCTCCTCAAGACTAAAGGCTCCAGCACCGTTTGCACGACGTTCAGTGCTCGCACGAATTCCTTCGACTCAAATGGCACCGTAATGAAGGTTTTCCAAAAAGAGAAGTTGCTCCACGGCTCAACCTTGAGGAATCGGACCAAGCTGAACAAATCTTCAAGTCTGTTCACAATGGGCGTACCCGTGAGCACCCATCTGTGCTTCGCTTTGAGCTCATAGCATGCTTTCGAAGTCTTTGCTTGCCTGTTCTTGATCGTGTGTGCCTCGTCGAGAATGACGCGAAAAAAATCGACTGAGAACAGACCACCATGCGAGCCTCGATCTCCGCTGCTAGCAGCCACCTGATTGAATTCCGACAAAACCACGCCGTAGCTAGTGATGATCACATGAGGTGCCACAGAGGCATTTGCGCAAAGAGTCTGCAGGTTGACGGTCTTTTCACCGCCATAGTAAACCAGTGTTCTTAAGGTACCAGGCTGCGACGATTTGACTGCTTCCGACTCCCACTGAGCGAGAAGAGACATGGGTGCCACGACAAGAGTGGTGTATGGTGCAGGCTCCACGGAAGAGGACGATTGTGGCAGGCGTGGTAGCTGATTTACAGATGTGGATCCAGTGTTTGATGCAAGCTCCGGCCGGTGGCTGTGTATCAAGCTGTAGATTTCGATCGTCTTACCGAGACCCATCTCATCCGCAAGGATGCCACCCAGGCAATTCTGTTCCTGCACCGGGAACTCGAGACCGATCTCACCAGAATAGAGATTGACATAGAATTTGTCCTGGCCTTCCACGACGGGCAAGATGGTGTCTTCAGCGTCTTTGATCGGCCAAATATACTCTTCCCAGAGGGGATGCATGGAGGCTGACTTATCCGGCTTCTCGTCCTTCTCTTTACTCAACATCCAATGGAGAGCTTGCTTCTGGTATTTGCGCAAGCTCAGGGTAAAAGTCGATGCAGGCTCGGCTGGCGGTGTATCGAAATCGAATGACTGTGCCTTCTGATACAGAGCGTCAAGCTGATCCTCCTCAAGCTCCTGGCCATCTTCTTCCTCAGAAGTTGGGGTAGAAGTCCCGGTCTTGGGCTTCGAAGCTTTCTCTTTATCGTACTGCTCCGCCATTTCAGCAGCCTGAAGCAGGCCCTGCTTCTTATGCTTTTTAGTCGTCTCATTGGTAGTTGTCGGCTGCAAGTTTATTTCGTCGAACAATTTGACCAGAGCCACCTGCCTGAGCCGGAGATCTTTCTCTTCAGTACTTTCCTTCTCCTCGAAGATGCCGGTAGTCCTGTTGTCGTCGGCTGAGCTAACAAAGGCGCTCGTCCCAAATGCACTCCTGAGCATGTATACGCGAAGCTGAAGGAAGATCGTATCGTTTGTCCTCACTTTCTCAGGTGCGTATACACAAGTCCCCTCAAATCGGCAGAGCTTTTGGTCCAGGAGAGTCGACACCCACTTGGCTGTATCCTCGGGCAGACGCCCAATTTCCTCACCATTGACATTGCAGAACCGTGTAACCACATCGTGCTTTTGATTGCGTCCTACCATGGGTACAGCTTTCCCTCCCCGTCCGAGCTTCGTTTTGGGCGCAATTTTGCTTCTCTCGATACGGACGGTATCTCCATGCACTAGGATGTTGTTGCCACTTTTCGTTGTCCATCCAGCCGCGCCAAACGAGCCTACATACCTCTCCTTTGGCATATTCCTCAACAATACTTGTTTCGGCTCGGGTGGTTGATTCGGCCGAGTTTCTGGCTTTACAGGGTCTGACGGCTTACGGTCTGTGGTGTTGAAGAAGGAACTCATAACATTTTTCGATCCAGAAGCCGCAGGGGGCGGTCGAGCTGCGATTGTCGACTTCCACGAACCGTCCAAGTACATGTTGATGGCCCTCTCCATGTTGCCATTTGCGGCATCACGCAGGGCTTTGACGACCTCATCCTTGACCTCTTCTCCAACGAAGGCTTTGAATGTGTCCGCGTCGAATTGGACGGGTTCTTGCTGATCTGGGTCCGTGTGTAAGGCTTCAGATGGGTCGGTTTGGCTCGAACGTCGCTCATGGTCCAGGGAGGTGGCGGAGGGAGGCCGACTAGAGGCATGCGTAGATGATGTAGGCTGTTGTTGGTCAACCAAGTCCTCAGGGTCATCGACAAAGAAACGGCGTTTCTTAGCCGGCCGCTGATCAATGTCCATAGTCTGATCAACTGGCACATATGCCACTGACAAGGCAGTAGATTCAAGATGAGGTTTCGCGAAAAGCGCGACGCGATGACGCGCCTCACCAAATCACGTGATCTGAGACCACTTTAACAACGATCGAGCATCGGCGTTCCCTTCTCACCATCTGCATGTATTATAGTCGTCGAACCTGACGATTGCTGAAACATCAAGTTGAATCTCACGAAGCAGCAGAGTGCTGTTTGGCAAGCTCGACCGGTCGCTGCGCCAGGAACATCGGGCCTTGTCAATATCTGGAGGCAGCAGTGGCAACCCAAAAATCTGGGAAGCTCTAGAAAGGCCATTTTGGGCAGGCAGTCAATATGCGGTCACCAACCCAAGCGCGAGCTTACTTTCTGGCTGCTCGTCGCTGTTTCTCGACGACGCGGATCACCCAGGCTGTGTCTTTGCAACGAGATTCCCAGGATGTGAAACAAGCGTTGTCCTATTGCTCGAATTTGGTCCGGTATTGTCTAATTCTCTCTGGTGAGTGTTATCTAGGTACTGATCGATACAGAAAATACGACGCCCCGTCGTATACTTTATCCCATTTCATCAAGCCGTACATGCTCCCTGCATACTTTGCAATCCGAGCATTCAACATCGAGCTAGCTCGCATACCCGACATTGTTTCGAATCCCACGATTGGTGCCATGCGAATGCAATTCTGGAGACAAACAATCGACTCGACTTTCGATCAGAGGCCGCCCGAAGAGCCTGTTGCGGTCCTGCTGGCGTCTTATCTGGCTCAAGGCTACAAGCTGAGCAAAACCTGGTTCCATCGGATCATTAACACTCGAGACGGCAAGCTCAGCCATCCCGGTTTCACCGACATCAACGAGCTCGAATCATATGCCGAACATACCTACTCGACCCTGCTGTATCTGACTTTATCCGCATTACCGATGTATTCGATCACCATGGATCACTTGGCCTCACACATTGGCAAGGCGGCAGGTATTGCAGCTGTTCTCCGTGGTGTTCCGCTCCTTGCCTTTCCGCCTCCACCGAATTCCCACTCGGCAAATCCTCCAGGGCTAGGTCTGCCCCCAAGTCGCGAGAGGCAGGGAGTGATCGCCCTGCCCTTGGATATCATGTCGCAATGCGGTGTGCGTGAGGATGAGATCTTCCGTCATGGTGGCGAGGCTGATGGCTTGCGTGATGCTGTGTTCACAGTGGCTACGCGCGCTTCGGATCATCTGATCACCGCACGGACGATGGTCAAAAGTGTCCGTAACGATGAAAGCCCTGATCACGAATTCGAGCACCTCGGCGATGACAGCCATCAATACTCTTCGCCATCATCCGACAAGCCCAGAGATGACTTCGGTCAGAGCTACGGCGTGCTTATGGGTCCAGCAGTCAGCACACAGCTGTGGCTCAATCGTCTCGAGAAGGTTGACTTTGATATCTTCCACAACAGCTTGAGAAGCCCAGACTGGAGACTGCCGTTCAAGGCTTGGTGGCACAGTCGCCAAATGAGGCTCTAGAGTAGCTGGAGGATAGGGCTTGACTTGGTTGAATGATCAAGTGTATTTCTCCGACTGCGGGAGGTAGTCATTGCGTCTCCTTTCTTACCAAGGATTGCTTCAATCGCTCCGACTAGCGCCTGACTGTCGTAAAGCATGCCAGTTGCTTTCACATTCTTGCGACCATACAGCTTCAGGCAGTCAATGCCAAGTGACGCCAATTGTTCGCGGTCAACCTCCGGCGTTCCCTCGCCACTGAGATGGATGACGTGGGTGACGTATTGTCGGTAGATGGAATTCCTACTGGCAACTCGGTATGCCACCTGAGATGCTAGGTCAGGTGACAGAAACTTCTCATGTTGAGGGATCTGCGACGGTGTTGCGGACTGGGTTGTATGTTGTGAGGAATTTTGGACGCTTCTGTCAGGATTCCAGGGCTCCTCACGAGACTGCTCTCCAGCTCGAGCAATGGCCTCAACGAAATCAAAGGCGGAGAATGGCTGTGAGCTTGGCCCGACCTCTCTGTCGAGACAGCCGTTGAGGATCAAGATCTTGTGACGGGCAGAGGTTGCCCGGAGGGCTTTACCCATACCGCGAAGCACAATAGAAGGGATAAGCGAAGTGTAAAGCGACCCGATGGAGAAGATAATTGCCTGCGCCTCTTTGACGGCGGACAATGCTCGTGGATTAGCCGGAGGAAGCATCTCCTGGCCGAAAGGATTGATGTACCATATCCTGTCAATACGCGCGGGCAGATCTTCGTCTTCTTCTTTGGAGAATTTTATATTTCTCTGTCGTAGGGTGGGGAGAGTACCGGGAATATTAGCATCCTCAACATCCAGATCATCTGCATGGTCAATACTGTGGCGAGATCGAATACCATTGGCGACTATCTGAGCCGGAGGCATGGCTAGCGAAGTGTGGGTGGTAGGGTGAGATATGTTGTTCTGGCCCACAATCGTCTCCCCACTGGCAAGCCCAGCCGCGATATGGTGAGAGAAATTGGAGCTGATGCTAGGTATGACTCGGACGTCGCTGTCCGGAATGGAGCAGATGCTGCTCAACAAATAGATGGCAGACTCAAAGCTGCCGCTGAAAAGTCGTGCTCCGGTCAAGAAGAGGTTGCCGATGCTCGCAGAGGTGAAGTCAAAGGTTGAAGTTGGCGGTCGCGACCGCTTCAAAAGCTCCATGTTCAGCGTGTTCAGAAAGGCACGAATCAATTCCTTCTTGGCGAATGGAATGCCATGCCACAGTTCGGCCGTGCCTGCGACTATGGCCTGCCATTCTTCGGCCGCTTCAATTGACGACGTCGAGGACAGTCTGTGGTTGAATAGAGTCGAAATAGCATCCCTTTCCGGCGAAGGAGGTGAGGCTGGGATCAATCTCACTAGTCGACTGCGCACATCACCGATACCAGGACCACCAAAGAATCGAATCAACTCGGATGAGGAGCCCCCATTGTCGCTGATAGGGATGACATAGCTTAGCGGGCAGTCTTTGTTGACACGCACTGCCTCGAATACATCGACGAGGCTGTTAGCTGCACTGCCACCCGAGAATATGACGATGCCTTTGGCGGCTGGCATTAGTTTTTGGTCGAAAATGACACATTCATGTGGCCAGCACAGTGGTATATATACGTCGCGGGTTTGGCGGCTGAGCCTCAAATGGAAGCCGGAACGGCAAGGCTATACGAGAGCCTTGTGGGTGGAGTGCTAGCTCTTGGCGCTAAGAAACGGGCTATCACGCCGTTCTGCTAGCTTTGTTGAGTCCCTTACATTCAATCGATCCTGACATCCAAACGCCGTAGAAAACACCCACGTTCCAAAGAAGAAGATCCGGGGACTGAGTCTCCTCAATGGACTATAGGACGTGACATTGCGGCCATGGCAGCTGAGAGTGAAGTAAAGTTTGGTATCAGCTTCGACCCACCAGCTGAAAAGCTGGTAGAGTGTATGATGACTCTGATAAACATCCCTCCGTCCACACCATGATGCGTCGCGTCTTCTTACTTCCTCTAGTCATTGAGTGTTACATTTAGGGAGTCTCTAAAATGCTAGACCCAGGCCAGTCCATTGTCAAGGCGGCCGATTTACATAACAATGTCCCGGCCGGCTCTCCATACGTAGAGCTTCTTAAAACGCATGTTATTGACTACGAGACCACATATGAGATCTTGTACAAGCACGTCCACGCCAATCCCGAACTTTCGCATCTCGAGTCAGGCACCGCCAGCCTTATAGCCGAGCACTTGCGCCTGCTGTCTAGTAGGCTCGACATACGCACAAACATCGGCGGACACGGCATTGTCGCCATCCTACTCAATGGCTCCGGACCCACTATCATGCTCCGCGCCGATATAGATGCCCTCCCTGTCTCTGAGAAAACTTCTCTTCCCTACGCCAGCAAGCATGCCAACGTGATGCACGCTTGCGGTCACGATATGCACCTCACGGCTCTTCTCGCAGCCGGCGAAATTCTGATCAGGGCAGCCGCCGCCTGGTCCGGCACATTGATCATGCTGTTCCAACCAGCCGAAGAAGCGGGCGACGGCGCCAAAGGTATGATTGCCGACGGTCTGTACGACCCACGCAAGCACGCCTGTCCTATCCCGGACATCGTGCTAGGCCAACACGTCGCTCCGCTACCTGCCGGCACTCTTACCGTGGCACCAGGCGTGGTTATGTGCTCGTCTGACAACTTTCAAATCACAATCCACGGACATGGTGGCCACGGTAGTATGCCACATGCGTGTATCGATCCGCTGGTGATTGCCTCGCATATCGTCGTGCGCCTACAGACTATTGTGGCGCGCGAAATACCGCCAGATCAGACTGTCGTAATCACGGTCGGCTCCCTACACGCTGGGCATGCTGAGAACGTCATATCTGACGAGGCGGTGCTCAAGGTGAATATTCGTGCTGTTAGCGCCGAATGGCGGGCTCGCGCTATAGAGAGTGTACAGCGCGTCGTTCGCGCCGAATGTGAGGCAGGTCGTTGCACACGGCCACCGGACATCGAGGCAATGAGTAGTCTCCCAGCGACGGACAACGACGCCACGACTACGGCAAGTGTTGAGGCGGCATTTGGCGCATATTTCGGACCACGCTTGCTCAAGAACTTACCGCGAGCACTGGGCAGTGAGGATGTTAGTGAGTTGGCAACGGCGGTCCACCGGCCGTACTGCTTTTGGTTCTGGGGAGGTGTGACGCCAGAGAAGCTGGAGGAGAAACCGCTCGTGGTCAACCATAGCCCGTTCTTTGCACCACTAATACAGCCAACGCTTAGGACGGGCGCTGAGGCCCTAGCTGTTGCTGCGTTGACATTTTTGGCGCCTGCGAAGGCATGAGGAGCGAGGTCGTGATCTCAGATCTGCCGATTGGGTAGCGGGTAGTCTGCTTGGGCGCACAAGGCGGCGAGTTACTAATCTTGCAGAACACTAGCACTTGCCTGGATTGCTTTGTCAACTTCAACCGAGTTAGGATAATGTCTACACCTAATAGCGCCGTTACACAAACATGTCTCAGCAGTGCATTTCCAACGTCCTGCAACTTTCTTTAGTCATGACTTCGAAATTTTGCCCTGAAAGGGAGAGAAACTGGAGAGGGCTTAGTTCGTGACTTTTGAGCTTTGGACTTTTGCACATACTGATCGACAGGCTGCACCGCACCCCATTACGGTGACATCTACTTGATCTATGCGCATAGTCGCCCTTCTCAAAAGCCCACGCCGATTCCTCCAAAGCCTAACAGACAATGGTATTTTATTGGGCATCGAAGCGGACAGGGTGTGAGGTAAGTTCGCGCTGAGTCACCCACGGCCTAACATACAATCCTTGTCGTATTATGCCTTGAAGCAGATAGGCTGCAAAGTGTCAAGCAGATTTGGTATAAAGATGGCGAGACTCAGATATGTGCATTGGCCAGCACAGGGCATCTTCTCTAAACCATGGCTTCCTCTAACATGACCAACGTGCCCATTGACCACCGCAGTCTCGATGAGATATACACTGCAGCACAGAAAGAGACTGGTCCCCTCGTTATCGCTTCAGGCGGTGACTCTCAGGCCCAATGGGATGGCTTCCGCAACATGTTCACGAAGCGTTTTCCGAAGATCAAACTCGATCTCACCGTCGACTTTTCGAAATACCACGATTGTCGTGCTGATCGAGCGATTGCCAAGGGCGAACATTATGCGGACGTGATCTTCCTGCAAGCCTTGCATGATTATCCACGTTGGAAGCAAGAGGGTCGACTTCTTCTGTACAAGCCGCCAAATCATACCAATATCTACCCTTCCCACAAGGACCACGATGGTGCATATTACGGAGCCGCCGTTTGGAGCTTTGGGAAGTTTCTGTACGACAACACGCGCCTCAAAGCATCAGAGCTGCCAAAGTCCTACGCAGATCTGCTTGAACCCAAATGGAAGGGAAAGCTGGTCCTGACCTACCCGAATGATGATGACGCCGTCAATTATCTGTTCTCCATCGTCGTCGGACGATACGGATGGGATTGGCTGGAGGCCTTGAACAAGCAAGATGTACAGTGGGTGCGCGGCACGGCCACACCAGGCTACATTCTTGTGGAAGGTCGTGATCAATCCAAGACTCAAGGCAACCCCCGTCCTAAAGAGTACTTGGCAGATAACGCGTCGCGTGTCCTGTCTTTCACAACCGCCGGGTACCCTATGTCAGACTCGTCGCTGAGTTGGGGCAACCCAGACCCGCCAGAGCAGTACATGGCGTGGACCCAGACCGCTGCAATCTTTAAGAGCACAACCCGCCCCGAAACCGCAAAGCTTTTCATGGCTTTCATAACCAGCCAGGAATTTCAGACTGCGATGAGCGGCGGCGGCACTCTGCCGACCCTAGACATGAGTATCGACAGGAGGAACGGTGTTAACCCCATCGATGAATCGGAAAACACTCAGGCTAATGGCTATGCGTTGTTCACCAATAACCGGCCCATGGTGGATTGGTTCAAGATGCAGTTCGAGACAACACTCGGCACTCCGCAGGGAGTGAGTCCACTTGACGTGTACGGTTTCGAGGATGTAAGGGCGCTCTAGTATAGGACTATGACAGTCTTAATGCAAAGTTCTAAATCGTTACTGGGAGTAAGTGAGGATGCTGTTATGTTTCAACCGTTCTGCAACAGGGAGTATCTCGTGTTGTAGGCTGAAATAAGCTTGTTTCACTGGAGCGCGAAGGATCTCGTGGCTTTGACGCTTAGCCATCTGGGGATGGAGTGGATCCCGGGGGCCTGGCCTCGCCCGAAACTCGACGCCGCTAAACCTGAGTGCAGTCGCGTACAATCTCGCGAGTCCTTCGGCTCCTTGCGCCTGCGTGTATGACGATATATCATGGCCATGGTCGCGAGGCGGTCAGCTTCCCTCTGGCCTGACATCGAGGCTCTGTCGGGTCGCTGGAGGAACCAGAATGCCATCACACAAAAATGACGAATTTGGCGCCCGTCCGAGCGCCGACACCACCCCCGATGCCCCGCCGGTCGAAATTTTAGATCGCACGGACGACCACCCTCCCAGACCACGCGTGCAGATACTAGAGCCCAGCGTGTCTACAGCCCAGCAAGACGGACAGTCAGATTCGCCATCGCCAAAAATGGTCCAACGATCCGAGACAACCTTCTCTAAAGTGTCAGTGCGAAAACGCGGTCGCACCGCTACGAATCTAGCAGCAGGCTATGGCGACGGGACGGGCAGCACCACGTCCTATAGACCAGGCTCAGAGCCCGGCTTAAACACAACAGATCCCGCTCCGCCATACAGCAACACAGATACCTCACCCTCACACTTTCCCATACAGCAATGCGGAATCACGGTTGTCGATTACTCTGCTGATAGGGTTACTACGACCGAGCTCGACAACACGGATCTTGCAGATTTTCTTGACCAGCCCATGCCGGAGTGGTGCAAGGTGCGTTGGATCAACTGCGATGGGCTCTCGTGGGACGTGGTGAGGATCCTAGCAAACTACCGGGGTCTACACCGACTAGCCATCGAGGATTTGATGACGGATAAAAATCGCTCCAAAGTGGACTGGTACAATGACCACACCTACATGGTGCTACCGCTGCAGAAGCTAGTCAACCTAGTTGATCCCGATGATGAGGATCAAGAGAGTGATTCCGACGTAGACGAGGAGGCTGGTGGCACACTGTCCCGGGAATTATCAGCCGACGCTGAGAAGAAGAGGAGAAAGCGATCGATCCGCCACCTGAAGCAGAAACGAGGCCCAGTCCGAATACTATGGAATGAAATGGTTAAAGGGCAAAGTAAAGCAGAAGGCAGTTCCGGCAAACGTGAGCACCATCAGCGCCGTCAAATGGGCGGCCTTACTCCGACTGGTAACTTCAACAGAAGGAAGAGCGAGATACCATGGAAACGCCGTTCATGGCGATCACTTCAGCGTTATCATTCCGCAGCGAACATGGACCGTGTCGAGTTCATGGAACGGCACGCGACTTTGAGGTCACGAGGCTTGTTGGTATCCGTAGAGCAGGTCTCAATCTTCCTGTGTACCAACAACACTGTCATCTCCTTCTTCGAATACTCGGCGGATGATGTGGAGATTCCTATCCTGAAACGACTGAATACGGACGGAACTATTCTACGAGAAAGCGAAGATGCAACCCTATTAACTCAGTCACTCCTCGACGCAATCATTGACATGGCTATTCCCGTCACCACTGCCTTTCAAGACGCTCTGGGTGAATTAGAGCTCGAAGTGCTCACTGAACCTGATATCGTCCAATCAAAGGCACTGTACATTTTGACGAGCGAGATAGCGGTCCTCCGCAACGCCATCGCACCTGTGGCAGGACTGATAGGCTCGCTCAAATACCACAACAGCAAGATGGCGTCGACAAGTAAGGTGACAGCAGGCAATGCGTTTGAGGAAAACGGAGATGTTTTGAGCTCGAAGCCCACCGTGTATCGAAAGCAGTCGATTCTACATTCGGGCATCGAGATTTCCGACGTCACGGTGACTTACCTGGGAGACGTTGAGGATCATGTTCTCTTGATCCAAGAAGCGTACGACCAGATGAGAAGGTCTGCCGACAATCTAGTTGACCTGATCTTCAACACCATCGGTGCATTTCAAAACGAAAGCATGAAGACGTTGACTCTCATCACCTGCTTCTTCCTGCCACTCAGCTTCTTGACCGGCTATTTCGGCGTAAGTATCTCACTCGATGAAGTTCCTAAACTAGATGACACGGAACTAATGGCATTTCGCAGATGAATTTTGAGCGTTTCGCAGCCATCAAGAACTCGGACGCATACTTCTGGGAAATAGCTATTCCCGTAGGAGTGTTTGTGTTTCTGGTTCTAAGTAAAGACTTGTTGCAACGGTGGGCGTCAAAATGGGCCAACAAGATCCTCATTTGGCGCGCAAGAAAGAGGCGTACCGTCCCCGAAGCCCATCGTCAAACAAGCTAGGGGCACTCTGTGGTCCCGACCATGCTTCCGACAGACTTCCAGAAGGCGGCGCAAAGACCGACAGTTACAATAGTCAAAAGTCAACCGCTCGGAGAACAGCACGTTGAAAGTCGAATGTTACCTGTAAGCCGCACGCCAGCAAAAATAGATCTGGCACAGCAGCACGCACCGGGCCGTAGCATGCAAGGGCAGTCAAGGGCATTGCCCGCTGGACCGGCATACAATACGAATGTGCCCAAACTCTCACACCACCTAGGTGTCAATGGGCGCCGCAGTGGAGATTGGCGAAGGGGTAAGCAGTACCAAGCAGAGAGTGGTGGCCGACAAGGCTGAAATACCAAGAGTTGCAGCTACGATCTGGCCGTGGCGGGAGGAGCCTGTAGTACTTAAAAACACACCACTCCGCCCAGGTTGGGGCAGCGGTATGGAAAGGATCAACGGATTGGGAGAGCGGAACGCCCACTGGTGGACCGAGCGGATTTCTCTTGGGTAATGCCAGCAATGGAGCCTCATCCGATGCCGGCGTGAGCATCGCCCAGCGCCGCGAGAAGGGCACACGTGGTGCAGAATTTTTCTCGGCTTTGCCTGCTTTTTGCCTGATGGCCCACGGACCGGTGACATTGGAAGAATGGGATGGCGTTTTTGCGGTCTCAGAAACATGGACTTTTTTTTCGATCGATGCTACCTTGTGTCATGACGCCACGAACGGCGGTCGCGTCCCTCTCACCGTGTCACGACCAAAACATATGATGTATTGATTGAGGTCAGGACGGCTTTGGAGTTCCGTCTTGGAATTCTCTCCAGGGCGACACAGACACACATCCCCGCGGACTTGATTGACCAGCAGTGATCAGCGGGCGTGAAAATCTGGAGAGCACATGACGGATTCAGGGCACGGCGCAGGGCTTGTAGTGCAGCCAAACTGCGGGGTGCAGAAAGGCAGTTGGTCCTCGGAGCTGGGCGCCCTCAGGTTTTGTTTGTACGACGGCGCCGAGATGGCTGTACGAAGCGACGGGTAGTTTGACGGTGATTTCTGCAATGCTGCCAATACTCTTGCGTGGAAGCGGTCAGCTGAATCACCGTGTCGTTGTCCGTCAGGGAGACCTCAGCAACGTGATCCGGCGCCAATGCTGACGTGGAAACGCACTTTACAAGACGGTACGAGCAGGCGCGTCGTGTCATATCTGATGTCAACACCAGTCAGTCGTTGCACGCGGCCAACACGTAGGCGTTCAGCGCGCCCCGGCAACCCTGCAAATGGAAAAAAGGGCAACCAAAGCTAGCAAGCTTCAAAAAGGTGATCGAAGAATGCGGCGAGTGTCGTGCCCGCAAGCAATTCCGATTGGGCTGAGCGTAGGGGGAAAGAAGGCCTACGCCCTGTGTAGCTGTGCTAGTGGATGCCAGCCAGTTTCTGTTACTCAATAGCTTGAAGGTTTTTTGTCCACATGCTCGAAGTATACAGACTTCGTCTCAAGGTCGGCCCAGGGTGAGAGGACGTTGGGCGGGCTGGTGATCTGACACGAGAGACTCATAATGGCGCCATTGCCGCTGCTTCTTTGCTCAGCTTCTGCTCGTTTACTTTTCCAGCCCGCTCGCTTATTATATTTCAGGACAGCCACTGCAACAGGGGGCATACAATTACGGCCCACTAATTCACTGCCTGAAAAAGACCAGCGCGCGCCTTCCGAACTACGTGCTCTCGCCATTTCTCAGCGTCTCCGATCATACAAGTCGGCTCCGGGCCCGAGACAGAGACAGACAAACAAAGGACTCACAGCATCACCAGATCACAAGTTGGATTGAAGAGAGGCTCTCTCTCCGTCGTTCGCCAATCGACACCTCCTTCCCCGCGGATCGCTTTTTTTTTGGAGTTTCGTTCCTGCTTCGTGGTTGCCACACTTGCGTCACAGGCTCGCAGCAATTTTCCATCTGGGCAGCCGCCACCGACGTTTCTCCAATCACATCCCATACAGCAGCAGAAATCGAAGCATTCTGGGCGACAGAGATGCCGAGTCGCCGCCCTCCCATTCACCAGGGCGAGCCCCGTCATTCCACACATACGGTTAACGATGTTCTGAGCTCTTTGCAGCGAAAAATCCAAAGTAGCCATATCGACACTACACCCCCATCATCAAATCCTCCCTCGAGGAGAAGTTCTTTCTCCATGGAGAACATTCTGACCAAAAAGAAGGACAAAAAGGACAGGGATGAGCGTGGCTCGCCCAAGGAGAAGAAGGCCACTCTTTCCTTCCGCGCTCCTGGGTCCAGGTCCAAAGAACGCCCCGCGGCCAAGAACGTCACCTCTAGCCAGCCAAAATCTGCCAGATTTGAGACGACCATCGAATCCGCGCCCCTCGTCATGTACAACAGCCCCTCATCCTCGACCGGCGCCCTTCTCTCCACACAGCTCCGCGTGATTGTGGATGATCCTTCTGGCCAAGTCACTCTGACCAGGTGGAAACGGACGATGCGGGCTGTGAGCACCACCAAACGACCCGCGCACAAGGACTGCAAGGACTGCTCCGAGCGCATCGACGTATTGTCCGAAGCCGACATCATTAGCAAGCCCACCACTTATTTCGCCTCCAACGAGAACACGGTCCCGTTCCAGTATCTCTTCCCCGGAAAGCTACCTGCAACTACGACCTGCCAACTCGGCTCCATCTACTATGAGCTCGTCCTCAGCGCAACCACGTCCAAAGGTCAAGAGATTACCTATCAGAAGCAACTCACTCTAACACGCGCCATTCCCGAGGGACCCGTCAAATCCTCCATTCGCATATTTCCCCCAACAAACCTCACTGGTCGCGTCCAGCTGCCGCCGGTGGTGCACCCCATCGGCCAGTTCCCGGTCGCTTTGACGCTCTCTGGTGTGGTGGAGAAGAAGGAAACTGCTCAGACACGGTGGCGGCTGCGAAAGCTTATGTGGCGCGTTGAGGAGCACAGCAAGGTCACGTCGACTCCTTGCACCAAGCACGCCTCCAAAGTACCCGACGGCAAGGCTCTACTGCATACCGAGACCCGCACCCTTGGTTCTGATGAGCTCAAGGGTGGCTGGAAGACTGACTTCGATACCATTGGAGGCGAGATCAGCGTCGAGTTTGACGCAAGTATTGTGACCAAGCCTACCCACAAGCCAGTCTGCGACGTCGATTCACCTTCTGGGACCAATGTTAGCCACAATCTGGTGCTAGAGCTCATCGTGGCGGAAGAATTTTGCGCCAACAAAACTCCCTCCATGATCACGCCCACTGGTGCTGCCCGCGTTCTTCGCATGCAGTTCAACATGGTTGTTACCGAGCGAGCCGGTATGGGTATCAGCTGGGATGAAGAGATGCCTCCGGTGTACGAGGACGTACCCGAATCTCCTCCCGGCTACGGCTCGGCCGACCGTAACGACGGTGCATGGGGAGGCGCCGAAATACTTGACTACAACGGTCCCGCGATAGAGTACTACGACCTTGAGCAGGTTCCCAGCACCAACCCCAATGCCCCTCCGCTTTACCGCGAGCGCGAGCCTTCTCTTCTAGACCTCGATGGGGAGAGTGGACCGAGCGCCCCTCACAGGCTCGGTGGCTTTACCAACGATGAACTGGAGGCCGAGCACCCGCAGTTCAGAAGACGGGATACTGAGAACAGCGAGTCCTCTCAGCAAGCGCCCGAGGTTGACTATGGCGAGGGTCAAGCTGGTGCCACCGGGCGCTAGATTCGCCAGCATGTTCCTTTTTGGGAAGCATCGATTTCTCGAAAGCGAAGATGAAGTGGACGACGTATAACGACTCAACGATTTCTTTTTTTTTCAATTTCTGGTCATTCTCAACTCGAGATATCTGGACCGTTTGGTATACCAGAAAAGGATAATGGTGTTCTTTCATTGGGTGATTGACCCAGTCAACATGGTACAGCACAGCACAGCACAGCATGATAATGATACCCAGCAAGAGCGAGGCGGGACTTTTCAGCGCATGGTACGGCGTGAAGCTTCAGTTTGGCTTCTGGTTTGATGTTACGATTTGAGAAGCATATAGTACGAGGAGGTTGCGACGCAATGAAGTCGGCTCCGAAAGGGTAGCCTGGACATCAGTCAGTCGGTGGACGACCAAGCGGTCTTATTTTTGAGGACCTCAATAATGAAATCAAGATATTCACTTGGCAAACATAACCCAATCTCTACCATTACCCCAACGTTCTTTACTCATTGAAATGTAAAAGTTGAGGACCTTCCCTTCCCCGTTGGACCCCTTCGCTCCAATTCCAGGCAAACACAAGCCAGAGCCAGCCGTTGTTGGCGGATTCACAACTACAAAATACTTCCCAAGACCCGAATTCCCCTGCTCACTCGATTCAGTAGTGGATCGGAAAGAAAGTGTCTTTGAGACCATCTCCAGTAGATCAACCGACTCCAGTGCTCCCCCAAGCGCACACAAGTACAGGAGCGTCCAAGCCAAAGCCAAACGCCAAACCCGAAGTTACAGGTACAGGTACAGGTGTAGAGGTACTTTCTCAGGCAGTGAAAGTCTTGGCATGACAGACCCTCAAGACCAGGAGGATCACGCACCATCCGGCACCATATCGGATCTCGCTTGCACGTGGAGTGAACACTGCTATCCGTGCCCGGAAATTTTGTTGTTACGCTCGCCAACAACGTGCCTACTCCTCGCTTACGAGCGAGCGAGCGAGCCGTAATGCCCTGTTCGGGTTTTGCCTGGCCGCCTTAACCAGGCGATGGCATGATATCACATAGACTTAGCGAGGCTTGGCTAGGGGTGTATGTGTGTTTGGGTAAGCGTTGGATTTCTTCCACCACCACTCCGGCGCGCCTTACATGTCAGTGTCGCGCCAAATACAGTGTCGCCAACGCAGCGACCATCGCGGAATGCTTCGCTTCGCTACAACGCGGTTCGGGGGGGCGTCTGATAACGATACCCAAGTAGCAGCCAGCCGGCAGATTCCATCACTATCGAGGAAAGCGCATCACGCTGACCTCCCAGTTCGGCACGCCCGAACTGCCCGCCCCAATGGGGCCAGCCTTGCGATGCACGGATTAGTTCAACGGCTCGAAATCTCGATGGGTCCGTGCTTGTTCATTAGTGGGCAATTTCTACGTTTGTAGTGTACCTAGGGTTCTTTGACGGCCGTCGAACAGCGGGACAACGTAACGTGAGAGCGACGAGTCTTGCGATTGACCACACATTCATTACCTTGCATGAAGAGCTGCACTTCGATGGTAGGCGAAGAGCAACCGTTCAATAGCTCCGGCGCGGGAATTGAACGACCCTCGCTTGGGCGCTGCTATGCTTCCTTTGTTCCCATGAGGCGCCCGCTGATCTTTGTTCTCCGGCCTCAATTCGGTACTGTGGCTGTCTGTCGAGAGCGACGTAGCAGGCGCGGATCCCGTGGTCTCTGCATGGTCACTGAAGATCTTGGGTGCCAAATGGTCAATACCAGCATCGCGGATTGGGGGCTAATACGAACGACTGTATTATATACCTACCTCCCTCCCAATAGGGATAGGTACGGCGGTCAGTATCCCATGGGCGTCGATTTGCAGAGCTGAAACGGCTTCTGAAGGGGCTGCGCTGCACGTACATCAATGACAGGACGATTGGCGACCAACGCTGTCTCACCCGCTGCAGGTGGTGGAGATGGGTCACGGTGAGATCTGGGCCCAGTGCATCTTCATGCTCGAAGAGATCTTCCGCGCCATAATCAGCCGCAGGTAGTAGCAGATAGAGGAAGCGAGAGAGAAGGTGAGAGTTTCCTCACTATTGCTGCTGCTGAAAGGCGTGCGTGATGTTCTCGTATGACCTGTACGCGACAAGCCAAAGGCTGGCTGAATAGAAGCTGGCTGGGCTGATCACAGGGTATACGAGTGACACAGACAGCCTCCAGCATCTACATGCTGCCGCTAAGGTGGTAAATCCACCCCGCAGTCTTCCTGATAGACTGGTCTATGATCAAGCCTTCCATGCTCTGACATTGCTCTGTCAGATGTCCAGATCTTTTCTTTGTCTTTTGTGATTTAGAAGGCTGGGACTGCCACCATCGTGTCGACGCCCACGTTGTTAATCATGACCGTCAACGCTCCGAGACTTGATGCAATTCTCCTCCCTCTGGCTTTGTCAGATCACATCCATGTTCCCAGCCATGAGTGCAGGCGTAGGTTCAGATCTTGAATACCTGGACCTTACTTCTAATACCATCAAACACACTCACGCTATCCACCGGTACATACTGTCTCGTCAGCAGCTTTATCGCCTCCTGCGCCACCATTCCTCCCGTAACACTGCTGATATTATGCATCTCGCCGCCTTGAGCCCGCATTAACTCTGCCACACAACGCTCGATCGCTTCTTTCTTTTCCTCATCCTCGAACAGATTAGCTGCGTCAAGGTGCTCATGATTTAGTGCGACAAAGATTGGTAACATGTTCTCCCAGTCCATTTCTGCGGCGTTCCTGAGCGAAGCAACGGTCTTGACATCCTTGCTCATGAATCGGAGGCTAGGTACTGCAAGGTTCGAGGGATTGGTAAGGACTCGAACGTGACTGGCATTCTTGCAGAAAGACTCAATCTCGGACACTTCAACTAATGATGAACGTGACAGCGAATCCTCCAGCTCGCGGACAGTGGCTGTCACCTCGGCCACATCTGCGCGCGCCTTCGACTTGTAGATGTTCTGCAATCTGATGTAGCCATCGCTGGTAGCCTTCATATCGGGAACGGAACCGGGAAGAGGAAGCTCGCCGTGCACGTTGAAGAATGTGCGAAGTGCATTGGCAATGAGCCAGAAGTTGGGCGAGGACGCTGTAACCTTCTCACAAGATTCCATCTTAAACATATCTTTACAGCCGCTGCCAATTGGAGGGTCCGAAATTGATTTGAGGACCGCTGCAGCAGCTTCGTCAAAGTTCTCCTCACCACCTTCAGGGTTGTCGCGACGGCTATGTGAGCTGACAAGTTCTCGGAAGGCAGTTTTGTCTTGAAATGTGGAAGGGAGCTGGCCATCATGGGTAGATCTCCACTCCTCGAGGTAGTAAAGCAGCAGTAAAAGGTATGGAATGTGGCCGTGGTCGTGGTCAGACATGTCTTTGATATTCCCTAGTTTCTCCACAGTTTGCTTCAGCTCTGGCCACGGCTTCAAGAGGCGAAGATCTTGCGTGCTATCGGGATCGGGATGGGTGTCAACAATGGGAAACTCGGGCGGGAGCTGGATCGAGAAGCTGGAGTAGAAGCCAGCAGACTGTATGTAGATCAGAGGAATACTAGCTGACGAAGCATAGTTGCAGAATCTCTGTAGTATATCTTGAGCAACGGGCCCGCAGAGGATGATGAGATTGTACGGCTTGAGGGAGTCTGGCCGCGGGAGCCATTCGGACAGCGGCTCTGAGATGGAGTGGCCTGTTACATCTGGGTTGAGCTCTTGCAGCAATCTCGCAGTCTCTTTTGCTCTTGATTCTTTGAGACTCTCAGGTTCCAGGAAGAAGTTGATGCCCAGGTCAGCATCTTGTACCGTGGCGGCGTCCGCGATGGTGAAGCTGCCAATGCCCGGAAGAATGAGGTTCTTGAGAGTTTCAGCACCTGCTACCGAGCTATTGGACCCATTTGTGTCTTCACCAACAACCAAGAGCACGTGTGAGTCCTCAAGCGCACGCTGACCCGATGCGGCCCACAGACGAAGTTGGCGGTCATACTTCTTCTCTTTCGCGCTGGGCGCTTGGATCGGTGGCGGGGTGAATTCCCGCGGGGCCGTCTCACTCGCCATCTTGCACCTGCCAATGCAGATCAAAATCTTGATTTACTTCATGCAGAGGCGGACGAGAGCAAAGATGTGTGACATTCGTCCAAGAGACCGAAAAGAAATGGATGATCAAACAAACGCTGGCCTTGAAGACGAGCCTGACAACGTGACTCGCGGTAGACCCTTCAACGTCAGAGCATGACTCGTTGACGTACCCCACGGCTCTGGGAAATTGAGCCCCGCCAAAAACTTGACTGCCCGGTTGAGTCTCGACTTTGTTTCATTGCTTCGCATCACCTTGGTCCTCTCACAGCTCGGGTTTCCATATAGAGCCATCCCGGTGCAACTACGACTAGACATAGAAAAGGTCGGGAATTGTGCGGTTGTTACAGTCAACCATCATTTATCAGCCGATCGGTGTGAGTAAGCTATTTAGCCGGCTTCCACTTCTAGATGAGCGCGAGCTTGAAGCTATTGAAGAGCCTAACCTGTGAGTCACGACGCCTCTACCGCGATACGTACAGCGAACATATACTGAGATTGCGTCCAAGGTAACATTGCACGCGTCCACTCTCCTTCCTGCTCGCAGCTCCCATCCGCTGCGAAAACCCCGCTTCGGCGCACGAGACCACCTACCCACCCTACATTCGCTCGTCACAATAGCGGTATGGCTGATATCGAAGCTGCAAAGCGTGCGGCCGCACTCGAGGCCGTAAGCCAGCACTTTCCGGAGAATCCGCGTTTTGTCGGCATTGGTTCCGGCACGACCGTCAAATATGTGGTCGAGGCGATCAAAGGCTTGGGGAGAGACGTGTCACGAATAGGCTTCATACCCACAGGATATCAGTCAAAACAGCTCATCATCGATGCTGGCCTTGTTCCCATCGAGTTCGATGCGCTACCGGATGATGCGAACATAGATGTTGCATTCGATGGAGCGGACGAGGTAGATGATGATTTGAATTGCATTAAGGGCGGAGGAGCCTGTCTGTATCAGGAGAAGCTGGTCGCCATGAGGTCTAAAGCCTTCATCTGCGTCGCAGGTTGGTGTACACACACCTGAATGTTGTTCACCGCTAATCTTGGAAAGATCACAGGAAGCTTCAATCACGTTTGCTGACCAAGTGGCCTACCATTCCTGTCGAAGTAGAACCAAAAGCGGCTCGTCAGGTCATGCAACGGCTCAAGATCCTAGGCAGCAGAAGTCCGGATGGCAAGCCGCCTTTCCTCCGCGAAGGAGCGATGACTAAAGCGGGGCCCATTAAGACGGACCAAGATTTCTTCATCATCGACGCACCTTTTCCACACCCACTCCTCACATCTGAGGACACCGCAGCCGGGAAGATGACAGATCCTTCCAAAGGCATTTGGGATGTCGAGTCGCTTGCAAGGACAATCAAAGACATCAACGGGGTGCTTGCGGTGGGTCTGTTCTGTGGACCGACGGGTCCTGAGGCGGCGGCCGCTCGTGTCGTTGGCGGCCAGAGACCAATTGCATGCTATTTTGGCATGCCAGATGGCTCGGTCACGCTTCGAAGGGCGAGAGAGAAGCGAAACTCGATCGTTCAGCAGTATCCGCCGTTGGTTCCAACACCCTCGAAAGAGTGAGTGAGAATGATTTGCTGAGGACAGGACGCCATATTGTTGTAGTCGGAAATAGAGCTCACTTTGCGGCCTTACGCTTCACCTCGTTCTCGCCGAGCTCGCGAATCATGATACTCACTGGTTCTGCAGGGAGGTCGTCCATACCTTCTTCCAATTCGGGGCAAACCGCGATGGCCAAGAACTTGCCGTTAGAGCTGAACGACAGTGAGGCTACGCTAGCCGCAAGCTTAGGGTAGATACGGATTCTGCGTTTGGCAACAGCATCCCAGATAGCAACCACACCATCACCGCCTCCTGTTGCAAAAGTGCCGTGGATGGGGTGGAACGCGATTGCGTTGACCGGATAGACGACATCAACTTCCTCGATGGGTTGCCGATGGCACTTGAAGGCATACTTGCGAGCTTGTGACTCGGTGGAAGGGTCGAACCACTCCACAGCCACGCGACCCTCAATGCTGGATGTGGCATACCCTTCGTCGTTGGGCATGCAGTCGACCGTTCGGGTCATAAATTTCAGACTGCTTTCTCTGCGTTGCCATGCTTCGGTCTTCAGAACCGCTTGTGAGGGATCTTCCAGGCTTTGGCATTCGTGCGCTAAGGTCTTTAGCTCGTAGATGTTGACGGCTCTTGCGGCCATGGCGACCACCAGTTTCGAGGGAGACAGAGCGAGTGAGAATGGTTTGGCGGGCAGTACGATGGTTGCAGTTTCCCAGGTTGTAGGCGTTCCAGGATGTAGGTGCATCGTTGAGTCCCAAGCGGCTGAGATGACCAGGTCATACTCTTTACAATACACAACCGACTTGACGCCCTTCTCGTGTGTGCTCAGGATAGTCTGCTGACCAGTGGCGGTATCGATTCTGCGTGCATCAGCAAGACACTCTGGTGCACGATTCAGCAACCATACCTTCTCACACTTTGGTCGAGACATGCTGTGAATATGGTATTGTCATCCTGACCGAAGCAAACATCAAGGACTGGGGCACGGTGCTCGAACTTCTTCAGCTTGGTGCAGAATTTGCCGTCCGTCAATTCATAGAGGTAGACATGCTTGTCCCACGATGATGATACGAATTTGACCGAGTCTGGCTGTGGTGAGAAGCGAATGGCTGAGATAGCATCTGTAGGAGGATCCGCGATGGGGTATTGGTCTGGTGCGGGAGGTCAGCGGTCGAGGTAGCACGGCTGGAAGGTTACTTATAGTACTTACTGGAGGACATGCTGCCAGTGTGTGAGCGAGCAGTGCCTTGATAGTCCACTCACAACGATAGCAGTGGCAAGCGCAGAGGCTACGGAACAAAACAACAATACTTTGCGGAGAATTAATGGACTCGCCTGCTTTAACCTGCTGCTGCCAAGCCCCTCCACCTGCCGCCGCGGCAAGTTCCACATGCATTGAGGAACACTGTGAACGCGGCACTCTTTTTCAAGACAATACCACATATTACCAGAGGCCAGAGATGCCCTTCGCGCAATTAGTTGTCGGCCCTCCGGGTGCCGGGAAGTCGACATACTGTTATGGCATGCAACAATTCATGGGCGCGATCGGCCGCAAGGCATCGGTAGTAAATCTTGACCCCGCCAACGATCTGACTGTCTACGAACCTGCCATTGATGTCCGGAAGCTCGTAACGCTCGAAGAAATCATGGCCGACGATGAGCTCGGTCCCAATGGCGCCGTGCTTTACGCGCTCGAAGAATTGGAGAACAACATGGACTGGTTGTCAGGCGAACTTCAGAAATTGGGTGAAGACTATATTCTCTTTGACTGTCCTGGACAGGTCGAACTGTTTACTCACCACGATTCCTTGCGCAAGATCTTTTTTGCGCTCCAGAAGTTGGGATACCGAGTATGCACCCAATCCACCCTTCGCGCTGAAGATGCTGACCGCTCTGTAGCTTGTGGTGGTTAACCTCATCGATTCGTACGCCCTGACCCTGCCTTCCCTCTACATATCCACGCTGTTGCTCTCCTTGCGGACAATGTTGCAGATGGATCTCACGCACATCAACGTGCTGACCAAGATCGACAACCTGCATAAATTCCCTGCTCTGCCCTTCAACCTCGATTTCTACACCGAAGTACAAGACCTGTCATACCTTCTGCCATCTTTGGAAGCCGAATCTCCGATGTTCGCCACAGGAAAGTTCCAGAAATTGAACGAGACTGTGATGGAACTCGTCGAGGAGTTTGGGCTCGTCTCATATGAGGTATTGGCTGTCGAGGATAAGAAGAGTATGATGTCACTTTTGCAAACAATCGATCGGGCCGGAGGCTACGCTTTTGGAGGCGCTGAGGGTGCAAATGACTCTGTCTGGCAAGTTGCCGTTAGAGAGGGGCTAGGGCAGTTGGACGTTCGCGACATCCAAGAGCGATGGATTGATAACAAGGAGGCTTGGGATGAAAGAGAGAGGCAGGCGGAAGAAGAGGAGCAGAGACAATCGCGCCAGAAAGCTGATCAAAATGAGCTGACGGATGAGATGGAAAGCATACCTTTCGATAGCGGTGTCAAAATTCGAAGGTCTAAACCTTGATGTTTCGTGGTCTTCACTCAGACATGTCGTCGTCCTCGTCAATGCTCATTAAGGTCTCGTCAAGCAAATGCTGCTGCGACTCAGGTGGCGCATTGGCAGCCAGGAGCCGAGCCAGTATTCCGGTATCCTCCGCCGCACCTTCTTCCCACTCCTTCACCCTGACGATGTCTCTCTTGGTGCGGCGCAGCAACTCCTCTTCGCTCTTCCGAATTGTGCCACTAGCTCGCACGACTTGAACGACGCATTTCTTGCTCGGGGCAAACTTTGTTCCAGGGACTTCGGTCATGTAGGTCAAAGCAGCCCAGACCAAGCGAAAGTGCTGCCGAGGACAGCGCACGATTGCTGTAGAAGTAGCTGGAGAAAAGTACACGACTTTCAATGACGCCGACGCGAGGCCGACGCCGACGTCTCCGAAGTGCGCGGCGATTGACGCCCGCAATGCATTTAGAACAAGCCCGCCCGTCAGATGGCCAGGCGACGGAGCATGGAATGCAAGGTAGGGAGGGTCGGTTGTCTTGACATCGGATGTCGCAGCTTCGGGATACAGAATATTGAAGAGCAGGTAGCGATGCTTGATACGGACCATGATGCTCACATTGCTTCTGCTGTAAGAGACAATGGATCGGCGAAATTCGTCGTTGAGAACGTCGTGTCACGGCAGCAACAAGCAATGCAGTCGGCTTGGGGGTTCCTGTCGATCATTTTTCGGCGACTGCTTCAGGCTTGGCAGCACAAGTCGCCAAAACCTTACAACGACGCGAGAATATCCTTCATTGGAGTGCCTTGAGGCAAGAGGACGCGACCTTGCCAAAGGTCGGCAGTCTATCATACAGATAGGATGCAGGGTCCACGATGTCACTGAAACGTTTTTTGAAGCAGAACTACATATCCGTGCCTCCACGCGAGTCCTTGGCCTCCTGAATCGCTCGTTGTGATCGCCCAGGCTCGATGGATGTGCAGACGGGGTGGTCAAGCGAAAAGTTATCAGACATCCTGCCCCGGAATCGTGGGGCTTATCGGACCTTGAGTGAACTGAGGGTCTAAAACAGGGAGCAGAATTGAAGCAGTACAGCCACTGCTCTGTACGCCCCACCGTGGGATAGGAAGGCGACCACGACAGATAGTCCTGCGCAACGTGCGACTGAGATGGTGGTGGCTCCATTGGTCACCGCATCAAGCGCAGGAGCAACACGGACGGCAAGGGCAAGCTACCGCTGTCGACCATGCTGATGGCGAGTTCTAGCAGGCAGACGAATTGTGAGCCGGGAGTTTCACTCGGCGGTAACGGACTCAGGGGCACGAGAACTGCAGCTCCTGACTCGCCGAAGCCGTGGACCACGCGGTCGTTTGCCTGATGGCGCGTTTCAAGTGGCCGCTCCAGATCGCAAAGGCGATGGGAAAGGACGCGCTCAAGATTTTAGCTCGCTCGGCTAAGCTCTTTGTAGAGCCGTAGGCGCGCTCCAAGTGGTGTGCGGCACGCTCCACCGGCGCCTCGAGATGCCTTAGACTTTTCTCCCCTGCAGCCCAACAACACCCACGCTCTCCCCGTCACCCCCTTCCACGGCTGCACGGCCTGCAGAGGCTGCATTCCTTTTCCCGTGTCCTTCCCAACACCATATCGGGTCGGGTACATTTTGCAGTTTTCTCGTCCACTCTTTTTCACCCACGCTCTCTAACCGACCATTCGCTCCTTCTCTACAGTAGACGATCGATTCGTCGCTGGTAGCCGCCTGTCTTTGTCACTCGCTCCTTCTACAACGGCGAGACAGTCACCATTCGAGCTTTTGGACTGAGTCCACCTCGACCACTCCCTCAAAACCACCTTGTCTTCTATCGGCCGGTTCTATTAGAAGCAGCACGGCGTGCTCATACTGTTCACCAGTCCGACTTCACCATAGAAACATTAGACCCAGACTCCATTCCTTCCACATACGCAAACGGGTGTGCTCCCGTGAGCAAACTGCGCAGCCTCCCGAATCCATTCCATTTCTCTCGTCACTCCTGCATCCTTCGTCAGGGTCACGATCATTACGACTCATCTGTCCATTGCCTCCTAGCCTCCTAGCCTCCAATTCACCGTACAACGACCACAATGTCCATCGCACGCGCTTTCACGAAGCGCATGAAGCGTGACGACCAGGATATCATGTCAAACCGAAGCAAAACCGTCAGATACGCTGCCGGCAGCATTCGTCGCGACATGATTTCCTCGCCGACCGAGCTTATCTCCACGACCAACGTGCAAGCCCTCAATGCTCCGGATATCCGCTCCCTGCACAAATCAACCATGTCGTCTGGCTCTTCCGTTGGCTCTAAAGAAGACTCCGACTTCTCTACTTTCGACAAGAGCTTCTTGAGCGACCAGGATCGGACGGATAGCTCATCCATCGAAGCATCCTCGCCTGCGACACCTGTCACACCGCCCCTGGATCCATCCAATGGTTTCTTCGATTCCAAGACTCCCTTGAGCCCAGTCAAAATCCTGTCGCCACCGACACCCGATGCGCCCGCTATTCCCCGGCGTGCTCCATCCCACTCAAAGAAGGCTCACGTTGAGTTATCTCGCCAGAGGTCTGTTCAGCGTCTGTCACCACCTCCCAGCACCATCCCCGAAAGACCCCGAACCAGCGCCGAATTCTTTGGAGCCGGTGCTGCAGAAGAGGACCACCCCTTCGGGAAGGAGCTGGCCAAGGTCAATGAGGTGGCTGAGGAGTTTGGTGCTGCATCCGCCGTGATTGATGAAGAGGAGCTCGAGTTGATTAGCCAAGGCTTTCACAAATTCAGCGTCGAAGACTACATCAATGAGATCGCTGGTTTGTATGGAGGCGTTTTCGACAACCGGCTTGGGCCCATTGGTAACCCGTGGATCTGAGCTCTTCAATCCAGGTTTGCTACGATTTACGATCAAGGAATGGGCCGCGGAGGTCACTGGCGTTTTGAATCTTGGCCACTATGGCTGATTATGATTGACAGCTTCAGGCTACGGAGACATCATTCATTTCAATGGCAGGGGATTCGGAGAATATCGCTACCAATCTGCATCAGCAATGGCATATCCCGAGAATCCTTTGCCAATGTATTCGACCTCTACTTGGGCAAAGCTATTGGTGGAGAGCACAAACTTGATGTCGATAGCAAATGCAAAAGCCATGAAATTTCTCAAGACTCGCTCAATTCTTCTTCGCTGATCGATATTTTATTGTAGCCTGAGCAGTAAGCCGACAGTATTACACCCTGGCATATGTGCCAAGGGCCAACAGTGACTTGACAATATACCGACGGTGGAGGCTGGACTTTCTGCGGGCGACATCAATTTCAGGCAGTGAATGAGAACGACTCCGCTTCCATCCTACTCCGCACTTACCCGAATTGCCTCATCGCGTTGATGCATGATCTGAATCGAATACATGCGATGAGAGGACATGCAATTCGAGTATTGAAAGATTTCCGACTGATCCAGCTCCTGTATGAGTCTTTGTTGGACAGCATATGTTTCAGGGGCGACTTGTAGGGGCTGCCTTAAGTCCAGTACATGAGGCTTGTCCTGTTTAGTGTGGAGATTGCCCTGTACTCCAGTAAACCATCGTGACGAGCAAGGACTGCTTGCTCCCTATCGCTGCTGCTACTATCATCGTCATCGTAACCAACGGTCGAGCCCATGCAGAACTCCAGTCTGTGCAACTTCGAGTCACCGAGAGTCAGGCATTCATTCAAGCTCCAGCGTCCCATATCATCCAACTTCCCCAAGCAAGGAGCGATCCGGAAGGCTAAGCCGATTGGGGGAAGGCGCTGGTGGGCCACCGCCAAGCAGGGCTGGGTGTTCTTTCACTGCCTGATGTTTTTTGTGAGATCCCTCCTTCCAACGACAGTCATCCACTTCATCGCAAGAATACATCCCGCTCGTCTCTGGATCCCCCAAAGCCCTCAAGTACTACCCTGCACGAATCTATTGGCGCAACTGCGGATCATTTTGACCACGTCCTCGACTTACACGCGCCAGAATAAGCGCTTCCGCCAGTATGGGGCGCGTCAAGATTGCTCCCACTCCGCGTGCTGCGGCCCTCAACGATGCTATGCGACGAGCTGCCACTCAAATCAGCCCTCCCACGGCCGAAGCCGTCAGGAATGATCTTGCTAACACGAGCAAGGCGGGGAAGCAACTCACCCGCAATTCACTGCCTACTCCACGGGGCTCCCAAGACCGGGCAACCTCTGAACCCACCAGCAAACGTAAGGCTGCCAGTGAATCCAAGTCAGACTCCAATCTCCCAAAGAAGGACACCAAACTTGCTCTCCGCTCCTCCAACAAGCCTCCCGCCACTCCCTCTGCTGTCGTCGACATGGATGATGCTGCCGATGTGTCGGCTGATGGGCCGCCAAGTAAGCGTCAAAAAGTTGACGAGGCATCTCCCGCTCCTCGTCGCTCCACTCGCACCAAGCCTCCCAAAGACGATACGACTCCGCCTACTACCAGACCCCTTCGCTCTGTCGGTCGCAAATCAAAGAAGCATTCGAAAATCGTCGACGAGGCTGAGGACGATCAAGCCAGTACCGATTCCTCCCCTAAACCGCAGGAGGAAGTCGTCGCCTTGAAGCAGGACATTGCTAAGACCGAGACTGCCTCAATTGATACTCAATCCGACCTCGAAAATGCAATCGAAGGCTCTGAGTCCTTCCCTTCACCTACTTCTGCCACAACTGATACCCAGGTCATGGCAGTGAATGCCACACGATCTGCCACAGGCCCTCGACCTCGCGATGCCACGAGTCTTCCACCTCCGAGTTTCCAAACTAGCGATCAAATTGTCAGTGGTGGCGCAGAATTTCATCCTCTTCCCACCACCAAGGTATGTTCTGATGCTCTGATCTAGCCAATACTTACTGACTCGTTCATAAAGCTCTCCTCCGCTCCGACCACGGCAAATGACATTCCGGATACTCAGAATCCCTCGGAATCGAGCCACTCAATCCCGTACACCTTCTCTCCAGGGGCTGCGTACGTATCAACTCCAGCTGATGTGGTGCCTGTCAACGGCGTCCATGATCCGGCAAGCAGCCAGACTGGTCAGAACGGCAATGTGCCTCCACCCAATACTATCGCAGTGCAAGGGCCACCATTTCCTCCCGGTCATTACATGCTGCCACACAATTTTGGTCACCTTGCGACGCCTGTTGGCGCCAATGGCCAGCCTCTCCACTTCGTGCCCAGCCGGCGCGGTCAAAAGGTCAAAGGTCGTCCTCCTCCGAAGGCTGCTTCCACATCTAAGTCGCCGACTCTTCTTCAGGCGTCTTCGAGTCCAGATACCAGCGCCCATGCTAGTGGCCTCGCAACTGCGAATGCCAGCGCTAGTCCGAGCGCCAGCGCGCTCGCCCTCGATGCCAAAAATCGTGCTCTCGCTAATACCTATCCACGCAAACAGCCCTTTAAGGCACAGATCGAATTTCCAGGCTACCCTCCTCCCAATGCTGAGATACCGGGCAACTACACCATGTGGGAGATCTGTCAGCTTATGCCAAACGCATTGCGGGAGAACAATTTGCGAGCTTTTGTTCAGCGTGAGTGGTCAGCCAACGAGCTCTGCGCCTGTCTCAAGGACGACGCCCGAGCCGTCTTGAACGCTCGGCCCGGAAAGGACAAAACCATGGTGTTTCAGAAGCGCCTCGAACGCATCAAGAAAGACCTTGTTGCGAAGGGCGAATTTGAAGCTCTCGTTCGAGCGCCTCCATTGCGAGAAGATGGCCGACCGACATGGGTCAAGCGTGGCAACGTACGACGGAAGTAGCCTGACGCGGCGTTCTGCATTCTCTGCCTTTTCTTGCAGCACTCCCGCCGACAACCGTGTACAATAGCGATTTCCATCGAGGCTGTCTTCTTGGTCAAGATCCTTTGACAACGCCCAACCCTGCTTTTCCAGCGAATCATTTCATACGGCATCAGTCACGACCATAGCGTGGCGCACTGGCGAAACCTCTGGGTGTTTTACTCGGCCAATGCTATTGAGAGCATTCGACATCTCCCAGACACCCTACGAATTTCCTACATATCCAGAACATATATCGAGAAGGGCTCCAATGCTGCCCCTTGCGTTGTACAGTAATTCCGTTGGGTTTTGGGAGGATAACGAGATGTAGCGATACAGGCTGTTTGGGTGAGCATACCTCTGCTCGACGCCTCGAGATCCAATCGTCATAGCATGATATCAACCAGACTTGGACGAAGCTGAAAGTACCATCCGAGCCCTGTAACCCGTTTAATGCTTTCTGTATTTTGGAAACAAGCATGTCCTCTTCTGTCGGTGCTCAGCATTACACAGTGTACGAACTGTCGTCTCATCGGCTACTGCCCTCGGTCTCCACCCGTTCCCTAGCCGTGCTTAGTACCCGCTTCTCCAAAATCGTCTCCATCCACAGCAACGCCAGTCCAACTTCTTCCGATTCTTACAATGAACTCTACCAGCTTATCTCTTCTGCCTGTGTCCAGGAGAATCGTAAACCTCAAGACTTAGGCCACAGAGTGCAAGAACCGCCCAATGCGCCCCGTCGCTCGTCTGCTCCAGACAGCATACGTAACGTCAGCACGCAGCTTCGCGACCACCAGCGCCGTCACCATGCCCAAGTACGTGAAGAGAATCACTGTGAGTTTCTTCTGTCTTGTATTCCGGCCTCTGTTGGTACCACGAGGCGCACCATCCATCCCTACGGCGCACCCTTGGATACTTGATTTCCTCGTCGCTCTCAGCCCACTCTTCCACCTGCGTTCCCTCTCAAATCGAAGTCACCACAGCACGAAACACCCATGAAAGTCTTGAGCTCGTAAGAGGAGCAATATCACCATCATCGCCCTACCCATGTTAGGGAGTAAGGCACACGAAGCATGCACTCGTCTCTTGGGAGCCCCACTAAAACCCCTCAAACGCCCAGCTAACATGTCTCACCCCTATACCAGCTCTTCAAGATCCCCGAGCAGCACATCGACTCCGTCCTCGCCGCCTACGTCGTCCTCAGGAAGAACGCCAAGAAGGTAAGCTACCCCATACCAGTACTCAATACCAGACATCAATTGGCCATGCACTCCTCCTCCTCCCCCGCACTCCCTCTCCCAAGACCGCCACCACCACCACCACCACAACAAGTCCCCTGGCTGACCCCTTCCCCCGCCACACAGGATGGTCGCCCCTACATCGTCAGCAACGAATCACGCCGCGTCTCCAACACCGACAGCCCCATCTCCGACGGCTTCACGGTCGTGAGCCAGACGATTTTCGCGAACTGGGAGGACGCGAATTTCTACGACAAAAAATGTCCCGCGCATCTGGAGTTGAAGAAGGTGACGGGGCCGGTCAGGACGGGCGTGCAGACGATCATCTATGAGAGTGAGGTGGGCGTCGAGGGGGCGAAGCTTTAGGGGAGGGGGGGTTAGCAAGAGCGGGGGACCAAGGGGTCGGTTTAGGAGGTCACGATGCCTTCGTGACACAGGTGGAAAGTGGATATTGAGATGCTTGAATAGTTGAGTGTGTCGCCATAAGTGGCCTTTGAGGATGGGGCTTGTCGGCTTTCTTTGTGGCTAACGGTATCGACAAGAAGGTATCAAGAACCATTTTCCAGGGTCTGTACGCGGTGAGCGGACATGGCTACTACGTACGGGGCCACTATCTGCCAGAATCTTTGATAAAGAGGGCGATGCCATGAGTGTCAACACCCTAGACCCGGGTCACAATTTCTATGAGTGGGTCGTCGAGCGCGGCATCCCAAACCCTGTCAGCGGCTTCGTGGCTGCTGATCGATTGCCAGTCTCCGCTTTTAGTGATGGTAGTTCAGTCACAGGCCTAGTCCTGTCGTACGGAGACAATCCGCTGAGCGACTCCGGGATCAATGGCTGCGACTGCGTTTTCTGTGGCCGCCACGGCCGTACCTGCCTCTTCAGCATCTTGCTTCTCATACAGGCCCATGTCAATGAGTAGGAAGACGGCCTTGTCGATGAAGAGGAGATTGTTCAGTGGGTGGCCGACAGAAGGCCTAGCTGAAGGGTATGTCATGGTGGAGACGAGGCCGTACGATAGCATCGTATGCAGCTGTCGGCGAAGCAGTAGCCGTAGATGATGCGACGGACCTCGAGGGGCAGCGAGAACAATAGGTCACGTCTGCTGTCTGAATGTTTGCGTGTGGTGAGGCTGTGGTAGAACCTCGACAGTGGATTTCGGTGAATTGAAGTATTGGCGGCGGCCATCATTCGAGCAGCGGTGGGCGGAGTATGGAAGGAGCTTTGACCTGTCGAAGCACCAGCCGTGTTGTAGCAAAACATCGAAAAGCTAGGAAGAAGAACGCGTGGTGCTCTCAGGAGGTGTGTGGTACAGCAGCCTGATGAGTTTGTAACTCAGTCAGCCTCGGAGCAACTTGTGCAGCAGACTAATAGTGACACCAAAGCATAGTGTAGTAATACGAGACAGCAACCATAGCCACGATGCAAAGGTATCGTTTCGGTCGTTATGCACAGGTGTGCGTTGATTCATTGGCTCTCTGAAGCCTTGAACATGAGAAACATTTCAGGTGATGGGCCTTGATCTTGGCATGTGCCTGTTGCCTTGTGGGTTGCAGTCGCCAGGCAGCGACTACCCCCGCCTGCGTCTTCTGACACGGAATGCCCCTTGAGCTCGTACGGAAAGTGTCGGGAGTGGGATCTGTGAGGTATACAATGCATGGCCACGACGCATAGCCTGCGTATTCCGGAAGGAACTCTCCATATCAGTGGACACCGTCCCCCGCCGGTTGGTAATTCACCTCTGACGCGGATCTGTAAGGCTTGTGCCATCTCGCAACATTGTCGATTGGGCTGGACACTTCGGTGACCTTGACTGATGCTGTCGGCAGCCGATGCCCAATCCCTGTGGGCAGACTTGGTCTCATCCCGACCCACAAGCGGCCAACCCCGGGCACGAGTTGTTGAAATGGCCTGGCCGGTCGATCGTGAATGCCGCCTGGTATCTCGTTGGCACGCTCCATGCTCTGCTGTAGAGCACGAGGCTTTCTCCTAGGAGACTCTCTCAATCACCTGTATTTCTCAAACTGGCGTTCCTCTTCCTGACGTCTCTTCACCGTATCGAGAACCTCACGGTCGTAGAACGTGTCAGGATCTTGACCACCCATCAAGACCTCCTTCTCATGCCTTTGTCCCTCCTCCTTCGTCATCAGCACGAGATCCGTCAACTTCAACTTGATATATTTCTGGCCGTGTTCGTTCTTCACATGCGGCATGAAACCCCCCTGGAGCTTCCACGGCACCAGAGCCAAGCGTGTTGAGAGACCTGAAACAACGCTCTTGCCGCGGTATACCTCCTCAACCAAGTACGAAACATCGTCCTTGCTGACAGGAACGCGTAAGCCAATACCATTGTCCCCTTCGTGTCGAACAAGCCGTCCCATCATGCCCTGCATCGTCGTAAGCATGCCCTCGTACATCTTGTCTCGACCTCGATCTCCGACTCGATAGTCCATCGGATAGCCTGCGAGACTGCAAATGACATGGTTTGCTGCTGCGTAGCCGAAGACTGCCGGCATGGTGCCCAGAACAGGTAGAATCCGCACTCGGAAGTCAGGGAGCACTCCCAAAGCACCCACATCGCCCTTTTCCACCTCTTTATCCGCGATAGGCTGCAACTGAGCCTTGCCTTCGCCCGGCTTCTCTGTTGAGAATACCACCGGGATACCTTCCTTCACGCCCATGACCCGTAGTCTCCTCCTCGTCGCCTGGCTGAGCGGATCCTCGAAGCTCGTGCTGATGTCCCCCACCAAGACCATGGTGGGATCACTCTTGATCCCCGCGCCCATAGCACTGATGACCTTGATCCCTCGTCCGTAACAGTACTTCAGCAACTCCACCTTGGTATCAATATTGTCAATAGCATCCACAACCCAGTCCACCCTCTTCTCCTCCTCCCCGTCCTGAACCTGTTCGTCCCACGGACCCAACAATCTCTCCACATTCTCGCCCTTCAACAGCTCGTTCCGCGCATCAATCCTGACCCACGGCACCACGGCCTCCAACCGCTTCCTCACCACCTGCACCTTGGGACTCCCGACATCCGCCCCCGTCGCCAACGCATGCCGATTCAAACTACTCAGCGTAACCTGATCAAAATCCACCACCCGAATCCTCTCCACCCCACTCCTCGCCAACGCCGCCACACAATGACTCCCCACGCCCCCCAACCCCACCACCACCACAAACGCGCCCCTCAGCTTCCCCAACCCCTCATCCCCCAAAAACACCCGATTTCTCGCCAGCTGCTCCAGTATCAGCGCCTCATCGTACTCGCCGCGCCTCGCCCTGGCTGCGATCCGCGCCGCCCGCGCCTCCTCCGGGTCCGCGGCCTTGCTGGCTCGCTTGGCGCCACCGAAATCCGTCAGGGGCAGGGCCTGGTGCTGCTCCGAGAGCTCCGGGATCGAGGCCTTGAGGTCCTCGGTCGCGATCCGGCGGCGGATGGCGAGCGAGCCGAAGATGAGCGTCGTGGCGGTGATGGCGCCGATGGAGGCCGCGAGCGCGAACTGGACGGTTTGCGAGGTGTGTAGTGGCATTAGTGAGGGGGCCATGGTTTGGGCGGAGCTGTACGCAGGATTCGCGTGCGCAAGGACAGCGCTGCTGTGGGATGGGTTTCGGCGCGGCGGGTTAGAGGAGAAAAAATCACGGCGCAGCCTCTGTGGCTGGAGACGGCGGTTTAGCGCATCGTACAGATAGCTGGGGCGTCGTAGGTTCCTAACTTCTCGTCCAAGAATGTTTGAAGCGGCTCAGTAGTGACATGTGAGTTGCGAAGAGCTTGAGATGGAAAATCCGAGAGCAGGGCTGTCCGCAGCGAGGCGCATGTCGACGTCAAGTTCATCGCAGCTCGGGATCCACAAAAATTCATCGCGGGCAGATCATTTTCGGATCCTGGACCTCGTCTCTGTCCCTACATCACATCCCTCACACTCACCTTCTACCCTCAGCGCTTCTCTGTCTTCTGTCAGAAGACTTCAAACTCCCTCGAGAGGCGTCTGCGATACCCCCGAATTCCACCGCGACCACACCACGCCTGAACAGAGCCTCCTTCGCACCTCACCCGTCACAACCTTCAAAGCATCAATTTAGCCAATCTACTCCCTTCGAACAAAGCCCACACACCGCGCACGCTCCGGCGCCCCCACACTCACAACCATGGCGCGCAACTCGGAAAAAGCGCAGTCGATGCTCTACCGCTTCCGCGCCTCGCAAGCCGCGGAATCGGGCCTCCTCCCCACCTCAGGCACGCGCCGCCCCAAAGCGCCCTCCACCGTGGCCACCATCCCCGCCTGCGAGAAATTCCGCGGCCAGATCCTGCGCGACGTGTCGCGCAAAATTACCAAGATCCAAGACGAGAGTCTGAGCGATTTCCAGATCCGCGATCTGAATGACGAGATCAATAAGTTGATGAAGGAGAAGTGGGGGTGGGAGCGGAGGATCAGGGAGTTGGGTGGGCCGAACTATATGAGAGGGGGTGGGGGAACGGTTTTCGATGAGCAGGGGAGGGAGGTGGAGGGGGCGGGGGGCGGGAAGGGGTATCGGTATTTTGGGAGGGCGAGGGAGTTGCCGGGTGTCAAGGAGATGTTTGAGCGGGCGGCGAAAAGGAGGGTCAGGGGCGGGGATGAGGGCAGTGGGGACGAAGGCGAGGCGAAGAAGAGGGAGAGGCAGATTGATCGCAGGAATCTGGACGCGACGTATTTTGGCTTTGGCTTGGATGAGGAGGATGGGAGTTTGGTGCGGTATGAGCGGAGGAAAGAGAAGGAGGCAGCTGAGAGATTAGGCAATCTGGCGGACGAGGATGGGGGAGGCGATGACGGGTGGGAGTCATTGCCAGGAGATGCCGGGGATGGGGTCGGCTGGCGGCTGCCTACGCTCGAGGAGGTGCAAGAGGAATTGATGGATCGGAGAAGGAAGCAGGTCCTGGAGAAGTTGGGATGATGACATGCATTCACGGCTTTCGTTGTGCGGTCATGCCGTAGCCTTTACGGTTCAACTGGGCTGCCAACCTCGCTTTGCGCCCTCTCATACCCTGACTGAATACTGTGCTTGAGCGCCAGCCAATCGACAGACAAAGGCTCGTCTCCCATCAGCCATCCAGACATTGTCTCTACGAGTGCCTGATGCCACCCGGGCGCAGCATAACCAACCAGTCCCACAAATTCAATTGTCTCCCAGGATCTGAGTGCCGGCCGGAGTCCATGCCAACGACCGACCCTCGCGACACACGTGGAGATGATAAACTGCAATGCTGATGGCGTCAATCGATCTCCGCTCCCAAGCGTGAGCCTCAGCAGCTCGTCATGAAAGCCGTCTGGCTCGTTGGCCATAACCATGTTGAGCATATGCAGGTTAGCCAGACAAAGACGGGGCTGGGTTTGCCGGCTCAAGTACTTCCACAGGCGAGAATCGATTCGGCTGCCTTTTGTCAGTGTCATGCGGTCCAGCGCTTGGCTCATTGTATGCCAGTCCGAGAACAAGCAGATGTCCTGCTGCAGAAAACATCGCACTATACCCAACCCTCCAACGAAGGGCATCTGGTGCAGAGTCCTCAAGCCGCCGCGCATGTTGACTAGTTGCATCGCTGCAGCATAGTGTTTCTGAGCTAGGTCAACGTTTCCCAGTCGATTCTCGGCGGATCCGGTCCCGGCGAGCAATATCAGAGTCGTGTCCAGGTTCCCACTATGCGGATCATCGATGAGCTTTCGAAGGCTATTGTATATGCTGGCCCGGCGTGCGTATATGGCCGTGATGGGCGCTCGTGTTGCCATCTCGGCTATCAGCAAGTATAGTGACAGAAACGTTGGATCACGAGAGATCTGTGGAATGCCGTAGTCTCGCACGGGACAGAAGACGGGATTGGCCTTCAATCCGTACTCCATGACGGGTGCAAACGAAAGATCTGAAAGCAAGAGTGAGCCATTATGCAACATCAGGTGAAGAGCGCCGCATCCCTTACAAAAGTACAAGAGCCGTCTATCCTGCGGTCCCAGCTCGCAGGGTAGCTGGAGAAAAGGATCGAGCTTTCCCGTCTTGATCCACGCCAACCCAGCAACAAGCCGTTGGGGCTGCTTCTGTGGCTCTTGGCGTAGCACTGGAGATTTCGAAAACCTCTTCTTCTTCACAATTGCATGGCTGGTCCGCAATGCGCATCCGCCTCCTACGGGGCTAGTGCGCCGACGATGAGCAATTGTAGCTGCATGAGACCTCGCTTCGGCGGATATGAGCTCCCGCTCACGATTAGTGATCGCCTCCTTGAGTTTCTTGGTCGGCAAAAAATGAATGTAAGGCATGGCTGCAGTAATGTAAAGTAATCCGAAAGCTTTTGGGTAGCGAGGGTCGCTGCAAGTGATCGGCATGGGTATTTAGCATGGATAGTCCCTATAGTTCTTTGTCATGTAGGTGTGTTTGAGAAGGGCCGTGTGGAGGGGCCATCGATGCTCCGCACGCTGTCCGCAAGGTACCGATGGCTGGATATAGAACGAGATAGTCAGCTTGCAGACGTCGACCTATTGCCGTATTAGGAAATGCGTGTTGGCATGACCAATCAAAAGCCGAGATTTAGCCAAGTGGGCCTCCTTGAATGCTCCGTTCGGTGGGTCAAAGTGAATTCGTAAGTGGTAGATGAGCTTACATAAAGCTGCATGAATGCTGCTCCGAGTCAATGTGAGGCAGCAGGGGGGAATCGGTTGATTGCCATATACCTGCTGTCTAGGGCATTGCAGAGCAATAAAAGTGGATGCGGTCACTAGCATTTCCTCTGGACTTCCGTCCACTTTCAGGGCAGAACAAACAAGTCAGGCCACTGGTTTCCCAGTCCCACCAACACATCGCGAAGCCGAGTCCCGCCACTATCAGTCTGATTGAGTGCTGGCTGCGTCGTCTGCAACTGCCACTGCTCCGAGAAGCCTAGCAAATTCGCCGACAGCTCCGTCTGATTATACTCGGTCCTGTCATGGGTCGAGATGTAGTTCATAAACTCGTTCCAGCGAGGGAGATAGTACGACGCAACCAGCCCGCTCCACACCCGGGAGGCATAGTCGTTGATCTCGCCCGTCGGTCCCCACAGTGTGACTTGATTGCGGGCGTTGTACTCGAAATAAGCTGTTTCGTTTTCGTTGCCCGGGTCGGCCCACTGTTGGGCCGCAGCGATCCAGGTGGAAAGGCGGAAGTGGCGGTTGGTGTCGAGGACGATGTCGAGTGATGAGAGAAGGGAGAGCATGGTCGAGCCTAGGTTATTGATTGATTGAGTGTAGTTGTCAGAGTCGAGTTCTGAAGAGCTGGTCGAGTTGTAGAGGGTCACTAGTTGCAGGTAGAGCTCTGTGAATTCGTTGGTGAGGATCTGTCGCGAGATGTCGACCACATCATACGCGTATGATGGGTCTTCCCAGAGTGTGGTCTCGTCTTGCCCAGCAGTGTACAGTAGTGCCCATGCCTCGACGAGGACCTCGGGATCGTAGGTAATAGTGGTGCCGTGTCTGGCGGTCTTGTTGTAAATGCCACTCAGCCTCGGCGAGAGCTCGAGTAGCGATTTCTGTACACTTGGGACCGCCGTAACGTTGGTGTTGTTGTAGACCGTTGTGCGCATGCGATCCCATGCATCGTATAACGGGGCTGGTACTTGAAAGCTTTCATTGCCGGAGTTATAACGGCTCGTGACCCAGTCATGGAAGTAGACGTCGGTGTCAATTGGCTCGTCCGACCACGCCTGGTCCAATAGTAGATCGTATACTATTTCGTTGCCCTCCATAGCCTCCATTGAGAGACCAAATCCAACCAGCGAGCTGGAGTTGCTCAAGGCTTCCAGTGAGTTGATGGTAAGGTTCATCACCTGCCCGTACAGTCCTAGATTCCCACCATAGTCGTGGAGTTGACACCAGATCCAGTTCTTGCCAAAGTACGAGTTTGTACGCTGCCATTGTGGGTTTGAGTCTGAAGCCAGATCCAATACTAGCATATCGCTATCCGGAACGCCGCCAAGATAGGCCTCGATGCGGTCGTTGTGCCAAAAGTCTTCGGCGGCATGGAACAGCCAAGCTTGCATCACCCATATGGCATCAGGGTCGGCTGCCTTGAGGGACTGCCACGTGTTTTGTGTGAGGTTGCCGAGGAAGTCGAGATCGCCGGACGAGGGATCGTTCTCGTTGTACTGGTCAAGGGTGTAATAGTGCGTTACGTTCCCATAGGCATCTCGTTGTCTGGCGATGAAGTCTTCCTGGAGGCTCGTGAAGAGTTCGAGATTGTCTGACGGGTTCAAGAACGTAACGTTTGTGAATTCGGGGGAAAAGTCCTCCCACTCGGAGCCAATGAGCACAGAGGCATTGGGATAGACGTGAGTGATGGATCTTGGTACGAAGCCGGTGAATGCTGGAAGGATTGGAGTCATGCCTAGATCAATCATGCGTTGGACAATTTTCTTCTGCAGTTCGAATTGCCCGTCGATCCAGGATGTGGGCAGCTCTCCAGCCCAATCGCTCTGGATGTTGCCAAAACGGTTCCAGGCTTGAAAGGCTGGACCACTAAAGTAGTCAGATATCTCACTCTCGTTGAAGCCAAAGGAGCGGAATGTTTCGGCCAAAAGCTTCTCCTGTCCAACCCATGCCAAGGGGAGGTTGATGCCATGTAAGGACATCCAGTCGAGCTGGGCCTCCCAGTCTTCCCAAGACCAGAATGGTGTGGTGTATGAAAATGTCACTAGGCAGGGTGAGCCGGTGTCTGCTTATGGACGAAGCTTTGTACTGTCCCACCTGTATTGAAGTGATAGCGCCATGGCACAACACTGGACCCGGTCAAAGGCTCCGATAGATTGGGGAGGACGGTAGGAGCGAGCTGAAGCCGGCTCCCAATGTACCAGTAAATGTCCACATTGGCTTTCTCGGTAAGGTACCGTCGTAGGCTGAAAACAGGTCAGTCTACTAGATTTAAACTGTTGGCAAGCATGGCATACCCGACTGCTATGGCGGACACCGAGTTGCCTTCAACCAGTATAGCACCACTGGATGCTGATGACACACTGTATTGGTCATTCTGAGTCCAGTTTGTGCCTTTCTCGTCAATGAGCTGAAGTTGGATTTTGTCAACATGGTTCGGCAAGCGACGTGCGATCAATTCTTTGATGCCGGCAGTGGTAGCTTGGTCACTTGGCAGAGCAAAGAGCAACAGGGTCGTCAGGCATATATTGACCCACAGCATCATAGTCGACGGCGATCTGTGGTCGTTTGGTACTCGACACCTTCCCAGAGCACACTTGATGTACTCTTGAGCTGGGATATCGACCGGTCGGTACCGCCAGTCTTATGACCATCAAGTACAACAAGATCGGTGATAGAGCATACTCCGAGTTCGCAAGCCATGCTGCAAGGCATCGAAGTCTGATTGGGGCGCTCTCAAAGACCATGGTCCGGGTTACCAAGATCTACGGTAGCTGTTGCATCAGGTCTGCTTCCCCAAGCTACCCCAATGGCGGTGTTACATCGACTCCACGTGTCGTAGTACCTTGCAGCGTGCTTTTGCGACTCAACAGTTGTCACCATAGTGTTGGTACTGCTGACGCTTCGATGTTGCCTCCATCATCGCAGTAGCACTATGACCTAGGCCAAGGAGTGGGAGCTTTAATGGAACGTCGAACCTCACCTCTCGGCGAGAGGTGTGAAGCGGAGCGGTCAATGACTAAGCAAGATACCCAACGATCAACGGGATTGACCGCAGTTGCGACGCTCTGTATCAAGTCCTCATGATGGCAGCCACGAATGAAACATTCCAGGACGCATACCAAATGATCGTCGCGTGTAGGAAATCTAGTCCATCGCGGCGTCGGCCTCAGTACGGAGTGCGCTGCCTATCGTTCTGGCAAGGACCGTAGTGACCAAGGTTCTAAGCAGCGGAATACAATCTCGGGGCAATTCAGGCCTATGGGGCAGAAAGGGACTTTTGGCAGGAACCCAAAGACCCTTTGAGGTCTCTCGTCGCTGCTCAAACCCGAATCTTTGCCAACATCTCAACTCCTCTTATCAGGCAGCTTGCTTTGGACAGCGTCCATTCCGTACTAGCACACTGATGGCGCAGTGAGGTTCCTGCCCTTGCCATCGTTGACCAGCTGTATACCCACCAAAGTCTCTGACAACCGGATGGTGCTCGACGCTTCGTCTAGACCAACACAACCTCATTCGGCTCGATTCGGACGCCCGCGAAGCAAACTTGCATCCATTCGTCAACGGCAGCAGCTCCCGTCTACGTCCCACCTCCGTCTTACTCCAAGCTGCATCACTCAGAGTTTTAGATTGATTCAGACGAGCACAGCCTCGGCGTCCAGCCATCCTGTGTGAGACCTGCCAGTCGATCTTTGAACAAGTATACTCGGACAAACTCTTGGAGTGGTACGAACATCACTCGCCCGAGAAAGCCTTGAGGCAAACTGTGTAGGCCGTGGCTGCGTTATACACAAAGCTGTACAAAAGGTATGGCAGGCACGAGACTGAGGGAGTGTTGAGCCTTTCGTCTCTTTCAAGAAGACCGGTTTATTTACCCTCGGTGCTAAGCCCCAGATCTCCTCCAATATGGGCCATGGCCTAGCTTTCGAGCAATAATAATCACATCCGCATTGAGAAACACCTCTCAGACCCCTTCCGATGTGGTCACAGGAAGACATGGTTGACAGAGAAAGGCCCAGTCTCCAGGTTGCAAGTCGAATTTGAAGCATTTCCCTTTGCAACCAGACAGCATATCCACCCAAGCACGCTCATGGTAGTGCAAATCGCTCAATATATATCCAAAAATCCTCCGTGAGCCGTTTTGTCCTTCTCTTTTTCCAGCACTACCCAGACGCCATTCGTTAAATAGTCAAGACACCACACGTGCGCCGCCACCGGCTTTCATCACACAGAGAGCCAGCCCATCATCTCGTGTCTCTCACATGTCCACATTACACATAAGGTTTCCTGCCGTAAACGACGCTCACGCGCGTATAGCTATGCACGCTCTTATCCCTCCAATCCCGGCGCACCTGGGCCAGATACACCTGCACCTCCTCATACGACATGCCCAGCACCCTCGTGAACAGCGCCATGGCCCAGCCTTCGACGCCGGCGTCCATCTCCAGGACCCTCCACTTCCCGATCTCTTTCAGCTTCTTCCCCTCCTCCGTCCTCGCCGACGGCCAAGGCCCATCCGGCATTTTAAAGCGATGTTCTCGGACATGCTCGAATCCGGCTTCCTGGATCCACTGGTACTGATGATCGATGACGTCTAGTGTCTTGCCCGATCGTTTGCCGGCCTCGGTGAAGAGCTGGCCCCAGCGCGCCAGCGGCGAGCCGGGAGGCGTCGTATCGTCGTCGGCGTGGCAGTAGCAGGAGCATTCGAGCTGCTCGTACCACCCGCCGGGTTTGAGATGCGCGAGCACCTGCTGATAGAACGCAGGCCAGTCGCGGAGGCTGCCGAAGAGGCCGCGCACGTGGATGAAGTCGAAAGACTCCTTGGGAAAGGTCCAGTCGGCGGCGGCGTCGTCGATCTCGAATTGTAGGTTTGGTGGGACGTATAGAGGCTGCATGGGCGACAGGTCGGTGCCGATGACCTGCGCGCTGGGAAATTGGTCCGCAAAGTCGATGGCCCATATGCCGGTGCCCGTGCCGATATCCAACACCCTTTGAGGGTTCCGGTTGATTGGAGCAAGAAATAGTCTGTTGTCGAGAAGCATTAGATAGATATGGTGGCCCAGATCGAGCTGTTCGCTTGCGCCTTCGTCATTCGGGCACCTATTTCGTGTCAAACAGGTTTTCCCAGCCCTCGGGGATACAAAGCGTACCAGTACTCTCCATCGCGATAGGCGTGGTAACGACGACCATTTTCCCAACGATAGTTGAAGATGGACGATGTCATGGTTTGTGTCTCGTCACCTCTGATGTTTGCGGAATTAGTATTGCTTGGTTGCCAATGCAAAACGTGGGCGCCGAAATTAGCTTACAGATCGTCCGATCCATGGGCGGAATCGGTATCATCGTCTATCTCTATCCACTAGAATCTTGATTAGCCACGTGGCCATCGTTGGAATTGCGAATTTGGGGCCGTACACTGGCCGCCGCCGAAGTTGCAGGTGTGTCGGCATTGAGAACGCTGAATGAAGCTATGCTTGAGCTCGGTCGTGGCGACGCTGACATGTCGTACGAACTGGGGTAGAGCACGCTGACCCGCGTAACGATCTGGAGTCAAGTGCCTCCTCTGATTCGCAAACGTTGCGCGATTCCGAAGTTCAGTGCATGCGTCAGCGTGTAATACTCTTGAAACGCTCAACAAGCAAATTCGCGCGCGGATGGGGCCTCGAAGGATGGCCTTGGTGACATGCAGAAGAGAAGGAATCTGACGAGCTAATCAGTCGTCCTCAGTCCTACGCTTATCCACGATGTCTCGGTGTTTTTGGGCTCCGGAGCGGGAAGCCAGGATGTCAGAATTGGGGGGGACCTTGAAGACGCCCCAGGCGTGGATCATTGGGCCGCGGTAGTGGCTAGCTTTAGGGCCAATCGAGCCCCTGCAATTGACCCTCCCTCCTATCCCAACACCTTCATCACTGTTCGCCAGGTCAACCGTGACTTTGAGCTGTAACGGCCTAGTCCGCTGGACCGTCCGCCGCGTGCATGCCGGGCCATTCCAAGTACTTCCGCGCCTGGAGTTTTACGCCGGATCATGCATAATTACATGCAGCCGAGCTTGCCTGGAAACTCTCTTCCACTGAGCCTAGACTGACACAACTCAGTTGGATGGGTGGCGACTGCAGCCTGTTGTGGGTCCAAGGTGCATACCCATGGTGGCTGCAACAGGGGTGAGGTTGCAATACTCGTGTCTTGCAGCTCTTCTGATCTTTCGTGATATTGACCTTTCCCTTGTACTCGCACTGCCTCGTTCCTCCAAGCAGCTGCCAAAATGGCTACGTTCGGGTCAGCGCCGCCTCTGTACCAAGTTGCTGCTGCGGGAGCGGGTGCTTTCGTGTTGTATCTTGCCTGCTTGGCGATTTATAGGCTTTACTTCAGTCCAATTGCCAGATTCCCGGGGCCGAAACTCGCCGCTGTGTCTTTCTGGTATGAATTCTATCACGATGTCGTCCGCGGAGGTCAATACTGCTTCAAGATATCGGAACTCCATGATCAATACGGTAGAGCGTTCGCCTTGCACAATGGCGACATAATGCACAAAGCTAAGTTATACAGGACCAATTATACGCATCAATCCGTACGAGCTTCACGTTCGCGATCCAGATTTCTATGAAGTCCTGTATAGCGGACCAGGCCAGAAACGCGACAAATGGTGGTGGTCCGTCGACATGTTTGGCAATTCTTCCTCAGGTTTTGGGACCGTGTCTCATGACCTCCATCGACTCCGTCGCAGTGCTTTGAACCCCTTCTTCTCCAAACAGGCCATTACTCGCATGGAGCCACTCATTCGCGAACTCATTGAAAAGCTGTCTGTGCGTTTCGAGGGATTTCGCGAGACTGGCGAGCCGGTAGATGCGCTCCAAGCTTATGCAGCATTGACAACCGACATTATCACTACCTACTCGTTCAACACATCTTATGGATGCATCGAGGATCCCAATTGGAGATTCGAGTGGCCTCAGGCAATGGTTGACAGCACTACCAGCGTGCACATGAACAAACAATTCAAATGGCTATTTCCTGCCATGCAAGCCACGCCAGAGTGGATCGTCGAACGAGCGAACCCAGCTGTCATGCACCTTATCAACTTTCAAAAGGTATGTTCTGGCCATTAACGTCGGAGCTTTGAGAAAGCAGTGTCTGACACTGGACAGGATCTGGCACGACAAATTAGTGGCCTCATGCAGGCCGACTCGGAGCAAAAGCTCCCCTCATCCCATCGGACAATCTTCCACGAGTTGATCAAGGGTGATCTTCCGGCTGAAGAAAAGACTCTGCATCGCCTGGTGGATGAGGGTCAGACTATGATTGCAGCCGGCCAAGAAACAACGTCGTTCTTCCTCAAGACCACATCTTACTATATCTTAGCCGACGGCGAAATTCATTCAAAGCTCAAAGCCGAGCTGAGGGAAGCTATTCCAGATCCAAACTCTATACCACCACTGGCGAAGTTGGAACAGTTGCCTTATCTCCATGCGGTGGTTCAAGAAGGCCATCGCTTCTCCCACGGTGTTTCAGGACGACTTCAACGCATCTCTCCTGACAAGCCACTTCGGTGCAACGAGTGGGTAATTCCAGCCGGGACGCCCGTATCCATGACCTCCATCATCCAACACACCGATCCTTCCAAGTTTCCTAACCCACACAAGTTCGACCCTAATCGTTGGTTGGACAGCCCGGAAAAGGCCGAGAAGTACCTGGTGCCCTTCAGCAAGGGCACCAGGCAGTGTCTCGGCATCAACCTGGCGACTGCGGAGATCTATTTGACGTTGGCGACTGTCTTTAGAAGGTTCAACATGGAGTTGTATGAGACGACAGTCAGGGACGCGGAGGTCGCGCATGACTTCTTCATTCCACATGGACATGCCGATTCCAAGGGAGTAAGAATCGTCTTTAAGTGAGGAGCGTAACTGTATGCAGGATTGGACATAGTATACGACATCTAGATATACGATTAGACTTCAAGCAAATGAGAACCATGATCAGGACCGGAACGACGTGCGCTCTTGCAAACAGGGACTTTTGGCGCAGGGCGTACCAAGTGTGAGCTGAAAACTTTCTATTCCTAACAACAAATGCCTAGTGCTACACCTTGTCTTTCGGGCCTGATTTGATATACATAATATGCCTTGGATTTTTAGTCACTGGTCTGGAAAGCCCTTGAGAACTTCGCCGGCATGATCGATACCTTTCACCTGGCGTCAATCTTCGGCAAAAGGACACTTCGGCGACAGCATCAGTGATATAGTTCCAAACTCGTTTCAAGGGCACAGACACATCAACTCCGAGCGTTAAGAATTTCAGCCACCCTCTCTGAGAACTCTGAAGCATGGGTTGCATATCCGACGTGCTCACCAGGCACATCCACTACCTTCAGCCCAAGCAGTTTCCCTAGCTCAACATTCCCGCGATACTGATAAGCACCCTTTGGCGAGAGTACACCGTTGGCCAACACGAGCTTTCCTTTGTGTGGTCCCAATTCATTCTGGACATCAAATTCCGCCTTTGGGTAGAACATGAACTCCCGCTCGAACCAGTGCTGCATGTTGGAGAACAGGAACGGATTGTCTCGGCTCTCAAGCATGGCAAGTATCGGCTTCTGGTCAGCCTGTGTCAATTTCGCAAAGTGCTCCAAAGCGGGAGGGATGCCGAAGCGGCGGTAGGTGGTGTAGGTGGTTTCGTGCTGTTGCCATAAAGCGTCCATGTCAGGCAGGACGCTGGCGAGTGGTGGCTCGTACGAGATCAACGTTTGAATAACGTCCGGATGCCCCGCAAGGAGCTTCAGTGCCACGATGGCTCCAGAGCTGTTGCCGATGACCGCGGCGGTGCCAGCAGGAGAGATATGCTTGATGAGGGCGGCAGCATCGTCGCTATCGACCTCTAGGCGACGGTCGTATTCCTGGCGTCCTTTGAGTTGGCTTCTCGAGAACCCGCGACGGTCGTACATGATGACGGTAAATCGGTCTTTCAAGCACTGGGCGAAACCGCGCCAGGGCTCACAGGAACCGTTGGCACCAGAGATGCAGAGTAGCGGAGGTCCCTCACCGACCACTTCATGGTATATGCTCGCCCCTGGTGTTTCGAGATATGACATGGTAGAACTGTTGTCGAGGCTGCAGTGGTCATACGGGTTCCTTGATCTTGGCAATGGCCAGGCAAGTCAATCGTTGCTTTGTGTACACGACAATGATCGCAAGGGTGCTACTGGAGAATTCAACAACACATACCGAGGAGTAAGATATTGATGAGACCACTTGTCGTTATATGTAAGTTCCGTCCCGCAAAGTCCGCGCTAAAAATCGTACATGATTTTGTGCACCACATATCTCGTGTGGAAGATGCTGCGATGTTAGGCCGAAAGAGGGGTAAACGTAGCTAAGGCTTCTCGAACACTACTCGCCCTCCAAGGCAAGAGCACCGAGACAGTGTTGCCTGCTATTTGGATCTACACAGACTCTGCATGGGCATAACCGTTGAGTATACAAGGTAGCTTCAGAGAGTACGCTCGGGCCCGACTGGTCAGCCAAGCGCCGAGATTTATATTCCGAGACACTTGGGCTTTCAATATCACCGCTATATTCTCAAGGCTTTAGCTAAGCACGATAGGACGTGATGGCAGCTCATTTGGCGAACAAAAGCATCTTTCGTTGGGAAAGCGCAGAACCAGTAGCAGGACTCTTGCACTCAACACCAGTGTATCAAGGGGACCAAAGTCGCTGTTCACGGGCATGTTGCACACAGTGACATCCACTGAGTACATGTAGACGCCTGTCAATTTGAGTTTCTCGATAACTTCAGCATCCTCGGTCTCTCCAGCAACCTCAGCATCCGGTCCATCAGACTTTGCCTATCACACCTACTTCCCAGGCCCTTCCGACTCCATGGGCTTCTCGAACTCCGGCGTATTGGTCAGCGGGGGTCAGGCTGTTTCGCAGTTGGACAATCAGATGGCCTTTTAGGCGACCACGGCTTCTTCGCGGGTCCTGCCAGCTGCTCCAGAGAAGTCACTGTCATCTTTTGATCATGTATCGTTGCCGCCAACGTATTGAGCAAGGGGCCGGGTATTCCGCTGGAATTTGATGTGCTCCAGGGCTGGTAGCAGTGTGACCAAAGGTCCGAGACGGACGGTGGGATGCCACAGGTTACCCTGGACTCGGAGGTCCCTCACTCAAGTAGGTGGGCTTCTCCCCACTCATAGAAGAATGACGCCCGATATCAACAGGAGCGCTCCCCAAATTCACATGATTCGAGCTCATAGATGCATCCCACCCCCGGCACCATCATCCCCATCATCGCGCCCCATCTGCTCCTCCATCCTCCGCCTCAGCTCCTCATCCGTCAATCTCCCACCCGTTCCCGCAGCGGCAGCTCTACCGGCGTTTCCTCCCTCAGCAGCCTCCCTCTCGCCATTCACCTCCCCATCACCATGCCAAGTCCTACCCCTCCTCTCCACCTCCGCCTTCAACAACCCCACCCGCTCCCTCTGCCGCTCAATCACCTCCTCATTCTCCCTGATCGCTTCCAGACACTCCCGATCCCCGACTTCCTCACGCGTTTCCCCGCTGATGGTCTCGTCGCTCCGGATGCTGTCCGAGAACTCCTGCAGCTGGGCGTTCGAGCGCCGCAGATGCGCGATCGAATTGTCGATCTCGCGCGCTTTGGCGTACAAGTTCTCGAGCGGGAGGTCTTGGAGCGCTAAGGCGAAGCGCGAGGGCGAGATGGGCGGGATGTTGGCTGTCATGTTGGTTTGGCACGGGTGAGTCTTCTGTGTTGGTCAATCTGAGTTTGATGATTCGATTTCGAAGGCTGTAGGCTCAAGCTGTAGTAGGGTCTTTAAGTAGAGTCCTGGTTGTTACAGCCGAAGCGGGATGGGGCAGAGGTAGGTCAGATGGGTAGTCGTTGCGCCGCTTGAAGAATAAAAAGGCAACCGCCAGTGGGGATAGGGATGACGTGTGCGGAGCGGCGGCCTTGGCTGCCTAGTGGGCTCGCCGCCTAAATAAGGCTGATAGGGCGTCACTCGCGTGGCGGTTGCTGACTCCGCTTCCCTCTGACGGCCGGCGGGTCACCAAGTCTAGTCAGAGCACTACTTCTCTGATCTGCTGATCCAATGAGATGATTTCTAAGATTACGAGAAGGCTAACCTCAATACAAGACAGACCAAGCAACGCAAATGATTCACCCTTCGTGATTATCCGAATTATCGACGAGGTTCGCAGGCCTGAAGTGGCTGGAGACAGCCAAAGTGACGATGAGATGATGGAGAAAAGAGATGGCGCGTGGTTAAGAAGGTTGTTCAGATTCCAATGACGACCCCCACAGTCTGAAACACCCGCAGTTGGCGATTCAACTAGCGCGCGATCTGTGCCTCTACTCCGACTGCACCAAAGCCCAGAGCCCGACCACACCTCCTGCCCCTGACAGCGCAAACCTCACCATGTTCTGCCACGACCACGCTTTCAGCAGCGCCAGCACTTCCCCAGCAGCCGCCTTCTCCAGCTCCGCCGCACTGTCGTTCAGCAAGATCATCCTCTGAATCCCCGGCGCCATCACGAGTGCCGTCCAGATCAAGGTGGAAATAACCAGACCACCGGCAGCCGCCAGGGTATTGCGTTTCGGAGGGGTCAGGTAGGCGGCGGTGGCAGACGCAACGGTGGAGGCGATGGCAAGCGGAACCACCACCGCAAGGCCGCGATCGAAGAACTCGGTCCAGATATCGAGGGCTGTCCCGGCGGGCAGACGTTGGAGGATTGGCAGCGTCAAAAGCGAGGAGCCGGCGGAGATGCCGGAGTGCAGCAGGGCACAGGTGATGCCGATGGCTTGGAGAGAGGTGGTTGCTGTCCTTGAATCCATCGCTGCTGGGTCGAAAGGATGCTTGTGGGGGTTTTCGTTCTTTACTTGGTGAGTTCCGTGAATGTGGCGCGGGCGTGCTCGAGAGGCAGTATAAGGGCGAGAACAGCTTCACTGGAGGCGTGTAGTCGTTGTCAAATAGTCTCAGAAGCTCATGACTACGCCGGGCTGTCGGCGAGCTGCTGAGCTACAAGGTGGGGTGCTTGCGCCCGTATGCCAGCTCGCTTTGTCAGTGAACCTTAAGCGAGCTTGTTTCTCAGGGCTTGGCGGGCGCCTTACGGCCGTGCAGTCATCAGGGCCGGTGAATTGCGTCTGCAAAAGACAGCCACTCTTCGATGCCTTTTCGGTAAGCATCATCTGCAGCTGGCTCTTGGTCGTGGCCCCAAACCGTCATCTCCTTGATTTCGGACACATGCTCGAGGACTTTGACCGGCTCGGAGCCTTGATCCTCATCGTCGTCCGAATCTGCTGCCGGCGGGGCCTTTGAGCTAGAAGAAGCCAGGACGCGATCGGCAGGCTGGACGATGATGCCTGGGAGGTCGGTTTTAGCATCATGGGTGATAAAGAACATTAATAGTACCTTGATAGTCTTCCGGGATGCGGATTGGAGTGCCCTTGAGCTTACGACCTCGAAAGTACGCGACTTTGCTGCCATCTAAAAAAAGCGTTAGCAGGATGCGGCTGCGACTGCACCGAATGACAAGCCTTTCTCTGTCGAAGGACTCCAGAATCTTTTGGTGACCTTAGTTGGCCCGTTATGATGAACACGGCAAGGAATGATGTTGACTGAGCAAGCGTCGGTTTTCGATTTTGACTTTTGTATGGCGAGCATGTTGATCTGTGATATTTTGGTGATGATACAGTTGAAGCGATGTTGACTGCCGAGAACAAGTTCATTCACGAATTGAGACCACTTTCGACGCGTGCCAGAAGAACGCGTCCAGATTCGCTTGGCGTTCACGAACGCGCGCCACAAGGCTCAGGCAGTAAATGGCGAGGCTGCCTCAAAACCTGGAGACACCTGTGGCTGATGTGCTGCCCCCGCTGTTGGCAGCCCCTTGAAGCACCTGGAATCTAATGCTCATGCACAGCCAGTTAACCGTCTCAGCTATACGGACGCTTGCGTGTTCCTCTCCTTTGGTTTGTGCCGATTAGCATGGCCGTCATCACATCAGGCAGTGAATATGCCAAGCTTTGGTATAATGACGATATGACGAGCTTTGATTTTGCTGCACCCGAGCAGCCAGCAGGGTGATGGTGCGAATCAGCTGATGATTCCCTTCATCGTGGCAATACATGGCTACCGGGACCATTGTCCATAACAGGAATCCTGGCCAATAGATGAAGAGGGCTCTAGTCGCCTCTTAGGAGTTCATGTTTAGCTCATTTTGCGCCTAAACAATGAAATCCCACATGCGGTCACACTTACGACAGCGGACACCGGATCGTTCTATCTCCGGGCCCTTGGGTTTCCGAGTGCTTGTGCCAGTAGGATAAGGCGATTGCTGAAGGCGCGCGTGTTGCGTACGGCTGGGTGGAGCTGCAGGGCCGACAAGATCGCCAGGAACGCAAGGCTAAGTCGCAATCGTCGAGTGGTGAGGTCATTATGCGTTCAACAAATGCAATACCGTGATGCGGCTTGAAACAATTTGCAGGCCTTGGATTGCTTTCTCCAACAGAACACGACACAAAAAGTTTCGCACTGGGGGGCAGCATGTAGAAGTACAGTGTGCCATTGTGCTGCCTACCCATAGAAGTGGTTTCATAATGAAGATGAACTGTTGTACGGACCGAGGAGCGGCCAACGTTCTTGCCTCGAGGCTGGCGACTTGGCCCTGACAGCGAGAAGGGGCGGTACACAGCTTCGCGTCTTTGGACCTGCACCGTTCCCTCTCCTCGCATGCTCGCGATGCATTTGACTACGTACCCCACCATGTCGAAACTCATGGTGCATTTTGTCGCTTCAATCAACTGTCACCTTTTGCCCCGCCGAACCCGAATGACTCTCATTTAGCGACCGGCATCCCCTCACTCACCTCTTCGTTCTCTTGCATCACACTTCTCGCATGCCTGTCCCAACATTGGACACTTTAATAGCCTCCACGACCCATCTAGCATGCCTTGAGCAGCACAGGCGCTCCCAAGAAGAAGGATGACGGGAATAATGGTGTCTGCCATTGATGCTGTGCGCAATTACACCGGCTCATTCGCATGGGGTCCTCTAGTTCAGCTCTCGCGTTCAACGATACTGAATCTGTTGAAGAGTATCGAAGTCGGTCAGCTCACCGTGCGCGACACAGATGGCACCACGACCATTTGCGGAAAGGTACCGAAAGATGGCGAGAATGCACCAGTGTCCAGCCTGAGAGTCCTGCGAGAAACATTTTGGCTAAGGCTCGCTCTCTTTGCGGACATGGGTCTTGCGGAGAGCTATATGCTCGGAGAGGTTGCTTGTTCGGATCTCACCTCGTTCTTCCGACTCTTCATCCTGAATCGAGAGCATCTGTCCAATGGTTCAACCCTCACGTCCACGATCTCCTCCGCAATCAGCGGCTTGCTGCGTAAAGCCAACACGCTGCCGAATGCCCTGCTAAACATCAGCGCGCACTACGACATCAGTAATGAGATGTTCGGCGCGTTCCTCTCTCCAGACATGACCTACTCGTGCCCAATATGGCGACCGAGATCGCAGGCGATCGCAGGCAAAGACAATGAAGAACCGCTGGAAGAGGCGCAATACCGTAAATTGGATCGCTTTATAGACAATGCCAAGATCAAGGCCAGCGATCATGTCCTCGAAATCGGTACCGGATGGGGCAGCTTCGCCATTCGAGCCGTGCAGCGGACGGGATGTCGAATCACCTCCTTGACTTTGAGCGTGGAGCAGAAAGAGTTGGCCGAGCGACGCATTGCTGAAGCTGGCTTGACAGACCATATTGAAGTGCTCATCTGCGATTATCGAGCACTGCCAATGCCGAAAGAGGGACCATATGACAAGGTTGTGAGCATTGAAATGCTGGAAGCTGTCGGCCGGGAGTTTTTGAAGAAGTATTTTGAATGCATTGACAAACTGCTGAAACCTGACGGCGGAATTGCTGTCTTCCAATGCATCACCATGCCAGAGTCCAGATACGAAGCGTACGCGAAAGGCGAAGACTTCATCCGCAAATACATCTTTCCGGGCGGCCACCTCCCAACAGTGACGCAGTTGGTAACCTCGATTGCGGAAGGCAGCAAAGGCTTGCTCGTGGTCGACAGTGTTGAGAATATTGGCACCCACTACGCCAGAACCCTGCGTTTGTGGAAGGACAAGTTCCTGCAGAATTTCGATGCCGTGATCCAGCCGGCGCTGATTGCTGAGCACGAGGGCATGTCCGAGGCGGATACTGCACTCTTCAAGCGCAAATGGGAGGTGAGTTGTTCATACCTTGAAGCATACATGATGCTGACCACGCTTGCCAGTACTACTTCACATACTGCGAAGCTGGCTTCAACACACGTACCCTTGGCGATGTTATTATCACCGTCTGCAGAGAAGGGGCCATGGAAATGGCGGAGGATATACCCTTGTGAGCGTTCAAGCGCAGCTAGATCGTGGAAGCGTTGTAGCCTGTTGGTCGTTGACGGCGAGCGCCCTGCCATCCATACCCTAATCATCGCCCCTCACTTCTTCTTGTTCTTCTTTTTCTTCTTTTTCTTCGCCTTCGGCTCTTCTCTACCATCTGCATCCTCTTCGCCTTGCACATCATTTCCCTGTGTCCCCTTCGCAGCCGCAATTTCCGCTTCTCTTCGATCAACTCCCCACCTCTTGACATGCTCCCTCTCAAACCCGGCCCTATCTCTCTTGAACAGCATCATCGTCGCCCTCGCATCCTCAACACTGCTATGTTCCCCCTCCTGAATCTCCACGCCCAGCAATTCACTCGCCAGCACCTTCAGCCTCGGACTCCCCCCACCCGCCATCTTCCTATACGGCGGAAACCTCGCCGTATCCCTGACATCCCTCTTCGGATGCCCCAGCAGCAACGCATCCAAATCGTTGCGCACGCTGTGTCCGACCAGCACGCGCCCCTTCAGCAACTTCGCGACGGCGCTTTGTACCTCCTTCAGAGTGCGCGCGTGCCGCATGTGCTGCGGCGCAATGCCCGAGACGTGCGTGCGCCAGTCCGTCACCGGCTCCAGCGGGAGCACGTACGAATCGTAGAGCTGCTCGCCGTGGTAGTTGACGAGGCTGACTCGCGCAAGGGCCGAGGTGAGCGTCGGCGTGGGCCCCACGCCGACCATTTCGCAGTCGAGCGCGATGTATTTGCCAATTTCGACACTGGCGGGGAAGGGTGTGTTAGTGTTGATATCATTGTGTGAGGGAAAGGAGGGGGTAAAGGATGTTGTCCCAACAAGAGGACTAGAGAGGGGATGGGCATACTCTTCAGACAGGCCGGCATTGACGAGCGTGTTGGCGCTTCTTGGGGCCGTAGGCGGGTCTGCAGCGGTACTACCATTCGCAACTGGGTCTCCGTTTGGCAGAGGTTTCGTGGCGACCTGTCCATTCATCTTGCCGCGCTGCTGCTGCTTTGCCTTTTTCTGCTTCTGCTGGATCTTGCGGTCTTCATCCCATCTGGCCTTCTTGCGCGGTAAGGAGTGTACAGGCCGCTGCTCGAGATCCCCTCGCTTGCGCTTGGCGGGATTCGCTGGGTGTAGTGATTGTGGGGTGGGCGAACCGGCAGACTTGCTGCTGCTGGCTTTTAGCTTGCTCTGCAGCTGCTTCCAGTTGGAAGAGAGGTTATTGATGTCCATTGTTAGGCATCTTGACACGACAATGCGGTGTGATGTGGTTACGAGCAATGACTGACGAGGTTCACATGCGGCGCAACTTTTCGGAGAGACATGGCCGAGGTTTACCCGCCTTACTGCCTCAAGTACTACTCAGCAGCACAAGTAGACTGTTCACTCACCCCGAACAACAATGATAATGTCAATGAAAAGCTTGCGTAACTTGCTTTCTTTTCAGCTCTAGATCATGTCTCATACCAGATATGCGTGCCTGCCGGCATATACACTGGGCACCCCCGACCATTTCAAATGCCTCCTTAGCTACATCCGGTAGGCTGGTTTTGGCCCTCACCATCGTCTTCCGTTGTACTGGACCCTCAATCAACATCCATGGCAAGAGTTGTCCCTGTGGACTCCCGAGACATGGATGGCACTTGGCTAGGAGCCACCATGTCGTCTCTCAAACCTGACCAGCGCCCACCAGTGGCGAGCGCCATCTCGAAGTCTAAACTCTTTGGGAACCACCTATCCACCCGGGTATTTGCAACATGGCCTCCCATCAGAGCAGCCCGAGCAGCGCGAGTATTCCTCTGTTTGCCCGTACCTTGTGAGCCAGCGTCTATCTCATTGCGCTGACCTTCCAACTGCTGGTCAAGTTGCACTATATGACGGATATACGGGGCAACTTCCACAGCCACGGTCGAAATCGCCCCATCCAGAGAGGGTGCAGTTCGTCCAGTAGGAGGAGGGAACGTTCTGTTGTCCTCCATAATAGGTTGAAAGGCCTCGAAAAAGGCACCATAGGGCAGAGATTGCTCTTTCGGCCGGTAAAGGAGGAACTCGGCAATACTCTGGCGGCTGATTTGCGTTGGTCTTGCTGGCAGTGTGTTCGCTAACCTGCAACTTAGTAAAGGGTTGAGCCCATCGTCTGCAAGGTCCATGAAGCTCCTGAAATCTGCTGCCACATCTGTTTGCCGTAATGATTCAAGCCGCGCCTCCGGCGGCTGAGGTCGAATTTGAGGAGGTATGGTTCGAAGCGTCTCATAGTCCATGACAGAGAGCCCTAGGCTATCCTGCGCGTATGCCAGAAGGTCCTCCGTTTCGAGCTGTTGCTCGGGCACCAGATGCAGGCCGGTATGGAAGGTGTCTCTGGACACGATACGTCTCGAGCTGGACGTACTTCCTGTATCGATATTTGAACTGCCATGGTGCATCCAGTCCAAGCCGCCCATTGTCGAGCCCACTGTCATTTGGCACCAGAAGTTGAGCTCAGTGAGCGCGGCTCGGAGGTCTTGTCCCCTGCTCAAGTACAGCTCCCGGAGTGCATCACGAGCAATAATGTGACCTTCTGCAGCTGCAACATACGCCAAGTGCTCGACGACTTCATCGATATGTGGGTTTTCATAGTGCAAAGTCATCTGCAGACTGATTTCTTCCAGATTGACGGCGTCTGGATTGCTGCAAGTGAGGACGATCGGCCGCTTTGAGGTGGCGATAAGCGATTGTACTCCTGACCAGAACGTTTTGTCCTCCTCAAAGAGCACGTCCACTTCCTCGAAAAGAATCAATGACTGTTTCTGTTGCTGTTCTTTCTCTGGAGCCGGGTTTATGTGGTCGATATTCGACAATTTTGAGGTCTTTGCCCCGAAGAAGCCGCCCAATGACTTTTGCTTGGGATCGACTGTGTCTGGATCATCTGAACGATTGGCAACGTCACTCAGAACGCTTGACGCTCTGCTGAGTGGAGCTGAAGCCGTTGTCTGGACCAGGTGATTGTGCGTCATATCACCGACCTTGTCAAAAATATCCTTTGCTGTGCGACGCATGCCCGGGTGGATCTCAAATACCTCGAAGTCGAGCTGGTGGGCAGCAGCAAACACGGAAGCTGTCTTGCCGCACCCATGGGGCCCGCATATAAGGATGGCATTCTTGACAGGTGCCCCAGCAACTTCGTCCTCTTCATCAGACGGGACAAGAAAATCGTCTAGACCATCGGTGCGCCGTTTGACACGCTTCTTGCGGGTGGGTTTCTTCTTCTGCTGTCGGACCGAAAGTTTCGACTGGACGTTGTGAACTTTGAGCTGCTCAAGCCAGTCTTTCAGGACTACAGCATTCTGCTGTAGCACATCTTCGGCACGCTTCGGGGCATATTCATGTATCCAATCCAGCGGACCGGCTGCCTCTCCACGATCGAAGGCACTTTGTCCCTTTTGAATGCGGTGTCGCACTCCTTCGAGCCTTGTTTGGTCACCTAGACCAGCTTTGCCAGAGTCGGTTTTGTTGAGCAGTTGGTCCCCACTCAAGTGCAGTTGCTGCGGAAGGCAGAGAGCAGATGAAAGACCCAAATTCGCTATTAATCTCGTGCTGAAAATATCTAACACGGACTCCTGGCTAGGGACACGGACGAGGTCCCGCTTCTGCTTGGCCGACACGTCGGTAAGAACGGATACGTGGTGGGATTTGGTGATGGGTGCATTCGGCGGAACTCTCTGCAGCTCAAGTGGTGGCCACAGGGGAGATAATGTACCGTTGTCTTTCGTGACGGATGATTTAGAGCCGCTAAAGCCCAAGTCGTTCCACGCTTTGACAGGCTTTAGGTCCTTCACAGGCTCGGCACCGGTTACCGCAGGCTTGCCAGATTCAGCCGCGATATCTTGCGTAGATTGTTGCCTGTTGGCGGCTTTGCCCATGAAGAAGGGATGTAAGGACTTTTGCGGCTTCGGTGGAGGTCTAATTACTTCTGTTGGCTCGATGTCTCGTCTGGTGACCGGGACCGCTGGCTGGCCTATCGGTTGACTCAGAATGCCATCAATCTTCTCACCTAACATTCTAGGATCTTCCGTTAACCTGTTGTAAGAAAGAGTCACTTTCAAGGACTGGGCAATACGGCCTTGCTTCATGGTCAGGTTTCGGGTGCGCCGTGAGGTTCTGCTTGGTGGTGGTTTTGGAGGAGTAGCCTGCTTCGGACCTCGCCTGGGGGATCGACCCAGCTTGCCAGAGCTCGTGATTTTCAACATCTTGGGTGTAGTCTGCTTGTCCGCCTCTTGCGTCTCTTCTGGTGGCTCATCTGAGACTGGTTGCGGTTGAGTCGTGGGGAGGATAGCTGCGGCAGGGGTATCTGCAGGTGGTACGGTGAGGTTGTCATTGAGTGTCGCCTCATTCTGCTGATCTTGATCCGAAGAGTCCACGGGGTCGCGAGAAGGTGCAGTGTCACCTTCACTTGCGGCAGCTTCGAGTTGCCGCAGCCAGTGGTGGCTGCCACTCGGTCTATTCTCCTGTGCTGTATACTCAGTGCAACGGGATGTCACTTTCCGACGTTTCTTGCGATCCTGGTTCGGATCAATGTCCGCCTCTGCACCGCAAAAATTGCCCGATGGCATGTCGACTGGTATGCTCTCGGAGGAGCCATCGCTGTGGGTAGCCTCCATAGCCGTCGTCTCGTCATGGTCGTCTGCTGTCTCTCCGGAAGGAGGGTCTGGTTCTTCCACTGAAGCCTGTGGTGACTGCTGTGGATATCGGGCTGTCAATGTGTCAGCAGTATACTAATGTGTACTTCTTTCGGGTATCAATACTGGGTCGGAAGAAAGGATGCATGGCTGATTGTTCCGGCCGCCTGTAGCCATTTTCCACTAATGTTGCCATTCATTTGGCTCCTCTGATACCGCCAACATAACCTATGCAGCCTTGCACCTCTAGAGCACTAAAGAGATGGGAAATTGAAACAGCATAAATGTGAACGCTGTATGTTAAAGTGCAAGACAAGGATACTAATGGAAACGCGTCCATTGCATCACGCGTTGCCGTGGGTCACTTTATTTTAACCGAGGTACAGCCGTGGCGGGCGCTTCTGTGGGTGCCTCTATAACGGCCAACTTTTTGGTACACTGCATCTTCACCATAACCCCATAAAGCAGCCAAATCGACTGTCGTGACCTCCATCTGAACAACAGCTTCCTACTTCGCACTAGTTATATGCTAAGGGCGACCATTCTTACCGCAGAAAGGTCTCCTTAAGAAGAGCTTAGGCGGCTCTTGCTATCCCACCCCGTCTAGCCTATAATCTCCTCTATGGGTGCCTCGAAATCGGTACGTCTGCGGGTGTCTTCGGTGTAAAACTGCTGCCTCACTAGCGGAAGGCTGGCAAGTATCACCTTGAATCATGTCCTTGTTGAACGGTAACATGCCCACATTCTGGAAGTTGAAGGCTTCAGCGACCTTCGTTGCTGGCGGTATGTAGTCCTGCGCTGCGCTACTACCAACACCTTGGAGCCTATGACGTTGTTCAAGTACATGCTTCCGACCAAGATAGGCTTGTCCATACCCTATTTTATTCCGCAGACGTCTCATCACGACCAACAGGCGTATCAAAGCTGCGTGATTGCTCCTTGGTCGGTGCACCCACTAGCCTCATCCTTTCCTGGAAATCGGACCTCTTCCGGCATCCAGCATTCCATACCCACGTAGAATCGAACCCATGCTCTGGAGTGCAATAGCATAGTCTCATGAACCCGAGACAGTTGTCATCGTCGTTCTGGCCTTGAGGACACTGGCACCACCGAGCCATCATACTCCCTGAGCAGGCCCACCAAGCGTTGCTATGAATGTTAGCTGGTTTCATCAGATCCAACTCTGAACATGTTAGAAGTCTGGTGGGTGAACTTACCATTTGAGGACGCCTTTGTCGCACCAACAGGAGCTCCAGCAAGCCCAGGAATCGATGGCTTTGCCATTCGGGCCCTCATCGCATTTAACGTCAGCGACAACGCCTGTTGATCAGCATTGGTCTGGAAGTGCATACGGAAGTCCGGATATACTCACCATTGTGTGCAATGCACTCGCCCTGGGATGGCGATTTCTTCCTGCCCTGTTGCTCCTTGTAAGGATTGAAAGGCCAGTACAGTCCGTCGCCAACAACGTGTATGACGTGGAGACCAAGGAGAAAGACTGCATTAGGAACTGACGGTCGCATCGTTGTGGACGGACGTTGCCAGGTTGATAACTATATTAGTGATGTTCAGAATAATCTATACCGTGTGGACGGGGTAGATGACATCTCAGAGTTGCGAAGGAGGATTTCAAGTTGGACATCAAGCCACGAGGAGCTTTTTGTGGTCGAGCGCGGAGCACTGCCCCGCCGACACCAGTGGCGTTGCTGCGACTAGACAAACGCCTCAGCACGCCGGCTAACACGGTGAACGGATGGACGTGGCAGCGCAGCAATCCGGAGCGATCCAAGGCCACCTGAGACAGTGCAATGAATGCCGGCAGTCGGTTTCGTCACGATGACTGCGCCTCCCCAAGGAGAAGTTCCTTGTATATGCGAGCGTGCTCAAGCGCCGAGCAAGCCGAGCACGGCACAAGGCCCTGGTGGAAGGAGATCAGCCTGAAAAGGCCCGTAGTACAAAAGTGGCGAGCTTGATCGCGAGACTTACAACAGAGCATTCCTTCTGTGGTCTTCTGGGACTTCCGGAGGCCCGCTCGTCAATTGTGTCGTCCTCCGGTATCCGTGTTGAAAACAAGCCTCGACGAAGAGTACGATCAGATCTGTATGGTGCTGATGGCGGCCGAGTGCACTGGGCTTGGCTAATTCTGGACATCTGCTCACCTGAGCTCCGCAATCATCTTATACTGAAAGCCTTCACTGTTTGACTTGGACGAACCGACATTGGCAGGGCATGTCTGAGGCGAGAACCCGTACCAGCAAACGAGGCTGAGGAAAAGGGGAGGCGCTCCGCCTGGTGGGGCTCGCCAAGACTGCGGAGAAAGACGCTCCAAAAAAATGGCAAGCGCCGCAAAGTGATTGTCACTTTTGCAGCAAACTAGATTGTACAGTAGCTGTTGGCTTAGAAAAGGGCTACGATGGAAATTTCGGAACCTGTCTCCCTCGCACGGCTCCCTCGGAGCCCGCAGGGAGTGAACGATGTCACCTTTGGCTCTGTCTGGGGCTGGCGCAGTGGAGTGAAGAGAAAGCGGCATGAGATATGCGCGGCAATCGAGAGCACTTGCTTGAACATCTACGAGGTGAGTTTGTGGTCGCACAGCTCCGAACACAACTGATCCCTAAGCAGGCGCAGAGCGGTCGAGTACTGTTTTCCTACGCTGTCCCACCATCGACCGTTTTCTCTGGTCCACCATGCTCATTGCGGTGGAAAGAGCATGGTTCTACCCACCGCCAAACATGCTTTGCTACCTCCGACCACGGCCTCCGCCTGCACTCAGTATGGTCCCGGGGATCTGAAACCGCGAAGCCCATTTCTGTCGAGCTTGTGACATCTGCGAGCCCGGTCATACATCTCGAACCTTCAAGGAGCGATACTTCGGTAACAATCACTGTGCTTCAGGCAGACGGGACGGTGACTATTGTCTCGGGCGACCTACAGTCCGTTGCATCCAGCAAGATTGCTTTGAAAGAGGGAGCCCCGATCCATATTACCGCTGCCTCATTGTTGACTGCAGCCAATGCTCGCAAATTTGTGCTGAAGGCGAGACCTGATATCTCCAGCATTGTGGGTAATGACTCCCAGGTGCTTCTTGTAGCCACACAGTCGCAGCAGCGAGGAATGCAACGCAGGGCACTCACATATGCAGCTTGGTCACTCGATTTGGCTAGTCGACGACCATCACATCAGCTGGAGATCTCGCCGTTGTTCGAGCACGATCTCAGCCACCTAACACCTGCCCTCGCCAATACGGACGTTGAGATTACTTCCTCGTCCTTCGGAGTTCGTAACATGTGCTTGGATTTCAGAATCTCACGGGGGCTCTACAGAATCGACCTGCATGGCGCTACACCACGACCCCTCCCGCCTGTTTCTGAAGTTCTGTCAGGATCTCTTGACCTGATCACAGTCTCACCATCTCATGTTCTGGCGGCATATGCGGGTAGAATGCGCATTCTCGACGTCAACTACTCGACTGTTCGTCTCGAGTACAATCGGAAGAGAAAGCGCGAGGGCCGAGGACCCGCCACTCAGTTTCACTTCATTTCCTATTTCTCCCAGATAAATCGTGTTTTGGCCCGCGATGGGAGTCGTCTTCTGGCCATTGATCTCACACCTATAACTGGCCATGATGGGAAACAGTTGGCTACCTCTACTTTGTCCGACAACCTCGGCCGCGGCCTGGCTGTACAGTCTCAAGTCAATACAAACGTGCGCCTTGTAGGACAAGCAATTGGTACTGGTGGTCCTGTTACCCAACCGCTGTCTCCCGTTTGGAAGACCAAACTCAGCACGATGTTGGACGACAATAACGTCGACGGCTTCGAGAGTATCGTCATCAGCCATTTCGGCTCGGAGGGAGAATCTAGCAGCAATGTGAATCTGTCTGACGAGCTTGTGGATTTTGTTATCTCAAGCATGTTTAACGCGCAAACGGTCAGTGAGGACCAGGGCCGTCAGATTCGCCTCCAGCTCAACATCTCAGCGAGCAGTCTGCTGAAAGCTCTTAACGAACGCGGATATCTTCGCCCGTCCAGTCTTCGAAGAGCCCTTAGACTTGGAAGGGAGCAAATGGCTTCGCATCTACGTCCCGACGGTGTCGCCAGAGCGCTCCAAGATGCCGATCCTTCTCTCAATCTCTTGTTGGACTTCTCCAGCAGTAATGGTAGCCCCGATGTTTCTGAACACTGCCGGCTGCTGAAATACCTAATTCAACAAGCACTGACGGATGGGAATGTGTCTCAGCCACCGCGACTCATGGCCGCCGAAGCCTCAGAACAGACGGCAATGGAGGTGCTGTCCGACGTGGAAAATTTGAAAGGCAAACAAGATCCGGCTATGTTGGAGCACTGCTTAGTTGCCGTCCTAGACCGTTTCGGCAGGTTCAGCTTGACTTCGATCTCAACAAGTATACGATCAGTCCTTTCCAGCGAGGAAGTCTTCGGTGTGGTCCAAATACTTCGACAGCAGATGTTCCGCAGCGGACACACTGGCTCATTACTTGCTTCTGAGCCCGAAGAGAACCTCTCGCTGCACCGTCGTGTTTCGCTGGAGTCTGCGGTGAAAATATTATCAGCGTGTGTTGATGCGATCGGGCCTCTTGATCTTGTCAGCGATAAGGCCGAGGATGACTTCATCGAGAGAATCTTCCCAGATCTGTTGTCCGAGATATCTCTCGCCACGCAGTATATCGAAGAGTCAGCAGATCTGCAAGGACTGCTACGCGAGACACTTCGGCATGCCGAGGCGCAGGAACCTACTGTGCATAGCAATGATGCGAATCGAGCCAAGGGCCTACAAACAGGTCGTCCAGGTCAGATTGTTACAATCTACGAGCAAAGAACTGAGGATGATGCAATCAGCGACCTGCCAGGAGCCCTTCCTTTGAGCCTACGAGCTGACGGCGCTTTCGAGGCTATCAAGGTTCGGCGTGGCGGAGGGCAGGTAACGCAGCGAAGTGAAAGGGAGACGCTCATGTTGGAGAACCGGCAGAAAGGACCGTACACGTTCGAGAGACTGTTCCTATAGTTCTGTGATCTGCACCTAGTAGCAAAAACGGAAATGTCCCCCTATTCTTAACGGGATTGTTCTTTTCTCGCATGCACCAGAGCAATCTCGTGCCCGTAATCTCGTGAGTAGAGAGTATTCCCTTTCAGGTTTAGCGGCCTCGCTTTGTCAAGCCTGGCTGCTTAGCACGTAGGCGCCTCGCAGATCGCCCCCCAGAACGCCGCGCATGCATTGGGGTCGGGTTCAGAAGCATCTGGCGACCTTCTACAATCCTTGCACGACCCCTGCCAGAAAGCCAGTATCGTGAGATTCAAGGGACGCTCATACCTCGTCCGAGCACCGTGCTCATGGCGAAACGGCTTTGACGCAGGAATTCGTCGTCTCCTGAGACCTCAAACCTCTGGCACGCGCGCCAGTCGCAATCCCTGCGCGCCCAGGACTGCGTCACGCCTCAGCCTCCCTCCCCACCGACCTCCACTACATTCCTCACGTTCGTTGCTATCGTTCATGAACGGGGGGACTCCCGGACTAATCGAACCGAGCATTACCTTTTGCGAGATCAGCGTCGTGCACGGTTCGAGGCTAGCGGGGGAGCCCGTTGTGCCACCGAGAACTCAGCTACCGTACCTTATAATAAGCCACAGCCAGCATGGCATTCCCTAATGGCACCGGGTACGCCGATTCGGATGCCGACGACGAGTACGAAAGGAGCGTCATGACATCTCCCACCGCCCTCCATACCGATTCCGAGACCTCTTCAGAACTGCCGTCCAACGAGCATACGCCCACGACATTCGATCCTCCTGCTGATGATCGAGGTTTACCAAGATCAATAATAACAGAATGGACACCGGAGGAATGTGCTCAATTTGTGGCATCACTGAATTTACGACAATATTGCGATGCTTTTATAGGTAAGGAGGCAGTGAATGGAGGTGAATGTTGAGCTGACGATGGCGCAGAACACGGCATCGTGGGCGAAGCGCTTGTTGCGCTCAAACACGATGAGCTAAAAGAGATGGGTATAGCTAGTGTGGGCCATCGCTTGACCATCCTCAAGCAGGTCTACGAACTCAAAATTGAGCAAGATGTCACTGTCGAGCCGGACGACTACGTGCCGTTATGTGAGTTGGCGCCTTTAGACTCCCTAGCACCTACTGATAGCGCGCAGCGGCGGAGGCAAATCCTCGATTCGAGATGGCCACTAAAGAAGATATCGCTCGAATAGCCCGCTCTATCATCAAACTCCGAGATGATAGGATCACTCAAACAGAAGCGCAGCTCACCCGCCTCGCCGACGACTATCGCAAGTTACGGCAGGAAATGCTACCCTTGTTCAAACAAGCAAAAGAGCGCTCTGAGCCTCTACCATACGCCCCGCACATGCCACAAGTCGCGCCTAGCCCCGAATTACACCAGACCGAGATCTCTCCTCCAGTAATGACCGCATCCCAGCCAGAAAAAACGAGCCTTACACGAACATTTTCGAAAAAGCTGGGACTAGGCTCGACACCAAAGAGCCATTCGCCTACGCATGTACCCAGCACGATTCACGAAGACAAGCAGTCCAATGGCCTCAATCCCTCCGCTGCTGCCACAGCAGCGTCGAATTCCCTAACCGCCGGTATGTCTGGCGGTTCTTATCCAGCTTCCTCACCTGGAATTCCATCGCCTACATCGCCTATGCCTCCATACCAACCACTCGCGCCACGCTCGTATCAGCGGGACGGCGCAGCATCCGCCACGCCCTTTCACGACGACAGCTCTCGAGCCTATACCGCACCACCGTATGAGCCGCCGTCGAGTGCCAAGTCAGCTACATCAGGTGGCGGCAAATCCACGCCCGGCTCTGCACCGGCGCGCGAACAGTCTTCGTCCGCGCCGCCAGGTGGTCAAGCGCAGAGCGCGGGTCCCGGAGCATCCAGAGAGGGCGGCGGTGGTCAAGAAGCGCCGCAAATCGAGATCTTCAAGAGCTTCAAGGTATCACTAGAAGATCCCTGCTGGAAAGTGCTGCCCGCCGCGCTAAACAAGTACAACATCCACGCAGACTGGCGACATTATGCGTTATACATCGTATACGGGGATCAAGAGCGGAGTGTCGGGCTAGATGAAAAGCCGCTAGCGCTGTTCAAGGACCTAGATCGGGAGGGGAAGAAACCAATGTTCATGCTGCGGAAGTTGGCAAACCCGATCGTGACAGGGCCAGGAATGGGAGGCGGGACTGTGGGTGGCGGTGGAGCAGGAGGAGGAGCGGGAGGAGGAGGAGGACTGAAGCTGCCGGACAGTGGCGGCGGTCGGTCCGGCGCGATAAGCAGCGCGGCGAGCGTGCGGACGATGGGGGCGAGCCTGAGGGATCCGCCTGGCGGGGTGATATGATCAGTACGACTGATGCTGGGAGCCTTTTTGGATTGAAATTCTCGTGCAACGTTCTGAGCGTGTGTTTATGGATTGGGTCTGGTTGGGCTTGGTTCCCTAGCTGTTGGACCACCCTTGGAGACGAGGTTACTATCAATTCACTTCGGTTCGGTTCGATTCAATGGAACACGGTCTTGAGGAATGGTGGAAAGGGATAGGTGATCGGATGGTATGGAGGACGGCTACATATGTCGAACCAGATGGCATGATGATGTTTTGACGAGAATTGACAATCATATTAGTGCTTTGTCACTGAGTGGATCTCTGAATATTGTGAAAGAGCCATAGCAGTCCTCGAAGGATGTGCACGTTAGGCACTCTCGGTAAAACCTGCTGACTTCAACCCTGGTCCTTGCGGACTGCCATGCGGCCGGCTTCAAGCTCATACCACGATGCGTTCGGGTGCCCTCCCAGAGTAAGCCCGCGGATGCCTGCCACACTCAGCCACCTTCCTCAACCTCAACTACGTCTTTTATCCGGTCCTTCAAGAAGTCTACCCCTACCTCGACCGTCGCCTCCGGGATCCTAATGTCTGGTAACCCGTCCGGCCCACCACTCCACTCCTTGCTCACAACAATGGCACCTTGGCTCGCCCCGGCCGCCGCTCCCTGACTTGCTGTCGGCGTGCTGGTGCCCGTTCCATTGGCTTGGGCGGCCGCGCCACCGGTCTGTGTCCCATTTGTCGATGCGCTGCCATTGCCGTTACTGCTGTTGTCTCGCGGGATCTTCGCGCGCCGCATTACTTCTTCCATCAGCTCGGGAAATGTGTCGCAGCTGCCATTACGGAGTAACTCCAGGGATAGTGCGCGTACTCGGTCCGTCCAGCCGGTGCGGGCGAGGGAGTCGGCGAGTTGCGCGGAGAGATCTGGGAGAGCGTTGGTGGTGCGTAGGTGTGAGATGAGGGCGCGTTGTGTGGCTGTGGGTAGTGAGGATGTTGTGCTGGTGAGGGACGGGGGGAGAGGGATGTTCTGCGACTCGGAAGAGGTGGAGGAGGCAGCCATGTCGCGTAGTCTCTGTAAGAGTTATGGTGTAGAAGAGGCTAGAAACAGCTGAGGTAAAGAAAGTTGTCTTGAGACCGAGCCCAAGTAGACTCGCAGTGCAATTGTCTATCCGGGGTCGTGAATCCGCTTCGACGACCTGGGAAGGGTATTTCGGACAAGGACGAATTGGACGTCCTGGTACGAGCCACGGTGGGTGAGAGGCTCTTCTCAGGTAGTGTTAATCCCAAACGTGTCTGATTGCGGGACAGGAACCTCGCTATGTCCTGAGAGTTTCGTCGATTTGCAAGTTCAAAGTCAAGGATCTCGTTTCATGACCACAGGCAGTAGAAAGTTGCAATGCGGAGCGCAGCCAGAGTTCAAAGTTACTACAGCTCCGTTATCTCCGGGCCAGCCCTAGGTACTTGGCAGGACTGCCTCGGAGTGCTTCATGCAGGTCCCGCGGCATTCAGCAGCCCGATACTTGGTATCACACATGAAGAACCAAATGAGTGACGAGGCAGCAGGGTGCAATGGCAGGGGCAAGAGCTAGGTAGAATGCTATTAATCCGATCGGGAGATAGAGTCAAATAAGATGGAAGCGTCTATCCTCGTCTCCGAGATGATACCGGCGCTGGTCTCAAGGGGCGCGACGAGGAATCTCGAAGATAGGTTGAAGGTTGCAATGGCGCGCAAACGGAGTGCCTGGTAACTGTCCGAAGCAACAAAGAGCCAGTAAAGCAGAGGTGGCCTGCTGCCCGAGACTTGCCGCCTATTCACAAGTGGCGAAAGAGAGTGTACAGCTCAAATAGTGGCCTTCTACGGCGGTCTTTACGTTTCTCAGGCAGGCGGCAATACCAAATACGTGTTCCACGCCAAGGCTGCGCCTCCGGGAACCGTCACTCTTCTGGTTTGCATCATCTTAAGTTACTAACCTCAAGCTTCAACACGTTGCTACAATCTCTTCCTCCTCCTTATTCCCCATCACAATCTCTACTGGTGACTCGATCCCACTATCTGAGATCGTAGGTGTCATTATTCGAGCGAATCAAGCACTCGTTCGCAATCATCTACGGGAAATACCTCGAGTACTTTGGTAATCATCTCAACACATCCACATCCGCCATCATGTCTGCCGAGCCAGACCACGTCCCTAAGAAGGACAAGGTCAACCTCAAGTAAGATACATTCTGTTTGATGTTTCAAGCATAGCTAACCAGACCGCAGTGATGCCTCCGGCGCTGAGAAGAAGGATGAGCTCGATACCGCGACCGCTATCCTCAAGAAGAAGAAGAAGCCAAACTCATTGATGTAAGTGTGCTCTCATAAAGTATAACGCTCATCAGCTAACCTATTACTAGGGTCACCGACGCCACCAACGATGACAACTCAACGATCGTCCTCTCAAACAATACCATGGAGACCCTCCAACTGTTCCGTGGCGACACCGTTCTAGTGAAGGGCAAGAAGAGAAAGGATACTGTGCTTATCGTTCTCGCCGATGATGATCTCGATGATGGCAGTGCCCGCATCAACAGAGTCGTGCGCCACAACCTGCGGGTGAAGCACGGCGACATCATCACTGTACACCCATGTCCCGATATCAAGTACGCCAAGCGCATCGCCGTCCTTCCCATCGCCGACACTATCGAGGGCCTGACCGGGTCCTTGTTCGATGTCTTCCTCAAGCCATATTTTCTCGAGGCCTACCGACCTGTCCGTCAGGGTGACCTCTTCACCGTCCGAGCCTCGATGCGGCAAGTCGAATTCAAAGTCGTTGAGGTGGACCCTCCCGAGTACGGCATTGTTGCGCAAGATACTGTCATCCACTGCGAAGGCGAGCCCATCCAGCGAGAAGACGAGGAGGGCAATCTGAACGAGGTTGGCTACGACGATATCGGCGGCTGCCGCAAACAGATGGCTCAAGTTCGTGAGTTGGTCGAGCTGCCTCTACGTCATCCTCAGCTCTTCAAGTCCATCGGTATCAAGCCGCCACGTGGTATCCTCATGTACGGCCCTCCCGGTACCGGAAAGACCCTTATGGCGCGTGCTGTCGCGAACGAGACCGGTGCTTTCTTCTTCCTCATCAACGGTCCTGAGATTATGTCCAAGATGGCTGGTGAGTCGGAGTCCAACCTGCGCAAGGCTTTTGAGGAGGCCGAGAAGAACGCTCCAGCCATCATCTTCATCGACGAGATCGATTCGATTGCCCCCAAGCGTGACAAGACCAACGGCGAGGTTGAGCGTCGTGTTGTTTCTCAGCTTCTGACTCTCATGGACGGCATGAAGGCCCGTTCCAACGTGGTCGTCATGGCCGCAACCAACCGTCCTAACACCATCGACCCTGCGCTGCGTCGGTACGGCCGTTTCGATCGTGAGGTCGATATTGGCATTCCCGACCCCACTGGACGTCTTGAGATCCTTCAGATTCACACCAAGAACATGAAGTTGGGTGATGATGTTGATCTTGAGACTATTGCTGCTGAAACCCACGGCTACGTCGGCTCCGACATTGCTTCTCTCTGCTCTGAGGCTGCGATGCAGCAAATCCGTGAAAAGATGGACCTTATTGATCTCGACGAGGATACCATTGATGCTGAGGTTTTGGACTCTTTGGGTGTTACTCAGGAGAACTTCACCTTCGCTCTTGGTGTTTCCAACCCCTCTGCTCTTCGCGAAGTCGCCGTTGTCGAGGTTCCCAACGTCCGCTGGGACGACATTGGTGGCCTCGAGGGTGTCAAGCGCGAACTTATCGAGTCTGTCCAGTACCCCGTCGACCACCCCGAGAAGTTCCTCAAATTTGGTCTGTCACCATCGCGAGGTGTTCTGTTCTACGGTCCTCCTGGTACTGGTAAGACTATGCTCGCCAAGGCTGTCGCCAACGAGTGTGCCGCCAACTTCATTTCTATCAAGGGCCCCGAGCTGCTTTCCATGTGGTTTGGTGAGTCCGAGAGCAATATTCGAGACATCTTCGACAAGGCCCGTGCTGCTGCCCCTTGTGTCGTCTTTCTTGACGAGCTAGATTCCATTGCCAAGTCACGCGGTGGCTCTACTGGTGATGCCGGAGGTGCCTCTGATCGCGTTGTCAACCAGCTGCTCACCGAAATGGATGGCATGACTTCGAAGAAGAACGTCTTTGTCATCGGCGCCACCAATCGTCCCGAACAGCTCGATAATGCTCTGTGCCGTCCCGGCCGTCTCGACACTCTGGTGTACGTTCCTCTACCGGATGAGGCTTCTCGCGCTTCGATTCTCCGCGCCCAGCTTCGCAAGACCCCTATCGCTCCTGATATCGATATCGACTTCATTGCTAGCAAGACTCACGGCTTCTCGGGCGCTGATCTGGGTTTCGTGACTCAGCGCGCCGTCAAGCTTGCCATCAAGCAATCCATTGCTGCCGATATTGACATGCAGAAGGAGCGCGAAGCCCGTGGCGAGGATGCTATGGACGCGGATGATGTTGAGGATCCCGTCCCCGTGCTCACCAAGGCCCACTTCGAGGAGGCCATGTCTGCTGCGCGCCGCTCGGTCAGCGACGTCGAGATCCGCCGCTACGAGGCGTTTGCACAGGCTATGAAGCAGTCCGGTGGCAGTGCCTTCTTCAAGTTCCCTTCGGCTACTGAAGCTGCTGAGGGCGATAACACCAACGGCTTCGGCGATGCCGGCAACGATGATAGCTTGTACGACTAAATTCCCCGAGGTTGGACATGTTGTCTACGGCTCGCTAGACACAAGCACGGCATGGACGAACGGTGTATGGCGTTAGTCCCCACACAGCTGGCGAGATTTTACGAACGGAATTTGGCATGGTGGGTGAGTTAGTTCATGGATACGATGGACGTAGGTGAATAGCACCGCTCGACAGGTCCACGATGTCTTAGGACGCAGAATGCATCCCAATCAAATAGATTTGCATCCCGAACGGTTCTCCCTGATGTTCTCGAACAATAGAATCGCACATTTAGACACTTGTGCCGGGCACCGAAGTGCCAAGCCGCCTCTTGTCAGCGTGCAGATCGCCCATCCGGCGCTTCCCTTAATTTCCGGGCTCTTTCAGGCGTCAGAGCCTTCATCTTCCTATCTCATAAACTCCTCACTTGCACCTTTTCTTGCCAGCGCAAGCCTTCTATTCAGACACCAGCAGTCGCAGTCTTTTATTGGGGCCAAGATGGGTCTCTCATCTCGCCTCCTGCGCCTTCCACGCCCACAAGTGAGTCTTTCCGGTCCATCCCGCATGACGTTCTCCGCCCAATGCCACCTACCTGCGCACGCGACAGCCACGGCGACAGCATCACTGACTGAATATAGAAATTCCTCGGCGCCATGTCCCTCTCCACCGGCGCCACACTCATCACCCTCTCGTTACTTATGAACAAACTTTCCGGGCTGTACGGCATTCTAGCCCTGCTCACCGGCTACGACCTCTCGGGCTTGCAGCTCTCGATGTACATCTACAGCATCGCCGCCCTCGCGCTGACGGTCTACCTTGCGCCACACATTCGAAGTCAGACGCCGCTGCATTGTCTCGCCCTCGCCTGGTTCTACGTGCTGGACAGCGTCATCAATGCGGCGTACACAGGCGTCTTTGCGATGACGTGGTTCTTGGTGCTGATGCAGCATAATGCGGGAGTGGGCGAGGGCGATAAGAAGGGCCCCGGTGCCAGCACGATCGATCATACGAGCGGATTCACGAATCCAGAGGTCAATGCCTCCAGCGTGGAGGTGGTGGCGAATGCTGGGGAGGCTGAGGATACTGTACATGCAGTAGCTAGTGACGCACCGGCTGGCGTCGGAGGCTCTGGACACACAGTAGCTGGCGCCGTATTAAGTACGGAGAGCATGAACAGCATTGGCATAATCGTGGCGCTTTGGACCGTGCGGCTATATTTCTGTGTGATCATGCTGGGTTGGGCCCGAGTGGTTGTCAGGCAACACATCGCCGCCCAGGGTTCCAAGCAGATGGATTATGCGGCCGCCAGCAAGGACGAGACTATGAGTGCAAACCCCTTTGACGAGTCCAAGCCTGAGGGTCAAGGGTATGGAGGCAAAATTGGCAGGTTCTTGATCGCCATTGGCAGGAGTTACTGGTTGGGCAAGGATGAGGATGATAGCTGGATGTACGGCATGACGAAGTTCCGGAAGAGTACGGAGGTGGGCACCATGCTCAAAGATATACAGCCTGGCCCGACCGAGAGGGAGCGGAGACGAAGGAGCGGTACGGGCCCGCCGCTGCCCTTACCAGAGGCAACGGGAGATGGAAAGACTCTGCAATTGCCTGTTAGCAGCACATGAGACTGCACGTTGCAGGAGTGGAGAGGTCGCGAGCTATTCGAACAATGTGGACGAGAAGAGAACTGATCTCGCAGGAAGGATGTACCACTAATCACGACGACGACATGCGGACATCAACCGTTTTTAGCCCCATTAGAAGGCGTTTTGGAAAGAGTGGCTGGCACAAGGACTAGGAATCTTTAGTACCTCACATTCAGTCGACTATAGACTTAAGTATCAGTCCAAGTACAGTCAACAAGTGAACCTGATCTGAAAAGACGTATACCCAACCTGATGTTCCTTCGTAAGCGGCATTGAAGAAAAGCCTACTGTGGTACCTAGCAAGCACGTGCCAAGCCACCCCACGCAACTTCTCGTTGCCTCGCCGCCTTTTTCTTTCAATGCAGGCCTTCCCACCCCCCCTCCCCACCACTTACGCCTGGCCCGCAGACTTGCCACAGCCAAAAGATACACAACACTATGCCCTCCGACTCTACGACCGTCGCTGTCTCCGCCCCCGGCAAAGTCCTCTTCGCGGGCGGCTTCCTGGTCCTCGACCGGCAGCACACTGGCCTGGTGTTCGGACTCAACGCGCGCATCCACGTGCTCATTGGTCCCTGGCAGACGAAACCTCAGTATCTCCAGCAGCAGGCAGACCGCGCTCTGGTGTTGGTGCAGTCGCCGCAGTTTCGTGACGCGAGCTGGCTGTACGCAATTTCGCCTGGTCAGGTGGACGGAGGGGCGGTGGAGGTTACACAGCTACTGGACCAGGAGGGCTACACGCGGACGCCGAATAAGTTTGTGGAGACGACGTTGAGGTATGCCTTGACGTATCTGAGTCACGTGGGTGCAGGGGCGGTGTTTCAGAGGGATGTGAAAGTTACGATACTGGCAGACAACGACTACTATTCCGCGCCAGGAACGGCGATGACGGACTCGTCTACCTTTACGGATTTTGGGGTTCGGCTAAGCGAGGCGCACAAGACAGGCCTGGGGAGCTCAGCGGCTTTAACGACGGCATTGGTAGGGGCGCTGCTGGAGACTTATGCGGGGAATGCTACGAGGGAAAGGAAGGAGGTTGTACACAATCTTGCCCAGGCGGCGCATTGTGCGGCGCAAGGAAAAGTAGGGAGTGGGTTCGATGTGGCAGCGGCAGTGTATGGGAGCTGCCTCTATCGTCGTTTTACCCCGATCGTGTTAGAGTCGCTGGGCGAGCCCAACTCGACTGGCTTTGGAGAGCGGTTACATCGGTGTGTGGAGAACCTGGCGGAGGAGAAGTGGGACGTCGAGATCCTCGCGGACAGAGTGAAGGTGCCGGAAGGATTACTGCTTCTTCTGTGCGACGTGGACTGTGGAAGCGAGACTCCAGGAATGGTGCGAAAGATGTTGGCATGGCGAAAAGAGAAGCCAGAGGAAGCAGGAGTGCTGTGGGGGAGTTTGCAGTTGGGCCAGGAGGAGCTGTGCGAGGAGTTGGGAAGGCTGAGTATCTTACCAGTCGAGGCTGCGGGGAAGGAAAGCTTCGCGAAGCTGAGGGATACGATCGAGACGACTCGGAGCCTCGTAAGAGAGATGAGTGGGAAGAGCGGAGTGCCCGTGGAACCAGAGGTCATCACGGAACTCTTGGACCATTGCAGCGGCGTGGAGGGTGTCGTGGGTGGAGTGGCACCCGGAGCGGGAGGTTATGATGCTGTCGCACTGCTTGTACGGAACGACACGGATGTTGTTACGGACTTACAGAAAAGGTTGCAAGGCTGGAAGAGCAAGAGGGGTGGCGCAGAGATTGGGAATGTGAGGTTGCTTGGGGTCAAGCAGGAGCGGGAAGGCGTACGGCGGGAGGACGCACAGCGGCGCAGGTACCAGGCCTGGATTCAATGCTGAATTTCAGGCCATGGACGTCGTCGGCGTCAGCTTTGAAGTCATCGAGCATCGAGACCCAGCAACGCCATGATTGCTAAGCTGACCGGCCGCGTAAGGAAGCCACCATAGAGCCTTGTCTGTTTCCTAAGCAAGCGCATTTCGCAGTATAGCGCCACATCTTTGCAAAGTCATTTACTTGTAGGCCTCCACAGTGCAGCCGAGGGAAGCCGGAGCACATGTCGTGCAGATAGGATATTTTGGTGCCGAAGCGTGCGATATTCTGGGGTCATTGGATCCGAGGTGTGGGTGTGGGTATGGCCAGGAACCAGGAAAGCTACGGCACGCGGAGAAGGTTGCAGTAGCCTCTAGGCGTCCTGGTCCGCTGCCATCTTAGTTAACCTTGCTCGTGGGCATGAGCCCTGGGAGCCAGCCTGCCCCGACGCCAGTGTCGCCCATTCCATCTTTTCCCGTCTCCGTCCTCGTCCCCGTCCCCGTGCCCCGTCTCCATCGTTTGAAACTCTTCGCCACAACCATCTCGCTTCCCATTCATTTGCCTATTTGCCAGCTACATATCTCGCTATCTGTCCCAAGGAGTACACATACCTCTACAAGTGATGGACTGCGACCACCTCGCTTCTGCGCCGTGCCCCGTCTAGTCTAGTCCCACACCACTCTCGTCCAACTTCCCCCTCCAGCAGTTCCCACTTATCTTGGACTGCACGACCTCCAACCTCTCCAGCTGTTCCTCGGCCCAAGATCCGACGACATACCACTCTTTGTGTTGTTCAGTCGTTCGCTTCAAATCATCTTTCTCGCTGAACGCGGTTGACCATTTCCGTCATTCCCAGCTATCTGCTACCTTTCCGTCATGTCGGACCAACCAGCATCCAGCGCAGCCGAACAGAAGTCCGCCCCTCAAGACGTTCCTCAGCCCGGTCGAACGCATGATGAAGTACCTACCTCTACACCAGTCGAGATGACCGATCTCGAAGACAAGAAATCAGCACCTGCAGACAGGCCGACGTCTGCCTCGTCATCACACCGCGCTGGTCCCACGCGCACCGATACTGCTACTGCTATTGATCAAGCTACACACCCGCCTCCGCCTCCTCCAGCAACAATACCCGAGACCGCTCCGGCACAGATGTCTCGCACTTTTTCGACTGCTATAGGCCCATCATCGGACTCACCAGTGGTGCCCGCTAAAGATACTGAAGAGACCGGTCCGAATCTGTTGATCACACTATTGCTTACATCGGGAGCGAGACATCCGTTCAGGCTGAATGCTAAGTACCTAGCGAAACGCAATGTCGAGGTTCCGGGGGGTGACCCTTTCAATCTGAGTGTTTACGGCTTGAAGGAATTAATTCTCAGAGAATGGCGCGAGGAGTGGGAAGCGAAGCCAGCCAGCCCTAGCAGCATTCGGCTAATCAGCTTTGGAAAATTGTTGGACGATAAGGCGCCCTTGAAAGGTAATGATTTTTACTCTTGCGGTTTATTATGCCAATGCTAACACACCCGTCAGACTCGAGACTCAATGCAGATTCGCCAAATGTGCTGCACATGACGATCAAGCCGCAGGATTTTGTGGAAGATGAAGACGCAAAGGGAGGTAAGAGCTCCATGTCTGCTGCGCGAGACGAGCAAGGCCGCAGCCCAGGTTGTCGGTGCAACGTTATGTGAGGCTGTACCTCCACAACCAACATTTCGAGCGCCGAACATCCGGCTGCATCTTGGCAGACGTCGATAATGTGCGGGACGCTCTGCGTCAGCAATTGATCGACTTATTCGTGTTCATCGAGGATGAACCGCCGAACGGATCTTTTCATGTGGTCCAACGAAGCAGTTCCCGAGCTGCAGCTGTCCCTGATATAAGCCTGGCGTGGATGGGACCAGCACACCATTCATCATACATGACGAGACGGGAAAAGATTGCAGTGATTTCTTGTGTTCTATTGTGCGCACATCGGTTGTAGACTATTGCTGTTAGCTTTTCGATGGAGCAGTGGGTGTATGGCGGCATCAAGGAGCAACCAACGGCTGGAAATCAGTGGCGTACATATTACAGACAAATCGATTTAGCGAGGATGGAACGAAAGACCAAAATCATCATAAGAGAATCTACGTTCCCATGTTCGCAAAGCAAATATGCCATGTCTGTGGCTGGAACTCGGACGTGATCTGACCCGGATTGATCTAAGCAAGCATCTTCTCGCCATTCGCCGCCTGCCTGTATCTCACCATGAATCGTTCTGTCGATGCTTATGTTCGCCAGCCTGACAAGAAACCCATGTTTCTATCTTCCTCGGGCTGAAAGTCACATATGGCTCCGTGTCTCGTGACTCTGCCACATTGCTAGCTACCAACCTTAGGCGGAATCCTTGTAGCAGGCACGCCCTTTGCAATGGCCTTTCCCCACAGTTGCAGCTCGCTCAGATCTTCAGCTTCGCCTCCATCTCCTCCAGCCAGCCAATCTGGCCATGCCGTCCCTCACCGCCCTCAGCCAACTTCACACCATCCTGACCCGCATACACATCCTCCCACTCGACCGTGCTGTCCCGGCCGGTCAGGATCTCCTCATGCACACCCGAAGCTCTTCCCAACACCGCAGGCCGGAAGTCGTCGGCCTCGCGCACCATCTTGAGTTCCATGCCGCGGCGCAGCGGCTCCGCGATGCCGAATTGTCGCCGCAGCAGCTGCGCCTGGAGCTGCTGTTGCGTGGCATGCCAGCTCGAGAGGCGGGCTTCGAGCGGGTGCGTGCTGGATGATTGGCCGAGGGTGGTGCTTGTGGGTGGGGAGAGGGAGGCCCGGAGGGTGTCGTGCAGGCCCGGAGCGGAGGGGGCGCCGGCCGATGTGGATGTGGTTTTCGTTTGCGCGGTGGTGTTGTTGGTGCTGGAGGCGTGGCTGGGGAGGGGAACTATGCGGAGGGACTGAGTATTGGTGTTAGCTGAGGCAAGGTGTGTTTGGGGTCGAGAGGGAGGCGAACCATGATGGCGGTGGTGAGAAGACGCCGAGCAATGTACTTGAGGTGGATGGTCTTCGGGACTGACTGGGCGCCCTTGAGGTTTGGGAAAGAAACAGGCGGTCGGGAGAATGGCAATAGTTTCGCTTCCAAGGGGTATCTGCAGCGATGGTACAGGATGCGGCGATGGACGTTCAATGAAAGATCATTCATAGGTAGAGGTAGGCACAAGCTGCAGTCGCGTCCTCCACGCGAGGCTGCCGGAGCCTATATCCGGGTCTTGGCATTTACGGTCTTGGATCAGACATCAGTACTAAGTACTGCCATTGGGATGATGCCTCAAGCTTCACTTACTGCAGAGACTACCAGATTCACTTGCGGCTTGCGCTGAGTTTTGAGTCAAACTCGACAGGTACGGGAAGTTACTTGTGTATGACCTAATCGGCGTATAGCATTTTCCAAAATACACAACAACTAGCACCCAAAGTATCTTTCTTCGATCCATCGCTTCTCGTAATCGTCAACCAGGTTTGCTGTTACAACCTGTATCTGCGGGAAAACGCTTAGCAGCCGCTTAAGCCCTCGCTTGCCCGCCAGACACGTCACAAAGACAATCTTTCCTTCCGCCACGCCGTGGTCGACCAGGATCTTGACTGCCATCAAAGCAGCGCCGCCACTAGACATCTGAGAGTCCATCAGGATGACAGTCTTGTGTTGGGCAATGTCGGGAAAGAGCTTAAGGTAGTGCAGCTCTGGCTCAGCGGTCCGCAGATTGGACTGAATAAGCATTCGGCCGGTCAGACAGTCTGGTATCGTGCGTTTAAGTCCTGTCTCGAGGCAGCTACCCCCGCGAAGGATGGCAACAGCTGAAATTATACCAGCGGATCTGACGCCAGTGTAGTGTGTCTGGGCAGGCGTTGTGACCTTGGCGGGCAGGTATTCGTGAAAGTCGAGGGCTTTCTCGATCAAGATTGCAGCGAGACGGTTGAAATAGAAGACGAAATCTTCTTGGGAAGTGGCTAGGTTGCGTAAGATGGTGCCAATACCGCGTATCTGTGGCTTGTGCTCGAGCAGCGTAAAATTCTCCCCGAGCTCGGTGTCTTCTACTCCTTGTCCCAAGCGCTCCAGTTCGGCGTTGTGTCGTATGGACTTGTCCTTCAGCATTTGTCGTAGTTGATTGGTTATCATGGCGATGGCCATTTTGTTTTGCATGCCTCGCGGCACGATCAAGTCAGCAATTTCTTTCTGAGGTTCGATGTATTTCAAAAACACTGGCTTGACCCAGTCGAACCACTGTTTAATGATGCCCTCGATATCTCTGCCTCGGTCCCGTACGTCCCTCACTAGTCTTCTAGACAAGCAGACATCCAAGTCAGCCTCCACAAAGATCTTCATATCCAACATGGCCAGTATTCGCTGATCGTTCAGAGCCAGATTTCCTTCCAGTATGACAACATGGGGCGAGTATAATGAAACGGTTTCGTCCAGCCGCTGATGCAATGGAAATGAGTATACAGGAATGTCGACCCTCTTACCTTGCTTGAGGTCTTTCAGACATTCATATAGCTTGTCGAAATCTATGGATGCAGGAGAATCCAGATCGTACTCGTTGAGATGAGCCAGCCGATTTTGCTCTTCATTCAGAGACTTGTAAAATGAATCAATAGACATGATGATGACCCATGGTAAGTCCAACGCCTTGACAATCTCAATAGCCAGGGAAGTCTTGCCCGAACCCGAAGAGCCAGCAACGCCAACGATGCTCATGTTCGCCCAGGGCGGCGAGTAGTGTGCCTTTTGAGTAGCTAGGACATCCTTCGACATTGCCGCTTCCTCGGTAGCTCGCTGCAGCGTTGCTGAGGCTCCAGTGTCCATGGTGGTGTGCAAAAGTATATGATCGCGTGCCAGGCTCTGTCGAATGAATGTAAAAGACTGTAATTCCAAGCCTAGGCCTGCTGAGGCTCCATATGCAAAATATGCGCAAAGAGCAAGGACTAGAACCTCAAACCGCGCGACGATGATGTTGAAGAGCGCCCAGATATCTATCCAGAAGCTAGTCTGCTTCTTCCATCAGGTTGTCTGCCTTGCCCAAGGAAGATCCAAGAGATAGCGAGCTATGCAGGTACTTCGTAGATACCTGACTCGATTCGCTGAAGTCCTCAAGTGGGCCTATGCCAAGGCTTCCGTCCTTGCGGCTCTTTTCTGCCTGAGCTTTCCGCAATTGTCGATTCTTGCAGCACTTCACACTTCGACTTCAACCACCTGTATTCCCCAGTCCGATTCTATCATATCTATCTCTACCCCAGGAGGTACCGAAGTCTTTGCAAATGTGGCCACTTACATTATCTCCTACTGCATCATAGCATTGCGCACTTGCCCTTCGCTCCAACCCCGCCCGCAGTCATGGTGAGCATACTCAACCACATCCGCACCTGGTCTCTGACAGATCGACAGGCCATGGCAGCAGCTCATCCCTTTGAGCGAAGGGTCAACGAGACCCATATCTCGAAGTCGTATGTCGACCATTTCCCTTTCTCTCGAGCACAAGGATGCACTTTTGACAAAATGGGAATCTCTCTGAAATTTACTTGACGAGACCAATATTATTTTGCTGTCTGATCAGCATGCTACTCAGCACAATCACCGAGGCTCTTCTCCATGACACAGATGCTGACTGGTAATCTCAGAGATGTCAATAACCTCATCATGGACTATCTGATCAATGAGGGCTACCCTTCGGCGGCTGAAAAGTTTGCGATGGAAGCCAACATTGAGCAACCACCGGACGACAGTAATATTCAGCTCAGGGTGCAGATACGAGATGCCATACATCGAGGAGATCTTCAGCAAGCTATCGAGCTGATCGGCGAAGCCAGCCCTGAGGTATGCTACCATTCTCTTTCGCTTCCCACCTTCCTATGATTAGATCTTGTTTCATGCACCACTCATAGCGCATTGCTGTGCCGAGATGAGAAACAAAACACCTTCAGTCCTCAGTATGATTGGAACATCCCACTTCGCACCTATCTACCAAACATATGGCGAGTCAATTCGCTGACCTGCTCTATAGCTACTTGACCAGGACGCCAACCTTCATTTCTCTCTCCTCCGCTTACAGCTTGTCGAGCTCATTCGCTCATCTTTCAACGCCTCATCATCTAAGACGGACTCAACTGCCGTAGCCAAAGCGATTCAGTTCGCTCAGCAGAACCTGGCCCCCTATGCTACTTTGTCCCCCAGCTTCAAAAATGATCTCGAACGTGCGATGGCTCTTCTCATAGTACCCCGAGAAAGCTGGACTCAATCACAGCAAACGCCTACCGCTTCTACGGCCCAGAATGACTTTGGCGCCCTTTCAGAACTTGTAGACCCCTCATTACGGAAAAAGGTTGCTAAAGACGTGAACGAAGCCATCCTCGCCTCACAAGGCCAGCGGCGAGAAGCCAACATCAGACACCTCGTACGCACCCGCGCATGGGCAGAACAGCTTGCACGCGAGAAAAGGGTCGACCTACCTGACCGCCTCAGTCTCGGCCTTGACGGCAACGAGGCTGGCTCATCCAACGGCCACAACGGCCAAGACACAGAGATGGGTGGCAATGCTGCCGAGAACAGCAGTAGTCAGTCGCGATCAAGACCAACGAGCGGCATCACTGACGCACTCATGACGAGCTACGCCCAGCTCCCCTCCTAGGAGGCTGTTCACCCCCAGCACTGGCGGTGGAGGGGGCCGGATGGACCGGTCGACTCGTGGTCTGACGATGATTGAAATGTTTCCCCTTATTAGCGATGGCGTTAGGACGGTGGACGTTGGCATGTACGAATACGAATTACGAGCGAAACGGAACAACCGCAGTGATGCCAGTACTGGTCGAAGGCTTTGCTATAGTATACCCCACAGTCTAGCTACCCAAATGCTAGGCTTTTCAAACAAAGAACTTGTATCCTCCAGCGCCTACGCTAGATCCGAGTCCAAATCATAAATGCATGCATGACCCCCTCGATTCTCAGGGCAGCCCCTGTTCCTGCCTTTCGTGCAATCCTTGACCATCTCCTTATATCCGTACACGCATCCAATTTCTCTCACACACGCACCTGCATTCCCGCCTTCGACTCACCATCACCAATTCCAAGTCCGACTCGCCGCACTAAACACCGGCGGCTTCCACATCAACTTGCTCGCATCGATGGTCTTCCTGCCACCCTTGGCCTGCTCCTTCTCGCGCTTCTTCTCCTGCCACTCGAGCAACTCGTCGCGCATGACGATGATCCACGCACCCTTGTTATACCTCAGAAGCTTCAACACTTCAAGCTGCTCGTGCACGTCCTTCTCCGTCATGGCTGTCAAGCTCGCGATCTCCGCGATGGACGTGCTGTGCGGGCCAGAGGGGGTGCTAACGCTGAGGCCGAGGCGGGAGGAGAAGGCGTCCTCAGACGCGGGTGTGTGCGTGGCCGAGCCCGGTGGCGGCAGGCGCGAGGGATCGGAGAGGAGCTCAATCAAGGTCTCTTTCCAGAATTGCCGGTAGCCGAGGAGACCCAGATCGGAGAGGGGCTTCTCGGGGGAGCCGAGCTTGCCTTCACGTTTGGAGAGCTCGTAAGAGAATGCGATCAACAGGCGGCCTAGGCCCTGGCGTTGGTATTGCGGGAGAGTCAGGATGCAGGCGACGTTGTAGCCCTCTGCGGACTCTTTCTCTTTGCTGAAGTATCCGATCAGGTGGCAACCAGTCTCGTCGCGGGTGACCATGCAATAGAAGAGGAAAGGGTCGACATCGTAATACAGAGTTTTGTGGTCCAGGAATAGCTTGGACAGAAGACATAGGTTTCGGCACCAGGTTCGTTGGCGACGGCCATCGACTTCGAAGAAAGAAATGTAATCGTCACGGTAGATCTCGTTGCCAGGCGGGTGTCGAAGCTCACACTTGGTCCGATGGCGCTCGAAGGCTTTCTTGCTGGCGAAGTAAGAGAGGCAAAACTCATCAATGTAGACGAGGTCGACATCAGAGAACTCTTGTGGATAGGGTGAGAAATACCAGGGCTCGATAACGTGTTTGCCCATCTGAATCTTTTCCAAGTTACGCACAAGGTGCAGTTGCGCGTGGTTCTGGACCATGCTGCCGCCTGTACGCAGCTTCTCGATTTCTTCTTCGGGTTCGAGGATGGTGGGTACCTTTTCTTCCTTCTTGGTGACATCCACATCGGGCATTTCGACGTCCTGGGAAGCGATGGTGCTCTCCTCTGTGCTCAATTCCGGCAGTGGCGTACCTGCGGCAGGCAAAACTGGATCAGCGTCGGGAGCGAGGCCATCTTCTCGATTCTCCTTCCCACCTGCCTTCGATGGAACGGGAGCTTTTCTGTCGTTACCAGCTTTGGCGCCGAGAAGATCAGGAGTGGCAGAGCCTCCACGAGACTCTGATTGTGGTCGCTCGGCCTTGTCTTTGGTGATGATGGCCTTGGTTGCTGCTTTTGAAGGAGGCGCTTTCGTGGTGACAGTCGTCTTCTTCTTCTCTGGCTTCTCAGGCGCTGGCCATTCAACCTCTTGCTCGAGGTCAATTCGTTCCGCTTTGACCCACTCATCGAGACGCTTGTTGAACTCGACATAGTGCACGTAGAAAGTCAGAGCGCCATTCCTTTGCTTAATGGACAAGATTTCTGCTTTTCGTGGCTCCCCATTCTGTCAAGAGTCAGTCAGTATCGAGACTCCCAAGAACGGGGTGAAAGGCGGGTGAGAACAAGCCATCTCACTCCTGCAAAGCCAGAGACGAATGCGAATAACTCACTTTTTCCACCATCGCTTTTGTACCAATCCTTCACGTTTAATTAGTCGCCGAAAGGCTTTGAAATATTTTTGTAAAATTAACGACTCACCTAAGCGTGTTCAAAGTCGCGAAGCCTTTCTCGACCGGCTCTGGAGTGCCAGTAGCCTCCGCGGCATCGTGTCCTCCGACCATAGTTGTCACTCAGAGGCAAGGAAGCGACTTGATGCAATTTGTGATGAAGCAGCAACGCGATGTGATAATATTGATGAATTGAAGTCGTCGCGATTTAGGTGTCTGAAAGGCTGTTCTGCGGCAAAAATCGTACGTTCTTGGCCTACGGGAAATCAAATTTAGGCGTCAACTTCAGGCGTCGGCGAAATTTCTCGGGGCCCCAACAAAGCACGCCACTGGGCAGCCCGCTCTGGTCTTGCAGACGGTAACAAAGACTCAGCTGATCATGACGCCGACCTCAGTCGACTCTCATTACTATGTACTCGCTTATAAGCGTTGCACGGCGGCTCATTCATGGTGCCGCAGGGTATACAGATCACTAACGAAACCGCTCACACTGTACAGAAGAGAATCCAAACGCCAGCTATTCCATGCTCAGTCTCCCAGCGGCATGCTTTCGACGCTGTCGACTAGCTGCCTCCAATTGCTGGCCTGCAACTCTGCATATTTCACCCTGTCTTGAGCCCACTCTTGATGGAATCGACTGATGGAGTGAATTGTGGTCTGGAAAGTCACGATCTCGTCGCGTACGCACTCTTTGATGAAGACCCCCCGGGCGTGCTGCTGGACGATACTTTCTTTGTCAGATATGATGCTGCTCTCCACCTTCTCGATCTCGCCCGGTTTGATTGTGCCTTGCGGCTTGGCCCTAAGTTGCTGCAATTTCGCCTCCGAGGCTTCAATACGACGCTCGAGCTGGGGAATGTTGTCGCGAGCATACTTGTCGCGACGGTCGAACATGTCTCTCATCGAGACCATGGAATCCCTGATGGTCTTGAGGTCCTCCAGCGTACCCTGCTCCCACGCGTTGCCCTCGTCTTCTAAGAGGGTCTGGGTGGAAGACAGATGCTTGGCCACGGCTCCAATTCCATCGTTCAGGAGCGGTACATCATTTGTGTCAATCGCATATGTGTCCTTACTGCTGTCGGTCAAACTCTGCAAAGCCAAGCTGAATTTCGAGCTGTCTGCTGCGAGTCCCTCGTGTCTCTTGACAAGCCGCTCAAGCAGCACGCAAAGATTGATATAGATTTCAGCTGATCGCTTGACCCCTGCTCGAACTTGCTCAAAAAGCTCTCCCAAGGTTGTCGGTAGGCTGTCCTCAAGGGTTGGAGGAAGCGCCTTGCCGGTAAACTCTTCCTGAACCGAGATTGTGGCTTGCTTGCGCCAGACGGTAAGTTCCTGGTACTGAAGTCAGCGGTCAGTCCACTGCAGACGGAGAGAATGAGACGTCACTTACCGTAGGAACAGTCAGAAACATTACGACAAGTGTCTCTTGACTTAGTACGGGATGCTGAACAAGCTGGTTCGAGAAGCGCACCAAGCCACGGCGTCGCTTTTCAAGGAAGCCTGACACGTCTCCTGCAAGGTGCGTGCCGTTCACTTGACACGCTTAGCATGATATCCTCTGAGTCTGTAGATTTCTTACTCACCTTGAACACGCTTCGGCGGCAGCAGAGGCAACCTCCGGAATGGGTAACGTTTCTGTAGGCAATCAAGCAACCAGACAAAGTCACTGTATCGCCTGACCACGCTACTTCCGCGTCGAATAGCCTTGACCTCATAATTGTGATGCTGAAACAGGAACATGCCTTCCTTCTCAGGTAAGAGGGTTATGGTGACGGACTCGCCTGTGCCTTGAGGAACGAGAACGCTTCCACCAATTGCGGGCTGGGCTCTTTGGCCGGGGTGATTAGAGGAACCATCCTCGCCAGAGTCACCAAAGCCTCCACCCAGAGTAGGCTGCTCCGAGAAGTCGCCAGATGAGCCGTTGTAACTGCCCCAGCCAGCGCCGCCCATTGAGCCGGATTCACGGGCAGTAGGCGGCGAGCCACCAGAGCCGCTGTCTGGCGCGGCGTGAGTGGTGAAGGCGCTCGTTGTGCGCTCAACACCATTCGGTTTGAGATTCTTGTCACCAAGCCCATTGGGCCGTGCCATGGTATGAGCTGCGGTGGACGGCGGGGGCCCTCTGTTGTTAGAAGGGCTTCCCCACGGATCGACTGTCGGATCGCCCCCGAATGAATATTGTCGCGGCTTTGTTTGTTTCGATGGTGATGTCTTCGGCGATTCTGGCTTCGGCTCGTCCTGGGTAGACACCTTCTGTTGCTGTGCCTTGGAATGCAGCTCGTCGATGAAAGCTACCTTAGGCTTTGGTAGTCCTACGTCGGGTCAGTGTCTGATGGCTTTTCATTCTTGGCGACATACTTGTACGTCTATCGTCGACGCTGTCGAGGCTCAACTCTTCACCTTCTTGGGCAAGGCCAATTAGAGCTAGCAGGACATTGAACTCGCTGCGACCTAAAGGCTTGAAGCTTTCTCGTCCACTCGGGGCAAGGAAGCCGAGTATGCGCGTCCGATCGTCGCTGTCCAGCTTGCTTGACTTCAGGATGCTGTCAACAGTGATATAGTCGACGGCTCCGCTTCCCACGTGCTCAACCACGACATCGAAGGCATCAATATAGCTCTCGGGAACGTCGGTTGCGGGTAACAGGTTCTTCAGCAAGTTTTGACGGGCAGCTTTTTTCGGCGTTGGCATAGACCAGGGAGACCCGTTGGCATCGTCATCGAAGAGCGAAGTGGAAGAAGCAGCCGCAGGTTCGTTGCCGAACAGGGACTTGGAAATGGCGGGCGTCGACTCGGTGGGAGAGGGTTCGCCGAACAAGGACATTATCAAGGACGGCAATTCAGACTGTATTATTCAAAGGTGAAATAGAATATCGCAGACCCCGGTCGAGCGCGCCTGCGTGCGGATGGGAAAGCTACCGCTGACGATGATGCTTCACGTGGGATTCGCGATAGTGCTCTGGATCGACGCTCCGCCTCAACTTGTAATACGAGCACTTCTGGGTCTGTACGGTAATCTTACGATATGTATTTTTCAATGTGCACTTCCCATGAACACAACTATTTTTCCGACATCTCCCCCAATCATATGAGGTGACACATCCCTCTACAAGGCCACTTTTCCATACACATTCTCTCTGCCATCATCCATCTGCTGGTGGCATAGATGTTGCGAGACGACAGACTCAACGCCCGGCTGAGGCTCAAGGACAGTATCTATTTCGTGCCCTCGTTCATTTGGGGGTCTACTAAACCTACACCTTGATCTGAAAGTCCTTATAACTCCACTTCTCGGTAACCTTGACCTTCCTCTTCTTGGGCTGTAAGATAGGTTTCCTGCTCTCCAGCTTGCCGTTGACAAGCAGGTTGCGGAAGCGGTCAGTCATCAAGTTGCCTTCGGGCTTCAACCGCCGGAGCGATTCTTGTAGCTCATCCGGCAGCACGACTTCCAGGTGCTTCTCTGGTATCGCTCGATTGCCCAATTTGCGCCGCCTCAGCTGAGTGTCGTCGACATCGGGTTCCGCCTCATCGCTCCCAGAGCCTGGCTTGGCCAGCTCTTTGTTTTGCTCAGCTTTAATCATAGCCATGATTGCCTCTTCGGTTTGCTTCTGCTTCCTTCCCATCGCCGCCTCGTGCTTGGCCAGGCGCTCATTCTCCTTCCGACGCTTGATCTTATTGCGTTGTGATTGAGTCTTGCGCTCCGGTCGCTTCTTTTTGAGTGTCGCTTCGTCGTTTTCGGTCTCAAATCCTTCCCATACACTCTCGTAGTCCGCCTCAGCTTCCCTCTCAGCCTCCAAGGCGCTGGCCGCGACCCGGGCTTCTCGCTCTGCTTCGATTTTGGTCTGCTCTAGTCTTTTCTTCTCGGCCTCGACTTCCCTGTCGCCCTCCCGGTTGAGCAGATCATCCCAAGCTTCGAATGTCGGATTGTAGCTTGTTCCAGCATCCGGGTTCTGTACAGCACGGACAGGCCTACCGCTCGTTGTCATAGGCTGTGGGGCACGGCGTATAGTATCTGGAGCAACCTTGGCTCGTACCTTGGGAATATAGTCGTCCTCCACTGCCTTGCTTGGCTCTTCAGGGGCAGCAGACCACAGGTCAAACGCTGCATCTTCTTCCAGGCGCTCTGCCTGAAGATGTGACTGTGACGCGAGGTCTTTCTTGAGCAGCTGCACTTCTTTCTTGCTCACCCAGTCCTTCCTCTGGCGTTTGGCAGCAGGCTCGAGGATGCCATCAGTGACGCGTGCAGGCCGCTTGCGCCCGTCCACGGGAGGGACCGCAGAGCGCTGGGCCAGGATTTCGTCGACCTTCAACGGCTTGTGTAGCTGGTGTTTTTTCTTGATGTCTTCGGAGCCCGCGGTGTCTACCACGAACAGCTCATCAGAGCGTTTCTCCGATACTGGTCCGCCTTGTCTGATTTCTTCTCGCAACGACTCCAGGCCTTGCTGAACTTCGGTAATGTCAACATTTTTGCGCCACGCCTTTTTGCCCTTCCTTGATGGCTGCTTAGGTTGCTGTGGTTGACCAATCGATGACGGCATGGTCATATACAGTAGGACGGCAAAAGTCGAAGACAGGCGAGTGTTGCGTAGAGTTGTAGAGGATGTGGTAAAGTTGACCGGCTGCACATGAAAGTTCACAAAATTTCAGCCAAGGACTGGGGCGAATCGGCGGGCCCCGCACGGCGGAATGGGCATCATCCAACGCGGGTTGGACATGTTTGGATGTTACATCACCCCCCAAGACCAGGTTGCCTTGCTTCCGAAGTACAGTACAACGGGCGTAACACTTTCGAGGCCTGATGTCGCGCCCAGAGCTTTTCTCTCCGAAAGTCCAGTCAACTCCAAGCCCAACGTTTCCACCATACTATCTTTGTGCTCGTACAGACTTGATCGTCGCCTGGAAAATGCTTCGCTGCCAACGGCCCACTGAACTAGTCAACGACCTGGCTACTAAGGCGTCTCGCTTGAGCGCCTCAGCTGAATAAAGATGGCTTTGCTGCCCGCGGTCATCAGGAAGTTGAAACACGGTCTTTGGTAGTGGGTTTCTGATATTGGGTTGCAATGACTCAATCAGCATTTCAGTAAGGCTACTGTTTCGTGACCATATCGGCCATCCTGCTGGCCGAAGCCATTGTTGCAGCATGTTAGATCCATCCAAGCGCAAGAAAGCCTTTTCGCCCAAGGTTCGCACAGGATGCGACGTCTGCAAAAAGCGGAGGATAAAGTGTGATGAAGCCAAACCGAGATGTAGGTTGCTTGGACAGCACCGATGCACTAATTGACGAGATGGCACAGGTTTCCGGTGCAAACGAAGAGGTCTTCAATGTCACTACAGTGCTCCGAAGGTGTGGATCTTCGAGGCTCATTCGAGCACCCAAGAACTTGGTGCCGTCGGACCTTCAGCCAGCTTTCAGGTGCTGGCACCCGTTTTCGATGACACTACACATGCAGAGGAGCGACAGGCATTACAATTCTTCGTGTCCAGCATCGCACCGTGGATGGCGGACCATGGTGCACCAAACGCGCGTGGTTTTTGGGTTGCTACGGTGCCAAAGATGTACCACGCGGTTCCCGCCACGAGGCATCTGGTCACGGCACTTGGTTTGCTGGAAATGCGAATTGCGAATACTGGCAGCGACGTGCTGATCCAGCGCAGCATGAAGATCACCCAGCACTATACCAAAGCACTACACGAGATGGCTTCGCCGGCAGCGAACCGTGATGATATGGCTGTTGGACCAATACTTGCTTGGCTGCTAGAGGTTTTCATGAACAATGGCCCGAGCGCCGCCATACACGCACACGCCGCCAGGAAGCTGGCCCCTGAGATGCGGAACGGTAGGGGTGGGAGTGGTGTCCCTCAGTGTGAGCTCGACGCCGTGATCTTCAACATGCTCCGATCCCGCGCTCTACGCGGAAGATGCGACCTCCAGCCCTGTCAGGACACGTATGTGGCCGAAGCTGTCACCTGGCGCAACAAACCCATCGAAAAGAAGTCGACGGTCGAGATTCGGCGAGCATTCGAGGATTACTTTGAGAAGTTCTCTCCTCAAACCATGACATCAGATGATGTTGTGGCCGCGGAAGAGTTCATAACTAGATGCGAATCAGACATCCTGGCCAACGCCTACCTTTCAGACGAGGCCTCGGTTACATTCAGTGCGCTGCACTTCTTGTGCATGCTGTCAATGTTCGTTCTGCCTCAAGACATTGTCAAGTACTTCCCTGGTACTGCCAGTGTCGCGTGTGGCTTGGATTTTGTGCTGGAGAGTTGTGAGAATATGCTCGAGTTACGTCTGCCCAGGCAATCCGACCAGGAGTCGTTACAGGAGATAGTAGGGTTGAATATCCATGTGCTCGGCCTCTTTGCTCCAAAGGGGTGGCAGAGGCGCAGAAGCGATAGACTGATACGAGTGGCTTGCATGAGTCGCAAGTCTCTGAAGTCGATTCGCGAAACGCGTTAGACCGAGCAATTCGACAGCTTCCCGTTAGTATCGGTATGATAGCAGTCGCTAGTCACGCATATGACATATAGCATTTCGAACACTCAGGTACGATCAACACGATTATTGGGAAACACTGTTACGAGACAGCAGCCGTGACATCCCTCGGACTTTGAAGGAACATTCGCAACCACTTGGGGGGAGTGAGCAAGGAACGGCTCATAGTCAGTACGGGTCGGTATCCAGTCATCATCCTCACCACCGGGCTGATGGAACTGTGTTGAGCCCGTGCTACCAGTTGTTTCCAGCAACTACCTTGGACCTTGTTGGTGCCAGTCCAGGACTGAAAACTGGAGGATGGCCTGGGTGAAGCGCAGACGAGGCTCAAGCTAGACCCGAACTGGTCCGCCAGATCTTGGCACAGATTCCGCCCGCCTGCAAACTTCTCCGCATCGGAATTCTTTGTATGTTAGCTGCGTATACTTTTCTGGATCTCGTGCCACGCGTCCGTCAGGATGCCGGTTGTTAAGGGTGGTGTCTGGACCAACATTGAGGACGAGATCCTCAAGGCATCCGTCTCGAAATATGGTCTCAACCAGTGGCAGCGCGTCTCGTCTCTCCTCGCCCGTAAGACCGCGAAGCAGTGCAAGGCGCGGTGGACAGAATGGCTGGACCCGGGCATCCGCAAGGTGGAGTGGTCGAAGGAGGAAGATGAGAAGCTATTGCATCTGGCTAAGCTGATGCCCACACAATGGCGAACAATCGCACCCATCGTTGGCCGAACCGCGACACAGTGCCTAGAGCGTTATCAGCGGTTACTTGACGAAGCTGAGGCACGCGAGGACGACGAACTTGGCCTTGGTGGTCCGGAAGGAGGAGAGACCGCGGCGCCAACGGGTGACGATGTGCGCAAGTTGCGACCGGGCGAGACCGACCCAGATCCCGAGTCAAAACCCGCGAGACCAGACACTGTCGATCTTGACGAAGATGAGAAGGAAATGCTGAGCGAGGCTCGAGCTCGATTGGCCAATACACAGGGCAAGAAGGCAAAGCGAAAAGCTCGAGAACGCCAGCTAGAAGAGTCCAGGCGACTAGCGGTGTTGCAGAAGCGACGAGAACTGAAGAATGCCGGCATCAACATCAAGATCACCAATCGCAAAAAGGGACAGATGGACTACAATGCTGATGTTCCATTCGAAAAGGCTCCAGCTGCTGGTTTCTACGATACAATTGACGAGAAGACGACCAACGAGCGGGAACGAGAATCCTTCGATCCAAGGAAACAACAGCTCGCGCGTAAGCGGCAAGGCGACCAGGATGAAGAAAAGGACCCCAAACGCCAGAAGCAGGAAAAGGACAAAACTGCCGCAGCCGCGGCCGCTCGAGCCGGTCAGATGCAGAAGATGCGTGAAGCTGAGCAACAAAGTCGACGAAGAGGTCTCAACCTACCGGCCCCTCAGGTCAGCGATGCTGAGCTTGAAGACATCGTCAAGATGGGCTTAGCTGGTGATCGAGCTGTCAAAGCGTCAGGCGAGGATGAGACCGACACTCAGCGTCTCGTATCTGGCTACGCGAACATGGTCGGCCAAACACCGATCAGGACGCCGCGGGCCCCTGCCCAGGAGGACCATATCGCCAATGAAATTCGTAACATCCGTGCCCTAACAGATACGCAATCATCACTTCTCGGCGGTGAGAACACTCCTCTTCATGAAGGGGCTGCCTCGACCGGTTTCGATGGCATCGCTCCACGAAGAAACGACATGGTGACCCCTAATCCTATGGCGACTCCACGACAGCCTAATGGTGCAAATCGCGTGGGAGCCACCCCTCTCCGGACCCCTCGCGACAGTTACACTCTCAACGCTGCGGACCAGCAGCAACTCGTCTCACAAACGCCGGCCGAGATTCGACACGCGGAACAAGTCACCAAAGCCTCACTACGTGCAAAACTAGCCTCTCTCCCAAAACCAAAAGCCACATCCTGGGAGCTCGAAGAACTCCCAACCGAAAACGCCGAAGTCACTGCGCCATCCATCTCCCAGGAAGATCAGGAAGAGATCGACCGGCGCGCGCAACAAGCCCGCGAAGCCGCGGCCCTGGCCGAATTCAAGCGCCAGAGCACCGTCTATCAGCGGTCGCTACCACGCCCCAAAACTATCAATTACACCGCCCTCGCCCAAGACGCCGCCTCAAACACCGACCCAATCCGTGCTCTCATCGCCTCCGAGACCGCCCTTCTCATGGCTCACGACGCCCGCAAATTCCCTCTACCAAACTCCTCCGTCTCCGGCAAACCGCCAACACTCGCCCCTCTCCCAGACGACCTCCACGCCGCCGCCCGTGCAGAGCTCGCCCGCGACCTCAGCCCCTCCGACCAAGAAGCGTACCACGCCGCGGTAACCTCCCACTACGCCGACCTCGACGCCGCAAACCCCCTACCGCACACCATCCCACCATCGGCGCCCGCCTCCGCCTACGCGCGCCCCTTCGCGAGCGCGACGGCGGCGCTGCACGCGCTGGCGGAGCAGGACGCCAAAACCGAGGCGCTGCTCAAGAAGCTGCACGGCGGGTACGCGGCGCGGCAGAGGGCGCTGAGGAAGAAGATCGAGGAGCGCTACGAGGAGGTCGAGAAAACGAGGGTGGAATTGGAGTGTTTCACGAACTTGCGCATTGGTGAGGAGGCGGCGTTGACCAGGCGGCTGGAGGGTCTGAGGGAGGAGGTGGCGGCTGTGAGTAGGCGGGAGAGGGAGGCTCAGGAGGAGTATAGGAAGGTCAAAGAGGGTGAGGTCAACGGCTTGTAGGACTTCAATGCTATATATGTAAGCAGTGATGAGGCAATGGCACGGAGGTTCGGGATATCGATTTGGGGAGGGAGAGAGGTGAAATACGAGACATAGAGCTTGATGAGCTGTATTGATTGGTTTCTGGCAGTATTGGTGGCTAAGTAATGCTCACCATTGCCCTAACAATACTCAACGTCCACACCTGCTTCGTTCCATCAGTCGCTGCTAGGCCTCCTCGGACCGCTCACCACAGTCTCCCGGACGAGTGAACACGGTATTCCAAACATATCTCGTCAGACCAGAACATCCACGACCGGGACACGTAGCGGCACCACCTCAAGGACTGTAATCCTCAGAAATGCACACGTACTTCTAGACGGTCATAGACATCAGGATCCCGCCCGCAAGGGAGGGCAATGCCAGTCCCATAAGCACGGCCGCATACTGAGACTGGCTGAGAGCTTTTCTGGGCACGCAAATGCCGAGGCCGAGAAGTAGTCCAAGAGCGTAGGTCAACGCTTCAACAAAAATTTGCGAGCACAACACCCGCGACGTTGCCACAAGAGCGGTGGAACCAGTGGTAGAAAAGCCACATGATGGCCCAGCCATTCCAGGCGCTGAAGAGCAGGGCCACGAGAGCCCTCAATGAGAGCTCTAAACAGCTTGGTCTTGTCGGTTTTGGCTTTTGTGACAACTTGTGCGAGCTTCCATGGTTGCTGAGACTCGGGCTTCCATTATACGAGGTGAGACGGGCAGCAGCAAGTGCGTTGCTTAACGGATCATCCTGCTTTAAGATGTACGTGCCGGCAAGCTTGATCACGGATTCTGAGGCACCCAGCCGTGTCAAGATTTTGGTGCTGTTCCGGATTCGTTAGCAAGTCAGATCATGAGAGCTGTAAATATTCAGACGTACCTGTCGATTCGTCCACCTTCCGCAATGTCATGAGGTGTACAGTTCTGGAGGCATATGATTGTCACCAACTCCTTGGACACCTCATTTTCGTCCAAAGCAGCGTCGGAGAACCCAGGACTATTGAAGGGATTACTTCGAGTGGTCGAGCCCAATTCGATATCCGGGTTGTAGGGAGGCAAGTAGTTCTGTGCCATCTCGCACAGGCTGATGGAAAACCCCCGATGAAGGATCTGGAAGCGTGCTGGACACGAGTCGAAGGCGTGTTGGGTACGACTGAGGGTCTGAACGCCACGGTGACGGTTTCGATAAATCTGCAGCCGAATTGATACTCGGTAACGAGTGTTGTATTGGTGGAAAGATCAGAAGACTGGAAGAGCAGCGTATGGGTATGAGCTGCTTCCGCTCCTGCCACTCAGCCTTAAACAGGTGCCTTCCGACCTGCTTCAAGATTCACAGAAGTAGGCCTCTTGGGAAAGTACGGCCTCGACCGGCTGCATCACCTCTTGTTGGAGTCCGTCGTCGCTGCCACTTGCTCTGGTGCGCTCGGGCCCTCGAATCCTAACATGCGCCCCACCCAGCCCTTTGGTTTCGGTACTGGACATTCTCTTGCCTGTTGCTCGAGCTGTCTTGCCTCTTCCTGGAGCATTCTCAGAATTGCGGCTTCTTTTTGGATTACCGCTTCGCGAGAACTCCCTGACTTTTCCGCGCGCGCTGGTTTCGACGGTTCCTCAACATCCGGCTGAAGCTTTCCATCAGCATCTAGATATTGTCGTCGCGGTCGCGGGCACGGGAAGACATGTGGGATGCCGACCACCACAAACGATGCCAGGAGAGTGCCAGCAAATAGGGTCGAGGTCGCAGTAGAGCGCGGGTGCAGGTGAGGAGGCATGCTGAAGGCCAGAACGTGCCTATCTCGAGTCTTTGTCGGCTTTCCTGCACCGTCGGGATTGCGGCGAAGCTCAGCCTGCTCGTATATAGCTGTGGGAAATTTGGGGAATGAATGAAGCTCAAAGTCACCTGAGTTCGCGGGTCAATGGCATTGTTGGACACTGTGCTTCGCCCTAGCGCGATCAGATATCGCCGTACCAGACGTCAGGTCGAGCAGGTCCAATTCGCCGCACTGCTTCGAGGACTGCAACAGCACTTTACATTCAGCAGAGCATACTCCCAGACTGCAAAGAATACGGCTTGCCCGGCATATGCGACTCCTTGTACCCGGCGAACTCAAAGGTTGTGAGCGAAGACGTTGATCCCCCACCGCCCACGAGATCAGTTTTGACCCTCCGGCAATATTCGCACGCTGTACAAAGGCTGGGTGCCATGCGGCGGTGCTAGGAAGATACACACAGTATGAGCGATCTAGACAGGTACGTCAATACTGCAAGTCTGGCGTCTCGCATAGACTGACCATCTGCAGGGCCATCGCCCAACTGCGCGCATGCCGACCAATACCAGAACCCCAAGTCCGCGAGCTCTGCTACAAGGCACGTGAGCTCCTGATAGAAGAAGGCAACGTTGTCACAGTCGATGCACCTGTAACGATATGCGGCGACATCCATGGCCAGTTTCATGACTTGATGGAACTCTTCCGCGTTGGCGGCGATGTACCCGACACTAATTACCTCTTCATGGGCGACTTCGTTGACCGGGGGTTCTACTCGCTCGAGTCTTTCCTCTTGCTCCTCTGCCTCAAAGTCCGCTACCCCGACCGCATCACCCTTATCCGCGGCAACCACGAGTCCCGCCAGATCACAACCGTTTATGGCTTCTACGACGAGTGCATTCGCAAATACGGCTCTGCTAACGTGTGGCGCTACTGCTGCGAAGTCTTCGACTACCTCGCGCTTGGTGCGCTGATCCTCGGAGCCACGACCGATGTTCCCCCTTCCGGCCCGAATGCCTCCTCTTTTCTCGAGACCCAATCTACGCTCCCACCTGAGGACGACGAAATAGAGTCCGAAGTTCTCAACGCGAGCGGCGAAGTAGTACAGCGCTTTCTCCGCAAACAGTACGGTTCTCCGGGACAGAACGGCAGCAACACCATCACTCGCTCTTCGCCCACACCCGGCGAACCGCATTCGCCGCAGGAAGCAGCACTCACTTCACCCTCATCTAATACCAACTCTTCCCAGCCGAACCCTCCGTCACTGTTCCAGCCCCCCACCTCGACCACGGGTGCAGTCCTCTGCGTCCACGGCGGCCTCTCCCCCCTCATTGAAACGGTAGATAAAATCCGTCTGATCGACCGCAAGCAAGAAGTGCCCCACGAGGGCGCCATGTGTGATCTTCTCTGGTCCGATCCAGACGAGATCGAAGGCTGGGGTCTCTCACCGAGAGGCGCGGGTTTCCTATTCGGCGCAGATATCGTTCGGCACTTCAATCACAACAACGATCTAAGCATGATTGCGCGTGCGCACCAGCTGGTCATGGAGGGCTACAAGGAGATGTTCGACAAGACGATAGTCACAGTATGGTCTGCGCCCAACTACTGTTACCGCTGCGGCAATGTGGCTGCCATTCTGGAGCTGGGCGAAGACGGGAGCAATGGCGGTTGCGTGGCGCGGGCAAATGGCGAGCAGGGGAGACGGGAACCGGTGGGCGGAGGTGCCGGAGGAGGGCAACAAGGCGAAGGGGGAGGAGGCGGGGGAAACTCGCAGGTGCTCTGGAATCTCGCGAGCCCGGGAAGACGGTATCGCGTCTTTGAAGCGGCACCGCAGGGTACGAGGGGCATGCCGGCGAAGAAGCCCGTCGGCGAGTATTTCCTGTGAGTTTCTGTGTGTACGATTATGAAATGGTCGCCCTGTCTATTTTCTTTCGGGCGACCGATCACGGAATCAATGAGCGTTGGCGTTCGGATCAGCTTGTTGTATCTGTCCCACACGTGTGGCGGGGGCGCAAGAAAGAAACGGGGTTCGTAGATTGACACCACAAGTCTATACAATTTTTCGGCCGCGATTGGCACGTCTCGCGAAGGACAAAATGGCATATGGGGGCATTCGGAAGAGGAGCCATACACTTTGGATAGTTTCGAGACCGTTGCATTGCATTGCATATTCACCAACTTTCCCATGCGAGGAAGAAGTTATGTCAATTGCTGGCTTTGAGACGATTATGAATCGTCCTCATGTCTGTAAGAGTTGTGATTCCTAATCTCGCATCCTCATTTCTCTCCGCTAGAAAAATCAAACTTTTGGTCTGGTGTCATGCGTGCACGCATCCTGTACCCCCCCAAATTGGTGAACTTTGCGCAGCCCTTTGACACTCTGGGCGTCTGTGACGCGTCAAATTAGTTCAGGCGTGGTGTGGTGAGATAGGCCAGAGTAGCATTTGTCCTGGACGTAACGTCTGTCGATGCGAATATCCAAGGAGGGTATTCCAGTGGTACGTTGTGGTGCTTGGTCGTAAGTCATAGGCTGACTCGGGGGGTTTCGGCCCCCAGACCCCCTGTGAAGCACAGCCTTATGCATTAACATTGTTCACGCCGCCGCCCTCAGCAACATCCTCCACCCAGTCCTGCACATCGCCCACTGCAGCACGGACCCCGTCGGCAGCATCATCGTCGTCGTCGCCGACATTGTCTGCAGCGTCGTGACCGGCAGCACCATCACCACCACCAGCGTCGTGCGCGTCAACCCCTTTCCGCCCCTTCTTCTGCTCTCCCGTCTTCCAATCGATGCGTTCCGCAACGTCCATCATGCGTTCAAACACCTGACGGCCAACATATCTCCAGAACCCTCCCGCCCTGACGCAAGTCTGCCTTTGCTCGTTCTCATGCTTGACCAGATCATCCGCGATAGCAATGCGCAACTGCGCCAGCACCATCGCCTTCTCTTGGTTGCCTTTGTTGCCACTACTGCCTCGCTTTGGCGTAATTGGCGTATTCGCTGTAGCGGTGCCATCTCCCGTAGCCTCGACAGGTATGTCCAGCTTGATGAGTACGGCATTGACTAGGGATTCCTGCTCGTCATCCAAGGCCGAGCCATGGTAAGCCTCGCCGCTGCCGTACGAAAATGAGTCGCGCTCCTTGCGTTTCCTGAGGCCACGCTTCCGCTCGGCCTCGACTCTCCTGGTTCTGCCGACCTCTTTGAGCAGCAGTGCCTTGTGCTCTGCGATGCTCGTGACATATCTTCTGTTACGCTCCATAACGTCCTCGATGCATTTGTCGGTGGCGAGTGGGTGGCTCTCGCCGGTAGACTGCTCGCCATGCAGTACGAAGGCGATATGATCGATGTCTGCGACGCGAAGGGCCACTGGGTGCTTGCTCTGGTTTTTGAGTGATTTGCGGCGCGACTTGGCTTCTTTGGCTTCGCGTTTCGCGGCACGCACCTCAGCTTTTGTGGCTTTTGGTTTGCTGGAAGTGGTAGAGGGGGCAGAATTGGAAGTTGTCTCGTCAGCCAGATCGTTCTCGAGATTGACATCGTCGTCAGCCTGAATATCACGGTCATGGTTGATAGGTGCGTTGACATCTCGCTCCTGCAGGGCGGGTCCGCGGCTTCTTTTGTTCTTGACAGATGCCAGGGCTTCAGCCTCAACAAGTGAAACATATTCGGCTTTGAGCTCAGCAATCTGGAAGGTCAGCTTCTAAAACGACACCATGTTGGGGGTCCATAGAGCTACAATACCTTCTTGTGGCGCTCATGATGTTGGTTATCGGCTTGGATACACGCAAAGCAGTTGTGGCTCGTGCCAATTGCGTGCATAGTTGGATGATAGCGATAGCAAGGTATCGAGTGAATTCCATAACATGACTGTCTGGCCTTCGGATGATTGGCTTTGGTTGGGCAGGCGTAGCAAGTATGCTCTGCAATATCGTTGTCAGCCTGGTAGATCTGCTTGCCTAGGAGTAGGTTGTGTTGACTCACCGAGCCCTGAGGCCGCTTCCCATCGTAAGATGCTGGTTCCTGTACCAGCCTCCATGTCTACGGCTTCTAACCTGGATTTTTGGTTCATAATACAGACTGTAAGACAGGATGAGAGTACAGCGCTGTTGCGTACAGAGGCGAGGTTGCGGGTATGTGTGCATGTAGTGGTGAAGACAAGGCAGATAGCACGTGACTCGAACTGAAGAAATGCCCTGCGCACCATGACAACCGAACAACAAGTGGCAGCCTGGCCAAGCCAGTGAATGAGTGAGGAGGGCCACAATAATCAGAAGACCAGATCGTTCGACTACTGGCACTCTCCAAACAGAGTAAGCCGGTACACCAGAAGTCTGCGAGGGCTGGGCTGCAAAGGAAAGACGGATCGACGCGTAGAACGGACCGCAACGCAGCGAGCAGAGAATGACAGCAGATAATCCTGCAGCGGTCAAGCAGAACGGGTCAATGTGATTTGGTCAACGATCGTATCTTGGCGATTATCGACTGCGGGCAACCCGCAACGGTGTCCAAGGAGACAAAGAGTGACGGATCTGGGGCGGGAGCCCTCCAAAAATGAGCGACCATATGCTCTCAATGTTTGCTCTTCGATACAGAGCTGCCGCATTCATCGGCAGACCAAGTGAGGGACTTGAAGAAACTTTGCACAGCTTGCGAAAACGACTGGTCGACGGCAAGAGCTGGGTACCTGCATATCTCGCTCAGGCAACATCGCGGACCAGTCTCGCAGTGCACCAGACGTACGGATAGTTGTGTTGGTACCAATTGACCTATCAATGTCAGCATATGTCCTTTCTCGGCAGAGGTGGCCGCCTTACGAAGCTGCGTCGTCCTGCAATCCGCGGCACGGTCGCCCAGCTCCCACCCAAACAAATGTTGTGCTTGTTGTCGAAGAAATCAGCGGAGTAACCCGGATACAACTCCATGGGTATGTAGCCCTCAAAGGCTGCCAATACAGTGCTCGTCCACTCCCACAGACCTCCCATGTCGCCTTGCCCGCGCAGTCTGGCTCCATCAGACGTCACTGGAGAAGGCACCCAGTGCTTGAAGCCGACATTACAGTCAGTCAGATCAACAAAGAAGTCAGTGGGTTGGAGAGTGCTGCCATTGGCAGCCTTGAGGGAAGTTCCTGACGGTGGCGTCTCTTCTACGCCATCGTTGCTGAGATGTCTGGAGGTGTAAGCACGTGATCGATTATCTCTAGAACTCTTACCCGTTCACAGCAGAGATCAGCTCTCCTGGCTTCTCAGGGGCTTGCAGCTTCTGAGCATCAACATAGTTGTAGATACTCCGTGTCTCCTCTAAAGAAGGGATGCGACCGTGAGCCCACGTAGCGTAGTGGGCGAGTTCGTCATATGATGCCATGACCGGCCAATCGAGGGCGTACCTCAGAGGAATAGGCCCGTAAACTGTTCGGATAAACTTGCCCTCGACGAAAGCTGGACTAGCGACGGGGCCAGCCTGCGTGGAGGATGTGTCTCTGTTCCAGCTAGTTAGATTGCTGTCGAACGCCTCCTTGACGATCCAGGAGGCAGGCAATGTATCAACGTTCGTTGACTCGAGGAAATATGCGTAGTCGCCATTGCTGATGGGGCGGCTCTGGGCTTCAAAAGCTTTGACTGTGACCGTGCGGGACGGCCTCTCGATGTCCCACGCAAAGTATCTGTCGGGACCATCATTATTCTCCGGGTCGTCCAGTCCGAGAACGATCTTCGATTCGGGAATGGTATGCCACTGGTTCGGGGTACGATTCTGTGAGGAGGTCTGCGCCAATTTCTCGAAGTCAGGGGTCGGACTTCCCGGAGGTGGCAGGACTCGGCTGCTTTGGATGAGCATATAGAGAAAAGTCTCCAGGTGCATGGCCTCGTGTTCGTAGGCTAACCAATAGCCTCGCGCAAGACGCCGGTCAGACAAAGTCCGACCTGACTCAATACTCTCCGTGAAACGAGCCCGAATGTCAGACTGATACTTCGTGATCTCGTCCAGCTGCGGCCATTTGTCCGGGATCTCGGAATGATCATGACACTTCTCTGGATCATCAACGTCTGTCGTTGTGTCAAAGAACATCATCATCATGATCCTTGAGTATTTCTTACCTGGATCGATGCCGCGCTCGAACATCTTGGGATAACTGGCCGGTTCGATGAACTTGTCCGATGTCGCCTTATGATGATGGATGTCTGGAATGACCAGTTAGAGCATACTACGGACTTACCGTGTAACTTACCTGCAAAAGCTGGAATGTGACCAAGGTAGAATATCAGGTCATTCCGGAGCTTGATCGGCTTGTTGAGGAGCTCATCCTTGGGGACCATGGCCTTAGTGACGGTGTCCCAGGCAGCCCAGAGTTGTTGCCACTCGGTGAGAGTCGGCATAGGAGATGCAGCGTATTGCTTTGGATTCTCCCTGAATTCGAAATTTGCCGGAGACAGAAGGTGGATTTCTGTAAATGTCAGCTCGATCTTATCATACGAATGAAATCGTGAACTCACGATAGTCCTTTGAGGAATTTTCGAAAGCCATTTGATGCACTAGGCCAGATTCACGCCAAAGGTTATGGCTACGATCTCCAGGAAATTTCCAGGATTCTTCAAGATAAATCGTTTCTCCTGCACGAACGCTGAAGTCCTTGGTCTCGACATCTTTCAGAGCGACATATGTGGCGTAATGCTTCTTTTGCTGATTGTCGAACGCAGTGTGGACGCGCCAATCATCTTGCTGAAAGGCGTTATAGCCGAGGAGACCGTTGGCACCATCCAATGCATTGCGATAGAAGCGCTCGGTAACGCTTTCGTCATCATTGTATGCCCTGAAAACACGCTCTGCGTCTTGGCATGCATCAAGACCAACCAGAAGGCTATCCTCAGGGCCGAGCACACGAGCGTAACCAGCCAGAAATACCGCGGCATCGTGCGGCGCGAAGTTCCCAATAGAGGAGCCCAGGCTCATTATACATGTTGTGTTACACTTGGGGGAGCGCCTTGCGTCGTGGTTCAACCAAACGAGCGCATCGTCATAGGTCCCGTGCAGGCCTCTGAACATTACGTGCTTGTATGCCTCAATGTCGAGCAGCGAAAACGTCCGCTCGAGTTCGGGGAGAGACAGATCGAGTGCATAGTACTCGACGTCTTTCTTGGCAGCCTCGAAAGCGTCCAAAAGAATACTGACCTTTCGGAGGTTCCTGCAATACAACAAATGAGTATTACTGCAAAGCGGCAAGGGTACACGCTTGTACTCACCCACTTCCGAGCTCTACGAGCCGGCTATGAGCAGGGAATCGAGCCGCGATATCTGCCGCATGGGTACGAAGGGTATCAATCTCGGCGTTGGTGAGGTAGTATTCCTCCAGGTAGGTGATTTCCTCAAAGATCCTGAGCCCCTTGTCTGCTACAGTTTAGTAATGATCTCATTCCAGCAAGTCCCGTGATACCGTCGTAGAGCAGCAGTGTCGACAAGCTCTTTGCCTCGCCCGGCGGCGGGTTCATCGTTGCACGTACATTGTCGGCCAAGGACTTCAGGGTGGTAGAGCGAATGTCCAGGATAGGGACTCTCATGCCAGAAGCGTCGCCCATGATGAAGGATGAAATGAAGTGACTCTCGGCGCAGAGGTCAGTGTTCACTTGTATTTCAACCCACAGTCGGTACAGTGGAGATATAGAATGTATCAAGGATTTGGATGCATGACGGACTGTTCGAAGTCCCGAACGGCCGTTAGGTCAGCCATGGCTGACAGAGCTAAAGCAATGATCGCAAACTCTGAGCAGACCACCAGGCAGACTGATGTCAGCCTGCTCCAACAAGGGCCCGGCCGGCACCAGGTACGCACAGCATACGGCGCCACTCACGTGTGCAGTATGGGGCGACTAAGTAAACGAGGTAGGTTTGAATACCGAATGAGGGAGAGGGCCGAATGTAAGCGGATCTCAAACTCACACGGAGAGCAAAGAGTCTAGCCACGAGGATATCATAGCTCCCGCTTGTGTATGGGAACATAACCAATGGGATGCACTGCTCCTGAAAGAAAGAATAGAAACAACGCCTAATGGCGAAGGAGAATCCACTGCCAGGGAGTGGTGACGAACAACTGAGATCAAGGTTTCTCCATCACGGGAGACGGCCTCCCTGTCCTATTCACAGCAGCAGCGGGGAACCGTGGCTGATTCGGAATCAACATCGAGAAGAATTGCCGGTACTGGTTAATGACGAATAACCCTTTTCGGGGACCTGTGTGGCTTATGGCGTCGAGATCCGTGAGATTCTTCCAAGTTTGTCATCCCTATACGCCGCGGAGCAAATTGAAGCCCTGCCCTGGACACCGGTGACTGGAGTTGGTAATTGAGAAGATTTCCGTTCCGTGCTGCGGGGCAGAGGGGGCCACCGCCTGCGTAGCGGTTGTTCGAGTTTCACGGCACTTGCCCCGGCTTCACGGCAAGAAGTGGAATAACGCGGGTTGTACAGAAGCCAAAGGAGTCCACGTCATGGGTACAAGCTCGACGGAGTAATAGCATAGGATGAGGGCAGATGAGTAGCAGAGCAGAATGAAGTGACAGCGACAGAGATTCATAGGGCTGGAACACGTGACCCCTCGCGCCTGCCTTTCCGCGCCCAAAGCCTCGAACCTTTTCTCCAAGTCCCGAAAGGGGAAGAGCAACAAACAGTCAACCGCTAATCTTGACAACCACTGGGTGCCTTCCACCACGGTGCATGCGCGCGCTCTTCGTTTGCGTTCAGTATCATTCTGCCTGCATTCTGTTGCATCTGTCTAGTGGTGCTGTATGTCTTCTCTCAAGAGGCTCCATTACACCGCCGGAGCGACAGCGAGATTCCTTGACCGCTAGCTGCCTGCACGACTCCTTCACCGATAGCGCCACATTCCTGGGGTTTTGCAACAGGACTGCCTTCCCAGCATAACTGTCGTTTCTAAAATGTCCAAGTCGGGGAATTTGGCGGCTCTCTCGTCGATCCTCGATGCTTCCACAGACCTCCCCACCGTCTACTACGCCGAAGACCCTCCCTATCTGCCCCGTATCCTCATCTTCTACTGGCCCGTGCAAGCGGTTGGATCGCTAGCCTCGACATCCCGAATCAGAACAACCATCCTTAGTGCTGCCGGGTTTAAAGCCTTTCCGGCCTTCTCTGTCGCACCCAGCAGCAGCTACTACTCTGCTGTTCACAAACTTCCCGCCGATCGACAGCGAGATGAAGTCTCTCGAGGTATTGCATTTGCGCTATGCAGATATTTCTCAGAAGTACCGGGTGACGTCAAGAATGCCATAATGGACGAGAACTTGAAGGAGGGGATAGGCTTGAAATGGGGTCAGACACATGCTGCCCAAGTCACCTGCACCATGACCAAGGTTCTCAATGTCGATGAAGTCCTTGATGCACTCAGACCCTTCTCCAAGGAGCGGCCCGCGAGTCCAGTCACTCCTGTCAGGCCTCTTGCGTCCATCAGGAAGACCCGGCCCTCTTTCCTGCCTGCAGAGGGTCCACAGAGAGGCCACGCTACTCCAGCACGGAGGACCCCGAGTTCACAAGCCCGGAGGACTCCCTCTACGTCAACCCCGACGACAAGAAAGAATGCACCAACCCCGGTGCATCAGACTGGACCCTCTGCTGAAAAGTTGGAGTCTCTGAGGTTCAAGATGTGCGAATTCGTCGACACCGAAGATCGCTACATTACGCGGCTCCAGGAGCTGATCGAATTGGTTACCAACCAAGGCCGCACGCCAAAGTCGCTGAGTTCCAAATTCTCGAGCTCTAGCAAGCAGAAGACCGTTAATGCTATGATTCAATTTCCGTCTCTGCTGGATAGTCTGAAAGACCTCAATCTAGCCTTCCTCGACGACATCGAAGGAGTTCTACAGAAGTCTGAGGATACTGCTATTGCATTTCTGGATCAAGCTGCACAGTCGGTTGAGCTACACCAACTAGCCAAGGATCCAATCGGTGTCTACGCATTCGCAAAAGTGTTACTGCAACACTTCCCAAAATTTCTTGTTCCTTATCGAGATTACTTGGACCTTCACTCCCTTGTCTCATCCAACCTCGATCACTATCTCAAGGAGGGCATAACGTCCATACAACAAGCCCCGTCTCTCCTCATGGAACCCGCTCAACGAATCTCTAGGTACGGTCTCTATATTGACACCATGCTACCACACGTACCTCCAACATCTACCATGGCAATCCGGACGCTGGAGAAAGCTCGCAAGATTATCGCCGAAATTTGCGAAATGGAACCCGCGGCATCCGCTATTCTTGACTCTGTACGTATCGAGCATGAAGCCAAGAGGCGGGCCTACTCGCCGACAAAACTCCTTTCGGGTCTAACCAGGACCTACGGTTCGGTCCGTGAGGCGCCTGCCCACGGCAGTACCAAGGAGCGTGGTGAAGCAGCTCCTCGGATTTTCCATAGCTTGGGGAGAAGTTTGAGCCGCAAGCACAAGAGCCGGCCTGGCTTACACGGCATTCTGACTGAACAAGAGACACATTCGAGGAACAATTCGCAGACCTCAACACGAGTGCCGACTTCCAATGACAGCAGGCCTGTCACCTCTAGCTCCGGCACATCGTTCGGATCGCTGAACAAGCGTCCTCCGACCGCCGGCTCCTCAAAGTCTGGCGCATCAGCTTCACGCTTGAATCTAGATTCTATCCCCTCACTACCACCTGCACCAGCAGATCCGGTAGAAGCGAAGGAAAACTCCGGCGCAGCTGCTGGTACGCTGGAGCACTACAAAGCAGCTCTCATGCGGGTCGAGGAGGAGAACTACAAGCTCCTGCAGGAGAATGCGGAGCTCAAGCGGCAGATTCGAGAGTGCTCGTGTGGCGGCGCGCTGCATGGTAGAGTGAGCTAGTGGCTTGAAAAGCTAGCCATCTGAAACGAATTACGTCCTGTTCCTGTCCGGTGTTTGGAAAAAGCGTGTATCACTAGCATCAGGTTTCGGCATTTTGCCTATTGGGTTTGCAGGGCTGACGCGCATGTCTTCTTCATGCCGACGGCCGATCGTGCTGGCAAAATTAAGGACAAGAATGAACGACCTTTCCAATTGAATGTGGATTTTCTTATTTGCAAGACGTTCGTCGAGACGATGCCGAATGGATTTTCCCGTTCGACTGTCTCTAGCTGTCCCATCTAGACGATCTCGCTGTGAACCCTGGGGTTGGCTCTGTCTAGTGCATTTCCCAACGCCTTATGCCTTCTCTCGCGCTGTAACAAAAGCTGCTTATCATGGAAAGCGGCCTTGTACACTTGCGCGGCGCGTGTGAGCTAGCCAAACCATGTCGTTCAGCCGATCGTCTTGACTCCGTTCGAGTAGTCCTTCCGTATCGTTGCTCACAGGATGGTCCGTACTCTCAGACCTCGTCATCCCAGTCCTCGTCGCGCAAGAAGGCCCACCCCGCACCTGCTCTGTCGGCCTCGCCCTCATACTCCGAGCGGTAATACCTCGCGCGCGCTTCGTCTTCTCTCCAGCACCGTGTCCGGTGGTCGTCGCTGATCGTGACCAGATTGCCTTCATTCGACCATGTCACGCCCGTGACCTCGCTGGTGTGACCCTTGGCGAGCGGCGAGCCGATGTAGTAGATGGGAATATCATCCTCTGATGCCCGTTTCTTGAGCGACAGAGTCGCTGACTGGTGGTCTGTGCGTGTGAGACGCAAGCGGCCCAACCGCTGGTTGGCGAGGTCAGCTGAGACAGTGGGAAGAGTGCGGGAGGCCTTGGTGTGGTAGCGAGAGTCGGTCGGATAGAGGACGGCGCATTCATCGCTGCTACCTACAGCGAGGAGCTCTGGCTGGGTCTCGGTGGCTTTTCGCACTGCGAGCTTACAGTAGAAAGTCGCGATGGCCATTGAAGGATCGCGGAAGCCGTAAAGAGGTCCAAGGCCGGATTTGGCGCCGAACTTCTCGCCCTTCCATTTGGTGGCCCCAGCTTGCATTTCAGACGCCGAGCCTAGGATGAGGTGTGATGTCGAGTAAGCGTAGACGGTGTGATCCCGGCAGAGTGTGTAGAGCTTGGACCCATCGCTGCTCAGAGCCATAGAAGTGGTACCGAAGCGGCGGTGGCTAATATGTGACGTGGGTTCTTCGGTTTGAGAGATAGGGACCGTGCTGTTATACCGCGTATGCTTCGAGCGGATGTCCCACAGCTTGACGATTGTATTGCTGTCAGAAGCTGTTGCGAAGAGATAGGGTCTGGTCTCGTCAAGGAAAGACATGGAAGTGATGCAGATGTCATTGCGGTCGGTGCTGAAACGAGTCTTCGCCTTGACTTTGCCAGGACGGTGTGCATCCCAGATTGTACGCACAGGGGCGCGAGCTGTTATGCCATCCGTGATCTGATTCCGAGCGACACGAGGGGGAAGTGCACAAGGATTCTCGCGAAGATCCCAGATGTTGATATCACCGTCTCGGGCGCAGGAGACGAGGAGATTAGGATTGCCAGGATGAAACTGGGCTTTCTTGACCGAGCAAGAGTGACCGCTCAGCGACACGATGGACTTCTGTCTCTGAACATCGGTAATCTGGCAGGTTTGATCTCCGGAAGCAGTGACCAGGTACTTGTCATCATAAGAAAATTCCATGTCCATGATCGCATTGTCGTGGGGCTTGATGGTCAGAAACGTCTTGTTGAATTTCTGTTGTTGGTCGTTGGCAGAATCTATGAAACGTACATAGCCATCTTCGTCGCCAACAACGATCAACGAGTTCGTGTTGCAACTGGTAGTGCAGAAAGGTATCGCAGGTATGGATCGAACGCGCGAGTAGGGCAGAGTCTCGCCTTTGTCGAGGTTGGAATCAGAGGGTGAGGTGTAGAAGTTCGCAGTTTCGTGCTGCCACAGATCATTGCCGACCACGGGAGATTGTCTATGCGGAAGGCCATCTATTCTCATGGACAGCAGCCTCGCGGAAAGACTCTTCTGTCTGTATGGTTTGCACCTGCCGTAAGGGGCTTGCTCCTCGATGTCCGATTCCGAACTCGAATCGTCGCTGTCGCTCATCGTAATGTCTTCGCCATCGTAGGCGCCGTCATCATCAGACATGTTGTCCTGGCTGCTCGAGAGAAAGCCAACTCGCTGGACTGGCGATGAAGGCAGCGAAGATGACAGCGGGGATGCAATGAATGATATGCGTCTTCTCTTGGCCGGACGTTCGTCGGGGTTGTTTCGTCGAGTATTCAGCTCAGACTCTCGTACTTCCTTGAGCGGCGGACGAGCATCAGCAGTGATATCTTGGGGAAATTTAACTCGGGGTGCGAAGAAACGCTTGAAGCGACGAGGGGTGACAGTTGGTGGCTTGCTAGATCGCTGGCTTCGTCTCGGACTAGGGCTAATTGCATCATCTCTAGCAATCGCGAATGGCAGTGCATCAGCGTCCACGTCTGCCCTAAGCATCGCCCGCTCGGGGGTTCTGGGAGTGTTTGGCCTAGCCATCGCTGCGAAACAGTTGCTTGAACGTCAATCCAGAACCAAGAGCTACCAAGACAACATAAAAAAGGTGCTGCCACTATATGTGGAAGGATGTCGTTTGTGGAACGTTGAGAGAAATCTGTGAGTATGGAAGAAGGCACAAAGTCTGACGTTGACTCTTCTACAAATCACCAGCCTTGCCCATTCACGCGAAACGCGCCTCCAGATTCACACGCGTTCTGGTAGAACCTCGGCTGATCTCGAGAGTTAAATGGCCTTTGTGCCCCACTCTAACTGCCCGTGTCTCCAAAAAATTTTGGGAACGGAATTTTGGTGGTTGCAGAACGAGTACTGGTCTCAAGCACTTCTCCTCCGATTCTTGCCCACCCCTGACAAACGAGGCACCTTGATCGACTATCGCTCAGTGGTTCAGCCTCCAGTATGGCACCCAGCAAACGAAAAGCTGACAACGTCGTGGAGACGGCGTCCAGCAAGCGTCCGAAGTCAGAGAAACCCACATCCGACAGGAAGACGCAAGCTTCAAACAAATCAGACGCAGAAAACGGTTCGAGCAAGAGGAGGGAAAAGGCCTCAGAAAAGCCTGAAAGTAAATCAATCTTGTCAAAAGAACTACCTGCCTTCCCTCGAGGCGGCGCCAGCCTCTTGACTCCGCTCGAGAAGAAACAGATCAACGCGAAAGCCTGGAGAGATGCACAAAGAGAAGATGGCGCGCCCGCTGCTGACTTCTTTGGCGCTGATGGCGCTGACAGTGCCGGATCCAACCTTTCGTCAGATGCCGAAGCCGACGTCAAGCCAAAACCTCGAGGCAAAGACCAAAAGGCCAAATCCTCTAAATCGAAAAATGGCATTGCGAAGATCCGAGACACAAAGATCGGTGGTTTGAACTATAAGCGCATAACGACCGGCTCTCTGGTCCTAGGCCAGATCATCTCCATCTCTGACCGGGACCTGACTGTCGCACTGCCGAACAACCTGGTCGGCTTTGTTCCGATCACAGCGATATCCGCTCAGCTTAGCGCCAAGATTCAGAGTCTGCTGGAGGACAGTAACAAGGACGATGAAAGCGAGGACGACGACGACATTGACCTGAACGGCTATTTCTCCGTTGGCCAGTATCTGCGAGTTGCTGTAATCTCAACAGGACAGGATGTTGGCCCGTCTGGGGCCCATTCGAGGAAGCGCATCGAGCTCTCGGTCGAGCCAAGCGCGGTCAATAATGGTCTATCGAAACTGGCCCTAGCCCAAGGCGTTACCGTCCAAGTATCGGTGCACAGTGTGGAAGATCATGGTCTTGTGGTCGACCTTGACCTTGAAGGATCAGAATCACGTGGATTCGTCCCCTCTAAGAACCTCCCGTCTGGCATCTCAATAGCCGGAGTCAAAGTTGGCGCCGTGATGCTGTGTCAAGTTGTTAAGGCCGATGCAAGTAACAAGGTCATCAGGCTCTCGGCGGACCTGTCCGACCAAAAAGCCTTGAAAAATGCTCCTAGTGTTGATGCTTATCTTCCCGGCACGGTTGCGGAAATACTTCTGACAGAAGTCCAAAGTACCGGCCTAGTCGGCAAGATCATGGGCATGCTCACAGCGACGGCGGATCTTGTCCAATCAGGTGCATATCTTGACAAGGATACCTTCGTGGACAAGTACCAAGTTGGTGCTAAAGTTAAAGGTCGCCTGATCTGTACATTTCCGCTATCTGACGACAACAGACTCGGCTTTAGTACCCTCGATCATGTTCTCAAGCTGCAGGACACTGCCCAGGCTGGCACACAAGCCATTGGAAGCATAGTACCATCGGCTACGGTGACTACTGTTGAAACCGGGCTCGGCATCTATCTGAGTCTGGGAAGAGACCGAAATGGTTTTGCGCACATTTCACGGCTGTCTGATAAGCGCGTTGAATCCATTGAAGCTACAATAGGTCCCTTCAAGGTAGGCTCGCAGCACAAAGCCCGCATCACCGACTACAACGCTGTCGATGCCGTGTACATCGTGTCACTACAGGAATCGGTCATCAACCGGGAGTTCCTTCGTCTAGAAGACGTTCCCGTTGGTCAGCGGGTGACGGCGGTCATCGAGAAAGTCCTTATTGGTCCGACTGGTATCAAGGGCGTAATTGCCAGGATTACAGAAAGCATCTCTGGATACATTCCGGAGCAGCACTTATCCGATGCAGTACTGTCGAATCCCGAAAAGAAATTCCGAGAAGGGGTCACAGTCAAAGCACGGATTCTCTCCACTGATCTCAATAAGCGTCAAATTCGACTGACTCTGAAAAAGTCGCTGGTCAACAGTGATGCGAAGATCTGGAAGCAGTACTCGGACATCACTGTTGGTGACTCTACTGTGGGCGCCTTGGTCAAAATTGACTCTAGCGGCGCTCTTGTGCAGTTTTTCGGAGCTGTTAAAGGTTTTCTACCTGTTGCTGAGATGAGCGAGGCGTACATCAAAGATGCTCGGGAGCACTTCCGCGTAGGTCAGGTAGTCACTGTCAACGCCATCAGTATCAATGCGGAAGACGGAAGGCTTACTGTCTCGTGTCGAGATTCCAACACCACAGACCAGTCTTCGGAGTCTGTTGTGGCGTCACTCAAGGCAGGGTCTCTGGTGACTGGCAACGTCTTCGAGAAGTCTGAGCACGACATTCTTCTCCGATTAGAAAACTCGTCTGCGATAGCTCGTCTAACCGTCGATCATATGTCTGACGGCTCACTGAAGAAACGTCAAGCTGCTTTGAGCAAGATCAGAGTTGGGCAGAGACTCGAGAATCTAATGATCCTAGATGTGCAGCCTAAGCGCCGTCTAGTCGTTCTTTGCAATCGTCCAAGCCTCATCAAGGCAGCGAACAACGGCAAGCTCCTGAGAAGTTTTGAGGAACTCGATGTCGGGAAAGCAGTAACAGGTGTTGTGTCCAACATCACCTCTGACGGAGTCTATGTCTCTTTTGCCTCCCGAATCAGTGGACTCATAACTCCCCGAAACGTTCCGGAAGGACAACAAGCATCACCAGATTTCGGAATGACCAAGTTGCAGCCAGTCACTGCAACAGTAGCTTCGGTGGACTACAAGGGTGCGACACCCAGATTCTGGCTGACTATGAATGAAGCAGCAGAGAAGGCAGAAGTCGCTATGCCAAATGCTGGCGTTAGCTTCAAACCAATCGCGGACCCCATCGATCCTGCCATCCAGTCTGAAGCCGACCTCACTGTCAACACTGTTACCAAGGCTCGCATCTTGTCTGTCAAAGACTCGCAGCTGAACGTGGAGCTTGCGAAGGACGTTCAGGGCCGTGTAGACGTGTCCGAGATCTTTGACACATGTGATGACATCAAGGATCGAAAGAAGCCCTTGGGAAAATATGTGGCGAAACAGACTATCGATGTCAAAGTCATTGGTGCACATGACACACGAAACCATCGCTTCTTACCTTTGAGCCATCGCAGAGGCAAAAATGTTGTCTACGAGCTCAGCGCGAAACCCAGTGCGCTAAGAGACAGCTCGGTAAAGCCGCTCGGCTATGAAGATCTCAAAGTCGGCGACAGCTATCTCGCTTTCGTGAACAATACAGGCACCGATTTTGTGTGGGCCAATATATCGCCAGCAATTCGTGGCCGCATCAAGATTGTGGATATTTCAGACGATCTATCTTTGGCAGCGGATTTGATGACCAACTTTCCTGTTGGCTCTGCTCTACGTGTCAGAGTCGTTTCCGTGGATGCTGAGAAAGGAAGACTAGACCTGTCCGGCAAGCTTGCAGCGAATTCGAAAGACGTCTCGATCAAAGACATCAGTGTTGGTCAGATTCTCCCCGGACGTGTGACTAAAATTACCGACCGAGCGGTCATTGTGTCTCTGAGCGACAGCGTAGTTGGGGCAATCGACCTTATTGATCTGTCGGACGACTACAGCGAATCCAACCTTGCAAAGTTTCGAAAGAATGAGATAATGCGTGTTTGCGTTGTGCAGGTTGACGAGGCCAACAAAAAAGTTTCGCTCTCCGTACGACCTTCCAGGATTCTAAGCTCTTCTTTACCCGTCGCCGACCCCGAGGTAACCAACGTCAACGATCTCGAGGTCAATGACATCTACCGTGGATTCATCAAACATGTTGACGACAAGGGCATTTTCGTAATGCTTGGTCATGGCATCACGGCATTTGTCCGCGTGACCCATTTGTCCGACTCCTATCTCAAGGAGTGGAAGGACAGCTTCCAGCGTGATCAGCTTGTGAAGGGCAAGATCATCTCGGTTGACAAAACCTCTGGTCACATTCAAATGAGTCTGAAAGAATCCATACTGACGTCTGATTACAGTCCTCCGCTCAAGTTCACGGACTTGGAGGTGGGCAGTATCGTGACAGGAAAGGTTGCCAAGGTCGAGGATTTCGGCGTCTTCATCGTTGTGGACAATTCGGAGAAGATCCGAGGTCTGTGCCATCGCAGCGAAATTGCTGAGAAGAGGATAGAGGACCCACGCAAGCTATTCAGTGAAGGCGATGCTGTGAAGGCGATGGTTGTGAAGGTCGAACTTAACAAGCGAAGAGTGAACTTTGGTCTTAAGGCCTCCTACTTTGACAACGAAAGCGAACCACTGTCTGATGATCAGAGCGATAGCGACCTTGAGATGCACGATGACGGCGATGATGAGTCCGTGGATGGTATGGACGTTGACGGCGTCAGTGACAGTGACGAGGACGCAGGGGCAGAGCTCGAAGACGCGTCTGCAGAGGACGATGACATTGATGAGGATGAGATGGCCAGCGGAAGCTCCGACGATTCTAGTGCCGATGAAGAGAAGAAGCCGCAAATCTCTTCCAGTTTGAAAGTTGGCGGCTTTGACTGGCACGGCATGTCATCACAAGCCGGCAATACGCGCAACCACCAGGAGTCTGATGCAGAGTCGGAAAAGACCACGGAGAAGCCAAAGAAGCGCAAAAAGCGAGCCGACATTCAAGTCGACCATACAGGTGAGCTCGATGCCAATGGGCCTCAATCCTCGGATGATTTCGAACGCCTCCTACTTGGCGAGCCGGACTCGTCATTGCTGTGGCTGCAATACATGGCTTTCTACATTAACCTTGGCGATGTCGATCAAGCACGACAGATTGGCGAGAGAGCACTCAAATCCATCGGACTTGGCCAAAGCGAAGAGAAGCAGAACATCTGGGTCGCGTTGCTTAACCTCGAGGTCACGTATGGCGACGATGAGACTCTCGATGCAACATTTAAGCGGGCTTGCGAGTACAATGACCCTCAGGAGATGCATTCGCGACTTGTCAGCATCCTCATTCATACTCAAAAGTACGACAAGGCGGATGAGATGTTCCAGACCATGCTCAAGAAGTATACACAGAGTCCGAAAATATGGACCAACTACGCGGCCTTCCTTTTCGACACCAAGGGCGATGCAGACAGAGCCAGAGAACTTCTCCCACGAGCTCTACAGACGTTGCCCAAGTTCACGCACCTGGACCTAACGTCCAAGTTTGCTCAACTCGAGTTCAAGTCGGAAGCGGGTGTCGCTGAGCGAGGGCGAACCATCTTTGAAGGTCTCATCAACTCGTTTCCAAAGCGAGTGGATCTCTACAACGTGTTGCTGGATCTTGAAACCAAAGTGGGCAACGAAGAACAGATCCGCGCCCTCTTCGAACGGCTCTTCACACGGAAGTTGAAGCCCAAGCAGGCCAAGTACTTTTTCAAGCGGTGGCTGACCTTTGAAGAGCAACAGGGGGACGAGCGGCGAGTTGAAGAGGTCAAAGCAAAGGCGGCCACGTGGGTTCGATCGGCTGGTCAGGGCTGAGGAACGTTGGCATCCTCTAACCTGCGAAAAATTTGTAGCTGGTAATCTGATAAGGACTGAGAATTATTTTCTCGCTCACCGAAAAGTAATCATACTATTCGGCCGACGCTTCGGTCCAGAGCCATCAAAAGTCGGCTCAGGCTGGAAAAGCCGGTCTGGCGACTCTTGGACGACAAAAACACGGGTACCTGCTTCTCGAACGGCGGTGACACAAGAGCGTAGTTTCTCTTGAGTAAAGCATGGAGCACATAACTGGAAGCGAGCGTGTAGGCCGGGACGGTGAACCCCGAACGGCCAGCGATTTGCCAGTGTGGATCGAACCAGGGCGAGCCAGGGTGGCTGGCGGGCGGGGCGTCGGGGGAAGAACCAATATACCGGAATTTGGTGCTCCATACCTAGGTGCTCTAGAGCAGTGTTCAAGACCCGAGAAACTCGTCCTTGAGAAAGCAGCCAGGCGGTAGGGATAGTCTTTACCTTGTTGTGCGTAAGGAAGTTGTCTACTCGGTAGATCATTCAACGGTGCGATCTGGGGTGGAGGGATAATTTTGGATATCCGAGATCGACTGTGTGTGCTGTGTCGACCTGGGTTCGTTCCTGGAGGCACTCGATGCCTATCGCTTCCGGCAAGCCGCTGCATAGGGGCACCGATCCGGGTTCCACCATCGTGTCATTGCTGCCTGAAGACAACGCCCACGCGAGCTGAGTGCTTCGAGAAGACCTGCCCCCCACGCTGCCCACAAGTCTCAGGGTCAGCACCTGCCCAATCATCAGCCCGGATAAGCGTCTTATCTGTCTCGGTCGGCCCTCTCCTGCTGCCCCTTGAGTTGTCGCCCGAACCATTACCAGCTGCTACGTATTATCGCTTGATGCGTGTTCACTCCTCAATCTCTCGGCCACTTTGTTCTGTCAGCATGCTTTCCTGTCATCTGCTACATCCTCAGCAAATATTTCTTCCAACCCTCCCTCCAAGGTATACCATTCTGACGACCGTAAACCGATCTCGCGTGACGCAATCCTTACGGAGCAACCCTACGCCTGACCTCCACCGACAGCGAACCACCCACACGATATCGGCTTTCGCTGCAGTCCCTGCTGCTTACATCTCTTTCTCACAATATTGTCATGTACTGCGTGAATCATGATGGTACCGCGAGCATTCGCAGCGACCTCGCCGCCCCGGCAGCACGCATTTCGCTCTTTTGATGAAAAAGACGACTTCTCTGTGCGCACAAAACAGATCCACAAATCCCGGTCGCCTTCACCTGCGCGAACATCCAGGCTATCACCTACGTCTCCCAGCTCGACCTCGACGGCCCTGAAGGTGCCAGTCAATACGAGGAGACCGCAGCTGAAATCGACAGAAGCTTCGGTCATTACCCCGCCACGTCCGCAACAGACTCCAATTCAAGCGCCTCCCAGGCGAGAGTCCGTCCAAGAGTTACTGCTCGCCACGGCCATACCGATCAAGCGAAAAGCAAAGAAGCGGCCGTCGCAGCGCCTCCCTGCCGGAGACCATGTGGCCAACTTCAGCTCCCTCCTGCAGGATGACCTCAAGACAACCGGCGCCGGTGTGTCCAGCAGTTATGGGGCCCAATTTGACGGTTTGTTCGGAAGCATCGACGAATTGGTGGATGGTCAGATGTTTGTTGGTAGCGAGGGCGTAGACTCATCCATTCTGAGGACCAGATCAGCGTCAACCGATTCTATGCCGTCCCTGGCGTCTCCGGATGACTTCAGCCTCGGTGGAAACAGCAGTGCGTCGCCATTCACGTCTCGATCGAGCTCCTACCGCAAGATCCGACATGTCGCCAGCTCCGAGGACTGTGCATTAGAGCATCCCCTTTTGGAGGTTGAAGATGACGACGGGGCGACCACTCCAGAACTCATGATGTCGCCAACTCCAAGGAAGAAGCAATCGAACGCTTCGCGCCGGCCGAGTGCCTTTAAGTCGACGTTGACGGCATCTCTTAAAGCCATCAAGACTGCTGCTCAATCAGTGTCCAACTATGCGACCCCATTCAACGAGGCCGACATGTTCAGTACCCCTTTCGACATTCACCCTTCAATCACCGACGACCGGCGACCACCACCATCGGCAGAACCCCCCTCACCCGCTCTCCGCCGTTACCTCAATCCCAACATCTCCTCACCACCAGACTCGCCTGCTCAGCTCCACTTCTGGACCGATCACCGCTCGACCAAGCCACTGCCAACCCCGCAGCCGAAACGCGAAAAGACACTCGCTTCATCGGAGGATGGCTTCCGCCCTCGTCCCAAAAAGAGGACCACCAAGGCTTCCCACGGCGCCGGCGACACCTCCAAGCTCCCCCCCATTGTTCCACTGGCGACCTTCATCCCACCCGCCGTCCGTACCGAGCATGCCTCTAGTCCACCCATTTGGCTCGGTCCCGACGGCAATCCCGTCAACAAGCAGACCGCCGACCCTTTACTCTACGAGCCCTTTGGTCCGCTCAAGCAGCGCGAACCGCGAGAGAACCGAGATTTCCTGCGCATCTTCGTTTGCGAGATGGAGATGAAGCGCGCGGGCAAGCTGAAACTGAGCGCCGAGGGTCACGCCAGGATGTGGCTGCCACCGGTGGATGAGGAGGGCCGGAAAAGGTCGCGAGAGGGACGGCAGCGCTGGTCGGTCTCGACTCCCGAGGAGGAGGACGTGTTGGACTCGACGGAGGACCGTGCTGTGTAATGTATTACTTGGACCATACTCCGTCAAAAATGCATCGGCGGCGCGGTGGGATATCACGAGACCAGACAAGAGAAGAGAACTTTGAAGGTGAAACGTGGCAGTGGCATGATTTGTACGACACGAGACATGAAAATGCATTCCTGACGACATCGCATAATATGGGGTTGATTTTTGGCGTGGCGTTTCCAAGACGAGAAGAAGGCCCTTCGGCAAAAAGGTTCAGTCGTTTGAGCTGGTTGTAGAGCATTAATAGGACTGGAACAAGTTCAAGTGCTTGTTCGCAAAGGATGGACGGCCGTGGCTGTTCATTTCTTTGGTAGTGCCCTATAAATGGACTTCACCTTTCTGAAGTACTACAGCTACTACTACTACTCCGACTCCGACTCCAACTCCTACTTATTGCTATTGCTATTGTGCGATCTGCGCCGCTTCTCGCGTTCTTCATTTCAGGCCCCGGAGAGGAGGAGGGCACAACTGTGTGAGGGCCCCGGTTGGATACCGGCAGGAGAGAACACGTGAGGTACAACATATATATGTCAGACGCACACGAGAGTCGGCGGGACGTTCGCACGCATAGAATGCCGTAGCCACTCGCCCGAGTACAGAAGATCGGGAATTTGTAAAGAACATTGTATCACTCTATAAAGAAAAGATTGTTTGCGCCCGTCGCAAATCCCCCCATGCTCCGTGTCCCAGCGTCAAGCTGGGAGGGGTTTCGTACATATGGTGGCCACTAATGCTCTCTGCCATGCTATGGCCATGAAAAGCCCATGTTCGCCTCGATGATCCAACATGATGGGTACCGATCCCAATGGAGATTCCAAGCTGCAGCACCAAAGGCTAGACTGCACGTATGTCGGGTCCTAGATAGCGATTCCCCCTCGATATCGTAGGTAGCCAGACAGATGATGTTTAAACAAACCAAATCTCGTGGCCTCTCTCCCAGCCTCTACGCCCCCGGCGCGCCCACCTCCCTTGCCTTGGCCATCATGCGATCCAACAATTTCAGCTCCCTCTCATTGAACGAGTGGGACTTGTCGCGATCCGTCGTGAGGCAGCACTCGTTGTTCTCGTGCAGCTGCCAGGCGCCCGGCTCGCGCACCTCGTTGGGCTCGATCAGGTAGTGCCGGAAGGAGCCGAACTTCTTCTTGTGCTTGTCGGCGAACTTGTTGTCGAGCAGCCAGCCGTTGAACCAGAGCGGCGTGTCGTCCACGTCCAGGTGCAGCAGTTGCGGCGAGCACATCGTGTGGGGCGTGAGATCGACTTCTGGCGTTGGCGGTTGTGCTGCTGCTGCTGCGGCTGCTGGTGGTGCTGCTTGAGGAGGGTTGTCGCCCTGTGGCGCTGCCGCGGGAATAGGTTCCTGGCCTTCCATGGCAGGGTCGTCGCGTTTGCGGAGCTGCTTCTTGGGCTCTTCTTTTTGCTGCTCGCCCTCCTTGTTCTGGGCTTTGGCCGGATCCTGCTGTTGCTGCTGCTTTTGCTTGTCGGCGGCTTCTTTGGGGGCGGCTTCTTCCTTGCGCTTCTTTTCTTCTGCTTCCTCCTTTTTCTTCTTGCCCTCTGCTTCTTCCTTTCGCTTCTTCTCCTCGGCTTCTTCCTTTCGCTTCTTCTCCTCGGCTTCCTCCTTTCGCTTCTTCGCTTCGGCTTCTTCCTTCCGCTTTTTCTCTTCTTCCTTCTCGAGCTCCTTGGAGGTCTTTGTGTCCTTTTCAAGATCACCCATGATACCAGCGTTGCCTTGATGGAAGGCATATTCTGGGTCACCGACAAGCTCCCAGCCAAGCCAGAAGGTTTCTTTGTCGCCTAAATAGGTCAGCCGATGCTTGAGATACTATCGAAAAGGGAAATGCTTACCATATACCAAGTCGTATACGCCGATGCGACCTTCGCCCTTGTTGCCGTCACGATCGGGACCATTCATACGCGTAACCATCAGCATAGCCATGAAATGCCGCCACTTGTCAACGACAACGACACCAGACTCTTGCATGTGTCCAGAGTCACCGGTCCAGAATCGACTTTGCTTGACTTGTCTGCTGATGGGTTTCGGTAGAATCTGCTGTAGGAATCGCTTCTTGTTCTCGGGCATGATGAGGCGATCACGGAAGAATAGTGCACCGGTCTTCTTGTAGCCAGGATCGTCGAACAGCACCTCGGGATTCTTGAAGAACATGCTGTCCGCATCGATGAAGATGACTTCACGGAATGACGAGAAGAGGATGGCAAATGGTTTCGCGGCCCAGCCGGCCAACCGCCAGCCTTCATCGTTGACCATCTGCGCAATGTCACGCGTAACCACGCCATCGAGGGCTTCGAGTTCAGAGCGGAAGTCCTCTGATAGGTCCGAGTCGCCGAGGTACATGACCTCAACGGGAATCTTGCACCCTAGCTCGCGCATGATGGGGATCGACGTGAGCAGGTACGGGGCCTGGTCATCGCCAGCCGTCAGCACGATACCCTTGCCACCCCGCTTGAAGTGCGCATGGAGGGACATGTGGTCGCTGAAATAGGGGCCGGTCCAAGGAAACAGCATTTGTCCGAACTTGGCCAGGAAGAAGCGGTAGCTCTCGTAGCTACGAATCTGCTGTGCGAGATCCATCGCCTCGAGACCTATGATGGCCGGGCTGTCTATGTTGTTGATATGCTCGTGTGAGCGCATGTACTGCACCACATCGTCGCGCACATATGAGCCACCCTCAGCATCGATGGCGATATGCAAGTCCTCCCACGCTTCGAAATAAGATTTGTACGCGCGGGTGCGAAGGCCCATCTCGCGCATACGCTCCTTGCCAGTGCCTTCGACGGGCCGCAGCAGGTCGCGCATATGCATCTCACCAGGCAGCATGTTTATGATACGCGCTAAGGCCTTCTCAAACTGGGGTCGCTCGGACCATTGTGGCTTGTCAGCCGCCAGGTCCTTGGGTTTGCTCGCGGAGTGTGAGGAAGCCAACGCCGCGTCTTCCCTGTCGGAGCCAGCATTGCCGCCGTAGCCTTGTAGGTTGCCGGCACTGGCCTCCTTGGGCTCAGGATGAGCGGATTCTTCATCTTTGAGGAGTGCCGGGTCCTCGGATTCGACAGGGGCTACAAATGGTGCTTGATTAGACCCTGGTGCAACGGCGGGCACGTCGGCTGCCTGCTTAGGTTGCTCCTTGACCACAACTTGTGGTGGTTTCTCGAGCGGCTGTGAATTCAACCGTGTTTGGGGGTTTGGTGGTGGTGGAGCGCCTGTAAATGAGGCGCCGGAGGTGAAGAAAAGCCATAGGGGTATCAATAGAAGTAATAGCAGAAAAAGACCTCCCTGACGTCGAGTGACTCCTCGACCAGGAGGGCCGGCATATGGAAGGCCACCGGGATAGGAGCGGCCCTCCTTAAGTGGCTGTTTTCGAGGTGCGAAGTTCATCATGGTTGTGCGACGATCCTCGGATGTTGATTGAGTTAGACCCTCTCGGTTGTCATTGAGACGGCTATGCGCGTCCGGACGCGGAGAATACGGACGGATGCGAGAGGGTGGGATCCGGTGAGATTCGAGAATGCCGAATGTTGATGGCGCACAAGATGTTGGCGACAAGCAAGGTCGTCGTTATCAATAAAGTGACAGGAAGGTCCGTGTTGCGTTGTGGTCTGAGATGTGTAGAAAGGTGCCGTGTCCTTTTCAGGTGTCCCTTTGTTGAAAAAAGGTATTGCCCCCCCCTTGCCCGGGCTCGGTTAGCTAAGCATTCTCGTCGCGGTTTAGCTGGGGCGCGTCTGTGGAGCCTGTGTTCATCCCTGGCCTGGCAGAAATTGGCCTCAATTGCTTACTTGAGTATAGGCACGTGGAAGGATGCAACGGTCTCGCATCGGATCTGCTCCCAGAATAGGTCGAGGTTGGCTGTATCTGTCGCAAGAACACTTCTGATGAGTCTTGTTATTATTGTCTTTGCCTTTGCAGTATTCAAATGCCCTAGATCCAGACCGCGTGGTACGCGCAGAAGGCAGAGAAGCAGCAGCGAAGGCGAAGATGCCCAGTTAGACCAATCATTCATTCCCCTTGCACTTCTGACAGCTATTCTTAGTTAAGCGATTTCGACAGGCGTAGCCGAGAATGAGCGCAATTGCGACGGCAGCACCAGGGGTCCAAGCCAAGGCAAAGCTACCAGCGCTCGAGGCTGGCGTAAACCAGGAGCTACTGCAACAGTGGCGCAGCATCCACCGTATGTCCTAATCCAGCAAGGAAATTATTGCACTGTGTGAATGTTTGTTCTACTGTGGTACGAGACGGTGGCTAGCACGCCCAGGAGCAAATGTGGCTGGGGCATCGTCCACGCCGAAAATTTACTACAACCTTGACTGCCTCTCGCTCTCTCACACAAGATTCAGTGGCGCATATTGCTCAAACTTGGGATGACCAAGCAAGGACTTGACGGCACCATATCGACAGCACCCGCACGACCGCGAAAACGGCCGACAAATCCCCTGCAGGCAGGCATCGACACTTTCCTTTCAGACTGCCTCCATCTCGAGCAGGCGTCGCGCACCAGCTTGCCCAAGCGGTACACACTCTATCTTCCATTGTTGTTGTTGCCTGTCAACTTTACCACGCACAATGTGGAGTGGCAGCGGCTTTACGCGGGCCTTGACGATGTGCGAAAAGGCCAATTGTTCCAAACCATAGCGGACGCCTTTTCCTGTGCCGGACAGCATGTAACTCACATCGCCATCAATGCACCGATTGAGCATTGTCAGGATACGGAAGAGAATGTGTTGCGTAGTCCGTCTGGCTTGCTTCCAGTCTGGGGCGATTGTGGACCTTCAGGTCTGCTCGATGGAAAGGTAGGGAATCCTGGTGCTGCGGATTTCGATGCCGCCTTCTGGGTCTCAACAGTTCAAGATCACGGTATCAGGCAGATGTGGGCCCCAAAATGGACCATGTTCAGCCGTGGCAATCTTAGTGAGAAGAGGAGAATATTGGGCACAGTCAATAAGGGTCAGCGTTCAGTTATGGCCGGAAGCGCAGCACACGAGATCGAGAATATGCAGGTCTTGGACTTGTATGTTGGCATCGGCTACTTTGCTCTTTGCTATCTCGCCCGGGGTGTCTCTCGGGTCTGGGGTTGGGACCTGAACCCCTGGAGTATCGAAGGCCTGCGGAGAGGCTGTGAGGCTAACGGCTGGGCCTGTGTGGTATTGCGTGTTGATGACGACGGTGAGTGCGATCGCTCCACGATATCTGATTTGGTGAGCCGCCTCAGGCCCAACGTGCACTTGCGTCAGGAAGATCGCATCCGATGTATAGCCTTCGTTGGTGACAATAGATGGGCTGCCAAAGTCATGCGCACTATCGACATGGAGTGTAGCCAACAACTCGGGGCAGAAGCTGAAGCATCCCAAACCAAGTTCCAGCACGTCAATCTTGGAATGCTGCCGACGTCTGTCGCCAGCTGGCCAAATGCTGCGGCACTCGTCGCCCCTTCTGGAGAGCTGCACGTTCACGAAAACGTCCAGTTCAGCGACATTGACCAGAAGAGATCCGAAGTGGAAAGCCGCCTGACGCACATGCTGTCGAGGCAGTATGGTCAACGTTGTGCACGAGTCGCTCATGTCGAGCACGTCAAAACTTATGCACCGGGTATCATCCATTGTGTGTTCGACGTCGAAGTTCTCGACATTGAATGAGATCTTCAGGCTTGCCTCCTGAATTTCGGAGGGATGTTGTTCAATACAATCTGCTGCCGTTGCTCCTGCTCAATGCGCTCCTGTTCTCGCTCCATCTCTTCATGCTTGCGGAAATGCTCAATGTCTTCTGGGTGAACGAGGTCCTCGATCTGTGTGTTCTCGTCGTGGTATTTCTCAAAGTGGTGAATCTCGTACTCATATTCGTCGTCACCATGGTGTCCGGGCCCAAGGCCAAAGTCAGGAAGTTGTGCGCCCGCCTTGATCTTCTCAAGAAAGGACTCTTTAGTGATACGACCGGTCTGGGTTGGATCGAATATCTTAAATACGTCCATGACAGCTAGCGTGTAAGTTAGAAACATGTTCATTGCCAGTTGTGTCTTGCCTCACCTTTGTCCTTCACATCTATCGGGGTGTCTTTCAATGATTCGTCGTCCAGCCCATAGAACCTGCGCACTTCTTCGGGTGTCCAAGCACCGTCACTGTTGAAATCATGCAAGGTAAAGAAGGATGGTGGATCGAAGTTGGATACATGGTGCTCCTCCGCCATATGGTATTCCGCCCACGAGCTTGCTGTGTTACCAGATGTGTCGTGCGACCCATGCGCTGCGACCAGGCTTGCTAAGCCGATCATGGCACTAGTATATCGAAGAAGCATGCTGGCGATGAGATGATGAGGCGTCTACAGATGACCTGCGTGGACTACAAAAAATCGAACCTCAATTGCACTGCGAGACTGCCGAGAAGCGTCCTGAAGACCGCAGCCCCTTGTTTCCCCTATGATGCACACCCCTGGAGATCGGAAACCGCCTATAGTTAGCCCCGATCTCCCTAGTGATAAGGCTGCAATATAGCCTTGTTCCATATACCACATCTACTATTATCGCCCAAAGGCTACGTCCTCAACTCGGTTCTGGTACAGTCGCATCAAAGTACTTCGAAAGTACCTTCGAAGTGATGCCTCCCATGATGTACAGGGCATTTGCTCTTTCACCGCTGCCAAGGTAACGTGACCGCCATGCCCTTGCCCAAACCGATCTGTGGCCATTCACAGCCAGCGATGACGAGAATTGTTGTTTGCCATCAGTCTTGTATTCGCACGTTTCGTTTCCTATTTGACAATTCTTTCCCTTTCTTCACAAACCCATATTCGTGCATCCTATGCGCGGACTTCCGGCTTTGACCCGGTTCTCGCACGAAGATGGCCTCGAGTGAGTCCTCTCTTGGCGGCGAGCTTGCTCACAGCCTTTTTGGAACAGCCCTGGAGGACCAAAGCGATGAATCCGAGCTATCCGCAGACGAAGACGTGATCGACATCAGCTCGATCGGGATCCCATCTCGAGACGATCCCGAACAAGAAGAAGCTCGTCGTCGAGCTCACGATGAGCAGATGCAGAAACTCACCGCCCTTCGGACTGCTGAACGCTGCGAGTACGAAACCACCCCTGCATCAAAGATCAAATTTGAGACCCAGAGGCTCGTCGATAAAGCCCGCGAGTATCAGCAAGAGCTGTTTGAACGAGCGAAAGACGAGAACATCATCGCTGTGCTTGATACTGGGATGGGCAAAACTTTGATCGCAGCTCTGCTCGTCCGACACGTCCTGGAGCAGCAAATTACGGAGACCGATGCTGGGAAGCCTCGCAAGCATGTCGTCTTCTTAGCGAACAGTGTGCCGCTGGTCCACCAGCAAGCCCGATTTCTGGCGAGGAATTTGCCTGATCCTGTACAGGCTCTCACCGGTCAGGACAATATCGACATGTGGAACCGGGAAGAGTGGCTGCAAGTGCTTGAGAAACAGAGCGTCATAGTATGCACTCCTGCAATCTTAGACCAGGCTCTCTTCCGCAACTTCATTCGCATGGAGAGCCTCGCTCTGGTTATCTTTGACGAAGCTCATCACTGTAAGAGGAATCATCCCTACTCCAGAATTATTCGCGACCACTTTCTCAAGATGAACGCTCAGTTGCAGCGGCCACGCCTTTTCAGCATGACTGCTTCACCCGTCGACTCTAAACGGGAGATATCGGCAACTATCGCCGAACTCGAGGAGCTGCTCCACAGCAAGTTAGTCACAGTCCCCGACGCCTCCTTAATGGACTTTGCCTACAAACCGGTTGATCAGATTTGGGAATACGGCCACCAAGGCCATGTTATACCGACAGACCTGTATCTTTCCCTTGCTTCACTTGGACAAGTGCTGCCTGAAATCAGGTCAGATCTAGACGCCGCTCTCCAGATCTCATCGCATCTCGGCACCTGGTTCACCGACCGTCTTCTTTGGCACCGTTTCGGCACCGACAATGCCGTGAGGCTACTCTATGGAAAATTCGAGCGAAGTGAGAAGTACACCCACATGATGGATTCGGAGAGAGAGGCTGTCCGAGAGCGATTCTTCGCCGCGCCGGGCCTCGTCCAGCAGAAATCGGTCATAGTGCTCCGACTGGCGCTTCCTGTGATGTCGCCCAAGGTTATGATGCTTTACGACAAGCTCGACGCTTTATTCACGGAGAATAAGTCAGCAAGAGCCATGGTGTTTGTTGAACAGCGCTGGACGGCTGTCTTGCTCGCCGACGCCTTCAAAGCTCTCGGCACCCATCACCTACACGCCGGATATTTCACGGGTAGTGGCACTAGCGGCAGTGAAGTCGTGTCTGCCTTGAGACAAGAACAGACTATGACGAGGTTCAATGCCGGTGTCCTCAATATCTTGTTCACCACGAGCGTTGGTGAGGAGGGAATTGATATCCCGCTATGTAATGCGGTAGTTCGTTTCGACCCAAACCGCAAGACGATTCAGTACATCCAGAGCCGTGGGCGGGCTAGAATGAAAGACTCGATCTATGCTCACATGATTGAGGAACATAACTTCAATCAGAGGGCTAACATGGAGCACTTTATTGAGAGCGCGGCCTATCTCAAGGCTTTCTGTCAGCAGCTGCCACCGGATCGTCTACTTGGCAGGGGGACCAAACTTGCTCAGATCCTCGCAAAAGAGTCTTCGTATCGAAGTTTTCGGACAAGCAACGGCGCGGTGTGCAACTTCAATAATTGCCTTCTGGTTCTGAGCAGGTATGCAAAATCTCTCTGTCATGTTGGCGCGACTATGTCAGAAGTCTACGAAGAAGTCATCGAAGAGTCCCTTGGAAAGGAGAACATGTACCAGTACACCGTCCGATTACCGGTAGTCGGCGAATCCATCATCAAGGGTGCTCATGGCGAGCGTCGCCCCAACAAGATTCTGGCCAAGAGATCTGCCGCCTTCAACTGCGTTTTCAAGCTCCGTGCTGCACAGCTGCTTGATGAGAATCTTGACAGCAAGTTCAAGCGGGTCCGCAGGGTTGAGCATCGTATGGCCGTTAACGACAAGAAGGACCCCTACGAGATGGTATCGAAACCAGGAATCTGGGAACGAGGGCTCGGAGATACTCCCAGTACGCTTAATGCTGCAGTGATCGAAATGCAGTCCCATGGGCACTTGCACCATGCACTCGCACCGATGGTCTTGCTGACCAGAGAGCGGCTGCCTGAGTTCCCGGCATTTCCTATCTATCTCGAGAGCGGTGTGCCGACAGATGTTGTTGTGACAAATATCGCTCAGGCTCTTGAGGTGGACGATATTTGCCTTCACACTCTGACGTGCTACACGATGCATGCGATCTTTGAAGATGTCTTCAACAAGGTATACAAGAATGATGCCACTCGATTGGGCTACTGGTTGGCACCCAGGCGGGCCCAGAGCACCGTGGCATCTTCTCTCGAGTCTCTTGTCGACATTACGCAGATGCAGACTGCTCTGACATCCAGGGAAACATGGACACCAGGCACCAACCCTTCGAAATGGTGTCACCGGTTTTTAGTAGATCCGCTCAGCGGCAAGCATCATTACTTCACAGAAGATATTGTAGCAGGCATGAGCATTTTTGACGCAGAACCCAAAGAGTTCTTGCCGAGCGAAGGAAAGAAGAGGTTGTCAGCCAGCGTGATCAACTTCACCGACAGTCACTGGAACCTCAAGCAGAAAGAGGCTCTGGCACCTATTTGGGATCGGGACCAACCTGTCATCAGCGCTGAACTGCTTACGGTTCGTCGCAACTTCCTCGACAAACCAACCGAACAGGAATTGAAGAGACCTAAATGCTGGATCGCGCCACAGCCTCTGGAGTTGGCCCGGCTCAGTGTTGATGCTGCGCGTACTGCATTGGCCTGGCCCTCGATTCTTCATCGCTTGGAGTCGTACTTAATTGTTCTGGAAGGGTTCGACACGATTGGACTCCGAGGTATTCCATCGGTTTTGGCTCTTGAAGCTTGCACCAAAGATGCGAATAGCGACGATCAAGAGGCTCGAACCCACTCTACCAGGGCTCGTGGTATGGGCAAGAACTACGAGCGGCTCGAGTTCATTGGTGACTCCTTGCTCAAGATGACGAGCACTATTTCCGTCTACAATCGCACCACTGGAAAGGAGGGCGATATGCATGACCGACGGAAGAATATACTCTGCAATGCAAACATGCACAACGTTTCAACTCAAAAGCTACACTTCTACCGCTACATCCGAACGACAGGTTTCGATCGAGCAACATGGTATCCGGAGCATCTGGTTCTTCTCAAAGGCAGAGGTGCAAATGGTCAGCCTGTGAAGCACGAGAAGAAGACCCACGATCTCGGTAAAAAGACGATTGCCGATGTTAGCGAGTCCACAATTGGCGCCTGTATCATGGCCACGAAACACTTGCCGCTCGAATCCCGCTTCAACCTAGGGATCAGGGCAATCACCACCCTTACTGATAGTGATGACCATCGAATCAGCGAATGGAGGGACTTCGCGATGCAGCACTCATACCAAGACTGGCAGCTGCAAACCAGCGACCCCTTGGCTAATGAGATCGCGGGACAAGTTGCCAGCAAGATTGGGTACAAGTTCAGATACCCCCGCCTGGCACGCTCAGCCTTTACCCATCCCTCACATATGCATGAGCCAGTGCCAGACTATCAACGTCTTGAGTTCTTGGGCGATGCTTGCTTCGATTGGGTTGCGATCTGGTGGCTGTTTGACAACAACCCGGATGGGAGTCCGGAATGGCTCACGGAGCACAAGATGGCCATGGTCAGCAATCAGTTCCTCGCGGCTCTAGCCGTAATGCTCGGGTTCGATCGTCTTTTTAGGGTCTACAATATCAAATTGATGAATGCCGTGTTTGAGTATGCCGAGGAGATGCGCCAACTGAGGCAGGAGTACCCCGATGCCCCAGATTTCTGGAGAAAGGGCCAGAAGCCGGTTCCCAAGGCCCTGGCTGACCAGGTTGAAGCCACGATTGGCGCTATGCTTGTCGATTCCAAATTCGACTTCGCTCCGATCGAGAAGTTCTTCTTCGACCACGTCGAGCCCTACTTCAGAGACATCGCTCTGTACGATGGCTTTGCCAACAGGCATCCCACATCTCTTCTACACAAGACTATCCAGGGAGACTATGCCTGCAGCGGATCCAGAATCGACATTCGGCATCCGAGTGGACTGGTTATCGATGAAGATGGGCTGGACGAGCTTCCCGAGGATCAGAAGATCACGGCTTCGGTGTTTGTGCACAACCAGTGCATTGGGTTTGCGGAAGGGACGAGCTCGAGGTATGCGAAGGTGAAGGCCAGCGCGAAGGCACTGAGGGTGTTGGATGGCATGAGTAGGGCGGAGTTCCGTGAGATGTATGGCTGTTCCTGTGGAGCGAACGGGCGAGATGTGGATGTCGAGGTGGAGGACGTGCAATGAAGAGCAATGCGAATGGCCGGGCGGCGAGAGAATGAGGATGGTATGAATGATGGCGTGAATCAACTAGATCAGAACTGCAATGAAGGGAAGCCACGTCAACGAAAGGCGAGTTCCATGGAAGTGGGCTACCCAAAACCGAAGCGTCGAGGTTCTTTGGATTGGAAGCAGGAACAGAAGCAACGTACTTAATAGTTCAACGATGCTGGGGGATGCGCACCGTTGTCAAGGTGTTGATGTTCATCGAGACCAGGAGCATTCAAATTACGATAGTATTAGACTGGGACTGAGCTGTGCCTTTATCCGGACTGACCACTGCCTTCTCCTGCCTAGCTGGTTCGGAGACGCCCACAACGCCGTCGCTAATCAATAGAAAGCATTCCTTCGCCCGCAGCAGAATGAGTATTTAGCCCATTTGACGACTGTTTGATAGTCGCTTATTGTTCAGAAGTCCATGGTTGATGAGGACATCTTGTCGTTGATATCGAGAACGCTAGGTACTGGTTAGAATATAGCGTGCCGCATAATAGTTAGCGATGGATACTTACGAGAACTGCTTGACCAACACCCCCTCGCCACCCTTCGCGAGATCGATGCTGAAGACGTAGAAATTTCCCTCGTTGGTGACCACCATGACCTGCGGGCTGTTGGCGCTCATGGCCACAACGCTTCGCAGCTGGGCTGGCGGGACCCCGCTCGCGGATTTTGGGAGGCGGATCCAAGCGAAATCCCGCGCAGGCTCCCACATCTCGGCCATGCCCTTGGGAAGATACCCGCCGACAGTGGTGGCGAAGCTAGAGGAGACGTTTTGGCTCGTCCGCCGAATCAAGCCGAAGAAGGTGCCATTGGGCTTCCGACCGGACATTGCGGTTGATTCAGTACCTTCAGCGTCGAGGTCATCGTCAAGAGAGTCACCAGCGGCTGGGGGCTCAAGGGTGTCCGAACCCTGCGAGAGACGCCGCGTAAAGGCTGATGACGCTTTAGTAGGCGAGGTTGGCGTGGATGCGGATTCGGGTAAGCTGGGGGATTGAGCTTGCTGCGGGCCCAATTTGAAGATGTGTACAGTCTCGGTAGCGGATGAGACACAGAGGAGAGTAGAGGTGATGTTGAAGGCCATACTGAATATGCGAGAAGGCATGGACCCGCGGCGAAACTGGTAGAGTTTGTGGGCATCAGGAACTGAGAAGACACGAATGATGGTGCCCTTGTCAGATGCGGTAGCCATAACCGTGCCCTCATTGTTAAAAGAGACGCTGGAGAGAGGAGACCTGTGGGCCTCAACGACGTTGATAGCTTCGAGTTTGGCCGTGTCGAAGAGGAGCACCTCACCCGTGGTGGGCGGGATATGGGTGCTGTTCGGGGGTGCATGCGATGGCGCTGTGGCAGCAGAGGCTTTTTGTGGCAGCGGGTACGCGAGGTAACAGTTCTCTGAGGATGGAGAGAGAGCGCATATAGCCATTGGGTTGGGCGAAGTCTCGATGGTGTAGAGTAGTTTCATGGGTTGGATGTCGTAGAGGTATATCTGGTCCTCGAGAATGATAACGAGTCTCTTGCGGTTGAGTCGGACTGCCAGTACAGTCGTCGGGAAGGTCAATTCGCATATTATGGATTCACGCTTTGTGTTCTTAATCTGTAGCCTCCGAGGCGAGAGGATGAGAGCTACGAGAGAGGTCGAAAAGAGCATCTCGAGGAGGGCGATGTTCCCTGCATCTCGAGACTCGTGGACTTTCGTGAATGGGTCTGTTGTGAATATGCGGAAGCCACGCGAGGTACCTAATACATGTCAACTTGCTGAGCGGAATACATAGGCGGGCGAAACTTACCAACAGCCAGGTGGCTGTAGTCCTGGTTGAAAGTCACAAAGTTCATCGCCATTGCGCTTGGAGAGCCAGAACGGTTGCCAAAAATCACACAGCCAGGCTTTGTTGGGGCTTGCCCACCATTCTGTGTCGCAGAATGCTTGTTATGAAAGAAGCGAGACTTTCAAAGCAGGCGATCACTCTCAAAAGTGGCCCTCTGACAGGCGCAGAGATCGCAGAGGTGAGCAATGTGGTGGTAAGGTACCGAGAATTGTGTGAGGGGAGGGGCTGGTCACAGGCAAAACGCCGCCGCAGCCATGTGACGATGCCCAGACAAGGCCCCCAACAAGGCAACAACTACCGGGGTCTGCCTCTTCATTTGATCCTTCTCCAACTGCGGTCACGGACACTCATGCTCACGGTTTCGGCCTTCTCGGTAGTGTTTGCATCCGTACGTCTCCATCGGGATGGCCGACCTGATGGAAATTGACAGCCGCACTCCGAGAGGGACAAAACGATCCGCGGAAGAAGCTGGGTTGCCTCCAGAAGCACCGCGGCGGATCAAGGCGCGTCCCCCACCCAGGTAGGTCAGGACGATGCTAATGCTTCACGCAGCCGTTGGCGGAAGATGTCATCAACAAGATCGCAGCTGGTGAGATTATCGTTGCCCCAATGAACGCTCTCAAAGAGCTCCTTGAGAACTCGGTCGACGCTGGTTCAACCGCCATCGAGGTCTTGGTCAAGGAGGGTGGACTCAAGCTGCTCCAGATCACAGACAACGGACATGGTATTGAGGTGAGATGACTGAAGGCGTCCTTGATGCCATGCTAACATGATCGTAGCGAGACGACCTGCCCATTCTTTGCCAACGCTTTACCACCTCCAAGCTCAAGCAATTCGAAGATCTCATGTCGATCGGCACCTATGGTTTTCGAGGAGAAGCTCTTGCAAGTATCAGTCACATTGCCCATCTCAGAGTCACTACAAAGACTGCTGGTTCGAGCTGTGCCTGGCAGGCTCACTATGCTGACGGAAAGCTGACGGCCACCAAACCTGGCCAATCGGCCGAGCCAAGGCCAACTGCTGGGCGACCAGGGACGCAAATCACGGTAGAAGACCTCTTCTATAATGTCCCAAGCCGAAGAAGGGCGTTTCGTTCGGCTTCTGAGGAGTATGCAAAGATACTAGAAGTTGTTACCAAGCACGCAGTACATTGCTCGCACGTTGCATTTTCGATCAAGAAGCACGGTGAGTCCGGCACAGGGTTCGCTGTCACAGCAGCCGCCACGAAGCAAGACCGAATCAAACAAGCCTATGGTGTTGGTGTGGCGAAAGAGCTGATTGAATTCGGTACCGAGAGTTCCAAGTGGGGATTCAAGGTGTCCGGCTTTGCCACAAACGCCAACTATAGCGCGAAACGGACTATGGTGTTGCTTTTCATCAACCACAGATCTGTCGAGTCCCCGGTGGTCAAGAAGGCTATCGAGCAAACGTATCAATTCTTCCTTCCCAAGGGCGGCCATCCTTTCGTCTACTTGAACCTCGAGATCGAGCCAGGCAGGGTTGACGTCAACGTCCATCCAACGAAACGAGAAGTCCATTTCCTGAATGAGGACGAGATCATCGATGAAGTCTGCGCGGAGATCCGTGGGAAGCTCGCTCAGGTCGACACCAGCAGAACGTTCAAGACACAGACGCTGTTGCCAGGAGTACCGCCCATGACCCCTATTACCACTAGAGATGCTTCTGAGGACTCAAGTGCGGAGGCTGGCCAAAGGAGTGCCCCCAAGACTCCTGCGGCAAGGAAGCCGTATGAGAATAACTTGATCCGGACGGACTCTAAGGCCAGAAAAATCACCTCTATGCTTCCACCAGCGCTTAGCTCGCGGAACTCGCTCGACGAAGACCCTACATTGGGAGACGGCCTCACGTACACGGACTCTGGCAGGGAACAGATCCAGATTCGGCTCACCTCGGTGAAAAACCTGCGAGCTGAAGTGCGTGAGGCTATGCACACAGGCCTTACCGAGATTTTCGCGTCTCTGACCTACGTCGGACTTGTGGATGAGAGAAAGCGTTTGGCAGCCATACAGTCTGGAGTAAGACTGTACCTTGTCGATTATGGCATGGCCAGTAACGAGTTCTTCTACCAAGTTGGTCTGACCGACTTCGGCAACTTCGGCCTGATCCAACTTCGACCCCCTTTGCAGCTGAGACAGGTCCTTGATATCGCTGCAGATCTTGAGATCGAGACATCGCCCAGCTGTGCAGGCCTTGACAAGACTGAAATTGTCGACAAGGTGTATAAGCAGCTCATGAGTAGGAAGGAGATGTTGAAAGACTATTTCTCAATCGAGATCTCTGACGCAGGTGAGATAGAAGCTATTCCTCTGCTACTGAAAGGGTACATGCCCTGCATGGCTAAGCTTCCGACCTTTCTTTTGCGGCTTGGACCATTCGTCAACTGGACGGAAGAGCAGAAATGCTTCCAGACGTTTCTGCAAGAGCTTGCTGCCTTCTACACTCCTGAGCGACAGGACAATAAAACAACGAACGACCCCACTGACGATGGCCAGAACAACGCCCTTGATGCTAAGCGGCAGGACTTGGACCATATGCTCGAGAATGTGCTATTTCCAGCCCTCAGATCTCGAATTGTCGCGACCAACGGCATGGTAAAGGGTGTAGTTGAAGTCGCCAACCTCAAAGGCCTCTACCGCGTTTTTGAACGCTGCTGAACAGATGCGGCACGAGTGGCTTCATACGACTTTCCAGCCCTTGTAGCAAAATGTACCAATATCGAAACAATGTTGACGAGATTCCCGACTTGCCTGTGCGCGGCTTTCTGTATACAATGCACGGTGCTCATCATTCCGCCCACGTTACGCGCTCGCCGCGAGCGCGAATATCACAACTGCGTTTTCTTCCTGACTATCTGGCAGTGCGCATGTAGGTACAGAAGGAACGGACGAACTATACACTCGGATCAAGAGATTTGCCATGGTTTCATCAAAGGCGTCTGCTACCGCAGTCGCAGCTCTGCTGGCTGTTGCAGCTGCACAAACAAGCGAGTATTTTCCCGATTCTGGCGCGTCCGGTACTAACTAAGAACTGTGCCAGGCCTTCCTGGTGGTTGCTACTATACAACAACAGTGGTCACCTTCGACCCCGGGGCAATATCCTTCTCAAGTATGACGCTTCCGTCAACGGAGGTCTACTCAACAACGACTGTCACGGTATACTCTTCCAATTCAAGCAGTGTGTCAGATGCAACAAGTTCCGAGGTGGGTGCGAACCCGACTTCAGGAAGTACATCTTCTGCCGATAGCGCGCTCAGCAGCGGCATTGCGCTCAGCAGCACGCTCAGCACTACGATCAATGATGGTACTGCTCTTGCTCCAAGCGTTTTTACCTCAGGCAACGGTCCCCCATCCGGTGCTCCAACTGGCAGCTCGAGCTCACTCTCTAGTAGAGATGTCCTGCCCTCGGAAAGTAGCAGGTCAAGCGAGTCGTCAACTCTTCTTTCTGGTACTCCAAGTACACGCTCAGCATCAATCTCTATCGACATTCCCTCCGTGGCAAGCTCTTTTGCGTCTACGACAGACAACTTGCAACCATCAGTCTCCTCACCTTCTCCTGCGACAAGCGCCGGCGAAGGACCTTCTCCCGACATTCAGATTGGTGAACTACTCTACATAGCTGTCAATACTGTGACTGGAAAAGCCAAGCGCGCGCTTCTGTACATTGCATTTGATCGGACTGGCATCAGTTTCCTGGTCGACAACAAATCCTCAGCAGCCGTGTTCACCGTTGATGAAGCCGGCAATCTACTCAGTGATGGCAAGTACATCAGCACTACGACAGATGAGGGCACCTCAGCTTTGCAGAAGTTCACTTCACCGCCAGTCAGCCCCTACTTCTGGTTTCTTGACGGCTCAAATCTGTATTTCGGTGCTGCTACCTTCTGCGTTACCTCGGCCGAGCAATTCTTTGTCGTCTATGACGATACGCCTGCGGAAGGCTGTGCAGCTGTCAATATTGCCGCCGAGCCCGGTCCAGCTCAATCCACCAGTATAAGTATTGTTCAGTCAACAACACCCAGCGTGTCACCATCTGTGACCTCTAGCGGCATTGCGTCAAGCATTGCGGCTTCCAACACACCCAGTGGCGTCGTGATCCCCAGTACCGAGAGCAGAGCTTCAGCAGTGGAATCAACGGTGGCATCTGCAACCAGCCTATCTTCGAGGTCTTCGACAAGTTCCATCTCACGATCACCAAGTGCAGCCGGGTCGAACCCCAGCGGCGCCATCTCTTCGAGCTCTTTGACCAATTCAATATCGCGGTCTCTGAGTACGCCAGGTTCAATGCCTGTCGACGAGATCTCCACGAGCTCCTCAACGAGATCGATCTCACGTTCACCAACCTCATCCAGGTCCAATCTTGTCAGTGCAACTCCTTCTAGCTCTTCTGCTTCTTTCGGATCAAATATCGTCGGCTCCACAGCCAATCCAATATATTCGCTCTCATCGTCCACGTCAACAAACGCACAGACCCCGTCAAGTAGCTCTCAATCCTCCTCAGTAGCTTCTTCATCTACTTCGCCATACATCAGACCCTCGCTGTTCTCTTCTGACAGCTCTACAACCTCTGCACCGACTCTGAGATCCGCCCACACAACTACAGCCTCAACTACCATAAGCCTGGGGTCGCTGTCCTTGTCAGCGTCAACAACCTCGAGAATAACGACATCTACAACCTCCACCCCGATCACCTGTTCAGCACGCCCCTTGCCAACCCAATCTCTCTACCCTGCCGTGCCCAAGCGTGGACTTGCCTACGGCAATGTCAGCTCCCTTCAATTCTACTCTCCACCCAGCCAAATATCTTGGGCGTATAACTATTATTCCTTGCCCAACAATAGCGCGACCAACAACACCGGACCCTTCCCATCCAGCCAGTCGCCCAACATGACTTTCTACCCACTCCTTTTCAACGACAACCCTTCCCTCACCTCTATATGGGAAGCCAACGTCAACTTTGCTGTGACCCACTACGGCGCTGACGCCATCTTCAGCTTCAACGAGCCCGATCTCTGCGTCCAAGGTTCTGCATGCATGACCGTTGAACGCGCCTTAGTCGCGTACGAGCGCTTCATTCAGCCATTCGCGGCCTGCGGCGTCAAGTTGGCCGCACCTTCTGTAACTAACGCGGGTAGTGGCTTCATATGGCTTTCCCAGTTCCTCGGCAATGCCACACAGCGAAATCTGACGGTCGACATCATCAACATTCACTGGTACGCCTCTCCATACAATCAGCAGTATTTCCAGGACTACATGGTCAACGCGTCCCGAATTGGTGGCGATCGCCCCATCTGGATCACCGAGTACGGCATGGACAAGATTTACCCGGAGCCGGCGGTGCTGCAGTTCGTTCGGAATACCACGTACTGGGTTGATCAGCAGCCGTGGATCCAGAAGACGGCCTGGTTCGGCAATTATAATAATAACTTACTGAATGCGGATGGGAGTGGCTTGAGTCAGAGGGGGCGGGTGTGGAAGGAGTACGTTGGCAGTAATTATGTTTATGGATTCAGCAAGAAGAGGCAGGTCCAGGATAACAAGGGGGTTGACAGGCTTGTGGTGGAAGAGCTGTCGCAACCGGAGGATTTGGCGACGCCGGAGAACCTGGCGAGCTTGAAGAACCTGGAGATGGAGGATACGTTTGGTCGGGCGTGGTTGGATCTTCTCAGAGGTGAGGAGGTGGGCAGCGAGAAGCAGTAGAAGGGGGAAGTGAAGACGCAGGGGGAGTGGAGGGTAGGGTGTTTCCACATTGACCTGGTGGCTGCCATTTGGCTCTTTCGATTGTGTTGTTTGACTGATTTCGACAGAGGTAGAGCAAGTGTCGCAATAGGCCGGCCAGGGTAAAGGTATTCTTCCGTGCAAGCTTGATCACTTGGATGCACTCGACCAGGTCCGTACTCGTAAGAAAGAAAGCTCGCTGCCAGCGAGCGGCTAGAAAATCTTCCCCAGCACCTCCTTCGCCTCCTCACTCACATCATGTCCCATAGCCTTCTGGCCTTTCTGAACCTCGAACTGCCGCCACGTCCGTCTTGGGGCCTCCTCCTCCTCACCTGAATTCCCCTCCAACTTCGCAGCCGCCGCAGCCGTGATCTCACCATCATCCCCTGCCCTCCTCTTCTTCCCCTTCCGCTTCGCCTCCATCCCCTCCCACTTCTTTCCCCTCTCGACACCCTCCAGAAAAGCCTTCTGCTCCTTCGCCAGGCTCCTCCTCTCCTCGTCCCGGCGCGCCTCCTCCTCCCTCCTCTCGCCCCTCACCCCCTCCATCAGCTCCGCCCACCGCATTCCACGCAGGTATCGCATGTTCCACAGGTCGTCGCGGTAATAGCCGCCCTTCTTGCCGCCAACGGGCGTCGCATTCAGTGTCTGTGCGCACTTCTTGGCCGTTTTGTGCGAGGCAAATTCGAGCCAGCCTTCGGAGTAGAGTTGACGTGATGAGGAGGAGGTGGTAGAGGAGGTTTTGGTACTGCCCGCCTTGGTTTTCGAGGCTGGGGCGAGGAAGAGGCGCGTTATGGGCGCGAAGCCACGCTGGGAGAGGAGATTGCGGAGCGCGGAGGGGCGGAGGTAGGGTGGGAGGGAGGAGAGGTAGATCACGCCTGGGCGGGGTGGGTCCTTGTCTTTCTTGGTTTTGGGGAGGGCGCTGCTGGGTATTGTGAGCTCGTCGGGACCGTTGTGGATAGCGGGAAGGTTGGAGGTCTGTTTGGTAGAGGGTTTTGTAATGGCGGGGCTTGGGACTGTCTTCTTCCCGGTCGCAACGACATCGTGCTGTTCCTCCTCGTCCGCAACATCAGACCTGTCACCGCGGTCAAGGTCGTGGGCTTGCCGCTGGAATTTCAGCGACAACTTGCGCTTTGAGGCAATCTCTTCTTGTGAGTCGTCATCGTCGTCATCCTCCGAGTCCGAAGAATGAGAGAGCTTCCTCCTCTTCGCCGCCCGTCCGCCGCCTGCACGCTCTGCCGACTTTGATACCTCCGCCGCCTCCGAGTCGTAGCCGCTCTCGTTGTCGGAGTCGTCAGAGGACGCATGGGCCATGAAGTCGTCCTTTGACAAAGCCATGACGGTTGTTCAGTGGCCCGGGTTTGTATGTGGTCGGACTTTTGTGCAAGTTGTGAACAAGTGATCGCTCGCTGGCTGCGGGCTTCGACAATTTTCTGGAGTTTGGCCGGAGTTTAGCCGGGATGGTGCCGTTCATTCACTGCCTGATATTTTGGAGCAGAAATTGACGAAGTGGCAGATTGCAGTCAAGTACAAGTACAACAGCCTGGCTGCATGTGATCTTACAAACATCTATTTGAGCTGGCTCGTCTGGTGACATCTACACGCACGGCCGCGCCAGATTATAAGCAAAGTCGTCTTGAACATAGTCTTGATTCGCGCCTTGCCCGTGTCAACGGCCCCCCAAATCTACAGATTGGCCTTGAGCTCGTCGTTCCAAGCTACGCCTTTCGTTGTCTTGCTTGTGCAACGGTCGAGCACTTCCTGTACTTTCGCTTTGACTCCTAGCTTGTTGTCCCATCTTTTCACTAGCTCATCGAGCACTGCCTGATACCCATCCTCGCCGATGCTGCGCACCGTATTCTCGATGTCGATTTCTCTTGGAAGAGAAAATTTGGCATGAGGATATTCGGTATACCCTTGTTGTGCCTCCGCGCCTTCCAGAGGCTCGACGAGAGCCAGTCGTGGAACGTTGTCAGGTTGAGTGAAAAACTTGTTCACGTACTCCTCAGATACCTCCGCCAGGGTCGATGGTTGCCACTGAGGCTCGGTGGCCGGCTTGTTGATGAGTCTAGCTGAGACACCCTCGGTGAAGTCGGGGTGCCCCATAAAGTGGGACGCCATCTGGTGTTCTCGGATGAAGGTTTCGTCAATGCTCCATGCCTTTCCCATCCGCAATTGCTTCAAGGTGACTTTCAAACTCGTTGGGGATCTGATGGAGATGGTCTTGAGGGTGTCCTTCGCCCATTGCTGGAGAGGTCCGGCCTCAGCCTTTTTCTCGAGGGCCGAAATAATTTCCTCGATCTCATTGTACTTGAAGCACTCATCGATAGCGGTCCGAAGCTCGCCTCTAAGGTTGCCATATTTCCCTTTCGGATAGGAGTCGGGTGAGGGAAGGTTGTTGGTGAACTCGGCAATGGTTTTATTTACAAGCTCCAGGCGGCTTTGAAGACTGGCAGTATCCTGGAACACAAGTTCGGATAGACGAGTTGATAGAGGCGCCAATACTGAGCTGTCCACGTAGTGTGTGGCAATACCTGCATAGAACGCCTGTACGCCATGGAGACGTTCGGAGGTCAGGGCAAGGTACGTGCCAATCTCGCCGTCCAGCCGTGGCAACGCAAAACTGCCACCGACGTCGGGGAAGAATCCAATAGTCGTCTCGGGCATTGCGTAGACTGTGCGCTCGGTGGCGATCCTGAACGGCGCATGAACGGACAAGCCTACGCCTCCACCCATGGTGATGCCATCCATTATCGCAACGTAGGGCTTGCTGTAGGTCGCAATCAGATGGTCGAGTTGATATTCGAGAGCGAAGTAGTTGCACGACTTTTCCTGTCCTTCGGGTGTGGAGTTCTGCTTCGCCAGTTCCGCAACATCACCACCGGCACAGAAGGCTTTATTTCCCGCGCCACTGATGATAACCACATTTGCCAATTGTGACTTCTCCCACTCTCGCAACCGCGGCAGGATCTTCCTCGCCATAGATCCATTCAGGGAGTTCAGCTTCTTCGGCCGGTTGAGCTCGACTGTGCGCACTCCGTACAGCGAGTTGAAGAGGACATCGTCGGGCTCGTCTCCTGGCTGCTCTTTTGGCATAGCCAGGTACCTATGTGTGGTAGACATCTGTCCAGGTCAGCATTGGGGAACACTGTCTGTTATGTACCATACCGTGCGCTTGCTTAAGGCCTGCAAGGTAGGCTGTGGTCTAAAGCTTCGGAGACCTTTGGAGGCCGGCGCGGTACGAATTGGTGTCAAGAGGGAGACTGCGTATCTGGCGCAACAAGGCTTCATGACGAGGTAAATGAAGTCGGCTGGTCTGAACACATCGAGAGGTTCGAAAATGAGCGTAGTGTAGCTGTTGCTGCTGAAAGGTCAACGTCAGACTTTCTCCATCGTCAACGGCAGAAACATCCTCGGATGCGGTTGAAGTCGGAGATGCGGAGTAGGTACTCTTGCGTGACCGTAGTGCACGACTCTTAGCCTTGTCTTGGCAAATCGCGAGGCTGACAAAGCCAAACTTCGGAGGCGAAAACTTGGTGAGTAATTGTATTTCTTTGCCTTCTGACAGTTGATTTAATATACTTGGAACCACAGACACACAGGGCAAAGACACCAAAGAGACCCACGACCATGTCAATGGACATTGACGCTCCGGTGGCCATACCATCAGGGCAGCAACGACAAGCAGCAACGATCTTGTGCTGTAACTGTGGTGCACCAATCGACGGAACAGCCGCGGCAGGCGCCCTCTGTTTCGACTGTGTAAAATTGACAGTCGATGCTTCGGAAGGCATTCAGAGGGAAGGAACACTTCTCTGCTGCAAAGACTGCGAACGATGGCTCAGCCCGCCATCACAATGGGTCACAGCCGCTCCCGAATCTAGAGAACTTCTCGCACTGTGTTTGAAGAAATTGAGAGGATTGAGCAAAGTCAGAATCATCGATGCCAGCTTTCTGTGGACCGAACCACATTCAAAGCGGATCAAAGTCAAGATCACCGTTCAGCAGGAGGCTTTCGAGGGTGCCATTATTCAGCAAACTTTCGAGGTTGAGTACGTTGTCGCTGGTCAGCAGTGTCCAGATTGTGCAAAGTCATACACTGCCAATGTATGGCGAGCGTCTGTCCAAGTACGTCAGAAAGTTCCTCATAAACGAACTTTCCTGTACCTTGAACAGTTGATGCTCAAGCACGGCGCCCATAAGGACACGATCAACATCAAGGAAGTCAAGGATGGCCTGGACTTCTACTTCTCCCAACGAAATCATGCAGAGAAATTTGTTGATTTCCTGACATCGGTCACACCCGTTAGAGTGAAAAAGTCGCAAGAATTAATCTCGATGGACATCCATACATCAACCAAGTCTTACAAGTTCACATACTCTTGCGAACTCGTGCCGATATGCAAGGACGACCTTGTCGCATTACCAGTCAAGTTAGCCAAGTCGATCGGCAACATTTTTCCTCTCGCTCTTTGCTACAGAGTTGGCACGTCGATCAATGTCATCGATCCCAACACTCTGCAGACTGCAGATCTACCGACAAACATCTACTGGCGCGCTCCCTTCAAGAATCTCGCAGATGTACGGGAGTTGGTTGAGTTCATTGTGATGGACATTGAACCCACTGGTCAACAAAACGGGCGCTTCTTCATGGCAGAGGTAACAGTGGCCAAGGCTTCTGATCTTGGATCGAACGATCGAACATACTTCTGCCGAACTCACCTTGGGGGCGTTTTGCATGCTGGTGACTCGGTCATGGGATATGATTTGAGCGGCACGAATTTCAACAGTCCGCAGTTTGAGGATATCGAGAACAGCTCTCTTGCATCTCGGGTACCGGATGTCGTATTAGTCAAGAAGCACTATGCCAGAAAGAAGAAGCCGAAGAGGAACTGGCGGCTCAAGAGGATGGAGAAGGATGAGGGAGAGCTTTTGCCGAAGAAAGCCGACCAGGAGAAGCTGGACGCCGACTACGAAATGTTCTTGCGCGACGTGGAGGAGGATGAGGAGCTACGCAATACATTGGCTTTGTACAAGGCGCGGCAGCAGGCGAAGGAGGCGGATGCCATGAGCATGACGGAGACGGAGGCGGACCAAGACGATGAGGTGCCCAAGATCAACATGGAGGAGCTCCTTGATGATTTTGAGGACTTGCACGTGAAAGACTGAAACTCACAACAACAGGGAACCACTTGATGGAGTATCAGCGTTGCCACGATATCATGAATTTTGCATTGCCTCCCAGAGGCTGGTCATAGCATCAAGCATCGGAGGGGCCGGGATTTCCCCCTTCTAGAAATCGAAAGAACTGCAGACGATTCCCGTCTGGATCCTCAACCTCGAATTGTCTGTAACCCCAAGGCTTATCCTCGACGGGATCGACAATCCTCACCTTTCCCTCGGCCTTCAACAAGTCGTGATATTCGTCGACAGCCTCAGTGCCCAGTGCGATCATTGCTTTCGCAGGATGAAGCTTCTCCCCTGGCTGGCTCTGGAAGAAGTAAATATTGCCCTTCATCGCACCGATGCCGATGAATACTGAGCACATGTTGGGCTCGTCTGCGTCTTCTGGATCTATGCCGCCCAGCTGAAAGTGCAAGTCATTGGTGTAAAAGTTGACAGTGTCTCGGATAGAGCTGCTTGGGAAGTGTGGAACGAGTCCCCATGCGGTGTCGGTTATCTTGCGGGCTGCCATCTTGTGACTAAAGGTGTGTTCGTGGTGCTCTCATCATGACCGCCGGCCTTTCTGTATCCTATTTCAACAAAGGCTACGCGTAGTGATGGATCTGCCTGGTGTTAGCGGCATGGTTGCCTAAAAGGCGCCCGCCAAGCATGATGACGTCTGTCGCTTTGGGCGCCGTCGAGGTCGAGCACGTCCTTGAGAGAGGCTACTTGCATCCCTCGTATTGTCAACAGATCTGAACCGCAACTGGGTCGATACGTATTGATTTTTACTAGTGATCAAAGCTGAAATCATCATGCACGCCCTTGGAACTGCCTTGTAGTCAACGTGTCAGGAGAACTCCATCGAAACCTGTGGCGATTCTTGCCTTACCGCCAAGACAGTTGTCCCGGGGGAGTTTTTGACCATGCGGGTAGGCTCTTGACTGCCCAAAAGCCAGGCCAACTGCGGCCACCTTATTGAACGATCTCCATGTCCCTACAGACCCTATCATTGCATTCCTTTGGTTACCAATGGTAGTCCTATCAAGGCCCAGGCCACGGGACTGCTGGGGGATATCATTGCACCCATCTAGGCGAAAAGAGCATTTGCTCGCTTCTTGGACCGCGACATGAGCTCTGCGTTCTTTCGGCGTCCTGGCGAGGACAGTTCGAGCTCGGACTCAGAATCAAGTGCGGAGGAAGTCGAGATTGAGGAGCCTTCCACCAAGGATACCGAGGGCGATCTCAACAGTAATGACATCGAACTCGCTACCACTGAGTCCATCCCTACCGATGCCAGCGTTGCCCTCCCGCACACGGATGAAGATAGAAATGTGCTAGATGTTGATCAACACCGCAACAACATGCTTACAGCACTGCTCGAGGACTACTACAAGAATCGAGCTACGGATCTTCTGAATTCCACACATCCTGATGCCAGCTTCACACGCGACTCTGCAGAAGTGCAGGCGCTAGCTCGTGAGCTGTACTCGGATGCCAGCCACACGCTGGCTCAGAATGGCATCATACCGTCACCCCATGCCACCAACAGCCGTTCTGCACAGAACCGTAATTACCTCTCGGTGCTTGACAGCATTGCCCTGAGGAACATCAAAGACGTCGGGATCTCGCGTGCGCAACAGAATCTACAACTCCGAGAAGGAGATGCTAGCCTTGCTCTTGTGGGGGTAAATAAGCGTCCCGCAACACAGCATGCAGCTTACAGTGAAGCATCATTAGGCAATCTCATCATGAGTACTGGTCATATGGGCATCTCATCCCCTCATGCAGACAGGGCTCTCACCGTCTCGCGGCCTCAGCAGCAAAGTCACTACGAGTCAAGTTTTCAACAGCTCAAGCTGCTAGGCAAAGGAGGTTTTGGACGCGTCTATCATGCCCACAGCCTGTTTGATAGGAAAGAGTACGCAATCAAGAAAATTCCTCTGAGCCCTCGCTTGACTCGGAGCTACCAGCAAGGTGGGCATGCGGAGCTTGATAGCGTTCTGAGGGAAGTGCAAGCGCTCGCGCAGTTGGACCACAGCAATGTCGTTCGGTATCATGCCACCTGGATCGAGGAACCAAGATCCTCGCCCAGACTTTCGAGCGGTCCGATGCACACCTCTCTTCCACTGAACCGTCGGCGGTTGCTCGCAGATCGACCACACGAATCTCCGAGACCAGCCCTGCCGGAACAGAGCGAAGGTATTGTTTTCGGCTTCGACAGCTCACGCCGGCCCTCCTATGCCAATGACGTAGCGAGTGGCTGGTCCATCGACGACGCACTCGACAAAAGTACGTCGATTCGAGAATCGCAAATTTTCACGGACGGGCTAGTACAAGGGAGTGCCAGCACTGAATCGAACGTTGATGACACTGTCTGTGTACTTCATGTACAGATGTCACTCTATCCAATGACCTTATCGCAGTACCTGGCTCCGCTTTCAGCAACGGCAAGCAGTGCCCCCGGGTCGCCTCAGCGACGGCATTGCTTCCATCTCGTACCCTCGCTTCGCATCATTCTAGGCATTCTATGTGGCCTGCAATATATCCACGCCAAAGGTCTCATCCATCGTGACATCAAGCCCGGAAATATCTTCCTGTCGCACGTCGATCAATCAACCGGCTATACGACCTCTGAGGGGTTCTACGACGTCGGCTCATGCTCTGCTTGCCCTGACTACCACGAGTATCACGTCAATCCTCGCATCGGCGACTTTGGGCTCGTAGCAGAGCTCGCGCGGTCTGACGTTAAGATCGACAGTCCCACAAGCCCATCTTCGTCACCGGCGAAACTCGTGGGAACAGAGTACTACAGGCCGCCTCAGCCAACGGACGGCGACGGGCACAAGGCGAAACCCGCCGTCGATGAGAAAGTCGATGTCTATGCCATGGGCGTGATCCTGGTCGAGCTTTTGTGGCAGTGCAACACCAGCTCTGAGCGGCTGCACGTCCTGAGAGACCTGCAGAGGGGACGGCTCCCAAAGGCACTGGCGGCTACGATTGAGAGCGAGGGTCATGAGCCAGGCCTCGGGGAGACGGTCAAGGACTGCATTCGCGGCATGATCGTGCCGGACGACAAGGCGCGCTGGACTTGTCTGCGGGTGGAGCAGTGCATACAAGATGTCCTGAGAAAGTGCAAGACGAGGATGGATGTGACCAATCTCACCAAGGTTCGGTGCCTGAATGGGACTGAAGACTCAGCGGGCGCGACGGTTGAAGTGGTAGACGACTGAAGACAGCTGTGGTGTCTGTGGTTCAGCGCCATGTCAACGGGATGATGGTCGCGGGCAGGAAAGGCAACATCATGTGGACGAAGATGGCGCACAGTGTTCCCCCATCAGTCGTTCTGCCTCTTCGGCAATACATGGCTACGCTGGGGCAATTTGTGTCATCTCCAGATTCTACGAAGGCTTTTGCAACCGCACCCGGCCCTCAGCCCGGGTCTATCTGGAAACACGCAGGCGAACGGAGACGACTCTGCCAGGAGCGGGCCCTGTCCCGCAAACACAATTCCCCAAATGCAATCAGGACACTGTGGCAAGCTGCAGCAGAATCTGGCCGTAGCCACAGAAGGAGATCAACAGACTTTATCGAGCCAGAGGGCTCCTTGCCCAAGGCTCGAATATCGATCCCTTGCTCTGTTGGCATGTGGTCAAGACGTTTTTACGAATAGCGACAAAAATCGAAGAGACCATCACACTTCTTCATCTGATATTGCTATCGTGCCCATCTTGCTAAAGTCTAACTACATACGACTCCAATGAACGGGTCCCCATGACTTGCTATACTACTACCATATCAATTCGTCAGAGCCGCACTCTCAAACCCACGGAGGAGGCAAGGAAGCCAGACAGGGCTCCTGACAAGATCGCGCCAACCGCGCATCCTGTAGCAGACCGCCAACTGTAGCACATAGTAGGTTACCTTGGGGCTACTACCGTAGCTAGGTAAGAGGCAACGACCTAATCCGGCATGCGCCGGTTCGGCGGCTCGAATTGATCCCACTGAGTCAGTTCGCTCAAAAGTAACCCGTCATAAGGAATAGCAGCGCAGCGCTAGTAAATCTACAATACAACCTACGGGATTTCAATTCTTTTAGGGTTCGTTCGCGGAGGTAGGGATGTATATCCATTGTACATAGCCACAGTAGTACATTTGGGAAGGGCCATGCTACTGCTTACTATGGCAGATCCGCGGCGAGTCATCAGTCAGAAGTGTACGGTTGCTTCTTGAAGAATTGATAGCCACAAAGGATTGCTGTCGCTTTTATTCAGCTGTGTCGAGGGCTTCTCCCGTAGGCTGGTTAAATGAGGTATAGAAAGCGTAAGGCCTGGGCCAGGGTCGGGGCCGCCGCCAGATGTGACCGGCGTTGAGGGATCGGCGGTTTGATGTTGCTCGAACTCGGGGAAGATGAATATTGGCCCATGTACTGCAATGTAAGCCGTCGAACGGCCCCAGCTCAAGCATCGGAACCACAGGCATTCTGGAGCCTGTTGCTATGGAGTCTGCGTAGTCATTTTCGCTTCTCCCAGTGAGGAAGATGTTGATGGTCTAATCCCCAACCAATTCCCAGCGGACGGATGACGGCTCGCTCTGTAGGGACTACTTTGTCAGGTACGGAGTAATACGTTGTTCGAGCGCATACAGGAACGCAGCCAGAAGCAGTCGACGACATCATGCTGCAGCGATACTAACCGTGTCGCGCAGATCTCCGCGTCATTATCGAGATGCTATTAGCAAAGATCGAGTATCCGTGTACTTGCTTTAGCTACAGTAGTGTCTGCAGGGTATTCTGGAAAAGCATATTCGCATATCTGGTCCAGCTGGTCAGGGGGTGGCAAGTCTTGGCCAGCGGGAGGTCGGTGGGACTCGGTGAATTAGATGTGGTCAAGCTCAATACGCAAGCCGCTTGCGTAGTGCCTCTCGAAGGAACTTCAGGTATCCAGTATGGTGCTGTATCATGCTAGATGACGCGATGGAAACGATATCCGGATGGAGGGGCTAGGATGTTCAAATGTGGGACGAAGGGGTGGCAGCGGCAGAACGGGAGTACTGAATAGGTGCCACCTTTTGCTTGGAAGCACGTACGGCAGAGGGGGGCCGTCGAAGCCAATGATTTGAGAAGGGAGGATGTACAGCCGCTGGTGCTTGCCCTACCGGCTGCTGCCCCGCCTTGCCTGTTGAAGGCAATTGCTACTCTACGGTCTGCCGTAGCTGGAGCGCCTGCTCGAGTATTGGGTCATTCAGCAGCACAAGCTCACGACCTGCCGCAGTTCTATCACCGGTGGCAAGTTCCGCTCATGTCAATTCGTTGAAGAATTCTGCAGCCTGGAACAGCGCAATCGAGCAAAGGGGACAACAATTCCGAACGGGCATGGCAGCCGCAGGATGAAAGAGCCGTGCCAATGAGAGCCCCTCTTCTCGAGGCTTGAGCTGTGTCAGCCAGGCAGTGAAAGCGCCGATCACAGACCTGCATGGCCATCCTCTGTGGCGTCCAAAAGGTTTGCGACCGATTTCTACCCCTTGCACGAATATATTATCAAATTGTCAAGTGCAAGCTGACAACAACCGGAAAAGCAAGGCAGACGTGCATGAAGGGAAAATGGTTGGTAAATCATTATGTACATTTCATTCGTTCTGCTTGGAAACCGTCTGAGTACAGACTTTGAGTGCTCCTCGTCAAACCTCCAGACTCTCGCTTACCAAGTACGCTTTCATGGTGCCGAGGCCTCACCTGCCTTTTTCGAGGCAGCGCCACCGCATGGCACCGGAAGCTCGAGAGACTTCTACTGTGCCCCTCTTTCGGCAGCCACATCTCTCCAGCAGCAGCCCCGCTTTGCCAGCTACTTGAAGTCCCCTCAGCGAAGCTGACAGTAGTAATTCCGATCTGTAGCCAGAGTTCCCTAATCCTTGCCGCACATGTCAATGCTTCTGCAGCTGGAGCGAAGGGAGCTGAGCGCCCACGCTCGTCTCTTCGAAGACATGCCCGACAGATGACTCACGGGCACTGGGGCGCTGGGCCGCAGTGCTGGAAGCCGGTCTGTACACGGAGCCAAAGATGTAATGATACTTTTTGACGAGAAGCACTCATTTGAGCGTGCTCAGGGGACGCTGTAGTGCGCCATATGTAGAAAGTAATAGCAATAGCTAGTCCGTGTTTCTGTAGACCAGATTTGGGGTGACTGAACGCGCTCAATCGGTCTGCATAGGTGTATGGACCTCAAAATCGGCTGTCCGATCAAAATCTGGGAGGGGAGGGTTGAGCAGAGCGGGGTCATGGTCAAAATAGCTCTCACTCATCATAGGCGCCTGGCTGATAGGCGGCACACCATCCATTGCCATCTGAGAGTAGTCGCCGTAGTTGCCTCCTCCCAGAGAAGACATCTGGCCGGCAAGAAACTCATTGCTGAGTTGGCTAAGATGACTTTGGATCTCGTCGGGAGATTTGCAACCTTTGCAGTTGGCGTGTGCGAGTAGCATGGCATTCATCTGTTGAATTTCCTCCTTCATGTGCATGATTTGATCTTTCAGGAAAGCATTATGGACCGCTTTATCGTGCGAGTCTCGCTGTAGTTGCTCGGTTTTCTCTTTCTTGTTGATGCGGCATTTGGCTGCAGCAAGGCGATTCTTCTCAAGAGAAGCTTTGCGCTTTGTGTCGTCCGGCCCGTTGTACTCCTCAGTGTTGGCAGAAGCTTTGCGAGTGCTTTTCCGCTTGCGACCTGAAGGCGTGGGTGCTGGTGCATCGCACTCTTTAAGTTGTGCTTTCGATGAGCGTTTTCTCCGCGCTGGTACAGAGCTAGACTTGGGCGACGCAGATGCTGAGTTGAGCATCGTCCGAGAACCGCTACCTGTCGAGTTTGTTCGAGGGGGGGTGACCTGGCCATAGCGCGAAATTGAAATCGCAGTGTTGGGCAGATTCTGTGTAATGAGCTTGTCAATACTGTATCCGTGTTGTGAGTTCTTGAGATCGTCTTCGCGCTCGAAGCCGGGCCAGCCGCCCAAAGACAGGTCGGGAGGGCTGTAGCTTTGATCGATTTTAGGGAACGCAGATGTCTTCTGCTCGGGAGGATCGAACCCGAATTCATCTTCCTCGGTGGGTCCGTACGAGTTGAAGAGGCCCTCTCGGAGAGTGTAGCCGTCCAGATCTGTGACGCTGGCAGCGGAAGAGGGGGGACCGGATGTGGAAAACCCGGCGACGGAATTCATGGTGACTAAATGCGTTGTTGACGTGCTTGCGGTTCACTTGAATATGCCTTTAACCTGGCGAAACCCAAGGTCAAGTGAGCAGGCGAGAGGTAGTAAACACGCCAGGCTGTCCGTAGAGAGCCAGCGGGGTTGCAGAGTGATCCGGAATAAACGGAAGCGTGAAGGGTAGGAAAGAAGAGGTCGAAGAGTTGACCGCTTGTCTCGGAATGTGAGGGTGCAAATAAAAAGCACAAGCTCGAAGGGAGGGGCAGGCGCCGCAGAAGTGGTAGAATTGCCACCAATCCGATCGACACTGCCTGGATCGGCCTCAGAAGGTTCGCGAAACTGCTGCTGCAACGGGGCTGCCGGTGAAACTAGTTCCGCGTTGAGTCCGTTTGTAGACGGGGGATAACTCGTGTCTACAATCGAGGATGGCGTCTGGTCACTAGGTGCAACCGCAGTGTAGATGTAATTGCGTATAGTGTACAATGGAAGAGCTTGGGCGAACAATTTGGGGGAGAGGGGCAAAAACTATCAACAAAGAAATACCGCGACTCTTGTACCTAATTTCTACGTTCCATGGAGCCATCTGCCTACGGACGGAGCCACCAGACAACAGCCACAAATGAGGAGCATTGGAATGGACGGAAGCTGAGGCGTTGCAAAGAAAGTTGGAAGCTGGTGCCCATCCATCGAGATCCCATATCCTTAGACGCTCGATTTGAGCTGGGGTCCAATCGCCTTGGCTGCTCCGCCAGCTCCAGCGCATCAAACACGACTACGCCCCGATCGGTTTTGTATTTGCGCTTTCCCTAGTAACTGAACAATCACACCAACTTGCCGCTGTTCTGTCCCGGCTGACAGTGGTTTTCAGCACCGCTTTCACCGCGTGACCCCTGTTGTCCGCCACACTTCTCCCTGAAATCCCAGGAGTCTGTTTTGGTGGAGGCCTGCTCCTGCATACCCCTCCTAGGCGTCTCCAGGTGCCAGACAACAGCATACCATCTCCATCACCAATTTCGCCCGGCATGACCCAGTATTGCTTTCTTCAGGATCATCACTCGTAGTGCTATTTCTAGTTCTTTTAAGCAACCACTTCCCCCGGACTGGCTGCCACACTAATTGGGTGCATCATGTTCGCGAGATTGAGCAGCTGAGCATTGAGCAGGAGGGGCAGCTGTCAGCGCGAGGCTAATATCATCGACATCGGCGATCTAGCAAGTGCTTTAGTCACGCTAAAGGTGATAGTCAAGGTCTAACCCCTTCCACGCCATGGGAAAATCGAAAATGCCATACGATCGAACGCTGGTCCCTCTGTGATGGATCTCGCCTCCGAGCCAATCAAACCCTCATGGGGAGGACGAAGAATTTTATGTCGTTGATCGCACAGCGTTATTGTCGATGCCTGTGACGTACGGATAATTGTCCTAGACCTCGACTCCGCCTCATACGGCACTCTTCTTCCGTTCGGCTCTTTCGTATCGTACCAGGAACAGTCAGTCCCGGAACTTGTCTAAGGCAGGGATTGGTTTTCCGTTTCCGCACTTGGCCTTCCCAGGCGACATCTGGAAGCTTCCACAAATATGAGTTCCGGTGATTCTACTCGGGTATGGACTCCATCATGCATCAATCTTGCACACCCAGCGCCTGCTGATGATCGCGTCACATGGCCCATATCGTACTTGTCCTGCTCCAAGAGTGTCGCTGTTCCAGAGACTGACGAGACGCCGGAGAACACCAAGCGCAACGGCAGATGTCATCGTGCAGTGGCAAAACATCATGCCCTGATTTCCACCTCAGCCTTACGTAGCACGTGTCCCTGCTGCTTGCAGGGAACCTGATTCCGCCTCAAGCCTCAGTATCAAGCCACACTTGTCGCCTCGTCAGGCGGGGCAGGACGTCACGACTGGATCTGACTGGCGTAGTGCGCTGGGGTCATTGCATCCCAGTCCGCCATGTGCATGTAGCTTCTGCTAATGCCCATTGCGAAGGTCGTGAGATCCGTCAGGGCTAGCGCGGTGGAAGCTTGACTGTTGACCCTTTGGATGTGGTGTCGATGGCTGCTGACCAATTCCATGGGTCAAAGCCGTTTCTTGCCTGGCATAGTCGTACAGAAACTCGCTCCTAAGCTTGCTGCGAGTACGACCGCACAGGCTGGACAAGGCGCCCAAGAAGGATTTCCTTTGGATTGCCACTACCGGTCGGACCTCAGAGTCTAGTGTTCCTGTTCTAACGACAGGTTTTTGTGGAACAGCACTCTTGGACCCCAAAGCACAAAGTACATCAACGTCTCCGTTGATGACTACTGCTCCGGAGCTTGCCAGTCTTGAGCGGCTCATGACGTTTCTTGCCTTAGGCCCAGTCTTATGACACTCGTCCGCCTGGACTTTTCGACGGTACAGGCTGCGCCCCTGGAAACCCCTTCCGGTCCTTCTGTATACTATACCTCTAAAATGGACTCCAGATCGGGTCAGCCCTTCGGTTCCGCATCTAATGGTCAGTCCAGGCGCCGTGACCTATTTCAGACAGGGGGATGCGTTCCCTAGCACCGCTACTAACACTGTTACTACATCATCCTTGTTCTTGCGAATTATTAGTGCCGCCTACTAGGCTTCCTCCAAATCAAGAGGCAAAAGTCTCCTTCCTAACCACGCGGCGACATTCCCTGCCGTTCCTTTGAGTCTGATCATCATCTGAGTCACCCTTCAAGATGACCTGACGGTCCTCCTCCACCAACGCTGCTCCACAGATCCGGCACAACGCATTGTGAGTGCAATGCCTAACTGAAGAAGTCGAGACACAGATACCCAAGCCATGGATGTACCGCCTGGGGAGCTATACCGCTCAATCAATGAAGAAACAAAGACGGCGTAACACAACGTGTTACGTGCGTATCGTGGAAACTGCCGTCACGCTCTGCTCACGCGTCTTTTCTATGCGGATGGAGCGCAGAAGTCCGCGAGCAGCAGACTGAGGCTACGTAGCTATGGCAAAGCCCTGACACCTGTCGGTCAGACTTTAAATACTGCAAAAGTGAGAGGAGGTGAATCTGGCTACAAATGACGCCAATTATTTGGCCCCGTTGGCACGAGCTATCAGACGTGACAGCCGCATCGGAAAGGAAGCAACTTGCAACAGTAGGCCAGTCGAACCGGCATATGAGTGCGCGTCAAGATCCACCGTCCAGTTGGCATTGACGTTGAGGACGAGCAGACTCCGGAAGAAGGGCGAGAGGCACAGATCGATGTCGTAGACCTGACAATCGCAAGACTGAATCTCATCATAGCCGCAAGAAGATGTACTGCGTAAGTGTGGGAACAATCTTGCCAGCCCTGAAACTCCCGTCGAGGCACGCTCCAATGTCTCGACTATTTCATGACACAGCCTCTCAGGCAAGGGCACCACCAAATCCAAAACTCAATCAACCCCGCTTCATGATTGACGTCTGGCCTCTCGAAGATCGAGAAGCGCTCCCTTCGGATTTTTTTCTGTCGCAGCCCCCGGAAGCCTACTTTTCGCGTACAGACCTCGGCACGCCGTGGGCGCATTGATGTCCCGACAACGTGAACTTACCGCAGCTCCTGATGCGAATACAGCAGCGGGAAAACATCTTCGCTAACCATCCGTACCTGCGCTGCCGACTGTTTGGGTCCTGCAACATTAGAGGTCCACAATTCTCTGCCAACGGTCTCTGGCCTCCTGCTCCCGACGAGCCTTTGCCTCCATGTCAACTTCTTCCACCAGCGTGCCGTCCGCAATCGCTCGTGCTTTTTTCTTGTGATAGAAATGGACCTTGGTGGCCATCGCCGCATGGATCGCGTAGAAGACACCGCTTAACAATTGTAACGCCACCATGACGTCCCACGTCGTCTGCATAGAAACGGTCGGGCATTCGTTCCTGTGCAGTTCCGATACATGGCGGTGGTTTGCGGCGTCATTGAGGGCTGACTTGCTGAAGCACCCTGAAGCCAGGTACACGATCGAAGAGACCAGATAAATAATGGAGAGAGGAATCGAAAAGCAGATGGCCATTTTGGGAACGTTAGATCGGGCGAGGATGTGGAGATGGGCGGAAGGGATGGCGTTGAAAAAGGATAAGCCAGGAACAATAAGGGTCTGGATAACGCCGCCACTGTGCTCGTCAGTCGTATATTCAATCAGAGAGCAGTCATCCCGTACAAGGTCAGATCAGTGTCCTTGTCCACGATGATGAGAACACCCAGCACAATCTGAATGATGCTGAGCACGAGCAAGCTCAGTACAAGTGGCGCCGCATAGCCAGTCCATCGTGATGCTTGAGCCCAGCGATTGTCGCCCTTCAGCGATGCATCAGTGAAGTCGAACCAACGACCTGCCCCCATAGCGCAATCTCGGTGTTAAGATATCTGCCAAAGGTCGTGTGCCTTGCGATCCGAGTGCTTGCCAGTCAAGCTGTGAGTACGGTCGAAGACATCAGAACTAAGAACCCATCGTGCTTATCAAAGGAATGTGTTGACGTTGCATCTGAATTTTGGAGACCCTGTACGGAACAGCCGCCCCCAGAAAACGTAACGAGGTCTGCGGGGTGTGGGAGCCTGGGAGGGCGGCTGTTGGTCCACAGGCTGTCCCGTAGCTCCATCATTGCCTGTCCAGCAGGGGTCGCGCGTTAATCATGGCGAGAAGAGCACCAAACACGGCGAATGACGTGCCTTCTGTTGCCGCATCTTCCGGGATATTGGAGGCCTTGTCGCACTCTCCCCTTTCCAACAGCGCAAGTATAGGTGGTCTGATCGTAGATGAGTGGGCAGAGGGAAATGTCTAGGTAGCGAGATCCGATACTCTTCGGCTAAGATTGCTTAACTAACGCTTGATGGGGCTTGTATGAGCTTAGCACCCGGTGCCCGTGCGGAAGTCGTGGGCGTGCAACTCCAACACCAAGTTTCGCAAATTTCTCTCTCTTGTAGAAAGATATGCTTATGTTTCAAGACTTCCTGCCCAGCTTCAGCTCTGACGCTGCGATAGAATGGCTACTGCTAGCAGTTCACTCCCACTTACCAGGACCCAGATGTGGAAGCTATGATGTAGCTCGGATCTAGCACTGCTTATCTCCGAGACAAAGAACTTTTTGCGCCTGCGATTCGGCTTCACATGCATTCGAGCCGTTGGAACGAGATGACCTGCGAGCAGAGATACACACCTACATCGCCATGAAGCTCGACACGAAAGCTCTGCGATACCTTAATCCTTCAGACTGGCGAGTCCTCACTGCTGTGGAAACTGGCAGTCGCAATCACGAAGTCGTTCCTACCACACTGATTGCGTCTCTCTCTAAAACTTCTGTGGGCGACGTGCAACGAAGCATCTCGCTTCTCGCAAAGGCCAACCTGATATCAAAAGTTAAAAATGCAAAATACGATGGTTACCGGCTGACATACGGTGGCCTCGACTATCTGGCCCTGCACTCTTTGCAGAAAGGTAACGCAGTCTACAGCGTGGGCAACCAGATTGGCGTAGGAAAAGAGAGTGACATCTTCGTGGTGAGTGACGACAAAGGCGAGCAGCGGGTACTCAAAATCCACCGGCTGGGGCGGGTCAGTTTCAAGAAAGGGGTGCGCAACAAGCGTGACTATGCTCGAACCAAGACACAGAAAGAGCGCGGCGCAGGCAGTTGGATGTACATGAGTCGGTTGGCAGCAGTCAAGGAGCACGCTTTCATGTCTGCTTTACACGAAGCAGGTGTAAGCGTCCCCTCGCCGCTCGGTCAGAACAGACATCACATTGTGATGAGCCTGATCGACGGTTTCCCCTTGCGTCAGATCGATAGCGTCCCGGACCCGGCGGGGCTGTATGCTGAGCTGATCGAGATGTTGGTCAGTTTAGCGATACTAGGTCTGATTCACGGCGACTTCAACGAGTTCAACATTATGATCAGGGAAGAGCAGGACAGCCCAGACGCTAAGGAGGTGAAACTTGTGCCAGTTCTCATCGACTTCCCGCAGATGGTCAGTGTTGATCACGTCAACGCGGAGATGTACTTCGATCGCGATGTTCAGTGCGTCAAACGATTCTTCGAGCGGCGTTTCGGCTTCGTGAGCGAAGAGCCTGGGCCATTCTTCAGCGAGATCAAGAAAAAGGTCGGCAGCGATAACACTAGGCGACTAGACATACAAGTGGAGGCGTCAGGGTTCTCGAGGAAAATGGCGAAAGAGCTGGAGGCATACATGCACGAGCATGGTGTCGATGGAGATACCAAGGACGGCGACGAAGAATCGAGGGGTTCGAGCGCGGAGGACAGCGACCCTCCTAGCGAAACCGAAGTGAACAGCCGACCTGAAGCGGGGGATGTCGCGCCTTGATGTGCTGCCTACTAGGGCGACCAAACAGGGCGAAGAAGGAGTCGATAGTCGAAGCATATACAAGACCGAGCAGGCTTGGCAGTGACAACCGGATCTCTATGCACATCGCTAGAGGTCGCTCGGATGCGACATGTCGGCCGGAGCATTTGCAGATGCATATGCAGGTGACCAAATCCCCGAGCAAAGAGCAGGTGGCCTATACTCCGTACCAGACCAGCTCCCGTGGGATCTACTTCGAGTCATTGACCCATGATTCGCTTCTGGTGCTGTCAGCAGGGACATGAAGACGGGATCGGCCAAAGTATCTTTACTACTCAGCGTTTTAAAGTCTGGAGCATACCAAACGGACATTTTACCCGCCGATGCAGGCGGAAGAGAACGACTGTGCATGAATAGCGCTGCTCGGCTAGGCGGGGCAGAGGCAAGCGAGGCTCTGGCTTGTGAGCAGCTGTTTCAGAAAAAAGGGTACGGACTGCACCGGGGTGACGGGCAGGTTTTGTCGAGGACATGTCTGAACTCGGAGTAGGCAGTATCAACAGAGAGGGGGGGTCCGATGCTCTATTACCAGCATGATCCTGCAGGCCGCTTGAGCAATTGTTATTTGTTCGGCTGACTGCTCGGTTTAGAGTTGGTTGATAGGGGTATAGAGTATGCAGTAGAGACGAGAGCAGATCTTATCATCAAAGTCTACCACATCCGGCGTGCAGTAGTCCGTGAAAGTGCATGGCGCAATAAATAACCTCAGCGTCAGCTGTTTGAGGGCTGGTCGAAGCATCTTCTCGTAAAGCAAGTCCTGGAGAAGCGGCCCGCGGATCACCATCTGCGCATGCTTTTGGAAGCTGATGTGTACGGATTACCCCGTACGACAGTACTACAAGTACTCAGTGCGGAGTACTTGTACCCAGCACACTTCGAGTCGCGACGACGGACGATGCGCGAGTGGTAAAACGAAAGCCGCAAGCAGTAAAGCGTAAGGGGATTTCAGGGCAGGGTTCGGGTCGGTAGAGTGCCAGCCGGCCAATTGGTACCTCGTCCCCTGCAGTAGGGCAGCTCCAATTCGTCAAGCGCCCCAAAATTGAGGCGGTCCAAGCTTCCAAAGCAGTTTAGGTCGGCGCCCAGACGCGCTTTGCACAGCGTTGCTCCGTTTGGGCCTTAGACCTTGCCTGGAGATTGCCCTCCACTTGACTCAAGGTTCGCCGGCAGTGCCAACCACGAGCGCAGCCAGTCTCGGGCCCTGCTGCGATTGCCTTCATATCCCCTGAATGCTCCAGCGGGTAAATTCTTCGGATTGATTCTACCTGTCGTTGTCCATTGCCTCGTACTTTGTTACATTCCTCCAGCGCAAGCACCAGCGCAATCGGCGTTGAGGGAACATAGTGGTATCCCGGTCACCACGGCCGGATCCTTCGCGCTCTGAATCTAGTCTCACTGCAACACCACTGCTATTGGCCCGCCTCGCAATCGCTCCTGCGACCCCTTTTGCGACAACATCTTTGGCCCGAACTGCGGTTGCCGACCAACAAGACGCGTTCCGTCCATGCCACCCCTAAGATACTGCTCTTCTTCGATTCTCTCACAAGCCTAGCCTACGCCATCACCACCTTGAGGCCTCGACCTTCAACATCTCCCTTGCGGGATCCCGCAACATGATGGTCGCATCCCCTCCTGGGTCGCCGGACGCCGTCACCCGTTCACGACCGCAGTCGATGTATGGTGCTTCCTCACCCGATGGACCTCTATCCAAACAACGCCCTCAGAGTGCCATGATGCGCCCACCTCGAAGTTACAGCCGCATGAGCCAAAGCAGTAAGCAGAATGCCAGCAGATTGTCGGATGAAGATAGCAATACGTCTGTCAAAGTTGGTGAGTTTTAGCGCTTCGACCTTACCGAAGTCTATACTGACAGCCATCGCAGCCGTTCGTGTCCGACCTCCGCTCGGTCCTACTGACCCCGGCTTCGACCTGATCCCCCAACGTTTCCAGAAATCTATGGTCCAGGTGACTACGCCCACGAGTCTCGGTGTCGATTCGCCGCAAGGCCGCAAGCTCTTCATCTTCGATCGCGTATTCGGCGAGGACACTACTCAGAAAGGCGTCTGGGAATACCTACAAGACAGTGTCGAGTCGTTTCTTCAAGGGTACAATGTCTCAATTCTCGCATACGGCCAATCTGGATCGGGCAAAAGCCACACAATGGGCACGTCAGGCCCCTCAGATCAGCGCGACGTTGCCACGAGGGGTGTCATTCCCCGCGCCGCGCAGCACATGTTTGATACTCTGGGAGGAAATCGGCCGGCCCACAGCAGGACGAACTCAGGTATCACAGGTCTCAAGGCTCCTAATCGCTACTCGGTGAGTAGTCTCAATCACGTCCTCCAGGGCTCCAAGAATGGGCCCGATCAGGACTGGGAGATGACGGTGACATATGTGGAAATCTACAACGAGCAGCCCCGCGATCTACTGCTCCCAGAAGCCACACCACTTTATGAGCGCCCAAACGTCCAGATTCGTGAAGATCCCCGTGGCCGCATCTTCGTGGAAGGCCTCAAGTCTGTCAGAGTCAACTCCATTGATGAGCTCATGGGTGTCCTCAACCACGGTTCCACCATCAGACAAACAGATGCGACCGCTATCAACGCGCGCTCGTCAAGATCTCACGCTGTGTTCACTATCAACCTCCGGAGAAGCAAGCTCCAGTCAGCCCCAACTGCTCCCAAGGACAAGCGAATGTCTATGCCCATCGATGCCCTCACGAATGCCGACGGGCCCGTCATCACAGTCGAGAGCAAGCTGCACTTTGTCGATCTGGCTGGAAGCGAGCGTCTCAAGAATACGCAAGCGACTGGTGATCGTGCCAGGGAAGGTATCTCTATCAACGCTGGACTTGCCAGCCTGGGGAAGGTCATTTCCCAGCTCTCAACGCGATCTGCTGGCATGCATGTTTCTTACAGAGACTCTAAATTGACCCGTATGCTTCAGGATTCGCTGGGTGGCAACGCCATCACCTACATGATTGCCTGTGTTACTCCAGCTGAATTCCATCTCAGCGAGACTCTCAACACTGTCCAGTACGCGCAGCGTGCTCGGAATATTCAGAGCAAGCCCAAGATCCAGCAGGTCAACGATGACAGCGACAAGCAAGCTGTGATTGATCGACTCCGTACTGAGGTTGCCTTTTTAAGGCAACAAATTCGCAGCGCCGAGACTGGTGAGCGCCGTCCTGCTGCTGTTCTTGAACGTTTGGATCGTCCCAGCGAGAGAGAGTCAGATCTGCAGAATCAATTGCTAGACGTACAAGAGAGCTACACGTCGTTGAGTCAGCGACATGCGAAGCTCATTTCAGAGCTAGCGAAATCTGGTGGAGACGTCAACGAACTCAACTCAGTTACCGGCGAGAGCGCAATCTCGAGACTCAAGCGGTCACAGGCTCAACAGCAGCAAATCGAGCAAATGGTCCTCGAATATGAAAAGACCATCCAAACTATGGAAGCGAATCTCTCCACGACCAGATCGCACCTGTCCACTACAGAAAGCACCCTGCTCGAGAAAGAGACCAAATGTGCCTATGCCGAGACGATGAATCACCAGCTCACCACTCGCGTACAGAAACTTATGGATCGCGAGGGCAATATGGAGCAGTATGTCCATGACCTCGAGGCCAGACTTGAGGATCAGAGCTCTGGAAGCGAGAAGAGCGACGCCATTCTGGCTGACCTCCGCAAAGAGATGGCCAGAATCCGAGAGAGCGAGAGCAATGCTGAAGACTACATTTGCACTCTCGAGGAGCGTCTAGCTGAGGCCGACCAAGACATGGACATCATGCAGCGTGAGGTCGAGCGACTCGAGCATCTGGTCGACCGACAACGCAGCCTTGGCAAGCTTGACAACCTTCTTTACGAGCTCGATCATGTTCAGCGCAATGACACTAAGAATTCGAAGCAGAAGCATGTCCGCGCCAAGTCAGGTAGACCGGAGCCATTGACACCGAACGGAGTGCACAAGATGGAGCGAGACACAGTGGTCGAAGGTGCCGAAGAAGTCGAGCTCCCAGAAGAGGACAAGGATGATTTGCAGGAGCCGCAGGAGCCGAGTGTCCAAGAACAGCCGGCAGAGCAACGACCTGAGGCGGAGACTGACAAGCAGGGATTGGAGCAGCTTGAGAAGGCTACCGCACTATCGCCGCCTCGATCCTCTGATGCAGATGAGCTGCTTCCTAGCCCCGCTCAGGAAAAGTTCGTCGCTGAGAAGTTCGAATCTTTGAGCCATGAGCTCTTCGACCTGCGTATCGAGCACGAGTCTACCGTCAACCAGCTGGAGCTGATGTCTGCCAAGTATCAAGAAGCTCTCCGTGCTCTCGCTGAGATGCAGCAAGATTCCATGGACGAGGCCCGGCACGCACCCCAACAAGACCCCGACAACAGTCCCATGCCGGACGCTCACCCGGCAACTTTTTTAGAAGACGCAAGAATACAGGACAGCCGAAATGGCGGACACTTGTCATCTTCGCGTTCGCTCTCTTCGGAATTGTCCTTGGCTGGGGAGTCGCATACATCAGCAGACACCGACATCACTCCCGTCTCTAAGCAGCAACCGTCCGGAGAAGTTGCCTCCAAGGAGATCGAGCGACTTCAGAGTCTTCTGGCTGAGCACGAGCGTGAGAAAAGTGCGGTTGTGGAGCAGTACAGCGCTCTCGAAGCCGAGCACAAGGATGCTCTCAGCACAGTCGAGAAGCTCAAGACGGAAGTCAGCAAGGCTACTCGCCCAGGCTCGCCTAGCCCGAGCACTATGCATCCTGGCGTACTCAGACGCATGACTTCGCTACCAAATTCAGGCGTCGATCGTGGTCAGCGATCTATCGTCTCCCTTCGTACCATTTTGGCGGAGGAGTTGGACGACAAGCCCGATCGACTGGAGGCTCTTGAGGTGCACCTGACCTCCGCAGGCCACGAGCTCCAGACGCGCAAAGATCGGATTGATGCCCTGGAGGCCGACGTCAAGAACGCTAAGCGGGAGATGGACATGAAGACGACCATCATCTCAGGTCTCACGCGCGAACGCAACAGCATGAAGGCTGGGTCTCCGGTCGACCTGTCCATGGTGTCTCAGATGCGTGATCAGCTGATTCAGAAGGAGACCGAGCTCAAGTCGCTGCATGAAAGCTACTATAAGAGGGAGCAGGAACTGCAGGACGAATTGCGCAATTTGCAAACCGAGCGCTCTAGTCAGCAATCTCCTTCCGTGCCGCAGGAATCCAGTGAGACGCAAGACCGTATCAAAGGCCTCGAGATGCAGCTGGAGGATATTACTACCAAGCACGACGCAGCAAAAGGCTTGGCTGATGAGTCTGCTCGACAACTCGCAGTCACCAAAGCCGAGCTCAGCACGGCGCTAGCTTCGGTTGAGACTATCAAAGCTTCACACCGGGGAGTCGACGGTGCTTCGCCCGAGCCTGAAGCCGCCGCCAGCGCTTTCAAGGAGGAGCGGGAGAATTATGAGCAACTTGTCCAGGGACTCAGAGATGCGCTTGATGAACAGCAATCGTTGACCACATCCCAGAAGGAGAAAATTGCCGAACTTGTCGAGCTGCACACTCAGATGAGCAAGGATGCTGCCGCCCTGTCCCAGCAACTCAAGTCAAGCGACGCACAAGTCGCGAGCTTGAAGCCTCGTATTGGTGAGCTGGAGACTGAGCTCAAGGAGGCCAAGTCAGCTGTCGAGTTCCACAAGCATGGACTTAAGTCGCTCCACGATGCTCACGCCAACGAGATCGAGGAAATGAAGCTGTCCCATGCCGGCCAACTCGCAACTTACGATGACACGATTGCCGAGTTAAATGCCAAGCACGACAAGCTTAACAGGTCATACAGTGACGATGTCTCTGGCAGCAGAGATATCCTCGACAGTGTGGTGCGGGATGCACAGAAAGCTCTGGGTCATCCCACCACTGCTGATATGCTTGCCAACCACATTCAGGATCTGGCTGAGGAGAAGGCAGCAATCGCGGCGAGCGTTAAACGTCTTCAAGGTACCAACTTGGAGCTCGAACGCCAACTAACCGGCCGTCAGAACCTGCAAGAGCTCGAGGCGGAGATCGAGGCGCTGAACACCAAGGTGGCCAATTACCAGGATACTATTCGCAACCTGGCCAACGAAGTGGGTAACCACGAAGAGGCCAGCCGTGAGAAAGACATTTTGATCAAGAAGCATGAAGCTGCTATTGATGATCTCAACGAAGAGAAGGTCAAGAAGAACGATCTGATTGAAGAGCTGGAGCAGCAGCTTCAGAACAGCTTCGACCAGCACCATAACCGCGTATCGGTGATCCAGGCCCAAGGCAACCAAGCTCTGGTTGAAGCACAACACCGGATTGCACTGTTGGAGAAAGACTTGGGAGGCGCACAGCGGGCCTCGTACAACGACTCGGACCAAGGGTCACGTACCAACACGATGAAGTCGCAGCGGCCTCAGTCTCCCCCGATTACGGATGCTCAGCAGCGGTCCAATTCGCTGTCTTCTAATCTACGCAAGTCAGCATCGATCGCGTCGCTGCCCTCGCCGCCACCAGCTATTCCCCTTCCTCCACTTCCAACTCTCCCTGGTATCCAGAACGCTGCGGCCAGCAACCCATCACCTCCACAGTCCCGGCATACCTCCAAGGAGGTCACGCTATCGCAGCCTCCGAACTCGGGCACCAAGGACCGGGACTCTGCATCGGCGGAGAAGCTCAAACGTCAGTCGGCGCTCATTGAGGATCAAGAAGGGCGGATCCGAACGATCGAGAAGCACCTGCATGCAGAGAAGCAACTCACGGCGACTCTCGAGGAGGCGCTCGTGGATCTCGAGACGCAATCGAATAAGCTCCGGGCTGATGCCGAGGGGTGGAAGAAGAAGGCTTGGGCAATGGAGGAGGAGATTACTGGGCTCAAGAAAGAGAAGAAGAGCGAGCGACTGAGCGTGCAAGCAGTCGAGGAAGAAGTCAAGAAGCGACGGGAAGCCGAGGCTGCCCGAGCTCAACTGGAAGAGCGGATGAGGTTGCTGACGGTTGGAGACAAGAAGAAGAAGAAGGGTGGTGGACTGAACTGCTTCTAGTTGAAGCAGGATTTCTATTTCTTTTGTGTCTGGCGCCTCGACGAGCATTTGAGCGAGAGAGATGGAATTTTGGACGACCGAGCGTTCTCCTTGCACAGGACTCCCTCTCTTGGGGATTCCGCCAAAGAAAAACACGCTTTTAATGTGGACATGCGATACATAGCTTTCTGGACCGATATTTGGACGGTGAGATGAAGGACTTTTTCTTGAAGACGGAGAATTGGGACTGGGGTTCGCCTGTGATGGCGTAGGATACCTCTCTTTTCAAGACCGAACTTTAGCTTGCCAGAAGCCAGTCGGCCGGAGACTGTACAGTAGATTGGCGCAACGCAGTGCACGCAGCAGGTAGCACGTGTAACTTAATCTGGGCCAGATTCACGAACTTGGGTTCTATCACTTCCTGCTCTTTCAGTCACACGTGCTCGTCCCATGTCTGTTCTGCAGGGCTCGTTTTCGTATAGCTTTCGTGCCGCCCGCCTCGCCAGTCAGCGATCACGTAAGCGTGACAGCGTGACCCCGACCTCCTGCGGGTGGACGCAAGGGCCGTACAACACTTCGAGCAGGTTTGATCTCGACTTCATCCCAGCTCAATGCACTTCTATCATCGATGTGCAAGCATTTAATACATGCAGCTAGAGGTAGATTCTGGGAACTTACGACAACGACGTGACTGCTGTCCCTCGATGTGCATCGCCCCCAATCCAACCAGTCAGATTGTGTTCCGAGATCCGCACAAAGTCTAAGCCAACCGCCACAGTACACACCTGCAGACCTGCAGACCTGCAGAGGGGAAGGACGAAGACCAGTGGCTGCTGCAAGGAAAGTACCTTGGTTCGCGAGTAATTGTTCCCAGCCTGAGTTCTCAAGCTCTTGCCTATCCTTTGCTTTGCTTCCCATCGGTCAGCTTCCCCGCCCTTCTACCTAATCTACTTCGTAGATCTCTAGATCCCACTCCCAGTCGCCAGTCACCAGTCTGCAGATCTGGGAACCATTACTTCCGACGGCAAAGGCTCGTGCGCCCTGCCGTCTCCATTGGATCGGTTTCACCTCCACCCACGATCTCAGCCCCGAGGCAGGATGCGAAATGCATCCTTGCAACGTGCATTTGGCGCGCACAATGACACCCTTCCTCGTCCCAACTCCTCAACCGCATGACAGATGAAGAGAAGCACTGCCCCGTTACCTCGTCTAGCACCTCACAGACACTGGCATGGTAGCTCATCTGACATTCCCTGCAGCCGAATAATTTTCCGAGCAACTACTGGTCCTTTTCCCCGGCTCCTCTGTGGGTGCTCGTAGCTGGCAATCCGGTGTTCCGTTTTACACACTCTGCTTGTCAGGCTCACTTCGTGCTGTGTACGAGTCGTCGAAGCTGAGGAGACAATTGCACGGCGCCGGAACATGCCGCACTTACACGCCAGAGAGAAACCATGACCACACGCCCAGAGGCCAAGTGCAGGCGAGAATCGACTGAACGTTGTATGCAAGCATTGTGCCGAAGGCCAGTAACAGCTTGTTGCCAGGGTTGTGCGGCAAGCCTCAACGCCACTGGCAGCCACTCCTCCCCAACCGAGCACCACTAGTCTTTGCCTAGCATTCACAACGGCCTAGACGCCCAGGCCTTCTCGGCTCTCGATCATCGAGCCGGACGGGGAGAGAAGCCGGAAGAATTCTAGCTCGACTTGGACAAGTATGTTCCCTGTGCTACTAATCATAACCCCTTATTACTCTAAGGATCTCGTATCCCCTTCGATCAGCGTCGAGGATCACTTCACAAAACGCCAATCTCGGACAAGGTACAGGCACTTAGGCTACATCCGTTTGCCCCGTCTATAGGCGTATGCTTAGCGGCAAGCCTTTTATGGAAGATGCAGCAGCTGTCAAGTTCGGCGTTGCCGACGAGAACCGTCAACTTAGACGCAGGAAACCATGCTGTTGCTCTGTCTACGAAAGCCGAGAACTCGAAGGATACTCCATCCTCGCGACCCAGCGATTGCCCATGGAAAAGGAGCATACGGCTTCCATTCAAGACCAGTACCAGCATCCTAGAGCCGTACAAGTCGACAGATGGCGAGAAGGAGCGACCCTTGTCCACGTAACGCAAAGTCCCCATGTTGTCACGCACCCAGATAATCTCGGACGGGTCTTGACGACCTGCCTCATAGCGCTCAGATCGCTGGCCCTTAGGTCAACTCTCACCAGCCCTCCTGCAGCATTGAATTCCATCCTGGCGATCGTCCTACAGCACCAGCCGCTTTGCATGAATACATGTGGTGACTGGACATGTTGGACGGCTTGATATCTCGCCTCCCGTCGGGTGCATCTCAACACCAGACCAATCCCTAAACCAGAATTGGCAGGTGTGGCAGGCGCAGAGGATCACACAATATGGCCTTTCAATACCAGATTGAGGATCGCCCCCACACCATTACCAGTACCGCATTTCGAGCCTTATATGGGTCGCGGTGATTTCAACTCCTTGTCGCCTCCCACATGCACGCCATCGACTGGGCAGAGGAACTTGACAGACGCCATTCGCTCCGAGCGCAGATTCGCCAACTAGCAGCCTGCGTATCTCGCGAGGGCCATCCTGCACCTCATGCGCTCGGTGGGCTTTGTAAGTGCAAAAGTCATACTGAACATCATCGATTTCAGCACGAAAGAGGGGACAAATCAACAGTCACACACCGCTGTGGCAAAGGCCGCGCTCACCGATCAAGACTCAACAGCAAAGGCAACTACACAGTCTGTCTCCACTGCCAGTATCGCTGCTGTGGAAAAAACCATCTGGCATCTATTGCCAAACCACAGGGCCATTCGCCTACCTATGGCAGCCACTGCAAGAAAGGCCGGAAGTACATCTCCAACGAATCACTTTCCGCACCGAAAACCATGGAGAAGCTAGCTACAAGCCCGGACCTCTATCGCCTGATACGAGCCCCCTCAAAGCCTACCCTGCTGCAGCTGCAGGTCCGTGCGCGAAGCCGCCATCGAGCTTTTGGCAGTTCTTCGGTTGAGTTTCCCGTAGAGCGTCTGTCGAACTGGCACAGTCGCAATGCAGCGGTCAGAGTCTAGGCTCATCATACCCGGAACTGAAGCAAATGGGATCATGATACCATGATACCGCACTCCAAGCCGATTGGTGATGTGCAAGTGCTTCTCGGACCATGGCAAACGAAGTCCAACCGGAGCACACCGATCGTTTTATCTGCAACATATGCTGCATCTCGGTCACGACAACCCGGTCTGTACTCCATAGCCTGCCCGCCTAGTCCTGGGAAGGGCACTTGTCAAGCTGCGCAGGTAGCACAAAGTCCCGGGAGCTGCTGTCAAGTCGTCTTGGCGCTATCTGGCCGGATCTCCCACTAGCGGGGGTCGTGTTAGCGATGACCCTAGCGCTGTGGTGCTGTCCGGGGATGGCGTGGGCCAGTTCTTCCTAAGGCTTCTCCATCCGAAAGGTACAGCAACTCATGGGGCGGCAGGCCGAAGTTCCTGCGTCCTCCGCCTCCTCCTCCTCCTCCTCCTCCTC